AGGTCGGAACGGTGGTGGCACCTAATGAAATGGTCTTAAGAAACCATGAGTGGAATCCTTTCGGCTCGAGCTCATTCTCTATTTGCCCGTGGTACAAATTGTCGCGAGTCGCGCACGCCCACGACCGATGTTCTTGCATGCCGTATCCTCCCACAGCCCTCACAACGCCAGCTCCAGTAAAGCAGTAGCTCCAAATCCTCCCACATGGGCATGATGCAAAACTCCGGTAGACGTCGTCCTGCAACCAAATGCCTCAACGCAGATCCTTCTCCAGATTTACAAACGCCGCCGGCCCTCCTTCGTGGCCCAGAATATCCACCAGAGCCTCTGTCTGACGGTACACCTTCTCGAGCGCAGCCGCGGGTGATCGACCGAGCGACACCAGGATCGCCGAATTCAGCTCTTCGGCAACAGCCACTCTTCCTTTGCGATCAAGGAGCGCCCCGTGCACGCTGTCCCGAGGATTCTCATATGCAACCAGGCTGAAGATGTCCAGTAGGGTCTTATTCCACTCTCCATCCTGCTCATCACGGTACTCTCTCTGCAGCACTTGTCCATAGTTCATAGCCTCTGTCAAAAGCTGATCGTACTGTTGACTCTGACCCGGCTCGGCTGTCGAAGGCTTGCCGTTCGGCTGCTCGTCTAGCTCCATGTCTTGCGTAAATTCGTCCTCGACGGCGGAGTCTTTGCCGAAGCCGTTGCTGGCATTCTTCTGCTTAGATTTGGGGTCGCTCTGCGCCTTGAGATCGGCGGCCTTGCTGATGAGCTCGACCCACTTGCGACATTGGAGGCGGAACAAAATCTGTGGTTTATCAACTAGAACATTGGCGAACTTCTCCCGCGTGATCACCAGTGCTTTGTCGATGTCACCCTCCAAGATTGCACTTCGAATCTCTGCAAATGGTTAGCTGAGCTTATCTTGGATGGGAGTTAACATACTTTGCCGATGGACAGCCTCGGTGTCGTCGGCTGCAGGCGCGATGACGGTCGTGCCCGGCTGGGCGCTGTTCAGTGCATTCTTCTCGCGTGTGAGCTCTTCGGTGAAAGCCTTTGCCGTCTCGACGTAACCGTCGTGAGCAAGGTACTGGGCGACCAAGGCTTGGATGAGGCTGTTCTCATCCATTCCAGGTCTGAGGGAAGATGTTTTCGCCTTTTCAATGTCGGCACGAACGGACTGCTTCGAACTATCCATCTTGCCTTGAATATCGAAAACAAACGGGCGCTGTCCGAAGTTCACCGTCACAGATGCTCCTGAATACTTTTTCATGCCAATGGTAGGGAAAGGACGGAGTTCTTTAAGGTCACGGAAGCAAACGTCGAGGTCACGTCCGTTTAGAGTGAAGAATGCTTGTCCGAGGTTGAAATCGACACCGCACCCCACCACATCGTTGGCGGAAAAGGTAGGACCATAGCTGCGTCCAGCATGCTCTCCTGAAAACATCTTCCCGTCATCTCCGTGGTAGCCCCACGAGTGCGTCTCCCACCCTGGCAAGCGCTCTAATGAGGCTTCGGCGGTCGAAAAGCCCACTGCAATTGCTGTATCTTTGTTCTTGCTGTTGATCGTGACCTCGAAGTAGTACAGCCCGCACGCTGGTGACATAGGAAAATCTGCCCGTACAGAAGCAGCTTCGATGTCAGCTTTGCTTGGCTGTCCACTGTACTTAACTTCGAAGCCGTTATTGGTGATGTCCAATCCCGGATATCGGTCCTGTTCACTCCATCTCGAAGGTAGAGGCATCAACTCTTCCTCTTCTCTGGGAGGGTTGCTTTCGATGACGTCGTAGGTCATCCCTCGATGTGAAGGGGCAATTCGATGGACATTGGTATTGTTGGCACTCGAAGATAGCGATGGTGCATTCGAGGGAGCCCCCGAAGGCTGTTGTCGCTCTCTCTTCACTCTTGCCATGTGTTCCGCCTCTAATTTGGCCACGTACCTCGATTCGCGCAGGTAATCAGGGACAAAAAAGCCGGCAGTATTGTGGCCTGCCATGCCAGGTAGGTGATTGAACCGACGAGAGTAGGCTGGAAGTGATGCCGGTTTTCTGTAGGAGACTCCGCTGGTATCCTGATCGAGATTTGACGGTCGTCTTATATATCTTTGCTCTTGAGACTGTGGTGGATATGAACTGCTGGGAGTCGAGGACAGAATTGGTCGAGGTCCTGCTGCTCCGGAGGCTACCGAGGCATACGACAGTCGCCTAGGGGCGACGTTACCAGATCGATCCATCCTGGACATTGATCCGGAGGTGTATAGGCGCAGGCGCTAGTAGTCCAAAGGTGTGGCTCGGTCGTGGAGGGAAAGACTGCGGCCAGAAGATACGGAACGTGAAGCGCTATAGGAGCGGCTTGCCGCAGCGTCTCAGGCTGATCCAGTGCGCAAAGCCGTGGTGAGATACGAATGGTATGTCATCATCATTCCATAGATTTCGGACGTATATAGATGGGTGTCGAGACGAAAATAGAAGGTGTAATGTAAGTAGAGGGAGGTCAGTTGCATATGGTCACAGGCTGATGATGTGCTGCATGGGATGCTGCGCAGCGGGGAACCCCGGTCGGCGCCACGGATCAGCCTCCTTCACCCGGCCACCGTTCAAGTTATGGTGCAGTATCCCGTACGATAGGCTCACGGCGGGTACTCATTCGAACTCATGCAATGATGTTTGTCTGTGGATGACTGTTGAAAACAGGCTTCAGGATTTGTCTAACGGCCTGTTTCACTACCATTTGCAAGCTTACATTCTATCAGCTGGACATGTCACGCATACAAGCGTATAGCACCAAATGCTTCACTCTGAAGGATTTTATCATTGACTCATGCACCGAAGAAGACTGCGCTTCTCGTCCATGCTGCGTTATTGAACCGAAACCTAGCATGGCCACTAATGTACATGGATGTGCTCTACCCGAGCACTTCTGCACATGCCCAAAGCCCGAGGCTTCCACCGCCTCAGCCTTTTTGAACGCCTCGCAAAAATGCTGAAGATCCCAGAAGTAGAACCGGGGTATGCAAAAAGTCATTCTCCGGAGCCCTTGCAACCCAAACTTTTCAACCGTAACCCAGTAGTGATTACATTTGAAGTAAACGCTCAACAGGCCATGAAAAGGCCTACCCTTGCGCAGCGATGAAAGTGGGCTGAGCAGGCGCTTGTGGTGGAGGCGAGCTGGCTGCAGGTGTCGACATACCCATAGGGTCGGCATGAGCCTCACCAGTATTGCTCATTGCGACATCACTGTCGTTGTTGGGCTTAATTTCGCTGCTGCTCAGTTGAGAGATGTCTTTGGCTTCGCTCGAGTCATCTCCATTGAGTTGTAAGAGCTTCTCACCACCTTTCCAAGAAGGCAGATCCCAGCTGACGCCAGTAAAGCTCTTGACGGCAAAGGCTCTGCGTACCCACTTGCGGCATGGCTTGCCCGAGCGGTCAAGGGCTCTTAGATTTGCATTAATAGCACCCGCGTTCGTCTTGGGGCCGAGTTTGTGACCAGGTCCAGTGCCGTTAGTTGGCTTTGCATTGTGATCAATAGTGCCGTCTTCGCTGTATGGAGTTAGTACTGCTCGCGCGATGTGTGATAGAGAACGACTTACTTCCTGGGTTTCTTCTTGGGGCCAGGCTTGCCTCTAGGCTTCGGCGTGCTGTCGCCTGTTTGGCTGAGACCACGCTTGAAACCAGGCGCCGGGCCTTTTCGCTTCTTTACGGGTTCGGTAGGTGTTGAGCCATCGGCAAGGGGCGCTGGAGTAGAGGCGGACTCTGATACCTGGTCAACCGAATCGGTTGGCTTGAGGAGTATGTTGTCATTGGTGATAGGCGCGGGAGATTGTGCTTCTGACGAGGGCGTGGAGGCTTCTTTTGGTAACATTATTCCAGCAATTTCGGCCAGCTTTTGCTTGGGGACGCGTAGGATGACGACCCTCTGCTTCTTTGCCATTGTGTGTTCTGAGGATATGGTGTCGGTGATGAGAGGTAGGATTTGCTCGATGGACGGAAATGCGGTAGAAGTTCGTGGATGCGTATGGCTTGATGTGCTGGTGCAGTTCAGCTGAGGCCCTTGATGACCACGGATTATCTGTCTGGTGTGAAGGAGAAGCTTTGCGAGGGTGGTTGATGAAATAGTGGTGCAACGATGTTGTATTCGTTTGGTGATGTTTGGATGATGGCGAGGTCGATGGGAGAGTGGGTGAGGGCGACTTGGGGCAATGATTGTTCGCAGGTGATGCAGGGTGCAGATGAGTCTTTGTCTTAGTCCCCTTATTAGTACTCTGAGTTAGAGGTGACAGCCGCAAAATCGAGAAATTAATGAAAAGAGCTGGTGAGCTGTAACAAGGGTGATGATCAGGGTGGGTGGTGGGTAGGAAAAGGATGGGAAGGATGATGATGAGGCATTTGAAAGGTGGATGTGATCATATTGAAGATTATCTGGCTCGTGGGCTCGGCCTGGGTGTAGGCTATCCGGAGAGCAATAATGGGACGGCGGGCGTGTGAGAGCAGCCTTCGAATTCCAGCGACACTTTGCAGCGCGATGAACAAGGGCGAGGGATTGGCAGGCTAGGTGCTTTCCAGTGACGCCCCTTGTGACTAGCCGTTTTGAGACTAGTTCTCGTCTCCGAACTGTGAACGTCTGCTTCGGCGATGCGCATGCCGTGTGCTGATTCAAAGCCTACGAAAAGCCTGCTACTGGTTTTTCTGACAAGTCGCTTGGGCTAACGCTCGGCCGTCGCTTCGTCTCCTGACGGCTACAGCTGACGCACTCCAGCCATCATCAGACCCCATCAGAGGCCCCAATGGCTTCAACCCAAAATGTATCGCGCCCCAAGCGCCCACTTCGGCCTGATCATCAAGCTCGATTAACCAAACCCTTCCGCTCTCCACTCAAATCATCTGCATCTCGTACAGAAACCGTCCAACACCCCACTGCACAAGATCCATCGAAGGCAAGTCTTAACTCGAGCAGTGCAGTGATTGAGGCGCACTCTACCACCGTTACTGCTGCTGATGGCGTCACCCACGATGCCGGTGCATTGTACAAACAGTACAAACAACTGAGTACGCAACTCACGCAGATGCGACTGTCCCTTGACACCGCCCAGCAAGCTGTGAACATTCTCCAGAATGGCCAAGCCACCTCTATCCAGGCCTTGATTGCTAAATGGAAAGGCGTTGTCCGTGATGCGGCTGAGGAGCTCTTTGACGATGCGAAAGAGCGTGTAGATCGGCAAGGCGGCTTGACTCGTCTGCACAGACATCATTTTGACGACTTCAGCGTTGAAGAGAGAGGCCTCAGCGCTGAACAGAAAGATATCCTGCGTAAGCAGCAGGGTGAAGCGCACGCAGAAGCCCTTAAGTACGGCCTTCTGGACAGTATTGAAGCTTCTGATGACCAGCCCGAAGACCAGGTAAGCCTGTCGCGTGTTTCGCTGAGCCCACTAATACATCTTCAGTCCTTCACGATGGCCACAATGCTCCGTCAGATGGATGTGGACCCAGCTCTCGTTGGTTACGACGAGAAGGAGTTACGCTGGATAACGTGAACATGACCACATGAACCGTCTACAACAAGACAGAAGACCAAGACAGCTAGCTATCCTTGTCTGGTAGGCTGTGTATCTGCGCTATTCAGTCCGAGCGGAAGCAGCTCTTATGGCATCATGTCAGATTCGAGTACGCCGCGAGCAAAGTTCCCTTTGAAACCAGAGCACAGTGATGAATGGCTCCTGCCGGTACATTTGTTCCTGAAGAGCTGATAGAATGAGAAACGGGTTGTGGGAATATTGTGTGATTCTATGGGCTTCTCTCAATGCTGGATTCACGCCTGTCTTAGTGCTCGAACGCTCTCAAATACCGTCGAAACTTCTTCACTCAAGCACCTGTATACGCAATTCCAAGTCTTTGAAATCTTCACGCCGCTCATGACTTCGTGGGAACATGCGCCGAGACGATCTCTACCCACTCACCGCATCACAGGCGGCCTCCCCTCCTTATTCCACGCCGCCCGGCTCTTCACCCACTCCACAGCTTCCTTTACTCCCGTTCCCTTGAGCGCGCTCACGGGCAGCACACGACTGTCTCTTACCACACCTCCCTTGTCGCCCTCAAAAACCTTCCTCACGAAGCCTTCCTTGATCCTCACGACCTCCAAACAATCCTCTCGATCCTGCTTATTCGCCAACACCAACACTGGCACCCCACCCATATCCTCACTGCCCAGCACACTCTCCAACACCTCCCTCGCCTCGTCAAGTCTTCCCTGATTTCGCCCGCCCAGCAACGATCCAGGCGTAATGGGCGTGCGGGGCGGCTCAACCGGCACATCCCAGCCATCGCCTCCTTCATCAGCAGCCGTTCCCACCACCGAGCCTTTACGCTGCATATAGCTCTTCTTGCGTCCCAGCCAACCCTTCCCTTCCGAAACCCCCTCGTCCAGTTCGCCCGACCCCAGATCCGTGCTGTCCACCACAAACACCACCGCGTGGCACACCTTGTAGTACCCCGTCCATAGCCGGCGTAGAGTCATCTGCCCACCCACGTCCCAGATCTTTAGATACATATCACCGAGGTCTATGGTTGCGACATTCTGCCCCACCGTCGGCACCGTGTTGCCTGCGGTGGTGGAAGCACCTGCCACGTCATCTTTAGCCGCGCCGTCCGAAGATGAGGGATCGAGTTGCGGGTCCGAGGCTGGGTTGTGCGCGCCAGCCGCGAACAGCGCCTTGATCTGGTTGAGTAGCGTCGTTTTGCCTGCGTTGTCGAGGCCTAGTAGTAGCAGCGAGTACTCGGGCTTGGAGGTGTAGGTAAGGTAGAGGGAGCGCGCGAGGTGGTACATGTTGGGGTCCCACGTTGACTGGGAATGTAGGCACGGAAATTATGAAGTGTCGCGAGAGACTCGGAAGCCGTAATATTATCTATGTGGTGCGCAGATGGACGGAATCCGGTGTGGTGGGAGGCTTGACATCGTTTGCGGGCATGCACTGCGTGGCGAGGTCGCTGACTGTTGCAGAGCACCTCAACTGATTCTATCCGAGATTGTGTGAGGCGAGAGCATTACCTTCTTCTCAGGGAAGACACTATGGTGAAGTCGTGGGAAAATCGGAATGTGAGAGGTGGCATGTCACTTGGTATTGCAGAACGCGCAGCGCGGGCAGGAGATAACAGTGCTACCTCCGTTCATTCACTGCCTGGTCGGTTTCGCGAACGAAGTACCTCATCTAAGATCCAGAAGCTCAATCCGAGAGCAGTGGCTCAAAAGTCTTCTTCGGCCTCCTCGAGAGTTTCGACCGCACCACCAGCCTCCTTGATCCTGGCCTCTTGCTTGCGGTAGAGACCAGCCAAGAAGTCGGATGTGCTCGCCTCCTCAAGGCCTTTGTCTTCACGGATCTTCAGAAATCTGGGGAAGCGCATACTCAGCCCTCGTTCCTCGCTGATGAGGCCGATCGCCGCAGTATAGGTGGGGCTTAGCGTGATGTCGGCGAAAGCCATTTCCCAAACTTCCTGAGGCTCGAACCAGACGTCAGGATGGCCACCGTACTCGATGTAGCTTGGCTTCGAGGAATGCGTGTTGTCTCCATCCTCCGCGTACTTCTCCTTATTGGCCTGGTAGAACTTGTCTGTAAAGCCTGAAATGCACTTTGTAACTACCTGCAAAGATCCTGTGATAGGGTCTCGACAGGCAAGCAGTATCGGGGACCACCATTTCGCCTTGCGTCCCTGACCATGCCATCCCGCGACCGGTATAAGATCGATAGTATCGGCGGACGTAGCGTAATCTTTCTTGACTTTCAGCCACGAATCGAGGCGTTTGTCAGGCTCGTAAGTGGCAAGTAGCGCCTTACGTCGTGTGCCTTTGTCCTTCTCCTCGTCTTTGGCTCCTTGGCTCTTTTTGGTGGCACCTTTTTTGCCCTTGCTTGGTGTTTGGGGGGCTGACATCTCCTCCACCGCTTCCTCCGAGGTCTGTAGCTCGGAATTTGGTAGATTATCGAGCACTTTGACCATGATACCTTCACATTTCACGTCCGTGGCACTCTTGAAGAACTCGAGCACAGTTTCCGAGTCAGCGGACGTTGCCTCCAAGCTCTTGACCCATGTAAATCGATTCTTCTTCTCCACAAACATGCTTCGTAGCAGTCCACGTCGCTCTCGGAACGATCTGTCAAGCAACGACTGGCCATTGAGATACATGAGATCGAATGAGAAAAGGCAGACCTCCACTTGAATAGTATTGATGTCGACGTCTTTGCGGGCGCGATTGGTGAGTGTCTGGAAAGTCTTAAGTTCGCCCGAGTCTTGGTCCACTGCTACCACTTCGCCTTCCAAGATAAAGCTGGAAACGCCATCACCTCTGATATCCGGTACCAAAGCGACCAGATCCGGGTATTTATCTGTCATCACTTCAAGATGACGTGAGAAGATGGACACTTTTCCACGTTCGTCGCAGTGAACTTGAGCTCGTTGTCCATCGTACTTGAACTCACAGCTGAAATCACGCCCTTGCAGCTTGGTGAGCATCTCGCTCAGATCCCTGGTGATACTGCCAAGCATAGGACGAAGAGGAATGTGAAGGGCAAGGCCACACCTTACCCTGAGCTCGTCAGACACGCCGACTTCAAGCAACATAGGAACGAGATCGTTGTAATTTGGCCGTCGTGCAAAGCAGCCTTTTACCACTTCTTCGGCCCGGAGCCAGGTTGCTGTAAGCTCTTCCTTCTTGAGTCTGCGGAGTTCTGCAACATCCTGAAGGGGAAAATCGGCACCTTTGGGTCGTGAGAGACTGAAAGCACGAGCCAATGCAATTAGCATTGTGGTCTTCACAGCACCAATACGTAAGTGCTGGCACAGCGTTCTGACAATGTATCGACTTTCCTCCGCACCACGGGCATCTTGTACAAGTCGTTCGACAAACCGCTGCTTCTGTTCTACACTGCCGGTGCCTTTGCTGTTCGCGATTTTGACCAGCAACTGGTAAACGCCTTGTATAGACAGCGGCTTAGGCTTGCGAAGTGTGAAAGACTGGCGCTTTTTTGCCTCAAACGCAACATCCCCAGCGTCACCGTGCTTGTCGTACAATGACTTCAGTCCCGAACCATCCAGGCCACAAACTTTCTTCAAGGCCTTAGATATTGCTGAACCGCCAAGCCCAAGTTCTAGAGAAACGTACGGTGGCGAAATCGAATTCGTGGTAAGCCAGACAGCCGGCAGCAAGCTATCCGGATCAGCTTCGATTAACAGCCGCATACAGTTGACCAGATTGTCCACAATCTTGATCCGAGACTGGGTGGAACTGACGAGGACAAAGCAACGAGTCAGGAGGGCATAGGAGGCATTGCCACCATCAGCAGCCCAATGCTTCTTCAGCTCCGGGATGTAATCGGACGGGTTGAATGTAAGTGGACTTTGATCGAAGGGTAAATTGAGCGTGATTGTGTCCTCCGCAGAAGCGGTAGACTGTAGGCCAAGTAGATCTTTCCTAGCCACCATTTCTGCTGTGGCAGCAGCAGGTTTTGAGTTAATGGCATCGTTCTCCTCAGTGGGACCCAGACCATCGTGCTGGCTCTCAGTGGCAGTCTCGGGGCCTCCATTGGCCCTCGATGTTGGTGCATCTGAATGAGACTGCTGTTGCGTCTTGTCTTCCTCCTCCCATTGCTGCTGTAGCCTCCGCGCTAGCTCTTCATCGCTTTCTACATGATTGGTGGCATGAGTACCAGGTTCAACGTCGGGTCCCTTCTCCCCTGACTTCTCCTCCTTCCTCACAGCCTGCCTACCAAAGAAATAATCTAGACTCCGGGTTGGTAATGGAGAGGACTGGGCATTGTTTTTCTTGCGCCGTTTGGCAGGTGATTGCTCCATCTGCCGGAAACACCAGCATTTGTGTCAGACTAGGAAGATAAGTACAACGTGAATACGTGACGACTGCTTTTGGCTACCTAGGTACCTTACCTGCTCAACTGGCTCTCGCCGTCGCGTCATCGAGACGCGTCCGGAGACGGAGTATCCTGTCTCCGAGAAATGACCGCATAGGAGAAGAGACCAAATGTTCCTCAAACCAACACCCCAGACCTGCACGCATACCGATGGCCGCGACGCTTGCGAGACAGTCTGAGGACGCTCAGAGAGTCGAAGACTACCTGGACGATCAAATAGGAGAAGCCCGGGATCTTGATGGTATAGACTCTCTACTTGCGCGCGTAGGGGAGCAACAGGCTCTACTGCAGTCTCAGGTCCGTACGCCAACTGCGGGATTTTAGCACAGATGCTGACAGAGATGTAGCTAGAGGAAGCCAAAAGCGCACTGGCCGAAACTGAGAAGAGAGCTTCGACCCAGGTCTCTGACCTCCAAAAACATGCGGAGGAATTTCAACGACAGCAGTCCGCTCTTGACCGTCGGTTGCAAGAGATCACGTATTCGAGTAGCAGTGATGAAGCCGTAAAGGCTTTCGAGTCTCGCATGGTGAAGCTGCGTCGGCTGGATATTGCTACGAGCTACCTAGAGCTGGCGAAAGAGGTGGATCGTTTGCGAAGCGATGCCGGAAGACTCTTGAACACTGATCCTCGGACATCCCTCTCATGCTATAGTCGATTGCGCTTTCTGGCGCGATCTCTGCAAAGGCTGCAGCCTGATGCCGAAGGCGCAGCGCCTCAACTCATTTCGAATGTGGAACACGAGACGGAAGCTGTCTACAAGAAAATCAGGACTGGACTATCTAAAGACTTTCAAGCGACATTGGAGAAAATGAAGTGGCCGCAGAGCGAGATGAACCTACTCGGTGGCGTACTCGAGAAGTGGTCAGAACAGGTTGAGCTCCTCATGGAACTGCAAGAGCCGGAAGCGGGAGTTCTTCTTGCTAATCCAAAGCCGGGCGAGTCACCTCCTCTATTACCTCTGGAGATTATGGTGCAGCCCCTAGCACAGCGCTTTCGTTACCACTTCTACGGAGACAAACCAACGAACCGCCTCGATAAGCCTGAGTATTTTCTGTCTCACATCTTGGACCTTCTGGACAAGCACAGTCAATTTGTCGCAGATGAGCTACAGCCCATCCTGGATCGCCGTGATCCATCGAATGAGGACTTGGAAGCTGTGTATCCTGACGCTATCTCGGCTTTTATCACCGCTCTCCTGCCTCTGGCGGTCAACAAATCTCTCTCGCTCCTCCAGCAAATATCTTCCCATCCACAACTCCTATCACATTTTATGCAAGAGCTGATGTCTTTCGATGTCACGTTGCGGGAGTCGTGGAATTACAGTCCGACGCCTGGAGTCTTCAGCGAGTGGAAAGGCTTGACATGGACGATCCTGGATCAGCATGGCTACTTCGAACAATGGCTCAAAGTGGAAAAGGACTTCGCCCTCAGCAGGTATCGAGACATAAGAGACGCAGCTGACAGTCGTGAGATTGATTACGACGGCGTAGAGCCTGGTCAGACAAAGCCGACCAAAGGCACGATCCGAGTAAACGATCTCCTGGAGACCATTACTGACAGGTACCGGGGTCTTTCGTCTTTTAGTCAGAAGATGAAGTTTTTGATGGGCAGTCAGATATCGATATTCGACGATTACCATGCTCACCTACACGACGCGCTTCAGGCATATCTAGCCTCATCTCATACTGCAGGACGCCTCCTGCAGGGTCAGTACAGCAAGCACGAGGCCTTCGATCAAAGGGCCCTCGCATCGTTGTGCAAAATATATGGCAGCGCGGAGTATCTCGAGCGGAAGATGGCGGATTGGAGTGACGACATCTTTTTCCTAGAACTATGGGAAGAGCTCCAGGATCGGGCTCGGGGTAATCTTGCAACGGATGGATCGGTCGGTAAAGGTCTACGAGTAGACGAAGTCGCGGCAAAGACGTCAACAACCATTAGACAGAACGGCGATGACAGCCAGAGTGGGGCTCTCTTCGATGAAACAGCTTTGGCGTATCGCAAGCTCAAAGATCAATCAGAGGCGGAAATCTTGCGCCTGCTAGACATCAATGTCAAGGAAGCTATTGCGCCATTTAGCAGACTCGAGGCTTGGGCGTCGCTTGCTGCAGCCCCTACAGACCCTGCAAGCCTCAGCCCTTCAGCGGCACTCGACAGCATTCTGCAGATCGCAAATGTGCTACTGGGATTTTTGTCCAGAGTATTAGCACGTCCCTCGATGCGCAAGATGGTCAAGCATTTCTCTTCGACATTGGCCAGCGAGGTGTACAACACTGTCATGATGGCACATAGCTTCTCAGCTGGAGGGGTGTCTCAATTCCGTCGGGATTTGATGGCAGTTGAAAATGCGATAGATACAAGCTCTGGTCTTCGCGGAGTTGCAAAAACCACTTTCAGGAAAATAGAGCAAGCCCTGACGTTGCTTGGTCTGCCCATCAAGCGATCGGCGAACAGGGTGAGCAATGAGAATGCCGACGAAGAAGAAGATGGCTGGGGGTTCGAAGAGGAGGATGTCGACACAGCAAAGGGTGAGCCGCTTCAACTCGTTGCAACGAAGGACGACGCATGGGGACTTTGGGAAGCAGAGAAAGAGATCTTCAAGTCTAACGAGGCCGCGAGACAAGCGCTTGCCGACATGGGTTTGGACAACTTGAGCGAGCAGGAGGCCAGGAACATCCTAAAGCGCCGAATCGAGCTGAGTAGTTAGATACCACTGATTGCTCCTATCAGTCGTGCAAATGTCACTCTTGGTGTACAACTCGCATCTCAAGACTCACACAGTCAGACCGAGCATGTCGTCCTGGAGAAGTTTTCGTTGCATCGCGCTGTAAGACGTGAATTCCGTCTGGACTGAGATCGAACAGTGCAACCGCGACCGTCTTCACCTCGTCGTTTTCAGTATCCAATTAGGTGACAGCAAAATCATGTGGCAACCCCCACGGGCTTAGGGCACCGGATCTGCGATCTCCCAGGCATCCAATTCCTCGCGTGCAGGCCTGATGCGCATGTCGAGGGCCTAGAATGGCATCGACTACCCCTAATTTTGCGGTTCCGGGGTCCAAGTGCTCCACTGCTTCGGCAATAGTAGATCACGATCGTGGCCGCCACATTTCAGTCTCCGATCCGGGGCTCGTCGGCTTGAATGGGCGAATTCACAAAGTGCGCACTGTTCCGAGGCGTCGAGCGTGTCAATTGTGTCATTGGCAGACGTCCAAGCAACGCTTGAGGCTCCGAACTACAGCTTCCTCTTCGTATACGCGGCGTCGATTATGCTCAGAGACTCTGACACGGACCTATTGACATTAAACCTCTGCCAATAATCCGTGCGCCTCAGCCCCTCTCGTCAGAGGCGGCCGCAGATACTTGAGCCTCCTACGCAAGGCCCAATCTCCTCCACCGCCCGTTCACCACCGTCGACGTTCGCACCACGACTCGTCCCTATCGCGCACCGATGCGACTCCGTACATGAATTCGTTGCAATTCTCCTCATCTTCCTCTGCCTCCCTGAACAAGCGTCGGCGTCCTCGACCGCGTGCACATCATCACTCCGATCCAGACCTGCCGAAGCACAAGCGACCTTTATCTCGAGATAGTCCTTCCTCTAGTCAGTCGTTCGACCCATATTACCCGTCGTCGAAAAGGGTCAAAATACCCTCTGAGCGATTCGTCCAATGTCCCTCTGATGATGCACGCGACGTGAGACGAGGCAGATTTCTCCTTGCCCGCGACCGCGGCGGTGGTGCAGCAGTCCGAAGGCACAGGTCTTCTTCACCGGGCCAATCCTCCTTTGCCGAGGCTGCGTCTCATATGCTCGGCCGCGCTGAAGAGACGGGCGGCAATCGAACAGTCACTATGGCAAGAGGCGCCCCCAGGAGCGCCTCTCCAGCCAGGTCTTCACCCGCGCCGAGTTTTCGAATAAGCAGTGATCATACCCCGAGAGGGAGGGCCGTCTCTGATTCGAAAACACTGCACGGCGCCCAGGTACTCGACTCCGTTGGTCTTGTAGAGTTCCTGCAACAAGATGATCGGCCCGTCCTTGTCATCGATCTTTTTGACGATGTCAACACAAGCACGAAGGAACTCGCGCCCGTTTTCGTCAACGTCGCTTTGAAATCGAAGAGAGTGCTTTACGATGCCGTCTGTGGAGTATCAGAAGACCCAAGTATGTCAGCCGTATTCGGAACACCTTTTGTCGATTTCAAGTCATGGGCTCTCAGCCAACTGATAGAGAGCGAAACTGTACGGACGTTTCCCTTTGCTGGTACGCTGTGGAAGGCATCTGTTATACAACAAAGATTAAAAGTCATAACTGGTAGTAACGATCCGCTACCGGCATCTTCCCAGGAAGCAAGAACACCGTCCATTATGCAGCCTCAGAATGGCTATTTTTCATCAAAAGGTTCCGATCGGTCAGCAGGCTACTTCGACTATCCTTCTCCAGCTGTAAAGCCGAAGCTCAACACGGCGAGCTTAGCAAGCAGCGATGTGATCGGACCTAGGTCGCCAAGAACTCCTGTTGATGCCACCCCAACACCAAGCGGTGATATCGGCCATTCCGAACTACTGTTGGGCACACTGTCTCCTGGCGCTGAACAGAGAACCTTGCTGGCTTCGACAAACGCAGAGACGTCGGGTATCAGAGGTGCAGTGGGATCTGAAGGCGGGTCTTTTGATTGGACAAGGCTGCCTCTGGGACCGCAACTCCCTGCTCACATTCAATTTGCAAGAGGAATCGATTGGTCAAAAACCAGCCTGGGCAGTATTGATACCTGGGCTTCAGATCTCAGAGGAATGTGTAATCTCATCATGGCTAGTCCCCATCCTGCAGCCATGTACTGGGGTAGAGATCACGTGGCCATCTATAATGAGCCCTACATCCTGCTCGCTGGTCAGAAGCACCCAATACTGATGGGGACCCGCTACCGCGATGCGTGGGTAGAGATTTGGGATAAACTGGAGGAAGTGTTCGATAATGCCTACAACCATGCGCAGGCGACCATGAAAGATGACGACTGCCTCTTCATCGTAAGGAATGGGTTTCTTGAAGAGACGTATTTCTCGTGGAGTATTATCCCGCTCATCGGCAACGATGGCAACGTTGTCGGCCTCTACAACCCAGCTTTCGAAAAGACTCGGAGGAAAGTGGCAGAGCGCAGAATGTTGACCTTGCGCGAGATCGGTGAAAAGACAGCGACAGCACGACAGGTCGATCACTTTTGGAGTCTGTTGCTAGAAGGCCTGCAGTTCAATGAGCTCGATGCGCCAATGGTCATGATATACTCTCTCAACAATGACCTGGCAGAAGGAGACAGCGCGTCCTCAACATCAAGTAGCGGCGCAGCAAGCAAAACCGCTTATCTACAAGGGACTCTGGGTGTACCAGCAGGGCATCATGCTGCTCCGCCCTCCATTGACCTCAGATCGAGTCAAGCAGGCTTTGCCTGGGCTTTCCGCCAGGCGCTGACGACTGACCGGCCTATAGTACTTCGAAGCGATGATGACACCTTAGATCCAGCGCTCATCGAAGGCATGGAATGGCGAGGGTATGGGGATCCGTCGAGAGTCTTGGTCATCTGCCCAATTCACCCCACAACAGGAGAGTCCACGCTCGGATTTCTTGTGATGGGGACGAACCCACGGCGACCATACGATGAAGATTACGACCTCTTCGTTCAGCTGCTCGGGCGGCAACTAGCTACATCGATAGCTTCGGTCGTTCTCTTTGAAGCTGAGATCAAGAAGAGCGAGAAAGCCGCGCGTCTCGCAGCTCAGGATCGGATCGAACTCAACAATCAATTGGTAGCCAGGACACAAGAGGCTGTAGAGGCCGAGAATAAGTTCACGAGGATGGCCGAACTGGCACCGGTTGGCATGTTTATCGGTGATTCCACCGGTAAATTGGTGCTTGTCAACGATGCTTGGTACGACATCACCTCGTATCCGCGCGATCTACAAGTCGGCAATTTTTGGATTGAGTATGTCTTCAACGACGACAAAGAACATGTACGAGAAGCTTGGCGGGTCATGCTTGCACAAAAGTCTCCTATATCAATCGAGTTTCGCTTCAAAACACCGTGGAAGGACAAGGTCGGCAACATTAGCGCCACCTGGGTTCTTGCGAGCGTTTCGCCCGAAAAAGATGAAGATGGGAACCTCAAGAGAGTCTTTGGCTGCATGACCAATATCAGCTCTCAGAAATTTGCCGAGAGCATACAGACTAAACGGATGGAAGATGCGCTTGAGTTGAAGCGACAGCAGGAAAAGTACATCGACACAACGTCACACGAAATGCGCAACCCTTTGTCGGCCATTTTACAAAGTGCCGATTCCATCACTGGAAGTTTGACGGAGATGATGGCCTCTGGCAACCTTGCGCATGAACAGAGAGAGCTGTTGGACATGACAATCGACTCGGCGCAGACCATCACGCTCTGTGCTCAGCATCAGAAACGGATAGTGGACGATGTCTTGACGCTCTCCAAGCTGGACTCCGCCATGGTTGTTGTCACTCCAATAGACGTCCAGCCTGTCAAAGTCGTTCAGCGAGCGGTAAAGATGTTTGAAGGCGAGTTGTCGACAGCCGACATTGCTTTAGAGTTTCAAGTTGACTCAACATACACCTCCTTGGATATTGACTGGGTTCGAATAGACCCTCACCGACTTTCTCAGGTCCTGATCAACCTCACGACCAATGCCATCAAGTTCACAACGACCCAAGAGAAACGCACTATAAACATGTACGTGGGAGCTTCCATCGAAAAGCCGTCCACCGAAGACAAGTGGGGCCTCACATATATCCCATCGCGGATCAGTAAAGACCGAGACGTGACCGCTGCCGCCGAGTGGGGTCTGGGAGAGATGGTGTACCTCCATTTTGCAGTCGAAGATACCGGCCGCGGCCTCGATGACGCTGAGAAGAAGCAGCTCTTCCAGCGCTTCTCGCAAGCCAACCCCCGAACTCACATCTCTTACGGTGGTTCTGGCCTGGGCCTTTTCATCTCCCGCGAGCTTGTCGAACTGCAAGGTGGTGAAATTGGCGTGGCATCTGAGCCCGGCAAAGGCAGCACCTTCGCATTCTACATCAAGGCCCGCCGGTCCCAGCGGCCCACACAGGTTCTTGACGGCGAGACAGGGCCTGTCAGCGCCGGCGTCCAATTTCGCAAAGCTTCCAAGAGCAAGACCCAACATCGACCTCAAAAGCCGTCGATTGCGGCACCGTCGTCTCCAGCAAGGCCTGTCGCCCAAGAAAGCCTGAACGTCCTAGTCGTAGAGGACAACCTGATCAACCAAAAAGTCCTCGCAACGCAGTTGCGAAAAATCGGTTGTGTCGTGCACGTTGCCAACCATGGTGAAGAAGCCATCGACCAGATCAAGCTGTCTCAATACTGGGTGTCCCAAACCCGCAGCAGTGCGACCGGCAACGCCGCGACGGTCATCGACGTTGTTCTCATGGACCTAGAGATGCCGATTATGGACGGCCAGACCTGCGCTCGAGAACTGCGGAAGATGCAGCTGGACGGTCGCATCCGCGGCCACGTCCCCGTCATTGCGGTCACGGCGAACGCACGAGAGGAGCAGATACTCATGGCACGCCAGAGCGGCATTGACGACGTCGTCTGTAAGCCGTTCAGAATCGTCGAGCTCGTGCCTAAGATGAAGGAGGTGCTCGGCCGCCTCAAGGGGCTGGAAGAGCCAAGCAGTGCGCTGTGATAGGAGCAAGAAGCTCGCATACTCTAGAGGCGAGTGGAAAATCATCATGTACGAACAACGGCCGGCTGCCGAAAATGGGCAACCAGTAGTCAGCGGCGCAAAAATAGACGCTGTGTAGACACGAAGGAACGTTGCATGAGCACGAGCCAGAGAGATTGCCCCAGCCCGAGCATTCAGGCACCGGGGGCTGGCTTCCGCAACGCAGCGGCGCTCGAGAGACCTCGCGCGACGAAGATACGACGACGACGACGCTACAATCAGATGTACGATCACGATCACGGTCATGGTTCACAGTCATGAAATATGACTCAGATATATACTGAATGCATATACAGAAGTGCGCGCACCTACTACCTACGTACCCAGCCCGAGATGAGTTACCTGGTAGCGTAGCAGTAGGATAACCTCAAGCCACGTAGCTTAGAGATCTGGCTCCAAGGGTTGCCCCTAGATGAATGAAACAGAACCAGAAGGAGTAGAAGCAGACTCGAATGAAAGTTGGTCTTCAGGTACTTGTAATTAATTACAGGGTTGGTGGTCCTGGACCCCAGCCACAGTCACTACTATAGTAGATTCAAGGCTCCTACTGTATAAATGTACATCACGACCGCTTTTGCCTTTTTCCTTTTTCCTTTTTCCTTGTGCCTTTTGCCTTTTCCTTTTTCACTTCTGTCTTCTTCTTCTCATGACATGACATGACATGAGGTGAGCAGTTGAAGCAGATACTTGTAGCAGCGGAGGACGCATCGTGGCTGACTCCTGCTGTTTGTAGGGGGAAGAGATTAAGGTCCCTATGAGGAGGTAGAGGTAGATGAAGACGAACGATGGAAATCTTCCCGATCTCTGTGCCGTGCATCCGGCCCCCCCTTTGCCCCCCCGGTTTTCCCCTGTGTGCTCATACCGTAGAATTTGTAGGGTTGCCCCGTCTGTCCCTCTGGAAGCGTCGTGCTGCTTGCGCGGCCTTGCTTCCGAATTTGACATAATGAGGAGCTTTGATGGAGTCGATTGGCAGCCAGCCGGCGTCGGCGTGTTGAGGGGGAGGGTGTGTAAGAGGCGGCGATGGAGGAAGAGTTCGCCCCGGCTCTACCCCTTCAGCGAAGGACAGCACCCCGGCCTCCCGCCGCAACACGTAGGTTTGAGGATAGCGTTGCTCGCTTCAGCTGCCACTTTGACTTGAGCCGTACGAGCCCCTCCAAGAGATGCGGACTCCTCCATGCTATACTGCGGGCTCGACGTGTAGCTTTGACCACGATGTTTGGAGCCGGTAGTACCGGACTTTGGACAGCGCCTGCAGGTGCGCTCACTCTTCGGCTCGAGGTCGATTGCAAAGCATACGGGCCGGGTCATTGTTGGCGTAATGCTGGTGAGCGCTGACACGGCCGTTGGTTGCAGCGAGGATGAATGAATAGCTACCACAGCACAAGCGCGAGGGCTAGGTGAGTTCGGTGTGCCGGGGATGTCTCGCGGCAGGACGATCGCACCCCGACAACGTCTGATGTGTGGAACTTTTGTGAGTCCAAGTCGATCAATGCTGGGGAGTATTCAAATCACTCCTCCATCTTGATCTGCAGGCCCACCTCCATCGGAGGCCTGAGGTTCGCATATCTATCAATCGAAGGGGCAGGCGTCACAACGCCATCCCTGGCAAACCCCTCAATCTCCGGACTCTTACTCGGCGTCCGACTCTCATAGCCCATAGGTCTGTGACTCCCAATAGCATCCTCCCACGCCCACTTCCACTCCCTAAGCCTTTCGTCCGTCCACAAGAATTCTTTCAGCGTCTTCTCCATGCGCGACCACCTTGTGCTCTGCCTGAAACGCAGAACCGTGTGGTGGAAGAAATCGACGCGCGAGCCTTGTGTGAGGTGGTCTTGCAGAACGGAGAAGCACATGACGATCCAGAGCAGGGAGGGGTGCTCGTAGTTGAAGAAGGTGTATTGGGCCAGCTCGGCGAGTAGGGACATGAGGGATTCGTCGTAGAAGGTCGTGCGGGAGGCCGGGGGTTGTGATTGGACGGTGTAGGCGAGGAGGCCACCAACAATCATACGTTCCGGTTCGGGCATCGAGGTCGATTTGAGGAGCTGCAGGCATTTGTCGGCGGTGTAGAGGCGTTTTCTGCTGGGCGAGGAGGTGGAGTTGTTGGGCTGCTGGGTGCGCTGGGCGAGGTCTTGCTCGTGTACGTCCACGAGAAGATCGATGGTTTGGACGCTGAGTGTGCGCGCCAGGGCCATGTCGCTGAAGCCGAAAGGGAGCTTGGAGATGGTAGCGGAGAGATCGGTGGGGAATGGGTGTGTGGGATAATCTAGCTTGAGGCTTGTGGTGGTCTCTTCAGTCGGGTTTGGGGACGATGCTGGAGTCTGGGTTTTGGTCTGGAACTTCACGAAGGAAGTGACGCTGATATTGCTGGTCAGTAGAACACTCGAAGCGCAAGACCAAAATTACTGACGTCTCGATGGCTTGCTTCAGACTGCCACTCCAACCCAATGTATCTAGACCTCCACGCATATTGACCAGCGCCCATAAGCCGTCCAGATGGGCTTGATGTTGATCATGTTCGGAGAAGAAGAACTGTCCGTTAGTTTCAATTCAAAGTAGGCCGTTCGGTGTCCTTACATGTGTGCCCATGATTGAGATGATAATGTGAAAGGTGAGGTCCTCGAGCCGCCTATTAGGATCCGCAAGCCGTTGCTGAAGGTGGTCAAGGGCTCGGCCGTGATGAAGCATCACTTCTTTGTTCGGCTTCCGAGCTCCAGCACTGACTATGGAGCTGGCTTCTACCTGGGCGACGGTGGCTTCGAACATGCCAACGTCGCTGATGACGAGTTGGAAGTAATCATGTGCGAGCTTTTCTATGCCGGGTATGGACTGGAACGGTCTCAGGACTCGCTCAGGAATGAATACTTGGACGACTGCGAAGTGTAAGTTTCGATAATCCTGTCCAGCCTAACACCTACAATTGTCTACAGCCTGGGGAACACAGTCCCTTGGTTCGACGGGAAAGGAGTTGAAAGGGTCTCCTCGCATGCCGCCAACAAGGGCGGTGGAAAGCCATGCTTTGACGAGGGCTTGGTCACCTTCGCCATCGGATTGCTTTCGTCTGCGGCGTCTGCTGGACGCAGCAGTGGGCTTATAATGCTTCTCGAGGTTAGGCAAGCGCAAACAGGATCTTGAGGTTAGTGGGCTCACTCGGAAGATCAGGAAGCCGTCATCTCGGGAGTTGGTTGTTTGGCGCTGAAAGGTTCTCAGGACGCTGAAGTCCCGCGACAAGGGCCTAGAGGTTGTCCTCTGAGAGACAAGATCGGCTGGGTTGGTAAGGGAGGTCGCACGGCTCGAAGCACAGCTGGTGGAATAGTTGGACAGGATATCTTCATTCAGATCCGCTTCGTCGATCATGAGTGCTAAGAATAGATGCGGAAGGACGGTAGGTTCATGAACTCAACACTGTGTACCGGTATTTGCGTAAAGAGGCTCTGGACATGTCGCGGTTCGATGATAGCAAACGCTTTCGTTACTTTGCGTCGTCGCCAGCACAAGGGAGTCAATCGTTGCCGGTCGCTGCCGCGAGCTTATATGATAGTTGTTATCGGCGATCAGGGCTAAAGAGAGCAAAGCGCCAGTCATCCGGTGTGGCGAAGCGAGAAATACGAGCGAGCAGCACGCGTCTTAGGGCTGTCGCGGATCTCGGATCTAGTCTGCTTAAGAACAGGTGAGCCTGCAGTGCAGTGGGTGAGGTACAAAGACGCAGGGATCGGGCGGCCGGGGGTTTACGGGTGCAGTCGGCTATGAAATTGTCAACTAAGCCACCTGGCAACGTGGAACAAACAGCAGGAGTTCAATGCTGCCAAACCCAGCCCTATGCTTATAATGTCATGTATTCACTCTTAGCCGACACAGCTCTTCACGCAGCTTCGGCGGCCGCCGCTTCGGGCAAGTGTTTGGAGATTGTCTCTTTGCGCAGTCGGCGCTGGAGCTGTGGGAGGTGCTTGGGTAAGCAACAGCAAGATGGTTCTAGCGGCGGCGGACGGTGTTTGAGCGGTCACGTTCGGAGGACTCACGTTCTGGGGGTAACCGAGAACATCATTACTATTGCACCGTTGGACTACGACCAATTGCTACCATACGACGAGGCCTGCACGCCCTCGCCGTAGCCCTCGTCATCGTTATCGTCGACAATCTCAATCTTGGACGCCAGGGCTTGCTGTGCTTCCTTCATCATCTCTTGCATTTGTTCATTCATCCGCCGTATCGAATCGTCCTGCTTCTGGCTGCGCTTATGCAACTTCTTCTCAAACTTGACCACGTCCGGTGAGCGAGGCGTACTCATACTGCTCTCACGGCGTGGGGACGCTATAGATGACCTTGACCTTTTATGCTGCGGCTGGTCGGATCCGGACGACTGTGGTCGCTCCTGTGCTATTGAGGCTCTGCCGTTGAGTGATGCTCGTGGCGATGCAAATGAGGCGCTATTTCGTTGGTGCATTCGTGGTCTGGCACCCGTGGCCCGGGGAGATGGCTTTGCATGCAGGTTTGCCGTACTTGGTCGGGGACGCTTACGAGCCGGGCTGCTTTCTGCATCGCGCATAGCGGGTGCGTCAACCATAACCCAATTTGACTTGAGAGCCGATGTCCCGCCCCAGTCATTGCATGTTGTAGGAGTTGGTAGTTGTTCGTCGACTTCCGGTCTGGGTTGATAGCCTTCTTCATCGTTCGGGAAGCTCCCAGGAACAGGCGTCGAGCATGATCCCTCATACTTGTCGTCAAAGACGTCTTTCCGGCTAGAGAGCTTAGCTGGGTCGCCAGGCACCACCAGTGGCGTGCCCACATCCATACTGTAGCCAGCTCCCGGTCCTGCATGGAACCCATTGAACGCCATGGTCCAGCAAAAGTTGATGGCCTTGCCAGCTATGCCCCCCGTGAGCTGCCACACGGCCCGTCCCCAGCCATTATTGTTTGAGGGTGAAAGTCGACGTCGCTTCCCACCAACCTCCGATCCCGGGGTACACGGAAAGTAGCTATCAGAGTGTTGCATAGGCGGATGCGCAAAACGGCTGGGTCTCAGATCCTTCTCATAATCGAAGGAGCCCTCCTCTTCTCTCGTAAATCGGTCGGCCGTGGGTGTGCCTCCTGCATATACGTATTGCGTGCTAACGAGCGGCGCAGGACTCGGAGCATCGAGGGAAAAGGTTGAAGTGGAGGAGAGAGCCGCTCGGGAGGTTCGCGGAGTTGTTGAACTGCTCGAGTTGTTGCGTACACCGCCTCGGGGCCTTTTTCGCGTCTCTTTCGCCGGTGACGAGGTTCTGGACCGAGAGCGCACTGATTGCGACAAGGTGGACGATGCCGAAGGGCTCGGTGGAATATAGAATGATGCCCTTGCTGTTGGCTGATCTAATCTCGCACGTTCGTGAAAGGAGCCTGGCATGGCGAATGTGGCCGCCATCCTCTACGGCTGCGGTGAGTGATCAAGTCAGGTATGCACTGACCCACGTCACGTTCTCGAGCTTTGGCTTTGCAGTCGATGCTGGTGGATGATGGCGGTGTCGGAGCGCAAGCCACAGTGACATGAACCAAGTCTCGCTGTCGGTGATAATGTTTAATGCCAGGCAACCAATTACTGTTTACTGCTTGGATTAGGCTTAGTGCGGGCGTGGCCACTCGACGTACCCCTACCGGGGCTTCATCGGAGCGAGTCTTTGCATGCAGACAACAATCGTGTCCAGATGTCCCACTGTCTGATAGACAGCGCCCTAAAATGCCACAAAGATGCTTGGTCATGACGGAACTTCAAGTGTGCCGCTCTGGTCGCCTCGACAGTCACCTAAACCCCGGGTAGACTCATATTCGCTGCTTGCATATTCCTCCAACGTCTATATGCACAACCGTCCAAGTACTTCTCGGGCCTACATCAGTATCTCAACCACACAAACTGATGGGGCTTCAATTCTATACCCTCTCTCAGCGCCACATCGTACCCAGTCACCAGATCTCTCGCACTGGGTGGCAAACCCATGAACCGATCCCGCCCCACCCACTGTCCGTAATCGCTGAAGTTGCACAAACACAACACCGTCGAACCGGTGCCGGGCCGTTGATATCCCAGAACCGTCTCATTCCCTGTGAAGAACCCCACCGCTCTACCTCCCGCCAATTCCTCGGTCGATTTCCTCAAGGCGATCAAGTGCTTCATGCCTTTGTAGATCTGCCCGGGGATCGTACTTTCATCGTGCCGCTCATGATATCGTTGCTCCGGATAGCTTGGGCGATTCACCCATCGACTATCGTCCATCTTGCTCTGATCATTCAGGTAGCTGTAGTCATTGAGCTGTCCCACCTCATCTCCGAGGTATATCAGCGGGATCCCGCCCGTACTCATCGCAATGCTGTATGCCAGCAGTATTCGATCGATGGCGTGGCCCTGCATGCTTTCCAGCCCCGCTAGACTGGCGGTGGTCCCCGAAATCCGACAGTCGCCTGTGCGCGGGTTATCCTGAAATGGTACACCGCGCGCAAAGCTGCCAGGGTGACGATTCACGAAGAATGCATTCAAGAACTTGCGGTGACTCCCACCATCCTTGCCCAGCTCCTTCGCGTCCTCATCGGAGAATGTCCACCCAATGTCATCGTGCGACCGGACGTAATTGACCCACGCGCAGCCCCGCGTAATGTTGTGTCTGCGTTCGATTGCCTGCGATAGCATACTCGCATCGCGAGTTGCGAGAGCTTCCCAAGTGAGGGCCATCTGCAGAGGATTATACGATAGCTGGCACTCGTAGCGGTCGATGTATTGCACCACAAAGTCAGGGTGTACGATCGCCTCACTCTTGAAGAGGACAGAGGGGGCCGCAATCCGACACAGAGCGTTGAAGGCGCGAAGCAGTTTATGGACTTCGGGCAGATTTTCGCAGTCGGTGTTCATCTGCTTCCACATGAATGCAACAGCATCCATGCGAAAGAAATCCACGCCTAGATTGGCGAGAAACAGCATCTCGGCAGCCATAGAGCGGAAAACGGTTGGATTAGAATAGTTAAGGTCCCACTGGAAGTGGTAGAAAGTACTCCAGATGTATCGTCCATCGGCTAGCTGTATGAAGGAGCCAGGATGATCGTCGGGGAAGATCTCACGCGTGCAGCGCTCAAAGGCCGAGGGCACGTTGCGGTCGGGGAAGACCCAGTACATGGCAGAGTGCTCAGGATCGCCTTCAGCAGCCTTCTTGGCCCAGCGATGCTCGTTGGACGTGTGGTTGAAGACAAGATCCAGGACAAGGGATATGCCAGCTTTGCGCAGCTCAGTCGCCAGCTCTTTCAGCTGATTGATGTCACCGAGCTCAGGGTCGACATCGCGGTACGAGGACACGGCGTAGCCACCATCCGAGAACGGCTTGGGCGCAAGGAAGAGTGGCATGAGGTGTAAGTAGGTGAGGCCCAGCTCTTGGAAGTATGGTATGCGGGCTTTAATGCCTTCAAAGTCCTTGCCATACTGCTTGACGTAGCAGACACCACCAAGCATCTTGTTAGACATGTACCACTCTGGGTCTAACTCGCGGGCCTTGTCAAGATCGCGTAGCTCGGGAGCTCGAGCTTGCCAGGACGTGCCGCACATTGTTATGAGGTCCACAAGCTGATCAAGACAGTCATGACGGTACCCATACAGCTCGGCGAAGATAGCAAAGACAGTGATGAAGTTCATATCGAGCCTTTCAAAGAAGTCGACATCGTCGAGGATCTGTTGTCCCGCGCTTGTCTTACGTAGTTCTTGTAGAACATACGCCTTTGCAGCGCGAGCCTGTTGCTCGATCGAGAGACTGTTGCTCATATTGCTTGTTGCAGCAAAATAAGCAGGACCTGGAGGAAAAAATGAGGCAGCTCAACAGCACGCGCCGCAGTGTTCGGTACTTTGCTTTTGAAGGCAATTGGTAGCTCCCCACCTAGATCCGAGCTCGTCGGCCACAATCTCGGTCAAATACGGTTTGCCTATTCGGTTAGAACACGCTCTTTGACACAAGATCAAGGCTACGGCAGCGGACTTGCTCACAGCTGGGGGAGCTGCTGGACAGACGACTGCTCTTGGAATTCTGCAACACAACTGCAGCTGAGCTTCCCATGCTTTCTTCGTAACAAAACGTATGCCGTCGTGGAGAAATCGGGGATGACCACCCCGCAGATATGCACGATGGCGATGTCATGCAAGCGCTTCCGGGCTCCATTGACACGGCCCCTTAGCTGAAAATGGGCTTAGCACGATCTCTATAAGGGTGATTGTCGGGCCCAAGCGAGGGGAATTTGGCCGTCTGCAGGCGGCAAGTTTGGCCGAGTACCAAGAACTGACCGCAGCAGTGTTGTAGACGAGAAACCACAGTTCGATTCCGCTCATCTTGCGTACCTAGTACCTTGAGTGACACCGCGAACCCGGGCAATGGCTGTCTGAACGGGTCGTGTCTTGCGGTCGATGTGGCTTTGAAAGGTAGTCTTCATGCTTGCGTACTAAACACATGCATGTCGCGGCACTTTCGTCGCGGCGGCCTCAAGTAGCCGAGAACTTCTCTTGCCGGCCTCTTGTAATTTGCTGTTGTTGTGCTCACAGCACTTGGGATATAGGCTTGATACATTAGAAATGCCCTCTGGGCCAACTTATTGGTGCAGCCTCAGCGACTGGAGTCGCTCGCATCTTCATCACTGAGACTGAGATGACCTGCTCTCATTGCTAGAATACCGTCATCTTCGAGCACACTGCGATCCGGAGACATCATAGGCGACTGCGCGATCTTCGGTCGTGACTTGAAGACGGAAGAGTATTCGACGTTTTCATCGAAAAGCTTTTCTCTGGGCGTGGAGCCGTTGGATCCTGGCGTTTGCGTCCTCCATTGCGCACTCGTCCGGCGAGGTGTCTCGAAGGGATCGACCGGATAGAGCTGTGACACTCGGGAGCCTTTGGACCTGCGTCTGTCGGACTTGAGATCGGAGATGGTGGTCAGGAGGGACATTGACTTCCTCGTGCGTTCCAACAGATTTCCAGAATTATCAACTACGCCAGACAGTGTAGGCTGAGCCTCGGCTTCGTGCTCGTCCACTTCAGCAATCTTGTTGACAGGACTGATCGCCACGTTCTCGATGTCCCGAAGTGCGCCAGCTAGTGACATTCGGGTACGTTCTTGTAAGGTGAAGCGCTGCTTGGGGATCGGTGTCTCGATTGGTGACAAGCCGTCCGATGCCTCGGCCTCGCGTACATGCGAGACGGGAGGCGGAGTCTCGGATGAGTGATCTGGTATAGGCGGGCTTGAAGCCAGCCACGAGCACTCAGAAGGCTCGCCAGAGTCGGTAATCTGCACTACTGGTGTTGGTCGCACACTGATTTCGTCGCTCATTGGAAGGTGCGATCTCTCGACATAGGATGCACTACTCGATTCCTGTTGTGCAAAAGGCCTCGTCGGAGGATTTGCCAAATGTCTGGCTTCGTTCTCGGTCAAATTCTCCTCAAGCGTCGTTGTCTTCGGGCCATGTGTACTCCCTTTCCCCAACGGAGACGGTGAGCTTGTGCGCTTCTGGGGTCTGTCATCAGATCGGCGCATTACGTTGGTTGCCATCTCATTCCTGAAGCGTTGCAAAAGATCGTCGTGGAGTTTTTGTGTTGTACTCCTTGAGCCGCGTCGAGTGTCTTCGGAGACTATAGACGCTTGTAGCGCCCCGTGCCGCTCGAAACGAGGGAGAATGCGTGCAGGTGGGTTCGGGATGGGTGGAGACTTGACTCTTGACTGAATCGATGGCAACGTCTTCTTGAAGGCCTGCAACTCCTTCAGTCGCTCTTCTTGACTGCTGGCAAGACTCTGAAGATTGTGGAGGGCGACTTCAGCACTGCTGTGACTAGCCTGGGAACTCGTTTCTGGTACAGAGCCTCTCAGTAAAGCAGTAACCCATCTACTGTCAGCTGTCCATGCGTCTCTCAAAAGGCGCTCAATATCATCATGTATGCGACTATCAGTAGCCTGATGACGTTGAAGTCGGCCTTTGAGGTCCGCCAGTCGTTCTTTTCTTGCTGATATGTGTCGTTCATGTTCATCTAGCTTGGCGACAAGGCCACGCCTTTGGTCTAGTTGCGCTCCTAAAGTCACTCGATGCGCAATGATGAGAGGGAGACAGGTACGGTCGTCGGTCTCTTCCACGCTGGTGACGCCATCCCTGTGATTCTGTAAGTGCTTCCGCAGGACCACCATGGCAAAGGTCGACAAGAGCTCCTCGAATTTTTCTCCCTTGCACTCATCGAGGGTTGTCTTCCGCAGAACAACATCTCTGCTGAATATGCCCGACTTTTTGGCGTCGGTCAGAACTCGCAGCAAAGCAGCGCGTAGGTTCTGCGACTGGAGATGGCTTTGTGGAGGGAAAAATGGACGAAGTTTCTAGACGTATCAGTAGAACAGTACAACCTCAACATGATAGTACCTACATCGCGCGAGAGCTGTGGATCATACAACTCGAACAGCCTGAAGAGGCTCCATTCAACCGCCCTGACACGTTGCTGAAGATTCTGGGTAGCGGACCGGGTGGAAAACGTCTGAACAGTGATGCCTGGCCAATCATCAAGGACATCCAGATCTAGAAGATGAAGGCATCGGATGAACGTCGAAATGTGACTTCTGCCAGTCCAAGCTCCAGAAGCAGACGTGCCCACTCCTGAAGCAGGCGGGCGTGTTGACATTAGGCTCACCGCATGATCAGACGGCGAGCAGGTTGCTCAAGCGTGTGTAAATGATGTCGATACGCTCTCAATACCCGAAAGACTCCCCCTTTACGTGAAGCGCTAGGAACTCAGCACTGGTTTGGTAGTGCTCATCGGCCCAAAATGTTGCCTAGTCACAGTAGACGTTCAGAGTGAACTTCAAGATGAACGTGTTTGAAGTGGGGTCAGTTTCGAATGGGCAACCAATCACTCGTTGACGAATCAGATGAGCCAGAACTGAGCAGAAACGTCTGCGGCAGTGAATAAACCAGCGTAAGAGTACGAGTATCCTTACTGCGTGTTGCGAATACCTTGCAGTGAGGCGTGGAATTTTATCAGCAGAGTTGGGAGGTAATCTGCAGGTATTTTGTCGGTGAGGCGGCTGCAGCTTCCAATCATAGGCGTCGCGTTCCTGGCTAGCCCCGGTAATTGTATCCTTCGCGGGCCAGATCTTAGCCCGAAGAAAGTGATGCGCGGCGGTACGTCACCGAAGCAGGTCACCGTAAACAGTGCGCTTTGCTGGCGTTGACAATTGTTTGCTCCTTGTTTCCTCAACCAGCAATCCTTCTGTCTTACTCTTTAAATTGAGCGTTGGGTCTTTTGTACCGTGAATTTCTTCGGTCAGCGCAGAAAGTTCCATCAAGATGCCAGAGGCGGTTGATCCCAGCACCCCTCCAACAGAGGGCAAAGTGCCCGAGACCGGTAAGCCTGTAACCATGGAGCCCATGGAAGACTCATTGACCGATGTATAGTTCTACAACAAGTACGAGCTATGCCTCATACTTCGTCCCTTCCGAAGCCCGACCCGTGGTCCGTTCGCGCAGTCTTATCGGAGCTGCCCAATCCGCCACAGGAAAATTCTTCGTCGCCTATCGCATTCTTCCACTACCTCGAGCGCCTAAAGGTTGAGAAGCGCGAGGGCTGGAAACGCTTCGGAATTCTACGTGGAGAGTCTATAGCAGACCACATGTATCGAATGTCGTTCATCACGATGCTTGCTCCACCACCTCTAGCCGCACGCCTGGACATTCCCCGCTGTATGAAGATGGCCCTCGTTCACGATATGGCGGAGGGCCTGGTTGGAGATCTCACACCCGTCGATGGCGTACCGAAGGTGGAGAAGAATCGAAGAGAGGCTGAGACCATGGACTGGGTATCGCAGAGCCTGCTGGGCAAGGTCTATGGAGGGGCAGCTGGCCAGGACCTGCGAGCCGTGTGGCAAGAATACGAAGACAGTGAAACTTTGGAGAGCAAATTCGTCCACGATGTTGACAAGATTGAGTTGCTTCTGCAAATGGTGGAATACGAACGCGCCTACGACTGCACCAAGGACTTGTCAGAGTTCTCATGGGTTGAGAGGAAGATCGTCCTTCCAGAGATGCAGACATTGGCTCGGGAAATAGTGAAAGAGCGGAGTGAGTTGTGGGAGAGCAGAGATAAAAAGCCCAGAGATCCGCCAGCGGCTGCGACCATCAAGGAACAGCACGATGAGTACTATGGCTCGGTGAACGGGCACAATGGTACAACTGCATGAGACATCATAGAGTGATGATACCCAAGAACACGAGCACTTTACGGACAGATTCGGCCGACACTGCTGCAGCTTCGTGCCCTTCAACAATTTGTGACCCCCTGCAAATTTGAGCGGGAGCTCCGCATGCCCGATAATCTGGGTAGACTGTGGTGCCGAGCATGTACACTGCCGTTTAAGTCAGCAGGAAGGCAATATGCGTTTGGCACTATCCATTAGCCGGTCATCAGGCGAGCTTGAGGCATCCGCCAGGATCCGGGAGAACAATGACTATGCCAGCCTGAGAGCGCAAAGCACCTGGGCCGCGTACCAGTCTGTCGACCGGCCCCTGAACAGCGCACCGACCGTGGTCCCTCCACACCGCGTCCAGAACAAGACGAAATGTCTTCTTCATAGAGGCTCACATATGCCCAATGTGAGGCTCTCTCTCAGCACGAGCACCAAAAGGAGGAGGGTTTCTGACAAGCATCGGCAAGCTCGGATAGCGGAGGCTAAGTGGGTCCGCCATGACGATCACTATCAACCGTCTTCCACAGCAGCAGTGAGGCCTCGCCCTTTCTATGTCAGATACTTCGTATGCTCACCCGCAATCACCGTGGACTTATCCTCCAAGATGATGGAACCGCGATCTTCATTCGTCGTGAACTCGCTTATGCATACTCTCACCTCTTTCATGTGACCAACACCCCCGGATATCGGCTCCTCTGCTGCAATAACAGGCGGGTTGTCCACGTTCTTGCTTACCATACGTGTCTCGATGCGGTCGCGTGCCACCTCGGCTGTGGCGTTTAAGCTGCCCGAACAGATCCCAGAACAGCATCTCTACGGGTGCGTCGGCGATTGTGGTAATGGCGAAAGCCGTGGCTCTTCCGTTGTGGTGCATTACTCATGGAGCTGATTCAATGGTGATGTGAGTGTCACAGGTACCCCTTCTCATATCAGTTGGTGGCTCCTGTTAGTATCGTTTTTCCTTCCCCCTTTCGCCGAGCCTTTGCATCTTTCTTCCTTTGGCGATTGAGGTGTTCGAGCGAGACCTGCACCACTTCACAGCCAACGGCCACGAGTGAGACAAGGGCTCGTATCTCTGATAAGAGTCTTGCAGCTTGTTGCGAATAGGATGGGGGCAGGTGCGGTGAGTTGAGGACAACGTCCACCCGAACGCACAACACGCGACTGATCTTGCTTAGTACCTTGAGCCACTGGTGGTAGTGATCCTACTTTTTGGCGGAGCCTGGATCAATAGATCCAGGGATAATGTCTTCTCTGCTACTCCTGTGCGTTGGCGCAGTGCGTACGACCCGTTCGACCCGTTCAGCAAAGATGAGAAAGATCTTGACATAGACAATGCTCGTCTCACTGCAGCGAAGCGATCACTTTCTCCCTCCCTGCTATCATCGCAAGAAAGCAAGTGGCGCGACCGCGAGATCTACATCTTCGGATATAGAAGAGTGGTGCAGACTCCCAATACTGCTGTCTTTCGCAATCGCTTTCTGAGCAGAGTGTTGTTCAAATTGCCCTTTCTAGCCGAGGCGTGGTACTGGGCCCTGATTTATTGGGTATACCAGCTCGGTCGGGCGTTCACAGCTGTGACAATTGTCGAAGGAACAGTCCACGTTGCCCGCAAACACGCATTGCAACTTATCGAAATTGAGAAGCGATGGCACGTCTTTTGGGAGCTCCCGATCCAGCAGTTCTTCATGTCGTACCCGACGCTGATGAGGTCGATCAATTGGTTGTATTCATTTATCCATATTCCCGGAACGATTGCGTTTCTAGTCTGGTTGTTTTACTACACCATAACCAGCAACCGGCGTCATGTGCAAGGCTGTCAGTCCGTCGGCTCTCCGGCAGGCCCCTCACTATACGAAGCTCGCCGCAGGACCATGGCTGTCTGCAATCTGTTGGCATTCGTCGTTTTCACCCTATGGCCTTGTATGCCTCCAAGGTTGCTGAGTGACCCCGAGTATCAGGGTGCTGATGCAATTCTGGCACAGAGCTACGGCTTCGTTGACACAGTTCATGGTGCGGAAGGTGCCAGCAGTGTCTGGACCCAGAACAAGTTTTGCAATCAGTATGCTGCCATGCCGTCACTGCACTTTGGCTACTCGCTTTTGGTCGGCATTACGATAATGACCATACCAATGGCGCCAACCCATCGACGTTCGCGAGCGATTCAGCTTCCTCTCTTCAATCAGAGCCACCCGGATCTGGCACCCCGCATTCGTCTGCCACCAGCTAGGCGTCTGGCATGCATTGCAATAGGCTGCGCATACCCAACAGCAATTTTGGTCGCTATTGTTTCAACTGCAAACCATTTCATCCTGGATGCCGTTGCTGGCGCACTGGTGTGCTTCATTGGTTGGAATAGCAATAAAATCCTGCTCAATTTGCTGCCCATCGAGGATTATTTCTTGTGGTGCGTTAGGATACATAAACCCAGCCACCGGCTCTCTGAAGCAGCGGCCCACGAGAAGAGGGCTGGATGGAATCCGAATGGCAACGCCGCAGCTGTCAGGTGAGCCTGGATAGGTGACCATCATAGCAATTCATGAACTCCTTTTTCAGCATCATATCCGCGCCGGATGCCCGGCTAAGAGGTGAGAAGGCATTCGGCACCTCAGACGATGGCAATTGTATAGATGGGGTCCTGCGGGAGTCACGGCCTATATCGCAGGCAATTGTGGTTCTGGAATCGAATCAGCTACTCAGAGCCGAGGAGGGAGTTTCTGCCTGAGGGCGGTCGATAATCTGCATCAAGGAGAGGCAACAAGCAAGTTATGGATGCATAATGCATAAATTCGCGATGGCTTTGCTTTTTTATCATGGGAGCTCAACAATATAAGACCAACGCAATCCCGGATGAAGCTTGACGTGTTCTATCTGTCTGTGCTTGTCTCCTTCCTCAATTGAGCCTGTGATCATGTTTATTCTCTGAGCTGTAGAAGCTTCTGCCGCAGGCCGACTGAACCTACTACAGGTGGCAAATAGAAGGAGGCTGGTAGCAAAGGCTTCATGCTTTGCGCCCGTGAAGCCGGTGACAACGCTGAGGGGATGCCAAGATTGCAACTCCAAAGAGAACTTTCTGAGGCCGGCAGCGCAGTGTTCAACTTGACCATCCTCCGCATCACCAACACCCGCACCACCGCGTCCGCATATTGCTCACAATTTCTTTCCTCCCTACTCAATCTATCTAGTAATTGCTCATCAGGTAAGCCGCAAACCTCTTTGGAACCATTCCCTGCTTCTGCTAGACCATCGCCGCGCTCCGCGATGCTCCCATTGGAGGTGGCAGTACGCGACAGTGATAGCTCGACAATACAATGTCGCACGAACATGTGCCATATACAGTCGTGGTCGCTGCATCGAGCTCACTTAGCTAACTCATGGAACTAGTGCTTGTCGCGCTATCGCGCCTGACGTGGATCGCGCGCCTCCTTCAGCGAAACCCCGGCATAGCTCAGCATGGCCTCCGAAAACCCGCTTCCGGATAGCAGCTTGCCTGTGAAGGTCGCTGAGCCGGATCTCAGCGCGCCGCCGTCTCTTGCCGAACCTGCTAGTGGTCCTGCTGCGGCCATACCTGGAGCCGAGGGCAACGCATCAGTTGACAAGCCCGCTGCCAAAGGCAAACCTCCCTGCAACACATTTCAACTGTTCTGTGCTAACTATAAACCAGCTCCTGAGCCTGCTGTGAACGGTGCGAATGATTCCGCGCCTCAAGAAGCTCCTGCCGACGCGCCTCCGCCGCCCTCCAAAGAGTCGGCAGCTGATGGCGCCGCGCCCTCCCCAGCCGAGCCAGCTTCAGAAGAGTCGGCGCCAAAGACGGCCGAGCAACCTGCGCCAGAGTCTACCGCCGATGAGACCACGGCCGATGCCAATGGTACACCTGGTGCCAAGAAAGGCTCCAATGGGAAGAGAAAATCTGTGGTTCCAGAGCACAACAAGAAGCTGAACAAGAAAAAATCCGCAGCCAAAATCACGCATCTCGATGCGCAGCCCGGAGATTATTATTTCGCGCGTCTCAAGAGCTACCCGCCGTGGCCTGCTATCGTCTGCGACGAGGACATCCTGCCCAGCACCCTACTCAACACGCGGCCAGTCACCACCAAGAAGGTCGATGGCACCTACAACGAGGCCTACGCTGATGGCGGCAAGAAGGTCTCTGAGCGGACGTTCCCGGTCATGTTCCTACATACGAATGAATTGTGAGATAAAGCATTCCAACAGTGTGATAACGCAGCTGACTGAAAACTAGTGCCTGGATTCCCAACACAGACCTAGCTGACCTGGATCCGGAGCAATGCAAGAACGCGTCGGAGAAAGGCAAGACCAAGGCTCTCGTGGCTGCTTACGCGGTCGCCGCTGAGAACCATGATCTTGACCATTTCAAGAATATGCTGGCTGAGCACGCCAAAGCCATGGAGGAGGACGAGATCCGGAAGCACGAAGAGCAACAAGCGAAGCTCGAGGCGAAGAGCAAGGCAAAAGCAGACAAGAAAAAGCGCAAGAGCGAGCCCAAGCCAAAGGCCGCCGACGATGACGAGGATCTTGAGATGGCGGACGTCGATGATTCTGCAGAAGTCAAGAAATCGTCAAAGAAGCGCAAGAAGGTCGCCGATAGTGATGATGAAGCGGTTGAGAAAGTGCGTATTTCTGATTCCCCCGGTATTGCACAGATTCTGACTGACTAGCCTGCGAAGACTCCCAAGACCAAGCTGAAGCTGACGACCAAGCCACAAACTGCTGAAAAGCCGGCCAAAAAGCCCGCGAAGAAGACCGAGAAACGCAAATCCAAGGCTGCCGCCGAGGATGTTGAGGATATGCCCGATGCGCCAGAGGAAGAAGAGCCACCTAAGCAGCTCGATCCTGCTGCGCAGAGGAAAGCTCGTGAAAAAGAAGGTCGGTTTATTCCCGCGCTCGCTGAGCCGAAACTGACCCTTGACAGTTCTGTTCCTTCGTCATAGACTTCAGAAGGGCTTCCTGACCCGTGACCAAGCTCCTCAGGAGGACGATATGCCTCAGATGTCTCAGTATATCAAGAAACTTGAAGACTATGAAGATCTCGAAGTCAGCATCATCCGCACCACCAAGATCAACAAGGTTTTGAAGGCCTTGATCAAGCTTAACACTATCCCCAAAGATGAAGAGTTCGCCTTTCGGAAGCGCTCGGTGGATCTTCTGAGCAAATGGACCAAGATACTTGGTGCAGAGCCGCAGGAATCCGAGGATAAGGAGACAGCCAAGTCGACCCCTGCAACAAATGGTGTTCACGAGAACGGTGCTGGGGAGACGGAGGAGGCCAAAAAGGACGAGCCGGCTCCGGCAGCCGAGCCTGAGCCTGAGCCAGCTGACAAGACACCGGCTACTGAGCAGAAGGAAGAGCCAAAGCCAGCGGAGCCAGATGCAGCCCCCGCCACTTCTGAGGAGAAGCCTGCTGAAGCTGCTGCCCCAGCTCCTGCCCCAGCGGTCGAAGAGCCCAAGACGGAGGTTTCTGCTGCTACTGCTGTCGAACCATCCACCAGCGACAAGGCGCCAGAGTCGGCCCCGGGCGCGGCAGAGGCCATCGACACCGTCAAGGCCAGCGAGTAAGCGCTACCAGACAGAGACTAGGGACAGGAGTTTGGAGGGCGGCCAAATCACGAAATGGCTATGAGTGGCCAGGCGCGTATGAGACCAGGAGTTTGATGCGCGACGGAGGCAAAAAGGTTCGAGACGAGGTGAGGCCACGAGAGCGATTGATGATGAATCTGCGAACTCAGTCCTTACAGACACAGGTGCCCCAACATGATCATAGTGACGAAAACATTTTTGCGGGCGGGGCTGGCATATGGAATCTTGTAATCTAGAATTACTGGCGATCTTGGTAGCGCAGTGTCTATGATCAGCAATGGAAAAAGTTGCATCGAAGCTTGCTTGCACCTCTGGCGGTCGGTGTTTCCGCCTCGCAAGCCCGGTCGTTCAGGCGAAAAGGCTTTGATACCAGTTCACGGACACCATCCAACGTCAAGCATGATGAGCGTGTGTACGACACTGGCATCGCTGTGCGACGCGAGCCGCGCTCTCTCGACAACTGTCCAGCATCATTGCGTCTGGACTAGCCTTACTAAGACACGGCGTACAACAGGCAAGAAATGTCCAGGTTGGTACCAACGGAGCTACCTACCTCGAATCTTCCCACAGCAGGCTGGTCTAGACGAGACGAACAATTGAATCATGTTGCCACCCTTCTGTTCTGGATTGCGCAGGCGAGACTCGCAACATCTGCATCTGCAACTGCGCCTTTGTCCGATCTTCGAGCACGGATCACAAGAACAGGACCGCATTCTTGAATCATCATACAGAATCGTTCGAGGCCAATTGGGCAACAAAGGGAACACATGGCGCGCAGCTCAAAGAACCACCCGTGCTAGGCTTATCGAGTTAAAGGATGTCAAAGTACTCCCGACTATTCTAGGCTACATACTGAGGCATCGGTGGCCAACATTAGTGACAATGCGGCTTCAAGGACCTGATTAGTTGGCTACCTCCGTTGTCGTCTCCCTTCCTCACGGTATACTGTTGTTGTCGTTATTCGACACCAATTGAACGGAGCAGCTTCCTAACAGCCATCGTACGAACTTAAGAACAATACCTCTTCGGAAGTCAACGGCCCTTGACGACCGTGAGGGCTCGAGGCCGCCTGAACGCGCAAAGTCCTCAAGATGACTCCGATCCAGTCACCCACGAGTCCGACTTTTGACTCTTATCCGAGTACACCGCTCACACCAACCTTCGGCCATCATCTGAAATCAAACATGAGCTCGCCGCTGGCGAGTCCCACCTTGAAGCTGGTCACGACGTTTCCTTTCCAGCCGATAGTACTGCGGTCGCCTATACCGACTAGACCTCCTCAATCCAGCGTCTTGAAACCCACCCATACACGCAACGCCTCCAGTGTTAGCACGAGATCATTCCCATCGCCGGCCGATGACCTGTTCCATCGTATTCCAGATACACCAAGAACGCCTGGTCCGAATGTCTCTTTCCAGTCTCTGCTAAGCTCTGGCGGCCCGGCTAGAGAAGACGGAAGGCAAAGCAGAATGGCAATGCGAAGTCCGATCATTGAGCGGGTCCTATCTCTACCTTTGAGAGTGAACTCCACTGCCCGCACGCCATATGCAGAGGCAAGTTCCGCGGTCTCATCAAACCTTGTTAACCCTAGTGAACGACTCGATGAGGACATGAGCATTACCTCCCCATGCTCTGCTTACCTGCCAACACAGCCATTCACGACCGTCATTCAGACCTCCGTGCCACCGCCGCGTCGGTCACTGTCTCACTCACGGACCTCATCCTCCTCTACGATTCAAGAGCCCTCCCGCACGCCGATTCGCAAGGCCAAGCGATCCCACTCCCCTCCGCCCCGTTATCACATGGTCCTCCGCCCCTCCCTCGCCTCCACTCTCAACAACGCAACCCCCTCACGACCAGACCACTACCCTTTCGCCAGTGCCGCCCTCCGAACGGCGTATCACAGCGTCATCACCCACCTATCCACCACGCTGGTCCCCCTCATCAGCGTCAGCACGGGCCTCCCACACCCAGAGTTCCCGCGCAGCCTTCTGCAGTACCACCTTCTCACACACGCACAGCTCGACAGCCTGGCGCGCTGGTACCATCAGACCGAGCCGGCGACCGCGGAGAGCTGGCAGTATCCGGCGATTATCCCGCCGTTTACGAGCGCGGCGCTCTCGATGGCGCTTGGGGACGGTGCTAACAGCAGCGCGTTTGACAACGTGAGTCTGGAGACCAAGCGGCGGAGGTGGGGGCGATTCATTGGCTTGAGGGGCTGTGAGAGCCCGACCGAGGAGGGCGAGGATGTGTTGGAGAGGATGGAGAGGGATTGGTGGCGGGCGAGGGAGAGGGCGAGGGAGGAAGAGATCGCGCGGGAGAAGGGGTGGAGGGGTCGATGGTAGAAGATCGTGGCGGGTTGGGGTGGATGGGTGGTCGTTTGAGCACCCCTTTAGACCAGAGGAGATTCGTCGTGATCTGGCTGCCCCACGCGGTCCAGTGACGCTGCATGGCTATTTTGAGTACCTCGTGGGGTACGGGGGTGGATGGGTGGTCGTTCGGACCCCCCTCCCCCCCTCGAGCCCTACCGGCGCCTTCGTGACCTCGCTGCTTCATTAGCGATATGTAGGGATGTGACATTAGAGCGTGACGTTTTAGCAAGTATCAGAATGTCTGATTCCTTGAAGAGTCAGAAGTTTGTGGGGTACGGGGGTGGGTGGGTGGTCGTTTGGACCCCCATCCCCCCTCGAGCCCTACCGGAGCGTTGGTGACCTCGCTGGTTCGTTGTGGATATATAGGGATGTGACCTTAAATCGTGACACTTTAGCAAGTAATGGAACGTCTATTTTCTCGAAGTGTTAGGAATTTCTTGCACGAGCTGAGTGGTCTGAACCAAAGATCTGCCATCAACTTCGGTACATGAGTACCTTCCTTCTGAGTACCTTTCTTCACACCACCTTCAGCCGCTTGCTCTTCTGCCTGACTCACAGACCCACGTCCACGAGCAATATTCATATAAAAACCTGTCCACACTGTTTGCGAAACCCAGCGTGGCAGTTCGCGACCTTGGCCCTCGCGGAAGCCCGAATAACCAAATCTGGCGTCATCAAAGTGACCAGTTCGTAATGCAAGAGTTCTCGCGATAAGAAACCAACTATGTTTTCGGATCGAGGTTGCTACCTGACCTTTGGGCAGCAGCAAACGAATGACAGACATTGCAGCAGCCACGATCGGAGCCGTTGTGCATTACCAACGGGGTCGGCTATTGGAGTGGCCCAGAGGCTCGTGAACGATTCGACACATTTGGACGTACGAAGAACATTGTTAAGAATTGGTGTGCGAGTTGCTGAGTGCAAGGCTGAAACAAGAGAACACAAGGCTGTGGTTGTCATGGTGTCATGGCTCAGATGACGCTTGACTACTGCCTGGACGTGGGCCACTTTCAGGCCGCATATAGCTACAGGATAGCTATCAAAACACCGTTTACTAGACTTTTGCTGATAACCCTTTTTAAGTGTGTCGTTGTGTCCAGGTCAAACCGTTTCGCTCGCTTTCCAAGATGAAGCAAGCTTCGCTCCTCCACCTTGCTGTCGCATCGGCCGCCGCTGTCTCCATCGGCAGCCGTCCGCAGGCAGACCAGAGCGTGCTCGTGCCTCATGAGCAATTCCTGATTGAGCTTTCTCCCGGAGAGACAAGATGGATCACCGAGGATGAGAAGTGGTCGCTCAAGAGAGTATGATGCTCGCGACCATTTCCACAACGGCGCTGACTGATACAGGAGGGCGTCAATTTCATGGACATCACAGACAACGGCCACACATACCCTTACATCACGGTCCAGGAGCAGGTGACCGTCACATACCCCGCGAAGCCAGCGTACAATACCACAGTGAAGAAGCTTCAGAAGGACCTGGAGAAGAGTAATATGCGCAAGCATCTCGAGAAGTTCACTTCGTTCCACACCCGATACTACAAGAGTGATTACGGCAAGCAGTCGGCGGAGTGGCTATATGGCCAGGTCAGTGACCTCATCAAGGAGTCTGGAGCTGCGAAGCACGGCGCCGATGTGTACAAGTTTGATCATCCATGGGGCCAGCCCAGCATCATTGCACACATCCCGGGTAAGAGCAACAAGACTGTTGTGATCGGCGCGCACCAGGACAGCATCAATTTGTTCCTCCCCTCGATCCTGGCAGCGCCGGGTGCCGACGATGACGGCAGCGGCACTGTCACCATTCTCGAAGCCCTGCGCGTTCTGCTCACGTCCGACGACATCGTGAAGGGCAAAGCACCTAATACGATCGAGTTCCAATGGTATAGCGCGGAAGAAGGTGGCCTGCTCGGCAGCCAGGCGCTGTTCAAGTCCTACGCCGAGACGGGCCGCGACGTGAAGGCGATGATCCAACAGGACATGACTGGCTACGTGCACAAGACGATCGAAGCTGGCGAGCCCGAGTCTGTGGGCGTCATCACCGACTTTGTGGACGAGGGCCTCACCGAGTTCATCAAGGAAGTCGTTACCGAGTATTGTGATATCCCTTACGTGCTGACCAAGTGCGGCTATGCTTGCTCCGATCACGCTTCGGCGTCCAAGTACGGATATCCAAGCGCGTTCGTCATTGAGAGTGACTTCAAGTATTCGGACAACAAGATTCATACCACAGAAGACAAGATCGAGTACTTGAGCTTCGACCATATGCTGCAGCACGCGAAGATGACGCTAGGGTTTGCTTATGAGATGGCATTTGCGAAATTCTAGTGCAGCTACTATTGAAATATATGGATGGCTGTTTGTGTATAGAGCATTTGATAGCCATAGTACTACGAGGTAGACCACGCTTAGAAAGCTCGTCGGTCGTAATTTTCTCGCTCACAGGTCCTGCTCTGCGGGTCCATATCTGACCCATTGTCCTCGCCAGGCTACTACACTGGCACTCCTCTGCTAAAAAGATCGCGGCTTACGAGCTGCAAGCCAGCATTTTTGGCTGGCGCCTGTTTGTATGTGGAGGCCAAGTTGGTACGGACCCGTAGATCTTCTCCATTCTCATGGCGGTGACCCCCGCAAACATCGGAGAGGCGTGAGATGGGATTGGTCGGGCCCTTCGACGCCTCACGACCACTTGCATCACAGCGCTCTCACGTTGCAGAGAACCAAGCTAAGCTCCGCCCCCCGTTTCATGTGACAGGCGTCTGTTCCCCAGAAAGTTGATCACGAGGGACCAACTATTTATTCATCGGGCCAAGCGAACGAGGTGGAGAGAGTGGCACAGAACCCGCTATTCCCAACGATCATTCTTTCTGCCAAAAAGCTGAGCGACGTGAAAGCCCCTCTTTGCACCTTCTCCAACCCTCAATCCGTTCTTCTGTAGTTATTGCCTGAGGGAAACGACTGCCCGAAGAGAAAGAACCCAATCTGAACGACTGATAGATAGACAGACGTACTGAGGTTGCAGGACTCACATCGACCAGAACACATCCCTCCACAGACCGCCACAATGGCAGTCTCAGACTGTTCGTTCTTCCCCGTTCCCCACCGTTCACGGTCTTCCAGCATTACCCAGCATGTACCACGCTGAGGTCCCCCATCACTACAATTCCTCCAGCACATTGCTGACCGCCTATGATGTCACATAGATAACCCGTTCGCCAAGCGCTCCGAGTTCACGTCCCGGAACTTGTACGCGTACAAGATCCTAACCATCATCTCCTGGCTTCTACTCGTCGTGACAGGAGCTCTGTACACCTTCCGCCGCCCGGGCGATGGCACGCACCACAACCGCAAAATCTGGGAGATGAACCACATGTACGCCACGCCCTTCTCCCTGAACGCCATTGTCACGAGCATCTACTGGGTCGTCACCTTGATCTTCCAACTGAACTACATCCGCTTCCTGTGGAGCTCGGACACGACCTACCTGAACAGCAGCGCCAATGTCGGAAGCCACTATATCCTTGTCAGCAGCACTCCTTTTTGTTCCTCCTGTGATCTCCTCACTGACCATCCCAAACAGAACAACCTCATGCAATTCGGCTTCATCATGTGCTGGACGCGCGGCCACTTCTGGCCCGGCGAGGTGATCCTCATCGCCAACCTCTTCAACCTCACCTCCCTGTATTTCCGCCACTCAGGCACCCCGCTCTGGATTCACGCCCCTGTGGTCAGCTTCCCCTACGCTTGGAACTACGTCGCGATCCTGTGGGACGGTGCCGCCGCCGTGCACGCCCACAGCCTGCCCGCGCGCATCCTCGCCAACATTGTTATCTGGGGAATCCTCGTCCTTGGCGGGTTCTTCCTCGTTGTCTTCAAGGACTGGACTATGGGCGTGGCATTTGCCATTCTGAGTCTTTGTGAGTCTCTTCCTTTCCCCGCTTTACGTCCATCTATCATACACTTTCATGCCCCCTCTTCCTCGCAACGACAAGAAAGGCCACGTTTGCTGACGGAGGTGGAAATCTACAGCTCTCGCACTTTCCCAGCTAGCGACAAAGGTCATCGCCTTCCAGTGGATCTTCGCATTCGTGATTATGGGCGTTCTATTCCTGGGTTCGGCTGTTGTGTCGGCGCCCGGTCTGTTCGCACAGGATCGCAGCGTCAGACAAGAGGGCGCGGTGGTCAGTGAAGATCGCGAGCGAGAGCCATTGTTGAACGCTTGAGAAATGATCGGTGGAAATGAGGTGGGAAAGGATCTCAGCGGTGGAGATGCAAGCCGGGGGGGGAGGCGACAGGTGCGGAAACGAAAGCATGCGAGATCGAGCCGGAAAGGTGCGGCGGTTCGTGTTTTTCGACGTGTGGGAGAAGAGCTGGTGAACGGCTGTTGGAGATGGAAATCACGGTAGACGCGTTCGAAGTGTTCGCATTTACAATTGCGTACTTGCATTGGGCAGGGTAGGTAAAGGCAGGTCGCAGACACGACTCTCACTTACGTCATGGCCGGTTCCGACCATAGATAACACACACTCACTAAGCGCTGCTTGCTTCTGCATGGGATGGGAGCAGGGAGGAGGGGACATATTGGCGTTAGACGGGTTGCGTTCTTATGTGCTGCGCTCCTCAAGTTGACATACCAGCTACATTACCAGGTATATAGCTGACGATCTCGTACTAGTACAATTCCCAAGCACCCAACTGGCATTCGGCGTCTACATGTATGCACACTTGGCCTATTCGTAATCCTCCCAATCTTACCGGCCAGTTCGGCTGCCTATTCCTCCCTCCCTTCTCGCATCCTTCCAGCCCTGCAGATTCTCTCGAAACGCATTCATCGCAACCGCCAAACACAGGACCCCCCCGTCGGCGCCGGTGGGCCTCGGCAGAAGCGCATAACTCTAGCCGCTGGTACCACAGGCACCGTCACTGGCACCGCAAGCACAGGTCGGTGCACCGTGATATTCACCTCATAGCGGTTTGTGGTGGCTGGTGGAGGAGACGGCGAAGATGATGATGGGTTGTACGTATACGTTGAGGGCTCGTCTGAGCTGGAGCAGGAGCTGGTGGAGCAGTTGGCGATGAGTGGGTGTTTTTGGGAGGCGGATGAGTAGTCGTAGTAGGGTTGTGGCATTTTGTGGTGGTGGTGAGGTCTAGAGTTGTGGGCTCAATTGATTTAAAAGCTCAGAAATTGGGGCTTGGAAATGGTCGTGGTTGTGGTTCTTTGGGGACGGAACTTTAGATGTGGTTCTGGCTTTTGTATGGGAGTTGAAAACGGGCGGTATGTGGAGGTGGAGTGTCTGGGGAGTGTTTTTTATAGCTTGGGAGGCACTCTTCAGCGGGTGATGTGTTCCCTTGTTTAGTGGCGCAGGAGGATGGGCGGTATCTTTGGGTGAGGGAGGGTCTGGGACGGTCGAAAGGAGGTAAACTGAAATGTGCTGTTGCGGCTGGATTGACAATCATGGGCATAGCAGCTACACCCTCTGTGACGGCCAGAGGTGGCATGTTTCACCCGTTTCTGGTTGCAGTGATGCGCAAGACTCTCACTGAAGAAGGTCCTTCAAGCTCTCCGGTAGCGCACATTTCTCGATGCAAGCTCCGATGCTTTCCGCCATGACTTTAGGGTTCTGCGTGCTTTCCACATCATCTTGCTTCTCGGCTGCTTTGCTAGTACGATCAGCAGTCATGGCAAGGTAGTAGAACGATACGCGTCTGAACGTTACCATCGGGACTTAGCCAAGCTTTGCAATTCGCAATTTGTTCCTGGCCAAAGCTGAGATGAATCTGATCAATTTTGCCCTTGAGCTCCTGTACCTTGACACGCATAGTATGCTAGACACGAGGACCTATAAGATGTGGAGTCACGTGACCAGGCTCTCCTGGTCAGGGGCTTCGATCGGGTTCTCAGTAGGGTGACCATGGAGCAAACACATTGTCGACATAGTATCGGCGACTGTTGTGGAACGGACAATAAACCTCTTTTATAGTGCTCGGAATTTCGATAACGGTGGCAAATGTATGCCCATGGGCACGGTGTGTCCATACCACCGGCTTCGGTAACCAATTGAATACGCACAATTTGTGCTCGGACTTGAGCCGTGTATTATATGAACATATACTGTCCCAAGCTTGGTAGACTTAGTTTGGGTCAGTGAGTGACAGATGGCATGCTGCAGTAGGCAGAAACATAGACACAAAGTGTTCCCATTCACTACCTACGTCTTGGCAGCTACCTAGGGCCACGTCCAACCCTCCGCGACAACAACCTCTTCCCAATGCCATCACCGCAGAGACACATCGAGCAACATCAAAATTGTATGAGCCTTAATCCTCTGGATCCCAGTGAAGATGGCTTTCTCGAACCAAAACCCTGACTTAGTTCAAAATTGGGCTCCAGCAAAGCTCGCACCCAGGGAGAATTCTCTCAGACGAAGTCGGCTTGATGACGACCTGAATTATTCTGGAGCACATTCTCAGACATCGGAACTACGAAACGAGACCTCAGTACAAGAGCCTATCCCAGCGCTGAACAGGAACCGATCCCAACAGCGTCCCACCCTCCACTACCATACTGAGACCTTTCGCAGCCCAGCCATTCCCGACACCGATCCTTCCACCCAAGACGACTCTCCCCACACTGGGCCTTCAATTTGCGACGGCGGGGATCTGCAGAAAGGACTCCATGAGACCAACCCACATCCAGATAAACCGGGTACAGGAAGCACGTTCGACGAAAGCTCGGGCAAGTCCAGACGACAAGACCACATACTGCAACCTCTACCGGCGCGTGCTCTGCCCAAAGTAGCTGCAGTAATTCGCTCACCATCTCGTGCGCTCACAGCATCAATATCAGTCGCAGCTGCTCCGTTACTAGGGTCTAGACCACCATCACCCATCACACATTCGCCGCCTCGGTATCCTTCGAGACCAACTACACCATTCCTTCCCGCCGCCAATCGGCTGCTTTCGAGGCCTCATAGAATGCCACTTCCAAGACGAAGCAACTCAGCCGACATGGCAGGTACTCCTTCAAGCACAACATACCAGCAGCCTCAGAGACCGCATGCTTCCTTGATGAGATCTTGGCGCGAGAGACTGGATGAAAAAGAAGGTCGCAATCCAAGACGGGCTCGTTCTACTCTTAGCCTTCACTCGAGGCTGCCTTCACTTACCGAGGATGAGGTAGTGAATGAGCGAGGTGTCAGCAGCCATGGTGAAAACGTTGATCCAGTCAATCCACGCTCCACGTCACCTGCCACGCCTCATGGCTTCACTGGCGTTATGCCTCGATTTTATCCCCTTGCGGCTGGGTTGGCCACTCTGCCTCCAACTCCGTCAACTCTTGTCGTGCTCTTTCCCGGCGACGAGAAAGAGCAGTTGCGAGCACGCATCGTGCTTGCAAGCCAAGAGTTGGCGGACAAAGAGGAAGAGTTGGCGAAGGAGAAGAAGCAGGCGGCCGAGGCGAAGGCTAGCGCGGCGAAGGAGATGGAGAAATTGAGGAGAAAGTTGAAAGAGGCGGAGGAGAACAACAGGCAGCTGAGGGAAAGAGTGGCGACGATGACAAAGGATGGGGAGAAGGAGAAATGGTGGAGCTAGTAGAGCTCTAGGAGTTAATGTGAAGTAGTGAATAGACCATACTTCATGTGCAGTTTTCATTTCTTGCCATCACTCACAGGTTTTCAATTTCTTTTTTTGTGTTTGTTCCGTCGCGGCTGCTCTATATTTCGCAGACTCTTACAACAACGTCGTTCGCCACAATCAGTTGTCCTTGAGCTGCACAATGCTAACTTTGTCACCATGTTTGCTCATCCAGCTGTATCGGCTTCTTGTGACATACGAAATACCCTCTTTAACATTCCTGCGCTCCAGCAAGGCTGTGTTCGCGCGAGAGTGTCAAATTTCCAACTAACTCAACTTGTCTTGCGATTTTGCCCACACATCAGCATCAAAATCGTGGCTTCGGATCGCAAAGATGATAAAGGGCAACTGATAAGCCGGGGTGACTTTCCTGCCACTAGCCAACGCAAAGACGACCAAGTTCCTCCCATTGCTCCACTTCCACTTCCACCTCCACCTCCTCCTCCACGCGGCGAGACTCAGGCTGTATCAGCAAACATGCCAGCTCCCAGCAGCCAGTATGATCTCAAGCCCAACCACGTGACATTGGAAGGCACTACAAAGCTCCTGCAACAGGGAAAGCATTCTGCTGCCGCGGATAACATCGCCAGAATCAAAGCTCGTTTCGATGAGAAGGCAGCAGCTCTGGCACGCTACCACGACAAGAGCCTACAGATCATCCGCGATGAGAACAAGGCTCTGAGCAATGAGAACAAAGGCCTCCGCCATGCATTAGCGCAGACCACAAGCACACTCGAGAATAAGGAAGAAGTGCTGTCCAGACTTATGGGTGGAAGTGCTCCCTCGCCTGCAGATCCTTGCGAGTTGTGTGGACGGCTTGGGAACCGCTATGCAGAAGATCTAGGGGAGCGAATGTTTGAACAGGAGCCCAACGATGGGAGTCGAGAGCAAAGTAGCCTGGCGATGGTACAACGTCCACGAAGTGTAGCAGCTGCACAACGCACGGAGATTGACAAACCAATGTTGGGTTTCACACGGTACAACGGCAAGGATTGGGATGACGCGCGGGGTTGCTACGTTCTCGGTACGAAAGACGCTCCTCACCATGCTCAAATTACACACTACCGCAAGAAAGCCCAGGAGCGTATGATCGTCGACAGACCTGAGCCAGGGGATGAAGACTACCTGGCTCAACCTGTCGAGCGAGAATCCATCTACCAAACTGGTGACGGCAGAAACATCATCACAGGAGACCTTAGGGACAACAGAAAGGGCAACAAATTCCCCACCGACCTTGCTGAGACTCCAGCCACAGCTAGCGCTTGGTCTGAAGGACGGGAAGAATGAAGGATGAGCGTCGAGCTGTAGCGGAGGCCGAGGCAGTGTCGAACAAGATCGTAAGCGAAGACGAGACTGATGGGGACGACGGCGATACCGTGGGTAAGGAAACACAAGGTTTCAGTACGTGAGCAACACGACATGTGGTGATTGGATATTCGCGGCTAGGTATCTGGTCTACAAGGTGCTTCCTCAACAGCAGCAGACCTTCGGGACGTATCAGTCCTTCCCAATAACCTTGTTTACCAAATCAACAATCTCCTCCGCTACGCATGTCGGATTATCCCTCTGCACGAAATGCCCTGCCCCCTTAGCGATCACCACCCCCTTTGCCCTCCCCTCCTCCACGAGCTTCACCAACCCTTCATTATACGCATCCCACACCGGCTGCATATACGCATAATTCAGCGCCACCGGCGTTCCCTGTAACCTCAGCCCTTCCTCCGCAAACGCCACGGGATCATGCCCAACCACCGTCAACCAAGCCCCCCTTTCTCCTTCCTCACCACCCCCAATAGGGCCTCGCAGCTTCGGCTGGTCGGCATGCGGCACCAGCGCCGAGACCGTCGAGCGATTGAGCCCCTCTGGATTTGGTACTGACGGGTGGAACATGGCCTTGGTGCGCTCTCGTAGGCCGCGTAGGTCGTCGATGGTGGTACCCTCGGGGAGAGTGGCGGGATCGAAGTCTGCCGCGTCCGGATCAGGGAAAATTGAGACGAAGTCGGTGTTGGAGATGTTGCTGTCGAGGAAGAGGTGCGCGGTGGCTGGATGGGCGGTCGTGGCGTTGTGGAGGCGGGCGAGGGGGACGCCGATGCTGTGGGAGATGAGGATTAGGGTTGGATGGCGGGAGGTGGGGGTCAGATCTGGGTGTGTGGTAAAGGTTTTGCAGAGGAGGGATTCGAGCTCGGCGGCGGCGGCGGAGAGGTCGTGCTGTTCGGCTTTCCAAGGGGAAGGTTTGCGGGATTCGCCTTGGCCGTAGCGGTCGTAGGTTAGGGCGTAAATTGATGTGGGGGAGTTGGCGAGGAGTGGTGGCAGGAGGGAGAGGGTGGGCTGCCAGAGGGCACGGGGGAGCATGAGACCGTTGATGAAGACGAGGAGGATTGGTGGCTGAGAGGGAGTGGCAGCATCGTGGAGTTTGGTGACTGTGTGGGCAATGGAGATGTCCTGGGTATGGGCCATGATGGGCAGGCGAGGCTGAGGGGGTCAGGGGCTCCGTTGATACACTCCGGTGGGGCGGTACCTGAGGATCTCTGTTATGGCAGACAATTCATCTTTCCAACTCGCGTCGATGCTTGAGTAGAACGCGGTCGTACCTAAGATTCTGTACAGCTACTATGGATCTACCGCAATGTTGTGGGCGACTTCAACCCCTACTGAGGAATATGGGCTGCCTGACGATTACCAATTCCAGTGGCCGAAGATTACGCGAGCTGCAAGCCGTCGGGGCCTATGGGTGGCCTCGCTCTTGCTTCATCTACTCAGGCTGAGCAGCTGCAATAGTGTTGTCAATAGAACAGGAGCAAGCGGCGGGCGGCTCGCGGGGGCGGGCGGCGGGCGGCGCGGGCGGGTCCTCCTGATTCACAAATTCGTCCATGTTGGGGTCACGACCACGGCCTTGTACACCACAACACTACAAGCTCGAGTTTCTAATGTACGTTCGGTGATTGGCGGGGAGATCACGGCTGCTGCCGAGTGGACTAAGACGATGACGTTTCGGGGTACTCTGTAACTCCAACTGACCCGCGCAGAAGCCGCAATGCATCATCGCCTTGTCAGCAGAAATGGTGACGCGGTACACGCTATCATTGCCTCACCAGTGGTGAGACTTGGTATATTGTGATATCCACCGTGGCCGTTAATATCCTGAGACTTGCTCAACGAGTGCTTCATTCCTGGGTCTGGCCTTGAAAGTCGTCCGTTTATGTTCTCCCCGCCCGCTCTCCGCTCTATCTTCGCTTCTCGCTGTGCCTCTATTCGATCATTATCTTCGCAGTCTTGCAAACCTACGAACCGGCTACTTGTCCGAAATTTCTCGGCGTCCTCGAACATCATGGCTCAAGAGTGGAAACTGAAGGAGCTGTCGAAGCTCGACCTCAATAACTATGACAAGGTTGAAGCAGAGGTGGAGGGCATTGAGGGGGGAAAGGTCGTTATTGTCAAGGTCCAAGATAAAATCCACGCCTTGAACGCCAACTGCACTCACTTTGGAGCTCCTCTGAAAAACGGTGTCCTGAGCCCGGATGGTCGCTTGACTTGCCCGTGGCATGGAGCGTGTTTCAATGTGTCCACCGGTGATGTCGAAGATGCACCCGCACCTCACGCACTGAACAAGTTTGATGTCTTCGAGAAAGATGGAGGAGTTTACATCAAGGGTAAAGAGGCCGATATTAAGGGCGGCAAGAGAACAGTCAACATCAAAACTACCCCTCAGTCAGACGAGAAGGTAGTCATTGTCGGAGGAGGCAGCGGTGCTTTCGGTGCCATCCTCAAGCTACGAGAACTCGGATTTAAGGGCAAGGTTACTGTCGTCGGACAAAAAGGCTATCCTATTGATCGCACCAAGCTCTCCAAGGCCCTCATTACCGATGAGACCAAGTTGTACCTGAACCCACCAGAGTGGTACGCTGATGGCTCGATTGACTTCGCCAAGGAGGTCTGCGCCGGCGTTGATTTCAGTGGCAAGACTGTCAAGACTGAGTCTGGCAAGTCGTACTCCTACACCAAGTTGATCCTTGCGACTGGCGGTACCCCGAATGGACTGCCATTACCTGGTTTCAAAGATCTATCTAACATTTTCGTCCTCCGAGACGTCGATGATGTCCAGAACATCATGAACGCTGTCGGTGATAAAGGCAAGAAAATCGTGGTCATCGGCACCTCATTTATTGGTATGGAAGTCGCCAACGCACTCGCCAAGGAGAACACTGTCACGCTTGTTGGCATGGAAGACGCACCCCTTGAGCGTGTGATGGGCAAGCAGGTCGGCCAAATCTTCCAGAAGATGCTGGAGAAAAACGGCGCCAACTTCCACATGGGTGCTTCGGTCGACTCAGCAAGTGGCTCTGGTTCCGTGAAAGCAGTCAAGCTCAAGGATGGCACGGAAATCGAAGCCGACCTCGTCATTCTAGGTGTAGGCGTCAAGCCAGCAACCCAGTATCTCAAGGACAACAAGGAAGTCCACCTCGAGAAAGACGGCAGTCTCTCCGTCGACGAGAGCTTCAAGGTCAAAGGCGTCTCAGACGCGTGGGCGATCGGTGACATCGCAACCTATCCCTACAACGGCCCCAGCGGCAACAACACACCCGTCCGCATCGAGCACTGGAACGTCGCGCAGAACATGGGCCGCAGTGTCGGCCAACAGCTCGCTCAGCCCGGCAGCAAGCCCAAGCCATTCATCCCCGTATTCTGGTCCGCCCTCGGCGCCCAGCTGAGATACTGCGGCTCGACACCCAACGGATGGGACGACGTGGTTTTGACCGGCGAGCCAGAGAACAGCAAGTTTGCCGCCTACTACTGCAAAGGCGACACTGTCGTAGCCGTGGCTACGATGGCGACCGACCCGGTCATGGTCAAGGTTGCCGAGCTGATGCGTCGCGGAGAGATGATCAGCAAGAAGGAGATTCAGGGAGGGCAGGACGTGCTGAAAGTCAACCTGTAGAGAAAGCTGTCTTTCTTCGTCAATCCACAAATCATCGTCATCAATTATTGCGCTTGGGTATTTTTTGGTCTCTCTAATCTTCAAGGGCCCCCCGCAATCGAAGACATGACACTGCCGTGCCGACTCCTCGCCAGCCCACCACTCATCATGACCGCATCACCTCCTGCGGCCGCCGCCCGTGACCGCCCCCTGCTCTGCTGCTGCCGCTCAAATTTGTCCTTCTCCTCTTCCAACAGCCGTTGCTCTGCCTCTTCATCGAGTAACGTCCCGTCGATCTGCAACGACCAGCTGCTGCCGCCGCTTGCCTCGTGCGCCGGCGCCATGTCCGTGTCCACGACGCGGAACTTCAGTACGTCGGGTACTTTCTCGCCCTTCTCATCGACAAAGTATCCTGCATCATCGTCCGTCCTCGTGCCATAGACCGGTCCAGATTGCATGCTGGCCGGAGGGTCGTCCGCATCATTGTCCTGGCTCGGCACGACTCCGTCGCCCAAGCGTCCCTTCTTCGCTTTCTTGCGTTGATGCTGCGAGCCCGTCGCGCCCATCCACTGCCAGCCCTTGGGTACCCTGGCCTTGCCGATGCCGGCCTGGAAGTAATTGTATGCGATGACGCCCACGAAACCCTCGCTGACCACATTGGCCCAGCCCGCGAGCTCGTCGTTGTGCTCGGGGCAGAATACCAGCAGTGTGACCGTGAGCCAGGCCCAGGAGGCTCCAAACTCGTCTGCCGTCTTTGCGAGGACGTCGTACGCGTTATGGACGTTTCGCACCGCTGCGCTCGTCGCTGAAGGCGTGGTGAGTGGCGCGCCTAGCCCGTCGCCGGCTCGGGCACTGAGGACGGGATCGGAGAAGGCGAGAACGACGCCACGTGCGGGCGCGAAGTAGTTTAAGAGGAGGGGCGTGATGTGCGTTGCGAGCAAGGAGGAGAGCGCTGAGCTGGGAGAGTGGGCGATGGCGGGGAGGGAGAGGAGGAGGGACAGGCGCGTGGAGTAGAATGGCGAGGGTTTTATGGAGGAGAGGAGATCGGGGTCCAGGACCGTGATGGTGTCGGATGGGATGTCAGTACTGGTGACCGGTGTGGCTGTGGAGAGGGGAGGGGCGTCCAGAAGTTCGATGTCGCTATTATCGCCCGCAAGAACAGGCGCAGCAGCAATGCCGTTGGCGGTGACTACTGATGGCTCATCGCTGGTGTGCTCCGTCGTGTCTTTGGACTTCGATTTCTTTTTCTTCTTTTCCTTCTTGTCCTTTTTGTTTGAGCGAGACTGCGACTCGACTTCCTGATGGGGTGTAGCGAACTCAGAAGCGGGCTCATCTTCTGTTGCGTTGTGTGTACTGTCTTTCACCGGAGTTTCTTCCAAAGATATCGATTTGTCCTTCTTGGATTTCCTTTTCTGTTTCTCGGTGCGAGGTGTTCGGGCAGCATCCTCAGCTTCGTTAACAGCTTCCGCTGCCGCCGCATTGTGAGTTGCGACAGCTGCGGACGCTTCCTCATCCTTTGCGGCAGACGGAGTCTCTTTTCCCTTCCTCTTCTTTGGCGTCTTAGAACTAGAATGTGAGTCCTCGACCTCTAGCGCAGGCGCCGCAGTCGCATCGGTACTCTGGGTTGCCCGGTCGTGCTTTCGCTTCTTCTTGTCAGATGATCGCTCGTCCTTACCCTCATGTTTGCGTTTCTTTGATTTTGACGATGATGGTGTATCTGGCAGAGTGTGAGGTGTTGAATTGCCCAATTGCACTGACATCGTTGCCTTACGAGTGTCTGTGCTCGGGGAATGAAGCGCAGAAGTGATGGATAAAAAAAGTTTCTTGCCGCAGCGAGGCTTCTCTCTTCTCCGCAGCAACTTTGATGCCAAGACTCCAACGCTTGGGGAAGGCCTACCTCTACTAACCATCTACTACTCACCAGGTAGGTAGTACTCTTGTATGTTGCCTTCATCACGGCCAGCTCTTCACTATTAATGAGCTTTAGTTGACTCGAGTGTGTCTGGTGATAACAAGGCGGCAAAAGCGCATAGGCTGTTCAGCACTCGTGAGGCCGTCGAAGGCGCATCAACAAGGCCAATGAAGAGTTCAGCTTGAAAGGCGTCTACATTCACCGGACTAGCCAACTCGCCGCCGCTCACTGGAACAACAATCGTGCTGATAGCTTCGACTCGGATGACCCTCCAGACCACCTCTTCGCGTCCCTCTCTGGCCGTCATGGACTCCCCTTCTATCTCTCTAGCACGTCCGACCTAACCCACAGCATATACACCAAGCCCAGGCCATCGATAGAGTACGATATAATCATATGCCTCCTAGCCAAGGTCCCAAACAACCAATACTCCCCCCCATAATGCCACAACGGCGACGCCAAAGTCAGCATTGTGGCATCATACCACCCGCGAAACCCGGCATCCATGTCCCCCCAGTTCCACCACGTTGCAAAGCGTACAAGCCCACAAACCATGAACCAGGCGCCGAGAGTGCGTGCGGCCAGGTCGGTGAATTGAGGCTGGGATGTCGGCCGGTAACTGTCGCGGCTCATGGCGGGCTGGAAAACCAGGGAAATGTAGGCACCGAACATGAGTACGGCCGTCTGTGGAACGTTTGAGTCAGTCACGGGTTTCGGGGATTCGAAGGAGGTCGTTGGGAAGTCCAAGGCTGAGGGCAGAGCGCCTGGGAGGGAGGGAGAGCAGAGGTTGCAGCACTTGTTCCCGTCGGACTGCAAGCCGTCTCTTCCAACTCCCCTGTCCTGACAGCGGGAACCAGAGACTACAAAGCAGCAAAGAAGGACCCCCCCGGAACGCGAAGTCCGTGGCATACGAAGGGGAGCCACTTACCGCTAGTACAAAGTAGTTCAGGAGGAGGTGCTGACCACCTTCCTCTCCGTCGGTGGCGGCCATGGCAACGTCGTAAGTGACCAGTAGAACTCGAGGCTGATCAAGAATATTCGCGCGGGTGGGCAGTGGGAGAGCTGTTGGAAACAACAATAGGTGAGCAGCGTAGCATCTATTTATCTACTGCACACTGCGTAACGAAATTCTGTGGTGGATAATCTTGGGCTGGGCGTAGTACGGCCGCTCGTATAATCTCTTGACGAGCCTGATTAGGCATACTGTATGCCCTTGCGACTAAGCGTCGTGGTGGATTACTACGCTGCCACCGACCAAGACTTGCTGCCTGTTGGGTTGCGAGGAAAAACCTCGTACGACGTACGTATGCAAACACGGTGGCTAGCTGACAGATATAGATATACCGCTATGCTGGCTGAATCAAAGCACGTACGCCGGTTCGTACGGTAAGGCTACGAACACGGCATTAATACTGATTAAGTGATATGTATAGAAGTTTTAAGTACTACGTATAATTAAGTGATGTACATAGGGGGTTGAAAGTCCATTTTACCCGTCAGGTTGACGTCACGAAGAGCATATGAGCCCCACCGGCCGTTCACACTGTTTCGTCGTCCAGGACGCCATGTTCCTTGCTTCATTGTCCAGCCGCGATGCTTGCCGGCGGCACAAGGAGACTTTCGCGGCTGTGAGGCGATCCCTTGTGGTTGCTTCCTCCAGGGAAGCAAAGAGTCCTTGCTGGCTAAGCACCGCCAATCGCAGTGCTTTCAGCTCACGTCCACATTGAATTCGTCGGTCGACGTCGCAAGGACATCTTCCCAAGACAGCCCTTTCTCCAGAGGTAAGGTCACAGCGCTCTACCACCTGCTGCCCCATCTGCCACCATGTATCGTCCGTCCTTGCCTCTCCTAGAACGCATCTTCAATCGGACAGTCCACGCTCTCGTGCCCATCCCGTTCGCACAACGCACACCACTTGTCAGGATCGATCACTCCCGTGCTCTTTCCAGCCCACATACCAGCCTGCGCGCCGGTGCCCTCAATGGGCATCTTCAGCTCCCGCTTGCTGTCATCGCTGTCATTTCTCGCAGGCGGCGGCGGCGGCGGCAGTTCTGAATCGGGTGGACTGGATGGCGCCGATGTGTGGACGAGGGCGCCGTTTCCCCGTCCGTCACCGTTCGACGCGCCATTTCCAGTCACTGTCTGTACCGAGTCCTTGGTGGACTTCCTGCTCATCAACGGCGCAGGCATGCTCTCGCTCTGCTTGTTGCGCATATGAGACCTGTCGTCCTGCACCGCACCACCGGAGCCCATCATGTTCTTGCACGACAGGATATCGTGCCCGGACTCTTCGCAGATCTCGCACCACGCTGTCGCCGATGACTCTGATGCTTCACTGTGCACCTCAGTATCAGACACCTGGCGCTTGTGGCCTAGTGCATCCTGATCTTCGCCCCCGCGGCCGCCACGGCTTGGGCTTCCTGTTTCCTCGTCCGCATCGTGCCATTGGTTGCCGCTGCCATGCTCCCCAATCTTCGGACTGAGCACGACCGTCTTCTGACTGCCCTGCGTGCCAGTGCTGACGTGCTTGTCCTTGTCCTTGTTGTCTGCGTACCCGGAATTCGGTCTGCTATTGTAGCCATTGCCGCCACTGCGAAGACCGAAAGCCGTATGCCCAGTCATGGGAAATTTGCCGAATTGAACCGAGTTTCTGAGCTTGGTCACTTCGTTCTCGAGCTCTTCTTGATGTGCCGTTTTCTGTTGCAAGAGTGCCTCAAGGTCGTGGATCTGCTGTTGCATACTGAGATGGTTGCCATCCCCATCGCGGAGGTCGCCAGACTCATTCCTCGGAAGGGCGGTTTTGACTCCATTCGCCTTCGGAATGGCGGCTTCGGTGGTCTGCAGAGTGCGGATGATGGCCTTGAGACCCCGGATTTCATCATCCTTACTGTCGAGCTGGCTGTTCATCTCGTCGAGTCGTTCCTGGTCATAGTTGGGACCGCTCTCGCTGTTGCCATACCCGTTCAGCTGTTCTTCAGTCCTTTTCCGCTCCCGTTCGCGCCTGAGCTCACTGCGACTGCGCTCGACTTCCCCCCGTAGAAACTCCACCTCGCCTCGAGCTTCTGCCTCTCCGCGCCGGGCATCTTCCAATCCTTCCTCGAGCTCCTGGACAAGCTCCTCAAGCTGTCTCAGCTGCTGTGCAACGCTATCAACATCCTCGCTACGGTCTTGTAAGTGGCGCACCTCTTCCAGCAGCTCGTCAACGCGTTTTTCGTACACGCGTTCTGTTTCTGTCGACGCCATTTCCAGAGTATCGATCGTTGAGCGAAAGTCTGCGCGATTATTATCGAACTCTGCCGTGAGCAGCTTGATTTTCTCGTTCTTCTCGCGCAATGCCCCACGTAGGGCGGCAACATCACGCGGCAGATCTTCGTCCTCGATATCTTGCTGCATCCTTGATCGGGGCGCAGGTGAAAAGCCGTCAGATAGCCCTGGCACCAGTTTTTGTAGCTCGGTGAGGTTGCGTTCCATCTCCGCTATACTGTTGTTCTGTTCCCGTAACGCGCGATCCTTCTCGTCGAGCATCTTTTGCAAGTGAGCCTTTTCTTCTTGATGTAGGCGGTCTGGCTGCGCCTCTCCTGGCTGCTTTGCCGCTCCGCTAGGCGTAGGCGTGGGCGTGTCTTCAGCCTCCTCTTCTGGCACTTCATCGAAACTTGGCTCTGGACCAAGTGAGTCTTCGGACTGTGTGGTCAAGGTCGAGGCCATGGACGCCGCGCGTAGGCTCTGGCTGAACTTATTACCACCACCCAGCGAGGGTTTTGGACCTGCGCTTCGATATCCTCCTGGCCCTCCTACTTGGCTTCTTGCAAGTCCGGGCGCACCTGGGCGCGACTTTGGGGTAGCGAGCCCCGTCTTAACCGGAGATGCCGATTTGCGTAAAGGGCTCTGTGGACGTGGTAGGGACTCTCGACGCATGGGTGGCTTGAGACCCGGACTCGCCGCACCGGCGCGCATAGCATTGAAGTTCCCAGCAGCGTTGACTGACTGACTGAAGTTGGGTTTGCTTGTCGTGCCGGGCGTGCGGCCTCCAACATTGAAGGACGACAGTCTCGTAGGAGTGCCAGGGGTACGTAAGGCAGAGCCGCCGTTCGCATTAGGTATTGGAGGCCTCTTGACAGCCTTTTCCACCGGCAGGAAGATACCTGAGCCGGGTATGGTGGTTGTGAAGTATTGTTTGCCCTCGACATCTCCTGAATTCTTGCCCCGCGGCGCAAACTCCGTGGCAAGTTGAACTCCGGCGAAAGTGCCTTTCTTGTTGGCGACGCGTCCGATGAATTTGACGGTGCCAAACATGTCGCCTGGCACGGTGACGGCGTCACCAATCTTAAGGTTTGACTGCGCCATTATGGAATTAGATCGTAAGCGTAAAGGCTGGGAGCAGTCGTGCGTCAGAACGGCATTAGGAGCGTGGACAATATGTCAGACGTGAGTCGCGCATCGACGCGTTAATTCAAGTCGCAATCGCGATGCTGGTGTGTCGAAATGGACGCGTGAACGAACAGGAAATGAGTTAATTAGGATGTTATCAAAAGTGTCGGAGCGGTAGAGTAAACAGAAGTCAAAGTGTTGTCCATCGACGCCTCGTATTGGACCCTGACACCCTGTAGCCTCCGAAATTAGGCTTGGGCGCAACCACCTGTTCGCCGCCCCTGACAATTTTGTATGGGGATACGAATCGAATGCACAGGATATTTTGTACATCGTGCGACATTCCTGGTATACCGTTGATGTTGTCATCTGCGAATGAGCTCACGATACTAGCACTAGACAGGCCTGTGGACTGTAGATGAGGTTCTGTATTGATGCCTAATCCAGTGCTATGCCAGACATCTTTTCCCCTGGACCAAGGATGATGCCACCAGCCTGTTAGCCACCACCCTGCTGCCATTTCTGTGATGCCCTTCGCCGTTCACAAGGCGTAGTCGACTTACAGCTGGAGCCTGTAGGTACCGACCTCGAACGGCCGCAGCTCGATATCAATCTTGCCCTTCCCGTACACCTTGAGCTCCTCCTCGTCGTCCTCTAGCACATTGGTCTTGTACACTTTCTTGACCGGCAATGTAGTGCGGATGGTGCCCCTGCTCTTACCACCTGTGCTCTCGTAAATTCTCAAAATCACACTCTGTCCCTTGCGTTTCGTAAGCTCTCCGCGGGACACATCTTCATCGTCTTCACCCCGCTTGATTGCGTCTAGTACCAGGGCCTTGCTGCCCTCGAGGGAGACTGCCGCGAATGAGTCTTCCTCAACCTTATCTGCTGCAAGAGCGACAAGCTTCATTGGGTTATTGAAGTTATGAGCGGCTCGGACTGTTTCACTGCCCAGTGATCCAATGTGTGGCAGGACAGCCCACTCAATGTGGTGGTGGCCCATGTCAGCATGCGCATCAGGAGCCTTGGGTGCACGAAGCAGCGACAGGCGCATTAGGTTACCGCAAGTTGCAAAGCCGTACTTGGAGTCATTCAGAACAGATACACCATAGTTTGCTTCGGAAAGATCGGCGAACTTGTGGCAGCACACCTCGAACTTGGCCATGTCCCAGCTAGCATCGATTAGTTCACGCGTCTCAAGCTAGATTCAGAAGGACTTACCTTGTATTGTAGTGAGTAGGTCGGCGGACGATGCCGTACTGCGTTTCGTAGCTCGCCTCAGTGTTGACCACGTCCACGGGCCATTCGACCTTGAGGAACTTCTTGTCCTCGTGCCATTCAACCTCGGCAGCGATACTCACAAAGCTAGGCAGGTCATCACTATCCGACGCATCGAGACTGATGGTGGTTTTGATCCAACTCTTATCGCTTACTTGAGTCTTGGTGATGACGCTGACGCGGTACGGGCCCTGTTCGGCGATCTCAGTTGCCTCAGATTCCAGCTCCTTGCGGGAGTCAAGATGGAAGACCTCAACGTCCCAAGCTTGCCAGTACAAAGGCTTGTCGTCGAATATGACCAGCTGATTGCCCTTGCCACCTTTAGCTATGACCTCACGGTCTGCGCGCAGGTCATAAAGGGAGGTCACGCAGCCCTTCTCCACCTCGACGCGGAAGTGCTTGTTGGAAAGTACAAACACGCCTTTGCTCTTTTCCTCAATGCATGCTTCCGATTTCAAGATTGATGCAGCATGCGTCTTCGCCAGGCCAGGACCTCCGCTTACCAATGTGTAGTGACTCTGACTCGAATCAGCGCAGGCTTCAGGTATCTTGACGAGTTCTGTTCTGGGCCATGCCAACGTGTTGACTGCGGCTAGCTTCGCCCGTGGCTTGAGATTCTCAGAGAGCCCAAGCACCGACAATGCCTCTTCCTTGACCTTCCTCCCAAGCTTGTAGTTGTGTGCGTACAACTCGTCAGAGTCATCATAGCACATCTCAATCGAACTACCTGGCAAGCAGTCATGGAATTGGCAGAGCAAGACATTCTCCCAGATCTCATCAATCTCCTTTTTAGGGTATTTGTAGCTCTTGCTCTTCAAGCTAGCAAGAGTCGCCAAATACTCAATGTCTCTGAGCATGATCTCTTGCTTGCGGTTGTGCTTCTTGTTGTTGGCTTGAGTGGTATATGTGCCACGGTGCAGCTCGAAGTAGAGCTCGCCATACCATGTCACCAGGTCGGTGCCCTTCTCGATCTTCTTCTCTATTTGGTCGAAGAAATCCTCTACCGAGTTGCCCATCTTGACTCTCGGCAGAAGACCGGTAGTGTCGCTTATGCCACGACAGCGTCGCAGCTTCTCCAGCATCTCCCAGGTCGGACCACCACCACCATCGCCCTTCCCAAATACCAACAAGGATGTGTTGTCTTGATCCATGCTCTTGTGTTGGGTGACGCTCCGCCTTACGTCTCCAAAATGAGCTTCAGCGGTATAAGTCTCACTGGGTGCCATGTGGCAGATAACCTGGCTGCCGTCCAAGCTGACCCAATTGAACGTCGTATGAGGGAAGTTGTTGATATTGTTCCAGCTGAGTTTCTGGGTGAAGAATCGCTTCATTCCAGCCAGTCGGCAAATCTGTGGTAGTTGAGACGAGTACCCAAAGGTGTCCGGTAGCCAGAATGTCCGGCAGCGTTCGCCAAAATGGCTCTCAAAGAAGCGTTGGCCGTACAAGAACTGCCGAACCAAGGACTCACCGCTGGGCATATTAGTGTCGTGCTCAACCCAGCTGCCACCTATAGGCTGGAACGTGCCCTTCTTGACCTTCTCCTTGACCCTGTCAAAGACAAAAGGATAATACATCTTCAGCCACTTATACTGCTGAGCCTGGCTGACGGCGAAGCGATGTTCTGGGTATCTGTCCATCAGGTCACACTGGTTCGACCAGCTTCGAGCGACTTTGCGCTTTGTTTCAGCCCAAGGCCACAACCAGCAGGTGTCAATGTGGCAGTGGCCGATAGCATAGACGATGCTGTCATTCTCCGTGCCATAGACCTTAGCTGAATCTACATGCTTGCCGATGTACTCCTGCGCGATCTTGCGGCCTTCGAGTATTGACTCGTTTGAGCCGTTGCCAGCGATGAACGTGTCCATGATCTTGTTGCACACCTGCAAAGCCTTATGCTTCTCCCAGCCGTCATTGGGGAATTCCCGAGCGGCATCGCCTATGATCCAGAAATCGACGTACAGACCTCGAGCCGCGAGGTTGACGTCAACGATACGGGCCTCTCGAAGGGTAAAGTATTTGTTCGGGTCGGGAGGCTGGATCGAGTCACCGCCTGGCGCGTTGCCAAACATGCCGTTACAGGCGATCTCAATGTAGAAAACATGTTCTTTACCATCTCTCCATTTCTCGGGTATGATCCACTCAACACGTTCGCCATTACCGGTCAGGCCCTGCAGTGGATGGCCGTCCTCGGTCCAGACCATGCCCTCACTGCTCGAGTCCCAGCGAAACTCCAGATGTTCGCCTTTTACCATAGATTTCGGAACGGTCAGACGAATTTTGAACCAGTGTGTCGACCATGATGGCCCAAAGGATTCTCCAACGTGAGTAGGCTTGAAGGAGTGGGAGGTAGCTTCGTCGAAGGTAGGACGAGAGAGATTTGGAGCGGACCAAACCGAGAGCTTGACGTGGTCGGCATCGCCGACGGAATCATGGTAGAACTTAGCCCTGAGGCCTTCGTTGTAATACTGACCGCCGTCGGTGAACTGTCGCAGACGGTCGGTGTAGATGCTCTGGATCTGCTGCCCCACCGGTTTGACGGCCAACTTGGGGTAAGAGGACGACATGGGAGCAGTTCTCGAGCTATTTTCGCCCCCCATTGTGATCAGGAGAGGACTATAGATACTCAGGAGGTAAGGAACAAAGTATAGCGAGGGCAGATGGTCACATCAAGCACGATGTTGCCCAGCACCTCCAACAAGTCATGCATGGCCTATGTCAGGCGCAGCTGGAGCTCGTGCGGGGTGGGTTGCACTTGGAGTCGAACGCGCGGCGGATGAGAGAGCACTTTTAGGGGTACAGTACGTGGGGACCGGGGTTCGCAGGGATTGCCAACTTCACCTGCACCTGCAGTCTTCGGTGCCTTGCATACGCTTAACACTAATAATCTCTGACGATCTCTGATCGTGTCACCAGCGCATCAGATCCTGCTGAGCATTCTTTCTTTGCGAGATATGCGTCGGACCGACCAGCTTGATACTGCTTTTCAACTTCTCACGCCTCTTCTCCGAAGCAGTCCTGGTTAACCTGTGTCTTGCACCTTCCCACAAGCCCATCTTCTGCCCATCTTCCGATTTGTTAGACTCTTTGCTCGTTCGCTTGTTCTTAGTCCGCTTCTTCTTGTCGTCTTTGGCCCATGCAGCTTCGCCGTAAAGTTGGTAAGAAGTTGGTTGTATGGCGAGTTTCTTCCGACCTGGCACATATTCGCCGGTTGCGGCTGCTTCGCTGGCTCCTCGACGATGTATCGAACCAGCGCCCGCGGCTCCTTTACGCGTAGACAAGGCACGCATTAGAGATCCGGCGCGCTGAGACATGCTTGATCGGGTGCTCATCCGCGCTTTCAAGGCATCCGGGAGTGATCCATTGCCAGGGTATTTTCCTGACGCGTGACTCAAGATCTGCTGCTTTTCTTCCTCGGTGAAGCGCTGAGCACCCAAAAAGCCTTGTGTCGCCAGGCCTGATACCTGCGATGCACCCAGCGAAGGTGTCTGAGACTGCAATCGCCTTGCACCGTGTTCTAAGAAATCCTCGAAGCTGTTTGCGCTGACGGGCCTTGGCGCTCCCCCAGCATTCTCATCAGGTGAGACGGTGTGGCTCACATGCTCGAGCTCTTGAAGCGGTGCTATCATGTCCATAACGACAATTTGTGTAATTGTGCCAGATATTGGACCTGGAAGATAGCTGTCATCACCTTCAACTGCTACCGGATGGACGTCGGGGGAGTCTTGCGGCGATGGAGGTGCGAGAGAGTCCAGAGCAAGCTGCCGATGATGTTCTTCGGATCCATTAGATGACATCGGCGACACAATATCGTTTCCCCTGTGAGGCAGATTCCGGGCAAAATCTACAAAGCTTGGAGCACCGTTCTTGCTGCCCGCTGGCGATAGCGGTGGCGGCTGTGGATATATACTTGGTGACCGAGCGCGGTTCGAGGAAGACATAGGAGGCATATCGGGAATATCAGGCGATGCTGGCGGAGAGAAGTCTTGGTATATGCTGGGAGATGGCATGGGTGGTAGGATCATGGCATCGTTGTCGTCTTCAAAGCCAGGAAGCGGAGGTGGCGACTCGGCACCGCTTTCGCGTTTGATGAATAGTGGTAAGAGGGTCGGCGATTGGGCACCACCATATTGCCTTGCCATTAGAGGTGCAACGGTATCTCGATATGCTTGTGACCGGTGTGCGTTTGGGAGCAGCGCTTCTTCCTCGACACGGTGCCCACCATACATATCTATGATGTTCGAAATGGTCGTTTCCATGCTGTACACACTTGATGCTCTACTCTGAATCTCTGGTGGTTCTAATGGTAGAGGCTTGTCGAGATCAGAAGGAGTGGTCTGTATTGAACTGTCGTAGGAATGCGCATGTAGGCTAGAGCTCGACCGCGAAGGTCCTAGTTCCAGCCCTAGCTTTTGCAGCTTCAGTAAAGAAGATGATGGCCGTGGTGATACTGGAGGACGTCTCGGGGACCTCGGTGGTGTCAGGAGGTCGCTGTCCCTACCAAAGTAAGGGCTCGGTGACCTCGCCGCCAACAGGTCCGACATATGGGCGATGTTGGGAAGACTGGCGTTGATCGGATGATGATGAATGTACGAATGAGGATCAATGTCTTGATCTATAATCTCAGACCGTTTGCGGTGTCCGAACGAAAAGTGAGGTAGAGACGAAGTATTCTTTGTCTTCCGCGAGGATCAAAGAAGCAGTGAAGTAGTCCACACGCCACGCGCCACACCATGCGAGCTGGTCGACATCTTCACGGACACGAAATCGAACCGTCTCGCTCACAAACTTGCTGCTTTGGCAAGATCTTCCTTCGTGAGCTCGTCGGTGGGCTTCCTTAGGTCGCCCAAACGGCCTATTCGCCGCAAGCGGCCAATCATGTCTTCATCTCCGAAATGAGAATTGTGTTCAAACGTCGGCTCCTGTTCATAGGCGTACCTCGCGGCGTCGACGAGTATGCGTGCAGTCATACCAAAGACCCGATAGCGTTCCAAAGCTTCGAGATGGTCGGCGGCTTGCTTCTGCCCCTCGGTTTTCTTTGGCTTGGCAACGATCTGATTCGTAACGGGAACAAAGAAATTGTGCATTCTCCAGCGACTTTGATGCCAGTCCGTCCACATGCCTTTGTACCAATTCCTTGGGTTCCCAGGGCCGCCTTCAGATGGGAGATCCTCGGCGTAGAGGAAGTTTTTGAAAGGTGCTGAGAAGACGGCAGCAACTTCCCGCGCGTCGAGGACGGGAAGTAGCTTGTCGGCGACACTGGCATCAAGCCCTGTCTCAGGATCATGCGAATGGATGAATGCGACGCATGGCCGCACGACAAGCTCTGTCTTAGCTAAATTGGTAGGCATCTCACATAGATGCTCGATCCGGAATGGAGGAGGCAAGTTTGCACCGATGGGCGACAGGCCTATCTCTTCCGATGCTTCTCGACGAGCTGTCTCAAATGCTGTTTCACCATCCTCTGATTTGCCTCCGGGAAGAGCAGCCTGTCCCGAGTAGGAGGAAAGGGTGGCTGCCCTCATGGTGACGACTACTCGCAGATCACCTTTCGAATCAGCAAAGAGCAAGATGAGAACTGCAGCCCGTCGGGATAAAGGCATCGACCCCCATGCCGTAGGCGGAGAACCATACTGTCTTAGCCGATCGAGCGCTTTCTATACAGCCCTTAGATTATTTCGCTTTTGGATCAAGGGTACTTACCTTGGAGTGCTCGGACAGTGGCGCCATTGTCGCCCCAATGCTAGAATGTCTCCGCGGTGACGGTCTCAAGAGCGATCTCGTAAGAGTCTGCAAATATCGCAGGTCCCGCGCCTGCCTGACAAAGGTCATAAATATCACTGTATGGTATATGAGACGAATACATGCATCGAGATTTGGGGTGTTGTATAAGAGTTTATAAATCGGACCGAGGCAACTCTTGGGATCATCATCACATTCAATCTTCTTGGCAATCGGCTTCGAGGCAACCAATACTCTAGAGGTAGGTATATACTCTGGGTTGGATCCAACGACCTGTTCGTATGGTCCTCTTATTCATTATTACGCCTCCAAAGCTGCGCATCTCTCAACAGCGTCCATGCCAGAGGACACTCAACCTCTTCTTAGGCCATCCTCGCCATAAACATATTTGCCATTTCCCCACAACTGTCTCCAATAATCCACCCCGGACGAGCCATGTTCTTCGTCGCTTCAGTGTCTCCGTCTGACTTCCAGCTTTCGTGAGGCCATTTGCGTGACTTTTGGGATAAGACCGCAGTACAACACAAGTTCTTTGCAATTGCAACATCCACGAAGATGCTGCTCACTCGTATGTGGTGTTTTGAGGGATCTGCAACCATCAAGAATGCTTCGGCCGCTGCCGAGTGACGAAGGCGTTGGGCAATGTCGCCATCAATAGGATATGGCACTCATTCAGAATCCTCTTGGATCTCTGTCCTCTGCTGTATTGCGACTGCTCGGTCTGAGACCCACGCTGTAGTAATCATTCATAGCGTTCATTCAATCATCCTGCCCTTTTCGCCCAGCATTAAAGCTGATCTTCTGCCTCTTGCTAGGCCTCGAGTCCGATTCTTCGTCATTGGCAACGTTCTTCTTTTTCTTCTTGTCTCCAGCCCTATCGGCGGCGAAGCTGCCGGTCGGCGTAGCAGCATGGTTGGGAGTGCTCACAGCACTGCTAGGGGTATCCGAATCTCGCAGATAGGATGTTGAGCTCTTCGAGAAGACTCTGTCTCCATCGTTCACGGCAGTCTTTCTCCGACTCGCACCCAAGCCACCGCCCGCTGCGCTGCCCGAGATAGTACCTCCGGCAGAGTTGGCTGAGGAGGACAGGGCAGATGCCTTGATGTAATTGTCGAAACCTTTAACGATGTTGCCCGCGGCAGATGTATCTTCGAGATATGAAGTCTCTGACCTGTAGATCTGATCTTCGATGGCGGTCATGTTGCGATCAAGCAGTCGCTTCTTCTGCAGGGTGTCACGCAGATCGCGTCGCAATTTCTCGTAATATGGCAAACCAGGCCGGTCGCCATTGGCCGCGGACTTGGTCGCTGAGTTTGGAGGCACGTTCTCTGCCATATTCGTTGGGCGCGACAGCGCGCGGTAGATTGTCTTGTACCTGTAACGGATGTTGAAGCACGACGAGGAGACAGTCCGGAGAACACGCGCAAGACGGTGAAATGTTTCTCCGATGGCCGAGCCATCTACTTTACCCCCCGCCAGCTTCTAGTGAGAGTGAACCCTCCTTTCCATAAGAGCATAATAGGCCTTCTACCAATATCTCAACACAGGTATTCTCTACAAAATGTGGAGAAGTATCAGGCAAGCTGACACAGAAAACCGGTGAAAGCCCATCTTTACGCCGTCTTTGACCTATACGCCTCTGCTCATGTCACGGAGATGGAGGAATGCCATCACTTGGCAAGACTCCCGCACGCTGTAGTCCGCTCCTCCTAGAACTCACTGTCCAACGATCCCGCTCAGGCACTTACGAGTGACTCTGGACTACCTCCCCCTCCCCACAACAAGCGCCATATTCTCTCTCTAACACTCCAATCCCTACACTACTTGCACGAATCACGCTCTCTCATTGTTGACTTGGATGGCGTACTTTTGAGGCAAGTTGCTGCCAACACGCATTCAGACCGACGGACGTGTATTGAGTATAGATCTTATCCTAGCTTGAGGGATATAGGGAGTCTCATGACGTTGCAACATTGACAGGCATGTCTCAAGGAACTCTTGTAAGTGCTCACCCTGGAAGACCTGGTCTAGACACCTTGAGGTCCGTTGATGCAGATTAATGTCTGGTGCAAGTCCTCCTGGAGGTGCATCGATACTCAAAGGCAGCGCCCCAAGACCGTACTTGCCTTTACCGATCTCCCAGTCCTCACAACCAGTTACTGATGCAGCTTTCTATCTATTCTTACAGTACAGCTTCCCGGAGTCGGGCAACAGCTACAAGGTCCGCCTTTTGGCCGCGCTGTTAGGTCTTGACCTGAAAATTGAGGAACTTGACCTTCTCGTAAGAGCTGTTTATGCTGTGAATGTCAACAACAACACTCACAGCTCTAGGCCGACCAACAACACTCTCCCGAGTATCTTGCGATCAATCCACGAGGAGAAGTCCCATGCCTTGTAGTGCATGACGTCGTTCTCGGCGGCAAGAAGGTCTTTAGCGACTCGAGCTCTATCCTTGTATGGCTTGCTGGTGCGCATGGTAACGATGGACAGAGTCCGGGTCCATCGACCTACTGGTCCGGTGATCTATACGAGCAGACACAGATCATCGACTGGGTATGATGTTCGCCGTGCGACTGTAGTCACTGCTAATTCCCCCAACAGTTGGCCTTTTCGAACAGTTGGGTTCAATATGGTAAGTGAGGGTCAATACCAACCCTCTACTTGCTGATCGGAAGCAAAGGTGTCTTCACCAATCGTGCCATCCTCTCATACAGTGGTCCGGGCAACGGGCTCGGCTCGAAACAAAACTGGTCAGAAGAGCGACTGAAGAACATGCTCGAAGAGGGCGCCATCAGAGGACATAAGTCATTGAGTATTCTTCAGGATCGCTTACATGATCGAGACTGGCTAGTCCTGAACCGACCGACTGTTGCAGACATCAGCGTATTCGTTTATGTCGCTTTAGCTCCCATGGGGGACATTGATCTGCACCCATACCCTGCGGTACGTGACCTCCCAAGAGCTTCAGTCAGATTAGATGTCCCGGCGTGCGTTCACTGACGTTTTCAAGGTCCTGTCGTGGATTGAGCGCATCAAGAAGCTGCCTAACTTCATATCTATCCCTGGCTTGGACGACCCTTACATTCGTCGAAGGAAATGAGGTGATGAGTCCGCCGTTGAGTCTGGACTCGCCGCGGTGAGGAAACGATTCAGAGACGCTTCACTAGTCTTCCCACTCCTTTAGCTATGTGAGACACATTGAGTGATTCGTAAATACAGTGAACTCTAGCCTGTGCTTAAACCAAGTTTAGTCTCGAGTGCATAGCGGAGTATCTAAGGTATTGCAGAACGCTCAAACCCTGCACGCTCCTCTGTTCGACAGTCAGCACTCTAATGCTTCTGTACCACACGACGCCGTGCCTGTGTGATCCAAGTGTAGAAATGGATGAACCAGGTCAACGAAGTGACCCTCTCTGTACTCGTTGGAGTCACGCAAAGGATCGGAGAAACGTTCTCCGGTAACCGCGCCGCAACCTCGCATCACCCTGTCGCTGCTTCACTGAGCCCCGTGCTTCGATCCTGTATTAGAAGAACGGACGTCCATCTCATAGTTTTGGTGACAGTCATGGATCACTCACACATGGATCACGGCCAAATGGACCATGACCATGGCGACATGGACATGGGCGGCGACCAGTGCTCAATGAATGTCAGGAAACTCGCCCACCTCCCCATCCCAATTACTCACACAAGCAGATGCTCTTCACCTGGTCATCCAAGAACCTGTGCATCGTGTTTCCACAATGGCGCGTCACCGGCACACTCTCGCTCCTCATCTCCCTGATTGCGATCGTTATCCTGACCGCCGGCTACGAATGGGTGCGGGACCTCAGCCGAAGATACGAGCAGACCCATAGCGCTCATCTACAGGCCTTTAGCACAAGCACACAGCGTATGTTTTCCTTTCTCCCACACAAGACCTTATATACTCGTTCCAGAGGCTGAATGTCCGGGTCAGCGGAAGGGTCAAGAATCAACGAAATAAGCTCATTGCTTTCTCCAGGAAAGGATGCGCGGTCCTCGGCCGAACAGAGGGGTACCATCGTGAAAGCGGCATTCTATGCCGTGCAGGTGTTCTACAGTTTCTTCATCATGTGGGTGTTTCCCTGGGCGATCGGAATTTGCATTGCTGACAACACCAGGCTGCTATTCATGACCTATAATGGCTGGGTCATGCTTGCTGTCGCAGTGGGCGCGTTCTTTGGCTATCTCTTGTTTGGTGCGCACACGTCTGCTACCAAGTCTGTGGCATGCCATTAGATGGTGCCAAAATCTAGGATAGTCCCGTCCCATTTCGTAGGTGTGCCATTTGCTGTGTGCATGAATCAGCCGGCTATGAATCTGAGTCAATGTCATCGCCGAAGCCGAAGCTGAAGCCACATGATCCAGATTCCTCGGCGTCCTTTGCTGCCACAACCTCTTCCCATTTACGCTTCCTCGATATGGAGTCAAGCTCTTTAGCAAGCTCTGGGTAATGGAGCCCCAAGCGTTCTCGAAACAAAGCTGCTGCGTCTGTAACGTCGTCCCTGAAGCCGGAAACCTGGTCGCGTTTCCGATCCAAGAAGTTGACCACGGATTTCAGATGCGACCTCGGCACGAAGTTCTGCGTGATGGCAATTGCCGGAACAAGATTGACAACAAGGTGCCACCATCCACTGGGTACGTGAAGGACTTCGCCTTCTCTGCAGACTCCTTCAAGGCATCCAGGGGTCTCTCTGGCCTCTGCATGAAACGTAAACAGCCACTCCGCAATACTCAGGGGACTGGTGACCTCGCTTTGGTCCTCAGACATGTACACGCCCGGCGGCAGGACGGAAGGAGGAAACATAATCCAGTATTTAGAGCCCCGGACCACAGCATTCCAGGCAGAAGTAGCATTTGGATCCTTGTGAAAGGTAGAACCGCTCCGTGCCGGGCCAATGATGAGCCACCGGTGATCTGGACGTTGCTTGTCCAGGATAGAGAAGAGATCCTCCTGGAAGCAGGATGGTGGCTCGTAGTCCCCATCTGGACCCACCGAGAGGTCCATCTTCTCGACGAAGGCGCGGTCAAAGAGATACAGTGGGCTTTCGTCCCTCGTAGTGCTCATGTATGCCAGGTATCTTTCCATGGGCCAATCGACCGCCTCGGCGCGGAAAGTGGTGTCTGAGTAGGTCGCCCTCAACTGTTCCAATGACCACTCTCGATAAACCTTCCAGTGCTTGACGGGCTCCGTGAGAATGAACGGCTTTCCTGTCCATTTCTGGTTGAATTCTACCGTTGAAAGATCTCGCAGCCTCGGTAGAGTATTAGACACGGGAATAGTGGACGCATAAGGATTCAGATCGATTTGAGAGCATAGAAACGGTCGATGTAGTGCATCGGAGTACAGCATTTGGCAATCAATGCTAGGCAGCTTCGCGTCCGGCAGCTTCCTTTGACAGGATCGCCAGGATCCTGGCCACGGAACGTCGGCTTGCGCCTCTACAGCGAGATCTCTCCACAACTGGTCGAAGGAGCAGTAGGCGAACAAAGCTCGACAGGTACTGCCCAGCATAGCGAGGCTACGTGCTTCCAGGTACTCCAGCATGCTTAGCATCAGGCCATCTGGGAGCATTCCGAAGCTGCCCATGGCTGATGTCGCGCTTAAGCCGTTCTGGCCATCTATTAAAGCATTTCCACTTGGTCGAACACCTAGCGGATGCTTGAGTGACTCATGCTGCAGTGTGCTGATTGGTGCGTCATCCTCGACAGTCAAGTGGTGACTCGACTCACTCTGCCTGCCTTTGGTCGTTTCGAGGGTTTCGGTGATACTCATCTTGAGCAGCAAGGCAAGATGTTGCCGCTTATCGCAGGGAGATGGACTTGTTCTCCGGCGAACGACAGATATTCAATGATTGTGTCGGGCTGAGCAACAGTTCGATGGCTGCCCAGCTGATTCTATCCCGGTTGACTATTTGCCATGATATGACGGCCCCCAGGCGAAAAAGAGCCTACTTGAAAAATGCACCACACTCGTTGGAGGAGGCGAATGGTCGGAGTCACCGATGTGATGCCTGATTGGTGGACATAACTGACCCCTTGGCAAGCCTTGCCAAGTCTGAGGCAGATTGCCACAAAGGGCCCGCCCTAGCCGCAACTCACGGCGAACATTTTTCAATAAAGTCGTAGACTTTTTCCGTTGACCTCGCCCATAATTCTTTCAAACAGAATAACATACACCACATATTTTCGATTTCCTGGATTCTCCCTGCCGAGAGTCCTTTTAATCGCTAGCACTCACAGAATCATCTGAATCGACTTAGTCGCTCGCAGCGTCTAAGTCTTCCACCACCCCACCTTCAAAACATCTCAGATCACCGGCCAGGCGCCAGTGATCTTCCAGCGACTTTCTCGCAATCATGGCTGACAAGGGACTCGAGGAGGTTCCCGAGAGTGAGTCGAATTCTTCCAAGATTGAAGCTTGGTCGCAGCGACAAAGTCGCGCAACCGCGCAAATTTTCTACTGAGCATCCACTGACATTTGCCCTCTTCCAGGCCAAATCGAGTCGAACTACGATGAGGTCACCGATTCCTTCGATGCGATGAGCCTGAAGCCCGAGCTTCTTCGCGGTATGTACAGAATTTGCAGTAAAAGCAGTGAACGAGACTGACAAAATTCTAAGGCGTCTATGCGTATGGTTTCGAGCGCCCATCTGCCATTCAGCAGCGTGCTATCATGCCTGTGATCAAGGGTATGTTACAAGTCTAATTATCCTCCTCGGCCCTTGATTGACAGTTCAAAGGCTCGGATGTCATTGCTCAGGCTCAGTCCGGTACCGGCAAGACCGCTACTTTCTCCATCTCCGCACTGCAGAAGATCGACCAGAATCTCAAGGCTTGCCAGGCCCTGATCCTTGCTCCCACTCGTGAGCTTGCACAGCAGATCCAGAAGGTCGTTGTGGCTATCGGCGACTTCATGAACGTGGAGTGCCATGCCTGCATTGGTGGCACCAACGTTCGTGACGACATGAAGGCCCTTCAGGACGGTCCTCAAGTCGTTGTTGGAACTCCCGGCCGTGTCCAAGACATGATCCAGCGTCGCGTCCTCAAGACCGACAACATCAAGATGTTCATCCTCGATGAGGCTGATGAGATGCTGTCCCGTGGTTTCACAGAGCAGATCTACGATATCTTCCAGCTCCTTCCTCAGTCGACTCAGGTCGTTCTGCTCTCCGCCACCATGCCCCAAGATGTTCTTGAGGTCACCACCAAGTTCATGCGCGACCCCGTCCGTATCTTGGTCAAGAAGGCCGAGCTTACTCTCGAAGGTATCAAGCAATTCTACATTGCTGTCGAGAAGGAGGAGTGGAAGCTGGATACTCTCTCCGATCTCTATGAGACCGTGACCATCACCCAGGCTGTCATCTTCTGCAACACCCGCAGAAAGGTCGACTGGCTTACCGACAAGCTCACTGCTCGCGACTTCACTGTGTCCGCCATGCACGGTGATATGGAGCAGGCCCAGCGTGATGTCATTATGAAGGAGTTCCGATCTGGTTCTTCTCGTGTCCTCATCGCCACTGATCTCCTGGCCCGTGGTATCGATGTTCAGCAAGTCTCTCTTGTCATCAACTATGATCTGCCCGCCAACCGCGAGAACTACATCCACCGCATCGGTCGTGGTGGACGTTTCGGTCGTAAGGGTGTTGCCATCAACTTCGTCACTGCTGATGACGTCCGCATGATGCGCGAGATCGAGCAGTTCTACAGCACTCAGATCGAGGAGATGCCAATGAACGTTGCCGACCTCATCTAAGTGTTTTACTACACGCAGCTGCGCACCGACTTTTCGTTTCTGCGGCATTTCGACGGCGTTGTTGCGCACGATACCTGGAGTAGGCTTATGAGAAAAGTGGGATGAAGCTAGTCTCCGACTGCTTGACTCAGGGTCTGCTTCCGCAAAAGTCACATCATTTTCTTTTTACTGTACGATCCACATGCGGGTTGCGGGTCGCTGGCGAGCGTGTTGCCTCCAGTAATTCAACTCAGGCGAAGGCGACATTTCGCAGCGATACCGACGTGTGTGTTGGCTATTTCTCGATTTGCACAGATGGGTTTGCAAAGCGTTCTCATGTGTTACGGAGAATGAGGAGGGCCAGAATTCTCTTTAAGTCGAAGCTCGATAGACAAGGTAGAATACGAACACTCACGAATTCAAAGTCTGCCCTCCTACCTCTCTGCTCGTTGGCTCGTATGTGCTCTGAACCTGCTTGAATTGTTGCAGTTGTCTATAGAGCATGAGTTGTCCTACTACGCTCACGCCAAGGCTAGCTTCTACAGGAGGAAGGCACAGGTTAGTCCCTTCCTTACTCTGATTCCTGCTCGTCATTTTCTTCTCTCCTCATCTTGCTCGGGCTTACCATCAGTGGTGACTGTCGTAGGATGGCAAAGCGCTCGAGGGCAGATGTCAAGCATGCCATCGATCTTCTTTGGACCCATCAACTTCGTCGCGAGAATGCCTTCCTGCACAAACAGGTCAAGCAGCTCCAAGACAGCATCGACCAATGTCGAATTAATCAAGTCGATCTCCGCGACAGCATCCGCAGCGTCCAAGCAAGTGCAGACGAGACGTCCTCCGCTATGGAGCGGGTGGCCTCGACCGTAGTCACCCTGCAGGCCGATATCGAAAAGACGCCAGCCGTTTCGAACAAAACTCATGAACAGCTGGCCAAGTTGTCGGATAGAGTCAACATCTCTGAAGCAAATCAGCAGCTTGCCATCAAAAATCTCCAAGAGCGCATCGCCCAAGCCGACAGCGATGTTCAACAGTTCGCCAATGAGTATAGGGGTGACGTTGCCACCACCAAGGCACGGCTTGATGAAATGACGATTGTCATGGACGCAAAAGTCGGTCAAGCGAGCCTTGAAGATGTTCACATCAGAGTCCAGAACCTCGAAAACCACTTTGCACAGCACAACGTTGAGCCACATTCGGTAAGCATCGTCCAGGACAGTATCGACCACCTCAGCTTTCAATCAGAACAATCCAGACTTTGCATCGATGACGACGAACAAGGGCCAGGAGTTGACAGCGATGAAGAAAGAGACGAACAAATGCTTACTCTGCGCAACATCGAGCTTCGTGAATCCACTGGAGACGAGAGCTTCGACCTTGATGGAAACGTCGCGGTACCGTCGTATGCCCGCCACCTATATCGGCCGTCACCAGTCACGGACTCCTTGCAGCCAATAGAAAAGAAGATCTCACAGGTCCCAACGACCTTGTCTGAGATTTACGCCTTGAAACAAGGCCGATACCATAGCTGGGAAAGATACCTGGCGGAAGGTCAGAGTCTCTTTGAGAAGATACCCAAGACACAGGAGGCCCTGTTCGTGCAGAACTTCATTGAAGGTCTGTATGCAGCGGGCGAGCGTGAGCAAGCTCGGAAATGGCTTGACCTAAGCGGGTGGTCCTGGGACAACGTGAGCGCCTTCCTGACATCTGGAACGCCTTCAATACCTGTTCACGCAAATCGTCAGCGCGCCATGCAGCGAGTTGCCAAAGCTACCTTCAAAAAGAAGCAACAGCCAGCACCAATACGGCATAAGGCCATTGGGGAACGAGCCGAAGGAGATTCGGTGGGCCGGAGAGCCGAAGTAGTGGCCAGACCAATTCCCCTGCACCAGATGCAGCTAAGAAGCAGAGCTATACCGGCAACAAGCTGTTGCGGCGTCGAAGCGGATGGCATGCTTGCCAGTCCTAAGGGTGGTCCTGAGGGCATGAGGTCGGCGAAAGCCCCTCTTGAACAGAAAGCAGCAAGTTCTGGCTGTGTCGCTCGAACACGATCCTTGCGCTTCAGCAAACTATTGACGACATCGAAGGTGAGGAAAGCCTCGCAGATTGACCTCAACAGCAAGCTTCGTGGCGTAAAGCGGCAGGATCAGCACGATGCCCACCTGCGGCTCGACTCACATCCACAGCCATGGTCGCCCTCAAGTTTACCGTCGACGCCAGACCGCGACACAAGCCTCAGCAAGAAACTCACACGACCTACAATTCAAACGCATGGTGAAGGGAATGCTAGCGTTCTGTACGGCTTTCCTGGAGACACTGCCTCGGTAGACGAAGGCAACAGCTCGGACAACATTCGTCACCCCAGTCTTCCTCCTCAAGCTGAGGCTGTCCGTCGCAAAAGACGACAATTGAGCTCGAACAGAAAGAAAAGAGTACCTCCTCCGCCTCCAGAGATACCCATTCTGTCGACATCTGAGGATTAACATGAGTGCTGAGCGGTGTAAAGCAACCGTCTGGTCATTCTTAAGGACGTGGCAGACGCGAGGGTCATCCGGGTAGAAAAAGGGAACACCGTTGACTTACCAATGGTGTTGAACCATCCGTCACTTGATCTGTACATACCCAGAAGTTGCTGTACGTTTTCAACCATATAATGTGCTGCCCCAAGCTCCAGTACTATGCATCGACCGAGTCAGGCTTGATTCCATAGTTTCCGTTATGTCTCCCGGTACTCATAAGGCTCCTCCTTCCCTTGTTCTACACACTCGACCTCCAAACGCGCCTCTTCCAGCTCCTTTCCACCCACCTCCAAACCACAGCGAACAACATCACCAGCCTCAACAGGTCCCACACCCTTCGGCGTCCCCGTCAACACGATATCTCCCTCCTCCAACGCCATAACCTGACTGATATCACTCAACATCCTCGGAATATCAAACAACATCAAATTCGTGCTGTCCTTCTGCTTGACCTGCTCATTGACGCTCAACCACAACACCACATCATGCGGATCCGGAATCTTGCTCTTTTCAATATGCTCGCTGACAGGCAGAAAAGTGTCGAACCCCTTGGCGATGCTCCAGGGGAGGCCCTTGCGCTTCGCCTCGTTCTGCACGTTGCGCGCCGTCATGTCGATGGTCAGCAGGTACGAGGAGATGGAGTCGAGCGCGGAAGGGGTGTTGGGAATGTTCTTCCATGAGGAGTGGCCCGAGGGGGGCGCGCCGATCACGATGCCCAGCTCGACTTCGTGGTGGAGGGTGACGCCGCGGGGGCGGATCATGGGGCCGCTGCGCGGGAGGAGGATCGAGGAAGGGGGTTTCAGGAAGAAGAACGGCTGCGAGGGGCGCGCGCTGGAGAGCTCGGTTATGTGGTCGCTGGGGGGGGGGGGGAGAGGGTGTTAGTTGAGATGGGGGATGGCGGGGGCGGAGGGCAAAAGCTTACGCATAGTTGCGCCCGATGCAGACGACTTTGCGGCAGTTTTGCTTGATGGTGGCGACGGTGGTCATGGTGGGTAGATGTGGGATACGTCTGCTGGTAGTGTGTGTGCGGTGAAGGATGAGGTGGGAGGGTGGTGTAGAGCGAGGACACGGACGGTCGTGAAAGTGCTGGGATACGGCACGGCACGGCACTAGATCTAGCGCCTCACGGGTGCGAGTAGTGGCAGACGAAGCAGAAGCAAGCAAAAGACCGGAATTGTTTAGATCTTTGAGGGACTAAGCTTGTATACAAGTGAAGAAAACAATCGCTTTTGTCGAGAGGTAGCTCTCTGCTCAAGCGGCTTTTGGAGAAAATGTGGTCGCATACCCCACGGTGGGACGGTCGTGATAGCAGGCCGATCGGCAACTAGACCGGTACTTACCGGTCGGCTTAGAATCCAGCCAGCAAAAGTGGTTGTGAGTGCGAGGAGGTAAGGCACTTGATCTGAATAGGTCTTGTATAACGTTGAAAAGGTTAATATTATAATCTGAATAGCCTACGTCGAGGTCGGGCTTCTCTCTCTTTGCGCTCACATGCCCCCTCATCATCAGTCGTAACATTCGTGTCTAGAACCGCTCCAATCAATGTATCTCTCTTCACGTAGTTTCCCTCTCTACTCTCCAGCACGCTGTTGGTGGCTTTGATGGCTACCACAGGGAGCAGCCGTGGCTCCCTTGCAGATATGCTGTGCTGATCTGTGTCTGTGATGGTAGCAGTGCGGCCTTTTGCGGGTATCCTGTGCTGCATATCGTGCAACGGCACGTGTGTCAGCTGCGTTGCGACATATGATAGCTGTAATTTGTTGGTCATCATCAGCAAGTATCGTTCAAGTGTCTTCTCCCAGGGCTACAGCGACAGCCGCGCCGAATACCGCAGACTCGTAAGTCGGCTCCAGTGAAATCCTTTCGGACCTCTGCGCGCCTGATGTGCCCTCGGCGATCATCCGCGCCATGAAGCCCTCGCTCCTGGCTTTGAACCCCGGGTATTTGAGGATCACACTGCCATTGCAAGCGATGGAGGTCTTGGGTGTTCCATATGGAGTTTCAGAATTAACAGCTGTCTCCTTTTGTAAACTCCACATAGCATGAATAGCAACTGCCATATAAGCGGATGCGCGCCTTGAGATAGACTGTGCTACCAGACGCAAGAACGCCATCTCGCTTTTAGTCGGCATTGAGAGCAGCCCAAATGCTTGCGTAATAAATTGTGCCGAATCGCTCATGTCGGGGGAGTTGTCCTCTTCCAGTTGAGCGAGGATGGCGGTGTCTAGACTGTACGGCTCGACGAGCTCTGCTGGGATGGTGCCGCTGAACATGTCGCAAATTTCAACCGCGTCTAGGATGACCAGCCGCATCAGCTCGCCCAGATATCGGCCGGTCGTCATGTATTCCAGGGGTTGAAAATCAGGCAAAACGTGGTTATTGTTAAGCGTCTCGTCCCATGACGTGCGTGGTAAGATGCCGCCTCCGAACATTGAGCACTCGGTATTCACAATGACGCGCTCGGCACGGGTGAACCAGGAAGGGCTGCGCGTGCCGAATTTGGACTTGCCGATGGAGAGGGTCGGGAAGTACGCGGCGGCGTTAGTGCCGGTACCGAGGATCAATCCCATAGAGGTCGCCGGGTCCAGATAGGCTTGTGATAGGAGTGTGGCGGCGCCGTCGTTGATGATAGCCTCAACACGGATGCTCCTGCCCTGCCGAGCACACGCAGCTTCTAGAAGCTCAGCTAGATCTGCTCCGAGATTATCGTGAGCACACTGGAAACCCTTGCCCATGCCCAGAATCTTGCCAGAGCGATGGCTCGTCTGCTCAATCGGGAAACTCCACGTCAACCCCAATGCAATGGTCTCGCTGCGCGGCTGCGATGGGGGGCATTCAAGCAGCATGGCCTCGATGCGGCCTGCCATCCAATCGAAGAATTGAATACCCCTGAGTCGCCGTATGGGCTCATCGATTTTGCTAGAAGTCATATGATGGATGGTCATGCTATCGGAGACTGATGATCTACCGTGCAGCTCCACCAACGCCACTCTGAAGGTAGAGCCTCCGACATCCAGAGCGATGAAGGTGCCCGTCTCTTGCCCCGTAGGCATAGCATGGCAGAAGGATGGTAACATGCAGGCGTCACTCCTCTGTAGCTTGTCTCGATACTGTGATTTTATAGCGGACGACATCTGGAGCATCCGGCGTATTGAGCATGGGTAACGGAAGACTCTGTCAACCTCGTCGGCGAGGCTCTGGAGGGATCGCATCGGATGTTGGGGACTCATATCTGGGTACGGCAGCGCAGGCGGAACTGCCTTGGCTGCAGAGGGATAGATCAGCATGCTCATGGCGCTGCGAAGGATAGTTTGTATGAGCGTTTGCAACAATTCGAGGGGCATCATGATGGGTGACTGGCGGACGGAGGTGGCCCAAACAGCCAATGAGGGACTGATCAGAAGTCGTACATACAAGAAGGCATGCTTGGTGAAGAGAGAGTGAATGATGCTTGCGCAACAAAGACAGGTCTATCAATGTGATCCGAAGCCACCTAGTGGGAACGGGACCCTCCGTAACGGTGCCAACCACTTGGGCGGAGGCGAGGTCACGGTCAGGGTCAATGAGATTTACGGTAGTAACGGTAGGGGCGGGTGAGCATACATGACTGCAACATGAACAGCCCAAGGTCAAGGCATGTTGTATTCGTGAAGGTGGTGGAGAGGTTGTAAAGGGTCGAGTCACAGTGGGAGGTTGCATTCAGAGAATTACGCCGCAGAAGCGCCCAGTGGTGAGTGACTGCCGAGACTCAACAGCCGCGTGAGGGCGTAGGCGAGACCCAAGAGACTCAAGCAGCGCAGCACCCAACGGAGGGCACCGTAAGCTGCCCCACGGGAAATTTTCAGCCCCTGGGACCACTCCTTCCCAACCTGCGAGGCTGTTAGGCTCCGTGTCCGTGTCGGCGTCGCGGAAGAATGGGCGCCGCCGGATGTTCTGCAACGGTTCCATGGAGCTTTGCCTCATTATTGTTGCCTTCGTTGCGACTGCGATGCCAGAATGATGTCCTTGGATTCGACGTCACGAATGCTGCCATAGCGCCCTATACGGGTCGTGCAAGATCGACCGATCAAGACCTGGGATACATTCGGGTGGAGGAACGGGCGGTTTACTCTCGCGAATCAATGCCATTCATGTCGATCACACCTCGTTGTTGTCGAAGCAGTCACAAGAGAGACGTTGGTTAGACCCCGTCAAGAGACACGCCCAGTGTCCTCATCTGCGGCGATGACATGTTTGCTGCTGCTGCCGCTTCTCGGATCGGTTCTTGTTGCGATGCCGCTGTGGGAAATATCACCGAGACCGGCGAGAAGGGAACATCCTGGAGGGGTTTGGTTACAGTATACTTATGCCACCCGCTAGCTCATCCTCCGTCACTACTGCTGTCTATCAGAGTCAGGTCGAGCTGTCCGGGTTTCTGACCTGATTTATGGACCCAAGGTCATGACAGGTTTGGCGGTCAGGAGTCACGATCAGCCTCAATGCAAGCATCTTCAACGTGTCGATGCTGTTTGAGACCGGTCTCGAAGGGCATGTTCGAGATAGGATCAACTTGCAGACCATGCATGCAAGCCTTCCTCGGACGCAGCCAGGTGCTCGTTTCTCAAATTGAGCCTCCGACACACAGAGGGAGCAGAGGTATGACAAGACTTGGTATTACAGATGTCTGTTCCCATCTACCTCACCCCATTGCCAGAGCTCGGCGACTTGCGAAGGGCAGTCGTCAACCAAGAGCAATGATGACATACCGCATGAATAGTCTACGACCTCTGCAACAATTTCATAAGACTTCATATTCACCACTCTCTAGGCCTAGCAAGATCTAGAATATACATTCTATGAGCCGTCAATCTGTCAGAGCGACAATAAGGCGGTGTCGAATTCTCTCCAACGCACCCAGTGGCTTCTTGGGGCCGCCGACTCCCGTGCAACTCCAGCTGTACAACCAGCCAGGACCTTGCAGCTGTGTAGGGATCTTGCTTGACATGTGAAGCTAATGTCGACAATACTTGCGTCCTGACTTTGATGACTGTGAGGCTGTGCTGATGGTGGGGCATCCTTGACGCTGTCAGTGCCGTAGGGTGACAGCGGCACAGCGTGTCATAGTCGCGCCGCACGAGGCTTTTGGAGGCGCTCGTCAATCGTAGTAGCGTCAGCAAGCACCAAAGACAGGCGGAAAAACATTCGCTTGGGTGGGAGATCGACGGACCTATTGTCCCTGGGTTTCGGTAAAGCAGGGCAGACCCAATTTAGCGGCGCGTCCGGGCTACAAGTCGACTCCCCACCAGGAAACAGTGGCGGCGTGAGACTCGGCCGGTCAGTTACGAATGATTCAGATGGCTTTCGTAGGCATCGCTAGGGGTGTGTTCTGTACCAGCATTCAGCTGGGTCGATGCAGTACAAGCTCATTGAAAACTGTCAGACGCCGGCAGTGATTTGGTGCTGCAGAGCTTTGTGACATCCATTGGCGATGTTTTGATGACCACTTTCTTCGGCTCCAGATTAGGTCAAATCAACTGCGCCGGGACGCGTCAAACTAAAAGGCCCACAGCAGAGGTGCGTCAGGCTTTACATCGCCTCTTCGACCGGGTTCTGGGGTTCATCCTGGCGTTATTTGCTTTCCGGGCGTGGTTATTGCTGTTCGGTTGTCGCGCCTACCCTGGCCACCCCAGATCGACCAACCGCTCTTTGCGGTACTGAGTACATCTACCCACGTTCTCCCTGCTCGTCCAAGAACCATCCTGTCCGTTTCAGTCGCGACGGGGGTTGGTCTGAGCAAACCATGTTGCCCTTTTGGCATCTGTCTCCTAATCCGTCTGTGCCGGAGATACCATGATCCTTGCCAGCTCAAACTCGACTCAAACACTCGCTCGCACAACAATCCCTTTTAGAAACCGCGAGGTCCCTCAACCCCGCGACTCTGGCAACTGCCACTGTTGGAATCCCACCGTCCACTGCTTTACACCTTTTCGCCACATGCAACATCAATGGAGTCCCGTTTTCGTGTCAGATTCTGGCCTCGACGCGTCAGAACTGCGCCCGCTGAGCTCGATCTGCACAGTGTGCCCTACCAAAACGCGTCTGACGGTCAGAAGCAACCAGTATTCATCCACCAGCCGCTTGGGCGGAACCTGAGTGAGAGGCGGAAGAAGGACGACGCCTTGGCGCTCCGCGGACTCGCCTACCGGACCAGCAGAGCTGGAAGACCGCCCGTCATCGGAGAGCGTCCGCACCCAGGCAATGGTCCTGTTAAGCTCAATGCCACTCGCCGGCTCAGCTCAGGCGAGCTTTCGATCACCACTCAGGACCAAGCGCACATACTGGAGAACATTCGGGACGGCGAGTATGTTGTGGCTAGCAACAAGCGCCACTCCAGATCAGCATCTGTGAAAAGTCCTGCGCCAGGCGACCGGCGAGGGTCGCACTCTTCAGTGAATGCGTCGCCGCCTCAGAAGTACCCTCCAACATCTACTCCTGCCTCATGGGCGCCATTTCATGGCTCATCGCCACTACTTGACATCCCCGAGAACGCAGCGCCTTATGCATCTGTACGCACATCTTCGGGACTGGTCTGCAATTCGACCTCGAATCTGCCAGACGTCTTTGGTCGGCCCACTTCTACCCAGTCGTCGCCCATGACAGATGGTCTCGGCATCTCAGATCTGCAGCCAATGTCTCCTGGCATTCTCAAGAAGACTTCATCCCACATCTCCTTGACCGAACCTCCGACGGAGCAGAACGCGACCATTCGGGCGTTATGGAAGGCCGAGTACAAACAGCTTGTCGCCATGTATGGTCAATCGGGCGTCAACAAAAACCTCGGCGATGGGCCTTGGGAACAAAAGAGGCTCTCGACCATAGCGGATGTTCCCCCTGGTGGTGAGAAGCCGATCCCGTTCGCCTTGGTTCCGCTGCCTCGTCCTAGCTTTGAGCACAGGGAAATCACTGCGCAGCCAGGGACTAGTCGCCTGTCAAAGAACGAATCCAGCTTACAAGATGATACATCGGACGAGGCGTCACAACAACGCCTCTCATTCATTTCCTCTGCGGGCTATGCATCATCATACACAACAAGAGCTAGTGTCGGAGACTCCGATTCTATCAACACTAAGGAAGACATCAGAAAGCTCGTCGAGAGCATGAGATCAACATATATCCAGGCTATCGAGGCTCGTGAGCCTTCACTACAAGCCGTGAAGGCGATGAAAAAGAAAAAGAAGAAAACAAGGACGTCGAACACGCCGCAAAGTACTCCGAAGGTATCGTCAGGACCCACTACGCCCGAGAGTGAGCGGACGTCCGTGATGCCTGCTAGCAGCTCTCCTTCGCTGCGGTCTCAGCGAAGCACGCGGGTCCCGTCGCTACCCGTGGCCACCATTAGCACTCTGCCAGCCATCCAGGCGTCGCCGACTCGAGAAAGGGTTCCTGATCTTGGACTGAAAAGAGCCGACTCGTCGACATTAGGCGCGCTTATGGGAGAGACCAAGCGCGCTGGCATCCGGAAACGCACATCAGAGCGCCACTCCCGACATGGCTCACAGAGCACAAAACCACAAAGATCGTCTTCATCCGTGAGGACCACGGCGCTGAAAGATAATGCGAATGTTTCTGCTGAAGACGCGGAGCCGTTGGATGAGGAATTTGCATCACTATATCGAGATATCTTTCAGGGGTCCAGCCACGAATTTTGGCAGTCGTCGCCAACACTCGAGAGTACCATCGCCCTATCGTCGACACTCGAATTACCTCCACCTTCCGACATCAGCTCGTCGGATTCGTCCACACCTACACAAGCTGTCCCGGCAGCCTCTTGATGTGCCTGATGGAACATCTGTACCATACCAATCTTTCCTTGTGTCTAGCCACAACGAATGATGCCCAGAATACGACTACACGACGATATGCCCCAGAAACCCACATCCGGAATGTGCCAGACCTGGCGTCTTGCGAAAAGAATTATTTACATTGTTCAGAGATTTCTACATCGCGAGATGGATCTACGCAAAAATCTTCAGCGACATGGATTGATACTAGTGCCGGCGCGCGCGAACAAGAGCTGAAAGGTCAAACTGTCCGCGAGAACGCAATGCTTGAGATGAATATGTGCTTGGTATCCCATCAAATGCTCCGTGCCATGCTTTGCACACAAAACTGTCCTCTTTCTGTTGAGCAATGTGATCCTTGAAGCGCAAAAGCTCGAAACTTCAGTCTATTCGCGATTGTCTGGTATCCTTTCCCCACTACACCGTAGCCGCCTTCGAAATCATGGATCTCAAGGATACCCATGTTCCGAAAGGCTTTTCATAGACCTCCGTTCTGACTAGCCGTACCCCTGACCACGGTTTTTTCAAGGAAGCTCGGCGTCTTTACCCGAGTACCGCGAACAATGATCTCTCGCCTCCGATTGCCAGGGTCTCGGTTCCTAATTTCGCTATCCTAGACTCTCGCGGAAGCGGAAGAGCAACAATCGCACTGGCGGCTTTCGTGGTCTTTTTGCCGCTTCAGCCCGCCACAAGTACGCCACAGAGCGCCACGCCTGAATTGGCTGCAAGGGGCGCGTGTGGTGTGTGGTGGCCCTAAGAAGGCCGGAAATTAGGTGGATGCTATACCGCCGTGCCCAGAAATTCTCTTGAGCCGCCAAGCAAGTTGCCTTTCTCGAAGCCGGATCATCTCTGTCCATGGTCGATGGGGTAGATTGTCATCGTTTTCTTCAAATTGGCAGGGCCTAGCATATGAGACGAGGCTACCTCCTTGCGTCCCAGGACGGAACTGGCGGCTCTTATACCCATGCGATCAATTCGATCACCTTCAGAGGCAACAACTCGTCGAAACGTTGGTGCGGAAAAGCATAGCAGGAATTAGGGCTGAAAGCAGGAAGATCTCTCAGAGCCAATTCAACGGCTCTTTTCCCCGGCTGTCAAACTGTAATGAGTGCGTTCTCGTCGCCCGTTGGATGCAGACTTGAGTACGAGCCTTGAGGATGGGTCTTTTGTCTTTCTAGGCTGACCTAATCGAGCCATCTGCATTATATGCGAAAGGTGCCTGATAGCAAGCTCTTGTGGTTGAGAGCAATGCTTCGATAAGTACTCTGTAAGTCAGAACAACATGTCTAGAGAATCATGAGCGTTGTATACGAAAAACGGCCGCAGACCGGAGATCAATCTTCCCCCAGGGTCATACCCGGCTATTCACCAATTGCTGCGCGTTCATCTACCATGTAATATCAGGTGAAACCTGGCTGCCTGCTCGCTTGGCCCGAGGTACTGCAAGGCTGCCAGTATTCACCAGCAAGGTGAATCCTCTTAATACCGCGCCGAACCAATGCGTTTGATGGAAGTCCTCCGTCGCATCCCTTTGCTACAGCAAAAGTTGAGTCGCGATGGACTCGGATGATTCTTCCCAGAAGAGCAGCGAGAAAAGTCGCAGAAGCCTCCTTGGCCTCCGACAACTATCCAGCGATGCCAAAGGCTTTTTCAAAGAACAAGTCACAAAGGCCAAACATGTGCGCGACGACCTTGTCCACAAGCGAGGAGAGCCTTCGACGCCCAAGCGTGATGTCGACCCGACGCAAGCTCAACCACTGATCTCATCACCTATCACACCCTCTACCCCCACAACACCCTGGACATCATGGAAGGCGCTGCCCAGACAGCCGAAGACAGATGGAAAGGCACTACCTCAGCAGCCTACGCCTTCGCTCTCATCGCCTCAACCACGCTTACACCACCTATCAGCCCTCCGTGTTGGCCTGACTTCCTTAGTCGTTCTTCATCATACCGCTATCCCGTATGGTGGACTCGGCAACTGGGGCTGGCATTCGCCCTGTTTCCCGTCAATGAGCCCGGCGCTTGCCGGCTTCAATGCAGTCAACCAGACCTTCTTTATGGCAGGGTTCTATTGGCTGGCCGGATACTTCACCCACGGCCAGCTACAGAAGCTCATCCAACGCAGGGCGGCACCGAAGTCTCCTAGCTCGTCTAGGAGGGAAGAAGGGACGTCGATATCGTTCGTTACAGGGCGAGCGCAGCGGTTGGTCGTACCTGCCGTTGCCTACACGGTGTTGGCAGCGCCTCTGTTCAGGCTACTGATTCTAGCCAGCGACCGCTCCCTGGCCCTCTCCTCATCAGACGTGAAACAACTTCTGCGGAACTACTTCGAGACCTTGCGAGGTATCAAAGGGCCAGTATGGTTTAGCGTTGTGCTGTTCTTCTTCGACGCCATAGCTGCAGGTGTGGCAACTCTCCGACCCTCATCCTTCCAGCAGTGGCCCACTTGGTCATCTCCGCAGCGCAAATACGTCCTCGGCGCCTTTGGATTGAGCGCTCTGACGGCGTTCCTCGTCCGTGTCCCTTTCCCAGTGGGCCGTATCTTGACGCCGCTGAACCTCCAGCCTGCTTTCCTGCCGCAATACATCTTCGCGTATGCCATGGGGCACATCTGCGCCAACACAGGTAGCATGTACTTGCACAGCCTCTTCCTCAGCTCTCGCAACGAGCCACTGTCAAGCCTCGCCCTCTCAGTCGTCACCATGATGCTCGGCCTCGCCGCCACCCTCGCCTCCACCATGTTGAGTCAGAAGCGGATCCCCTCATTCACGGCAGGCTTGAAGCTCACGGCCGGCGGTCTCAACCTGCCCGCGGCGCTCTACGCAATCTGGAACGAACTCGGCTTCATCACGCTCCTCCCCTCGCTCGTGGCCGTCTGCGAGAAGTACTTCAACCGCGCGGACCTTCTGACTTTCGGCCTACCACGCTTCTCGCCTTTCCGCAAGACTCCGAATAAGGAGCGGAGGAAGGTCAATCTGGCGCGCTACTCATATGCCACTTTCCTCGTGCATCCCATCGTCAGTCTAGGCGTGGAGCTCTTGGCGCAGAGGTTCATCATGCCGCACGTGGACTGCAGCCAGCTCAGCAAGGGGAAGACGGCGTGGGCGCTTTGCGCTCCTGTCGTTGCGACGGTCGTTGTCGGGTCGGTGAACACGGTCGCCTCGTGGATGGCGGGGATCGCCATGGTGGAGTGCGTGCCGTTCGTTGGGCGGTGGATCTAAGATCCAATTCTGATCGCTGCTGTCTGCGGCCCGATGGCAGTAGACTCTAGAAAGCGCACAGGCAGTGAAAGTCTTGGCGCTATTGCGCCGGAAGGAGGTAGGGTTGCCACATGTTTTCGTCAACCTGAAATGCCTGCGGCCCGGCATGAGGAAAGAGATACGAACATTTTTGTCCAAGATATCATATCAATTAATGAGACCGTCGTGTTTTTTTTTTGTTTTTGTTTTTTTTTTGAAAATAGCCACTTAGAGTCGCCATCCTGTCGCAGGAATGACCCCGTTGAGAAAGACATGAAGCATGACCGTTCACAGGCCCGGGTTGACTATGACCGAGGCCGTCCAGTCTGGACCTCTTTCCCCCCCCCCCCCCTCCGGCCGACCCTGGAGGACTTTCATGGAGATCCGAGATCGTTCTAGAGCCCTTTTCCCGCGTCCCGGTGACCCTGACGTCGCCTCGTGCATCGGAACGGAAGTTGCGTGTGTGATGCTGGTGTGTAAGTGTGGAGTGTGGAGCTGGTGCCCGATACCGTGCGGTACAGGGCACTGGAGCCTTTTTTCTCCTGCGATTCTAGTCCCAAGCCTTGACCCTGGGCGCTGCGTCGAGCGTGATGTGTCCTCCTCCGGTTTTGGGGCGCGGGGCTGAACAGGAACAGCGAAGCATGAGTGGTGCTGTGCAGCGTGGGTGCTGTGGCGGTGGATTGGGGGCCTGAGGCTGGGGTTGACGTGAGGGAATGAAACTGTACGAGTCTGCATTGTTAATGGGTTGTTGGTTTAGTTGTGAGCTTTGAGTCGAGGGGAGGAAGCGTTGTGGAATGGTGTTCATGTGCCTGACTGGCTGGGGAATGCAGATGAGATGAGGAATATAGGTTAGAGTATGCTGTCAGGAGTGGATCGCTGGTGTGAGCAAGTCTTCGACTTAATCGTTCCGCTCAGAGCATTCGTGGACATGAGAAGGGCGCAGAAGGCCGAGAGGGAGAAAATCGAAAGGCACCAACCATCAAGGGCAAAGTCATGTCCGTGAAACTTTTGGCACATGGGGCTTTGGAGCAGTTGAAACGCTTCAGATGTGGTATAAACTGACCTCTAGACCAACGTTTTAAGTCGAAACGCCACAACCCGACCACCGAGGTTGGACGCCACCGTCCAGCGCGATCGCAAAACGAGACAAATCGTGTCCGTTCAGGTCACTTACATGACGACGCAACAGCTGTTCTGCTTCTTGGCCTGCTGGTAAAACATCTTGCTCTGTGCGCTCAGCCCGTCGCTCTTCTGTACCAGGCTATCAATCTTCTCGCCACGCTCCAGCACGCTCTCGATGGTCTTGTGAAGCACAATCTTGGTCTCGTCCAGTTCGCGCTGCACCTTCATGATGCTGTCCGCCTGATTCGGATCCTGGTATTTCACAATGTATTCCTTGAGTTGCGGGTACGGCACCGAAGTCACGGAGGTCGAGATGTAGGAGGATTGCGGGTGAGACGTGGTGAACTCGTCGACGATTTTGGACAGAAGCTGATGTGCGACAAGCGCAGGGTATTCAGCGTCGGAGATGATGATGCCGGCGACGCCCGCCGTCGAGCCGTAGGCGTGGAAAGTGTAGCTCTTCTCTTCGATGTCTTGACGGACGCCAGCCCGGGTGCGCTCCGCGACGGTCTTCGCGAACATAGACATAAATTCACCATAGCTGCCGAAAATGTCAGCAATTGATGGTCGGAGGTGCGATCGGGAAGTGGCCTACCTGTCACGAGTGAATCGGGAAAAGGAGGAGAGATCCCGCTCCACAGCCAGTTCAGTCGCAGGCTGAGGATCGTTGCGGATCACCTTGTGTTGTCAATAGAGGATTCCGGGGTCCGGCCACTTGGTACTTACGCCTATGTAGAATATCTTCATCCTGACGGTCAACGGTGAAAGCGGTGGAGGTTAAAGTAGTCGGCTTGCCGACGACACAGTGTAGGTCAACGAAACGGCGGCGTGTAGGTCGAGGAGTGGCTGACGGCGAGATATTGAGGGAGTTGTTATGAATGAAGGAAATAGGGAGCCTGCTGCTGAAGATGTCACATGTACCAGTCCCCCGTTGTAGCCGTTGTTTCGGCGCCCGCCTGTATCGATCGCTGTGGGGCAATTCTTTGACTCGTTGGGGGGGCCCAGGCGCATTGTTTTAACTGCCCAATAGGCTTCACATCACTGCTCAGCCTTGTCGCTTCGATATCGAAGCCTTGCAAGAGTCATCGACTCATCGATCTTGAGATTCTTCTTCTGTCTTGTCCCTCATCGTTCTTCTCCAAATATTGGTTGCAATACTGCTACCTGAAGGTAAGTGGCTACCTCAAGAACGATGGCGGAAGTTTTCCAAGCAGAGGCGCAATGGCTCGCCCAGATGAATGCCATGAAACAAGCCATCTCAGACCTCAAATTGCCCCCACTAGAAGAGGGCTCGCAGATGTACGGAGCGGATGTCAATTTCGATCAGGACTCATCCGACTCTTACGATGACGATGACATCTGGGACGTCGACGGCGAGCTAAATGAGAGCTCACTGAGCGATGGGGGTGGCATCAATGGTTTTGACCCGCTGGAATTCTCTGCGGAGGCGGCGCATGGTCGCTCATGGTTGCGCCAGAAGTGTGAAGACTTCTCAAAAGCACGCTCGGGTATGAATGCCGAAGACCTGGAGCAGCAGCTCACTGCCCTGTTAGCCTCTGATAGTTCGGACGAGGAGCTTCAGATGCTATTGGCAGACATGATCGGCTACGATGATCTTGACTTTGTCATTGAGCTTATCTCCAACCGCAAAGACGTGTTAAAGCAGCCATCGGCCTCTGTCAAGCAGACCGAGGGGCTTCTTGCGGGCCTACAGACCAAACAAGAACGAGAAGCCTTCCTGCGGCAGCAAGACTATGAGCACAAGCACGCAAAGCTCGCCGCAGCACAGAGCCGCAGTGGCCCACATTACCCCCACGTCTACAAGTCTGCGACTGCTGCAACTGGTAATACGTTGGACATCTCGGGTCGGCGGTATGCTCTTCCTCTAGGAAGCGAGCGTAAAGAGTACGCCAAGTATGAAGAGTATTCAATTCCTGCGACGAAGGTCGGTAGCATTGCAGCTGGACAAAGACTCGTCCCCGTCGCTGAAATGGACGCACTCTGCCAAAAGACGTTCAAGGGGTACCAGAGTTTGAACAGAATGCAGAGCCTCCTCTACCCTGTGGCCTATGGCACCAGCGAGAATATGCTTGTCTGTGCCCCTACCGGTGCCGGAAAGACCGACGCCGCCATGCTTACTATCCTCAACACCATCTCGCATAACGTTGTGCCCAGCCCGGCGGAGGAGCCACAAGCTACCGATTTTGTGTTGCAAGCAAGCGACTTCAAAATCGTCTATGTTGCTCCCATGAAAGCCCTGGCAGCCGAAATCACCGAGAAGCTTGGGAAGCGACTGGCTTGGCTTGGTATCCAAGTTCGAGAGTACACCGGCGACATGCATTTGACCAAAAAGGAAATCACTGCTACACAGATCATCGTCACGACTCCCGAGAAGTGGGATGTGGTGACCAGGAAGAGCACGGGCGACACCGAACTTGTGCAAAAGGTCCGGCTTCTGATCATTGATGAGGTTCACATGCTACACGATGAGCGTGGCGCCGTGATTGAGTCGCTGGTTGCAAGAACAGAGCGACAGGTTGAGAGCACGCAGTCGCTGATTCGGATTGTCGGTCTCTCTGCGACGTTGCCCAACTATATCGATGTCTCAGACTTTCTCAAAGTCAACAGAATGACCGGTCTCTTCTATTTCGACGGTTCTTTCAGACCCGTTCCTTTGGAACAACACTTCATCGGTGTCAAAGGAAAAGCAAATTCCAAGACATCGCGTGACAATCTAGACTCTGTCACGTTCGAAAAGATCAAAGCGCTCCTAGAGCAGGACAAGCAGGTAATGGTGTTTGTACATTCGAGAAAGGACACTATCAACACAGCCCGGACTCTTTACTCGATGGCGGTTGATGACGGTTGTGCCGATCTGTTCGCTCCAAATCCTGATGATGGAGCATATCAACGAGCCATGGGAGATCTCAAACAGACTCGCCAACGAGAACTTCGAGACATCGTCCCCAAGGGCTTTGGCAGTCATCACGCCGGTATGGCACGTTCGGATCGAAATTATGTGGAGCGGGTCTTCGCCGATGGAGCGATCAAGGTGCTTTGTTGTACAGCGACTTTGGCATGGGGTGTGAATCTTCCGGCAGCTGCAGTCATCATCAAAGGGACACAGCTATACAGCTCGGATGCTGGCAAATTCGTTGACATTGGCATCCTGGATGTGCTACAGATCTTCGGTCGTGCTGGCCGTCCCCAATTTCAGGACTCCGGCATCGGCTACATCTGCACCACGCATGACAAGCTGCAGCACTACTTATCTGCTGTGACCCAACAACAGCCAATCGAGTCAAAATTCTCCCAGAAGCTTGTCGATAATTTGAATGCTGAGATTTCTCTGGGCACGGTTACGACTGTTGCTGAGGCCATCACATGGCTCGGTTATTCGTACTTGTTTGTCCGAATGCGTCGCAACCCACAAGCATACGGCATCGACTGGAATGAGCAACAAGATGATCCACAGCTGGGTCAGCGACGGCGGAAACTGATTGTTGACGCTGCCAGAACACTTCATCGAAGTCAGTGCATCATCTACAACGAGAAAACCGACGAGCTCAAGCCCAAGGATGTCGGTCGCATTGCAAGTTTCTTCTACGTTCAGCACAGCAGCATAGAGATTTTCAACACCATGCTGCAGCCCCTCGCATCCGAAGCAGATGTGCTCAAGATGATCAGCATGAGTGCAGAATTCGATAATATCACTTCTCGCGAGAATGAAGCGCAGGAGCTGCATCATCTGAAGCAGGAGTTTACATGGTGCGACATTGACGATGGCAAGCGGACCGAAAAGGACAGCAAGACTGACGAGAAAGAGCTGAAGATCATTCAAAACCATGCAAAGACCAATATCTTGCTCCAGGCCTACATCTCACGAGCGAGGATCGAAGACTTCGCGCTGTCTTCCGATTCAAAGTATGTCGCCGACAATGCTGGCAGAGTCTGTCGAGCTGTCTTCGAGATCGCTCTCAATAGAGGATGGGGTAACCTCAGCCAGGTCCTCCTCACCATGTGCAAGGCGATCGAGAAGAGGATGTGGCCATTCAAGCATCCCTTTCACCAATTTGACCTTACGCCGCCTGTACTGCGCAATCTTGATGAAAAGCTTCCTTCCTCCAGCATTGAGAGTCTGCGTGAGATGCAAGTCGCTGAAATTGGCAGTTTGGTCCATAATCAAAAGATGGGTGGCACCATAGCGAGGTTGTTGGACAACTTCCCTACGGTATCAATCGAAGCTGAAATAGCGCCACTGAATCGAGACGTTCTTCGCATACACCTGTACCTCTACCCAGACTTTGTGTGGAACGATCGCCATCATGGTACCTCGGAATCGTATTGGGTGTGGGTTGAGAACTCGGAGACTTCGGAGATCTATCATCACGAACAATTCATTCTTAACCGCAAGAAACTCCATGACAATCACGAGCTGAACTTCACCATCCCTCTGGCCGATCCGCTTCCGGCTCAAATCTATGTCAGAGTCATCTCGAACAAGTGGGTGGGCTGCGAAAGTGTTCATCCGATATCTTTCCAGCATTTGATTCGACCAGACACTGAAACTGTTCATACCGATCTGCTTGACCTACAACCACTTCCGGTTACCGCCCTGAAGAATCCACTAATCGAGGATATCTACCGGCAGCGGTTTCACTTCTTCAATCCTATGCAGACACAGATCTTTCATACCTTGTACCACACCTCCAACAATGTCCTCTTGGGGTCGCCTACGGGATCAGGCAAGACGGTGGCCGCCGAGCTCGCTATGTGGCAGGCATTTCGCGACCACCCTGGCAGCAAAGTCGTGTACATTGCGCCCATGAAAGCACTTGTAAAAGAGCGTGTGAAGGACTGGGGCAAACGTTTAGCTGGCCCGTTGGGACTGAGCATCGTTGAGTTGACAGGGGACAACACGCCAGACACGAAGACCATCCGCGCGGCCGACATCATCATCACAACTCCCGAAAAATGGGATGGCATTAGTCGATCGTGGCAGAACCGATCTTACGTTCGACAAGTCTCCCTAGTGGTCATAGACGAGATTCACTTGCTCGGCGGCGACCGTGGACCCATCCTCGAAATCATTGTTTCCCGCATGAACTACATTGCTGCGCAGGCCGAAGCTGGAACCATTCGCCTACTTGGCATGTCCACAGCAGCTGCCAACGCTACAGATCTGGCCAACTGGCTAGGTGTTAAACCTGGTAACAACCAAGGTCTCTTCAACTTCCGACACAGCGTTCGTCCAGTGCCGCTCGAGATGTATATTGATGGGTTTCCTGAACAGAAAGGGTTCTGCCCGCTGATGCAATCCATGAACCGGCCAACATTCCTTGCTATCAAGAATCACAGCCCGGATAAGCCGGTCATTGTCTTTGTGGCCTCACGGAGACAGACACGTCTAACAGCGAAAGACCTCATCAATTATTGCGGCATGGAAGAAGATCCACGCCGATTCTTGCACTTTGACAGTGAGGATGATCTGCAGCTCACGTTATCCACAGTCAAAGATGACGCCTTGCGAGAAGCCCTTGGTTTTGGCATCGGCCTGCATCACGCAGGGCTTGTGGAGTCAGATCGTTCGTTGGCGGAGCAGCTTTTCGCCAACAACAAGATCCAAGTCCTAGTCGCCACAAGTACACTTGCTTGGGGGATCAATCTGCCGGCACATCTGGTCGTTGTGAAGGGTACACAGTACTTCGATGCGAAGACAGAAGGGTACGTGGACATGGATCTGACAGACGTACTGCAGATGCTTGGTCGCGCTGGCCGCCCTCAATTCGACACATCGGGCATCGCCCGAATATTCACCAAGGAGGCAACCAAACCATACTACAAGCACTTCCTGAACATCGGCTTTCCCGTTGAAAGCTCGCTTCACAAAGTTCTCTCCAACCACTTGGGCGCCGAATGCTCCGCTGGAGTCATCCAGACCAAACAAGATGCCCTCGACTACCTTACTTGGACCTTCTTCTTCCGGCGTCTGCACAAGAATCCTACTTACTATGGTCTTGAAATATCTGCGGAACAACATCGCGATGAACCGCTTGTTGCCCGGCAGCTCGCTGCAGATTACATCGTCAACCTCGTGGACAAGTCCCTTGATGATCTGGCAGAGTCGGACTGCGTGCTTGTCCACTCCAACGGCGATGTTGACTCGACACCGTTTGGCAAGATTATGAGCTACTACTACCTCTCTCACTTGACGATTCGCAACTTCCTCGCCAAAGCACGAGCGCTACCCGCCGGCAAGGTGGACTTTGCGAATGTGCTCGCGTGGGTCTCGCAAGCGACCGAGTTCGATGAGCTGCCGGTCAGACACAATGAGGATCTCGAAAACGCAGTCCTTGCGGAGAATCTGCCCCTGGATACGGCGGGGCTCATGCCCGATATGCCGATGTGGGACCCTCACGTTAAGTCCTTCCTGCTCCTGCAGGCGCATATGAGTCGTGCGGACTTGCCGATCCGGGACTACATCGGCGACCAGAACAGTGTGCTCGATCAGACCGTCCGTATCGTACAAGCTGGGATCGATGTCATGACCGAGCTCGACCGGTTCGACTGTGTGCTGGAGCTCATCAAGGTGCTGCAATGTGTCAAGAGCGCACGCTGGCCAACCGAATATCCACTGAGTATCATGCCATGGGTCTCACCTGATTGGAATCCAAAACGGGACGGCAAGGTACCGAAGGATCTGATCACGGCGAGTGAGCTTGCCCTGAAAGAAGGGCGCGTCTCCACGGACAAAATGATGAACGAGCTCGGCGTCCGAGGCAACTCACGCAGCGAATTCGTCCGAGCCTTGAACCACCTACCCGTCCTGAACGTCAAAGCGGACAGCAAGGAAGGTGAAGTCGTAGTCACCGCCACGAGGAAGAACAGCCTCATGAACGCCGAAGGCCGCATCTACGCGCCAAGACTGAGCAAGCCGCAGACCGAAGGCTTCTTCGTCGTGGCTGTGCCCCATGGTGGGAAGGGTATCGCGGCGCTGAAGCGCCTCAATTGGCCCATCGGCCAGGGCGGCAGGGGTCGAGCCGGGCTGATGAGCAATACGAGGTTGAAGCTCGTGCCGGAAGAGGTCGAGAGGGTGGTGGACATCATTGTGGTCAGCGATAGCTACCCGGGCATGGAGTGGAGAGTGGGCGGAGTAGTGGTGCCCCCGAGCGTGCAGCAGAAGGTGGATACCGTTGAGGTGCCCATCGATGAGGGTCTGGTGAAGAAGGCGAAAATAGCGGCTGCTGAGGGCAGTGGATCTTGATGAGTGAGTAGAGATGTAGGAGATGTAATGCAGGCTGATTCTGCCTAGTCTGGGCACGTTTTGTCGCTTCTCTTGCACGTGCCACGTAGTGAACGCTCAACACCCTCCTCAGAGCTCCGTATAGTCTCGCGATCAAATCTCACATGGATCTGTACGACAATCTGACCTCGTAAACATCACGCCGAGGCTATAATTTGGCTGCCCAGGATCTAAGCTCTATCTCTTACGAGCCCTTCACATACTCTCATTCCCCAGACCCATCTCTCCGGTGCTCGGTTCTATACCCGTGCTCGATGCTATATAGCATGCTCTACCCACATCTCCCACATCTCCCACCACCAATCCCCCCAGACCCATCTCAGCCTCACCACATCACCTCCTCGCCGCCAGTCTCCCCACCCCCTCCCCATCAACCCTCACACTAACCCACTCCCGCGTACACCGTGCCCCAATCGCCTCACTCTCATAAAACCCAATGCTCGGCGTATTCCAATCCAGCACCTGCCACTGCAGCCGCCCGCCCGAGGGGTTCAGGATCTGCACCTCGCGCGCCAGCGCGGACAGCAACGCCTTACCGTACCCGCGCTTACGGTATGCGGCGCTGATGATCAGGTCTTCGAGGTAGATGCCGGGACCGCTCCAGGTGCTGTAGTTGAAGAAGTAGAGGGCCATGCCGGCGACGGTGGTGGGGGAGTCGGATGGGGTGACGAGGAGGGTGCGTGCGTGGCCGGGCGTGAATTGCCGGGGGGTCGTATTGGGGACCGGGAAGGAGAGGGTTTCGAGCAAGGTGGCTTCCGTCATGGCGACGGTGTCGAGCGCCTTTTCGTACTCGGCGAGCTCGAGGATGAGGGAGAGGATGGTGGGGACGTCGGCTTGGGTGGCGTGCCGGATCGTGTATGTTGGGGTGGTGGTTTCGGCCATGGCTTGGGATGGAGGGTGGTAGAGTGGGGGTCCGGGTCGTAAGTAGTGGGACTCAGGGTGTTTGAACGGTGGTTGTAGAACACAGCAGATCAAGTCGGACGTGGCGCTGGCCTTATGGCTTCTTTCAACCCAGCTAAAAGTTTTTGGGCGATGGGGATGGGGTTGATGAGGTTGTCAAGAAAAGGGCGTATAAAAATGTGGTGGAGTGGACGTTCGAGCGGGTATCCACTTCCACAAGGTGGTGTGTCGAAAGCGGGTGTTTGCCTGCAGACAGGGAACCGTCTGGAATCCACTGCATTAACCCCAATGAATGGCATGGTAGTAGTCGTCAAGATCACAGGACTCCGTTACCATCGCCTAAAGTGTGAAGGAGAAGTCATGTTTTGGAGTACCGGGGCACGCGTGTTGGGCCGAAGGGCAAGATGGCCCACGATCACGAAATCGAGAGCTAGTCACCCAAGCAAGACGCCGCCATGGCATAGACAGCAATGGTTACAACACAACAGAGAGGAAGGAAGAGAAAGTAGAGTCTAACGTAGGAGGTATCAAAGATAAATCGGTACAGCCACCGATCTCAGGTCTCGACCCTCCATTCACTTACACCACATCCGCAACACTCGCCCATCTGACCTCTCCTTTCCTCTCCAGTCCCTCCTCTCTACAGTCCTCGACATCACTTCCCAGCCTCAACACCATCCCTCAACGGCACAAAATTGACCTCCCACTCCTCCCCCTCGGCCGCCTCCCTCCCAACCACACACTTCATCCTCCCCAGCATCTCCGCCCCCGGATGCCCCGCACTGACGCGATGCATCGAGTCCAAATGGTCCATGAAGGCCGTCAGGTTGTCGAACACGGGTGTGCTGGCCGGCACACTGTCCGTCGTCTTGCCACTGCCGCCGGTACTCCCACTCTTGATACTCGCATTGCCATCGTTGGTCCCCACACCGGTGAAGCCACCGGCCACCCAGCCCCGACTCTGCCCCTCGGCGCAGCAGAAGAGGCATCCCCATCTTCCCACTTCGCCCCTGGATGCGGCCTCGAGGTCGCCTATCCAGTCGACCTGCTTCTTCAATGGGACGTGGCACTTTGCCAAGAACGCCCACTTGTACCGCACGCCGCCGACCTGGCCATCAACGCCCTTGACGCTGCTCCTGCGCACCTTCGGATCAAAGATTTTTTCCTCCTTCCTCCTGCCTAGCCGTTTGGTCGCGCCTACGACGCTATAGGTGACCATTGGGCCCTGGAAGTTGCATTTCGTGCACATCCACAGGGGCATGCTGCTTGCATAACCCACGGGCCGGCTGCCTGCGGTGAAACCCTTGCTGTGCAGTCCCAGGAACGTCTTGTACGCGCCTTTGCAGAAGCCCTGCAGCTGCTTCTCGGTGGGCAGGACGAGGGGTTGCGTGATGGGCATAGGCGGTGCGACGGGAACGACTTTCTTCGGCTTTGGGGGACCCGGCGCCACGTACATGCCGCCATACATGGCCATGTCCAAAGGCACGACTTTGACCATCCTCCTGGCAGGCTGCGGAGCAGGGACGACCTCGTCTTCCGATGAGGACGAATCTTCGGCTTCGGGACCTGGCTCCCCAGAGGGAAGTGAGCCGTGTGGGGACGGGAGCCGTGGTAAGGCGTCGAGGGGAGGTGCGGAAGTGGTCGGGCGGAGGTTTGACGTCGAGATTGAAGCGATCGGTTCAAGGTCTCCAGGGTGTCCAGGAGAAGTGGAGGGACGAGTAGAATCAGCCCAGCGGTCGCCAGGTGGCGGAGGTGGAGCCATGGACGGAGGAGGTAATGGAGCTCCACGCGCCGCTGGGGAGGCAGTAGGAAACACCCTGTAGCCTTGTGGTGGTTTGTGTTGTTTCCCGGAGCTGCGAGAGCTGGGACGATGGTCGATTGAGAGAGGTGGTGGAAGGGGTAGATCAGTCATCTGCTGGGGAGGGCGGACCGGTTGCTGTTGCAGGTATGCGACATGCTCGAATCGAGCCCGTGGTGCAGTAGGCGCTGGCTGCTGTGGCTCCGCCGGTCTGTTGCGGTAATGTCTCACACGACTCTCTGCTGCTCTGATGGTGGCTTGTAGTTCTTGCAAATCTTCAGCTGGGCGCACAGGGGGCTGACGGACAGCAGGTGCAGCTTGTGCCGTGTACTGCCGCGACTCGCGAAGGCGCGAGAGAGAGTCTTGACGCGGTTGTCGGACTCGAGGCGGTGGATTATGGCGCGGCATACTCTCGACTGGCTTGATCCTAGAAGTCTCATATACGGTCGCGTAGCCAAACTCGCCGGGACCCAAAGTAGGCGTTGCGTCGTTCAACTCGGCATGATCTTCATCTGGCTCTTCCTGGTGGTCTTCAAATCGCTCAGGCTGATATCTTCGAGACGGCAGGAGCTGTGGCGAAAGAAGGATCGACTCATGATCGCTGTGGTCACCCTCGGATACCGGGGATACGGGGGACGATGGAGCTTTAGGAATGTCTGCCTCTGGTAGCGCCACCACGAATGACTGCGCCGGAGATTCTGGAGCAGGTGGCGCTATCATCTCGTGTTCCTCAAAGCCCAAAGCGTGAGAGCTTGGCCTGCGCAAGCTTATTACATCTTCCTCCTCGGACGTGGTAGGATCGTCTAACGTGGACAGGTCGAGGTCTTTTCCGGGGTTTCCGCGGTTGAGAGACACTGGATCCGAAGGAATACCTCCGAACCTGGCTCTCGAGACGGATCTTTCGGGTCTTGGAACGGCAACAAAATGAGAAGTTGTGTACCCGGTCCGGGACGCTGACCTGTTGGATCCGGACGACGTCACTGATGGCGCAGCCTGTCGACGGCTGGCGTATGATGCGCTGTGGTAGCCTGCATCGGAAACGTTGCTGCCACTACCTCTGCCAACCACAAGAGTCTCCTGTGAGCCATGTCGAGCACTAAACGCACCACGGAAGCCGTTCAGGGTGTCTTCGTCCGGAGGCGTTAACACGTCGTGAGATGGTACATTGCGAAGCCTGTTCGCTCGGATGTCTTCGTGGACAGACGGAGGAATGGTGATAGATGGCACACCGTGCGACCCGTTGTGAGATTGTGGTGTCATGGGCCGTCTTTGTTGATAGCCTCTTTTTGATGCGGAGCTGTTCGTTCGTTTGCGCTCTTGAGGCTGCGGTCGAATGGTAGTCGTATTTGAACCAACACTCATGGAGGCAAGTTGGTCGTGGTAGCTCTCAGGAGGGGTCCTGGGGTCGCGGCTAGATGATCGGGTACTTCTCGTGCTGCGACTGCTCGAGTAGGCCAACGATTGCGCAGTTTTCGATGATTGTGCTGCGGGAAGTCTTAACATTTCAGCCTCCGGAATCATGGCCTGGGCTTTAGCAGTATCAGACAGTCTTTGGGAAAGCTGTCCAAGACAGACGCTGGCATTTGTGCGGCAGTCATCCGAAGTCTGTTGCAGGGATTCAAAGTCGACATCTCCATCGTCCATAGAGACGCCCCGCAGCGATATGATCAAGGCCATTTGTAGATTGATGAGCACGTCTTTCATCTGCTCTCGTGCCTGGCTATCTCCACAGGCGAACGGCTCACCAAATCTCTTGAGATCGCGGTCATACTGACCCTTGACCAGCAACGGTCCCAGCTGGAGCGAGTCGAGCAGATCGCGCGTAGGCTCCTCGGGCAAGGCCCGGTCAGTGTCGGCTCGATCGTCGCGGATTCGGGCTACGAGCTTGACGCCATCGTTGAATGCTGTAATGACCGCCTATGCCAGTTGTCAGTCATGTCAGTTGGACACCAGAGGATCTGACGTCGTACTCTAATAAGGGCGCTCAAGTCCATCTCACGCGACAGCAATGGTCAGTGGCACGAGGTCAGTATAGCATGCCCCACCCAAGAGCGGAGGATTGTCTGGTGAGCACAAAGCAACAAGTGGGCATCAGGCACCGGATTCCGGAAGCGACAGAGAGTATGGAGATGGTCACGAAGACGAGGGAATACTTTTCACCCACATGGAAAATGATGCGGCGACATGGTGCGCCCCTTTGAGTCCTTGAGCAGCGGCATCGGTGCATGGATTCGCTTAAGCAGCGGTGCAACATGTGGTAGGACGGGTATTGGCGACCCTGGTTGTGAGCTACTGTGAAAGGGGAGAGTGAAGAAAGGTTCGATAGCGGCGGCGATGGGGAGACCGGGGTTGGCCCGTGATTCTAGGCACATCTGGATCACGATTGGGTGGCGTTGGCGTGATATTGCCCGCTGTCCCTGCGGAGGTGATGGCTCCATGTGGTTAGGTGGACCTGTCAACCCAGGGAGTGAACGTTGCTCTCACGAGTGAGCAGCTAGACGGTGGGATCAGCAGTGGGTTGATTACTGCAACCCCGGCTATTGGGAACCCAGCAGGGGTAATTCTTTGCAGCAGAAGAGATAGAAGGGCACATACACAAGCCTTTGGCGGCAAAAAGTGGTCACTTCGCCAGGTCTAAGGAAGCGAGGTATGGATACTCGTCAACTCAAAGGTTTTGCTTCTGAAGCTAGAGTCTGGCGCGGTGTTAGTGGCGTAGAAAGCAGCCTTTGTACCGTTTTCCTGTGGGGGAGAAGCTGTCAAAGCGGATGGCGCAATTGAGCATACCGTATTCACGGCCCCGGAGACGTACGAAGTAGAGTAGAAAACTGAAGTACTCCGTACCCGGCAGTGTTCCAGGTTTGGCGGCTGGCCTCTTAGGAGAACCGACTTTGGCTGTTCCAGCTTCGCTTATTGGCTTCACCTAGGCGGCCAGGCAACCCGAGGGACACCTGGTGGGACGTCGCAGGCGAAGTGTAAGTAGCGCAAGTGCCGGGTATTTGGCACTAGCAGCGACTAGGACGAGCTCTCGCCTGCGAGGAATGCCCAACGGCGGACTAGCAGAGAATACGGACACAGTTCAGAAAGCACGTGGAACCATTTTCGACTGTCGCCGGTGTGCCGGACTCCCAGTTTCACTTCTCGATATGGTAGGCGAGCTGATGGGGTCCGCACCAGAGTTCCGGCGTGCTCACAAACTGCAATATACTTGAAGCTCTGAGATGTGGCAGAATTGCAACCGACAGTACTTGAGGATGAGCGATCGGCAGACTGCAAGCTTCAGTCGTTGCCGGCTATATGCAAGTACCAGTTTTCGAAAGGGCCGAGGAAGTGACGGGCATCAACCTCGCTTTCAGGTTGGCTGCAGATGCAGACCCAGGTGCTTCTGCACAGAATACTAGTACCTAGTCCCGGTCTCCGTGTCCGCGTCGCTCTGCAGATGTACCACTGGGGCCCGAGCGAGGCAGGAACCGACCGAGGCAACCCCGGGCCCTCTATTCCTTGTCACTTGTCCCCAGATCGACTTGTGCCTTTCCTGGCTCCAGGCTTCGTTACGGAGTACTCTCGCCCCAACCAGAGCCGAACGAGAATAGCCGGCGCCACTGACATCTTTACCGCTTGCTACGAGCCAAGTGATCTTCTTACCATGCGTGCCACTGCCGGCATGATCGCTCAAACCTGGGGGCCAGGAGAATTTAACCTCTTCCCCTGTAGCCTTGGACATTTAGTTGTCCAAGTCAAAGCCACCAGATGCATCGATTGTCCGTTGACTGGCCAGGCATGCTTCATCAAGTCTACCGCGACCGGCTGAAAGAGCGAGCAATAGCTTCTCCTCTCGCTTCGTATGCCACTCACGGTGGGACAGATCCGGTCTCATGCGCATCGCCGTCGGCAGAATCTGGCTAGAAGACCTTCGCGCTTTCTGCGGCCGTCTCGTATCCAGCATTTCATTATGCAGCAATGCCACAGAATGAAGCAACTCGTTACCATGATGCCCAGCTACTCATCCATCTGCCACTGGTAGCTCATCTCCTCATTGCGCTTCGTTCGGCTCCTGGCTTGGAACCAATCTTTCTCGAAGCCGTTTCCTCTGTCCACTCCATCCCAACGCCAGCCCGGTAGAATTCCATATCGATTTGGCGGCGCCGACCCTTGGTACACCTTCTTTTTCGGCCCAGACACTTTCTTCGAGTTCCCTGGCACCACGTCTCCGGTCCCTCCCTCTGCCACCTGCTTCTGCGCCATGTATGCCGCCATTGGATCATCCCACCTGACCACCTCCTTCAACTTCTCATTCATCTCCTCATCATCCACTCCCCTCGCAACCGTCAAGAACTTGGCTTCCTCCAGGTCGGCCCGTTGCTCGTCCCTCATCCGCCTCTGAACATCTCCCATCGCCTCCTCTCGCTCCCGCTTCCTGGCTCTCTCCTCCTCAATCTCCTTCTGCCGCGCCTCCTTCCTCTTCATGCTAACATCGATCCTCCGACCCGTAGCATCTCTGTAGATCGTCTCCTCCTGCTTCTCCCCCTTCTTCTTCTTCTCCTTCCTCGCCCTCTTCTCCTCCGCCTGCCTCTCCTTCTCCTCCCTCGCCACAATCCTCATCGTATCCTCCACCGTCTGCAGCCCAGCCTTGACACCACTCTCCATCCTCGGTCCGCTTCCCTCCTCTTCAACCACAGCAGGCGCGTCCTCCACCTCCACCCCCCTCCTCCTCTCCTCATCCGCCCTCTGCGCCTCCACAATAATCCTATCCGCCTCATCCTGCTCACCGCCACGGCCGCCATCATTCCCTCCCTCACCCACCGCCCCCGCCACGCTCTGAAACGCACTAACCTTCTTCTTGCGAAACTCCGCGCTCTTGACCCTCCCGTCATACACCTGCGGCACATCACCCTCCCCCTCACCGTCCTCAACGCCCCCAGCCCTCCTGCTCCTTCCACTCTTCGTAGCCCCCGCACTGCCAGACAGCAATAGATCTTCTTCGTCGTCGGCGATCACGAGGCCCTGCTGTTCTGCTGCTGCGGCGGCGGGTTCTTTGTTGTTGTTGTCTTTCCGGCGCCGCTTCTTCGGCCGCTCCGACAGCGGGTCGGAGGCATTGGCGGGGGAGGCACTGAGGTAGTTTTTCGCTAGGTAGGCTGCGAGGGAGGACATGGTTGCGGTGTGACTTTTAGGAGGAAGAAGGAGAGAGAGAAAGGCCGCTGGCGTGGGAGAGGTGTGTGTTATGGGTGGGTGGAAGCGCGGATGAAAGGCGCGTCGTGAGAATACTGGCAATAGGTAGCGGATAGTAGGGAATAGAATAAGGTATTGAAAGCCAGACGAGTGCAGTGCAGTGCAGTACAGCGCAGTGCCGTGCCTGGATGGAAATCTTTAAGGTTTGGAATTGACATGCGCCCGGAGTTTGCGGAGATATTTGAAGACGCGGGGGATTGGATGGGTGCACGTCTGTCGCGCCTCAGATGCAATTCCACACTGTCTACGGGGACCCTCGTACGACTCTGCGGGTATCTGGCATGCAGAGAACCACTCCGGATAACATACATGCAGTGAAGAACAAAGTCCTAATAATGCAGCACAGCTGAGAGATTACCGGCAACACGGCTACCGGATGCTGTCACTACTGTTCAGAGAGGGTGTCCTGTGTGCGTCCACCGACGATTTAGTCTTTCGGCTTCTACCGTACAATAATAACACGGATCCGCCTGAGCGCGTCGAGCTGATCAAAGATCGGCACTCGCTTGATAATGATCTACGAGAGTGAAGATCTGGAGAACATGTTTTGGTGCTAGCAGCGAGTTCGCCGGTAGCCGCTCTGCTTGATTCATGGAATGATATGACTGTCCAGCTGTACTGTTGCTCGCCAGCCAAAGATACCAAAAAACGCCAGGCACATCGCGAGCTCCGGGATCAGCACTTGATCCGCGAGCTCACTTGATAGGTAACCCATGTGCCATTCCCAGCCCAGGTCATGTCCTCAGAAAGCGCCTTGCGTTGTTCCCATGTCTGTTGATGTACAGTGAAGAACTCCGACTCATGCTTCCCTCATGATCTATGGGGTATCTCATTGTCGTGATGAAAGAAACTAGCTCAACCTTGAGCTCGAACCTGACCCGAAATTACTACTTCGTAAGCCTCTGGTGAAATGCGAACGACACGTAAGGGATATTATCACTTGAGGTGAGCGTGCTCGATCATCTCAAAGTCATCCTCATCCTCGTCGGCAGCGTAGCCTTCCTTGAGCTGGTCGATGACATCGTATTCGCGAGTAACGAGCTTCTCGGTCTCGGTGCTCTCGAAGCGCAAGACGGCCTTGTTGAGAGCAGCAGAGAGCACATCACGACCATTAGCCGGGCCACTTGGGCGATCGTAGGAGTACATGTAGTCGGCCTCGGCCGGAAGAGGCGCAGCCGACGCGTCCATCACATCATCGTCACTCGAGGCGTCGGTGACGAGGGCGAGAGGTCCGTCAACAGCATCATCGATGTTGTTGCGGAAGGCCTTGCGGGCTAGTGTATTGGCTTGGCCATTTTCCTTCTTTTGCCGCAACCTTTTTGCGCGTCCTGAGCCATGGTTGTGCTCCCGATCGTGCATGGGCCGTGCATGGCAAGAAGTGCAGTCGGTCCCCGAGATGGGCCCGCTAGCCAGCGAAGACACGCCGTGGGGGCAATTGCGGGGGAGGAATCCCTTCGCCCATTTCGCGTTATGGTTCTTGTCCCGCTGATAAGAGCGAGCCTCGCTGCGGAGGTCGTTGGCTGTAGAAGCAGGCATGGTGGCGGGGATGGTAGATGTAGGAGTTCGAAGGATACAACGAATGTAGGGTGACTGGAGGTCTTATGTACCAGAGATGATCGGAGCTTCGATGTGTGGCAAGCACCAGAAGCAGCCAGAAGATGACGCGGTTGGATGGAAGGTGCTTTGTTATGTGGTGAGCTGGTACAAACGGAGATAAGACAAAGAGGGAAGTTACGGATTGCGGTCAAACAAGGAAGAGTGAATTGCTCGGGGTGATGGGAGTATGAGTAGGCGGGAAATCAAGGTTGAAGAAGGACGAGACGAGGGAGTCATACCAATCGAGGCCATGATTCACGAGTTGGGGCGTGTTTGGGGTGACTGGAGCTACCAGGTTGCTATCAAAGCCACGGCATGGGGGGGCAGGCGGAGATGAAGCTCGGCAGCGTCAATAGAGAAGGCGAGGCTGCGCCATGCGGATGAGTCACAGGTGCTTATTGGACGGATTACGACAACCGCAATTAGCAACATGGCTCAGAAGGAGCTGGTCAGCGATAAGACTCATATCAGACGGCCTAAAAGCATGGGATGCAGACAGCGGTTGAAGCCGGAATGAGATGAGATGGTGTTCCCAAGGTTCCCAATGTTGGCATGTGACGCATCCGGACCGACGTCAGCGCGTCCTGGAGCCCCACCAGCCGCAGCATGCACCACTTGCTTGGGGTCGTCGGGGGCTTGTTGCACGGCCGCGGCTTCCCCACAGTCCGGCTGGACAAGGAGCACAGCCAACAAACAGCCAAAGTACCAATGTTATGGCAACTCAATGGTCTCCTGACCATGACTTGAACACGATCCTCAAAGGCAGTGTTCATCGTCATCATCCTGCGTTGACACCTGGGACGTCACGTCGAATGTCACGCATCAGCTGGCCCCATGCCTCCCGCCAGCCTGGTTCCTGGCACTTTCCAGGCACCCAATGTCTCGCACATGTATTGCTTGCCTAGATTCGAGACGTAATAGGAAGCATTCGATGCAAATGCGTCATCTCTGAATGGGTTGCCGTGTGCTTGTTTGGAAATAGGGCCTGGGGTTCTGATAAGCCAAGGTCCATCTATGCAAAGCACGCTTCCATGCTGGTTGTTTGAATCAATACGTAGAGTCGCCCAGCTTGAGAACTTGACCTTGGCATTGATGCGTTCGTCGCCTTATGCACTCTCCTCGCTTTTGATCTCTGCATCAGAGAGCTCATCATCACTATCGTTGGGCAGCCTAGATGGGAACCATCCATAACTACCCAAATCAACGTGAGCTTCTTCGATCCCACGAGCATCCGTCACCTGTACGCCTTCATCTCGTAGTCTTTGAACCTGCCGGCTAGCGGCCAGGCCATTGTCGCCCCTCGCAGAGATGCCGCCCTTGGAATTGATGATTCGCTGCCAAGGAACGTTCTGATCGTGAAAAGAATACTGATCTGGCTGGGAAGCATCGTATGAAGGTAAATGCTTCAAACACACACCCACTTGTCGTGCTCTCTTTGGATAGCCTAGAAGCTTTGCAATGTGTCCATACGAGGTGACCTTTCCGTGAGGTACTTGCTGGATGGCTGAGTATACTGCCTGAAACCACCAGGCTGCTTCGTCACTTTGTTCCGGCATTGCGTTTTACGACCTGCCTGGCGTAGCGAACAAAGATTGCATAAGATGAGAGAACAGATGCTTTTCTGCGTATAAAGCTGCAGTATTGTAGACTTCCTGCCCCGGGTCGCGCTTCATGACCGCGTATCGCGTATCGTGGGAACCGGAGATAGGCGGCCATAACTTTTGCGGATTGTTTACCTTAGCAACTGCCTCCGACCACCATCATCTGCGGTTGCCCGCATTCACTGCGCAAACAACCATGGCTTTTCGCGGAACCGAGAGTCCAATGGACTTTGAATGGCAAGGCCACGGACCTGTCGACGCTGCATCTCCCTTCCACCGCTTCGCCATGGATTCGCAGAACAAAAAACGTAAGATTGGCCCTTCTCAATGGATCTCATCGTCTGAGCATGCCGCAGGCTCTCACGCTCAGTTTGAATCTCCCAACAAACATCAATTGCCATCTTATGGGCCACCTAATGGCAAACCATACTTCTTCAGCAACGTTCCCACCGCACAATCACCACAACCTTCACCGTTCCGAGAACCCTCCTTCACCACCCCTCGAAAGCCGTTCGACGTCGACTTCTCTTCTGGCGCCGAGAACTCCTCACCCCTTGAAGCCGACAATGAAGACACGCCAGATGGCAGATCCCCAATCCAGTTCACTGCTGGCAATGCCAGCCCGCCAAAGTCCTCCAAGCGGAACTCACTGTTCAACATGTATGGCAAATTTGCCCCTTCACCCTCACGCTTGACTCGGCCATTCAACGACGCCCTAGAGCGACGCATCCAGAAACGACGACGCCGTGCCCTAGACAAAACGCAATTGGCTCGTACCCGCCGCGACAGTGAGGAGACCTCTGATTCGGAAGCCGACACCACAATCGCCGTGAGCAAGGTTCGCCGCTCACCTTCCAAACCGCTGCCTTCGATCCCAAATGTAGAGTCCAATTCAGCTGGCTCAAGAATATCAGAATTCTTCTCCTTCTTATCCTCGAATCCGGATCTCCCATCCATTCTGTCCCGGTACCTACAGGTTCTCTTCAATTTCGCCCTCCTCTCCTTCTTCCTCTACATCATCTATTCCTTCTACCAGACCATCCGCGCCGATGTCGACCGAGCCTCTGATGAAGCCGTCTCCGAGCTGCTTGCGGAAATGTCCATCTGCAGCAAACAATACATTGAGAATAATTGTGCACCGGACAAGCGGCTTCCAGCACTCGAGCAGCTCTGCAGCAATTGGGAGGTCTGCATGAACAGAGATCCCAATGCCGTCAAGCGTGCACGTCTATCAGCGCAGACATTTGCGGCCATCTTCAATTCCTTCGTCGAGCCCATCAGCCTCAAGACCATGGCCTTCAGCATCACCCTCGTGGTTGTGTCACTCCTGGTCTCAAATGCGACCTTCACATACTTACGGCGACCACATGATGCCTTCCACCCACACCACCCGCAGGGCTTCTACCAACAGCATCCTTCAGCGACCTACGGACATCAGCCACAATTCTCCGGAATCCAGACCGGCATGGGACAGATGGGTTACATGGCCTCCACGCCCGGCCTACCATATGGGCACGAGCCACAGACCCCAGCCACGGGTCGCTTCCAGGAGCACAACCAAATGGCCTTTGACGGCAATCAGATGCGCATCGAGTGGAACCGGAGTCCAAGCAAGGAATACGGCGCCAGAGGGAGGAGCAGGAGTCCAGAGAAGAAGAAGCTGGCCACATGACGATGTCTGGACAGGTCCAAGAAGCGTGTATCTATCGATTTGCGAACCTGTTGGCATGAAAACCCGGCTTGTATGAATGGCTAATGATCACTACCAATTTGTAAACTGCACGAAAATGGATATGAGTGTACACCGCCGGCGCATGCAGAACAGTCAGTGGCTTGCTTGACTACCTACATAATATCACTACAATTTTTTCCATGAACGGACACACGCTCCGTGTTGAAGCCACGATCCCGTCCGCCGTCCCAAGCAGGCCCTTGCAGGTCTTGGAAGATCCAAAGCAGAGATTGAAGAATATAGGATGATTCCGAATCTCAAGACTCAAAAGCATGATATAAATACATACATACCGACAGCCTCCCATCACCAACCAACAACACCACGACACTTCCCTCAAAGTGCCGTGTTGCGTCGTGTCAGCGATGGGAGGCTGTTTGCAGCGGCGCTATCTATGCCTTGTCTATATAATGACCCCCGTTTCCGTCTGCCTTCTCATCCTGCTGGTCGGATAAAATGTTACGCTAAGATGCAGGCAACAAACAGTATTGACTAACATGCTCTTTGTGAAAGCCCCGGTATCGCTTTCAATCCCAAAATCAAGACGCCCGGCCTTCATCCGCCCACAAGCAAGTTCATAGCAAAGCCCGTGCTGAATGAGGATCACCTAAACTCCGCAACCCAGCATCTCTTCTCTCTTTGAAGGAGGATGCTCATGCAACGGAGCTCAGTCTCCGGTCGCCAATCGCGTTCTCGTACTTGTCCCAGTCCTCTAGGATCTTCGCAATCTTGGGACTGCCTGTGAGCTCCATGACCTCGGTGAAATACTCTTTTGTCAAAGCAAAAGGCTTCGCAGTGACGTTGGGGATATATTTTCCCACGAGCTTGGCGGGATCGATGCTCGTTTTGTTGATCTTCTTCAACAAGAAGGATCGGAACGGCTTGACACCAGACCGGAGGAAAGTGCTGTGGAAAGGAACTGGGGACGTTAGTTAGCATAATGTCATCGAGATACAGTGTAGTCGCCTTACCATCTATGCCTTTGAGCGGGATCGTTGCAAATCCCCTCTCAAGCTCGATCGGCTGTGGCTTAGCCATAGTCTTCTTCTTGCATTCTCGAATGATATCCATCAAATGCTCCTTGACATCGTCCAGCTCCATCTCTTGCATGAGTGAATGGATGTCAATCTTCTGCATCTTGAGCACGTTGAGAACGTTGCTGAGGATGTCGAGGGCCCTGAGATCACCAGCGCAGACATATTGCATGTTGGCAACATTGTAATTGACGATCTCAACCAGCCAGCCAGTCTCCTCGGAAATGTTCTCGACAACATACTGCAGAGCTTGCTCGTTGAAGGTCTTGGAAATTCTGCTGGGGTTGACTGCGCACATCGAGTAGTTGGATCGGCCCTGCTCGTCACGCTCAACAGCAACCTGCATGGTCAGACCGCGATAGAACACAACGGAGACCAAGCTTTCAATCGGCATGACCTCCGCAATGGAAGCCAGAGCAGAGTATTCACCCAGAGAGTGGCCAGCGAAGCTGCTATCGCGTTGGATCAAGCCCTTGGAGCGCATGTCCTCGAAGCTGGCTTTCTCCATGAGCGTAAGGGCGGGCTGAGTGAATTGCGTCGCTGACAGTAGACCTGTGGGTGAGCGGTAGGTATAAGAAGTCGTGCTTTCGTCGATCTCTTTGAAGATTCTTTCTGACTTGATGGAGCCATCGGCATTGACAGTTTCGAATGTCATAGCCATGTAGTTCTGGCGAATAGCCTTGCCACGAGGACCGCCGAAATGGATAGTGAGCTCCTTAGGGTTGTTCTTGACAATGTTGATGATCGACAGACCGTAATTGTCCATGAAGTGTCGGTCAGCACGGTCCCAGACTTCCTTGGCAACAGGGCTGCTGGCATAAAGTTCCATACCCATGCCTTGTTCTTGGGAACCTTGGCCAGTGAAGACATACGACGACACGGGCTGCTCAACTTCGGCCTCAGCAAGAAGGACCTTGTCGCCAGTCTCCTTGTTACTCGTCTCAATCTTGATGATCTTGCGGCCAGCAACCATACCAACATGCTCGAGCTTCACCTCGAGATCGTCATTGGGAAGGACCATACCGACCAATGACACATGGTAGCTTCTGACGCGACCAATGTTGTTCTCAGCCGCCCAGGTCTCCACCAAGCTGCGGACAGCGGCACTGGAGTACATGCCATGAGTGATGGTGCCAGGCAGATTCGCGTAGCTGGCAAAGATGCGAGATACGTGAATGGGGTTATAATCACCAGAGACACGAGCGTATGTCTCGTTGGATGAAGGCGCCTTCAATGACAGCGGAGTCTTGCCACTGAGTGGAATAGCATTTTCGAAGTGAACAGGCTGCTCAATTGAAGAACCGTGACGTTGCAGGTAGTCAACAACGGGGTTGCCATGCGAGGTACCTGCATCGTACTCAACGGAGGCGACCTGAATCACCTCCTTGGTGGGCAGCTCCAGAAGTACTTGTCCGATAGTCTCAACATTGTCGAAGACCGTCTTATCCTTGAAGTGAACAAGAGATTGCAGGCGGAAGGTGACTGTCTGGCCAAGCAGATCGATGTCAGGCTCATCGAGGTGGAACCACTCTTTTGAACGCAAGACAGCGACATCCTTTGAAGAAGCCAGCGTGACCTGCATGGGGGTCTCGTCTTTGCGCTGGAAAGTGTTCTCGAAGTCGGTATAGTTGCCACGATACAGGAATTGGCTAGTGACTTCCATGATGGGTTGGCCCCGGCGTGTGATAGTGCCACACACTTCGACCATTTTGCCAGCGTCCTGGTTGAGGACGGCGTTGATGCGGGCCGAAGTGTGCACCTCATCGCCAACCTTCAGCGGCTCAGCACCGGGAAGCATACGGAAGCCGTTGGAGAGATGGACAAGCTTGAGCAGATCGCCGTCAATAGACCGCGGGAAGATGGGTTTCGTGATAGCCTTCCACCCGACCACGATGGCGAAATCCATAGGAGCAAATACTTCCTTGCCTGGGCGGTCGACGAAAGCCTCGGCAGTGTTGCCGACAGCGTGGACGAAGTCGACAACATCTTGGGTAACAACCGTAGCCTTCCCACCGTCGAAAGTGTTGGTTGTAGGAGTATCGAAAGGCACTGTCTTCTCGCCGAACCAGATGCGGTAGTAGAATTCCTTGATGCGATCGTTGCGTCCCTCCATGACCTCGTGGATTGGAGCATAGCCGATCTCAGGGTGATAAACGAAGCGGAATGGCAAGGGAACAGAATCACCCTCGGCGGTTCGATCTTCCCACATGTTCATGAGGATTTCGTTCTTGCCAACTAGGCTGATGTCCAATGTCTTGATCAGCTTGCCGGAAGCATTGGTCTCCTTCACAACGATGGTGGTTTTGGTAGCATCCTTGGGATGAGCAATCTCGACCTGCATGCCGCGAGTGGGTGCAAGAATACGTTTCAGTGGGTTGTTCTGATAGCGAGCACCCTGGACGTAGACATCGGTGGTAAACATAGCGTGACGCCAAGAGTAGGTACGTCCGGCTAGTTCCTGAAGCCATGCATCCGCGTCTGGCAACGCATGCTGCGCGGATACTGGCAACTTGTACGAGCTGCGCGAGCCATCATGAATGACCTGCACGCCCTCGAGCTCTGTGACACTCTCGGAGGGAGTGAGGACCTTGCCGCCAAAGTATTCGACAACCGGCACATTTGCTTCTGAGCCGCCGTACACGTCTTTGATCAAAGCGGCAATGTGGTTTTGATGGATGTGGTCGAGGATCTCTTTGATGGGCTCGTCGACTTTTGTCGAGAATTTGGCGGCCATTGGGCCCTGGAGGATGCAAGTACGGCCAACATCCTGGTCAACAACAGCTTCAAGGTCTTCAGACTGCCACAGAGAATCCTTCTTGAACCAGAACTCAAAGTTCTCATCCAGGGACGGGACGAAAGGAACGGGCTTCTGACCGCGGCGCTGGCAGAGGAGGAGGAAGTGCTGAACGTCCTGGGCGTTGATGAGCTGGTTGCTGGCTTCGGGGTAGGCCGCCAACACCTTCTCGACAACCGCAAAAGGATTTTCGAAGTCTGCGTAGCTCTGGATCAGAGATGGCTTGTTGGACTCGGTTGTGAAACGATCCTCAACACGGCGGATGAAGTCCACGGTAAGATTGCGGAGCGAGACTTCGATCCAGCGCGACTGGTGCTTGATATACATCAGATCAACCATACGGCGAACAACCTCGGCATAGGTCATGTCCTCAAGATCAACAGTCTCGCCAGCAGTGTTGCGGCCAAACCAAACTTTCTGGAAGTCATCGTTAAGCTTCTTGATGATGTACTCGCGTTGCTTCTTGAGCTCGGCCACACGCTTCTTTTTATCAAGGCTAAAGATCTTCTGATCCATCTCGGCCCAGAGCATGACTCCACGGGTGGCAAGTTTGTGGATCGGCTCGCCCATTTCCGAGCGGACAGTGATGACACCACCGACTGGGCCTTTGTAACTCTTCTCCCACTGGCTGTCGTCCACGCCTGGAGCATCGACAATAGCCTTCTTGGCGTTCGGTGAGGTGTGTGCCTCCTTTGCAGTCATCATCCTGCTGCCGAAGAGACAGCCATCAAAAGGCATGGGAGCATAGCCGAAGTTTGACGCCCATTTACCGGTCAGATAGGGATATGTGTCTTCTGATCCACCGAAACCGCTGCCAGCGACCAAAATGATGTTTTCACACTTACGGATACGACCGTACATCTGAATGATGGGCTGGTGGAAGTCTTCAAATGAGTGATGACCACCACCGCGACCTCCAGTCCACTGAAGCACAACAGGGAAGGTAGGATTAGCCTTCGCGATGTTAATGACCTGTTGGATAGCGTCCATTGAGCCGGGCTTGAAGCTGATATGCTTGATACCAAGGGTATCGATGTATTCCTGGGCAACCTCAATAGAGGGTACACCGGCACCAATAGTAAGGCCCTCAATGGGCACACCATCAGCGCGGAGCTGAGCAAGAAGGGGAATTTGCCAGCCCATTGCGCGGGGATTAACGTAGATAAGATTGACCGTGATACCGCGTCCAGGAGGAATAGCTCGCTCAATCTTGTTCAAAGCCTCCGTCATGCTCTTTGCGTTGTAGTAACCACCACCAGCAAGTTCGATCTGATAGCCGGCATTCATAGTCGCTGCAACAAAGTCCCAGGGGACAGTACAGGGCGTCATACCGGCAACCATTAGTGGAGCGGTACCCAAGAGGCGAGACATCTTAGTATCGACAAATGTCTGCCCGGCTGAGGTCTTTGCCAATTTGGGCCCATGAGCTTTCAACCAGTCGACCGCGTACTTGACGGCGTGCTCTTCATCACGGTCGAACAGTTCCGGCTTGTAACCGACCTCGGTATTGGTGCCGTCCATAGTACCTGCAAGGATGACGTGGACGCCGGTGCCATCTTTGTTGCGCTTGGTAAGGACACCAAGACCAGAGATGCCGCCAGGGCCAAAGTCAAGGATGTGTGTTGCTCCATCGAAGACAGTTGCTTGCTCCCAGTGGACAGGATCTTGACAGATCATGCGGACCAGGTCCGGCACGATGTCCTTGGCCTGCTGGGCACGGAGGTCTTCGCCAGAATTGGTGTCGTAGACGGGAATGGTCAGTCTGGATGCAGGAATTTTGATGCTGCTGAGATCATCCTGGATCTGCTTGTGGGCCTCGGTCAGGAGTGGACTGTGGAACGGTGCCGTGATCGGCAAGAAACGGTTGACAAAGCGTTGTTTGCGCTCGGTGAAAGGCGTGCGGGTTTGATCAAGACCGGTAGGAGCCTTGACCTTGCGCAGGCGTAGATTCAGACCGTGCAAGGAGATGGGCGCACCAGTGATGACGAAATTCCGAGAGCTGTTGATCAAAGATATCGAGACGTGGCGGTCTTCAGGCAGATGCTCATTAGTCGCATCGATGTGAGCCTGGAGCTGCTTGCGCGAGAGGTCGCGGACGGACAGCATGGGAGTCGGAGTGCCTTCACCGGCCTCAACGGAGTCCTGCAGCAGAGAGGGAGCAAGACTGGTGCGGGGATAAGCCTGCTGGCTGCGCATCCCGATCCAGAACAGCATAGTGATGGCGTCTTTGGCGATCTTGGCGAAGCTCTCCCAGGAGGTGGCGGTCGCAACAGCAGCCGCAGTCACAATGCCCTGAGAATGACCTGTGGTGCCGCTGAATCGCTCGTTGATCTCGCCTGGGGTTTTGCCAAGAGCTTTGCAGGTGACTTGGTAATGAGCCAACTGCACCAGGCCGATCAAGGGTAGACTGACTGGTGCAGACACCAGGTAGTCGGTGTCTGGCTGGGTCTCCTTGTCACTGAGCCAGCGCAGGATGTCAAGCCCCTTTGCGTAGAACTTGTCCGCCTTGGGATCCGCAGCCAGAGATTGTAGAAGAGCCGCTGAGGACTCTACAAGTTCCGAGACGAAAGAAGGATATGTGGTGTAAACTTCTCTTAGCTCGTCGAAATACTCTTCGATGTTACCCTGACCGCCGAAAACAGTGTAGATGCTGGCATCTTCATCATCGGCAGCTCGCATGAGGGCGGAGTCATGGGGCTTAATGGGTCTGGCCACTGCGGCTCTTCCAGCGTAGTAAGATTCAACCACCTTCAATTTCTTCGCGGTAATGCCGGGTAGACCGGCGGCCAAAGCGTGGACATCATTAGCGTGCATGAAGGCGCGCTCGAACTCGGTCAGAGCCACTTTCAGAACCTCCGCAAAGGAGGTCGCCTCATCATCGTCGTCCACCTCGGCCGCCACGAAGCCAATGTAGCGAGCCACCAGCTCGGCATTCGATGAGGGCTCGTCATCCTGTGCAAGTTCGTCTGTGGGCTCGGGAAGAGAAGCGTTGAAGGACTCCTTCAGCTGGGATGCCGGGAAGTGCAGAGCTGTAGGAATGAGGAAATTGTACTCGAGAGAGCCATGGCTGAGGGTGAGAGGACGGAGGTTTTGGGAGGAGCGAGGGGTATGGGTTCCGGTAGCACCACCGGAGTACATCTTGTGATGTATGGCGATGTATTCGAGAAGTGATGGATCTGTAAGTGAGCAAACTAATGCCACCAGATTCGTAGTGTAGACGTCGACAACGAAAGAGAGGGAAGCTTTCGAGGTTGGCGGGGAGTTGGAGTAAGACAAATAACGAAGCACAAGAGCAGCGTAGAGGGATTGACTGCAAAGACAAGCGCAACAGAAATGTCGATGATGAGAGTGAGGGTATCAAAGTACTGTTTGAGGTAGACGGGGTGGTATGATACGTGTTGGTCTTGAAGGTGCTTGCGGCTGTTTCCCAGAACAATTCTTTTGGCTAACCTGGAGCTTCGGGTGCTGCTCTGTTGAGGAGAGAAAAATTTGTGGACCGCGAGGGGGAGACGCCAATCAGCTGGCAAGCGCAATAGCGTTGGGCGAGCGAAAGAGCGGCGGACTGCAGGGTCTCACGCGGGTCTTCCCCGGCGTCATGATTTTCCCCGACAAGTTTTGCTGAGGCTCATTCTCTTCCCGTATCCCATCAAGCCAGTTGTCAAGTCAACCACTGTGGAGGTCCTACGGGGCACAGGCAACAGCATACGGTTCACCACCAGCGCTATACGGTACGTATTGCTTCGTAGCTCGTTTGATCAGTAAACCGTTGCGCAAAGTAATCCGTTCTCATCTCCTGCACGATGATGTCCTTGCGTTAAGCGGCAGTTGGCGCGCCGACCTGATGGGAGGCCAGCCTATCGGATACGGAATGACCACGTATCCATGGCCCACCATAGGCTCGACCCTTTAGGCCGGTGCACGCTTCGGGGCTTGTTGGGCAATGGTGGGCGGCGTCGCTCGGTCCACGCCAGAAGCTTCAAAGTTTCAACAGGCCTGGGGAGATGCTTGGCTGGCCCTGACGCCGCTCCCAACGTCTCCAACCAGTGGCCTGCCCGCCTCCGGCTGCAGCGACAGCTTCCCGAACTTGTCTCTCAGAAAAAAAGCAGTGCACTCTTTATCGTCACTGCCTTCTCAGTTTTCCGCTACCTCTCAATCCTACATCTCTCTCCCGACCTCTTGCTACTAGTCTTTGTATTTGTCCATTACAAGCTGCGCTTTACTGCGGCCGTGACTGACTGTCTCCCGCTTCTCCGACCTGTCCCTCTTGCGGCGCTCTGATTAGCTTCATAGTGCTGAGGAGAAGGAGGTCACCGTCCACTACCACTTCATTTCAACTTGATACCCATTCTATTCCCTACGCATCCCGGCACAATGCGTCCCGAAATCGAACAAGAGCTCGCCCACACGCTCCTCGTTGAGCTGCTGGCATACCAGTTTGCCTCGCCCGTGAGGTGGATTGAGACTCAAGATGTTATTCTCGAGGCCAACCGGACCGAGAGGATAGTCGAGATTGGTCCTGCTGACACGCTGGGTGGCATGGCCAAGCGGACGCTCGCCTCCAAGTACGAAGCCTACGATGCTGCGACATCAATGGAGCGTCAGGTTCTGGCCTACAATAAAGACCTGAAAGAGATCTATTACGACGTCGACCCAGTACCAGATGAGCCCACACCTGCGGAAACACCTGCAGAGTCCTCCAGTGCTGCACCCGCCTCAGCACCCGCCTCGGCACCTGCAGCAGCAGCGGCTCCTGCTGCGTCCGCCGGACCTGCCGCTGCCGTCGCAGATGTACCTGTCATGGCGGTCGATATTCTACGAGCCCTTGTGGCACAGAAGCTAAAGAAACCTCTAACCGATATTCCCCTCTCGAAAGCCATCAAAGATCTTGTTGGTGGCAAATCTACCCTGCAGAACGAGATTCTCGGTGACCTAGGCAAAGAGTTCGGGTCCACACCAGAAAAGCCAGAAGATACACCTTTAGACGAGTTGGGTGCTGCTATGCAGTCAACTTTCAATGGTCAGCTCGGCAAACAGTCCACCTCGCTCATTGCCCGCATGGTATCCTCGAAAATGCCTGGAGGTTTCAACATTACTGCAGTGCGCAAGCATCTCGAGACCAAGTTTGGCCTTGGTTCTGGCCGGCAGGATGGTGTCCTCCTGCTGGCCCTAACGATGGAGCCTGCCGCCCGCCTGGGCTCCGAGAATGATGCCAAGTCGTATCTGGATGGTGTTGCCGAAAAATATGCTTCAACTGCTGGCATCTCCCTATCCTCCGCTCCCGCTGGTGGTGCCGCTGGTGCTGCTGGCGGTGGTATGATGATGGACCCCGCAGCCATCGATGCCTTGACCAAGGATCAGCGTGCACTGTTCAAGCAGCAGCTCGAGCTCTTTGCACGTTACCTCAAGATGGATCTGCGGGCGGGTGACAAGGCTGCTGAGGGTCATTCAGAGTCTAACAAGGCTCTGCAGGCCCAGCTTGATCTCTGGAACACCGAGCACGGCGAAGTCTACGCTGCTGGCATTGAGCCTTCGTTCGACCCTCTGAAAGCTCGTGTCTACGATTCGGCGTGGAATTGGGCTAGACAAGATGCTCTCAACATGTACTACGACATTATCTTCGGTCGACTCAAGGCTGTTGACCGAGAAATCGTCAGCCAGTGCATTCGTATCATGAACCGATCCAACCCGACCCTTATTCAATATATGCAGTATCACATTGATAATTGCCCGACCGAGCGTGGTGAGACGTACAAGCTTGCCAAAGAGCTTGGAGAGCAGCTCATCGAGAATTGCAAGGACGTCTTGAACGAGGCTCCCGTCTACAAAGATGTTGCTCTTCCCACAGGGCCAAAGACTACTATCGATGCTCGTGGCAACCTTGACTACGAGGAAGTGCCTAGACAAAGTGCTCGTAAACTCGAGCACTATGTCCGTGAGATGGCCGACGGTGGAAAAATTTCCGAGTACAGTAACCGCACAAAGGTTCAGAACGATCTACGAAATGTTTACAAGCTCATTCGCAAGCAACACAAGCTGTCCAAGTCATCTCAGCTTCAGTTCAACTCTTTGTACAAAGAAGTTGTCCGCGCTCTTGCCATGAATGAGTCACAAATTATGCCACAGGAGAACGGCGACGTGAAGAAGCCTGGGCGCAACGGTTCCATTGCTCGTGCTACGGTTAACGGCATCAAGTCTGGAAAGACTGAGACCATTCCTTTCTTGCATCTCAAGAAGAAGGAAGCCCATGGCTGGGACTACAGCAAGAAGCTTACCGGTGTCTACCTCGACGGCTTGGAGAATGCCGCCAAGTCGGGCATTACTTTCCAGGGCAAGATGGCACTCATGACAGGTGCCGGTGCTGGTTCGATTGGTGCTGAGGTCCTTCAGGGTCTCATCAGCGGTGGTGCCAAGGTCGTGGTGACCACCAGCCGCTACTCTCGCCAGGTCACCGAGTATTACCAGTCCATGTATGCTCGCTTTGGTGCCCGAGGCTCTCAATTGGTTGTTGTTCCCTTTAACGGTGGCAGCAAGCAAGATATCGAGGCTCTAGTTGAGTACATCTATGACACCAAGAAAGGCCTGGGTTGGGACCTGGACTTCATCATCCCCTTTGCTGCGATTCCTGAGAACGGCCGGGAGATCGATAGTATTGATTCCAAGTCGGAGCTGGCCCACCGCATCATGTTGACCAACGTGGTCCGCCTTCTTGGTGCTGTCAAGACCAAGAAGTTTGACAGCGGCTTCAACACACGGCCGGCCCAATGTATCCTGCCGCTCTCCCCCAATCATGGTACATTTGGCAACGATGGTCTGTACTCAGAGTCCAAGTTGGCTTTGGAGACCTTGTTCAACAGATGGCATTCCGAGAATTGGGGTGACTTCCTCACCATCTGCGGCGCGGTCATTGGCTGGACTCGCGGTACTGGTCTCATGAGCGGCAACAACATCGTCGCCGATGGCGTTGAGAAGTATGGCGTCCGTACTTTCTCTCAACAGGAAATGGCCTTCAACCTACTTGGCCTCATGTCGCCTGCCATCGTTGACCTGTGCCAGTCCGAACCCGTCTGGGCCGATCTCAACGGCGGGCTGCAATTCCTACCAGATCTCAAGGATATGATGACCAAGCTTCGCGCCGAAATCATGGAGACCAGCGCTGTTCGACAAGCCGTCACTAAGGAGACTGCGATCGAGAACAAGATTGTTAATGGCGAAGATAGCGAGGCTCTTTACAAGAAAACCAATATCGAGCCTCGTGCTAATCTCAAGTTCGAGTTCCCGACTCTGCCCGACTGGAAGACCGACATTGAGCCTTTGAACGGAAAACTCAAGGGTATGGTCGACCTCGATAAGGTGGTCGTTGTTACTGGTTTCTCTGAACTCGGTCCGTGGGGTAACTCGCGTACCCGATGGGAGATGGAAGCCCAGGGCGAGTTCTCCCTGGAAGGCTGCGTCGAAATGGCTTGGCTCATGGGACTCATCAAGAACCACAACGGACCACTCAAGGGCAAGTCATACTCTGGCTGGGTTGATGCGAAGACTCAGGATCCTGTTGATGACAAAGACGTCAAGGCCAAGTATGAGAAGCAGATCCTGGAGCACTCCGGTATTCGTCTGATCGAGCCTGAGCTCTTCAATGGCTACGATCCCAACAAGAAGCAGCTTCTGCATGAAGTTCAGATCGAAGAGGACCTTGATCCTTTCGAGGCGTCGCAAGAAACAGCAGCCGAATTCCGACGACAGCATGGTGAAAAGGTCGAGATCTTCGAGCTCGAGTCTGGCGAGTTCACTGTCCGCTTGAAGAAGGGCGCCACTCTGCTCATCCCTAAGGCGCTCCGCTTCGATCGTCTCGTGGCCGGTCAGATCCCGACTGGCTGGAATGCGAAGACGTACGGTGTGCCCGACGACATCATCGAGCAGGTTGACCAGGTCACACTGTTTGTCCTTGTCTGCACAGCTGAAGCCCTTCTCTGCTCCGGCATTACGGATCCTTACGAATTCTACAAGTACGTCCACTTGACTGAGGTCGGTAACTGCGTTGGCTCTGGTATCGGTGGTACTACCGCCCTCCGTGGAATGTACAAGGATCGCTTCATGGACAAGCCTGTACAGAAGGATATTCTGCAAGAGTCCTTTATCAACACCATGGCTGCTTGGGTCAACATGCTGCTCCTTTCTTCGACTGGTCCCATCAAGACTCCTGTCGGTGCTTGTGCCACTGCTGTCGAGTCGGTCGACATTGGCTACGAAACCATTGTTGAGGGCAAGGCACGTGTCTGCTTCGTTGGCGGCTTTGACGATTTCCAGGAGGAAGGATCGTACGAATTCGCCAACATGAAGGCCACCAGCAATGCTGAGACTGAATTCGCCCACGGTCGCACGCCCAAGGAGATGTCGCGTCCGACCACGACTACTCGTTCTGGCTTCATGGAATCGCAGGGTTGTGGTATGCAGATCATCATGTCTGCCCGTCTCGCGCTCGATATGGGCACACCTATCTATGGTATTATTGGTTTAACCACGACGGCGACGGACAAGATTGGCCGCTCCGTTCCTGCGCCTGGCCAAGGTGTTTTGACCACTGCTCGCGAGAATCCTGGAAAGTTCCCCTCACCTCTGCTAGACATCAACTATCGCCGCCGACAGCTCGACCTGCGCCGTCGTGCCATCAAGAATTGGCAAGAGTCTGAACTTCTCTATCTCAATGAGGAAGCCGCCGCCATGAAAGCTCAGGCTGGCTTTGGCTTCGATGAGAAGGAGTACATGGAGGATCGTATGGCTCACATCGAAAAAGACGCCAAACGTCAGGAAAAGGAGGCACAATTCAGCCTCGGAAACAACTTCTGGAAACAAGATCCTACCATCGCTCCACTCCGTGGCGCTTTGGCCACCTGGGGCCTTACCATCGATGATCTTGGTGTTGCATCCTTCCACGGCACTTCCACTGTTGCCAACGACAAGAACGAATCGGAAGTCATCTGCAAGCAACTTGAGCATCTTGGCCGCAAGAAGGGCAATGCTCTCCTCGGTATCTTCCAGAAGTATCTCACCGGTCATCCCAAGGGTGCGGCTGGTGCCTGGATGTTCAACGGGTGTTTGCAAGTCCTCAACTCCGGACTTGTGCCTGGCAACCGCAATGCCGACAATGTGGACCAGGTCATGGAGAAGTTCGACCACATCGTGTACCCCAGTCGTTCTCTTCAAACGGATGGCATCAAAGCCTTCTCCGTTACCTCGTTCGGTTTCGGGCAAAAGTAAGTGACTGTCCTCTTGTCTTGATCCGAACAATGCTAACAACTTTCGCAGGGGCGCCCAAGCCATCGGTATCCATCCCAAGTATCTGTACGCGGCTCTTGATCAGGCCGACTTCCAGCAATACAAGATGAAGGTGGAAGCTCGCCAGAAGAAGGCGTATCGCTACTTCCACAACGGCATGATCAACAACACGCTGTTCGTCGCCAAGACTCAATCACCTTATGCCGACAACATCATGCAGAAGGTCTTCTTGAACCCTGACCAGCGTGTGCAGGCCGACAAGAAGACGGGCGAACTGACCTATTCTCCCGCGGTCCCCAAGAAGGCTGTCAGCAAGAACGCCGAGCAGACCAAGGTTATGCTCGAGTCTTTGACCAAGGCCACCGCGACCGAGGGCAGCAAGGTCGGCGTTGATGTCGAAGAAATCAATGCCATTAATATCGAGAATGAGACCTTTGTGGAGAGGAACTTTACTGCCTCGGAGCAGGCCTACTGCCGCAAGGCTGCATCGCCTCAGGCTTCATTTGCAGGCAGGTGGTCTGCAAAGGAAGCCGTCTTCAAGGCTTTGGGTGTGAGCGGCAAGGGTGCGGGCGCTGCACTCTCCGACATTGAGATCCTGTCAGATGACAAAGGTGCTCCCAAGGTCACCCTCCACGGTGACGCTCTCAAGGCGGCGAAAGAAGCTGGAGTAAAGAACGTCAACGTCAGCATTAGCCATAGCGACACTCAGGCTATTGCCGTCGCGGTATCTGCGTTTTAGGTTATCAGGTCTGCAGATGCGGACACATGTTTCATCAGAGCGACGGGGATATTTCACAGGCGCGATGGCATGGACTGGGCATTAATGGGGGTTTAGCAGATTGCGACTCGATACCATCGAGATGTAAAGGTCGGACCACGGACATCACAGTGCTTCGCACAGCGAAGCTTATCCATAGATAGAGCATCGGACTTGGTTGACTGATAACGAATGTAATTATCCAAGATTATTCTGACACTACTGTCTCTACTCCGTCTCTGATGCGGCCAACTTGTCCGCACGTCTTTGCCTGGCTACCAGAAGCCAAGACATCGTGGGTGTGAAGGAGGGCGACGTGCGACTCCGGGTAAAGACGGCTACCCGATTGCTCACCTACAGTCAGTCCTTGCCCAATCGTGCTACGCGACATCCCAGTTGATTTTTTCGTTCAGCAAGTGGCATGTAGATGACAGGCTGGGGTTTGGCTCCAACTTCTAGAATGCTATCAAAGCCTACCCGCCGAATACACCTGTCATGAGCCGGATACCCGTCCCTTGCTACAGCGCCAGACTCCGGCCGACTCCAACGGTAGCACGCGACTTCATCGCGACCTGCCCCGCTGACTCTAGCTCCATGTGATCGGCCGAAGCTACGAGATAGGGATGTTACCTTCAATGCACTTCAACTTCGACCACTTCCAGCTGGTGGAGTTGTACTGCTTCGCCTAGCTGCGGGGTTGGCTGGGGTGCGCGATAAGCCTTTCGGAGTGTGGCAATTCCATGCTTGAGATGCTTGTGGTGCTTGTGATGCTTGTGTCGCGCCCGTGAGTACCACAGTACACCTCTACGGCAACAGCGGTACCAACCGTCCAGGCACTTGTCCTCACTGCCATCTCAATACCTGCAACCAGCCGCTTAGTCTTGCCATCGCGAGTCTTGCATAATCCATGGAATAGAATAGGGAGGGCTGGGGTCCTAAACATCACGGAAAGGCTACCATATTCGACATGTCCATGACGATGCCGGTGCCCCGCCATGAATCGTGTGCTCAGCGCTACGGTCCGGCCGAGGTTTATCAGGGTTGCCTGGACCTGACAATCGACCTACCAAATGGAGTATAATGCACCGTTGGGCTCAAGCTTAGGAAGCTGCATGATTGGTGTCCAGGATGGTTCCTGTCCAGGAGGATCCCAATCTTTTTGTTGACCAGCATCACCGAATGCTACCACATTCACGTCATGGCCCCCGGACTGCCTTGAGCTCCAAGCTCTAGCTCAAGCTCAAGCTCGCTTCGCCGCGGCAGCTGTTCGCCATGGAACGCTCCAATCGTTGTGGTCGATAAGGTAGGTCCAGCAAGCAGGTCAGTAGGTAGGTATACCTTCGGTGAGAACCTGCGTGGAGCAAACTTTTTCTTCCTCCTTCGTTTGTACCGCTACGTCCCTGCAGAGACTTGTCAACTGCCCAAATACGTGATCTGCCTATCATTATGAAGCTCACTTCAAGCGTGGCTTCTCTGGCCCTTCTGGCCGCGTCAGCAGACGCTTTCCAACCTGGGCCAAAGATTCAGAAGCGCAGCAAGGGACCCGCCATTCAGATCTCACCTCGCCAGCTGCCTGCAGAGCCAGTTGACGTCCAGTCAGTGACCAGCCCAAATGGAGTCACCATTCGGTACAAGGAGCCTGGCAAGGAAGGCGTCTGCGAGACCACTCCAGGCGTCAATTCCTATGCTGGCTTTGTAGATCTGGCTCCCGATGTCCATAGCTTTTTCTGGTTCTTTGAGAGCAGAAGAGATCCGGCCAACGACCCTCTGGTGAGTTTTAATACCCCTGCCAGCGAATATGGTATCCCCAACGAGCCTGGCATGGTTTTGGGTGGCCGTTCCGCTAAATGTCCTCTAACGTACTGATCCTTTGTTAGACCTTATGGCTCAATGGTGGCCCAGGATCAGACAGCTTAATAGGCTTATTTCAAGGTGAGTACGTCAATACCGCTCGAAATCGAAGTGCTCACATGTGGTAGAACTCGGACCATGCAACATAACCGAAGATCTGATGACACAGTTGAATCCTTACGCCTGGAACGAAGTGAGCAATATGCTCTTTTTGAGCCAACCTCTCGGAGTTGGTTTCTCGTATTCGGGGAAAGAGCCAGGATCTTATTGGAATGTGACTGGTGAGATCCTCAACGCAACCCAGGCACCTGTGGACGGCAGATACCCCACAATCAACGCTTCGGCGATCGATACCACAGACCTTGCAGCTATCGCTGCTTGGGAAGTCATTCAGGGGTTTTACTCTGGTCTACCACAGCTGGATTCCAATGTCTCGTTGACCGAGTTCAATCTGGCCACCGAGAGCTATGGCGGTCATTACGGTCCGGCGTTTTATAACTATTTCTACGATCAGAACGAGGCCATTGCCAATGGTTCGGCGCAGGGAAAGCAGTTGAGCTTCAACTCGCTGACCATCATCAACGGCATTATCGATGAGATGATTCAAGTGGTATGTCCAACACTGAGACCCAATTCGCATACACAAAGCTTACCCAGTTCTAGCCATATTATCCCGAGTTTGCTGTCAACAATACATACGGCATCAAAGGCCTAAACGACACGCAATACGAGTACGCAAAGTTCGCGCTGAACATGCCTTTTGGGTGCCTCGAGCAAGTTGAATTCTGCCGTTCTGCCGATGTGAGCACAGACGTAGGCAAGGCTATATGCACCGAGGCCGGTAACATGTGCCGCGACAACGTCGAGGGCATTTTTGAGAACCAACAGGTCTACGGTTATTACGATATCCGTAAGTCGCCCAAATTCTCGAAAGCATTCATGGAGTGTCTTATTCCATGAGCTGCGCCCTCTGGAAATACGCTTTATACCATCCTCCTCTCACATGCGTCTCCCAATTCATGTTTCGCTGACATTCACTAGGACACCCCTACGACGACCCCACCCCACCCGACTACTTCGTCGACTTCCTCAATCTCGAGAGCACGCAGGCCGCCCTGGGCGTCGACACCAACTACTCGACCTCCAACACCGAAGTCTACTACGCCTTCCAGCAGACCGGCGACTTTGTCTACCCCAACTTTCTGGAGGATCTCGAGCACATTCTCAACAACTCGGTGCGCGTCTCCCTCATCTACGGCGACGCCGACTACATCTGCAACTGGTTCGGCGGCGAGGCCGTCTCCCTGGCCGCGCAGTACACGCACACCGCCGAGTTCAACGCCGCGGGCTACACGCCCATGCTGGTCGACGGCGTCGAGTACGGCGAGACGCGCGAGTATGGCAATTTCTCCTTTACACGCATCTACGAATCCGGGCATGAAGTGTAAGTTTCTGCCTTTTCCACTCCCTTCACCCTTCTACCTAGTCCCTACAAAAGGGGGTTTCAAGGCGTGATCGATGGCTAATAGAGGTTCAACTCCACAGTCCTTACTACCAGCCGATCGCCTCGCTGCAGCTCTTCAACCGCACGGTCTTTGGCTGGGACACGGCCACCGGCACCAAGAAGGTCACGGCGGATCTGGGCACGACGGGCGACGCGCACGCCACGCACACGAATGCTTACACGCCCCTGCCGAGCGCGACGCAGTCGGCGGAGGCGGCGGCGAAGGTGTTTGGGCCGGGGAGGGCTGTGCACTGGAAGGTCTAGGGTGATGGGTGGGAGGGACTGGTTGATGACAGAGCTGATGACTTTGGATGTCGTGATGAGTGTCATGATTTAGGGTGGAGGTAGTGTGCATACCTTGATGAGGTACGTCAGATGTAATGAGATGGGGCAAGCTACCCATGTCTATCTCACTCAACACGCCCTCCACATGCTCTCTTGCTCCTTGGTAGTATCTACCAATTTGAGACATCGTTCCTCCCCTCCCCGCCCTGCGGATTCTTTCCTGCCCCCTCTGTGATCACCTCGTCCAGCACTTTCACTAGCCCCTCCACCTCTTCCACGGTGTTGTAGTGCAGCAGCGAGCAGCGCAGCACCCCATCGTCCGCATCCGGGACATTCAGCACCTCCTCACACAGCCGCTTCGAGTAGAAATGCCCGTTGCGGCACCCGTAATTCGACCGTGCCTCAATCGCGTCGATGATGCCCAAGGAGCTCTGGCCCTTGACACGCCAGCTCACGAGCGGAATGCGCAGTTTGCGGTCGCAGCTCGGCTCGCCGTAGATCTTGATGATGTCGGGTTTGGAGCGCAGGTATTTGAGTAGGATCTCCTGGATCTGCTCTTCCTGCTTGGAGATGGCGTCCCAGCCGACGCGCGAGAGGTAGGCGATGATTTCCGGCACGGCTTGCACGGCCTCGTAGCTGCCGGCGGCGAGGCCGAGCATTTCTTCCAGCGTGGAAGTGGTCTTGAAGTAGTGACCCAGGGTCTCGATTTCGGGGTGGGCGCGTGGGCTGACGTACAGCATGGCTACGTGGGGGCCGTAGACTTTGTACCAGGAGAAGGAGTAGAAGTCGACACCGAAGGCTTGCACGTCGACGGGGGCGTGGGGCGCGTACGCTACGGCGTCGGCGGCGAATAGGGCGCGGGGATTCGCGGCGTGGACTACCTCGCTCAGGGCGGCGAGGTCGGTGACGGTGCCGAGGATGTTGCTCGTGTGTGTGCACGCCACGAGGCGCGTCTTATCATTGACCAGCTTTCGTAAATCTTCGGGTACCAGTTTCGGGTTGCTGTCCGTGTCTTTCGACGGGACCCACCAGACGACCTTGAGACCTCGCCATTTGGCCATCTGCAGCCAGCCCGCGACGTTGGCCTCATGGTCCAACTTGCTCAGCACGATCTCATCGCCAGGCTCCGTCTTCAGCGCCGTGCTGAGGTTGCGGAAGTGCTGTGTTGTGGAAGGGCCGAAGACGACCTGGTCCGGAGAGGCGTTGATGTATTTTGCGCCCGCGACGTGGCCGGCGGAGAATTTGGAGGTGGACTGCTGTGAGACTGGGTATGAGGCGCCGAGCTGCACGTTGGTGGTGCGAAGGTAGGTGGCGATGGAGTCGATTACACTACCCAGGACCTGCGAGCCTCCAGCGTTGTCCATGAAGACCTGCTTTTGGGCCAGAGCGGGGAACTGCGCGCGGATGGCATCAATGTCGAAGCCTGCGGAACCCATGGTGAGGGTCGCTGTGGTGAGTGGCCCGGGCTATAGGGGGACTGCAACGGGTGGTTGTGATGGGGGGATCGACTTAGCTAGCACTGTGCTCGTAGTATCAAGAGACGCTTGGTATCTGCCATAGTTGTCTCGCAACCATAGACAGATATATCCGCGACTTACCATCAGACTATTGCCGATGAGGAAGGTGGGACGGTTCGCCATTGGCTGGCCCCGCATCGTTCGCCCATGGCGGGAGAACAACGCCCTTCTGCAACTGGCTTGCTTCCTACCGACGTGAATGTACCAAAGAAGGCTACCTGTCCAAGATCTCAAGCCTGAAGGCTTGACTGTCGCGATGGAGCATGCTACAAGCGCTGCAGCTGTGGTTCAAGCACATGTAGGGGTGGTGGAAAAACACGTGGAGAGCTTCCCATCAAGGCAGCAACCGTTGACATAACAACGGCCACGAACCCGGAGTCTGTTGTCGGCTGATGCGAGACGCTTGAGAGAACGTAGACTCAACTGCAACAGTGTTCTTCACGTCGTAGTCCAGATTATATTCCGGCATCAAGTTGTGGAGTCCGAAGGAGAGACTTGGCGGACAAGGCTGAATATTTCGTGGAGCAAGGCTGAGTGTTTGTTGACCATCGCCATAGCAACGGGCACGCTTGGGGTCTTCTGTCGTGGCATGGCTTGCGCTGACGACCCTCACCGTTCATCCATACGTTATCCATCATCGTCCTGCGGTCTTGCACTCAGCTGTGGGAGTTTGCTGGCTATTCTTCACGCAATTGACCTAACATGGGAATCTGACTTTCCGCGACGCCTCTGCAGCATCTTTCTAAACGAGCTATTCCGCCAGTTCGATCAGTCCCTTCTTATCAGCGACGCGATGGAGGAGCGCGAGAACGTAGGACTCTACACGCTCCACGGCACGCTCATGCTAATAAATGCTAGTTTGTCTCGAGTTTGCCCCAGCCCAAGCGTTTCGCGCCACCATCACCCGGCAGAGGCTTGAATGAGATGACCGCATCTGCCAACAACGCCCGCAATGGCTCCATGCTCCCTCCGCCCACCCAGTATCATGGCCACAAGCGGCAAGCCTCCAATCGTCCGTCTCAGATCATCCAAGAAGACACCGCAGACTCACATATTCCAGTGCCCGAACCTCCATCCAAGCGAAAGACTTTGGTAGAGAGAGCTGGCGAACCGTTGAAGCAGAGCTTAGCGGCTCCTCGTTCGAACACCGCCGTCAGCAGCTCTGTATCGTCCGTCATATCTGCTCGTTCAGGATCGAGCTTCTCTCAATCCTCGAGAAACACGTCAAACCACTCCCGCCACACTTCGAACTCGTCGTTCTCCGCCAGCGTCAACTCAGGCATCCGTCCACCCGCATCCACCCTAGCTCGACCTAAGACATCCCTCGCCAAAGAACGTAATGGACAAGCCGCTCCGAGGCCAGCTACATCACATGGGAACCGTGCCCAGCCCAAGGAGGATGCCAGATCTAAGCGTATGTATCCCACAAGCCCCGTGAAACCTGTATCACCTTCCCCACGGATGGATTTCTCTGTCACGAAGAGAGGCGCCCTTTCCACAGCTTCCCATGTGAGCAGGATATTGTCTTCCCGTGAGGTCTCTCTTTCCAAGGCTTTTGCAGGCATGCGCTTGACCAGCAGCAATGCTGAGCTTGCACCATCCCCCGCCAAAAGTCCTACGAGGATCCCACGTGCCAAACTCTCTTCCCCCAAGAAGCTGCAGGACATTCCCAAGATCACGCCGCCGAAGATGACTCCCCCAGAGCGTCCTATATGGCACCCTTCTCCTATTCCCGTATCCCCATCCAAATCTAGTAAGAAACGTCAATTTCTAACTGTCGATTCTAATTTAGAAGACTGGGACCCCGAAGAGCAATATGGCAATATGGAGCGTATGTATCAAGACGTGTGCTCCCACTACAAGGTGGCGATGGAGGACAACAGCAGTTTTCGAGAGACGACCAGCGTGTACAAGCAAGCAGTTGCCAAGCTCGAAGAAGAACGGTCATCCCTAACAGAATCAATCATTGCCCTGAAAGCTGAGAACGAGACGAGCAAGTATCGGGTCAGCGCTGCTGAACGCGAGAAGCTGGAAGCAAAGCGTGATGCCGAGGAAGAGATCGAGGAGGTCCGACGCCAATTCCGCATCGAGATGGAGAGTGTCAAGCAGGCTCATCGAGACGAAGTTGAGCGTCTCAAGAGCGATCACCGAGACGAGATCCGTGATTTCAAACGCAGGTATGACGACGAGTTGGAGCATGAACGCTCCCAGCGCATTCAAGCACTGAGCCAGGTCTCTACCGCGACTGCACTCGAGAAGCAGAAGCAGCAGCTTGAGCTCGATTCAAAGGAGCGAGAGATTCTCAATGTCAAGTCCGAAGTCGACCGGATCAACGCAGGCCTCACGAGAGAGCAGGCTCTCAACGATGAGCTGAGACAGACGCTGGCGAACGCAGGCAACACAGCTGCTGCCATGGAGAATGCTCGACAAGCGTTGCAGGCAAAGATCGAGTTCCTCGAGTCCGACAACAAGTCACAATCCGAGGCCTACGCGAGCATGGAGCGGCGCATGAGCGAGGCCCTCGAGAAGGCCGAAGAGTGCATGGAGAAGCTCCGCAGAGAAGAAACGTTGCGGAGGAAGCTACACAATCAAGTGCAGGAATTGAAAGGGAACATCCGCGTCTTCTGCCGTGTTCGGCCTAGCCATCCAAGCTCCGGGGGCGAAGAGACGGCCAAAATCAGCTTTCCAGACGAAGACGACTCGAAGCAAATTGAGGTCCGCGGTCCCGAAGAGACCAGCAGCCTTGGAAAGGTCACCACGAAGAAATACGATTTCGAGTTCGATCGCGTCTTCGACACCGCCTCCCACAATAGCGCCGTTTTCGAGGAGATCAGCCAACTGATTCAGTCTGCCCTCGACGGCTTTAATGTCTGCATCTTCGCCTATGGCCAAACGGGTTCGGGTAAGACCTTTACAATGTCTTCGGAGGACGGCATGATCCCTCGCGCACTGCGTCAGATCTACAGTACCAGCAAGGAACTTGAATCCCGTGGCTGGTCGTACACCATGGAGGGCAGCTTCATCGAGGTCTACAACGAGGACATTCGCGACCTCCTCGGCGAGGAGGGCCGCAGCACCACGTCCGCCACCAAGAAACACGAAATTCACCACGATACTGCTAAATGCGAGACAACCATCACCAATATCACTACCCTGAGCCTGAACTCGCAAGACCAAGTGGAGGGCATCCTGGAGCAGGCCATGGCGCGCCGCTCTGTCGCCGCCACAAGTGCCAACGAGCATTCATCGCGTTCGCACTCTGTGTTCATCCTCAAGTTGCAGGGCTACAATGCCACCACTGGAGAGCGGTCCAAGGGTACGCTGAATCTTGTTGACCTTGCGGGCAGTGAACGTCTCAATGCTTCCAAAGTTGAGGGTGCGCGCCTCAAGGAAACGCAGAACATCAACAAGTCGCTATCTTGCCTCGGCGATGTCATCAGCGCCTTGGGGCAGCAATCTGCTGGAGGCTCTGGTAGTGGCGGCTTCAATCCACGAGCAAGCGTCAATGCTGGCAGCGGCTCAGATGGCGGGGCTCATATTCCCTACAGGAATAGCAAGTTGACGTACCTGTTGCAGTATAGTCTGAGTGGCAACTCGAAGACGCTGATGTTTGTGATGGTTGCGCCGGAGAAGAAGCATCTACAAGAAACGATCACAAGCTTGAAGTTTGCAGAGAAGGTGGGGAACACAAGGATTGGTGTGGCGAAGAGGTCGAAATAAGGCAGACATTTGGGCTGTATCTCAGGCTGAAGTGTGACTCGAATGATTGGAGTTCATATCCATGGGTCTACTGTACATTGCAGTCAGCTGGGAAGTGGGCGTGTTGGTTATTCTGCGTTGTTGGCGTTCAGAGCGTTTCAAGCGGATATGCTTGGGTTCTGCTAGAGGATGGTTTATTTGGGTGAGCCGATAGAGGCTTTGTACTTTCTTGTCTCTGTTGAATAACGACCCAGTACGATGTCTCTCATTGCGGCACCAGAGTCCACGTTCCATTAGATCGCCAATGAAGCACAGTGGGGACAGGGGGGTTGGCATCGCGTTTTAGCGCTGCCTTGATGTCCCCTACGTCTGTCGTCAACAACAACCACCAGATGCGGTGTATCTGCCTCTGCGGCGGCACGTTGCAGCAACCCACCTATTGTGGTGTCGACGTGATGACGGTCGTCCAATGTAACTGGTTGGAGGAATGTGTAGTCAGAGACTTTGAGTGCAGCCTTGGCGATGAATCAGCAAGCTGGTGCACAGTGGCATTCCCCTCCTCTTGACCTCACATCCGCCTCTTCCGCCGACTTTTATACCTCACTGCCAACCCGGAGAAACCTCCCAGGTGTTGTTGGACAATCGAAACACCTGGATCGCAGTCGGATGATCATACCTAAGCAATCAATTCGCAGCCCCATCAAGTGCTCGAGGCACTTTCGCCAGAGCACGTGACATCCTTGTGAAGGGTGGCTCGAGAGTTATATATTGGACATCTGGGTGCTTTCAACGCCCTCCACCACTCAGGGGTATTTGCCTGGCTAGCCGGCACCCAGAATCCCGTTTGCCTCACCACCATGAGCGCCGTGGCGAATCATGCTCCTGGAAAGGAGCGGAAGGGATCTATTTTCAAACTGTTCGGCAAGCACAAGAAAGAACGGGCTCAATCGGTGGCCCCGGACGATGGACATTCACATAGGAGCTCCGTCTCCCAAACACCTCGCAGGAGCCTGCAGATCTCAAGCAAGGATGCCTATATCATCGAGCAGCGGTCGACGAACGCTAGCTCTCTGAGCGGAGGTTCTAGCCTCGCAGCTGTGTCCACCCCGTACCAGCGAGACAAGCAAACCGGGGAGACAAAGTACGTGCGTGACACACAGACGGGCGAGATCATCGACCATACCGAAATGCTTCACTCCTTGGGTCTGGTTGATTCGGCAAAAGAGGTGCCTCTTTTGATGCGGATACAGAGCCAGGACGGTACGGAGCCCGGCGAGAAGATTGTCGCAAGACTTGAGGCGAAGATATGGGATTCTATCCACACATATCTCAGCTTGGCCGACGTTGCTGCACTGTCGTTCTCCTGCAAGGCCTTCCATCAACGCCTGGGCGACAGTCCATTCACAGACCTCAACCTGTCTGACAACAAGGACGAGAAGGATGACTTCCTAATACGATTGGACAAGACTCTTCCGGCGCATCTTCTATGCTTCGATTGCCAGAAGTATCACAAGAGGTTAAATCCTGGTGAAGAGAAATTGATGCCCGTCAACGTGTTGAACCCAGTGTACACGTGCCCGGAACTGGGCAATCCGAACAAGATCTACCCCAGGATCCGACTGACCTTCGACCGTATCTTACCGCTCACTTTCCTACAGCTTGCCATGCGCGCCCACCGGTTTGCGCCTCAATATGGCATCACTACAGAATCTCTATTCCGGCGATACAAGGACAAAGTTGACGACAGCACTTGGTCGCACCAAACCAAATTTGTTGTTGTCAAGGGCCACCTTCTCATGCGAGTGATGAGCCAGTGCTATGCTCCTCCAGGCCTGCCGCCAGCTGGTGAACGACATCTCCTGTACTCGCGACAAAACTTCATTCCCTTTTTCTCAGTTTGCCCGCACTGGCAAGATGGCGTGCTCATGACCAACGTCAAATGTGCTCTTCGCCACATCCCGAAGCCGTTAGAGGGCAGTGGCATCAACCGGATCGCTAATGAGGCAAAGCTTCATTTCAATCCACACAATCCTATCATCAGCCTGTGTAACGAATGCCGGCCCATGCGACGATGTCCTGAATGTCCGTCGGAGTATTTGATCGAGGTTAGGATGACCGAGGATCGAAGTGACCCTTCAAAGCTGTTCAAACAGACTCTTGTGGTCACACGCTGGACCGACCTAGGAGATGGGACCTCACCTTATACACCGGAATGGGCTGCACTTAATGGCAGGCCGGGCTTTGATTCCATCCAAGCATTGGGCAAGAGAGCTGTTGCGGGTCAATTTGAAGCAGAATTCAATGGCGACGTCCTGCCTTCGCAAAATATGCTCTCGATGAATCCTGAGAAGGTCAAGCTAGGAGAGCGCGGCCATGACTGGTATTGAACCTCACCTTCCCGTATGCAAGAGGCAAACAGATGCAGCAGCGCCCGGAGGTAGCCGGAGTTGAGGGTTGCTGCCTATTCTACAAGGCACCCAGCCCCGCACAAGGCATCGGTCACTGCATGCGACCTTGCCTGGAGCACTCATTCGTGTGCATCTTTGCTGACTTCATCAACTTCATCAACAAATTCATCCATTTATCCCCCACTACTGTATCCAATATGCAAAAGCACTTACAGCAGTATTTGCAGACATGCTTGAGCTCAGAATACCCGTGGAGAGAAAGGCCGATCCGCATCCAAACCCGCGACCTCCCAGATCGAAATGCTCGCCGCCGGGCATTGGCATGGAAACCCTTCCCAATGAAATACTCCATCTCATCGTCACCAGTCTCGATGCTCCATCCGCCGTCTGCCTAGCACTGACATCCTGTCGACTCTACAACTGCGTTCTCACTGTCACTAAGTCGGACAGGCTTGACGACATCTGCCCCAAGAACTATTACAAGCAATCACCGCGAACGGTCCAGATCTACTATTTCGATTCCGAGGCTCCTCATTACCGCGACCCTTTCAAGCTTCTCGACTATGCTAAAGGCTTTGGAATTTCGTCGGCCACCTTCGACCCGGCGTATACACAGCTCATGCTCAATCTCCGAGGCTGGATGGCTCCACGCTACGTCTTGTGCTTCGCCAGTGCAAAGACCAGATATGTGCCGAGAAAGGGTGATCATGTGTGCAGCGCGTGTCAAAGTGAGAGACGGTACCTGGCCGCACACGAGCTGCATCAGTACACTGGCAAGCTGATTAGGTATGAAGAGATGGAAGTGGCACGACAAGGTGACTGACCTAGTGTAGGGGTTGGCGGCCGCGATCCAGATGGGAGAGTGTCTTTGCAATGGTGCAGATGCTTGACCATCTATGGAAGTACGGTTGAGGCGTCATGAGATGGCAGCCAGGGTGCCTCGAAGACCTTGAGAGCAGAAATGACAATGTCGATATCCACGTGGAGAAGAACGATACCCATACGAATAATTACGAAAGCGAGCATGCGCAGGCATACAGTGCTGAATCACCAACCGAAAATGTTTGCAACGACGGAGTGGGAGTCATGAGGCAAGCGGTTGTACGAATGCCGACATGAGCCCATCTATGATTATGAAGAACTTACTGTAATCCCATATTGCGCAAGTCCAGGCTATTCGCAGCAGCGATCGCGCACTTCCATATGAGGGCTGATGCTTGAAGACCACATGGAAACAAAGTCCAGATTCAGCCGCATTCAGGCATCGAGATGAACCAAACATTCGGTTTGTGTCGTCCTGGTACGGCCATCGAGATTTGCTCGCTCAACATAAACTCCGAGGCAACCATGTAAACATGTGGTACGACTGGGTCAACACCTGAAAATATAAATGAGTGTGGTGACTAACGTGTCATGGCAAGGAGGTATATTAAATGTCTGCCTAGAGGACCTGTGCCTTGACTCTCACTATGCTGTTCGCCTACCACCGTCACTGTCCGGGACTCTTCCCAATTTGCTCTTCTGTCAGCGTAACGCCCTCGTCGCTAACCAACTTGTCAAACACCTCTATCCGAACAGTCGGACGGTAATAGCCTCTGGACTCCTTCAAACAGTCCTTCCGTTCCGCGGCACCACCACTTCCTCCTCCTCATGCTCCGGGCTTCACACGACAATCCTTCCAACACCATGGCGCTTCTCGACCTGCCAACCGAGGTGCTCTCCGAGGTTGTCGCCCACCTCGACCGCCCCTCCACCGCCCTCTTTGCTCTCACCAACACCAGAGCCTACAGTTGCGTCACCTTTGCACATTCCACCAACCCCGTCAACCACTTCATCCCCACCCTCTCACCAGCTCGCCTCGCCACCTTCGCGCCCAGCACCGCGGCCACTTAAGCTGCAAGAACCAATGGAACATTGACTTCCTCGAGCACCCCGAGACCAGCACCGCCGAATGGCTGAAGGCGTTCGACTCCTTCCAGACGCTGGTCCGTGTTCAGGGCTGCGAGGTGTGTCGGCACGTGCTCTTCATGTAGCAGCTGAGGGGATGGTTGGGGAGGGATTACAGCTTTTGCCCAGAAACACGGAAGTTCTATAAGAGAAGCCTGCGGTCGAGCCATACGCGGCGTTGTGGGAAGGCGAATGGATGCCTGGCGGAGTTTTGGAGATCGAAGGTCACAGAGAACCTGGGTAGTGCGAGTGACGAGGTGAGGGCGATGGAGAAGATTGGGCTAGAGGATGCTTTGGAAGAGAACGAGAAGAAGAATGGCTCGTCGTCGAGAGTGAATGAGATGTCGAAGAAGCGGAAAGCATCGGCGTCTGAAGACCAGGGGAGGGAGGAGGACAGGTCGGAGGGTCTCGTGCCAGCTCAGACGGCCTACGGGACACTACAATCTGCGCAAGAGGCTGAGACGGTGAAGCTGCTGCATGTGAATTGCCAGTAGATGCTCGTTGCCGTTAATAGTTCTTCTTCCACGGCGTCGGGCAGTGAATTGCTTGGCAGTGGTTAAGTACTTACAGCAGCAGCAAATTGCAACGATTACCTGCTTCAAAGCACTACCCCAGAGACATGAAGACCTATGAAAGTTACTTGACCACACAGAGTCCACCTTGACACCAGCCCCACAAACCGAATGCAGAGGTAGGGGGCTGCGACTGGCCCGCCACGAGCAAACGATGGGGCCCCGCAGAAATTCGGGGTACAGGCGAGACAGGATCCAAGCTTCCGATGGGAGTCGAGGGCATCGCTTGCCTTCCCCAAAGGTGGGACACCTCTTAAAGACATGGGTGATGCTGCTGCTGCTTTCAGCATGTGTCCGTCAAGGGAACGAGGTCAGCAGGAACCATGGTCGCGCAGACGACATTTCCCACTCGTTATCACGACCCTGAGTACCAGGAGGCGCACAACAACATCCATCAAGGCAAGCTCCTGGCCCCTCTAGAAGCAGTCTTGCCTCCAGGTATCGGCCAGCAGGACTTTGACAATGCCATCAGCGACCTCACCAAGGAACTAGGCCACGACGGCGTCTTCACCAGCCAGTCGCTGGAAGACTATGTCGACCCTTACGAGCTTTGGGAGGTCGAGGGCAAACGCAAGATGCCCAGCGCCGCCGTCTGTCCACACTCCATCGACGAACTCAAGGCAGTGCTTCGTATAGCCAATCAATACGGTCTACCCCTCTGGACCTTCAGCCGCGGCAAGAATCTGGGCTACGGCGGGCCCGCGCCGCGTCTCAACGGCTCCGTGGCGCTCGACCTGCACCGCATGAACAAGATCATCGAGGTGAACGAGCAGTTCTCCTACGCGGTCGTCGAGCCGGGCGTCACCTTCACAGACCTCTACGACTACTGCCGCGCACGCAAACTCAAGGTCTGGCCCAGCGTCCCCTCTCTAGGCTGGGGCAGCGTCGTGGGCAACACGCTCGACCGCGGCACGGGCTTCACGCCTACGGCCACGCATCACCAGAACATCGCGGGCCTGGAAGCCATGCTGGCCGACGGTGACCTCGTACGCACAGGCCAATTTGCCATTCCGGACTCCCCCAACGCGCATCTGTCCAAGTTCAGCTTCGGTCCCTCGATCGAGGGACTCTTCTTGCAGTCCAACCTGGGCGTGGTCACGAAGCTAGGCATCTGGCTCACGCCACAGCCCCAGGCATTCATGTCATGCTCCTTCTCGGTCCCCGCGCTCGAGGACATTGCCCTGTTCATTGACATCTTCTCTTCCCTGCGGCGCGATGGCCTGCTCCCCAATACCGTCTACTGCTCGAACCTGATCGAAACCCTCAGCATGGTCGCCGGGCCCCGCGCCACCATCTGGCCGCACAACGACACGCCCATCCCCTCGTGGCGCCTGGACGAGCTCCAACGCCAGTACGACGTCGGCTGGTGGAGCGCCGTATTCGGCCTGTACGGCCCCGCCCCCGTCATCCAAGCACACTTTGACGAAGTCAAGCGCATCATCGCCCTCAAAGCCCCCCAGCATGCCCACCGGCTGAAGGGTGAGCTCTTCCGCGGCGACGACGCGCCGGACGGGCTACTGGACCCGACCGCCGTGCCGCCTCCTTACGGCGGCTTTTTCGTTGGCGTGCCGAGTTTGTGGTCCTTGCCCATGACGCGCTACCGACTGCCCACGAGCGACAGCAACAACAGTAGCGAAGCTGGCAGAGATAGCAGCAGCAGCAACGGAGCCGCCACCAACACCGGCATCGGCGCCCACGCCGACTACTCGGCTATCATCCCCTCAGACCCCGCCTCAGTACTCGAATGGGTACACACCGCCAAACGCATCTACGAAGCCCACGGTCTCGACCTCTTCTGCGACTTCTTCATGCACGAGCGCCACCTCATCTTCGTCAACATGCTGGTCATCGACAAGTCTTGCCCCAAACAACGCCGTGCCGCTGATTCTCTGTTTCGCGCCTTACACGCCGCGGGCACTCAGCGGGGCTACGCCAAGTACCGCGCCCACGTCAATTACATGGACCTCGTGGCCGAGGGGTTTAGCTTCAATGGGCATGCGTACCGTCGCTTTGTCGAGAGGATTAAGGACGAGTTGGACCCCGGGGGCGTGTTGAGTCCCGGGAAGCAGGGGATTTGGCCGAGGAGGTATCGGGAGTTTAGGGAGGAGCAGGGGAAGTTGTAGGCTAAAGACCAATCAAAGGCGACAGTGGGGTTTGTATAGGGACTAGAGCAGGTATGAAGATGTCCAGGAGCCAAAGACAAGCGAATGTGTCGGCTTTGTGTTTCTTCGGATTTCTCTAAACTCGTTTCGAGAGCGTGAGCTATCAAACCAGATATAGCGTGCCTGATAAGCGAGCGCGCCACCTTCCCCCACCGCCGCGTCAATCCATCTTCTCAACGCGTTTTCTCAACCACAACAATTGGAAAGTCCTGGAAAAGAACGTCAACTGTTACTGGCTATTCAGGCTATGAAGCAAGACCCTAATCTTAGCGTCTGTGCGGCCGTGAAGATACATTCTATTAGCTGAAGAACAGTCCAACGCCACCTTAATGGAATTGCCTTGTGATGTGATACTACACCCAACTCATAGAAATTGACCAAGCTGGAGGAGAGCACAATTCTTCAATATGTTCTTGACCTAGATTCCTAATTATTTCCTCCCTGATTCTCGATAGCGGCGGTCCCGAGGCGAGCAACGGAAGAGATGCAGAACAACGTCACGGCAAGGACGAGTCGTCCCAAGCCAGCCATGTTGAAGGCTGTGATCTTCCCGAGAACCTATTGGGAAATGCCGAGTCTATTCGATAGAGATGTGGTGCTGCACGATGTTTTCTTAAAATAAAAGACCTAGAATGTCTAATAAAGACACCAGCGTTTGATGATCTGGCGGGATCATCGGAGGGTGACGGCTTTCAGAAATGGCCCCTAGTAATGGAAGTAAGCGGAAGATCAAGGGAGCCCAATCTAGCCAGGAGCCCGAAATGGTCCCCTCTTCAGGGTCGCTGAGCTCGCAGAGAGTGTTCATCGCGACATGATGCGTACGTTCCGAGGACGATGCCAACGTTGGGCATTGCAGATTATCGCTCGGAACGCAACAAGGCTCCCGACCCAAACATTTTCAGGTTCGAAAGAGTGCAAAACAGAATGTATGAAGCTGCTGAATTTCCATGTTGGAAGATCTGGTTCGAGGCCAAGGGGCTCCTACTGAATGGTCGAACCGAAATCCTTGAGCAATGCAAAGATCGTGTGTCTATGGACTTACCTACACTCAACAGCATCACCACCGGATTTCTTTCCCTCTGATTCCCGTTTCTGGATATACCCTTCGAGCTTTCGAGTATCCTCTTGGGCCTCTTTCACGGCGATCTTCATTCGAGCCGCCTCCTCTTCTGCCTTCTGGCTCACTTCTAACTCTAGTCTGGCTCGTGCTTTCCACTCGTCCAGCTCACGGGCTAAACTCGACCCACGCGCGTGTTTCTGTCCTTGGCTTTCAACCATAATTTCATCGCGTTTCCTGCTTTATCTACCAATCCACCTTACTTTAACCCTGTAGCTCTTGTCCTTCACCTAGAGTTATACTTCTGCCCGTCGAAGAGATTTATGTTCCTAGTGCGTGAATTCAGGAAGGTCTACAGGATAATAGAAAATTAGAAGCCAGTTCTGCGAGCAGTAAATATCAACACTACTTCAGGATGAAGATAGGATCTTTTCGAGTCCCTGTGTTAACTATCTACCCATTTCAGCCTCCCAGCTCAAGCTGGCTAACACTTGAAGTCCCAAAGCGGTCCCTTCGATCTTGATTCCACTCCCCAGAACTCAGTAGACTAATGTACTGTAAAACACTAGTAGGGAAGGTGTGCATGTGTAGTACGGCGGCAGCTCAACTTTAGTGGCTTCTTTGTCCAGACCGACTCCTTAGAGCTGGCTCTACGTCTTGCCTGCAGAGAGCCAAATACGGCTCACCCACGCCGCCACTATCACCATCAACACCTCCTCCTCCTCTTCATCAATGTACCACTTACGAAGTATAAATTCTATCAAAAACTCCAGGTCATTGGTTCCAAGCTCCATGGCACTATAACTATAACCTTACACGAGTATAGTAAACAAGGAAGCCAGCACAGGTCACTAAAGTTGAGAGGACAAGAATGCCGCCTGTTATGATCCCCTGGTCGAAGAACCCGACATCATGTCCCTTCTTGAGACGCTGTACTTCAGGCAATCTTACTGTCGCCTCTCTTTCAATCTTTGCTACCTGTGCGGCCGACGGCTCGAGCAGGACGCCGTCGAGTAGCCAGGACCATCTCAAAGTTGATATATACTGCGGCTTGGGTGACGTGAACAGTACCGGGTCATATGGACTCAAAGAGTCCAGGTCAATCGCTTTCTGCTCTGGAGCAACGGGGCTAACTGCAATGCTGTATTAGTGGGAAAGACGGACGAATCAGAGGAGCGGGACGGGCGCCATTAGAGTGTCATACAGAGTAGACTTGTTGGTAGCTGGTTCACAAAGCTGACACCAGAGTCAAGGAACTGGCAGATATATTTGGCTGCTCCAGGCTGGGTGGTGAACACATATGCGGCTGCTAGGCGGCCGAGGCTATTCTAGTTTCAGCATTGACCAAGCTCGGGAGCACCATGGTAATCCGTACCTATTAGAAACATTGATCGCGTCGTCGACGCTCGATACGGCGTGCACCACAAGAGAGCGTTCCCGCAGTTTGGGATGTGCCAGTGCGGACGCCCTGGAACAAAGTTGCGTGTCAATTGAGGCCAAAGTTCAGGCAGAGCTCCGTGAGACTTGGGTCGGTTACATACCTATCCGTCAATTCAAGCACGGTACCGCCCGTCCCAGAAGTGACTATTCTTCCAAGACCCTTCTCGCTGACGTTGTCGGCAAATCTGTCGGTCATTCTGGTACCGGCGACAGGTACAGGACCATTGGTGTTGGTTATAAGCCGGGCGGAGCATTGAGCCACGGCGGCCAGAAAGTCCTCGACGACCCACTCATTGACAAGGACGAGGTCTGGTGCGTATGGTGACTTGCCGCGCAATCCAAATCGAGCACCGACGAGCAGTTCCGCGGCAGTGTGAACGTTTGCGTCGCGCTCGACAAGGGCAACAACACGAGCATCAGGACGTGAGACCAGATGACTGGCTAGCGGCACGCTGGGGGAGCCATTCTGGAGGACGCGAACGTGTCGATGGTTGATGTCGGCGTCTGAAATTTCTTTCGCATTGGTCACTTGTATGAGATCCCGGTCCAATGCCTCTTCTATAAGACCAAGGACAAGTCGTGGCGTTTGGAGCATCGTCTGCTCTGCCTATGAGTAACATCAGTGTCGGTCCTTTGTGATTCGGATCAGCTGCCTCCGACTGCCACGTACCCGCACAATTACACAGTTGCCAGCAGCGAGGGCGGGTCCGAGCGCAGAAATAAGGCTGAACACAAATGCGTGCGTTGCCGGCTCGATAAGGACGATACCGACCGGTTCGCGCGCATTAGGTGCATCTTTCTGGTTCGCGATAGCGTATTCAGCGTCGAGGTCGCGCGCCGTGTCGACCGAGTTGTAGCTGTCAGCCAGGCATTGGAGCGCAAGCCAGTATTCGGCATGTATTTCGGCGGGCCGATAGCCTGTGTCCTGCTTGATTGCACTTTGGATCTCAATGGTATTGTCGACGAGCTTGTCGTGGAGTTTCTTAAGTTGGGTCTTCCTGTAGTAGGGGTTGCATGCTCTGCCGTCGATGGCGGCCGATCTGACGCTGCTGAACGGCTTAGCCATTGCACCTTGCAAAAGCACCTCTGGCTGGGGAGGGGAGCAAGTAGTTGAGAATTCCTTTCCCCAGTTAGTACAGATTTGCTCGGGCTTGCTTAGGTGGTGTCCCCACACTCCCAAGCAACGAGATACAAGTTGGGGATATCTCCTCCACATTCCGAGCCGATACCAGTATGTCCCGCGGTGCCGCTCAGGGTGCATGGCAAAGACCCTTCACCTCCCCCCCAAAGTAAATTGGAAAGGGACTGCCTCCGCATCCCGAGCCGACTGTCTCCTGTGCAAATTGGAGAGTAGAAGCCCCGGGCAACGATATTGCGTCCATTCCGGTTTATCTGCTTTGGTTACCGTGCTCTTGCTACCACCCCGTACGAGACCTTCGGAAGTGGTAGACAGTATACTCTGGCCTACATCATGTCGACGACGGTTGTTACCTCTACTGAGGTTGCCTCGGTGTTAAATTTAGTGACTACTCTCGCCGACTACGAGATACATCATTCAAACGGCGAAGCGCGATCTTCAGATACGGCGGGTTCCTCTCGGACCCAGAGTCCTCACGCATCAAGAACTTGGGATACCGCACATCGCCGTGTGCCCCCTCATCGACCAGTCAACAGGAACAGAGATCCCTTGGAGGTGCGAGTATACAACAACACTGCAGAGCGGATATTCATCTCGGTCATGTTTACTGGGGTTCTCATCAATGCGGTGAGTCCCTCCGGAATCCCCCAATGATCAACACGGTATGATCCTAACGCCAACTTCCCACCAGACTGCAGCAAAAATGTGGCGACGGACCGTTGGGAAACTGGACAGTGGCTTGTTTCGGTACCGAATTGGGGGAGAGATCTGAGATATATTGAGGTCGCAGCCATCTTGTCAGTACCACGGCTACTACTTAACAGTTTCATTTCCTCCACCTCTGTCTCTTTGCTCAGTGACTAAGACGAGTGTTTGACGCCCTTCATCGTGCCCAAATCCTCCTTTACCTCTGCGCCACCGACGGTAAGTGGTTGAGTGGGCTGAAGAATGTACAGCATCCGTGCCCACTCGGTCTGGCTAAGATTCCTCCACGCATGCATTGTCGCGCGTTGGATGCAGACGTCCCCGCGCTTCATGACTCTTGTCTCCCCAGAGCCCAGAACCAGCTCCACCTCGCCCTCCAGGACAACGCCGTAGTCAAGGCTGACGGTGCGGTGCATCGGTGAGAGGTGACCGGGGCACATGTCGACGTAGCGAAGCACGGTGCCGTCGGAGACGGTCAATCCTGGCGAGTCACGCAGGTAGTTTTGGTACACCTGGACGTCGGCGCCGTCGGACAGCTGCGTGGGGAATCCTCTTGTCACATACAGCTGGGCGAACGCGGCATCCCCATTGGGTAGACTGTAGAAGGGCGCATCGACCGGGACGGAGGCGTCTACAACTGCTTGACCATGTTCGTTGTTGGCGGTGATGAATCGCTTTGGATGACTGAGCTTTCCTTGAAGCGCCATTGCGTAGAGAAAATGCTTGGGCTGGAAGCAAGAGAATATGGGATTCGGGCAGGGTGTTTGAAGCTGCAGCGGAAACCGCGTGACAAGATCCTACTCGCGGTGGCTTGTTTACAATAATTGGAAGTCAATATTCAACGGCTCCGAGGGGTACGGTTACACAGGTCAGTGTCGAGGATCGTGCATGACCCGAATCGCATTCGCCACGGGATGTGGGCATCCTGCATGTCATTGTTCGGGCCGTTGCATGGTGGGCCCGAAGCCTCTCGAACCCGGCGCATGCACCTAGGCTTATTCCCCGCTCTATGTCCTCCTCGGGCAATAACGATGGTGTTGGAGCTTTAATTTGCTGGCTGGGTTACCTGGCTATTGCACCGCCTTCAATGCTGTAACTACAATAAACAGACTCGACACCTCCCCAAGGCCAATCGTGGTCAAGAACTTTTTTCAGAAATGGCTCCATCAGCCTATGCAAGTCACTTTTCAGATCGTAATATCCCTTTTGGCATTGCCTCGTCAAAGAAGCATCCAAATCGACAAGCAGTCACGCGTCTGGCAGACTCAGTTCTGTTTCTCGCGGACCTCTGTGAACATGATCTCTTCTCGACTGTACAGGGACTTCCGGACAATGTGTTCGCTCGCAGTGCTCTGAACGACTTCGCCGCACTTGACAGATCCGTCTTCAAGGCCGTCCGGCAGACAATTCAGGATGCATTCCGGAGCCACGGCCTCGAGGGTTTTCCACGAGACAGCGTCGAGGACATATCTGCGGTGACAATGCATCTGCCGGTCAACGTAGGTGATTTTGCAGGTAAGTCTAGTTGCTTCAATTGCCCAAGACGGGTATCACTTGTCAAGATGTGAGAAAACTCTGCTGAAAGAACCCAAGATTTCTCTTGTAGTCTTGAACATGTCAAAAACGCTGGCCGCATAATCATCAATGACGAACGGCCCCCTCCCGCGTTCTTCAACCTGCCGATCGTGTACCAGGGGCGGGCAAGCTCTGTGGTCGTATCTGGCACCCCGATCGAGCGCCCTATGGGACAATTCCGGGACAAGACGGCGCCAGGAGCGCCTGTTATATTCGGTCCGACTAGAGCACTGGACTACGAGCTCGAGTTCGCTGCAGTGGTGGGAAAGCCCCTGTCTATGCGCCAGCGGCTAAAGGCAGCCGACGCGGACAATCATATCTTTGGATTTGTCGTACTTAATGACTGGAGTGGTTAGTGCAAGTCCTTTTTGCGAAAGTTGTCCACATCTGGTCGCATGCGGTAGATTTGACCTGACGATTTGTTCCACAGCTCGAGACATCCAAGCATTCGAGATGATGCCCCTTGGTCCCGCAAACGGCAAGAACCTGGGAACGACGATCTCGCCGTGGGTGGTGACGCTCGACGCCTTAGAACCTTACAGGCTTCCCACGCCGCCGCGCACCCTGCCTGTTCCTCTGCATCTCGACGATCCAGACAACGGTGCATATGACGTCCGCATGCAGGTTGAGGTCGTGGTAGGGGACAGTGCCACGGTAATTGGAGCCTCAGAGGTACAGTCGTTATACTGGACGATAAGGCAGATGGTGGCGCATATCGTTAGCGCCGGCAGTGCGCTACGAACCGGCGATCTGCTGGCAACGGGGACAGTCAGTGGTCCCGGGAAGGGGACCCATGGGTGTTTGCTCGAGGCCACTTCGGGTGGTGTGACACTGATACAATTGGAAAATGGATCCACAAGGGCGTACTTGGAAGATGGAGACGTCGTGAGGATGACGGCTGTTGCAGGTGGTGCGGACTCAGGCATCGGCTGGGGTGACTGCGTTGGGGAGTTGCTTCCCGCTCAACCATATAAGTAAGGATGTCGAGACGAACCCGCTAACGAGACGTCAGGTGTCTATAGAGAATACGATTGGCTTTCCGGCTGCATCTCTTGACCCCTTTGTTGGATCACGAAAGAGCACGGGGCCCTGCCGCTTTCTGAAGCCCGCCAATTAGTTGTATCAGGTTGTCAACCGAATGAGGGCGAAACATCTCGTCGTGATTCCGGCGGAGGATGTCAACAACCGTCTCCATTACCCTGTCCGGCCGTGAAAGCTGGACATCATCAAGCTGGTTGTCCAGCCCGGGAAGGCTTCGTATGAATGGAAGACCTCGCCCAAATTGAAGGAATCTCTGCGTGGCAATGTCATCAGGCCCATCCAGATAGACATTTTGAGACTGTCCGCCAGCTGATGAAGGTAGGCTCACGCCAGAACTTGCCGATCCGGTCATCCCCGGCATTTCGAATAACAAGCCGTACACCCATAGAACAAGACTGGCATGATACACCATCATTGCGCTAGGACCCCATAGGGCCCCCCTTGGAAGGAGTTTTGCTGCCCGCAGAACTTGGCCGCCGTGCCAGACGGCTGTCCTAGCGGAATCGCCTGTGACCCACTGATTGATCGTCGGGTAGGCATATCGTGCTTGCTCCAGCCCATCCATGCCGGCGAAGAGTTGTATCTCGTTGAAAGGCATGTGAAGGTGCATGAGAATAAGCTCTACACGCATGGTAATCTCTTCCGCGCGTGTGACGTCCAAGTCGGCGCTGATGCGGAAGTTGCTGAGAAGTTTCAAGATCTCCTCATGTCGCCCGGACATGAGCAAGGCGTTCCAGGACCGTTTTCCTGAGCCAGCCCTTTGCAGAGACCTGAGTTGAGTATATTCCCAAGTGAGCCGCCAAGCGCACGAAAGGAAGGCGGAACTAACTATGCTGGTATCGACGGTATTCTTATAAGCGTGGAAATTTTCTGTGTCGTCCATGTAATCAGCCAGCGTCAGCGGTCGGGCCAAGCTTGAGTTCGGCTCAGATAGAAATGACGCTTTCCATTGCGTTGGGCTAAGGGCAGACCACATCTCCGCTGGGTCAGGTATGGGGAGCTGAATGTCGGCGTACGATATCAGGGGATTAACGAGCAGTGAGAACGACGCATTGGTATCATGTTCGAGCATCCTGAAGGCAAGTCGCTTGAACGATTCGGTTTCCACCCACGTCGTCCAGGCACTGTGAAGAGAAACACTATCGTCACAGTCGCCCGGGATGACTGACTTCGGACAGTCAGACCGCTTCAACTTTCCGTCACGTCTGACCATTGTCACAAGAGGCTGAAGGAAACTTTCCGCTATTTCGACCTTCCTGCTGTGGCCGCTCCAGAGTCCGATTTCGAGGACTATGAGATATGCTTGCCAGAGCTCCAAGTCCCTTGTGAGGGTATTATTGCGTTCCCACTGTGGAATTGTTAGAATGATCGCTGCTCACTGAACGAGGTTTGCTCCAAGTCGTTGGGGTCACTTACGTGTCTGGGTATGGCGACTCGCAGGCATTCTTGGATGGCCAGGCCATGCTTAGACAAGGTGGGGTCCGAAGTGAGCACCGCGCCTGCAGCGACCATTGCAGCTAGAAGGTCTGGTCGTTTCTTGTTCGGGTCAAAGGTTGCACCATGCAGGAAGTTGTCTGATCGCGCCACGGGGGAAGTCAGGTAGTACTGGAGGAGTGTGTCCAGCAGTTCCGCACCAGGAAATGCCTGGACAACCCTGGAGAGATCCTCGGTACGGCAAGTTTGCATGATGCTTGTGAGTATCTTGTCTCGGGAGGATAGGCTTAGTACTGCGCATGTGATACGCCGTTCAAGCGAGATTCGGGATTCCGGTGAGCCGTGGTCATGAGCAGTCGCCGGTAGAGAAAGATTGTGCTCTTCAGCGGCCCCGTGGTCTTGGACATTCGGCCGGAACTTCCAATAGTAGTTCCTGTATGCCTCTGTTCCGAGAATGGCTGGCCTACACGGATCCGAGGAGGCGTACGGTGGCTCCTTTGTCGACTGAGTGTTCTGTAATCTTCTGTCAAACTCAAACGGCAAGTTCGTATTGTATGCTTCCAGAAAGCGCAGGTCAATGTCGTTGAGTTCAAAACCGAAATTTGCATCGAAGTCAAGGGACCCCATTGGCATCCATTGCCCTAACAGCAGGTCAGAATTCGGGAGTCCTGTAAACTGATGGGCGGTCAGGTCGCCGTGTAAGGGAACCTGCAAGGTGGATTTGGGTTCTCCGGCCGAAGGGTCGTGGTTGACCCCCGGAGGTGCGGACAACGTACCCAAGAATGGCTGTGCCTGTAAGGGCTGGGGGGTGGAACCTTCTGGGAGTTGGTCAATGTCTGTTGAAACGGTGGGAGGCCTCTGTTCAGATGTTGCACCTGTGCCGCTCGGGGCAAATCCTGGGCCATCCACCAAGTCTGCGGTCGCCGCAGGAGGCGTTGTGCCTGAGTCTGATGAACGGTCCCAGAGACAATCGAGCCCTTTGTCGATACACCGGTGGCACGGTTTCTCTTCCGTGCAGCGCAAATGATTGGTCGCGCAAGCCCGACATGCTTGTGTCACTCGTCCGAGGGAACCCGCAAGAGCTGGAGATACAGCACGCCTATTTCTTGGAGCGTCATGAGCCATGACATGTCTCTTCAGGAGATCACTAGGCTCACCCAGGCTTGACTCAGTTCTCGTCTCTCAGATACGGCGGATACAGTGGTGGACTCACGCTCTTCCAAAGGCCTTTGGGCAGGCGGGACATTGGTATGGCCTGGACCGGGTGTCTAGACAGAATCAGTTGCTCAGTCGGCAAAAGAAAAGACACGCGAGGGACAGGAGGGAGAACACAGGGTAGACTTACGCGATCGCACATGGCGCGCGAGATGATCTACTCTCTTGTACCGTCGCATGCAGGTGCCACATTGGAATTGTCCGAACGACGCATCTTGCGCCAACGGAGCTGGCACAGTCGAAACACTTATCGAGTCCACTTCCATGGCGGGTATATCACATCCTTTGTACCACGGATGGGATCGTCAGAGGCTTCACAGGTCCAGCTGCGGCGGCACACTTCAGGACGAGACAAGATACATGACAACGAGAGGAACGAAGCTGTGGTGGGGAAGAGAATAGAGGTTGCGAGTATGCGGAGATCGTTATTGCGGGCGCCAATGCAGGGCCTTTTCCCCGGGCAGAGTCACACCCTCTGGACATTTAGTCATAACTAATTCAGCGGGGCACGATTGGCCCACAGCGCCCCCGGTGGAAGCCGCTTTGGCCTTGCGTTTCTTGCCGGATTCCCCGTAAGTATGATGGTCTCGCCCCCCAGCTCGTTGCAGGCAGCTTTTCCGGGGGCTGTGGTCTCAGGCGGACTTGGTTTGAACATCATCGAACAGTCAAGGGCAAGACCACGGTCGCCACTCTGAAACTGCAACTACGCTGTACACGCTCCAAGGAATCGTGCATTAGATTCTTGATCTACGCCGTAGGTGCCGTGCTTGCTCTCCGACTGCGCGCCACGCTGATTGGCGGATGCCATCCTCGGGTCACTCCCCCACATCCCTCGAGCTCCATGCTCCAGGTGGTGAGGGTTCGACATCACCTGGGCAGCGGTGGGGCTCCTCGATAAGCATATAAGAAGGACGTAGATACTGGACTGTACTTTGGTCCGATGTCGACGTGCTCCTGTTATTAGCTGCGATGCCGTACAGTCCAGACCGGTAACGGCACAATGGGTAGGTGTTGCATACCCTTCTCTACGGTCACTTGCGACAACGCTGCCCCTTCTCGGCTGACACAAAACCCCAGTATCGAATCTCACACCCGTATATTTCTTTTCCCATGGCTCGACCATGATGCTGGGAGAGCCCTCAGAGTCTGCTGACTGCTGGAAGAAGGCAGGCGACGAGGCGCTTGCCCACAACATCAAGGGCGTGATCATGATGGTGAGAGAGACACGAGAGATGAGGGACCATAAAACCCTTGCTGACTGGGAGAAAAGGGTGCCCATTGGGACGCCGCCGGCGACAGGATCGAGGTTGCAACAAACCCAAATCCGGGAAAATCGCCCGTGGCCTACGTCCATCCCTCGAAATATGTCGACTACAAGCTGAACCCCGACCTCAAAACGGCTGACCGTTGCATCTCCATGCTGGCGGATGCCGGCTTTGACGTCGCGGCCAATCCCAAGTTCGACTGGATTCACGACACCTACCTGATATTGATTCGCATGTTCCCCAACGGCTGCCCACCGACCGTGCTGGTCTCCATGAACGCCCGCTTCGATCCGCACTTCCACGTGAAAGTCGGTGCTGCCCTGCGGCCGCTAAGAAAAGAAGGGTACTTGCTAATCGGCTCTGGTGGCGCTGTGCACAACTTGTACCGAAACGTTTGGATGCCAATGCTACGGTTCAGCGACAATTTTGCTCAGGAGACCCCTCCTGAGCCGTGGGCGCTCGAGTTTCGCCAGGCGGTCGAAGACGCATTCGTTCATAACAGTGGCCCAAAGCTGCGGAGGGCTGTTACGCGTCTCATGAAGCACCCGTTGTACCGTGACGCCCATGCAACTGATGATCACTTCATGGCTGCCATGTTTGTTGCAGGTGCGGCGGGAGATGAGGAGGATGAGGGAGTGTATGCCAACCTTACAGCCGAGACATGGGAGTTGACGAACATGTGCAATAGCCAGTTCACGATCGGGAACTGGCCCAAAACGCTCAATTTGGCGGCATAAGATTTTGGCGGGAACCTTTGGCTCTGATCTCTGTCGTCTTGCTTCCTAATGCTCTGACCCTCTTGTCCTTTGAACAGTAGGAACTATGGAGCAACAGCAGCGCGAGAAGGTGATGTTTGTTACACCAGAAACGATTTGAGTTCATAGCAATTTGTATACACATTTTCGAACGAATCTCTCTGCACCATAATGTCTGGCTCTACTTCACAGCTCTTCGTCCAATGTACGCTCTCAGTTATCGGGGAGGAATCACCGGGAGTGTCAGATAGTTCCGGAACTGTGATCCAAAGTGGATATGGTTCATACCCTGGAATATCTCTGGTGGCCTGGGACGTATCATGATTAGTATAATAGCCGGCCCTGATCGAGCATCGCGCAAGGTACTCACCTGTCTTCCGGGTCGTCGTGTAGGAAGATTCCCGACCCCTGTGTATCACCCGAGGACACCTCGAACACGATTTTCCCGCCCTTCTCCACGACGACATTGGTTGGCCAAATCTCAATGTCGACCGTATAGATCTCACCCTGGATGACAGGCAGGGTGTCTCGACTCGTATAGTCGCGATGTGGCAGCCATGGTTGATGCTTCGGGTGGCCTCGATTAACCTTTCGCAAAGACACCCTAAGCCACCCCTTGGTGAGAGGCACTGGATCACCTGCGGTCCCCGTGTAGAAAATTTCCTTGCCGTGAGGGCCAATGTGACGCAATGTCACAAACAGGTCCATATCCTTTGGTGTGGGTCCGGCCGGGTCAGGACTTACTGACACATTGAGATGAGCCGTAACGTGTCCGGTGATCTCGGTCTCCACATCGAAGGGCCCAGTACTGAATGACAGATACTGAGGGTCTTCAATTGTGCCCAAGGCCCGGTAAGACAGCTTCTTCCGCTCACTGGCCAGTGTCTCGTTCTGGGTTAAACCCAAGGTGGGTGTGAGAAAGAATTTGGCGTATTGCGTCCTTGCAAGCGGCCATTCATTCTCTTCGCGTCGTTGATATGCTTTCTCTGCTTCAGCGTTGTTGAAGCCAACATCTCCTTTCCGCAGAACAAGGCTGACTGGCGCGACCTTGCCCTCTTGTGTCCAGCCCACTCGATCATCGCCCTTGAGGAAAGCATCCAGGAAGCTAAGCTGAACCTGAACTTCTTCGTCGTAATAGAACGGCAGATCGTGTCTCCCAGTGATCATGCGGAGATATTTGAATTGAGAGGCAGCATGCAAGTATCCCTGAATATTCCCTCTTAGATGAAGCAAAATCCCTCCCCAGTTCCCGACCGAAAGGAGCGGGACTTCAATATCCCCCATGTCATACTCTTTCGATGCATAATAGACGTTGTCTCGAAACTTGTTTATGCGGTTGTCGACAGTCTGGTCGTTTCGGTTGTTTGTCAGCTCCTCTTCAGATAGGTTTCCCTCGAGCGTGTCAGGTCCCCAGTTACTAGCGCTCCTTCCAGGCCGGCCGTACTGGTTAGTGATAACCTGCCTATTCCACCAGAAACGGATAAATCTGTTGGAGAGAATACCGCCGTGTCGACATCTATCCCGATAATAATCGGACATACCTTCCCAAGGTATCATTGCAGAAAGGCCCTTGGGCTTGCGTGCTGCTACGCGCCATTGGCTGCCTGCGTAGTAGCTTATACCAAGCAGTCCGACCTTACCCGACGACCATGTTTGCTCGGCGGCCCACTCAACCACGTCACAGAATGCTTCGCTGGTGCCCCTGGACATAGTGTCCAGAACTCCGGGGGACTGTCCCAGGCCCCTCTCATCAGCACGAACAAGGGCATATCCATGCTGCGTCCAGAAGCCCGGGTCCGGTAGTTCCCAGGCCGAATGGTCGGACTTTTGTTGTGGATTTACCTCCGAGAAGGACTTCGGATGGAAGCTTATGCATATGAGCTTCGTAGCCGGATGTCGAGGGTTAGATGGCGCACTTACTCTTTGTAGTGGATATCCTTGCCGTAGGGCCCATAGGTAACCAGAACCGGAACGCGACCCGAGTTCTTGGGTCGGTACACATTGCAACGGACAAGACCTCCCTCAATTTTGAGTCTTACTGTTACATTTTGTTCAAAAATATATGGGAAAGATGTTTCGGCCACGGTGTGGAGGTCCTTGAACTCGTGCGGCATGGTGGCGTCTTCTGTCCGGATCACACAGAAGGTGGGCGGAGACGTCAAGCTCTCAACAGCTGTGCGACACAACATAGGACTCGTGACGTAGCTACCTGCCTTGAAAGCGATTGAACTTTTTCTTTGCGTATCTTCTATTTGTTGAGGGTGTCTTATCGCGATGAAGACACTCTCCTCGTGGAGCCGAACTCATTGGTCACGCATCAAGCCTGTCATGTGGAGCCGAATCCCGATAATGTATACATTTCTAGTACAGGTGACTCGATCGACATGGGGACCGGGCCATGGGCAGATGAGGAGCCTCACACAGTTTGGGATGTTCTTGTTATAGCTTTACTAGCGAGAAGTGGGCGTCCCTGAACTTACGGCGGCTCTAGACGTGCGTCAGCAGGGGCATGAAGCCTTTGTATGGAGGACATCATTTCTCTCCCTTCGCGGCGAGTAACATCTGACTAAGTTAACTCAGACGCTCAAGGTCTCTGAATTTGCTGAGGAAATAGGCGTGGCTTTCCCTGTTCAATCAAATCTCCAGCGCCACGAATAAATAAACGCTCTACTCTTGTAATTTTAGAAGGGATTGATTTGGGCTTTAGTTGATCTGGTCATATTGGACGAATGGGAGGATAACATTTCTTTGAGACGTAACTCGTCCTTTCATTAGACGTTAGTCATAGTTCTCAGAGTTGAACGAGAGTCAAACTAACCGGTTGCCAGATCAAAGACTAGAGGGTGGAGTGTTCCATAGTGCGCAATGGTTTGAAGGCGCTGGCAATGCTACAGTTGACGAGATGCTCGAGCGCCTAGCTCTGTGCAGTAAGGTAAGAATAAAGAGAGCGCACACGATCTCAAGATCACTTGACGGGCTGATGAAGGTGCCAATGACAAGATTCAAGAGAAATGCAGCACTGAATGTCTAAACTGCATGGAGCTGGCTGCTCTTTAACGCGTAGCAGCCATGATGGTCCAAGGTTACAACTTCGGACATGACGTGGCGCAGAATACCTATACGAGCTGGGTAAATGGCTCCTAGAGTGCAGATAACTGTCCTACTTGCTTTGACACCGCCGATCTGTCGTAGGTCGAGTCTTAACGTTACAAGGACGTAGATCGAGGAAGGGGAACACCATTCGATTACCGAAGTAGAATACCTCTCATGCTTTCCCAGCACTTCCCAGCCAATGAGTGTACTCCCCAATGGCTTTCTGCTTTTTATTTGTGGATGCCTCGATCAGCGTTGTGAGAGGCTTCCCTCGCATCTCATCGTGGACCGCAAGATAGTGGTTGTTCATGCCCTTTTTATGATTTTGGCCCTGCTGACGCCGGCTTTGATGCACCTTTGGAAGATATGCTCATCAAACGGATCTGCTCCATGAAGAACCAGGAGTGTCTTGTCTCCGATGGCGGCATTGATGGATTGTAACCGGTCATTATAGAAGCCGAGTTCCATGCGGACCATACTGTCCATGAACATTGCCAAACGCGGGCGCGAGTATTTCAATACCTGTTGCCACAAATTCTTCGGCATCGCCAGGTGTCGTTGACCCGCCTTCAAGGTCTGCAGTCTCGGCAACACCGTCTTCACCACCCTCGATACGTCCTGGTTCTGCCTCGGTCGCAATTTCACGGTTATGACAGTAGGCGACCAACTCCTTGGTTAGACGCAGGTTCTCCTCTCTTTCGTAGTGACTCATGCCGCACATGATGCTGTCGAATCCATCTTCGAAATCTGCCGCGCATCGGACGAGCTCTGGAGTCTGACAGTGGTCAAGATGTAGTGACACAGGCACTACGTACAGTGGCTACGATGGACTCCAAGTTGTAGCAGCACATTCCCGGAACGGCATACCCTCCATGACGGGCAGCTTTCAGCATGCTTGGTGCAATTGTTTGACAACACTGGAAGGACCATTATTCCCGTAGCCTTCCCGTCCTCTTGCCTGCTAGCAAGTACTTCCTAAGAAGGCAATCCGTCGAAATAACTGCGAGAGCTGTCTAATCTATGTAATTTGCACCTTGGGCCAGATTGCGGAAGGCAACCAGTCCGGATCAGCGCAGCATACTCCCAGCCTAAGGTCCGTTTCCGAGGCTCGGCTCGGACACATGACTGCCACGCTCCGGTGCCTGTTTGGACTTTTACTGCAAATTGTCAACACAAGAAATTCAAGTTTGTTTAGAGACATTCAAAGAATTCACCCCAGCTCGTGCTAGACATACGTACCTGGGACCCCTGAGCATTTTGACATCAAACAGCAACCATGTCATCCGCTAAGCCTGAAGTGTCTTTTATCGGCCTCGGGGCCATGGGCTTCGGTATGGCAACCCATCTCCTCAAGCAAGGATACAAAGTGACAGGCTTCGACGTATTTGGTCCGACTCTAGAGAGGTTCAAGGCAGCGGGAGGAGGCATTGCGTCAAAGGCAGCTGAGGCCGCTCGGGGTAAGGACTACTGCGTATGCATGGTGGCTACTGCTCAGCAAGCGCAGGCTGTCCTGCTGGGTCGGGACACTCCAGCTGTGCCAGCCCTGCCAAATGGCGCAACCCTGCTATTGTGCTCAACAGTTCCGTGTGGTTACGTACAGCAGCTGCAGAAACAACTCTCAGACACAGGTCGTGGTGACATCAACCTCATCGACTGCCCAGTTTCTGGAGGTGCCTATCGCGCAGCTGAAGGTACCCTATCCATAATGGTCGGCGCAAGTGATCAGGCAATCGCGAAAGGGCGCTTTCTTCTGGAAGAGTTATCCGATCCGGAAAAGCTCTACATCGTTAAGGGCGGCCTCGGTGCAGGGAGTAACATAAAGATGTGCCATCAAGTCCTGGCGGCGAATCAGATTCTGGCAGCAAGTGAGGCAATAGGGTTTGCGATGCATCTGGATTTGAACCTGCAGGAAACCGGAAATGCGGTCATCCACTCAGATGCTCGTAGCTGGATGTTCGGTCACAGATTGCCGCGCATACTGCACCCGCAGTTCCAGCCGCTCGTCAGCGCCCTGACTATCATCACAAAAGACACGAGTATTATCACTTCTGAAGCCAGGCGCTATTCATTCCCCACACCCATGACTAGTGCGGCAGAGCAGGCTTACTTTACTGGACTAGGCCGGGGATATGGTCCAGATGATGACAGTGGCATGGTCAGGTTATACACGGAAGGAAAGGATAAAGTTGGCCCAGTCGATGGCCTTGTCGAGAGTGAAGCCGAAAAGAACGCACTTGTTCAGGGTCTTCTGAGGGGCATACATCTGTGCTCAGCGGCGGAGACTCTGGCATTCTCTCATTACCTCAATCTCGACCTCGATCAGGTATTAGAGTTGTGCGTAAACGCTGCCGGAGGAAGCGGTATACTGGAAAGTATTGGCCCGGATATCATAAAGACGCTCAGGGAAGGGAGACCTCCGCAATCCGCTGGCGCCTATCGTCTTCAGCAAATTGCCCAAGAGCTGCAAGATGCTGTGGATGAGGCTCAGAGGTTGAAAGCGCCCTTGATTCTAGGAAGCCAGGCGCTGAATCTGATACGGATAGTACAGCAACATGCTCCTCAGGAGTTCAGGGAGCATGCAGGAGCCGCCTCTGTTGTTAAGCAGTGGGCAATCTGAACCGACTGGGACGTTTTGATGATATGAGTAATCTGATCAACGATCCTCCCACAGATGCTTTATGGCTGTTCGGTATGGCATTCTCCTGGACGCAATGGGAAAGGTCGAGAAAGTGCCATGCTGAACACAGTCATGTGAGTTCAAAGGCGCGCAGCTCAGATCATCACCGGCGCTTTCAAAACGACGGCCGGGTCGGGCGTAGATGTCGAAGCAAACCTGCTCCCAGTATGACATCATCTCAGCCAAACATTTTTGATGGTAGAGAAAACGCGGTCGAAGAACGAGATGTCGTGTAGGTCGGGTGTCGTGATTCACTCGCCTATGGTCTACGTTATGAGTAATCTCTACAAGAACTTCCGGGAAAAGTTCACAGCTGGCAGTATTGTCAACCGATAATTGTAGATACAGAATCACATATATTACTCATTTTCGACTTGTACATATGGCAAAGAGTATCAGGGCGCGAAGCTACAAGACATCCAGATTCAGCGGACCACCGAAAACAGCCGAGTACAAGCTACGGGCAATTACGTAAACTAACATTGCTTTGTCGAAAGTGCTAGTCGTGTATCAAAAATGACACAATGGAGGGAGCAGGTGAATTTTTTAATAGTTGATTTCGTGAATAGTATCTCTCGAGTTCTTCGAAAGCACTCATGATTACCTAGTCTGCGATTGAAATATTTAAATTCTTCTTGAAACAGAACTGGTGGTTCTAGAATGAGATTTGACTGAGCTGTTGAGTTATGCTCATACAAGTATTCTACGATTTTCCGACATAGGGTAGGATGATGGAACTACGGTACTCCCCTCCGAGATGCAAGGTATGGTTTCCTTTGTTCAACTCATGCTCGGGCCGCGGCACTGACCAGGCGTTAAACTCGGCAGCGCTGTGGTTCTGGCCACCAATCTGCAGACGAAATGTCAATAATGTCCCTCTCAGCGACATGGTGATGTGTGAATGAACTCACCCTTAAGCTGACACTCTCACCCGCGTCGTAGTCGACGCCCAGGGCCCAAATACCGATCTCCAACTTCACAATAGTACCAGGGGGCACTTTCCGTTGTTTCTCATGCGGGTGGAAGGGGAAATTTGGATGAATGCTTCTCGAAGAGTCAATGTCACGGTGGGAAGCACGAAGTATGCCCATAGGACCTGCAAAGGTGTTGACGCTGTGTCGGTCCTTTTCGTCGATCTCTGACACAGACTTTATCGGAGCCGCCTCGAACGGGAAGTTCAGATGAACCATATCTTTGCCATGCTTGTCCTTTTTTCGAAGGATGACAAAGATCACAAAGTCATCGCGTGAGTCGCACGACACGTAGAGGGTTGCCTTGGGTAGTCCAATAAGCCGTGAAGGTTCGGTGAAAGTATGTGTGAACTCCACCCAGCTGTTGCGATCCTCGGAGTTGTAGGTCACCTTCTCGACGGTCGCTGGCGTCTTGTCGCTGAGCTTGCCATTGCTGGATAGAAAAAACTCCAGATATTTGGTCTCAGGGACGGGGAAGTCGTCCAGCACAATGTCGTGGACGGGGTGGCTGTCACCAAATTTCAAAGTGGCCCACCGCACTTTGGGCGTGTCCCGCTCCCAACCATTGTCAATGCCACGGAGATAGCGATCAAAGTATTTGGTGAGGGACGTGGTAGACTCGGGCATGCTGTACAGTTCGAACCATTCCTGGTAACTACCCCATTGAATCCACTTGTTTTCGTGCGGAATTTCCAACCACGCCCGTACGGAGCCCATCGTGTGCAAGCCGCTAACTTCCGCGCCTCGAATATAGACGGGGCATGCTATCTTGGTCATGTCGACGCGCTTGTCTCTCCACCAGGAATTCATTGTCGGGGATCGCCGGTACATTTCGGCGAAGTCCTCGACTCCGGATCCAGGGTGCCCCCGTAAGATCTCTTTGGTGATGAGGTCGAAGTTGTGCATGGAAAACCATCCTCCTACAAGGCTCTGTCAGTCTGATGTCTCAAAAGGATCTCTTCATGTTCAGCATCATACCTCGGCACATTTGTTCCCTATACATATCACTCAGACCCTCCCACGGGGCGATAGCCTTAAGAGATGGCGGTTGCTGGGCCGCCACAAACCACTGGGTGATTGCCAGGTACGAATTACCAGCCATACCAATGTTGCCATTGCACCAATCCATCTTTGCTACAGCTTCGACAACATCGTATCCATCCTCGGCCTCCTGTGAGCCTTGCACGCCTATATGCCCGTCACTGTTGCCGGCGCCGCGTGCGTCGACGCTGACGATGGCATAACCTTGAGGACACCAGATGGCCGGATCGAGGCCCTCAAACTTTTCCAGGCCGCTGAGGTCAGACCGCTTGACGCAGGAGTGCCATTTCGTCATTGGGAGCATGTCAAGCGAACTGTATTTCTTGCCATAGGGAGACCAGCTCAGAATAGCGGGGATCTTCTCATTGGAGTTTTCCGGCCTGTAAACGTCCACGTAAATGCGAACACCGTCACGAACGACCACCTCCACGTCGTGGTCCAGGCGGATGTCGCTGGTCAAGGCTTTGGTGTCTTCGCCGAAAGGCTTCGACCCTGCGGTGAATACTTCGCTTTTGCCAGGGTGAAAGCCCGTATAGCCATTCTCGCCAACCTTGGGCTGGCCGATTCGCTTCACGGCTGTCTGCAGCGCGGGAGGCATCCTGGACTTCTAGAGCAAGGAAATGTGCCTCAGATGGGGACTGTTACAAGATGAAGGACGATTCTGGAGGCTGAAGCAAGACAGACAGGATGAAGGTGAGCGAGCAGCACGGTGCAGAACAGGGCGATGCTCTGAGAACCTACAAAACAGAAACAATAGTTTTTTGAGACTCTCGGGCAGGAAGTGGTAGAGGATATCACTCTGATTTGTCGACCGTCGAGAGCGCAACCGAGGAATCCATTGAAGCTCTTTGCCCGCTTGGGGCTTTTTCATGCCGATGTGGGCCATCGCCGGCCCCGCCTCCACACCTTTGCCAGCGTCCATTGTCTCCTTCGCAACCGGCTTCTCCATCTCCACGTTGCCCCTCTCGTCCTATCGAGACCCGATCCGAGGACGGCCTCCGAGGAATCCCAAGCCCTGACACTATCGGTGGCAATTTGAAGCACGGAGCCCACATGATCAGGCTTCTGCCGACAAAGCTTCAGCTTTTGGGGTATATCAAGGCAAGAGGTTTTCGATCAAGTTTACTGACTCAATCTTGACCGCTCTCTTAGCTGTATAACTACTTGTTTGGTATTTTCGATTTACATCTCTTGCTCTATCCGCCATGGCAACAACTACAGAGACCCAGGTTAGCGAGGCCGAGCAAAAGTTGACCTTCGCTCCCCAGTTCGAAGCCAAGGACCTCGTCGAATTCGACCCCGACCGCGTGTACGGTGACTGGCGGGACGAGTTCCACAAGACAGGTTGCGTCCTAATCAAGAACGTCATCAGCCCTGAACGTGCGAAGTACTACGCCGACAAGCAGACCGAGTGGCTCAAGAAGTTCGAGTTGGGGTTTGATGAGAACGATCCGGAGACATGGACGGCCGATCATCTGCCCGTCAGCTTCAAGGGCGGCATGTACTTTGCGTACGGCTCCACCCACGAGAAGTCCGTGTGGGAGGCCCGCAGTGAGCCCGCCGTGATCGATATCTTCGAAAAGCTTTGGGAAACCAAGGAGCTCATCTGCTCGTTTGATGGCTCCAACATCTCCATGCCCAACCGGAAGGACCTGAAGTGGTCGCCGTGGCCACATTGCGACCAGAACCCCGAGCGGAAAGGGTAAGTTCTCCCTCAATCTCTATAAGTTTCTTTGAGACTGGGATCCTGAGTATCTACTACAGCATGCAAGCGGTGCAAGGTCTGCTCAACTACGCTCCTAACGGCCCTAAGGATGGCGGCCTCATGCTGATGAGGGGTTCGGCCAAGCTGTTCGATGAGTTCTTCGCCCACAAACGAGACTCGGCCGACCACGAGGACGCTCCACCGCCAGAGATCAAATTCATGGACCTCTTCCTCTTTAGCGAGAAGGACGTTAAGTGGTTTGAGAGCCGTGGCTGTGAGTTGTTTAAAGTTAACATGGACCCGGGCGACTTTGTGCTCTGGGACTCCCGCACCATGCACTATGCCAAATTTCCCGAAGGCGACCAAATCCGCCACGTGCAGTACATTTGCATGACGCCCCGCCGCTTTGCGAGTGAGGAGGCTCTGAAGACTAAGCAGTACTGTTTTGAGAATTTCCTCGGCACCACGCATTGGCCACATTGGTGAGTCCTTCAACATGAGGCGACGGGTTGATGAATCGAGCAGTGGCTAACATGACATGATCTAGCAACATTCGTCCTTCGGCCGAGAAGCCAATGAGGAACGGTGAGGTGTGTCCTAAGTACCGAACAGAGCCTTTCGAGAAGCCTGAGAGGACGGACACTGTGTTGCGACTGGCAGGCGTGAAGGAGTACTAAGAACACTCTGGTCGGCGAGGCCAAGGGCAGACTACGGGGGGTTATAGCCTGTAGAAGCATAGCTAAGCCACCAGGCGTTTGCGCTGTATAATCTGGTCCGCTCCAGCTAGTTGCAAGTTTTGATGTGCTTATCAATACGCTGCTTCGAGGGCTCTTCCCCAGTATCGCAGTAAACACCGGGGAGATGCGAAGTCACCATGTCGACAGAATTATCGCGAAGATGTGCGACCCAGACTCCGCCAATCACTGGCCAGGGATCGAGTAATCGGTTCACTGTACTGTCTCCCTCCACTTCTGCCTTTCCTTTCCAAAGCCTTTGCAGTGCCTTCACTGCCTACCTCAACCTTAGCCACGTTACTGTTATACGCATGGAACGGCGCAAGAATGAAGTGATAGTCTGAAGGGCTGCTGAGTACGATTACGATTCTATCGAGAAGGACAATGATCATGATTCGACAGAACAACGTCCCAGATCCAGGAGAACACCAACGGGAGGGTGACAAACTGTGAGTTCCCTACTTGCGGAGAAGCGGCGTGGTCTCTCAGCTGGGGGGTTCGGCTCGGCTCGGGCTCCGACAGCCAAGAGCCAGTGCCTATGAAGAGACACCTCTTCTTACCCATGACTTCTAGTCCTCTTTGTGTAAAGGATTGACCGGAATGTGGAGGAGGGGTAATTCGAGATAGCCCTGGTGCCAAATACGGTAGGTACAAAACGACGACAGTAAATATACTTGATCGGCCTACAAGTCTTTGAAGTCATGTGCGTCGTTCCCACTGACAGAGTTCCCTGGTGAGTTCAGGATGGCGGCTGGAAACGACGAATTCCGGATCATTATTGTTGGAGGCGGGATTGCGGGATTGGCAACTGTAAGCACAGCGGTGCGTCAAGTGGGATTTAGCTGACAGTGAACTACCAGGCGATCGCGCTCCGTGGCCCAAACCGATCCATTACGATTCTTGAACGATCGCGCATGCTCAAAGAAACCGGTGCTCTCATCTCGTTACAACCCAATGCAAGCAAGATCATCACCAAATGGGGGCTGGACCCCTTCCTCGAGTCCGCCGAGCCACAGGCGGACCGTGGCTTTCGTCTGTTCGATGTCACCGGGCAGCTCGCGAGAGAAGTGCCTCTGAGCACCGCACAATATGGAGCTGACCGCGTTCTCTACCACCGGCAAGACCTCCATTCTGCACTGCGCGATGCCGCGCTCAGCCCGGAACGGCCAGGACAGCCCGTGGACATCCGGACGGCGAGCCCGGTGGTGGCTTGCGACGCTGAGAGTGGTGCTATCAGTCTTGTAGAGGGGGAGACACTGCAGGCTGACCTGGTTATTGGAGCGGACGGGATCAAATCGATCGTGCGGACCGCCGTCCTGGGTGAGGAGCGCAAAGCCATCCCCACAGGTATCTCGGCATATCGCATACTGATCCCGACCCAGTCGATCCAGGACATCGAAGGGGTGCCAGATAGCGTCAAGATTCCTGAGCCGGCTATGACATCGATGGTGGTGGGAAATGACAGGCGCGTTATCATGGGTCCCGGTCGCGGGGGGAAGCTGTTTGGCATTGTAGCGCTTGTTCCGGATGAAAAGACGAGCGAGGAGTCGGCCGATGACTCGTGGGTCAAACCAGGATCGAAAGCGCAGCTGCTGGAAGCCTACGCCGGCTTCCCACAGTGGTTGCGAGACATCTTTGCCTCAGCCGCGGATGATGGAATCGGCCTCTGGCAGCTGCGTGATCTCGACCCGCTCCCAACGTGGAGCCAGGGGCGGACCGTCCTGGTCGGTGATGCGGCGCATGGAATGCTGCCGACCCAGGGACAGGGCGCCAGCCAGAGTATCGAAGACGCCGAGGCACTGCAAGCCTTTCTGGCTGGTGTGCAGGGCCGACCGAGCAGGGAGGATATCCACGAGGCAGTCGACAAGGTGTTTCAAGCGAGATATGAGCGGGTGAGCCTGATCCAGGCGTACAGCCGGCAGCAAGCAAGGCCCGGGACGGAAAAGGGAGGCCACACGGTGAATCTGGATCCCGGACAATTCATGCAGTATAATTGCGAGTATGACGGCGCGGTGGATTGGCTGAGCAAGCACCCGAGCGGGCAGCATAACGGCAGATAGCACGAGAGACCAAGATCGTCTCCACATCCACACGCGTCCTGCGCCACTCGCCCCGTCTTTTTCTCCACATCCCGACCGCAAGGGAGAGGCGTGTCGCCGCCGTCGTCGTCCGGCCCCCGGGGGAAAAACGCAACCCCGCGAGGAGCGTGGCGCTACGCCCCCAGCCCCGCCCATCCGACGAGGGGGTTCCTTCCCCGCGATGCCGAGATCAAACCAAGTGGAGGCTTTTAATTAAATGGAGCGTGGCGGAGAGGATTCGACCGAGTCCTCCACAACAGAGGTCGCGCGGCAGGTCAAGTGTTCCTCAGGCAGCATCCCGCGCCGCTTGGTCACCCGAATTCGCCCCGAGCCCGTTGGCATGGGAAAGCAGCAGAGATCGTACGCCAGAGCACATCCGTTGTCCGACCTCCCCGGCCCACTGCTCGCTCTCGGGCGCTGAACCGAACCGTTCTTCTCCTCACACGTGCGAGATGGCTGGTCGGACGCCGACCCCAGTCAGCACGTCGCCCAGCAGGAGTGAGACCTCTGGCGCAAAGCGCATCCGGCTCAGCCTGGCGTGCAACCAGTGCCGCAAGCGCAAGGTCAGATGCGACACCGAGAAGCCCAAGTGTCGCAACTGCTGGCTCCGCGACGAGGTCTGCGAGACTACGGACCCGCGGTACCCTGACAGTGGCCCCAGCGTGCGTCGATGGGCGACCAAGGACGGTCTCCTGCCCGGACAGAACCCAGCGGCCACCCACCGCAACCAGGCCCAGATCCCGAAGCACAGTCCGATCGTGCCTACAGGGCCAGCAGCGGCCCCGTCGGACAGGGACCGAGGAGGCCCCCCCGGGGCCAACGCTCTCCCTCGTCGCTGGAGCGCGTCCGCCTCCGTCTCGGCATCAGCTCACCAGAGGGATGCCATTTCCGCCAGCCCTGCTGGCACTGCAGCCAGCGCCGGTGGCTCCGCTCCGCCAGGAGCCATGTCGTGGGTGTCAAGGGGTTACCAGACCAGCGTCAGCGCCGGAGGCGGCGGCGGCGAGGTCAACATCGGCGACAGCAGTCCTGATCTGGTGGTCAACGCGGATGGCAACAACTTACATCGAGTGAAGGTATGTCGTGTCTTGGCCTAACTTGTTTTGCCTCCCCAGAACGCTTACAGGAGTCTCGAATCCTACTAGTACATGGGTGGCAGCAGTGTTCAATGCCTCTCCGCCTTCGTCAACATATATCTGCGCCGCAAAGGACTGCAGACGGTCTCGTCGCATTTCCGGAGTGGAATGAGACATGTGGAAGAGTTCCAGCTTGCTCTATCTACTCTCATTCCGCCTTTACCGGGCCAGCAGGCTCTTGGTGCTTACCTAGACACCTTTTTCACCAGGGTCTGGCCCGTCTACCCCGTTATAGACCGCCAAACCGTCGAGGCAAATATTCAATTCTTTCAACGCTCAGAGTTTTCATCACCAGGTGGTCTACAAGCAACTCTGGCTCCGGCGCATGTTCCCCAACTCGTCATTCTATTCTCAATCATCGCCATTGCGGCCGACGAGGCCGCCGGCGAGCCCACCGAGCTGGGCTACTTGTATCTCAGTGCAGCGTACAATCTGCTTGCGCATTTGGTCGCGACGCCATATCTGACAAGTGTGCAAGCGCTCGTGCTCCTCGCGGTCGCATTGCGATGTAGGTGCAAAGACGGGCAGGCGTGGCATGTTTTGGCACAAGCCATCAGAATCGCACATTCCGTGGGGCTGCACAGGTATATTCGGCCGCAGTCAAGATCAACAACAACGTCCTCCGAAAATCCTTCCCATAGCTACCGGACGGACGTGGAACCGCTCGGACGGGTATGGTGGTCGTGTTATGCTCTTGAGAAACTCATGGAGCTCGAGACGGGAAGACCCTCGGCGATCAACGACGAAGACATTGATCAGATTCTGCCGTCTGACTCACTTGCAACGGGGGACGGACCCGACTTCTTCTCACACTGGGTAGGTCTGGCCAGGATCCTCAGTCAGATTAGTAGACACCTTTACAGACAGAAGCCAACCTCAGCATGGCAGCTCATGTTCGAGATTGGGCGGCTCGATCAGCAACTCCTGGAGTGGGCGAACTCTATGCCGGACAGTGTCAAGCCAGACCATGATCTTTTCGCCGGCCACGCCCTGAATCAGGTGCCGTATCAACAGCACATCTCCAGCTTCCTTTCGCTCCAGTACTACCAGGTATGTCATCAGAGTCCCCCAAAGGCAGCAGTGCACGCGCAGTCGAAGGTCGTTTTGTGACGCGGTGAACAGGCACAGATCACTCTGCTTCGTGCATCTCTCGTCTTCCCGACGCAGTCGTTTATCGATGAGGTGAAACGGCTAGGTCCAAGCCTACCGTCTTATGTGCGTCTTCTACAATCCGAAAACATCTGTACGGGGGCTGCACGGGCAACAGTACGTCAGGTGCTCGAGCTCGCTGACCACGGCATCCACTCGCTCATCTTGTCCGGCACTCAGCTCTTTCTCGCCGCCGTCGTGCTGGCGCTACACGTTGTGAAGAATCCGAGCAAACGCCTCGTACGATCAGACCTTGAACTGCTCAACAGCGCCACCGAACACCTGGAGACGCAGTTCAGCCGCGGAGGTCAGCACCCAAACTTTGTCCGCGGGTTCGAAACGCTGCGGACGAGCGTGCTGGCCGCCGCCAACATGGAGCCGCGGGCCGGAATGGATAGGTCGAGGCCCGCGTCCAATCTAGCACCGGAGCTTGATATACTCGAGGGGAACAGAGATCCTCTGTCATTGTTCGGGGAAGCGTCGCTCCTGGTTCCCGGCATCACACCAGGCTCTACGTCTTTTGGGTTCAGCGACGATATGCCCCTCGAGGAGTTGTGGGGTGCGATAGGGAATTACTCGCTTCTTGAGCCGACGCTTGATGATCCTGCACTCCAGCCGCCGTGAGAGCAAAGGTCGCATCCCCTACATGTTCAAGAAATTAGCGTCGAGAATGGCTTGTACATGTAGTCTGAGACGTCGTAAGATTGATGTATAGCTTATATGCAGCAATTGCGGTGAACGCTTGTTTCCAGGGAGGGCGAGAACAAACTGTATGATCATGGTGGTATCTTTCGTGGGTCTTTAAGGCTGTTACAATTATGCACAGTAGCGGGCAGTGTTCATATGATAGTTGGCATTACGGCGTATCTGGCACGACTACAAGTAGGACCAGGCAGATCCTAATAATAGGAGCGTGGGAAAACATAACATCCTCTCCAACTCGCACGGCCCAACTTCACGATCAACCAGTTCGACCAGTTCAACCATCCAACACGGAAGGGGCCCAGCCTCATCCCCCGCCCCCTCAAATGGCAAAACCAAGATATCACGAGTACGATGGCTTGGTCTCGCTGGTTTGCACCGCATATCGCGAGCAAAATGCGCGGATCTTGGCACTGAAGATGTACACAAGAATCCCACCGGCACCGAGCACACCTGTCAAGATGCCGTAAATGAGGAAAGCACCGTCGTACCCCCTCAGATCAATGAAGGGTTGCACACCATATGACGTCCCAAAGCTGAGGATGCCACGGATGGCACAGATAACGACCAGAGCCGGACCGGATCGTGTGGGATATGAGTCCAGGGCGTAGACGATACCGACCTGGTTGGCCCCCACAAAAGCGAAATAGTAGGCGTTGCAAGCGAAGACGACGGCGAACCAGTGTATACGGTGTGGGTGTGCCGCAGCTTGTCCGTAAAGAATGGAGGATAGTACGCCAACAATTATAGGGAACACAAGCGGCACCAGACGATATTGCGGTTGATGGATACCGCCGTTACGTCTGGCAAGTCGCTTGACGATCCAGTCGGAGCCCCAGCCCAGCACTGGCAGGGCGACGAAGGACACCACGATCTGGCCGGCCATGGCGAACGAGATGTTCTCTTGTGCCCAACTATATGGTGGAGAGCCGACAATATTGCCATATGTGGTACCGATCGCAACATTGACGCCGAGCGTAAGACCGTTGAGGAGCTGCACGTTTGTGTCAGTATCACGCTGACAGTCGAATGGAAGGAGTCACGAGGACTTACGAACGCCCAAAGAATATCAGGGAAGAACATGACTACACACATGCGTCTTACGGTTCTTAAGCCTTCCTCCCAATCAGGCTTGTTGACGAACAGACGCATATCGGATGCCAGGGTACGTGGCTTGTAGTTGACGAAATCCAACTCGACCGTGTCCAACGTGGAGAGGCGTGCGGTAGCGTATATCGCCCCCGGGCGCTCCTCGCCCTCAGAGGTCGCGAAGGTGCTCACTTGACCAGCCTGACCTTGGTATGCCGACAGAGGCCTGTCGTACTTAGTCTCGGGCAGGAAGAAGATGCTGACTATCATGATCGCACCGGCGAGGCCGGACCCAAGGCCATACCAGCCTCTAGCGCCGATTCCTTTGGCGATATAAGAGGTAACTATAGTGAAGGCGGTCGTTAGGATGTTGCCAGCAGCAGTGAATATCATCTGATACTTTCCGCGTTCATGTAGGTAGAATGTTTCTTGGACCATAAGAGGGCACAGCGCCTCGCTCTGGCCGGCGGCCAAGCCAAGGACCATGCGTGCTGCGAGGTGCCACTCGTACGACTTCTGGGTTGCGCAAAGGATGCACGATATGACCAGGACAGCGGACGACAATAAGAAGACAGGACGGCGACCGATGGCAAGGGCCAGTGGCATGCCGATAATGTTGCCAATTCCCATGAAGAGTGTCGGAAAAGTCATCAAGTCTGCCGGAGAATACGGTTAATGACAAGATCTCCACATTCTTGATCCTAGGTCAAAGAGCATCACTTACGTGTGATATCTGCAACCGTCTTACCCTCCGAGACGTACTCTGGGATGAAGAGACCAAGAAGGGCACCCTGATACCGAGTCAGCCTTAAGATCAACAAAGTCAGTCGTTTGCAGGTGAATTACCAGACCGCTGACCATGGTCAAACCAACGGCACTGAACGCAGCAACGATGGCCAAAACCACCTGAGAGATGACTACTTAGTACAATTCTCACTCTATGGGTATGTAATGGAGAACTCACCAGTTTTCTGGGCAGAGTAAGGTTCAATGGATCTGTAACGCAGAAAATCAGCCCAAATTCTGACGCTGTAACAGCCGGATTTCCGCACGGGACACGTCTACATACCTCTCGGGTCTGGGCTGGGGGTCGGAATAAGGTAGATGAGATCTCCAGGGCCAGAGAGATTGACGTCTCCGTCGAAGGTCTCTTTTTGAAGAGGTGGCGGCTTGACCAGATCAGGCTGAAGGCCAGAGTCGTAGGTGACCTCGACATGGCGAATCGTGCCCTTTGCGTCTTCCATAATGACAACCTTAAGACCAGGAAGCAAATAGAAGGGTCTTCTGACCGATAGCAACCAACTGTTCGAGACTATTGATCAAATTTTATCGGTGGGAGAACAAAAAATTGAAGCTGTCTGAGGAGAAGGGCCGCCTGAGGGTCGATATCCAAGCAGACGAAGGGGCCGATGTTGATCCCGGGACGCTTAAATAGACGTCTGGGCCATCCAGGAGAACGATACATGGGCGACGACCGAAGTAACAAGTTGGTGTTCCGTGGCACTGTGAACCGAGCAGTTGAGCTGAGGTCCCCGGATTGGGGAGGGTCGGATCGGGAGACAAGTGCGGAGCATGGACAATTAGCGAAGTCAAGGTGCTCTTTACTGCCGACGGTGCGGACCGTAGTCCATTTCGGATCGGATAGGTGGAGAGAGGCAGACACAGGCTAGCCCGACACACAGTAGACATCGGAAGTGGGCAAAGCTGGACACGCGCACATTCACTTGGAAATCCAGTTTTGCACCCGTGACTTCCTTTCAATCGTCTAATTGCATGTCTCAAGAGAGTGCCAAGTGTGTCCGAAAACATCGCAGACCTTACTCTACCCGAAGGCTAACATAACGTTACATCAATCTGGGGCTTTTAGATACGAGCCGAGCAAATCGAAGAAGTATCAACTCCATCCCCTCAAGCCTTGATGTAAGGGATACCCGTCAGCTTGAATGCCCGCTCGCTCAATACTGCATCATGTAGAGGCCTGTCCCGCTGCACCGAGTCCGGCTTGCCGTTCCGCATAGCCTTGTTGGATCCAGAGAATAGAGCGTTGGGCCAATGTGTAGTGCCGACTCTCGCTACAAGGTAGGTCAGTTAACCGGGACCCTGGAAGACTGGAGGATTGCTGGGACTCTTACCTTCGTACGCGGCCTTCTTGCGAATCAGGTCCTCCTGGGACGCATCGGCTACGGGCATGAAGCAGGTATATATCGCAAGTCTGTCCTGGGTTCCTGTGGCAGGAACGTTGTAGTGAGGCGTCCGCGAGTCCCCTGGCAATAGGAAGTCAGCAAACAGTCGAACAGATACTACAAAGGGACATTTTGGTTTCCGACTCACAGAGTAGTAGGTCCCCGGGCTCAGCCTCAACCTTGACCCACTCCAGATTATGGTCTTTCAACCATTGCATTCCCTTGTCAGTGTATCCATACCACTCCTTCGTCCACGCTGGGATTCTGTCTTCTTTGCCACGAATGTCATCGTGGAACTGTTCGCTAAGGAGATGAGCACCTTTGCACACAATGAGGCCACCATCGTTAGGTCCGTTAGGAAGAAGGTTAACCAGACCCTGAAGACAGCGGAAACCAGGAGTATCCGGATCTTGGTCTTGGTGAGGCCACGGGTTGTTGGCCTGGAGATTTGTACGGTTGGCAAAGCCATAATTGATAGTGTCGAAAGACACAAGGAGATCTTGGGTATCGAAGACCTTCTCGAATGTGCCGACAACGCCCGGCTCGGAGCGAACAGCCCAAACGAAATCCTCATGGCACGCACCATATGGAAGGAGCATTCCCTTCTCGTTGATCACTGGCAACTTGTCAGGATGGACCGTGGAAGGATCATTGCGGTCGTAGCCCATTCCACTAGTCAAATGGTGTAAGCGGTTACAAGACCACAGACGGAGCGTGAGTCGACTTACAATGATTCCACCAAGGAGTACATCTTATCCGCATACTGCAGCGCTCTCTCACGAGGAACAGCACCCTTTACGACAGCATAACCATCGCGGGCAAGGTCATCGCGCCAGTCACCAAACTTGGGATCGGTCCCATCTACGTTCATTCGATAGCCAGTGGCCGGAATAGTGAGGGTTGGTGCGGTAGACGTGACAGTTTCGGTGGCCATACTGACAGTAGAGTATGTGGAAGGTACGTTAGGCGTGATTGATAAAATGCCGTAAGCAACTGCCGACAGGAAGATGAAGTTGAACAATTGCGTCTGGAGCGGAACAGAGTGTGTTGATAGAATGGTGGCTGAACCTGATAGTGGTGTCCTTCACCCACAAGTCAGCATCCGCGTTTGCAGTCTATTATAGGACAGAGTCTACCCCCTATGAAGTGCCGCCCTCACCATCATCCCCGAGGGGACTGAGTGGCAAAGATCTCCCGGCTCGGGTCCGAGGCAGAAGTGCTTTCTCGGCTCGGATTGAATCCGGACTCCATTCAGCCTACCCACCCTACCCACCTCATTCGCTTCACTGAGCCCACAAGACCTGGTAACAAGCTGAGCTGGGTAGGTATAGCGCACGTCCAAGTCTCGTCTCTGGCCAGAACATGGGTAGGCGATCCATGCATCACTCGGATACGACCCGAACGACTGTTCTAGGTCGACACTAGGCAAGACGTGATCGACCGAATGCGAAACACAAAGAAGAGTCACGGCAGACAAAGGGTCAAACATCATGATGGGCGCTGGCATCTAAAGGACCTACCTTCCCTGGCGCGACAGCTTGCGGGACGTGGGTTGTTGCGTTCCTTGGTCATCAAACATGGGGGCCTCCGTATTAAATAGTGCATCCGAGCCGAAGTGTGGGGTCCGGAGTGCGGGGTGCAGGAAGGTACCATTCGAACCAGTGGAGCCGAAGGAGATTTCGTATAATGCTGGCCTTCCCTGTTGAGAGAACTCGAAGATGCACGGAGCTGTCTCGCGCCCCTGTTCTTGGAGCCGAGACATATGATCACAGTGCACTACCAATCCCAGCCGGCCCGTCATGACTGAGGCACAGAAGTCACAATCCTCACATGAAGTGTATAGCGCAGACATCCAACATGGATCTGATGCGAACGTAGAGACCCTGAACGTCACGAAGCCGGCCCATGAGCACATTGAAGGCAACGCGCTTCTGGTTGACAGGCAAGGTCGCATTCGTCGCTTGCCAATTCCATCTCATCATCCCAACGATCCGCTGAACTTTACGATATGGGAGAAGGGGGCAATTATTGTCTGTTGCTGTTGGTTCTGTGAGTCTCCTTCTGCGGCGGGCGGCGGCGGTGTTTGCAAGCGCGAGCTGACAGCTGCACTCTCACCTCAGCGCTTCTGAGTCTAGCCCTTGCCGGCGGCCTGGGTCCTTTCCTGAGCGTATTCTTTGAGATGTACATGCCCCAAGGCTACGACGCGAACCAGATTGTGTACCTGCTCACCATTCCGAACCTTTGCATTGGACTAGGTGAGGCCTCAATACTCCACGGCATGCCCACTCAGTCATTAACCTCGAAGTAGGTAACTACATCATTCTGCCAGTATCTCTTGCTTTTGGTCGGCGCCCCGTTTTCCTTGCCTCGAGCATCGTCCTACTTGTTGCCACTATCGGCTCTGCGGTGCAGAACGATTACAACAGCCACTTAGCTACTCGTACCATTCAAGGACTTGCAACAGGGGCTTCGGAGTCGCTACTACCGCTGATGCTCACCGAGATCACCTTTATACACCAACGTGGCCGCGTATTCGGTCTCTATTGGATGGTGCAAAGCATCTTCAGTGGTCTGCTGAACTTGGCAGGCAGCTACATCAACTCTGCCTTGGGCTGGCGATGGTACTACTGGATCTTCGCGATTGCTGTCGGTTTTGGCCTTGTCCTCAATTTTTTCTGTGCCTTCGAGACGCGATTTAGCCGGCCTGCAACAAGCATTGATGGGATTGTCGTCATTACTGACGAGTTCGGAGTCACTCACACCTTTTCTGACGATGAAGCCCTGGATCATCTGGCAGAAATGAACGCCCAAGGGGTAGACGAGGCCACAGACACTGACGAAGCGCGGACGACCTATCTCCAGAAACTGAAGCCGTGGTCAAGACCCCACGCACAACCCCTGCGTATGATACTGATGGCGTGGGCACGCATGGTCCAGTGCTTCACATCACCAGCCATTCTTTATGTTGTGTTGATTGCTTCCATTACTTTGGGCTGCGTGGTTGATATGTCCCTGACATACGATGCTGTGCTGCAAGCCAAGGGCTGGGCACCGAAGGACATCGGCTTGATCAATCTTGGGTCTGTGGTAGGCGCGGTCCTCGGTGCGATCTATGCTACTCTGCTTGGCGACCGCTTCGTGATGTGGATGGCAAAGCGCAATCACGGTGTTCACAAGCCCGAGCATTGGTTGATTGTTCTTGTGGTGCCCGCCTTGCTAGGATTGGCAACGCTGCTGGTGTATGGCTTCACATCGTCCAGTCATCATGCCTCCTGGTGGGGTCCAGTACTTGCTTATACGTTCTACTCTACCGCTTGGGTGACGGTTCTCATTGTTTCTACGACCTTTGCGTCGGAAGCTGCACCGAAGCATCCAGGCCCGGCACTGGTAATGGTTGTGGGTACTAAGAATATTGTCTCGTTTGGCTTCACGTATGGCCTGACACCACTTGTGGAAAAGGGTGGCTACTCTTACGCATACGGAGTCCTGGCTGGTATATTCGGTGCCTGCTTCATTCTGGGTATTCCAGTGTACATACTCAACCCTAAGTGGCGGTCATACGTGGGGCGCATGGAGCGCCGTCATGGAGTTGTCTCGACCGATTAGCCGGTTCGCCCTTGACTCTGGAAAGAGGGACAATCGTCCATCTTATGATGATGAATGAAGGGTGTAGAATCACGCCCAGATTTTGCCTTGATCTGCTCCACGGGAGAAGCTTGAAATCTCGAAGAGACGTTGAGTCCACACGTGGACCTTCTGAATGTAGCAGATGCTTGGTTTCTAGTTCGGAGGGGGGGTGAGAATACCGTTTCGATAGTTCGCAACTCGGGAAGGCATTGAGTCCAGACAACTTCCCGATTCATATAGTCGCAGCCTTTCAGAACATGCTTTCCCTGGGGAAAAACAGCTAGTCTTTGCAACAGCCTAGAACGCCAACAACTCGACACTGCACGCCGCTTCCGTTGGGAACAGGGGCAGATGGCCTCGGCAGTCCGACCCGTCACCCGAACCGAGGATAGTCATGTCGCATGCAGAAAGCTCCAAGGTTTGGAACCCTTGTCGTCCATACAGATGTCACAAGATCTTGCGACACTGCGTAATACAAACCTTCCCACGATTGTCCTTCTCCAGTCTCGGCTTCTGAACTTTGAAAGTTACCGCAATTATCCAAGTTTTGGAGAGAGAGTCACATTCATGCAACAGAAAGAGCACATTTGTTAATCCCGTTAGGACTGGATTCTTGTGTTAGCGAGCCATGCCACCAACTTACACCATTACCGCACACCTTTGCAAGCAATTTTACGACTCCTGGCGAGAAATGCGGCAAGGCTCGTCCCACTCCGACCAACAATGGACCCTCCCATCAAATCAAACAATGGTGCGTCGCCTGGGACAGTTTTCGATGGGCAACGACTGCAATGGCTGCGCTGCTAGTGGACACCACCTATATCTATGCAATGGACTGTCAGCTCAAGCAGAAACTTGCCAAAACATTAAACCCCTACAGACCAAAATTCAGCCAATGTCATAAAAGCTAGCAGAGTCGTGTTCGCCGTGGATGAGTGATCGTACGAGACCAAAGGGGATCGAGACGGCCCTTCTCGCAAACACCAGTGTCGTCCCGAGGAACTTACTGTTCACTTAGAGCAAAACTTTGCATACAGAGAAGAAATAGGATGTCTGTTCTGGTGGTATGGCGAATTACACCGTGAACATGAGGGATGAGGAAATGCCTGGAATGGCGGACTAGGGAAGGTATTGATCGAGTTACGCAAATCCATATGCGAAGATTTGCATGAGGATAGATCAGCTACAGGGAAGATCTATGCAGCCTCACCATGGATAAATACTGTCCTGTATGGGCGTGGAAGAGCCAAAATATTGGGTATGCGTAACTATCCACGCATACACGATCACCACACAATGTCTCAAGCTGTTTTCGGTCGGTCAGGAGGCGAGAGTGTTATTGGAAAGGACGAGCATCATTCGAAATACATTAAGTTTGCGCTGTCAAGCTTTTGGTTTGGGTAGACAGATGTAACCTGTTTGCCTTGTTGTGAACACTATCTACACAGGGGCGTGATGTATCCTGACATCTCGACTCAATACTCCTCAACTTCACTGAACGTCTTATATGGTCGTGGTAGAGGAACGTCCAGCTTGCGGCTACGGTCCGGTCCGTAAATGTCGGCTTTCTAGTATCCGGTTAATCAAGTGGCCTACTCGTCCCTCGCACTCGGGGTAATTTACCTTCTCCGCCGGCTGGTCTGGCGTTGGCATGAAGACTGCTCTGCCGTCATCTCCAAAGTACGCAAGATCCTAGCAATGCGTGTTAGCATGATTTGTTCCTTGCGTTGACTGGAGGCTGCATCAGGAGCCTGAGCATTTAAGTTACCTTCTCAAACGCAACTTGGTTCTTCGAGGCGAAGGTGATCCAGTTCTCACTGTAAGGAGCTCGTGCAACCTCAAGACACCTGAAGTGCCAAATCTTCCACTCGCCATCTTGCTTCAGAAAGTCAAGGCCGTACTGGCACCAGACCCAGTGAGCCCAGACACGTCTGTCGCTGACGTTCTTGTCTTGAGGCTCATACAAGTCCTCGGGCATGGCACCGACGTTCTTCGGGTCTGACAACCCGGATTCGACACCGGCCATCAACCAGAACCCCTGGGCAGTTTGTCCATCCTCGGCAACCTCGATGAGAGGAGTCGTGGTCTCGTGTAGGATCAGCTTGCCTTTTGGCGATGGACGGCCCGTATGGTACGCCATGACACTGTCATAATCGGTATAAACGCCGACGTTGGTGTACTGGGCGTGAATACCAGGCGTTCCTCGAGAGACCCAAAGAGGCTTGATCTGCTCATCCTGGAAGACATTGTGAAGATGCATGTACTTGCTGAAAAGATTCTCCACAGCGCCGCGGTCGTGGGCCTAGTGATCGTCAGAGTGTGGGTCATGATGCATGATGAAAGATGTGTGATGAACACTCACACGCTGGGCAAGACGCTCAGCTGTGGCGACACGAGCTTCCAAGTCTGCGATAGTGGTTTGAGGAGACATCTTCGGAGAGTCTTGCAGCCGTTGAGAATGAAGTTCCTTTGTCCTTCCTATATTATGGTGCTTCGAAATGAAATTCCTGGACAGCACCGGTCTCTTAATGACCTCTAAAGAGCACGACCTTGATCTCTTATTTTCGTGACATGGATGAGCCGAGGGAAGTCTTGCGGTGGACTCCCGAGCCGTAGACCAGAGCCGGACGACGGGGCCGGGCCTGCATTTGGCAGGATTCTTTGTCTGCACCAAGCAGATGTGTCAACCCCAAGATTTGCCACATATCCAGCTAAGCAACGCTGTGCACTCTGGGGCTTACATCTCTCCTGTCTACTCAATATCTTGGTGGCTTGAAGCGCGATCCTAGCTTTCTACTCTTAGCGTGTAGTTACCTTGCCGTAGATGCGGTTTGTTAGCCTGGCCACCGATCACGACGAAAAAGAGCACACGAAAAATGATCACAACTTCCCTCAAGATTCAATTGCCTAGATTGCAAAGTAATTCACCTCCGAGGATTATTCGGTAATAAAGATATGATTTTGTGTTTTGTTGTTCTTCTCAGGTTGCCCCCACGCGGAACACTGGACTCCACATCCCGGTCCTCAGGTCGCCGCGACTAAAACAGTTCCACTGGCGTCAAAATCCATCTTTTGACCTCAAAATGATCCCTGGCAAGCCTCTAGTTGCAGAATCAGTAGGCCAGCGCGCAACCGAAGGCACGGATTCGGCGTCTTCTCCGCAATTATGTGCCCATATCACTCATGAATCGTGCACGTCAGAAAGTGGCTGTGTTCCGCTCACCTTCTCGGCTGAGCTTGGAGTTTCCAGCCCTGCACTATCAGTCTCGAGTTCGTCCTGTCTTGGCATGTTCTCGATGAAAATGGAGGTAAACGCCATAAGTCCAGCCACGGCTGTAAAGAAGATCCACATCAACCTCATTGCCGAGGCATACTTCGAGGGAGAGCCCTCTGTGCGTGTCTCGGTAGTGAGCTGACCACCGCCGAGGTTTTTCTGAAGTAGCACCGATCCAATGACAATAGACATTGAACTGCTCAAATTCCTCAGGAACATTGAAGCAGAAGAAGCTGCTGGAACGTCTTTCTGTGGTAGGTGGCTTTGGAAGGCGATCATGGGTGCCTGGAACAGCGGTCCAGCTCCAAGGCCGGCCACAATCTGAAAGATGATGATCTTGGCCCAATTTGTGGTCGCACCAAGGTCGATGAAGAGGCCAGTGCCAGTCGTCATCAACACGCAGCCGATCCACGTTGGTAAGAGGTAGTCTTGGCTCTTCCTGATATACCATCCGGCGCTCATTGTTGCGGCTGAGAGTGGCAGCACGAGAGCAAAAAGGGAGACACCGGAGATAATCGGTGAGAAATGGAGCGCGGTTTGGAAATAAAGAGGCAAGAAATAGTCGAAAGAGATAAAGACAAAGCCGTGGAGGCAGAGAACCAGGAATGAGGCGACGTTTGTTCGGCGCGAAAAGATTCTTGCGGGCACCAAAGGATCCTTTGCAAAGCTGTGCTCATATATCCCAAACAACAGCAGTATGAGGACTCCAAAGACGAGGAGACATATGACTTGTGGAGAGTTCCACGCCCGCGTTCCACCAGCTCCGGATTCAAGGCCGTACAGAAAGCATACTGTACCACCAATAATCAAGAAAGAGCCGACCCAGTCAAGGGATCTCAGCCCAGCTATTAGGGCGGTTCGGGGGGTTGGTATCTTTAGGGCGAAAAGGAGCACAACGAGGGACACTCCGTCGAACGGTAGGTTTATGAAGACTGTAGCCATCTCCATGTCAGTAAAGCATGAACGCAATCAAGGGATTGTGTCGGACTAAGTCTCACAGCACCATCTCCAGCCAATTGTCTGAGTGAATACACCTCCCAACACAGGCCCAACACTACTCGAAATTGCGTAGACGATCCCTGTGATGCCGTAGTATTTTGCTCTGTCTCTCAAGACAAACAGGTCGCTGATGACGATGGTCACAAGTATCGTGCAACCTCCGGCACCTAGCCCGTGCAGGATCCGGCCGCCGATCAGCATGCTCACGGAGCTGGCGAGGCCTGAGATGAGACTGCCGGCGAGGAATGTACCGTTGGCCAACATGATGATGGGTTTACGGCCGAAGATGTCGGATAGCTTCGCCCAGATGGCGATGGAGGATGTATTGGCAAGAGTGTAGCAACTTCCTATCCACGCGTACTCGGCAGCGCTGGCATCAAGATGGCGAGCTATGGTCGGTAATGCAGTGGCTATGATGGTGACATCAAGAGCTGAGAGAAAGAGGGCCAGGCAAAGCGAGAACATCACGATGCGTCGTCGTAACGTTCCCATGCTCAAACCGGTTTCGATCTCGTTCTCGATCACTGAGCTTGGTGTAATCATGTTCTTGGGCTCTTGCACCTGCCCAGGTTCGGTCTTGCTTGCCATTGCTGTTGCTCTCGAGCGCTTATCGAAGCCTATGGCAGGGCCTACTGCAGGGTTTCTTGAACTGTTCATCGGATGTCTTCAAATTTGGCTTCGTTGTAGATCGATAGATTCTTCGAGCGCATCATGGTCGAGGAAAGACACCTCTGTGGCGACAACCCCGACCCGAACTCCCACGCACATATATCTTTGCTTCGATCAGCGTGCACTGTGTGGGTCACTGAGCAATCCTCGGTTCGGGTCCACCGCCCTCTATCACGTACCCCCACAGCGGGTTAGTGTTACCCGAGGAGCAGCCGTTTCCCCCAGACTTGACTCAGCCTCAGCGGCTGATTGGAAGATTGCGATTCACGCCCTGGTAGATCCTTGATCTAACACGAGTTGAACCGAACTTTAAGTTTCACTGTATCTGTTCTCATCTTAGATGCCAAGCTAGATTCGAGTATATTCAATCATAGATGATTTTACCTAGAAACCCCAGTGCAACGATAGCGGCAAGATATTCAGTCTCCACTAGCTGACACACATGCTGGAAAAACAGAAGTCAAGAGTGGAATAGATCCTGCAAGGAGAAGAGTCTATAGCACACGTCGCCCGTAAACTCTGTGTCATCTTACACAGAATCCTGGATCTTTATTTCTTTGGGCCGTCGATGGACAGAGAGTCGTGCGGTCGTGCAAGACGCTGAGCTCTTGGGAGCTCCTGGACAGCACACTGATTGCGGTCCAACATCGACAACCAGACCCTCCACGGTGGCCTCAGGAACGTTGCTCTACGACGCCGACATGCTTGGGCAATCGACACCCAACGAGGCTTCCAACGGGCAGTCAACAGACGAAAAGAGGAAGAGAAGCATTGTCCTACAGAACTGGGGAATTCAGCGACGTAGCAGGGCATCCCTCAGGGATCCCACCTTTCATCAGGGCCGAAACGGGCCCTCATCGATGTGATCGGGTAAAGTTACCACGAGGCTGAATGTGCGCAACGTTGGCGCCTGTAGGACTGGAGCCCGAACGGGAGCCTCCCTGGGAGGCGAAGGAGTACTGCAGGAGCGGGCCAGAGCCGTGAGGGAGCAGAAGGGCGTGGAGGAGGAGAACGAAAGAGAGGAAGGGAGTGGCAGAGAGCAGACGAGGGAGCGATTCGACTAAATAGTCGTTGGCGGGAGAGCAAAGCGGCGAGGGATGAGTCAGCGAAATGTCACTGGGCGTCGACTGTTCGGGGATTATATATATATATATATTGACACTTATGTTACTCGGGCCACTGGGGGCTTTTGGTGGCTTCGCAAGAGCATCACGGCCATGCCCACGTTTTACCCCTCCGCAAGCAATACCTCAAAATTTACAATTCTCGAAGCCACAAAACCAGCAGTGGGTTTAGACGAATCACACGGGGGTGGGACGGGTACAACAGAGCTTTGCAGGCTGGTGCTATGAAATTGTGTGATATTCGTGTCTTTTGTCAAGCATTTAACCTCATATTGTCTTTCGATGATTCCATCATCTGGTATACCAGTCACCGAAGATCTCTCGTCCATTGCGATCTATCTGTACCACTATCGACAGTGTCTTCGTCTCGACCATTGTGGATTCGGGTTCGCTTTGCGTAACCTTCCAGGTCTATATATATATCTTTCCAATACACCCGGCAATATATATGCCAATCTCCTCCCTCAAATCTACCCATTCAGCTCATCCACGACCCTCCTCCCCAACTCCGTCACATCCCGCACCAGCCGCGCCACCGTCTCGACCGGCGTCGAGATATTGACCACGGCTCGAAAGAACTTGCCACTGGCCTCCTGCCCTTCCAACGCCGGCGCAAAGTCAATCATGAAACCCCTCTGCACCAACTCCCTCGTGATCCGCTCCGTCACCTTTGAATTACTCTTGCCCAGCAGTTCCCTCTCCTCGTCCCTCTGCGCGTCGTTCTTTGTCAGACCACCGTTGTTGGCCTTTGGCGGCGGACGCACCTGCCCCGGCTCTCCCCCGACCACGTCCTTGCCACCAGGGGCATAGTAGAAACATACCTGCAGGCAGGGTGGCGGATTGGTGGACACCAAGCGCAGATCCGGGTGCGCCGAGACGAGGTCGGCTAGATGGCACGCGATGGAATATGCGCCCTCGATCTTCTGCCGGTAGCCATCCGTGCCGTAGTACTGCCAGGACATGAAGAGCTTGAGGCTGTCGCCTCGGCGGCCGCACTGCAGCGTCATGTCGGCGAGGTCGTGGGGTTCCTGCCACGTTTCGACTTCGTCAGAGGCACCATTAGTGAGGACGACGTCGCCATCGTCTTCAGAGTCGTGGAACAGATAACCTGCTTTGAGCGTATTGGCGTCGTGGAACAGTTTGAGATCGCGTGCGAGGAGGAACGAGCACGTGACGGGCACGCCCATCATCTTGTGCGGGTTGACGGCGATCGAGTCGGCCAGATGACTGCCACGGAGGCGCGACTCGCTCAGGAACTTGGACAGGGCGAAGCTGCCGCCCCACGCGCCGTCGATGTGCAGCCACATGCCGTGCTCCTTCGCAATGGCCGAGATCTCGGTGAAGGGATCGAACGAGCCGAGCACGGTAGTGCCCGCTGTGGCATTGACGTAAAAGGGCGTCTTGCCTTCTGCCTTGGCTTGCCGGATCAGCCTGGACAGCTGCGCCGGCAGCATCTGACCAGTGGTGGGATGCACGGGCACGGACACGACGGCCGCGGAGCCAAAGCCGCACTGTTGCGCCGCTTTCTCGATCGAGTAGTGGCCGTGCGCAGAGGTGAAGAGCGCGAGGTCCAGGCCATCCACGCTGTTGCCGTGCGCTTTGGTTCGCGGATACAGCGTGTTGCGCGCAACGACGATCGAGGTGGTGTTGCTGGCACTGCCGCCTTGGACGCTGATGCCACCGGCGCGTGGGCCATTGAGGCCAAAGAGTTTCGCGAGCTCTTTCGAAACGTGCTTCTCGATAAGCGTGAGTGCCGGCGAGACTTGGTATACGTGGACGTTCGTGTTCAATACCGCCAAGACCAGTTCTGCTGCTATGCCTGGCGGCAGTGGGGCGGAGTAGAGCTTGTCGAGAAAGCCGGGTGACGAGGTGTTGACGCTGTACTTGAGTAACGAGTCTAGTGTCTCGGTGTAGCCGTCGAGACCACTTCCCGCCGGCTTGAGGCTCAAGGAACTCCGCAACAAGGTCTCAAGCTCCTGGGGCGAGCGTCGGTCAACAAGTGACGATGTCGAAATCTCTCGCTCGCTTCGATGTGCCTCGACCTCGGCGTCGGCATCCCTGACAAAGGCCACTAGACGGTCGACCGCGAGCCGCAATAGGCTCTCGAGCTCGGATGCTCGATCCAATGGCCTGTTGGTATCGACAGCGGTGTCGCCGTTGATGTGCCTCTGTTCACCCATTCTGATCCCGTGGGGAGAGGACCGGAAAATTCGTGGGAAAAGTAAGTATAGGTGTTATAGACATTGGAAAGTCTGCTGATTCGCGGTCATGTCAAGTTGAGTTCGATGGCGACTCATACATCATGTATTGCGTATGTAGAAATTTCTGTCGGGGAATTTTGCGTGCTTCTCCGATGCCGCAATCGGGGGTCTTCCCGGTGGCCATAGAGTAGTTTACAAAGTGTCGCTCACTGCTGAAAGTCCTATTGGGTACCCCTGTGTAATGCGTTGGATGGTATCGCCGCATCACTGCATTCGTGGGTCGTATTGCTCCAGGTCGCAGAACAACCAGTCCCAACACCGTTCAGTCGCTCACTCCTCTGCCAACCACTCTAAGCATTGGCGTGCACAAGCGGTTTGGACTCTTGCTGCTGCATCTTCGCCTTCTCCTCGGCTCGCCGCTGCCTTGCCAGTTCAATTGGTGTCTTTTTCACCTCTGCTCCCTCTTTCGTATCTGCGATTCCCTTTGCTCGGGCCTCCCACTCGCCACGGCGGCGTGAGTACAGGTCCATCGACCAGTTCTTCCAAACCTTTCTACCCGGATACGAGTCTCGCAACTCTGGCTCATGGGCTGCGAGCTCGCCAGCCAGGCGCTCCTTCATGAAGTGTAGCCCGTCTGTGGCCACCCACAAGGCATCGACCAGGTAAGATGCAACGGAGCTGGTCGCAAGTGTGGTCAACTGCCCATAGAATTTAGGCACCATCTGCCGCCGATAAGCCATAGGCGTTGTCGACGAGGTCAATGACAACTGTAGTACTCTTGAAGCTATTGTATCGCTCGCAATTGGAACCAGCTCTTCAGGCTGCATGGACGATAAATTTTCGCGAACGAGCCCACCGAGAGTCTCGACTTCGAGCATGGATTGCGCAAGCAAAGAGCCGTGCAAGTCCGATTTCTCTTCGCTTGATTCCTCCTTGTCCAAGGAAACTGTTGCGGGATAGACAAGGCGCTGAAGGAGACTGGGCCCATCCTCGCTGTTCACAGATCTGAATGCGGCGACCAGGGGCTTAAAGTCAAGCTCCCGAATCGCTGACCGATCAATGAGACCCTTGATGAGGGAAAACCGCCGGCGTCGCAAGAGTATAGCCAAGTCCGGGAGTATGGCTTTCTGAACTTCGAGCAACTCGTCCTTTCCCAGTCTCTCAATGATCTTGATCGCCACGAAGCTTGCGGTGTCATTTTTGGCCATGTCTGCCATACGTTCCTTCCAAATACCCTTGTACAACTTCTTGAACACCTTACCAGGAGAATGGACTACCAGCACTTCGACCAGACGCGAACCGGTAGGGTCGAATGTCAATCCCAGCACGAACTTGGCTCCTTCAGAGTTGGGCGACTCGAGTGAGTCCGGTGCAACAAGTCTGTGGAAGAGAGACTTGTCGTCAAGGTTTCTCCCTTTATCTGAATGGACCAACTCGAGTCTTAGCAATAGCTGCAAGACAGGATTGCCCGTTGAGTGTGTGGCCAGTGCTCTCAGATAGGTCGTGTCTAGGCTGGCCACTGCGGCCGCTGTGAGTTTCGACATGGCTTTCAGGAAGCTCTTTGGAACTTTTCGAGGAGCGTCAGATGTGGTCTGCTCGCCCGCCCAGCTCCCAAGATTCTCCTTCCGCTTGCTCGCCAGTAAGTTCTTCGCCGAGGGGTCTTCGAGCGGCTCGCCTGACAGAACGAGTAGCAACGCCCGGACAGTATGTGACGCAAACTGCTCCGTCAGCATGAATCCGATGTTCTGCTGTAGCTGGTCTGCGGCCTGCAAGAACAGCGACGCTATAGACGATTTCTCAGCACTTGTATCATTGACATCGGGTTTCCAGTCGCTCGTAACATGCTTGGCACTTTCCAGAAACAATGTCTCACAGACATGGCTTCCGAAGCGATGCTGAACCAACTGCGTCAAGCCTTCGAGGATGGCCTGGAAGAAGTCCCTCAGCTGATCTGGGCCCGACACCCTTAGAATGCGCTCGAGATGGCGGGAGCACGATTGACTCGAGGCTAGCTTCATCTCTTTGCCGCGTGATTCGCGATAGACGGCATCGAGAAAGGCGCTCTTTTCATCGGCATCCTCGAAATCATTTGCGGTGATCTTTGCATTCACGCTGGCGTAGTAGGCCTGCTCATCCTCGTCCAAAAGGCCGTGAAACACCATCTCATCTCCGGGCGGCCGTTGCGGGTTATCGATCACTCCCAGGCCCGGCGTCGTGTCTTCAAAATACAACTGATCGTCGGTCTCGGGCTGCTCATCATCAGCGCTTGCGGCGGTGCCGTCGTCCAGCCTGCGTCGCTTCGCATTCGACCCAGCTAGGTCTGCCTTCTTTTTGCGCCGCTCGGCTCTGACCTCCTCGTATCTACCGCGCTTCTTCTTGATTCGTGGCATCTTGCGAGAAGTCCTGGCAAACAGATGGTTGTATGTACGAACTCGACTATGCCAAAGAACAACGAGAAAATAAATCTCCGACGGAGAAGCGGAGAGCTCCACAACAGCCTTGGCAAATCTTGGCGAACCATGTGCCCTTGTACCCATGTACATGTACGGGGATTGACAGGCTTGCTACGCAGGTTATGGCTGTCATCGACTCTATTTACTTTTCCTCAAATAGTCACCACCCTTGAGGGCACTCAGCACTCCGTACACACCCTTCAACGGCCACACCGTCTCCCAGACCCAATCATACCAGCCCATCGCTGCACCTCCACCCTGCAACCGCTCCAGCACTTCCGCTCTAGGCCCGACCTTCTGGTAGACGTCTGGGAGCCCATCGGCATGGTACTTTGTTCGCAGTTTCGCGTACCACTTTCGGTCGTAGATGCGCCAGAACTCTTCTTCGGTGTAAAATGTCTGTGCATACAGCCACTTCATTCCCTCCAGCTCCCACAGCTTCTTCTCGATGGCGCGGTTGACACCCAACTGGTTGTGAGCAGCACTGGGTGGAAGAGGCCCCCAGAGGCCAATGTTGAGAAGGAAGTCGTCCGCACCATTTTCGAGCCTGCCTTGTGCTGCGGGCTTGGGTGTCGTGCTGTCCAGATGTGGCGACATGCTGACTGTTTCACCAGCTTTCAAGGGGCAAAGCCACCGAGGATATATCTCCCCACAGCCTCCGGCAGGGCTATCGAGCCAGTCGCTAAATTCCGTCATCCTCGAGGCAGGTGTCGCCATGTCTTGGATGATGAATTGATTGGTAAGACCAGATCGATGTAACGCATGGTACATAATACGCGTGTTCATGAAGTCGTCTAGCAAGTATCGTGTAACCCAATTGAACGGTGTCATGAAGTAGGTGAACGCATGGCGGCCTGTCCAGAAAGCGCCACGGTCGTAGCGGAAGACGTAGGATATTAGCGGGATGATGTCCGTCTTGGTGGATGAGGCGATCCGCGTTTGTGCATGAAGGTAGAACCAGGGGTCGGACGCGGCGTAGAAGGTCGTCACGGCAGAGTCCGGTGAAGGCAGCTCGGAGAGAAAGGTACCTGACATGACCACGCCAGATGTTGACGAGTACATAATGCCGTCCAAGAAAGCAATGGGAGACACCCCGGACTTGTCGGCTTCCATGAGCGACGAGATGGTAGAAACAGCATCAGAGATTGAGGTGACGGGATGATAGGTCAGCTCTACATGGCGCTCAGCCTCGATCAGGTCGAGCTCAAGAAGCGTAATCACGCCAAGGGTACCAAAGGTCCCCGCGGCGCCATGGAAGAGGTCAGGGCGCTCGGAAGGGGAGGCAGTGACAATTGTGCCATCAGCCAGGATCATCTCGAACCAAGTAACACAACGATCAAAGAAGCCGTGCTTGAAGCTTGAGCTCTCACCCGCGGTTCCGGCAAATGCGCCTCCGACGGTGATGCCTCGAAATTCAGGCACCACCGGCGGCATCATCTTGTGGCGCATCGTGTTCCAGAGAAGTGATTCCATGGGCACATTCGGCTCGCATATGCATTTCTTGGTGTCCGGATAGACTTTGAGGACGTGATTGAGGCTCGAGACATCGAGACTGTTCTGGAAGGTTTTGGTGGATGTACGAGTTGAATTGGTGTTGCCGTGGTAGATGCGAAAAGGCGTCTGAGATGCATGTAGCTCGGCAACTTTCTCTGCGAGAAGCTTGACAAAGTCATTATGCGGCTGCATGCTCGACGGAGGCGGAAGTTGAGGCATGGTGGGTTGAGCCTGATGGTGCTGATTGTCGAAAAGGCGAACGGATAAAGTGATGGGCGTGTAACAAGCCTTCTCTCGATCTCAATCAGCCCAATCTCAACCCGAGCGTACCGATAGCTACCGCGGTGAGAGCTTCAGCTACTGATCGAAGAACTGACGGTCTAATATCTAGAAGAAACACTCTCTCCAAGCGTTCTTATCACGTTGTGCGGTCGTAACCTTGAGGCGGTGCTTTCCTCCTTCGGAGTTATTCGGGGTTAGTCTTCGCCCAGTGCAATCTGGCTTCCCTCACCAAGTCTACCTTTTCTTGAACCACTACTGCACACAGGGACTGAGACCTCCCTGAAGCTCACTATTCCGAGTACGGTTTCATGGATTCGAGAGCTTCAGCCAAACTATCTGCTATGGGCCGCTGATATGATGCTGGTTGGTAAATACCGCCATATCCATGGAAGGAGAAGGTGTCTCCAGCGGACCAAAGCCCACCAGCTCATCGCGTCCAGAGCTCACTCTTCGCTACTCCCGGCCTTTGATGATCATGTCTGCCGCTTTTTCCGCCAGCGCATAGATCGTACTCTGCGGATGACCGGGCGGCAGCACAGGCATAATACTCGAGTCAACGACACGCAGCCCTTGCACACCAAAGACCCTTGCCTCCGTGTCCACGACGGCCATCTCATCTGCCTCGCGGCCCATTGTGCACGTCCCACTAGCATGCCAAACTGTCATTGCGCTTCGTCGAACCACCTCGAGGATCTCTTCGTCTGTCTCGTTTTCCAGGCCCGGAAATGCCTCGTCACTGGGATCCTCGATGATGGACTGTAGTGCAGGCGTGCGCCACACCTCGCGCATGCGACGATACCACGCCACAGCTACTTCTTGGTCAGCTGGATGGGTGAGCCAGCGAGGATCGACGGCGGGCTTCTGTAGCGGGTTGGCGGATTTGAGCGTCACCGTACCACGAGAAAGAGGTGCAACCATACCGCCGAGAATGGTAGCGTATTGTTTGCCATCAAGAGGTTGCTGCAGTACTGGGAACGTGAAAGTTCCGATGTAGCCGTTGCCAGAAATGTGTTCCACCTCTGGCCAGTCCGCCGGGAACGATGCCAGGGCGTCGAGCGTGCTGGCGCTGAAGTTGGCGCGATACGAGTCGAGCGTCGACAGCTTCTCCCAGCCCAAGAACTCGACCACGTTAGACGTTAGAGGCCCAGTTTTGGTGGTGATGTATGAGGTTAGCGCGTCGGTCAAGGCGATAGGATCGTGCAGGACACGGTCGAGGGTGTCAAACTTGACGCTGTAGGTTGGACCGAACATGACGTGATCCCACATGTTTTGTCCCACGCCGGGCAGGTCCTTGACCACGGGGATGCCGTGTTCGACAAGATGGGTAGCAGGGCCCAAGCCAGAGTGCATCAAGAGGTGAGGCGATTGGAACGCGCCTGCGGAGAGGATGACCTCGTGCTTGGCGGTGAGTGTGTATTTCGACAGGCCAGCCAGTCCGCTAACTTCGACACCTGTAGCCCTTGGCTTGTTCGAGGCCGACGTTGAGGTTGAGTTTGTGCTGTTGGGAGTCGAGGATGGCGTCGAGAAGAGCACCTTCCTTGCTTGGGTGCTCGTAAAGACCTTCAACTTCTCACTGGTATCCTCGTTGTCGTTGGCAGCGTTGATGTACGAAGTCGACGAGCTGCGCGTCTGGTCCGATCCGCGGATGGTTGACTGCGAGTAGTGGTAGCCCAGTAAATTACCGGAGCTGAAACTGGTGGTCCGCTCCATGCCGATGGCTTGCATTCCCTTCTCCAGCCAGGTGGCCCACACCGACACCCAATTCGTGTAGCCGACTTGCACAGGCCCGCCGGGAGTACTGAAAGCATCGGTCTCAAACATGGTCGAAGCATTCTCCCTTCTCTTGGTATCATCCGGCGGAGTCAGCGTGACGGATCGCTTGAAATACGGTTCCAGACCGTCGTACGTGTAGCTTTGATCCCCAACCATATCAGCCCACATCTGGTAACTGCCCCTGCTCCCACGGTGGTGGATCATGAAATTCAGCGCACTGCTGCCACCGAGTGTCTTGCCCTGCGCATAATGTATACGGCGACCCCCAAGACCATCCTGCGGTTCGGTCAGAAAGCCCCAGTCGACCGTAGGGATTTGATCCAGCGCGCTGCTGCCAATGCCGATGATATCGCCCGCTGGAGTAGTGCCCAAAATCGGCTTTCCCAACTCATAAAATAGACCCGCCTCCACGATCGCTACGGTGTAGCCTGCCTCAGCGAGCCGCACGCCTACAGCATTACCCGCCGTGCCTCCACCAACGACCACATAGTCGAATTCCTGTTCGACTCCCAAAGTGCCTGCCAGTGCGCCCAGTGTGCCGTCAATAAGTCCATTACCCTTCAGAGTTGACTCGATGGTCTCGAGCAGAGGGTTCGCAACGGCTTCACCAAGGCCAACGGTCGATAGGACATCGGAGAGCGTGTCGGTTAGGCCTAGGCTGGTAGTTATATCTCCAAGGGCATCAGTAAGGCCGGTAACGAGATCGAAGACGCCGTCCAAGATCGGTCGAGCGCACGACAATTGCAGGAAAAGAGACAAGAAAACAAGAATCGAAGGCATGGAATGAGTGACGGAGAGCGTCCGAAAATGCATAATGAGAGACTGAACGCTACAATGAAAGGTAAAGAACGAATGAATGGGTGCGTCGTCGCCGGGGACGGACAGAGCTCTGGAGAGTAGGTCAGAGCCTCATGTCCTGTGTACGGAGCACGGATACTTGTACAACTCATGACCTCCATCATAATCCAGCCAGGAGCACGACTGTGGGGTTCAGCGTGCAGGCCTCAGAGAATGGTCCGCAGCCAGGATCAAGCGAGCCCGGGCTGGTGGTGGCTGATCGTCGTTGAAGCGAGATCAGTAAAGCCTCGCGCATGGCGGGTATCGTCATCATGCTCCGAGAGTCCTCGTTTCAGCTTAGAGTACCTGAAAGGGTACAACGGAAGTTTTGCGGCATGACTGGGCCATGACAATGGCAAGTACTGGTGAGTGTGTTGGTGCGTGTTGTGGCCGTCTCACCGTACAAGCCCGAGCCCGAAGGACAGCTTCCGTGGAGAGCTTGCCGCGAGGAGCCAAGGATCTGACGACTCGCAAGATCAAGCGAACTGAGTCGAGTGCAAAGGATCTTACAAAGAGACACGGGGCACGGAGTCCAGCTTACTAGTCCGTAGGCCGCGGTGAGTCGTCTCGTGGTGGAGAAAAGGAGTTCAGGTACTAGTAGGGGGCCAACCCCATCCTTGGTTCTGAAGAGGTAAAGTTGACCAATTTCTGCAGCAAGTCTTGCCAAGACTAGGATTCTGGTGAGGAGAAAGGGCCAATTGAGCAGCTTTTACAATGTCAAGATCCGCCACGAGCATTTATAAAGAGTTTAGTTGAGGCAGATTATGATATTGAGACATCATACAGACGATGAGATGTAGTCTAACATGCAATCACTGCAAGCATTTCAGTCTGCCTGATCAAGTCTTTAATCAAACCTGTCAGGACATCCCACTCGTCCCATGCAGGAACATGCAAAGCCGTGCCTTCGTTTCATTCATCACAAGCCAGGCTTGACCCAGCTTCACAGGGACTTTTCAACCACTAATCCCTACCGACAGTCGACTCCCGTGGTCGCTCAAATACGGGATCCAGCGCCATGCTAAACAGCAAACAAAAGACAAAGGATCGACAGTAGTCTGCCGACATGGCTTGGTGATCAAACTCTCGCAAAGGCTCGATCAAGCATGCTCAAGTGACGCTTATCTGCACTAAACCCCAACTTCTCGCTGGGAATGTCCTGAGGTGGTGCACCATTCTGTCCAGCTGGGCTAGCGCTCCCCCCCCGTTCGGCATCCGTCTGCGACTTGGCTTCGCCGTTCATGCGGTCGGCCTGGTGAACCAAGGCATTAATGGTCGGAATTTGACTAGCTGTAGTCGGAGTTGCAGCTACCGGAGCCGCTGTAGCTGTCATCGCAGGCGCACTTCCTGTAGAGATAGGTGTCTGCGGACGGGCTGTGGTCTCGGGAGGGACAGCTGGAAGTGTGGACTGTGAGGAAGGTGGAGGTGGGGCCGATACTGGCGTAGTGAGTCGGGGATCGATCTGGAATGATGGGGCCGTCCTGGCGTCGACAGCCTCAGCAGTGGCATAGCTGGCTGGCTGATACGACTGTGTCACAGGCGGGGGCGGTTGGCTCTGGGTATACGGTGCAGGAGCAACGCCGTTGGGGTGTGAAGCCGATCCATTTTGCCCAAGCCTGCCTAGAGGATCCGACAGACGCGACGGGCGCTGGTCGTAGGATGATGGTGGCGCGTGACTCATTGGGAGGTGGTGCGGCGATGCAAACGGTGGCGCATGGTAGCCGAGTGGTGGCATACCAGGTGCGTAATGCAAAGCATAAGGAGGAGGGGTGTGCATCGGACTGAGAGGATATGCCATGTATGCTGGGTGCGGCACATAGCCGGGTGGCAGATACGGATGAGGATGAGGCGCTGCTCGTCCATATGCCGGCGAAGGTGCGACCACATAGTTTGGCGCGCCTGGCATTGGTGAACGAGTAACGGCGGGAACGGTAGACTGGTCGTTGACGGTGGATTCTGGGTACATGCCTTTCGCAGGCTGGATAGAGGCCAGCTGAGGATCTTGACTGGGCTGCCGCAGAACCTGCGACGTAGGCGAGGATCGAGAAAAGTAGCTGATCAGGTGGAGGTGCTGACCCTGGGAAGTGGTAATGCTGAACGACTGCTTCATCAGACCATCGGGCTTGTAACGATAGCCATCAGGTCCTTCCTCGCCATCTGCAGGCTCATCTGCTCCCGCACCGCTGTCGGGCGTCTTGGTGGCACGGTTGCCAGGTGTGCCAAACGAGCTGCTGCCTCTTTTGCCTTCCATTTCGCGGTAGGTGAGAAAGCTACCGGAAACCCTGCTTGCACTCCAGCTCTTGCCGTCTGTCCACCGCCGCATGCCTGCTTCTCGTTCATCCCACACGAAGACCGATCCGGAACGGATGGACTGACGTTCTTTCTCAGATAGACGACGCTGCACTCGTGGTAGAAGGCCTAATCGACATGCCTCGAACAGGATAATGGCATCAGTTGGCGTCCTAACGAGACCGTGATAGGTCTCCATTGAATCTGTGTTTGTATGAATGAGCGTTCAGTGCTCGAGCGGTGCCTGATCAGGCCCGTAATATCTGTTTAGATCTGTGGTCTGGTAAGGTGGACCATCCAACGTCTTCTCCCGGAACGTGGCCTTTTCTAGACTGCGCAAGGACCAGGTCTACTCTCGCAAACGGTAGAAGAGGAATCGGTGTATCTCTCGGCAGCCTGTGCTGACGTGCTCCTGTGTAACTCGGAAAGCGTCGGGGATCGTAGCAGTGAGCGCAACAGCAATGATTATGACTCGAGCACGAGCGCTGATTCGAAGAACAGACTGTGTCCTTCTTGGTAGTGAAGCACTGTTCGTTGAGAGTTCGTCCGTCAAAAGGAATCGGCTCCGCGTGTGAATCTGATAATACGCAGGAAGTGGGAGGGCAGAGACTCGGAGCGGGAGTGAACCCTGTTAAAGAGAAGGTCTGCCAAGCCGCCTATTGGTAGGCTGCCACTAGCTTTCTGGCAGGTAAGTTAACCACAGGTATGCTTATAGTTAAGGCCTCTGGCCCTGCAGGAGCTAATTTTTGGTCTATCACGAATCGGTACCACATTCACCCACTTGACAGGTCTCCGATCAACGGTCTTATCGCAGCCTGGATTGCGCTGGTCGCAAGTCTATCTGCACCCCGTACATACGTCTTCTTCGATCGCAGCAGCCGACCAACTCAAGACTTTCGTCTTGATACACAGGCGGCGGAAACATCTTGGCCAAAGAGCCGCGATTCCGAGCTACGCTCCGCTCCCATCGACCTGCGCGGCCCCAATGTGCCGGCTTGCTGAGCTTGCCTTTGCTGCCTGGTGCTCAAGGGGTGGGAACCAAGCATGCCAGCTGTCTTGGACGGTCTTGGGTCTTGGACTCTTGGTTCCGGGAGCGCTCAGGCTCGCTTCTTACACCCTGAATGTCAATTCTGGGGCTAGAATAGAGTTTACACAAGGTAACAGCGCAAGATCCCCCTCGCCCCTCTATTGCCTTTGCAGGTCTCGTCTGCAATTTTTGATCCGGTCGGCTGCAAGAGCTTTCAGTGCACTGATAACACGAGAGCGAAGCAGCTAGAACCGCAGAATTGCCGCAGCCTGGATCTGGAGGCTCTTCCTCCTCGCCCTCGTTGTGCGACCGTCAACGCAATTCGCTTACGAGTTCTCGCCAAGGAAGCTAGAGAGCTTGGAAGTCTTGGTAAACGCCTTGGCTAATCTTGGCCCGTGTTCATCAGCATTTCATGACCAATCGTGGCCCTGGGGCTATCCGAAGGTCAGGAGCCTGGACCTGACCCTGCGGCTGGGCGAACGTCAGCCTCTTGCAACAGAAACTCCGTACGAAACACGACAAGCACTATGTTGCGCCTCTGTAACGTTACCTCGTGACCGCGGCAGCTCGATGCTTTCGAACACTCAACGGCGTAGAGCACCATCAGTTTGCAAGCGAGTCCTTGACAGGCCTGGATAACTTGCTCGGGCTAAAACAAGCTTATCTCAGGAGTTCAGGGCGCTTCCACCAAGCCCAGCGGCCCCACCTGTAGACTTGGCAACACGTTTGCACAAGCGCACAAGCAAGCCAAGCACAACGAGTGTGCCTCATTCCAAGAGCCAATCTTACCTCAATTTTGCAAATTTGCTCCATCCTTGGATCGACACTGCTTGGCTCAGCACTGTGCGACAGCTTGGCAAGCTTGCAACCTCCGCCGTGAGAGCGCTGCAAATGCCTTACCCGGATCAACAGCCGGCATCGGATTATGCTCCTTGCCCCGAACCTCCAATTGATCCTGAGGACTCAGTTCACAGAGCTTATTGGTACGTATGGCAAAATGAGTGGTAATCACGTGTCCCAGACCACACCCTGTACAGATACTGCATTCACATGTTCGAAGCTCATCCACGTATTCACCATCTCTCGCTCTCGAGGTGAATTCTCTTGCGTAAGTGCTTGCTGAGCCCCAGGCTTGGTACTCCATTCCGGTAAAGAGGCGATGATGAAATGCGGCGGCGGCTGTGAACAAGACTTTATGCCGAGCCACGTGGGTGGAATCGACGACAAAGCCTTCGCCACATCACTTCTGGCCGTCTATGGCCACACAGCAACGAGTCAACGATTACAACCACAATGAGTGAGAGCTTTCAGCGCCAATTGAGTACGCTTAACTTCGTGCAGTTGCAAAGACATAGATCTTACGTCTCTGGCAACAAGTCGATGATAGTACGCCGAACTGGTACATCTGTCTTCACCCAGCTGAAAGTCTGAATGCGGGATGATTGCCCAGAAGCAACACAAAACCTACGCCACTGCCAATGAACATGCCGAGAGTACCAACTTTCGTGGTGCCATGACCTTCCGCTCAATACCAAGCGCTTGGCTGTGGGTCGTCGACTCTTATGCAGCAAAGACGGCTGGCAAATGGAGTGTCAGTCATTCCCTGCGCTGATTCAGTCGATTAATGGCCAAGCGTTGACATCCTTGGCTAGGTTGAGCAGGAGTGCCCATTTGTCCCCTCCAAACTTTCGTTCAACCATGGCTCTGATGAGTATCAATTGCACAAAAGATCCACACCGACTTACGGAAGCGTCAGGTAGCGCCAGCCGAGCACTGTCAAGAGCCAAGTGTAACAACAGGACTTGACCGGTTACCACAGCTCGAAATATTCCCGAGACTCTGCCTTGTCAAATCCAGGGTGAGAGAGGCGATTGTGATGCTCAATTTCAGGGGAGTCTGCAGGCTGCAATAAGTCAACGATCTTACTGCCGGTAACAAAAGCCACCGCCACAGGTTAGCCGGACTCGTTAGGCACACCGGATATCCTCGACAGCGTGATGGACACTTCCGTGCGCCCGAGGTAGTATAAACGGCGTTTGATCTGACCAAGGATTCGACGCCACGACGGCTGTATAACGATGGTCAGCATCTTGAGATCCAGCCTAACTAGGCCAGTCACCGATTCCCTGAAATGCGTCCATTTTGATGTGGGTAACTCCCTCGTGATATAATCTCTGTTGTGTTTGTTGTACTTGAGACCGCCCAATGTTCTTGGAGTAACACCATAATCGGAATTCTATATGTCTGAAGCTGGACTACACGAGACATCTATTCCTGTTTTCTAGGCGAATGTGAAGGACATCATACACCAAGCGATGTGGCGGCGGCTGCGTTGCACGGCTAGAACTCGAGTCTCGTGCTCAGCGAGGTAGCATTAAGGAGCCGGCCCAACTTAGGTGGCGAGTCTTCTGTTGTTGTCACACACCAATTGGTACGTTGTCCGCCCTGAATTGCATTCTGGGCTATCTACGATATGCCAATGACTTCAAAGATACTGGCAGTCAATCAAAGTTACCACCGGAAATAGCTCGGCTTCTCACGCTCATCGATGGTGTGTTCAGACACTAGAACCCGACACCAATAATTTCAGTTTGCCATCTTATGGTTGCGACCCTTACTAACAGGGTATGGGCGGCCACTTGGACGGCTCGATGGCGTCACCTATCTCAATCTGCATTCCAAGGCAGACTTGCAATTGATTCACTACTCCTATCATTATCTCACCACCAATCCTGCTGTAGACTTCCGTTGTATCAGCCCCTTGCGCCTCTGGACGCAATCTTGTGGCCAAGGAAAAGATCTGTGAATGCTGAGGCGCCTCTCATATTCTCTCACAGCTTGGCTATAATAGGTCAAAGCATAGCGCCATCCAGATGTCTTCTATGGTACCTCGAAAAGTTTCCTCACTGAAGTCTGCATCAGCGCTTTAATGTGCCTATGTCTGTCTCAGGTGCTGAGGCGCAATTGCCATCGGAAATGTTGGTCTTAATCTAGAAGCACTCGACGGGGTTGGGGGAGATTCCACATATCAGCACCATCTATCAACCGGGACTCTACAGCCGTTGTGCGTTGAGCGAGTTGAATATAACGTGAAAATCGGCACCATAACTTTGAGATTACGGTCAATACAACACGCTATGCGAAACTTGGTGAGTTGAATGGGCCAGGTAAACTGGATCTGACGGGTTTGGTCCTGCGCAAAAGCTGTTTCGGGTTTCACGACGGATGACTGGACGCAACGCGCTCTTGCATAATATCTCTACCCAATCCCGGTCCTCCTCTTCACCCTCCACAAACTGTTCATTATTTTTCTGACGGAAGGAAGATTGGTAATAAAGACCTGAATAGCTGAGATAAGTTCCGCGAGTGTGTATTTTGTGGTGCTAGGAATATAGGCGGAGGTAGAATGTGACCGAGGTCTTAACAGTTTAAGCACACGGGTCGTGAAACCGTATCTTGAGTCTCTCCATGGGGTGGACAGCAGCACGAGGGATCATGCCTGTTCCTTAAATAGCTCTCCGGAGTATCAAAGTCAAATAAAAGTATAAGGTGTTGACTGAGGATACCCCGGATGTGGTTCGTGCCAACTCAGTCTCGCCGTTGGCTTGCAAAGATATCGCATTGAAACCAGTTGATCGGATCTTTCGCCGTTCAGGCATGAACAGGCTCTCATCAACCATGTGCGTGGAGTGTCCTATACATTGCACACAGACTTTTGAGGGTCTGATGTTGGATTTAAACTACAGCCTGATTGCGATTGGCGCCCGAATGGACCGAATTTCGACCCAGGAAATAAAGATCCGGGTCTGCTAAGGGTGCCCGCACTCGTGCCATTAACACGTGGGGCCGCGCCAGCTAGAACCGAAAAGAGGAGGATCAGCAGATCACGCACATCACGAAACAGGCAGACTCCCTGTACATAGTACCCAGTAATGGATGATGACAGCAAGAAGCGACGACAGGGCGGGACAAACATTGGGATCGGATGCCTGTGCATCGTCGTTGAATTATCGGACACCTCGAGCAAATGGCAGCGTGTTTTGCCATGCATGCCGAAGCCTCCTTGTCTGTCCGGACGCTAATTCGACTGGATGCGCTCGTGCAGCTGTTGTCGCGAACCCATGGACCTGGGTCAAACCACATTACAACGATACCCATGAGGCGGTTGGCTTTGACGCAGTCAATATTCACGATGACAATCCCCTTTTCGTATGCTTGTGCATCCTTCACCACTCTAGGATCGTAAAGTTGACAGTAGTCGAAATTGCCCTGTCAAAAGTCTTGTAGGCCCAGACGCCATGGCGCTATACCGGACCCCTAAATCAGAGCCCAAGTGAGACTTTAGGCCAGCCTCGACGCCTCTGCCGCCTTAGCTTCCACCCCCTGATGATGACCGACCACTTAACGCGTCCCTACAAGTTATATTAAGATCTCCACGGATGCTTATGTCTTTCTCAAGCAAGATTGGATCTGGAAAAGGGTGGTACCTCGTCCCTTTTTACCACTTCTCCTCTTCTACGTAGCTACCCACCATCAATTCGCATCAACAGTACCGGGATACTCACAAATATGACTGGCGCATCTCTCAAGATCGGGATCGTGGGTGCTGGCGTGGCTGGCCTGAGTGCTGCTATCGCCCTGAGAAAAGTCGGCCACGATGTAGAGGTACGGATTGTCCTAGTGTGTTCATGTCCAGAGTCTTACCACAAAACAGGTCTTTGAAAGATCGCAATTTAAGAACGAAGCTGGAGCGGCCGTATCCATTCCTCCCAACGGAGGGCGGATTCTGGAGCACTGGAACTTCGACTCTGTCAAGGCCGGAGGAATCGACAATGTCCAAGTCCGGCGGCCGAAGGGCGACACATTGGAGCCCATGGCCCCAACTCTATCATTTGCTGATGTGAAGGAGAAGTTTGGCACTAGGTGGCTCTTCTATCACCGTGTCGACATGCACCGAACTCTGCGTGAACTGGCCGAAGCCCAGGGCGCCAACATCCGCCTCGGCTGCAAGGTGGTAGATGTCGACATTGATGCCGGTATCATCCACATCGAGGGTGGCGCTACGCACCAAAAAGACCTCGTTGTTGTGGCCGATGGACAGCACGATCAGATTAACGCCAAGGTCACCGGGGTCGAGGTCCCTATGCAGCGTTCTGGCCAAACCGCCTACCGCTGCCTGATTCCCATGGAGGACATCATGGCAGATGAAGAGACTAAGCACCTTTTCGAAAACCAGCCTCCAGGTTTCTGGGCTCCTGCTCTCCCTGCCAGAGGTGTTATGGTCGTTACATACCCATGTCGCGACAACAAAATCCTCAACGTTCTGGCTGTATCCCGGTCGCTTGCCACACATGGCACAAACGAGGACGAGATTATCAAAGACTGGAACTTTCCTGCCACACACGAGGATCTGGAAAAGGTCTTGGACGGATTTCACCCGCACGTCAAGAAGGCCTTTCTCAAAGCCCCAGAGGTAAAGGTATACACCCAGATGAAGCGCCAACCTCTCAACAAAATGACCAAGGGCAAGACCGTGCTCATCGGCGATGCTTGCCACCCGATGCTCCTGACCCATGCTCAGGGTGTGTCTTCGTCAATCGAAGATGCTGCTGCTCTGGAACTGTTCTTGGACAATCTTCCATCATCGCTGTCGGTTGAGTCCGCGCCATCAGATGTTCTGCTCCAGCGTCTGCAGCAGTTTGAGAAGTTCCGCTTGGGCCGAGTCTCAGCCACGCAGATTTTGACCGAGCCTATCATCCCCGGACCCAATGCGATGGATAATTTCAAGAAGCAGGAAGAGAGTATTCGTCAGTACTACGATGGCCCTCTCCCACCTCTTGGTTCTATGCCTCACAGCCCTGGTATTTGTGAGTTCTTCTTCGGCTACGATGTACGGAAGGAGGCCACAAAGTTCTTGGAGGAGAACCCACTCACCACACTTTCTTCGACATTGAGCGCCGTTCCGGTTCCTGTTACGTCCGCCACCCCCAATGTCTCTCACAAGGCCCCTCGCGTTGTCGAGCAGCCACCCTCTGAGCCCTCCGCCCAGGATCTCGAGGCGCAAAGGGTTGTTCAAGAAGCCCAGAACGCGCTCGTAGCCGCCCAGGCTGCCCTTGTTCAAGTCAACCAGACCCTCGCGGCCGCGCAAAAGGCCCTCGAGCTCGCCACAAAGAACCTACGAGTCAGCCAACAACCAACGCAATTGGTTCCTCCTAAAACAGCTGTGAGTACCGTCTCGTCGAATGCAACAGAGCCCCAGCAAGCATCACAGTCATCCACACTTCGGCCGGCGAAGCCGAAGAAGATGAAGTCATTTGATACCCTTCGAAATAAGATGTCAGGCGTCTTTTCAGGCTCGCTTGTGTCGGTCAAGGAGGTACCGCAAACCCCTCCAAAGACACCACCCAGCGAGAACGCACCGCTGACAACTGGCGTCAAGGCATAATCGCACACTTTTGGTTCTGTAAAATATTGCTTCGTTATTTTTGAAAAGGAGTTTGATGGGACTGGTGTTCACTTGGACTCGACAAACCCGCGTCCAGAGGGGGCACTAATGTAGATATGATTGATATCTTGTAGGTATAAATCCGCTGATGACACATGTCTTGCAGACCCCGGACAAATATCTACCGTTTTTATGAAGAGCGCATTTTATGTCGTAGCAGCCGTTGAGGGAATGATTGAAAGTCAGCTGCAATTAATAGATGACGCGACTCTCCGGCGCGCCAAGAAAACGCGACGAAGTGGACCCTGATCGACGCAGGCCGCAGCTCTACAACTCGGGCAACTAATATTTCCCCAGATTTTAGATCAGCCTCAGTACCAACTGCCACACAGCATTCCTCGTGGATCATGCTATGACCCTTCGAACACCAGTTGTTGGGCATCAAAGATGCGCCTTCAAGTCTCGATCCACCGGCACATGCTGCCCGACGTCAACATAATTTTTGCAACCGGCACCGGCCCCGCCTCACACACGACCTCTAATTCCGCTACCATCTTCAACCTCCTGGAAGATCTCAACAACCTCGTACCGCTCGAGTCGCCCGAGAAGTGGGGCTTGGAAGACTACGTCGTCGAAGTCGCCGCTCGAAGCGAGCAACAATCTGCCTACGAATGCCTGCACTATCTACCTATCAGTAGTGTGCTGAGAGAGGACGATGAGGTGATAGTGAGACCGCTGCTGAGCGATGATCTCAGGGCATGGAGGAGAGGTGGTCGCATGCAGATCACGGAGGATGGCAGACATCTGATCGATGGAGTCGTGTTCAGCAAACCGTGGGTCCGTCAAGGGCGACCAGACTTTGATATCCCACCACGGAAGAGGCAGAAGACGCTGGAGGACGATCAGAACTCCGAGAAAGAGAATGTAGAGCCTCAGGAACTAGGGTTTCCTGCGCTTATGGCTCCACAAGATGACGAGGACGATGACGACGATGAAGACTACATAAGCGAAAACGATGCGGATGAGCAGGCGGTCGTGACACACGGCGTGTTTGAGGATGCAGATGCTTCAGAAGACGAGGATGATGGCGACGACGTCGACCTCGGAAGTGAAGAAATGCAACTGCTACTGGAAGACGCCGAGAAGCTGGACGACGCTGAAGATGCTGAGGACCTGTTGGAGACTCGGCTCAATACACGCTCCAAGCTCGGAAAGCGCAAACGCCATCATGCCGACGACGAGGACGAGATACAAGGCTCTCAAGAGCCAGTTTTTGAGGGCTTTACGTCGCCGGTCCGTACAAGAGTGCTCCAGGATGTCAGTAACAAGTTCGTCGGCTCCGATGATGATGAGGAAGCATCTGATTCAGACAGTATGATGGAAGAGATCTCTACCACGCAGGCGAAGAAGAAAGCGGCCAATCAAGTTGGCAGCGACGAAGACGAAACTCCTGACGACGAGGACTATTCTAACCAAAGCTCATCATCAGTCTCAGTGGCAGACGAAACTGAGGGTGAAGCAGCAAAGGGTAAGTCTCTGAAGAAAATGGCCCAGGGTAAGCCTTCTCAAGCGTCTTACGAAGACGCCTCCAGCGATGAAAGCTCTCAGTCCGATGATGCTTCATCCAGTTCAGATAGCAGTGATACCGAATCTAACTCAGACTCGTCTTCCGGGTCTAGCAGCGACTCAGAGTCAATCACCAGCCCTGTCTCCGAGGCTGAGTCCGAGAGAAGCCAGAACCCAGAGGCCAGAGGCCAAGTCACCACACCTCAGCACGGTCCAACGATAGCCTCTAAAGCGGCAAGCAGCGGACGGTCCGCCACAGAGAAACGCTCAAAGACTGTCGAAACTCCACCTGGGAAAGGCTCGCATCGTACACACCATAATAACAACCGCGTCAAACGGCGTAAACGTTTGGAGGCGCTGAAAAGAAGTGGTGAACTTCCGCAAGATGCCAACTTTGCTGATCTCGACGAGTATGATGGATCCTATCGTGATGAAGACTCGACGCTTATCGAGGCTGGAGAAAACTTGGAAGCTGCTCGTCGAAAGGCTCTAGCCCAATTTCAGACCGCGAACGATCACCAGGCTAAATTGGACGATACCATTGCCACTTCGGTCGAGGTCCCTGAAGAAGATGAGCAGAGATCTCCAATTGTGCCCGAGACGCAGGAGGGCCGCGATCGAGGACATGAGTTAGATGCAATTCACTTACCTCAGATCCCAGCTGAACTAACAGAGCAGATGTTGCAGCTCGAAGATCCCGAGAGAGCCCGACTGTGGTTACGAAGCTGCTTTGCAGAATCGCCTGAGAGTAGTGTCTCTCAAAATGCAATGTACGTTGCGTACTACGCGTGTTTCGGCAAGCATGGGGCTCTGTTGGGGTCAGAATTTCTCCCATGCATCCTAGAAGTCTTCAGTGGGGCGACTGTGGAAGATCCATTCGATCCGTACACCTCCATCAAAGGCATCAGCCCCAGAGATACGGTGGATGATCTCCAAGACTCTTCATTTACGGACAAGCAACCCCAGCAGGCATCGACCATCAATCAGACGCTGTCTGAGACTGTTGCCGCGACCTCTAGCAAGTCAGCGACTTCGAAAAGCGATGGAGCTGCTTCTGCGTCAGTTGAACCATCTCCAAAACGAGCTCAGTTAGATGTCTCTGCATCACGACGTCTAATTTTCGGCGCGCTGGGCTCACGTAACCCGAAGACACCGGCTCAAGAGAAAGCTGTGCGCGAAAAGCTATCTGGAAATGTCAGAAAACCATTGCAGAAACCAGATTCGGCAACAGTGATCGTACAGCCCACGACGGAGGATGACTCTGACGACGGAAGCTGGAAACGCAAGTTGCTAATCACCGCCGTTGAATGTGAGAAAGAAGGGGTCGTGTATCCTCCTCCTCCTTTCCCTTTCGTGCAGCATTGGCACAAGAATGGCAAAGCCAGCCGTCAGCCCGTTGAGTCCGATCGGCCCTCAACTCCTAGCCGTGGCGCATCATCCTCGAACAGCAACCTAGAAGAGGTCAAGCCAGTTGGTCCTGAAGCCCAAGAAGCAGAATCCGTTGTTTCCAACGTCGAGTCTCGCACCGTCTCCTTCGAGAAGGACGAGCAGGATGCGATGCCCATACCATCAGATTTCGGGGCCCTGGTGGATCTCGACAGATCACACCTACTTCCTGGCACCATTATCGGCTTCAAACAGTTGGAAATCGACATGGGATCGTTCACGCCGCATGAATCGACTTACAAAGTTGCAAAGGTTGATAGGGTTGAGGATGACACCATCGCGATGGTTCTAGCCACGAAGTACAGGATCCAGACTGCGGGCTCGGAGGACGACTCTGCGGAAGGAGAGAAGACTTACAACAATTTTGTTATCCGCGAGGATGGCGAGGAAGATGACGGTTTCCGCGAGCTGGACTATTCTGCCTTCATTGAACCTAAGCTCATTGAGGCATCGCGAGTTCAGGTACCCGCTAGCGCAGCCGGGAAGGGGGATAATTCCACCGCCGAAGCCCCACAGACGCAGGAAGATACGTTTGCGGTCTCGGAGAGCGTGCCCAAAGCCGCAGATCCGACTGCGCCTGTATCAAGGGTAAGCAGTCAGGTGGAGATTGATACTCCTCGACGTGCCGAGATCTCAGCTGTCATCAAAGATGCAGGCTTCAACTCTAGTGTGCAGAAGCTTAAGCTAGATCCGGCCCTTGATAGCCAGACCAGAACCTCATCTCAACAAGTCTTCAACAGCGATCAGCCGTCTCAATGGCCGGCTCATCAAGATCAGTCGGCTGCAGAAATCGCAGAGACATCGGGCATCTTGCCAGAACCTCGAAGCTCGAGTCCCTTCTTCCCCCGTGAAGAAGAAACGAACATCCGTGAGCGCGCCGGCAAGAGTCAATTGACGAGCCAGGCACCACCAGCCACGTCCTCTCCTCCGCTTAGTCCTCGGCTCACGGTCGAGTATCCGGATATCCATATGGACCTTGACTCGGACCTCCCTGAGCAAAACGTTAGTCGCAATAGCAGCTCGCATCAAGATGCTCAGCGTCTTTCGCCACCTCCTGGGGCTGACACTACTATCCTTGCCTCCGAACAGCGCCGACAAATTGAAACAATCATTGAGAATTCTGCTGATATCATGGGGTCAGACTTGCCAAAGCCAGAGACCGAAGACGTTGACGATGGCAAAGTCATCTCCGATCATGATAGCGATGGCGAGCCACTGCCCAAAAAGAACACTCTTTTCAGCCGTCTTGGACTTGGTCTCGATGGCAACGAATCTTCGTATCATGAAAGTGACGACGAGGATTCATCTGACAGCGAAGATGATATCCCATCTCTCCGCGATTTAACCTCGAGCCAGAAGCGGAAGATTATGACGAGAGCCTCGAGGACGACCAAAGCCAAGTCGACGAGGTCCAGCTCGCCTCGTGCTAAGGAGCAGAGAAATCTCCGTAGTGCCAGCGCAGCGAAGCATAGGACCGGAGTCGACCACGATGAGAAAATGGACGAACCTCTTCTGCCACAGATCAAGGTCTCAGCAAGCCAAAGAGAGGCAGAAAATGGTTCGTTTAGCCAGATTCCAGCAGGGACTCAGGTCGTGGACCTAACACAGTCTAGCGATCCAGTAAGCCCAGGAAACAGCGATGGCGAGCTTGAGCTTCGAGCGAGCAAGAACAGAACGAAACGTAACGGTATCACTAGTCGAGGCAGAAACACACGATCGGTGACGACGGGGACCAGCAGCCTCGATATCGGTCTTGGTCAACGTAGATTCTTGACGACCAAGAAAACGCGGAACTACGTATGAAGATTTATCGAAGTGGTGGGGGATCCTGTAGAATCTTCGATAGGGACAAACATCATTCCTTCTATGCAATGCTACTTTATGATGCATTGATTCAGTATCCAAGTAAATGCTCGTACCCAAGTTGATGCGGCAACATACGGATTAATGTACCTTGTACTTAGCCTGCAGCGTCGGCGGCGGGCGGACGTCATTTCTCCGAGTGGAAAGTGCATAAGCGCGTTCAAACAACTGTCCTCATTTCATTGAGGCGACCATTGAAGGCATCGACGACATACTGCCACTACCAATGTCGCCATAATATGATTTATCGATAGCACATACTCTTTCTCAAGAGGCCAGCAACATGCCTCGATTATCCGGGCTCCTCGTGAGCCTGTTCAGTATGCCGCCGCCGGATGCTCACTTGGTCATGCTACTAACGCGCCACAGCTCTCTTTGCATTTCTGAGCGTTCACGCATCCTTCACATCGAGCTTCGCACTTGCTGAGCAAACGCAAGATCAACCCCAACCCGTTCTCGACGATTACTTGGATCAAGAGGAGGCAAGAAGAGAAGCTTTCAGAGCCAATGGTGGAAACGATGGAGTCCATGAGGCATGGTCACGTCTACGTGAGTTGGACCCGTCATGGAAAGAGAGCTATTCCAGTCTCGTACCGGCGGACTTTGTAAGCACCGCGTGGTACTATACGAAGGTGGTATTGAAGGCGCTATTCATGAATGCGCCTGCTAGCAAGCCGACAGAAGAAGATGGAGTCAACCACCTGCCGCCGGCGTTGCAGACTGCCGTGGACGAACTTGAGGCTGCGACAGAGTATGACGATCCGGATGCGCTGTATCTGCTGGCTGAGATGAACATGCACGGCAACTTCAGCCACCCGCGTGACCCTCAGGCTGCCTTCCAATGGTATCTGAGACTTGCAGAACTCGAAGGAAACAGTACGGCGCAATACATGGTTGGGCTATTGTATGCGACTGGTATTGGTGGAGTAGAGCGAAACCAGGCGAAGTCGATGCTGTACCACACTTTCGCGGCCGAGCAAGGCAACATTCGTAGCGAGATGACTCTCGCCTTCAGACACCATACCGGAATCGGCACATCGCGAGACTGCAATAAGGCGGTCGATTATTACAAGAGAGTCGCGGATAAGGCAATGGACTACTGGGAATCTGGCCCGCCTGGTGGGCTAACCTTGGCTCGAAACTCGTATCGTTGGGTGGAACAGACCGGAGGCGCATATGGTGAAGGTGCGAGTGCCAGTAGTTCAGGTCCCAATGCTCCTGCAGGTGGAGGTATGCAAACGAACTTCGAGGACGCCCTGGAGTATCTGAGCATGCGAGAGTCATCTGGCGATCTGACAGCCACTTATTCGCTTGGCAAGAACTACTATGATCCGCCTCGAGGATACAAGAGAAACCTACGTGCTGCTCAACGGCAATTCATGAAGGTCGCGCGGACCTACTGGGGCAAGGATGGCAAGGTCAGCCCGAAAGCGCCAGATGGCATTGACAAGATTGCTGGCAAGGCCGCTGCCTACATTGGTCGCATGTTCCTGCGCGGCGAGGGCATGGAGCAGAACTTCGAGAAGGCCATTACTTGGTTCAAGCGAGGAATCTCAAACGGTGATGCCTTCGCGCAATACCACATGGGCATCATGTATCGGGATGGGCTTGGTGTGCCACAAGATGGGAGCAAAGCAGGTACATTGCTCAAAGCTGCCGCAGAACAAGGCTCAACATTCGCTCAGTCTGCACTAGGAGTCATGTTCCTCGATCAGGGCGATATCGACACAGCCGGACGCTACTTCGAGCTTGCCGCTTCCGCGGGTTTCATGGAGGCATTCTACTACCTAGCCGAATTGACCAATCTTGGTGTTGGCCGCGACCGCAACTGTGCGCTGGCAACTGCTTTCTACAAGATCGTTGCCGAACGCGCGGAAGGTCTGCACTCGTCTTTGCTGGAGGCCAACAATGCTTATGAACGGGGCAACTACGAGGGAGCCTTTATTCCAACACTGATGGCCGCCGAGCAGGGTTACGAGCACGCACAAGCCAATGTTGCCCACCTCCTCGACCAGCGCATCTCTTACCTCTCGATCTCCTCCGTGCCGTTTCTTTCACAGAAGCCTCTGTCAAGTGGCTCCGGACTGCTCAACAACCTTGAACTGGCATTAGTCTACTTCACACGCTCCGCCAGGCAAGCCAACATCGACTCGTTGGTCAAAATGGGCGACTACTACCTCTCGGGCCTGGTGCCCTCGCCTGTCGATGCATCGCCCGACCCAGCCTTCCCATCGCCAAGTGCTGTTGCGCCAGATATCGACAAGGCGGCTACATGTTACACCTCCGCTGCAGAAGGCCACCATTCAGCCCAGGCTCTGTGGAATCTCGGTTGGCTTCACGAGAACGGTATTGGCTCCGTTACGCAGGATTTCCACATGGCCAAACGCTACTATGACCTCGCCTACGAGATGAACAAAGAAGCCTACCTGCCCGTCAAGCTCGCGCTGATCAAGCTCCGTATGCGCAGCTGGTGGAATGGCATTTCGGGCGGCAAAATAAACGGGATTCGTGACGATGAAGAGGAGAGCAAGAGACCCAAGACCTTCTGGGAATGGCTCAGCCGCTTCCTGGAGAACTTTGAGGAGATGGACGCCCAGGAGGCAGCCAGGGCGGCGCAGCAGGGCGAGAATGAGATGGATTGGCTCGCCGACCCGGGAATGCCCGGTGGTGATGCAGATTACGCGGGGCGGACCGAAAGGACGGATGCCGCGGCCTATGATGGCGGAGACGAATGGGAGGAATTCGATGATGGCCTGCTGGAGAGCCTTATCATTATTGCGTTGGCGGGCGCTTTGGCCCTGCTCGTGTATGCCAGGCAGCAGCAACAGCAACAGCGACAGCAGCAGGGCAGGAATAATGCGAACGGGGGGCAGGGCCAGGCACAGCCTGGAGGCGTGCAGCCGGTTGGGCAGGCACTGCCTGGTGCGGGTGTGCAGCAGCAGCAGCAGCAGGCGCAGGACGGTCAAGGCCCCCGTCAGGAAGACAGAGGCATGTTCCCGCGGCCAGACGATCCAAACTTCAATGACTGGGCTGTTGGTGGCGTGGGGCACTGATGTGATGGTCCCGGACGACTTTTGCTGTTCATATCAGAAGAAATGTCACGTTTCTTTTTTCCACTACATGAGAACCGTCGATACGTCTCTAATGCCTCCACACCCTAGACGAGCATGACGCCAATAGAACGTAAAAGGACGGGAGGCTTGAACGCCAGTTCTTGGACAGAACGTTGAGGCTGGCGTGTGCACCAACTGTAACTAAACAAATTGTGACACGGAGCATTGGTTCGTGAAAAGCGAACGGATGCGTTGATTTCTCAACACGTATATGCAGGAGCTCGCAAGCTGTAAGGCCGGCGCCTGGTACCGCGGGCGCAGCTTCGCTGGATACGAGTACATGTTCAGCTAGATGTAGATGGCACAACTGTAGCACCTACGCACTCATGGTCGTCAAATTCCTGAGAGGATCCGATATGGCCAGAAATCTTTGGAGTACTCCTGTCCAAGAGCTTCGAATGACGTCGACATTTGAATTCGACAACTTTCGAGGCCTCCGTTGGCATGCTGCACGCGCCCGTGCCTGCACGGCTGCTGAAGCGTGTCCGCTATGCGACATGCCTCAATCCTGGGACGGCGATTGAGCCAAGTCACGAGCAGCGTGTCCCCTCGCTTTACTCGACTGGCATTCGCCAATCCATCAAGATTCACACCGACCGGTGGGCGACAGCGACGATGGAACTCCGACACTTCATCATCTGAGCGCTCTGAGCCTGGGAAGTCACCTTCTTTTCCAGCGCGACAGTGGTCAACACCTCTAGCGAAGATCATTGCAGATGCTGTCGAGGTAAGACTCCCCCTTGAATGACTGCCGCGAATCTGACACCGACTAGGTGACTGGTCCGATATCCCTCTCGGCCTACATGCGCCAATGCCTCACCTCCGAGTTGGGCGGCTACTACACCTCACAGCATACTTCGGCAGATCAATTTGGCAAAAAGGGAGACTTCATCACATCTCCGGAAATATCACAGGTGTTCGGAGAACTGGTGGGAGTTTGGTTCCTCAGCGAGTGGATGGCCCAGCAACGACCGCAGGCTGGTGTCAGTTTCATTGAGCTGGGACCCGGTCGAGGCACCTTGATGAGCGATATATTGCGGACAGCATCTCAGTTCAAAACTTTCGTCGGCAGCATAGAAGAGGTATGGATGATTGAGGCAGGCGACGCATTGAGGCAGAGTCAGTGTGAACTGCTCTGCGGCAGCAACGAAATGGTAGAGAAGCATGGAGACATCGATGGCAAAAAATGGACTTGGTGGGAGGCAGAGTCAAAGGACGACTTTGGCGGCGTTACCGTGAAATGGGTCGAAGATGTTGTTCTCCTACCACCTCACCAGTCTACAGTAACGCCCTTCATCATCGCTCACGAGTTCTTTGACGCCCTGCCGGTCCAAGTATTCGAGTCTGTCGCTCCAGCTCCGGAGGAAGACCGCCAACCTCAGCTCCTCGACAAGGCTGGCCGCCCAATGGTGCAGCCCAGCAGTGCCAGCAAGACACCGCAGTGGCGGGAGCTACTCGTCACAACAACTAAACGCAAGCTTGAGATCAAAGACATGCTCCGCACCGAAGCTGAAGCAGAGCGTGATCACGCCAAAGCCAACGAGTCCCAAGATGACTTTCGCCTAACATTGGCCCACGCAAGCACGCCGGCTTCGCTGGTCCTCCCCGAGCGTCCTCGCTACCGACACCTCAAGTCGCAGGTCGGATCTCGAATCGAGATCTCTCCCGATTCAGCACGTTATGCTAGTGCCATCTCACAGCTTATTGGCAACCAATCCAAACCTGCTGGCGCAGCTCTTGTCATTGATTACGGTCCAGCAGATACTGTGCCCGTCGATTCATTGCGTGGCATCAGGCAGCACACCATCGTCTCACCGTTCAAGCACGCCGGCCAAGCAGACTTGAGTGCGGATGTTGATTTCACTGCTGTCGCTGATGCGGCCTTGGAGGCATCAGAAGGCGTCGAAGTGCATGGGCCAGTGGAGCAGGGTATGTGGCTTCAGCAGCTTGGAATTCAAGAACGCGCCGCGAGGATCGTGAAGGCGATCGTTGCCGAAAAATCGAATGACATGGAGGACCGAATCAAGACTTTTGAATCTGGCTGGAAACGGTTGGTCGAAGCGGGACCTAGGGGCATGGGCAAGGCTTATAAAGTCATGGCCATCGTGCCCGAAGGAGGTGGCAAGCGACGACCTGTGGGGTTTGGTGGCTCTGTTGTAGGGTAGACATAGACCCACGCGCGGCATGTACCTGTACGAATGTTTTGTACATTATCATGATTGCCTCGACCAAACTTTTCTAGTTCTCTGAGCGGCCTAGCACCATAACCTCTTCTTCCTACTCTCTACCGGCTCACCAAGCGCCATATCAGTGTGTCCAGCAGAACGATAGCCCTTGCGGGGGTCGGGTCATATACTGGTTGGGTGTTGCGCCCTCAAGTTCAATTCACAATCCTCAAGGGGACAGCCGTACATCCAGCACTAGGGCTGTACAAAAGGCCGTGGCTACCGAGAGAAGAGCAGTAGGCGGAAAGAAGAGTGGCACACAGTAAGAACGGGAGAATCAATAGTAACGCGAGAAGACGAACGGGCGGTTACAGTTAGACTCCGGTATAAAACTCTTGGCGCTCGTCAGGCAGTGAATTGCCGGACCCACCTTTCTCCGATCCCCGACAGAGCCTCTACAAATAAAAGTTCGAGGCTTGCGCTGAGCACAAGCTGACTTTGCTCGCACACACTCTTCTTGACTACCTCGAGGATATCTCAAAAGGCTTTCCCATAAACAAGAATAAATCGCAGCCATGTCAGAATCTCCCGAAGCTCAGTCTCCGGACCCTCAGATCTCCGCCGCCTTCGAAGAGCTGTCGAAGCTCGAAGTCGACTTCGCCAATGTCGAGATCGATGCGCGTACGTTCCTTCCACCTCCAATCAACCCCCAAGCCTCACATCAAACCAAGTCCCCCCCAAGATCTTTCCTTACTAACACTCTTAAAAACCCACAGTCCGCCGCAAAGAATACCGCCTCCGCCCCATCTTCGCGGCGCGCCGCGCCGCCCTGCGCAAGATCCCCGGCTTCTGGAGGCAGGTCTTCCTGAACGCGCCGGACGAGATCCAGTCGTACTATTCCTCCGCCGACGTCTCCGCATTGGCGGCCATCGAAGACTTCAACGTGGAGCGGTACCAGATCTCGAGCGAGACCGAAGGGGAGCCGCGCAGCCTGCGCTTCGAGTTCACGTTCGGCGACAACGACGCCTTTGGCGCGTGCACTTTGACCAAGGAGTTTGAGTGGAAGGCGAGCGCGACAGGGGATGGCCCGGGACGGTTGGTGTCCAAGGCGGTGCCGATCAAGTGGAAGAATAAGAAGAGCGATCTGACCAAAGGGATGTTGGATATGGCGGTCGAGTTGGAGGCGGCGGAGGAGGCGATGAAGATGAAGAAGGGGGGTGAGGAGGTGGAGTTGGTGGAGCGGGAGGGGTTGTGGCAGTATGAGAAGCTGAGGGAGGCGATTGCGAAGACCGAGGAGGCTGAGGATGATGAGCCGACGTGGTTGAATTGGTTTGGCTTCAGAGGCGCGGTGGAGAAGAGGACGGAGAAGAAGGAAGAAGATGAGAAGAATGGAGAGAATGGAGCGGAGGTGGAAGACGTGGATATGGATGATGAGTTTGATGATGGCTTGCTTGACGTCGAGGTCTTCCCGCCCGGCGAGGACGTCGCGATCGCACTGGCAGAAGATCTCTTCGTCGATGCGATGGACTTTTTCAGTGGGTCAATGTCCGTTCCTTGCGCGATGATCTGTTTTGCTGACCACTTTCCCGCAGTGCAATCGCAGGAGGCTGACGATTTCGACGGTTTTGACGAGGACTCCGACGAGGATGACGAGGCTGGCGAGGGCGAAGACGGAGACGACGTGCCTGAGCTGGTCGAGGAGGGCGCCAACAACGACAAGCGACCCAGCAAACGCCAACGGACGCAATAATCGGCCACCGCTGGCTTCGAGACCCTTTTTACTTCCTGATGGCTAGCTGCACGGCCTGGACACGGAAGCGGCATCGCCTCTTCCATGTCCTGGAGGCCTCCCCGTAACAGCATGAGCGACCTGGACACACATCGCTGCCGCCTTGCTCATGCCCTTTTCAGGCGAGAACGCGCGACCTGGATATTTCGGCCGCCGGCGAAGCAGCAACGCCTCTTTGGTGGTGCCTTTTCCTTTGCCCATGGTCAGATGCCGCGACCCGGGCTTTTTCGATAACACGCTCCCTCGATGATACCCTGTATCCAAACCTCCTCCAAAAGTTGCTTGGATACCTTTTTAATAGATCGATTGATTTCCTTCCCAAGTCGTTTATCATCATATGACGATGGCCAAAATGAGCAGAATGCACAGCACCACAATGAGCAGCGCAATGCAGCAGCTGCTGACACTGTCCTCGTTCTTCCGTATGACCTCGCCCACCTTCTTGACGCCCGTCTGTAGCTTGCCGCCCACGCGATCCGCCAACGTGTCCACCTCATCAAGCATGCCCCCCTGCTCCTCCAGCTCCCTCCCCATATCCTGCGCCTGGTTCCTCAGCACTCCCACGCTGCGAAACACGCCATTCAGCTGCTCGTCCTGCTCCGCCATCATCGTCTGCTGCTGCCGCTCCTCGAACTCGGCGTAATTGTCGCCGTCGCCGTCCTCATCATCAAAGTCCGCAGGTGAAGGGAGAGTCCCTTTGCCCCTTCCCTGCGCTTGCCCCGCGCCACTCGTGGCCGCAATGTTGTCGCCGCCGCCTGCGTGCGCTGCGGCGCCCTCGAGCTCCCGTCTCATGCCCTCCACTTCGTCGCCGACCTCGCGCACGAAGCCGCGCCGTCGCTGCACCTCCGCGACATCGAGGCCGAACTTGTAGGGGTCGGACTCGACGGCCGAAATTGATTCTAGCAGGTCTGTGAGATCGGTGGACAGGGTTGTGAGGTTGGATTCAAGCTCTGTGCGCGCTGAGGAGAGTTCCTCGGATTTTTGACTGGGGCGCGAGGCGGCAAGGGTGCGGATGCGGAGGTAGGAGGAGAAGAGCGTGCGGGTCTGGCTGAGTGTGGACAGGACGTCGGACTGGACTTCGAGGAAAGGGTCGTCGGCGTTCGCGGGTGGGTTCGCCATCTTGTGGCTGGGACGTAGGGATCGTTTTCGTATAATCAGAGGCTCGTGCACATATGGCGGGAAGACTGCTATCGTGGAATCATGGCTTGGCCTGCGTAGACGAGGAAGTGTTTGATATGGCTGAGAGGTGTCTCGGGAGCACTAGTAGACTTGCTTCGGCCTGCGTAAATTACGTGTATCGAACGGCCCGAGCCTAGTGGCGCTTGCCCAGACTTGGAGGTCGAGGGTAATTCACCGTCTATTCTTACCAACACCCCCAACATGGTAGCTGTTCTATTCTAGACTTTTTATCAAGTACCGAAAGACGCCGTCTTGAAGTCTGCAGGAGGGTTGTTGACGGAGCTGTAAGCCATCGCACGCTTTGGGTGTGTCAATCACCGCCACGGCAAGGTCTTGGCCCTAGTATCAGACCAAATCGATGCGGCAGGCAAAGATTGCGTACAAAGAAAGCATGCGAATCGTTCTCCGTGGCAAGCATGTCCTGGATGCTGTCGATTAGACTCTCCAAACCCAAGCAAGAAAGATTTGATCCTGTCGCGTGCCGAGTTTGACCTCCGATGGACGTTCATGCAACAACTTTGGACTTGGTGGTCACGAGCAGCCACTATTGGTGCCAATGAAGACGACTTGAACAGCCGCAAACCTGGAATCAATCAGATGAAGTCGTGCAGCTGTGGTGGAGACCTCACGCTGTTGTCGCCGCAAACACTTCTACGCGACGACCGTTGGTTAAGATCGCTAGGCACAGCGAGAACAGACTCGTGTAAACAGCCGTCAGTGCAAGCCTTAACGCCACCGTGCCCACCGCGTAGAGTGTGACTATGGCAATGATGGGGAGAAGGGAAGAGGTCAATGTCGATACGATCTCGACGTTCCGATACAACCTGTCAGCTTCGTATGAAATTATGCCGGATTCTGGGTCCCACTCGATAGGCTGCTTTGTGCGTCGGCCGAGAACTCTGTGGTAGATAGGGACTAGCTTCGAGGATAGCCAGTCACTGACATGGTCGGAATATGTCTCAGCTTGTAGGGCGATCAGGTCGTACTCTTTGGATTTGTCCCAAGAGTGTCTGTCGTTGCTCAGTATAGGAAAGTCTCCCATGCGCTTCCTCTCAAACCAGTCTCGAAAGTGAGCGAGATCCGTCTTGGCTGGTGGTTTCGACTGCTTCAGCATTAGACAGTTCCGCAGACACTGATCTGAAGTAGCTGTCAGTTTGACCACAAGGAATCTCTCGAGGCACGCAACAGCATGTCAGGCATACTATACTCCAGGAGCTTCTGGCGGACGCGCAATATTTTCTGCAACGGCTCTCCATGGTCGCTACACTGGCCCCTCTCCAGCAGCTGCCAGTGCTTCCCACGAAGCTGACACACAGGGTCACTGGACATGCGATCGAGCCTTGTAGTCCTAAGCAAGTCTTCCTCTAACTCGGTGAGCTCTGCCTGTTGATAGAGGAGATCTTGGAAATTGAGCTCTTGGAAGCTGCGAACAATCGACAGCTCTCCATGGCGACTCATCAGCCGTGCGACCTTCTCGTAGCCCTCGCTGTGGTCCATGTCTTGAAGCGCAATCAGAAAACGACAAGTGTACTTCTAACAGCCCTGAATCATTGCCCATTGCCGCCTTCCTCGCGGCATGACGAGTCTTATGAACCGGGCGTGGCTATTGCGGCCTATAAGGTTGTTTCGGGCGCTTGCACGACTCACCGGTCAGCTAGCATGTGACAACACGTGGAAGGTTTGTGTAACCACACCGCTGCAAGGAGGCACTCACCTGGCTGGGAGTCCTTGGTGGCTCGCGCATGATTGGGGACATGAAGACTTCGCGTGAATTGATTGGTGGCCCGAGCGCATGGAAGACTTGGGCGTGAGGGGCTCTCGAAGAAATACTTAAGGGTAGAGATGATGGGGCGCTCGTCGGATGCCTCCTGTGTTATGCCTTGTGCCCTCATAGTTTCGGAGGTGGACAGGACAAGATTTCGACCGGGCACGACCGATGAAAGCTATGGCGACAAACAGAGATCCTTACCTAGACACCTTAGACCGCAACAGAAAGAGGGCTCGAGAATTGGGCTGGATTTTGGGTGAGTCGGAGTTCGATCAGGCACACGCTGATCGCGTAGCCGCGCATGCTCAACATACAGCGCAGCCGACGGCACCCAAACCGACGGCAGACAGTGGCTCAGATGCCGATGAGCTTGTCTCTGCATCTAAATCCCCGGGCGGGCATGGTTGGAGTCAACCTGCAGCAATGTACACGGCATCTGCGACCAACCGGTATCCTGTGCAACTTGAGTTTAGTAACGAAGCGAACATCATGTGCACGGCTTTGTTTGACACGGGATGTCACGACAACTGGATATCTCGACGGAAGGTTGATTCTGTCGGGCTGCACGTTGGACCCTTGCCTGCTCACCTAGCCTCGCAGAAGCTGCTCGATTTCAGTGGCACGCGCTGTCAGGCGACCGGATTTGTCAAAGTCACCTGGATACTACCTAAAAAGACGGCACATTTTCGATTGCTGGTTGCAGAAAATCTCCCCATCGACATATTGTTTGGGTTCGAGTTGCTGCTCGACCAAGGCTTCTTGAGATTCCCACCTGACGGGTTCGTGGGGCCTCTCACGATGCCCGAGAAGTCTGCAGGTCAGTATCTCAAACATGTAGCCCGGAGGAAGCATCTGACGAACTGACAAAGTCTCTGAATAGAAGAAAGAGGCGACGAGGGGGGGCGCCGACTCAGTGCAGCTGAGAAAACAGCGCAGATCGACCGCCATATACAGTGGCAAGACGAAATGCGTCGTGAAGGATGGACTTGGGATCATGACCGGCAACAGTATTTCAAGCGGGAAAGCGGGAGCTCCACCAAGCGCTGGCATCCCGGCGGACCTACACTGGACTTCTCGAAGCTCCAGCGTGCGTCCCATTGACCTGAAGAGAACTGCTGGCCCGTGCCACCCAGCGATGTGTTCTCAGCACCCCGCTGTGGCACGACAAGCTGCAATCTCGCGCAACAGCTCGTCAAGACCATATACGGGTCGCCAGGAAGGCGTGGCGTATACTCCGTGCCGACCTGATAGCGGAAGCCGGCTGTTTCACTTGCTTTCCGAAGCTACGGGTCTACTCCACTTCTCACCGCTCACGTTCGCTCCATCTGTATGCTTCAATCCGATTCGCACTGCTTTCGAGTCTTTTCTGGCAGAGCGAACGTCGTATTGAAGTTATACGCATCCACAGTCATGTATCAACTACAGGTGCAGAAGCTTCTTGTGTCCTCGCGAACAGGGAAAAGGTGCAGTGTTGGGGCCGCTCGCGAAGTCTCAAAGTTCATTACAACGTTGGTTTTCAGGTTGGAGCCTCACTGACTCGCGGTGGATACGGACAAGCATGGACTGCTAGTGAGTGGGTACCAAGCGGGAAGTCTGTTCCGGTGCTCGACTTCCTACCAATTTCAATAGAACCAACTAGAACCAATTCCGAATGTCTGTGCCACCTTCCGCGCTGTTCGACATCCTCGACATCCTCGACGTCCTCGCCCTCGACAAATCTTCTTTGTCTCTCTTGTATCAGAGCCTTTCACTGGCTGTTTCTGTGCTGGAGTCCCATCCTCAGGCTTTCACCATCACCCAACACCAAGGCTTCTGTATTCTCATATCACTGTTTGCTGATCGGAGATCCTGCCTATGCAACGAGCAAATCGTGCATCTGCCATGCCAAACGTCACTAGCTGCGCCACTGCTAGCTGACTTCATTCACACGAGCACGTTGAACCAACACCATGGACGGCCCAAGACCTTCATCCAGTGACAGTAATAATGCCAATGTTCGTGCATACCTCCCATCAAACAAGATGCTGATTTGCTGACTTGGATCAGTGGGAGAGGCTTCCTTCCATTCGTATATTGACGTCGTCTTGGGAGAGCGGGAGAGCCCCGTCCAGCTACATTGAGTCGAAAACCAAGTTCTGCTGGATCAGTTCCGAGAAATTGCAGAGCATTACCATCGAGAAGCCCGAACGATCAACCAACCCGGTCTCGGAGTTCTACTGCGGCAGAAAGCAAGAGTCTCAAGGCTTTGTCCATCTTCAATTCGTTGTCGACGGCTGTGACCCGACTCTCAAGGCCGACTTTCACGTAACTAAGGACACGGGGTTCGATACTCTGCTCAGCGAGAGCATCACCAATCAGATTTTCAACCTCCGTAAGCGAGCTGAACGGGACGCGCGATATCGAGCTTCTCAGTCCTGTCCTCGTACGCTTCCAGACCCCCTCATCCTTTTGCCAAACTAACGGTGATGGATAGCAAATACATTCTTGTCCAACCTCGAACCAATGACCTACTTTTGGACAGCATTCATCTGCGTCAACGCTTATATGATGTGGGTCCTGGTCTCGCGTGGCATCTACACTCCGGACAGCCCTTTCCTTCACCACCTCCGAAGCACCTTTCGGTTCTGATACAGGTCCTCTATATCGCATCACACAGCCTGGGACTTGCACCTTTTCGATCATGGCTTTGCATTTCAGCCATGTCACACCTTGAAGTTTTCTCAAGCCTAAACCGAGCCCGGAGTTCTGCTGGACACAGCATCTTTAATTCATGCACACATGTTGCGGACCCTGGTTCAAAAAGCGCATCAACAAGCACAGTTCATCATGTCCATACGATTCAAACTTGTACAAACTTGTACAATACTTAGACCAATCAACTTTCGGCGGACGACCCAAGGCGTTTTCAATTGGGACGACGACTCCATATAGCGCGGCGCTTTAACATTCGAGAAGCGATGTGCGTACATATTTGAGAAATTGTTATCCTCTGTTCCATACCAAGTTTCTTCTTGTCTCCAGACCGTGAGAATAAGGGGGGACAGAGATAGCTCCCTAAACCCGATATATCCCCACATGGTGCATCTAAGCCCTGTAGGGCGAGCCTCGACTGTCCATTATTTACGGAGTACAAAGGAGAAGCACAGCCAACCCGGGGAAGTAATCCCCCAGACGCCACGTGGGGCTGCGTAACCCTACTGTAGTGCCGGAAAAACAACCTGGGCTCTCGTGCGGGTCAGAAGTGGGGGGGTAGCTGCAGGGCACTCCAGATAGCACAAGACGTACCCGGGTCCCTTGTCAGACCGTCATTTCATTATTATCATTATCCTTATTGACAGTCCCGTTGAATCCGCAACTTCATTCAGTGCGCTCGCTGCTGGACCGACACCACTATTCTTGTATCATTTAGTCTCAGAATAGCAACCCATTGCCTCCAACGCCGTCGCTGACAATCCAAAAGGTGGTGACTGTGATTTTTGGTCACCAATGGCGAAAAGAGTGCGCTGAAAGCTTGCAGGTTGCGAGGTAAGAAGGTGAGTAGAGCCCTCACTCAGGTGGGAATAAGAGTATCGCAAGCAAAGCCTAGGTTCACTGACCTGGGGTCGGTCGGCCAAATTGACTAGAAGGCTCGTCCCCCGAACGCACAGCAGAGAGGCTTCTGGATGAGACTTGCTGCGAAACTGGGGAGCCTTCCCGTCGATTTTCACGACCGCGACCACGTCCGTGTCCAAGCCCTCCCCAGTTGTTGTTGTTGTTGCCGCCATCACGATTGCTAGGAAAGAACGACGTCTCCTGGGCTGGGCCTGGTGGAGGTCGCCGGCCAGTCTCCTCCGGCCACACATCACGGACCTGAACATTGGGATCGACTTGGCGACGTAGCTCGAGAGCAGGGCCCTGGCTGATGCCCCAGGTAGAGTATCCCTTCTTCACGCTCTCAATGACACAGCCGCGGAGCAAGGTGGTGAAGTAAGCCGCCGTTGGCATTTCGATCTCCATCACATTGATGAAGTGAGGGAACGTGTTGATGGCTTGAAGCTGACCGATCCGCCTAGCCAGACGGGCCGCGGTGCCCTTCGGGGGGCTTCCGTGTGCGTCGAAGAGCTGGTCGCGCATCTGCTTGACGCTTTTGCGTTTCTCGCCCGAGCCCCGATTGATGGTTTGACGGAAGGTGTTCTGGAACATGAGCAGCGTGTAGGAAGTCTTGCTCGCTTCGAAGGTCTTTTGCAGACGGTACGGGGAGACTTCGTTGGCTTCCAGATACGCAAGTTCAGACATGCCTTTGCCCTGCTGACGATCGAACATCCACACCACGTTGCGGGTGATGGCCTCCTTGACGATTGTTTTGAGCAGCTTCTCGGTCACCGGGACATCTGAGATCGGGAGACTGATGAGCAGGTGGCCAAGGTTAGGGATCGTGGCTTTGGATGTCCTCCCATTCAGAACACCGGCCAGTGTACTGTTGACCTTTCGGATGATGCTGGGTCCTTCGGAGGCCTGGCACAAAAGTAGGTGAAAGAGATGATAGTAGGACTCAATGGCACGTTCAGAAGCCCGCCCCAAGGCGCTTGGGTCTGAAGCATCTCTAGCCTGGTCGCAAAGTTTGACAACGATGTCGCTCATGAACGAAACAATAACCTCGGAAGGGAGAGTGGTACTGAGACGAGCTTCAGTGGCAATCTCGGCCAGGCGAGGCTGGATCCGCTCACGAACTCGCTGGTAGTGTCGACGAGAAATAGCCAGAGGTAAGTGGTGCCTGAATGGGAGACCATGAACAGATCGACGGATGCTGTGCTCGTTGTAGGCTTGAGCAGACAGGAGGTCGAATTCCGAGGTAATCTGCCCTTGGCGGCCACGCAATGTAACTTGGACGCCGACCCCTAGCTCGAGCTCATCGAAGCTCTTCTTAAGAACAAAGCACTGCAGCTCCCGGTTGCGTAGTAGGTTGAATTGCGTGACGATACCGCGGGCGCTGCCGATACGATTCCAGGATCTTGCAAAGGCAATCAAGTCCTCACTCTCAAGGTGATCGCAGATCCTCACCAGTATCTCAGCCGGCATGTCCGAAAGGGGAGTGACTTCGTAATCCTCGTCTGCAGCCGCATTTGTGGGAGGGGTCGATGTAGAGTGGCTGAGGGGTACTCCGAGTTCTGTACCGCGACCCGAAGTCGACTGACACTCTGATGCCCTTGGCTCTGGATCATTAGAGAGACCGAGCAAGTCGCCCAGATTGATCGAGTAGCTAGGCATGGCTAGAGCAAGGTTCCCAGGCTTAGACCGTGAGTACAGGCAGTTCAAACATCTGAAGGCTCCGCCATCGGGCTGCCAGCGACCATCTGGAAGACGATAACGATTGAGGTTTTGGACGCCGCCATGGTCTTGCTCCAGGTTGTCACTACTGAAGAAGCTCAGAAGCTGGATGGCAATACCTTTAACGGTGTAGGCGGGCGTCCAACCGTCCCTAGTGTTGAGGATTGAGGCACAGATGTAACCGCCGAAGATGTTTGGGTGGTGGACCGAGCTGTCGATGCGAACAGAAGGGGCTTTGAGCGGGTAGTTGTTCTGGAACGTGATAGTGAAATGGAGAGGATCTTGGCCCATAGGCGTCAGGACTAAGCATGCAGTTCTGATTTCGTGCTCGTGAGGAACGAGCTTGATATTCGGGTAAGGGTGCTTCTGAATCTCGGCCAGGTCATGGAGGAGTCTGGCGTGCAAGGCCATGCTGAGGAACCAGTTCGCAGCCAGTGAACGTGACTGACTGCCAGTTCACCGCTTGGGTACTAAAACCCCTGAAAGGTTTGTAATAAAAAGTGTGGGCGACTGAGGTGGTGAGAAGGAAGCATGATGCTAATAACAGGCTAGCTTTATAGCTGGACGAGGCAACCAGGCAGCTGCGCCTCCATCGCGGACCACTCACAGCAAATGAGCATGACTGGGGTCGTGACTCATCTTGCGAGTCATTGTGGCTCCTCACCTGGACGGCATCACAGCCTCGTCTGATAGACGAATCACTTGCCTTTGGAAGGTCTCGCAATATGGAGCCTTCTGTGTGTCTCGGGACGCCTCCTAGCAGCATGAAAGCATTTGACCTTAGGATATGAAGGGTTGACAGCGGAGCGTATACAGACCTATACCGACAGTGCGAGCTCTTGGCAGAGTAAATAAACGCCCGTCAGAGTCCTGTTAAAGCAGCGTCAGCCTCAATTACGACGAAGGACATGTGATGAGCGTTGATTGTAGAAGAGCAATACCATCCTGCTGGGGAGCGGGCACACAGCTAGAGAACCGATCCAAGGTACGGCTTGGCGTCCGCACTTTATACAGCGGAGCACGCCCCAATCATCTGCAATGGCCAACTTATGAAGATAATAATTATGTTTTTGAACTTTTGAAATTCTCATTTGGTCATGACTCTGCCGGAGCAAGTCAGACAATCGCTATGCTGAAGATCTATGCCATGCATTTCATTCCCATGAGGTATCATCATTAGCCCGGAACGCCATACACCCATTTGCAAGGTCGAGTCTCGCGGTAGAAATCGGTCAGCGAGGACGAAATTAGTCGACTTCTATAAAGTTGTTAGTCAAAATCTTCAATGATAGGGGATGGTTGCTCACCTTCCACGCTGGGGCCGTCTTGACCAGCGCCACCAGCACCCGGAGCACCGCCAGGAGCACCACCGGGCATACCGCCTGGCATGCCACCTGGCATACCGCCAGCGCCGCCAGCACCACCGTAGAACTTCATCATGATGGGGTTGGCGACACCTTCGAGTTCCTTCTGCTGGCTCTCGTACTCCTCCTTGGTAGCGGTCTGGTTCTCGTCGAGCCAGCTGATAACCTCGGAGATTTTGGACTCGAGAGTAGACTTGTCGGAAGCGTCAAGCTTCTCCTCGACCTTGGAATCGGAGATGGTGTTCTTGAGCGAGTAGGCGTAAGACTCAAGGCCATTCTTGGCACCGATACGGGACGCCTCAGCCTCATCCTCAGCCTTGTACTTCTCAGCCTCGGACAACATGCGCTCGATCTCTTCCTTGGACAGACGACCCTTGTCGTTGGTGATGACAATCTTGTTGGTCTTGCCGGTGCCCTTCTCGAGAGCGGAGACGTTGATGATGCCGTTGGCGTCGACATCGAAGGTGACCTCAATCTGAGGAACACCACGAGGAGCAGGAGGAATGCCGGAGAGCTCGAACTTGCCAAGCATGTTGTTGTCCTTGGTACGAGCACGCTCACCTTCGTAGACCTGAATCAAGACACCAGGCTGGTTGTCAGAGAAGGTCGAGAAAGTCTCGGACTTCTTGGTGGGGATTGTGGTGTTGCGCTTGATGAGCGAAGTCATGACACCACCAGCGGTCTCAATACCGATGGACAGCGGCGCCACATCGAGCAACAAGATCTCGTTGGTGGACTTGGATGAGGTGTCACCAGAAAGGATGGCAGCCTGGACAGCAGCGCCGTAGGCGACAGCCTCATCAGGGTTGATGGACTTGTTGGGCTCCTTGCCGTTGAAGAAGTCCGAGACCATCTTCTGGATGCGGGGAATACGGGTAGAGCCACCGACCAGGACGATCTCGTGGACGGAGGACTTATCGATCTTGGCGTCGCGGAGGACACGCTCCACGGGCTCCATGGTGGAGCGGAAGAGGTCCTGGCACAGCTCCTCGAAACGAGCGCGGGTAATGGAGGTGTAGAAGTCAATACCCTCGAAGAGAGAGTCGATCTCAATAGAGGTCTGAGCCGAAGACGAGAGGGTACGCTTGGCACGCTCGCAAGCAGTGCGGAGACGGCGGAGCGCGCGGGCGTTCGAAGACAGATCCTTCTTGTGCTTGCGCTTGAATTCGTTGACAAAGTGGTTGACGAGACGGTTGTCGAAGTCCTCACCACCCAAGTGGGTGTCACCAGCGGTCGACTTGACCTCGAAGATACCCTCCTCAATGGTCAGGAGCGACACATCGAAGGTACCACCACCAAGATCGAAGATGAGAACGTTGCGCTCGCCCTCGGTCTTCTTGTCGAGACCGTAGGCGATGGCAGCAGCAGTGGGCTCGTTGATGATACGGAGAACGTTGAGGCCAGCAATGAGACCGGCATCCTTGGTAGCCTGACGCTGAGAGTCGTTGAAGTAGGCAGGGACGGTGACCACGGCGTTGTTGACGGTGCCACCAAGGTAGGACTCAGCAGTCTCCCTCATCTTGGTCAAGACCATAGACGAGATCTCTTCAGGAGTGAAGGTCTTCTCCTCGCCCTTGAACTCAACCTGGACGACAGGCTTGTCACTCTTGTTGATGACCTTGAAGGGGAAGTGCTTCATGTCGGCCTGAACCTCAGCATCGTTGAACTTGCGGCCAATCAGGCGCTTCGCATCAAAGACGGTGTTGTGGGGGTTCATAGCGACCTGGTTCTTCGCGGCATCGCCAATGAGACGCTCAGTGTCGGTGAAAGCGACGAATGAGGGAGTGGTACGGTTGCCCTGGTCGTTGGCAATAATCTCAATGCGATCATCGCGGAAGATACCAACGCATGAGTAGGTGGTACCCAAATCGATACCAATAGCGGGGGCCATGGTGTCTATGTGGAAATGAGAAGGTAGGAAGGTCTAGTTGTGGTAATCGTTGTAGAAAGATGAAACACCAAAGAAAAGCTCAATTGAATGAGTTCAGATAGTTTCGCAGTGTGTGTCTTGAGGATGAAAGAGTGGTCGAAATTTTTGGAGGGCTGGTGTTTAAGAATGACTGCGTTGGGCAACCGGCGTCACAGGCACTTTCTGGAAGCTTCCACACCAAATGCCTCCAGAAGTGACTAGCACTTTCAGGTATGCACCGGGAAAGCCAGGAATTTTCGAGCACTTTTGTTTGACGGTCGCACCAAGACCCTCGTCTCGCTGTCTACATCACTACCCGTCCCATCGCTGCCCCAATGCCTCTTCATCTCTTCGTGGCCTGATTCCATTCTATACCGACCCCAGCCAAAAATGTTCCATGACCCTTATCGATAAGCGCCGAAATCTTGGCACAAGGCTGCCCAAAAGGCTAAACGTCCGTTGATGTCATTGGGCACCACTTTTCAGCGGGTCTCAGGGTTGCCCTGGAGAATTAGAAAATTTTCTGCAGGTATGAGCTCACTTTACGTTTCGCACGAAGACGAGCTCGGGAGATCGCGCGACGGATGAAGTACCGGACTTCTACTTGCAATAAAGAGCCATCAAGATCGGCATGCTCAATTCAGGGTAGATTTTATGCCGTATGCCAAGGCGTGGTAAAGGCAAGATCGGAGAACCGACGGCGACTGGAGTCTGGACGGCCTTTCATCATGGCGCTGATGCCCTTCACCTTTTGCACTAAAATCTGGTAGGTCATGGTCTATTAGCACTCTGAAGAACTACCATGATAGATCTGCGGTCGCACTGCTGAAATCAAATATATGTATCAAGTTGTGTAAACCATGGAAAGGCTTCGAGAACTGCCGTACTGAACCACGATTCTATACCTGAAGACTTAGGTGCAATGGCCGTACATAGGCTTCTGGAGTCTTTCTAAGCTACCAAGATCGGACTATAGAATATCAACCGCTATCGCGAATGTGCCACGTTGCGTTGCGTCAAGGTAGTTGGCAAGCTCTCCAACTCTGAGGCGGCGGTTCTGAACACCGTGCTCGAGGACCGGGCGGCCTGCTGCTGATACATATCTTCCGCGGCCCCTACATTCTCGCGTTGCCTTGCCTGGCGACTACGCCGTTGCGCAAGCCTCTCTCGGGTCCATGGAATGAGATTGTAGTACCCACCAGCAGCCATAACACCGATCCAAAGCACCAGCTCCGACCCATATATCACCATTCCTAGAATCTCCAGCTGCGGCTCGAAGAAGACCGAGATAAGAGATGTGAGGTCGCCCAATGCGTCGATTGCCACGAACATGAACGAGATGCCGCGGACTGTTCTCTCCTTGTAAATATCCCAGTAGTGCCTCAGCACACCTGCGCAAAGAAGGACTGCTGAGAGCACTGCCATGAAGATGATGGGCCAGTCCGTATTGTTGTCTCGAGCTTCGCGTAGGGCAAAAACTAGGCCGCATTCGAGACCTCCAAGAAGGATCCCAACGGGAACAGCGACAGCGTTGGCTTTTAACAAAGTCCATTTGTTTCCATAGTACTTGCATTGCATCCAGGTCAGCAGGCTCAGAAAGGTCAGAATTTGCGGCTGGATGCGGAGAGCAATGTTGAAATTGGACACAATGTTGTAGACTCCAAGTGGGACACCGGCGCATGCCCAGAGCATCATCATCGTGGGCTGCAAGCCGGTCGTGTCGTGCCGGCGATAGTTGATAACGATCTGTGGCAAGAGCTTCGCGCCCATCAGCCACAGTCAGTAGCTATCTGGACTATGCACCTACCTGTATGGACCAGCATATCGCGCCCGCTGTTCCAAGAACATTGGCGGCGATTGGCACATCCATGCTGCTATCAGTTTTAGGAACTAAGGGTGTTGGCGAAGGTCACATCGGGGCCCAAGCAAAGCTACCCTTTTCCAGTCTTGAAGTCGTGAGTTCTGGCTGAGTCGGATATCGTCCTGGGCACCGTCGTCTTTTCTGCAGACATCCAGAACGGCTATAGAATCCGATCTAAGCCTATCAAAGACTAGCGTGCCCTGTCGCGACCGCGTGGTGCGGGCGCACCGCAACCGCTGCAATGCGCGACCGACAGACCACCTTTCGGTCTCTCCAACTTCTTCTTCCACTCACTCCGATACTCGTCAATTCCACCCAGAACAGTTTGCATTTCCTTCTGCGCATCACGACCTCATACACTAGCATCGCAGGGATACCATCTGCCTCTTTAAAACAGCTCCTCACTCCCCACAACCCAACGTCCACCCGCAAACATGTCTGCCAACGGCTCCGCCATCCCGACTGAGTCCACCGACATCCAAGACAAGGGAAAGGGCAAATCCGTCGAGGAGCCTTCCCGCACTGTCGATCTTGAGGAGGAGGACGAGGAGGAGGAGAGTGGTGCGGAAGAGGTAAGCCTGGACTGCCAACGCAAACAACTTCCCATCTCCGGTTTCTGACATGCGCTATAGGCCCCTGAAGGTACTGCACCCCAAGACTGACATCGCGATCGCCCCCACGGCCATTGTTCTGTTTATCCTCGCCCGCAAAAAGCTCATCCCTATGACTACGTCTTGATGCTCTGATTCGGAAGCAAATACTTTTTCGCTTGCCTGCCCCACGCCATATTTCCTCCGCTAACAGGCCGTCGCAGATGATGATGACGATGACGACGAAGACATGGATGAAATCGATCCCGACAACATTGTCGGCAGCCGCACTCGGAACAAGGACATCAACTGGGCTGAGGCCAACGAGAAGCTCAAGGCAGAAGGCGAAGATGTCGATGATGAGGATGAGGACGAAGACGATGACTTTGAGGACCCAGACGATGAGGATGCGATGCGGGATTGAGGATGACCTTTCACCTTTGGTTCAGCCGGTCTCATTTGGTCAGACTATTCCGGGGGTGGGGTGTGGGAGGCCGTGGCCCAGCGGCAGGGCTAGGCACAGCCACAGGACGCTAGATTTGATGCGAGGCACAATCTTCGCAACTCACTGAGTAAAAGCAAGCCGCAGGGGCTGCAACCAAGGAGACTTCTGTATACCAAAAGTTCGAAACCAAAAACAGCCCCAATCGAAAAACCCCGAGCTGACGCCATGACCTGCACTTGGCACAGGCCGCGAGTATGCTTTCGCACTCGGCGAGATCTGGAAACGGGTCTAGCACTGTTCATGAACGCTGAGACGATGGAACAAGGCGGTTGGAAATCATAAGGCAGCCGTTGATAGTGTCCTTGAGCAATATCGATGTTTCCGCCTTATTCGCGTACTTCTTCGGCCATTGAACACTGATAGAGCCTTGCAGACGCTCTCCTTACAACCCAGGCGACTGCAACTTTCGCCTTCAACGAGGTCCCTGTGTATTGTCTTTTCATGAACAAGCCTTTCCCACAGGGAATGCAGCCCTCTTGCTTACGAACGTCTCCTGGTGCCCGTTGTCGCCCGTGCAGGCTCCCTCCGATTCTTCAAGCTCAGTACTTCCCTCGGAATCAAGCACCAGCTCAGTGTCCTGGCTAGCGTCAGCCGGTGCTCTTGTAGCCAGCAAGGGGTGATATAGCTCAACTTTGCGTTAGATGGAGCATTCTGGGAGCACATGTATGGAACTCTTGGGACTCTTGGGACACGGCAGAAGAGCAAATGACTCTTGTTGTCTAGTCAGAGGTCGCGAACTGTGTGGTAGGGAGATGTGTGGTGCCGTAGAGCATGGACGAGAGACTGTATACTTGAATGGCTGGTTCGGGGCCAGACTGATCCATCTCACGATCAAGAAGACTTGAAGTGCTTTTCAGAGTAGCTTCGACTTGAGGATAATAGGCAGCGTGTGAGGAGATATCTTGTTACAATACCAACTATAATATGCCTTGGATTTCAAACCCCTTGTTTGGTCTGGGCCAGCTTGCACAGATACTAACAATGTCACGATCAATCTGCTCTGTGCTATGTAGCACTGACAGTCAAGCTTCCCATAATGAGCGGGAAATCTGGCTGGTTCAGACCTCCTCCTCCTCCCAGCCTCGATTCCTGCGATCAATTAGAGAGCGGCCGGTTAAACGCTCAAAATAATCAATAGAGACTGTTGTGTGAATATAACAACAACCTTCGGGTTCTCAACTACTGAAATATCATCTCGGTAGTTCGAGTTTTTGCCTCTTACGGTCTTTTGTTTCGTTGTTGCTATGTGCGGTTGTGCTGGTTGGTTAGTATCAGACAGTAGTGTACTGAATCTGTGTACTACAAAGCTTTTTGTATTTTCTGGTTGGCACAGTCCAGTTTATCTAGTGCGGTGATGTGCACCAGCGTTGTGGGAGGTGAAACTTTACTAGACAATAGCGGAGCTGTGGCAATTGAGACCTACCGACCAAATGGACGCTATCCTTAGATACGTGGTTCAAGGCTTTCTATAGGACAGGCATAAATTCGAGCAAGGGGTTGCCACGGAAGATAAGCACATCCCTTTACTTAGGGTAGGTCACCAACGGATGCCGATAGAGATTTTCTCTGCCATAGCTTTGTGCTGACTCTCAATCACAGCACAGACCTGTGAAGCACGGCAGTACTTCAAGACTGATACATATATGTAGCCCCCTTTGATCCTAAGCGACATACCGCGAAAAGCTGCGCTGTGGGAAATAGATCGGGTCAGCTGTTCACCGTCCGGTAGACCGCCTTCCCCTTGCGCTTGCCCTTCGCATCTCTCTCCTGCTTAAGCCTCGCTTCGGATTTACAAGCCATACACGACCACCCTGCCCTCTTGTTGCCTAGCCTCACACATTTCAGGTGGAAGAAGACGCCACTGCTTGCACAGTCTCGTGCAGCACAGCGAATGGAATCGAGCTCAGGTTTTATATTGCCCTGGCAAATGCCACATCGATCTGGTGGCGTAAGCAGAAGCTTTGTGCGCAGCTGCTCCAGGGCTACGTTGGGATCTTCAGTAGCCACCACGGCTCTCGGAGTGGCTGGCTCGACGTCCGCATCAACGGTCACAGCGCCTTCGAGTTGGTCTGACGGAGATGCCGGGTTCAATGTCTCGACTTGCTTCCCCTTGGCTTTACTATCTTCTTGGGTCTGGGCTTCAGCGGGTGAAGATTCTTGGTCATCTCCCAATAACATGTTTTGTAAACCAGCAATGACATCAGTGTCGAGAAGCCTGTCTTCTTTGAGATTGCCGATAAGGTGAGCCCATGCAGCATGCAAAGACTCGTCAGCGTGTCTGAGCCAGTTTCTGTTCCTTCTGACAAAGCGGACCAAACTCTCTGACAGGAATTCAATATGGTCGAGTCTTTCCTCCAGCCTGTGCTTGTCCCATCGCCGGAAAAGCTCTTGCTTCTGGTCGCTGCGGCCATACGTCTCAGCATCCACGGCCAGGGTTTCAAGGTGCCTTTGGATGTACCATTGATCGTCACGCTCGTCGTCTGTCTCGGACATCGCATCTTCGGACAGATGAGTAGGGCGGTGGGTGATAGAATCGTACGTCAGGGTTCTGTTGTCCCCCGTATGTCTGATCAGTGAGACTGGTTTGTGCTTCTTTCGATCAGATACTCTAAATTCAGGCACATGCTTGGGTGGGAGACGTCCGTTGTGCTCGTTGCGCAGCTTAGCCAACGGATCCGGCACGAAGTCTGGAATGGCGGAGGCGAAGCTGGGAGGGGAATGCTGGCCAGAGAACGAGTCAAAGCGGACAGCTTGACTCCGGATGCGCGATTTGTAGCTTGATTTTGCTGGAGACTCTCCTGTCCAAGAGCTATCTCCACCAAGATAGGTCGCAAGATCGAATGGTGAGGTAGACGCCTCGAAGTAGAAATTATTTCGATCCTGATCGATTTCCAGTCGGCGCTTTGAGGGCGCGGTGGAGCTGACGCGGAACAAGGCATCACAGAGTAGGCCTGTGCTGTGGTTGTAGTCTTCTTCACAGAGGATGAAATTGAAGCGCGAATGGCTCGATAGAAAATGGAAGCGAAGTTCCAATAAATCGCCAGCTTCATACGTTGGGCAGGCTGGGCAGTAGAGTCCTTCGAACTGAGTCGTTTGATACTCATTTTGGGCAAGATGACTTTGTGAAGGGTCCGCTTCCCAGAGATAGCGGATCTTCGGTTGCTTCTTCGAGAGCTGTGAGGACGATTTTAGCTGCTTCCGCCTACGTGGTGGTGTTTTCGGAGAGGACTCGGCGCGGGGTCGCTTCTTGTTGCGTCCAAGGAATTGGTCATCGTCGTCAACAGCCCATGCAAGATCGGCGCGCAAAGGAGGTGGGCTCTGCGTAATCCTGGCGGCCCTCCAGTCTCCAGAGACTTCGAGCCCATATTTTGTACGAAGCATTGCGCCCGATTCGTCTAGATAGAAAAGGCTCAGGGGCGTATCTGCCTCAGGTTGCCGAGGAAGGTTGTTGTATTTCGCGACAAGCGAGCCGGAGAGAATGTTGTGCGCAAATCTGTTTGGACGATTCACATCGCCGTCAGTCTTCCCTAGCAACGGGACTGGCGGCCATTCTGCCTTGTCACTGGACGGCCAGATCTTGAACTCCAGGAAATAGTTCTCCGAAATTCCAAGCGTTCGTTCATCTTTTCGTTGCGTTGGAACTTTCAAGGCCCCTGCCCTTACTCGAAACGGCTTATCCATTTCGATGTCGACTACATGGCCGTAGCGCTCTGTATGTGACCAGACAGCCATGCACGACATATGAGTTTCGATCAGTGCCGCAGCAGCCTCTGCGATGCCGTCTCGGTTATCCCAGATGGTCAAAGTGCAGTGACACTTGGTCCTTTTCACGGATCGATCAGTTTTGATTCTCTTTCGAGGCCTTTCCTCCTCCGGCGGTCGATTTTTGCTGAAATTTATCTTTTTCCTTATGCTTAGAGGAGCCAGAGTCAGCTCTGACTCGTCATCATCGTAGATTCTTTGCGTAAGATGGCGTACGCTTCGCCGAGAGGGAGCTTCGAAATCCGGGTCCATTGTCTTGGCCAAAAGAGCGTCTTGTGAGATGGCATTAACCAGTGGGGTTGGATGATCACTTTCGTCTTCATAAGAGGGCTGTAGAGCATTGGCGGTAGAGGAATCGTCCACTTCAACGTCTGCGCTATCACGCACGGCGAAGTCGGTAATCCAGGTGGAGTGGCCTTTCGCAGTGGGTTGGCGCTTACAGGCGTCTGTGTGGTAAGCAAGAAAAGCTCGTAAATTTCGTCGTAGAAACGTAGGTTGCCGATATATATCTATCTCGCGACAAAAAGCGAAGTTTGCTGAGACAAAGGATGGTATATACGCGTTGGACTTTGGGTGATAGGGCAAGGTGTGCTGGGCCATTGTGCTAGGCCGTAGCAGGAGCAACAGCTGCCAGCGATCTGAGCCTCAATTTGTGCATTGCTGTCCGTATGGTACCAGTTGAGTAGCGAGACGCGTCCAATGACTTCCGAGATAGGTGGCGCACGAGCGACAGGTGCAAGAGTGGTGAATATCGAAGCCCGTCAGAGACTTGACTGTCACCACAGAGCAAAATAAAGATGCTTCGCAATGAGCGAAATACAGTGGGGCCGTTGCAGTCTGTAGATGCGCCGGCGCGTGCAACAAAGATTCGTCGAGCGAGCAAAGACGTGGGACTGAAGGAGTCGTGAATCGAGAGAAGGAGCGAACCAGGGTACGACGCGACTGGTCGAGTTTCTTGGCGCAACGAGCCTTGTCATTTGCCTTGCGGCCTTGGCGAGAGAGCTGTTTTGAACGTCATCTTTAAAAACCCCGCCCTATATAATCACGTCTACTGTCTCCAGTGGTAAACATCAATGACAACTACAATCAGGAACGCCGCTCAGACCGCAGATAGTGGCGGGTGTTTTCCGCAGCTTGTATCAGCAAGCAGCTAACAATCAAGTCTCAATTCTAATGGTAGAATGACCGACTCAGCGTGCGCTAGAGCACCGAGGGTCAACACCGTTGACGGGGAGCCTCCTCGAACTCACAGTGGATTGCACTCAGAAGCCTCCGCTGTGATCCCCAGGAGTGTGCCTGGCCATATTATCTAGCCCAGGTAAAGGCTTCATTCCGGTCAACGGAAGCACTGACAAGGGCTTTGCCATTGCTGATCCTCAGATAACAACATTGGCGATATATTCCTGAGCGTTATACTCCCATCCTCGTGATTGCATACCTGTCAGTGAACCCGTAGCAGTGTATCTGCACCGCTATGACTACTCGTGGCAGTAACAATTGCATCGTCGGATCGAAAACCCAGTCCAACGTGCTTCACGCAGGGTTTCCACCATTCAAGTGGGGGGACTCTTTGCACGCGCCCGAAACGGTCTTTAATGTTTACTGAAGACGTCCTCTGTCCTGCACAGAGCTCGCACAGATCGGGCGATCCACCGACGCTCGACAAAAGCAAGAGCATCGAAGCATTATAATCTGCCAAGAGGGCTGGATTCGCGGGTCCTATAAGGTTCGACAGCTGCTGCGAGCAGTTTTACGAAACTGAGCGAGTTTCAATGTGTAGCTTCCACACCCTCCATGTCGTGTGTGCCGTTCGTCTGCTGTTGAGTACTATCATCCCCCAACTCAACCTCGCCCATCAGTGCGGTTTCCATCCGCATACTTTGGCAACCGGGACAATTGTGCACAACTTCGTGGGCGAACAGGTCGCAATCTATACAGAAGTGTCGGTGGCAGGTTGGGCATTCATAGCGTCCGGCCGACGGCTCTGCCCGCTGGCTTTGCCCCTGTCTGGCATTCTGGGCAGCCTGTTGGCTTTCAGGGAAGGGCTTCTGACAACCAAAGCATGCGCTACTGCGCCAAGCTTCTGACCAGGGGACTTCCAGCCAGTTGTGTAGTGGGAATAGATGATGATAGGATCGCGCCAGATGGGTCGACAAGATCAAAGTCAACCCACAGACTGGACATTCGGATGGCAGGGAGCACACTTTGGTTGAGCATCTCGAGCAAAGATAGCCTGAGTATGAGGGCTTTGTGTGACAAGCACACAAGGTAGGCTTCGTGGATACTGTTCTCGAAGGGAATCCCATCATCAGCAATGATGAGCCAGAGCTACCAGCAGGCGCTTTGACAGATGCCGGCGTAGTGTATGTGACAGGCGGCGTAGTGTAATTGAGCAGGAGCTCTCGGTAATGCTGCTCGTGCATGACCACATGATAATTCGCCGTTGATTTGTTGTTTGTCTTGGCTACCAATTCGGCACATATCGCAACCTGTGCTGCTAGTCCAATGACTGATGCTCGGATATGAGCAAGAGCTAGGTTGGCAATAGTGACGTGCACGTCGCCGGGATCTGATGTGTGTAATGCACCAAACACAAGGAGTATCTCCCTTGTACCATGCTGCGGTGCGTGGAACAGAGCAGCACGTGCCATTTCCAGGGCATTTTCCAGTGAAGGATTGCCTTTGGGCTCGTGGGAGGATCGCATCTTCGCCACTGCCGATAGGTGCTCTGTGGGATTTCCAGACATATCTGAAATGCGGATTGCGATGCCATCGTGCATGCCAACTATGCCAAGCTGAGAGATAGGATTTTGCTCGAAGAACTCGTTGATAAATTGTGCGAGATACGTGATCGTCAAGAGGTAACGGGTCGGTCGAAGGTCTTTCTCAGCCATGGCAATTGACATGTCGATGATGAGGATAACATGGCGAATAATACCTCGCTGCAATGGTGTTGTGTCTTTGATTAGACGCCTTCTCTTGTCCGATTCCAGCAGATCGAAGACTGCTCCTGTGAGTGTACCGTCCTCTCCTTCCTGCAAAAGATCCCAGGTCCGCGTTACCTCAAAATCCCGAGCATTTTCTGAAGCTCCTCCTCGATTCCTTCGGCGAGAGGACGATCGAATGGCATCTTCATCGTCATCGGACGCGTCGCCAGCGCGCGAGACGGTGGTCGGTGGCATACTAGAAGAACGGATGATCAGACCCGCGGGGGTGGGCGTTGGCTGCTTTGGCGTAACCCGGTTATTATATCCGGGGACCGCGAAATTTAGGCGCGGCGCGGCCAGCGGCGAAGCTCCAAACGCGCCGCGTAAAGTCTCCCAGCTCCTTCAGAAACCATTCGGATTGCTCAGGCAGTAGGCGGGTGTACCTTGTGTTGGGCACGACTCGAGCGAAAGTGAGGCTGTTCTGAGGCTTTGAATGACGAAGCAGTGAGCGCCCAATGAACGTCTTCGTCCGGGCGTTGAAGGCGAATACAAAATGGACTGGCCGGGCAGTCGTGTCTGAGGTCCTCTCCTCTTCTCCAACGCGACCGTTTCAATGCGCCCGCACCCGCCCCGCCGCTGCCCCTCCGAGCCACACCCAAACAGCACCCTTCACCATACACTCTCAAGTACGCTTCTGCTCAGCTGAAGCTTGGTCCAGCAGAATGGCACCTTCTGACAGAGATGTCCTCCCTGATACGTGAGCTTGCCGTGGGCGGTCAAGTTGTGGCATAGACATTGACGTTCGGTGCAGCATCAAACCCACCAACTACAATCTCTCCCTCACCAACCTCGAATTCGGTGGCAACTGGGGCTACGATGGCCTGGTCAAGATTGATTCCAAGGTCAACTCCTCGACTGACGAGGTGGTTGTCAACGTCAAGGAGATCGAGATCACTGGTGCTGAAGTATTCGGCAAGGACGGAGGCTGTGAGTGTATCGTAGCCAGAACAGAAAAGCAGCTGACACACATACAGCTGCAGTTGCATCCCTGAAAGACTTGAACTACGACAAGACGAATGAACGGGTCACTATCAAGTTGTCGAAGTCCCTTCCAGCTGGAGATGCTGTCATCGCACTTAAGTACAAGGGCACCATGAATAATTCCATGAAAGGCTTCTACCGCGCCAAATACAAACCGGTTGTCACGCCTGCCGCCGGAACTCCCTCTGACGGGGAGCACCACTATATGTTCAGCACACAATTTGAGGCATGCGATGCAAGGACAGCCTTTCCTTGCTTTGATGAGCCCAACCTAAAGGCTTCCTTTGAGTTCGCAGTAGAGATTCCGGAGGATCTCGTTGCTTTAAGTAACATGCCGGAGAAGTCAACATCAAAAGGCAGCAAGGATGGCCTCAAGGTAGTGTCGTTCGAGAAGACGCCTCCTATGAGTACCTACCTTGCCTCTTGGGCTATTGGTGACTTCAAGTACGTCGAGGCCCACACGGAACGCAAGTACAATGGGAAGAGCATTCCAGTCAGAGTCTACGCTACCCGCGGCCTTGAGGACCAGGGGCGTTTTGCTCTTGACCATGCTCACAAGATCCTGGATTACTTCTCTGACATCTTCGGCATCGAGTATCCTCTACCCAAGTCAGATCTCCTCGCGGTCCACGAATTCGCTATGGGTGCAATGGAGAACTGGGGTCTGGTCACATACCGTACTACCGCGGTGCTTTTCGACGACGAGAAGTCAGATGCGAGGTTCAAGAACCGCGTCGCTTACGTCGTCGCTCACGAGTTGGCTCATCAATGGTTCGGTAACCTGGTGACTATGGATTGGTGGAATGAGCTGTGGCTGAATGAAGGCTTTGCTACCTGGGTTGGATGGCTCGCCACAGACCATCTCCACCCCGAATGGAATGTTTGGGCTCAGTTTGTGGTGCGTAGAATGCCTCGAGGTATTGTCCCCGTTCCCAATTAACGTGATCACAGACTGAGGGCTATCAATCAGCTCTTCAGCTCGACTCGCTCCGCGCATCACACCCGATCGAAGTGCCCGTCCGGAACGCGCTGGAAGTCGATCAAATCTTTGATCACATCTCTTATCTGAAAGGCAGTTCAACCATTCGAATGCTCAGCAACCATCTCGGACAAGATATTTTTTTGAAAGGCGTTGGTGATTACCTCAAACTTCATGCCTATGGCAATGCTAGAACCGACGATTTGTGGGATGCCTTGAGCAAAGCTTCTGGACAGGATGTGAAGACATTCATGGATCCGTGGATCAAGAAGATTGGTTTCCCCGTGGTCACAATTGCCGAAGAGCCGGGTCAGATCAGCATCAAACAGAATCGATTCCTGACTACCGGTGATGTCAAGACTGAAGAAGATGAGACGAACTGGTGGATACCGGTCGGTCTGAAGACTGGTACCCCGGAAAAAGTGGTACACAGCGCACTCACATCTAGAGAAGACACCATTCGTGAGGTTGACGATGAATTCTACAAGATCAATGCCGACCAGACCGGCTTCTATCGGACAAACTATCCACCTCAGCGCTTGCTGAAGCTAGGCCAGTCAAAGGACCGTCTTACTGACGAAGACAAAATTGGTCTCATGGGCGATGCAGGTGCCCTCGCGGTCGCTGGAAATGGCACTACGCCAGCGCTATTGGCGCTTCTCGAAGGATTCCAAGACGAGAAGAGCTTCCTGGTCTGGCAACAGATCGCCAGCTCCCTCGGCAAAGTCAAACAGGTTTTTGCGGGCAACAAGGAGGTGTCGGATGGGTTGAAGAAGTTCTCCCTGAAGCTTGTTTCGCCCGCCACCGAAGCCATCGGCTGGGAGTATCCCAAGGATGAAGAGTGGCTTACAGGACAGCTACGAAAGCTTCTACTCAGTCTCGCCGCCAATGCTGGTCATGAAGCAACTGTTTCAGAAGGGAGGAAGAGGTTCGAGGCCTGGAAAGGCGGCGACCAGAAGGCTATTCATGCCAATCTGCGGAGTGTTGTATTCAACATGGCAGTAGCGAATGGAGCAAAGACTGAGTGGAACACGGTCAAGGACGAGTACCTGAAGACTCAGTCGGTCGATGGTAAGGAGATCTGCCTTGTTGCGCTTGCCAAGTCCAAGGACAAGAACGCCGCCAAAGACTTACTCGAATTCGCCACCTCTGCTTCTGTGCCACCACAAGATGCTCACTCGGCGGTCTCTGCGGTTGCTTCCAACAATGAATGCCGCATTGCTGCCTGGGAATTTACCAGGGACCAATGGGAGCGTGTCAAGGAGCGACTGGGCGTTTCGAACATTGTGTTGGACCGTTGGATCAAGATGGGCCTCACTGGTCACTCCGACTTGGACGTTGAGAAGGACATTGCCGCATTTTTTAAGGATAAGGATACGACAGCATTTGCGAGAAGTCTGGTCATCATCTCAGACTCGACTAAGGCCAACGCAAACTACAAGGCGAGAGATGAAAAGATCCTACTGGAATGGCTACAGGCAAACGGATACGCCTGAATGCGCGCAGGGTCCCGCGTATCGGGCAACAAGGCCAGTGTCTTGGTCCAAAAAGAGGCTAGAGTTACCCGTATGGTAGATAGAATCGTTGCTCGACCTTCAGCAAACATGACACCACGAGAGAGTCATCTAGACTTGTCACATGCCATTTGGCATGCCATAGGAGAACACAGCAGCGAGGCACGAGGCTGTGAGGCTGTGTCAGATGCTCAAACAGGGAAAGCGCGGGTCACATGTGCCAAGGCTTGGTGATCAAGGCCAGCAAGTTCATGGGGCAACCTCATCGCCGTTGCCGCCTGCGTTGCTTTGAAGTCTTCATCTATTGCGCCTGGATACATTCTTGTTCACTGAATCCGACCTGCCGATCCTTTCCGTCGTCCGCTACTCCACCAATATTTGCGTTCAGTCGCCCCTTCTTCAGACTTCCGTCATCCTCAGACAGAGCCCGCCACAATGAATCCAGAGTGGTACGTACGCGCCCTCTCCTCTCTCTCTTGCTCCGATCGTCACACTTCGGTCCGGAAGACTCGCGGAAGACAAATGCTGATAGTTCTATACAGAGTGTCCTCCGAACATGCATACCGCGGAACACCGTTGGCTTCCCAACGACTTCCTTCGTAGCCGACCAATCTGACCACCGGAACGCAGATACGATTACCTCTTCAAGCTCTTGCTCATCGGTGACTCGGGTGTCGGCAAGTCTTGCTTGCTTCTCCGGTTTGCCGACGACACCTACACCGAGTCCTACATTTCTACAATTGGCGTCGATTTCGTACGTGGAAATCCGATCTCAGACTATGGTCTAGAGAGCCCGCCTGGCAATGCAACAACATACTGATACACAAATGCAGAAAATCAGGACAATCGAACTAGACGGCAAGACCGTCAAGCTCCAGATCGTACGTGATTCTTTGAAGGCCGAGGGGCATTGCTGACAAGAGACAGTGGGATACCGCCGGCCAGGAGAGATTCCGAACCATCACTTCCTCTTACTACCGTGGCGCCCACGGCATCTGCGTTGTGTACGATGTCACTGACATGGATTCCTTCAACAACGTCAAGCAGTGGCTTCAGGAGATTGACCGATATGCCACCGAGGGTGTCAATAAGCTGCTCGTTGGAAACAAGAGCGATATGACCGATAAGCGTGCCGTCGAGTACACAGTTGCCAAGGTACAAAGAATCATGGTTATTCGAATAATGGTACTGACTCGCCATAGGAATTTGCCGACAGCATTGGCATTCCATTTTTGGAGACCTCGGCGAAGAATGCCTCCAACGTTGAGCAGGCTTTCTTGACCATGGCCCGACAGATCAAGGAGCGCATGGGTACAACGACCGTCAACAACAAGCCTACTGTCCAAGTTGGACAAGGTCAGGGTGTACAGTCTGGAACCGCCGGTGGCTGCTGCTAGACATTCGCAACATAACTTTCTGGCCCCTGTTGTATTCTGAGCGAAGTGGGTACGAGTGGTTTGATGCGCATGTGAAGGCTTCCATGGACCAACGACATCAGCAGCTCGTGCCTTCGAGCGTCGCCGGCGTTTGAGGCGTATCATGGATCGATACATTAGACTTGTGCTCATAGCCATCAGTTCCCAGCCACCGGTTTTTGGAGAGTTGGTGCTGCCCCAAGCAGAGTAATGATGGGATGTTGAACAATCTTGCTTTCTCTAGTTCTACTGTGGATTCACTAACTTGCCCTCACGAGCACATACTAATCCTGTGAAAGGCTTTTTCTCCCCACAGACCTACCAGCTGCTATCATCCTAGCAATGACTGGCAGGTCAGCCGACCCTGGCACCGGCTACCTTCATTCATTGCGAAACCACAGCAGTTACAAACAGATCACGTGGCTGATATCGCTGTCGCCTACTTTGAAGCATGTGTGCGACGTGTTCACTTCTATCCCTCCTACCACTCTTTCGCTACAGATATCGCGGTCGCCCTAGACTACAGACTATTGACTCACCAGTTCTTCGTCAAAGGTTCAACAATGGCTTTCATTCGACTATGGCGCTTCTTCGCTTGGCAGATCCTCCTCACTTCAGTTCTTCCCTCCATGAATCCCCCGTGTGAGACAGTGATGCTTCAAAACGAAGATTGCCAGTACGCATGTCACCCGGCACCGACTTTCGGTCCAGCCCGTCTCGCACACTTCCAGCACAAACGCCAGATTGACTCCGCCACCAAAGCCGAAGTCAGACTCGGGCCGACCTTACAGTAGGTCATCTATAACCTGCCTGGCTTAGCTGCGTCTGAGACGCGGATGACACGGCTAACTAAAGTGTCTACAGGTCTCCGTCGTATGTCAACACCACCGAAGTCTACACAACTGCTTCTGCCACCGGTGCGGCTGCCAACAACACTCAACCCACGACTTTGAATTCTACAATTCCAGTTTCGTTGCACGGGACTGATCACAAGTCTACAACCTCCGACCTCGGATCCCAAGCTCTCTACCCATCCTTCAGTGAGCCTTTCTCATCAGACACAGCCTCTTACGACGGAAAAGGCAACGGCGCCTCTTCTGCTTCCTTGCACGACGAAGACGACTTCGGAGTAACCGCCAGCTGTGCTGTCCCAAATTCAAGCTCGCTGTACCACTCCCAGGACTCCGAGCCAGATAAGGACCAGCTTACGACTATGATAATGGCAACCACCGAGCTGATGACCGTGACCATGACGAAAGATACTACGAGCCTCAGCGTGAGCGTCATCACCAGCATAAAAGTCAGCACGATGCACCATTCCATGTCCTACACCAGCACCGTCACCACGACAGACTCGAGTGCCGTGGGTCATGTAACCTCAGCATCCGCACATGCAACCAGCAGCGGCCCCAGCTCAAAGCCGTCAGCAGTAGCGGCGGCTTCCACCACTGCATCGCCTCTACATGCAGCTGCGACCAACAACGAAGTGCCAGTAGCCGCGATCGCCGTCCCCGTGGCGCTCGTGGCCGCCGTGTTGCTTCTAGCACTGCCCTGCTGCGTGCGGCGATTCTCGCCGAAGTTGTGGGCGAGCTGGAATTCGCGCTGTCCTCTAGAAGACCTGGTCGCGGGGCTGGCCGCGGTGTGGCAGCGGTGGAAGCTGGTGAGGGCGAGGAATCGGGAGTTGAGAAGCAAGGGGTTCAGCGGCCCTGGCACCGGCGGTGGGGAGGCGCTGACGGGAGATGGGAGGATGGAGGAGTGGTGGAGAGGCGGAGCGAAGAGTGGAGAAGTGGTGCGGGATGGCGGGAACGGGTGGTTGGGCGCGTGGCGGCGGCGGAAGGAAGGGGAGTTGGAGGCGGCGAGGGAGAGGAAGATGATGGAGGAGCGTTGGGGTTTGGTGACCGCGGCGGCGGAAGGGGGTGTTGGCGAGGGATACGCGGCGAGGGTGGAGCGGGTGAGGGGGGCGGAGTTGAGGAGAGTCAAGGAGGGGGATGGGCTGTGAGTGAAGGCGGGGCGTGTGGGGTCGAGGAAGGCAGGCAGAAAGGATAGAGAGATATTCTCTCTCTACATAGTGAATAGAGAATGAGCTGATCGCAATGAAGTCGTTGCCTTCACCGGTTTGTGTTTCTGCTCTGGATTCACTCATTCCATGCCAAGACCAGGCAGTCACTGTCAGCTACGGCCTGCTCTTCTTCCCTTTGCTAACTCTACAACAAGCTCTGGGTGATTCGGCGCTCATATGCTCATGGACAATCCTCAACGAGGTACAGGGCCATTACACGATACTAAAACATCCTAGGTCGCTGGTAGTTTGGAGCCGGCCACGGAGATCAACAACCTCGGCACTCCTCGGGCGCCTTGCGTCCTCCCCACCCCCGACTTCCGGACCCCATTCGCCGCCCATACGAAAGCACGTCAGGTACATAGCGTTTTAGATGCCGCATAGCTCGCAGCGTCTTGATGTACACACTACCGCCGATTCTGCTGAGCTCACTTCATCCATCTCACCCTCATCGCTGATCTCACCGTCTACGACCAGCCGGCATGTCATCGGCGGAGGATTTGAAGAAGGTGAAACCGTCTGCCCGGCACGATCTGGACGATGCCTCACTGGGCAAATGGCTACTACAGGATGGTAAGATTGCCGGATTGAAGTTGCCGGTAGTGTCGACGAAGATCGGCTACGGGCAGAGTAACCCGACTTATTTCGTGGATGATGCCAGGTAAGTTAGGTTCTAACCCTTTGCTCCAGCAGGTCTTGGGGGTCATGCTGACGAGGCTCTCCTGAATTCCACAGTGGAACACGCTTCATTCTGCGCAAGAAGCCGTCCGGCACCATCATCTCCCCGGTCGCGCACCAGGTGGATCGTGAGTTCCGAGTCTTGCAAGCACTTGGCACCGTGCCCAACTTCCCCGTGCCCCGCGTCTACTCGCTGTGCATGGACACGTCTGTCATTGGCACGGCTTTCTATGTCATGGAGTTTGTTAAGGGGCGCATTATCACGGACCCATTCCTAGGCGAGCTGTCGCCGGAAGAGAGAAAAAAGGCGTGGTTTTCGTTTATTGAGACGCTGGGGTGGTTGCACAGTATTGAGCCGGACGCAATAGGGTTGCAAGGGTATGGAAAGAAGACAGAGTTCTATAGGAGGCATTGCCGCACATATGCGCGTATTGAGGAGCAGCAGGCCAAGGTCAAGGATGTGAAGACGGGGAAAGAGCTGGGAAGGGCTCATGAGAAGTTTGATGAGATTGTGGACTTTGTGAGGAGCCATGCGCCGGGGGAGAGATATGCGATCGTTCATGGGGACTTCAAATTCGATAACCTGGTGAGTGATCCTGTAGCCGGGCTGTAAGGAAGGGAGAGCTGATGCCTTGAACAGGTTCTACATCCAACGGAGCCGAGAGTGATCGCGATTTTGGACTGGGAGCTGTCGACTATTGGGCATCCGCTTATGGATTTGGTCTATGCCGTAGGACCATTCTGGAACACGCAAACATCCACCGGACATCCAGGGGCGGAGAGTGATGAGTCGCCCTTCAGCCCACAGAACAGATCAAAAAGTGGAATGCCTGACCCGGAAGAGCTGTTGAATCGCTATTGTGAAATCGTCGGATTCGACCCAAGGAAGGACGGCGGAGGAAGGGACTGGGAGGTAGCTAAGGTCTTTCATTATGTGAGAGGGGGAACGATTGCGCACGGAATCCAGGCCAGGACAATCAGTGGACAGGCGAGTTCTGATTTTAGCCATGTGTACTTTGAGAACACGAGGAGGAGTCTGAACGCGGCGCTGAAGAAGGTTGAGGAGTTGAAGGATAACGAACGGCGGAAGGCCAAGCTATAACAGTAGCCGAACGAGAGTCCTTTTCAGACAAATGAGGTCGCATTTCCTCAAGTAGAGTCGATCCCTGTAAGAAAACTGAAACAGGACGAGACAGCAGATGTGCTCGATAACAGCGGGAGGTCACCTCGGATGAAGCAAGGCAAAAGCGACGGCGTGGAGTTGGGGCAAGGGAGTCGGAAGCTTCGATGTCCGCCAAGGATTTTCGGGCGGTCAAGGCAACCACGACTGTGGTGCTCTTCATCTTTCGCTCACCTTTCGCTATCGTTATTCCATCATTTGCGCTTCTGTTTCATATATCCATATCGTAGTCATCAACAGACTCCAGCCATTGAGTCTCCGATCCTCAGCGTCGCGACTGTGGAGGGGCCAAGGAGTATGTTTGGTGACACCTGTTAAGTGGCTTCTTCCTCAGCAACCGCCAAGGCGTAAGCGCCTTTCATCGCCCGCCCGTCATGGGTGCCTCATTAACCAAGATGTTCTCGGGGCTCATATGGGGCAAGAAGGACATCCGAATTTTGATCTTGGGACTTGTAAGATCTGCTTTGGTGTGCTTCCAATGAGATCTGACCAGCATGGGTAGGACAATGCTGGCAAGACCACGCTACTCTACAGATTAAAGGTTGGTCCTTGACCAGGGTTGCACGTCTCCTTAGCTCATCTAATGATGCGGCTTTAGATCGGTGAAGTGGTCACTACGATACCCACCATTGGCTTCAACGTCGAGTCGGTCCAGTACGGGAACCTGAATTTCGATGTCTGGGATCTTGGTGGCCAGACCTCCATCAGACCGTACTGGCGGTCATACTACGCCAACACGGCGGCTGTCATCTTCGTCGTCGATTCTACCGACATCGAGCGTCTAGAGATTGCTGCAGACGAGCTGCGCAATATGTTAAATGAAGAGGAGCTGAAAGATGCAGCTCTGCTGGTGTTTGCCAACAAACAGGATCAGGTGCGTTTGAAGTTCGCTCTCCGATCGCAAACACGCATGTCATGCTGACAAGTTGTTCCCCAGCCTGGTGCACAAGGTGCCGGTGAAATATCAGAAGCATTGAGGCTCGGCGAGCTGCGTGATCGCAACTGGAGTATAGTCGCGTGCTCAGTCATTGACGGCAAGGGCATCAGCGAGGGCATGGATTGGTTGGTGTAAGTTGCCATGATGCTTTCACCGTAGCTGGTCATCGCTAACAAGTCACAGGCAAACGGTGCAGTCGGACTCGTGAGCCTCCAGATACCCATAGTTGCATCATTGGACCCTTTCTGCCCATGTCACCCAGGAAACTGTATCGTGGTGATCATCGTGTCGTGCTTGCTGCAAACTGCTTTGCTGAGAAGTGAAAGGAACACAGCAGAAGGATTCACCGATGCAGAGATGCAGAGATGACAGCCTCCGTGCATCACTGCCAGACTCGACAAACCCAAGTCAAGCCTCGATGGCATATCTCGCTTAACCCCCACCGGTCAAAAGCACGCCTCGCGGGTCCCTTTGCCCTGCATGGCCACACGACTCGTGTAGTAACACTCAACCTTTGCACTTTTTGACGTCTGTTTTCGTTACGGTGCATATCGCATGTACAAACCGAGGCCAATCCCTGCCATCGCTGAGTTGACCGTGGTCGACCTCGAGCGATGGCAGGCGCCACCAAAATCGACGATGCCCCCCTCTCGTGTTACTTGGTGGATCCTTGTGCTTGTTATTGCATCTTCTAGATAGCGGAGATGTGATGGTGCTGCCTGAGGACCATGCCAAGCCTCCGGACAAACACTCCTTGTTGTGGGCGGAAGCCCGAGGCCACTTGCAGACAAGATGTCTCTGCAAGTCGAGCGACAGCTTTCAAGTGGCTTTGGCGGGCTCAAAAACGCCGTCGCAGCCGCTGAGTGGACTTCCCAATAGATTCACAAGGATCAGCAAACAGCACACCCATCCTGCACAAGTCTGACGCAACAAACAACGTGGCTGGCCCGTCCCCCGGTCGAGGGGGCTTCGCAGGTTGCACAGCATGAGCTCATTCTCGGATTCTCCTGCAGCTACTGATGTCCTTCGTATTCTGAGGCAGACATCTCAACTGGCACAGCGACAGATCAGGGAATGCAAATTGAGAGGTAAGCTCGACTCGCTGCAGCGGTCATGCCCAGAGTTATGCCAATACTTGAATCATGGCTTAGGCGAATGGCTATGCTTCAGTAAACACTCCTCACATCTCCCCCACGTCGCGCCTAGCCCGACAAGCTCGCCGTACCACCACCGGCCCCTGACTGATCGGCGATTTGATGCAAGAGCGGGTACGACTTGCATGGGCAGGGCCAAAAAAAGGGCAGGAACCGTTGCCACATATACAGCCAGCATACCTTGTCTGGATGCTGCCCTCGGCTGCCTCGTTAAGGGTTGCTCTTCGGAACACAGACCTCGAGACATGGGAGAGCCAGTACTGCTGGTGCTCTCCTGTGGGCATCTGAATCACCGCCATTTTGTTTCTGCTGCAGAACCAGCATCCGGCACTTGCCGGTGTGCGTATCCTTGTTCCAAGCAGCATACGAGCCAGCCTGATTGAAGCCAAGCCATACCGAGCACAGTTAATCTACAGCTTCATACAGAGTGCGGCACGTTCTTCAGAAATTGAATCGGGTAGAGCAACGATGAAGCTAGAGCGGTCCGATGCCAACGTTTGATTTAAGTATAACCGGGGTCTTGTCCATCGGCGCTTTCTGCAGCTCGCGAGAGGCTGCCGGGGCTCGGTTGTTTAGGTACTTGTTAGACCAAAAAACCCTTAGCATTGAGGGCACGACTCATGCGTGCGTCATGTTTAGGCACTGGGTGGGTATGATAGTGGGGCAAGGGAAACCCGCGTGCCGGTGAAGATCTTCTTAGGGCCTTCCACAGCACGCTGTTTGAGCGCCTGTCTCGTACTCAGAAGGAAAAGGCATCTTTGGTCCAGTTCCGTCGGGCTGCGGACATGACCTTGAGGCTGCTGATTGATCTACTCGCCCCATGGTCCTACCGTATGCACCAGGGCTCAGACGAGAAAGGGGCCCTTGGTTCAGTCGCTTTCGATGGGTCACGTCACACGAGCGGTGGCAGTGGAAGTACCTGGCATTGAGGAGCACGCCGTTAGCGGTTGGGCCTAGGATGTCCTGCAACGCCTCTGCACCATCCGCCGACGGCTCCAGTTATGGCGCAACCCAAGGAAAGAAACCCCCGAAAGTTTGAAGTGCCAGAGTCTGTGGACGCTGGCGAACGACCGGATAGGCTTGGGACTGCGCCCATGGCATCGAAGAGCCGTGAGCCGGGGTCTGCTCGCCCCAACAATCGTCGACTTTTCCGCACGCCTAGCAGCCGGGCGGCCGGTAGGCTGGTAGCTAGCCAAATGATTCTGTCTTTCTGTGTGCGAGCGGCCCAGCCTTGACGTAATCGGCTCTTGATCGACGACACTCAAGCCGGCACCGACGCCACCGCTCTGGTGCCGCGGTAGCAGTTTCATTTTTTAGCAGAAGCCTACTTGACGCCACCGAGGCCTTCTACGATTTGCTGCTTAAGAATTCGGAGCAAAGCCTGTGAAGAAAACCCAACAAGCCTGTCGGACACATCGCCGATTGCACACTCAGAGTAAGCATCACGCACGGGCGCGCACGTCTAGTACCGGGTAGGCGCGCGCGGTTGTTCGTGTTGGAAGCGAGCCACTGAGCTGCGCTATTACTTCGTTACGAACTTGGTTTCCCACTCTTCCTGTCTCCAGCCCAGAACAGCCTCAGCCATTCTCGTCTGTGAAGCGACTAAACATGGATTAGCTGCAGTGTTATCCAGCTTCCCCGCCAGCTATCGAGCCTCTTCAAGGCAATCAGTGTCTTAGCCGGGCTTCACACACGTCCACAGACCTTGTGGCTTCGTCCCACCTTGACCTGGGATCTTGATATTTCCTGGTCCACCAGCTCGCCGGCCCTGGGCTTTTCGGATCTTCAAAAAGCCCGCGCTGCTCCTCATGCTGCCTCAGTCTCTACAGCGTCTTTTAGGACAGCTCGGACCATAAGGGCTTTTAGGCCTCAATTGCCGATTTGTATTCCTCAACATGGAAACAGTGTTTATTACTATTCACGGTCAGCGCCGCCCCTCACCCCAACATTCGTATTCGTACTGAACCATTGCAGACCTGTCACTAGATGCTCGCATCAAATTCTGTTCCGACAGCGTCGAGTACATCTTGGGCTATACGCCCCAAGAAGTGCGTGGCAAATCATGCTGGGAATACTTCCATCCCCAGGAGATTCCCTTTGCCAAGGAAGTCCATGACCGGGGCATCGCACATGACAAGGCAGCATCTCTGAATTATTGTCGCATCAAACACAAGGATGGATCATGGGTGGGCTGCGAATGCGTCTTCACCGTTGTCCACGATGTCCTCATCGGATGTACTTCAGTCTACCAAAGCGGGCCCAAGGCTCAACGTGCGCACGCCCTGTCGAGTTGTTTGACCACGCTGACCATCAACTAGGGCGAAAGGCAGACTCACACAATGTTCGCCGGATCTTCTCTTCCTCGCCACGAGACCCACGTTACCACATGTTGTCATATCTCTCCAGCAAGTTCACGCAGATGCCCGAGCCGCACGAGAGGGAGCCTCGAGCCGCTCTGTTTCTCAATCGATTCACACGCACATGTCCCGTCATGTACGCCACATCCGGCGTCCGTGATGTCCTTGGGCTCGAACCGGACCAGATCAACGGCAAGAGCTTCTACTACTGCATCGAGGAGGTTTGCCTCCAGGAGTCAGTCAAGTGCCTGGAGAGCGCCAAAGCCAACGATTCGATCGCATACCTGCGTTTCCGCTACCGCAATCCAATGCAGAATCCCTCTCGAACACACTCCGTGGCCGTATCTGACATGTCAGAAAGTGATGAGGACGAGGATGGCGGAGTGGCAATTCCGGGATCGCGCTCGAGCGTGAGTATGCGAGATTCGGTCACTCCTCAGCCAAATGGTGGTGCCACTCTTGTCGATGGGGTCCACTCCTCAGACTCGGTGCCACGCCTGACCGGCAACGGCTCCGGACCTGGTCCCGCGCCGGAGTCTGATGGCGTTAATGGACACAGAAGATTACCGGAGGAAGTCGCTGGACGTTCCTCGTCTGATCAAAGCATGGGTCAAGATGCTCAGGCTGCTCGGGCTGCTCACGAAGCCATCTTTGACCCGCCCGAATTAACATCCTCAAATTCTACATCCACCAACACCACTCCTGATGACAATCAAGGAGTCGAACTCGAAGCCGTCATCTCTTGCACATCGGACGGTCTGGTTGTGATCCTCAGGAAAGCCCATCCACTGGTGCCCGAACTGCTCGGTGACACAGTTTCTTCTCAGTACGAGAACGGCATGTATGCGTCGCCATGGGCTCCAGAGCCTGTTATGCCACATCATATGGACCAGACAGCGCCGATGCCTACTGTATCCTTCCCAGCAATGCAGACCCCTGCGGAGGCCGGCTTTATGGCTGCCATCCGCGATGTGGCGGTCTTTGCTTGGTCACTGACGGGCATCAACGGCTCGTTAGCCGACTACGGTAAGGGCAAGCCCACTGATGACGCAACTCCGCCTGGTGGTCTACCTGTGTGGGATCCGAATGCGACTCAAGATCTTTATGAAGAGTATAATGGCTTCTCGGGGAGTAGACATCGACCATACCCTGGCATGGGCTATCCAACTGGAGAGAGACACCCCGGACAGCCCGGCGGCTTAGCAGAATCATCTACCAGCAGCGACGACGAGGTTGTATGGAAGGTACGTGAACATGTCTACCCACTGCTCAATCTTAAGCAATTGCTAACTTTTCTGTCAGCGAGCACCCACCATGGCACCTTGGCGCCGGCCCAAGCGCCGGGCTCACGAAGATGCGTTTGGCGAGGATCCGGCAAGTGACGCCGATGGAGAGAGCTCTGAGGGACGAAAGAAGAAGACCAAGTCCGGGGCCTACGGAACCCAGTAATTGAGCAGGGATCCTATTGCCCGGGGATTAGTTCTATACTGTTTGGCACAGGGAGAGACCCCAGCTCTTCTCATGAGTGACGACAAAATTTTGTGTAGCATCAGAACTGAGTAGCTTGTCTACTCTGTATCATCAGATGTCTTGTCTCTTACTTCTGATGCACCGTACGGTGCTTAACGCTTCACTGCCTGATGTCACGTGTTTTCCTGACGCGCTTTCCTTCCCCGCAAAAGAAAGGCGCGTCGGCCGTCGCGACTTCCTGCGCTTCACTTCCCCCTCATTTGCTCTTCATGCTTCTCTCTTCTCTCGTAACATTTCTGGGTCGTTCTTAGAAGACAGCTTCACTTTCTGGCTCTGGATCGCCTCGCCTCGCCTAGCCTCGCTAGGCTGTGCCACGCACGTTATGCCACTCAATGGTGAAAACCGACGCATCTATGCTCAACCGGCCTCACCTCATGACAAAACCCCCACGTATTCCCAGGATGCGTCCACGAACCATCACCGACCACTCGCAGCTATGAAAGAGCAGCCACCGCTGGCTAGCATGGCTCCGTCTAAAAGTCAAACGCCTGCGAGGTCAATCTACGGCTTCTATGACGAACGTCCAGATCGGCAAACCGGGTACAACACTGCATTGACGCAGCGTGGCTTGATTCGCGTAGGGTCTGAGCCTCGCAAGGCAACCACTACTGCTGTGTCACACAACACAGGAGCTTCATCTAGTACTCATCAGAACCGCTCAAACCTAGCGGCGATGGACATGAAGCTCCCCGTACCGGACACAACGCGCGCTCAGCAGGCGCCGCCAATGAAGCACCAGACATCACAGAGCTCCGATAGTAGTATACAAGACCGACACCTGCGAACGCCGGGAAAATCCGGCAGTCTGCAACAGCGGGGAAACCCTTTCGGGCACAATGTATTCACTCTTCACCAAGTTTGACATTTCACGCTGACGTGTAGGCAGGCTAGACACGACTCTCGCGAAGACATCGGCGATGACACCTCTGCAACTTTCGACCCGCGGTACTGGGAAGATTATGGCGAAGATGAACAGGGCCCTCTCCAAGATCCTACGACCATTTGGCGGGGCCAATCCGGTGGTAACGATGGTGTGTATTTGCACCGGGCTAGTTGCTCGCAGCGAAATCAATCGAAGTTAACGGTGATGATAGTCATGCATGAGATAGGTCGCACACTTCGACCGGGTGAACTTGCCGATGCGAGGCAGTTCTTTCAAACCACGTACGGGCACGCTTCACACAGCGAGATGGACTTCGATATCGAGGACTCTGAACATGCTGATAGTGTCCATAATGATGACTCGACCTCTGTTCTGTTCAACGCCAACGATAGAGTCGATCTGCAGCTCCAGCAGTGTCGGAGGGACGAAACTCCGTCGAAGCCACCCCCTGTACGCGAGCCCGCCAACAAGAACGGTACGAAAGCTACTCATAAAAAAGTCGTCGTCCAAGTACCCGAGCATAATCAGAAACGTGAACGGACAAGCTCTCCAATAACTGAGCCGATGCAAACCCACCATCAGGCACAGGAAGATCTGGCACGCCTCCAGGGGTACGCAAAGGAGCACTTGGAGGAGTTCCGGGACAACCAGGCCCATCCGGAGTTGGGTAGCACTTCGCGATCTGTGGCACAGCCGACCGCAGCAGTGTCGAAAGTTGCAGAGTCACAAGATTCCTCTGAGGACGAGCAACCGCAACCCCGGCCTCAAACTCAAGGCACGACCGCGAAGAAACGATCTCTGGAACAAATCGACTACGACCACGAGAAACTCGCGACAATGGCATACGCCGATCTAGACGCTACCCCCTTTCTGTCTGATCCTCGCACTCCTGCGCCCAAAGCAGCCGTGAACTCTACCGGAAACCCTATCAACCTCGCTTCACGCCTTGCCAGCCTCAATCAGATGAATGCTGAGACCCAGAAAGCCCTGTTCCGCTCTCTCACGGATGCCGAGAATGTAGAGGTCGGCCAATGGTTTGTAGAAAAGTTTGGCGATAGCTTGAAGACCCTGATGGAGCAACGATTGGCGAGGAGGAAAGTGGCGTTGAGGTATGAGTTGGAGGCGAAGAAACGGCAGAGACAGGTGGAGCTCAGAAGCGCCGATCTGGACGGGGAGCTGAGTGAGCTGAGGAAGGGTGGGAATCAGTTGATTGAGGGCCGAGCGAGTCCGCGGCCTAAAGCTGCGTAGTCGGCAGAAACAATGCGCCAGTCACCGAACCGTCCTGCTGTGCGTGCGAGATCGAAATGCAAGGTGATGGAAAGACCGAGAAGCGTGGGCGAGCAACAAAGACACGAAGAAGGGTCGGAGGGCGCCAGAGGGAAGTGGAAGTACCCGCTCACCATGAAATGTGATATGATTCTGTATATGACGACGATATGATGGCATGGCATGGCATAGCATGGCATGGCGAGGCCCTGCTCTACTCTGCAAGATAGAGGGACGTAGAGATAGGCGAATCCCCCTGTGCTGTACTGTAATTGGAACGAAAGACTCTTCTTGATGGGCAGAAGCATGAAAGTGTGCGTATGTGTCTGTGTATATGGGGAAGTGCAATTGATGCATAGTGGCCCCTGTCCACCTAGATTCCTGGGGTCCAAATACCATCGTCTCTGATCTATGGCAGTGGTGATGGCAAGGCCGCTCCTGCTCCGCTCCAGAGCTGGGTCGTTGGTCGCTGGTGACCGGTCGGCCCCACATCTATCTGAGTACTTCGCCCTCTAGTATGGCGAGGAAGCTACCCTGCCCGGGACTGATCTTGCGAAAATCTGGTCCACCGTCATGTCACAGTCTGCGGCGCTGCCCTCGTTCAGCTATTAGCCTCGGTGCCGCTGCCGGTCCCAGTACTGCCACCGCCGTCACCACTCGCCGCCGCCGCCGCCACCGCCGCCTCCTGCTCTTCTTCGCCAATAATCCTCAAGTTCTCCAGCACGCGGCCCAAACGCTGATAGTCGCGCAGCAATTCCTGAATCTCCCCAACGCGCAGTTCCGCCGCGTCCTCGAGCGCCATGAATTTCTGCCGGGGCGGCTCCGCGCGGATCTGTGCCGTCTCGTCCAGCGTGGGGGCGCGGAGACTGGCTTCTTCGGCGGACGGATCGGGTGGCGGCAGGGATTTCTCGCTGCTGGTGGTGCGCGCTAGCTGGGTGCTACGCGGCGAGGGCAGGCTGCCAGGAGGCGGAGTGTTCTGGCGGCCGAAGCTCCGGAATGCGCCGCCGAAGGCTGAGGAGATATTATTTAAAGGGTTGATGCTGGATCCGAAATTCTTGACGGAGTCGAGCGGATTGGTATTGTTGTTGGTTGCGGCAACGGGGGTCTGGTTGGCCGAGCTCTTGCTCTTGTCCTGCGGCGTGGCGGCGCCTCCGGTAGTGGGTAGTTCGGTGGAGGAGCCGGTAGCTGCAAAAGCGACCTTCCTGTTTGCGCTATTCGAGAGGGAGGGTGTGTTGCTGCTGGCATTGCTACGCTGGCTATCGGCAGAGCGGTCTCGGATGATGGAAGCACCACGGCGGCGACCGCCAAAAAGCCCCAGCACCTTTTCTTCTGTGGAACTGAGCTTTGCATTCGAGGCGCCGGAGATACTATCGCCTGCAATGGAGCTGGTTTCACTGATCGCTGTGTCGTCCTCGGTCGGAGTCAAAGGCCTGGAAACGAGTTCCCGGGCTTCGTCCAAAGTCTTTGGTACGATCACTTCGGCCGTAGGAGAATCGACAGAGCGCTCACGTAGCTTGCCAAACAGAACTTTGAAGCTATTGTCGAGAGTGGATGAAATGGTTTTGATGGACTCTTCAGCAGTAGAGCGCACCGCAGTCGGAGCATTAGAGATCGGTTGCAACAGGTCAGACAGGGTTCTTTGATGTCGTGGCGGTGGGAGTGCTTTGGCGAGTGTAACAGAGGGCTTTGAAGTAGCTGGATCAGCAGGAGTACCAGTAGCTGAAGAGGTGGTTGTGGAAGTCAGAGGGTCGGTCGGCGATGGCATGGTCAATGCCATCTTGGGAAAGGGTTCTGGCAGCTCATCTTGTGGTGTTCCGGCCTGACTGCTGCTGGTCTTCTTGGGGCCCTCGGGTTGCTCATCGGCCCGAAGGCTCGCCAGATCGACATTCTCGAGAAAGCTGATGGCGGCCTCCAAATTGGTCATGCAGTAGGCTGCTTCTCCGTCGATCTTGCTTGCGGTCCGGAAGCGCTGGATGAAGTTGAGGTTGCTGATGATGTTGATGCCTTCTAGTGGCGAAGAGATGAGGGTGTAGATGAGGGTTGGGAGGATCTCGTCGGCGGAGGACGAGGATGGCATTATGGTGGACAGGGCATCAACTATCGCTTTATGGGCAGTTGTGAGGTGCTGCAACTTCCCCAGGGGATATTGTTCTTCGTTCATTCTGGCCAGACCTTCTCTGGCCGGGGCTAGGGACTCTTGCAAGTCTTCGATAGAGCAGGTGCTCTTGTCGTCCATTTCAACGCCTAGATCTCTGAGGCCAATACCGACCAATGCCAGCGCAGCTGTTTTTGATCGGAGCTTCTCATCCCGTACCTCGTCTAAAGAGCTTTTGTGCCGCCATATCTTCTCATACACTTTCTCACACGCACGCCGTTCCACGGCCTCTTCGAGCAGAATGCGCTTGTACTCCAGTAACCGCCTAGCTTTCCTCTTCTCGGTCACTTCAGATGCAGTCAACATCTGCTGTGCGCCCCCTTTTGGAGGGGCTAGTGAGTCGGCGCTTTTTTTAGATGCTAGTGGTTGAGGCTTCTTTCCCGTGGCTAGATCCCGATTCAGCCTCGACATGAGGGTCGCGATGTGTGTGGAGACACTGCCAGAGGCTCGAATGTAGAACTCTTGGAACAGTTCAGATAGTTGGTCGGCGGTCGGAGGCTCATTGTAGATTTTGGCACTCAAGGACTCGACAAAGCGATCGGTCAAGCTGGCGAGCTCGATAGGCAGTTCATCGAACTTATCCGGGAGACTATTGGTCTTGCCGATGGCTGGGCTCAAAGCCTCGTCCTCTGTTTCTTCCTGCTTCTCAAATACATCTTCTCTACCTTGGTCCTTCTTCGGTGACTTGAGCGAAACTGGAGAAGCCACCGTGCTCGCACGAGTCCTTCCGGGGGAGGGCGGTTCATATCTCGCAAAGGATTTGGAGGAAAGAGGTGAGGGTCTGTTCTTGACAGAACCACTCGAAGCGGTTCTCGACATGTTTTCACAGGCTTAGGTGTACACTGAAGAGCTTGAAGCAGTGGGAGCCTCTGTATCGCTAAGGAATGCTTTATACATATGCGAGGCCCATGTTTCAGCGTGTTTTAGGTGAGCACAGATTGTCCGGCAATTATGGGCTCGCAAAACGGTGCCTGGCCTTACATCAGCAACAGATGAGCGGTAGCCTGATTCGATTTGATCACAATCGGAGCGTCAGGCGGAGGTCTTGGAAGAGGACGCGTGGTGGCATTCGAGGGCGGATTGTCGTTGCTAGTCAGGCACGGGGCAGGTGGACCAATCACATGCAATGATGTCAACAACTCCCGCCTCAAGTCGTCCGGTTCACATGAGCACTACATCTCTCTGTCATCTCTGTCTCTCTTTCCTTTTGTATACTGCCGTGCTGTCGAGTGCCATCAGCGATGAAACACAGGAGAAAGCACACAAATCAATGTCCGTCGAGCAGACGTGTGACCGCTCTGTCGCTCCTCACTTTCTTCGCGACGTCAGTTGCCGCCATCGAGCAGGCACCTGCGATAGAGCCGTGGATTCCCTCACCCATTCCGCTCGAACCTGAAACTCACGATTTTACGCTACGCCACATCTATCACCGGGGCACTTATCAAGACCCAAATCTCCATGTCCGGGCCGATGTACACCCTAACGCGGGCGAGGTGATACCTTTCGCCAGAATCGCGGCACGCTCAAGGACAACACCGATCGAACGTCTTGTAGACCGGCAGCCCGCCCGCATTGAGCAGCATCTTGCAGAAGCTCGTCTGACCGGCCAGCCAGCGGCATTGGATGCTTCCCAATGGACGATCGACGAGGTCTCCGCACCCGATGTCACAAGCAAGGATACGGTCATCAACCTGGCTGTGATGGCGGCAAATGCATACGTGCCGGAGCCATACCAGGGCGAATGGGAGAATGTTACAAACGGATACAATGATTCCACAAGCTTCGGCTGGCAAGGAGATGGACTACGAGGGTACATCTTCGCCGACGAAGGCAATAAAACAATCGTGCTCAGCCTGAAGGGAACGTCTCCGGCGGTTTTTGATGGCGATGGGACCACGACAAGGGACAAATTAAACGACAACCTCTTCTTCAGCTGTTGCTGTGGATCAGGGGGGCAGTATTTCTGGCGACAAGTTTGCGATTGTTATACAAGCACCTACACCTGTAACTCGACCTGCCTGGGGCAAGCTCTCCGCCGTGAAAACCGGTACTATCGCGCCTCCATCGATCTATACACCAACGTCACCAAGATATATCCAGACTCCCAGGTGTGGATCGTTGGGCATTCGTTGGGGGGCGCAGTCAGCAGTCTGCTGGGCATGACTTTCGGAGTACCCGTTGTCACGTATGAAGCACCAGGGGATGATCTTGCCGCCAAGCGTCTCGGTCTTCCACGTCCTCCAACTGGTGATCCCAACAAAGCCTATCGACGGCATTATACAGGGTCGGTACATATCGGGCACACCGCTGACCCAGTCTTCATGGGAACGTGCAATGGTGCAACTTCGACTTGTACACTGGGAGGCTACGCCATGGAATCGCAGTGCCATAGTGGTCTGCAGTGCGTCTACGATACAGTTACGGATTTAAATTGGCGAGTCGGTATTGGAAACCACAAGATCCACAATGTCATCGATAACGTGTTCCGGAAGTATAAGACCGTGCCGAAATGTGTACCAGACGACGAATGTCGAGATTGCTTCAATTGGAAGTACTTCGAGAGTAATGGCTCGGACAGCACGACCACTACCACGACAAGCACCACGTCAAATACACGAACGAGGACGTCAACCTGCAAAACACCTGGTTGGTGGGGCTGCCTCGATGAGACGACAACCACTCAGCCAGTAGTAACCACCACCTATACCACAACGACATGCATCTCACCGGGATGGTTTGGTTGCAATCAAGAAGAAAACACCACGATCACGACGACCACCATCCCCGCAACAGGCACGACCACTACGACAACCACAACATCGACGCCTTCGACTTCATCCACCTCGTGCGATCATCCCGGTTGGTGGGGATGCAAGGATCCTACACCTACATCTACATCATCGACCGCAAAGCACACAGACGACCATGAGACGTGTGAGACCCCGGGGCTCTTTTTCGGCTGCAGAGATAGGCATCACCACACTTCGACGTCGAGCTTTCCTATCACTTCGGCGCCGGATTCGACTGGCGTTGCTACTAGCACAGCCTCGTCCTCGAGCTCGAGATGGAGCTGCAAACATCCTGCGTTCTTTGGCCTCATTTGTCTGGATGATGATGACGGTGGTGATTTTGGCGAATCTATTGCACCAACAATGGTGGGTGGTGAGGAAGAGTGGAACAGTGAGCTATGAGTCCATTGTACACAGTAGGCTTGCATTACAGGAACGTAGCATACGACATGATGATCTCGGGGGCATTAGTATCGGCAAGGCGCTGGGTTCGGAGTCATTCGTCTTGCATCGTCTTTCACCCATGCTTTGTATATAACCACAATTGAATAGTCAAACACTGCAATGCCTCCCTGCCAAGGCATGACATCACGCTGTACCCTTCTATTGATGGTGAGAGGGGTCATCGGCCCCGCCACAGATCGTCCACCACGTTCTCGATTCGTGGCTTTGACTTCAACTTTCAAGTTTGCTGCTCGTGTTCCATGTCCCTGGTCCTTGTATCCTCTTGGGCGGCGGGTTGTAGACCGTGCCAGGCGCTGCTGATGACGCTTGATTCGTCCTCCTGGAGAACGTGTGCTCCTCTAACGAGGCAGCAATTGGTTGATTGCATTCTTTCAAGGCTTGATTGGAACCAGGGTAGGCGAATCGTCTGAGGGGCATTGCATCGCTGTCTGCTGCAGCATTTGAGGGGGCCAGTCGGGCCACGCATCCCTGATCCGTTGACGTCAAGCCACACCTCCAGCACGCAAGCCTCAGGCTTTCTCGGTGATGATGTGATGCTACCGCGACGGGGTATAAGTATCAAGCCACATTTTGACTTCCGCCTGAACTACCACTACTTGCTACTGTCAACAGAAGAACACACTATACCGAAGACAAATCATCCTCACTCAATCAACATGTCGAACCAGGAGCAAAAGAAGTCCGGAGGTATGTCACCCCATTTTAGCAACCCGACTCTGTCCAGTTTTACCAGGCCATGCTGACTTGAGCCTGAGGAATTCTAGGTGGCATTGGCGAGACTGTAGGGTCGGCCGTCGGCGGCGTGACCGACACCGTCGGCAACACAGTAGGCGGCGTCGGTAAAGGCGTCGGCGATACCTTGGGCGGCGTCACATCAGGGCTCGGCAACACCGTCAAGGCTGGCGGCGACAAGGTTACGGGCGTGACTGGCAAGGCAGATAGTGGAAGTGGAGGTGCTAAGGCCGGTGATGAGAGCAAGCAGACCGCTCAGAATCCACTTGGTCTGTAGTTGACCAGGGGAAAGACTGCTGCATCACCTGCACTCTATGATCAATGAGCTAGTGCTGTGGAGAGCCTGACAACCATTTCTGTGTGTGGTTATCACCACGGAACCTTTCTACACACAATTTTCTTTCTCTCCCCTAGCGATCTTATAGTGATCAAGGAACGTGACGCCGCGAACATACTACTGCACCCAAGCTGTCCGACTCGTGGTAGAACCAGACGAGCCCGGCTATTCACTGCCTGACTACGGTGGCCCATGAAGGCGAGCAGCTTCTCTTTTCAACGGCCGAGGGCCAGACCAGACTTGTCGCCAGCCTTCATTCAAACCAACACGCCCTGTGTATACTTGGCTGGCATATCTTACAAGACCCATACTCCGCCATACCAACATCGGTGCCGCCGCAACTACATACTCTACGCCCTCATCCACTTCACGCAGCCATGGTCGAAGTCAAGAAATACAACCTCCCCCCTACAGCACTCATCCCCAACTCGCCACAACCACTGCTCCACTACCCCGGCCTCCTCCAAGACCTCGACTGCAACGCCCCCGGCGTCCACGACACCTTCACCAAGAATGGGTGGAAAACGCAATGGATTTTTCGCTACGGCCCTTCCCAGCGCTCACACGTACGTATACATAACAGCCCGCACTCGTGCACATCTTCGCCACTCAGCCTATTCAATCCATACACACACTCACATCGCCCACCCCAATTCGCCTCACTGACCCACCCGCCCCGAGAATCACAGTACCACTCCCGCGCCCACGAATGCATGGTCGTCCTCTCTGGCCGCGCCACCATCCGCTTCGGCGTCGCCGACACCTCAGCCGACCTCTCGGCCTCGACGCACGGCCCCGCTCGTGAATCCGGCGGCGTCGAGGTGCCCGCCCAGAAAGGGGACGTCTTTATCTTGCCGGCGGGCACGGCGCATAAGACCTTCGACACGACGCCGGGGGAGTTCAAGTTGCTGACGCCGGGGGATGGGCATGGGATTGAGGCGGGGAATGCGAGGGAGGCGTTGGGTAGTATACAGCTCGATGGCTTTACCATGATTGGCGCGTATCCTGTTGGAGGCGGGGAGTGGGATTTTGCGAAGGGTGGCGAGGATGAGGGGGCGTATGAGGTGAGTGTACCTTTCTTTGTTGGTGTTGCGAGTGCCGTACCAGTCCGCTCTCCGCCCTCTATGTTCTTGATGACTACCACTTTATCTCTCGATCTGACAGAATGGCAGAAAGTATGGGCTGTACCCAAGCCTGAGAGTGACCCTGTTCTAGGACAGGCGCCGGAAGGCCTTGTTGGGCAGTGGAAGTAATGTCTCTCTCCTATTGTACCAGCAGAAAACACGCAATCAGTGCTGCTATGGCTTCTGACTTCTCAGCTCAACCAACTGCCCCCGGCTTTCTTTGACTTTTGTGCCCCTCAGTGTGAAGTTCGCGTTCGTCCACCGACCTCGGAAGCCGAGTCCGGGATGCAGCACTGTTAGTGCAGTAGCACCGATCAAAATCATGCTGCTCTCGAGCACGAAGAAGGCTGGCTCGTTCTGTGCGATGGTACTAGAGAAGCCCTGGCTGAGCTCCACCACCCGGAAGGCGGTGCGGATCCAGATGCAGACGGTGCCCGTCGTCAGAGCTGAGTTAATCAGTGTCTGTCCCAGCATGCAGAGCGTAACGTTACTAGCTTACCGATCAGGTACCTCTTCCATAACCGCGACTGGTGCAGATGGGCGAAGTCTGGATTCCACCCCCCACGTCCCTTACGCGTATGCCACCCGAAATCAGTTGCCAGGACGATGAAGGCAGTCATTGCCGCCAGGTGTGCGGCGAGACCGGCCTGTATGAGGCGGAGACCGGTGTCTCTCACTTCTGGATCGTCACTCTGCGTGGTGCCTCCTCCGCTGGCCTGCAGCAACAGACATACAAAGTCCGCTATCATGAAGGTAATCGTGTATGTCCGTTGTTTGATACGTGAGAATCGTTCGCCATAGACGGTGACGATTCTTGCAAGACTTAGGTACACGGCGGCGGAGAAGAATGCGGGGGCGATCGTAATGCAGACAACGTCCCTACAGCATGGTCAGTGGCGGGAGCTGGACAAGCGTTTGGGGGGGATCGCTCACATGACGAAGGCGTCCTCCCCGTGGTGTTGTAGGATGCGGGCGACATAACCAAGAACTTCCAGAATGGTCCCGCAGCACATTGCGAAACTGAAACCCCATGTCTGGTACCGGATGGCCAGGGCAGATTGAGTAATGGTGAGCAGAGCATGCCAGGCGCAGAAGAAGGCATTGCCACCGAGATTATATGCGATCATGATCGAGTCGTGTCACCTCAAGCAAATCTGGCTCGATTGCAGCAGCCCGACCGATGGATAGTACGTGGCTCGGGACTACCATACTGTCGACCGAGAGAGACATGCCTCTTATATAGCGCTATGGGAGGCCATTCACAGCCTCGGCGGGACCTACGCGGCAGACATGGTCGTCGCCTGTGGCAGCATAGACGACCGGTCCAATGCTAGTGTTCGAGCCTCAAGACACAACGCCAAGATGCTATTTCGGTTGATGGTGTCGAGCGCGGACTCTTTGGGTAGTGTATTCAGCGCCTGATATCCCGTTTGCAGGCGGTGGTGCCCCCGTGAACGCCTATTGGTCCGATCGCATACTGACCAATGAACAGACAGCGATGTGGGGGACCGGCGGGGGTGGCCCAAGATCCATTCGCTCACTACTCTATCTTCCAGGTTGACAGCAGAGCCTCCCACGGGGCAGATTCTTCATCACACTTGACAGCGACTGATCGGAAACCTCCGGCAAAGAATGAACTGATGGATCAAGTAGGATATGGCTGACTTCCACTCCTAGGCCCCCGTCCAGCAAACACCCAGAACCTGATCTTCTAGGCTCTCTTGAGCACGCTACTGGGCCGTACAGTCATGTTTGCTGCCTGTTCGGTCAGCGCTCTGACAAGCTTCGCCATGAGAGAAGATTCGGAGCCTTCTGACAGACCAAAGAGGGCCAAACACTCACGCTCGAAGCGTGGGTGCAGGGTCTGCCGAATCCGCCGTATCCGGTGTGATTTGACCAAGCCATCCTGCACCAGGTGTACCAGCACTGGTCGCAAATGCGAGGGCTACCCAATCGACATCCACCCGGACGCAGATGCCGCAGCTGGGGGTGGACGCACTCTACCCGCAGCATCTGCTTTGGCTAAGGTCCTGGTGCCGCGTTCGCCCTCGGTGAATCCTCATATTGACAGCAATGAACACTCTCACTTGTCTTATTTTCAGCACCAGACCGCCCACCATTTCGGGGGCTATCTTGAAGACCAATTTTGGAGTCGATTGGTTCTACAGCTTGGGACGTCGGACAATTGCGTCCTCTATGTCACGATCGCTCTGGGCTCCCTGCATCGGAAATTTGAACAAGGATGCCGCAGCCCGAAGCAAGCCGAGCACGGAGCAGTAGGGAACGACACAGGCTACCTGTACGCGAAGGCCGTCACTCTCCTGCAAGGCCACATCGCCGAGCAAGGATGGAGGAAACTGGAGGTCACTTTGGTCTGCTGCATCCTCTGTACTGGCTTCGAGTGGCTGCGCGGTGACCCGAAATCAGCCTCTGTCCATCTGAGGGCTGGCCTTGAGATCCTGCAGCAGTGGCAGACACAAACTGCGGGAGGCCCATCTTACTGGTCCCCAGCCGGACACCTTATCCGGAACAAGCTGGCCCCTTTCTACACAAGACTGGCCCTCCAGGCGGGCACCGTACCGGATTGGTCCCTGCCGTGGAATACCTTGCAGGCGACCAATACCACCATCGAGCCATTTCAGAGCCTACATCACGCCAGAGATAGCCTCTGCAACCTCCTGGGCCAGGTTTACCTCATACCAGAGAGGAGAGAGTTGCTCAGAATGAGGACATCCAAGTCATTGAAGGAGCACAAAAAGTATGAGACTCTACTTAGCCAGTGGGCTGAATATTTCCACGCATACACTACTCGAGAAACGCTCACAGGTCATGTCCAAGCCTCCGCCATCGTTCTCTGGCTGCTGTACATCGCTGCGACAGTCATGCTCCCAAACATGTATCCGGACGCAGAGCCCGGCGACACGAAGGACGAAACAGACGCTTTTGGACGCATGGTCAATGTTGCTGAAAGACTCTTCAGTATCTATACCTCCCGCTTCTCGATCGACTTAGGTTGGGTCGCCCCTCTCTACTACGTTGCAGCCAACTGCCGCCAACCTCAGATTCGGGAAAAGGCGCTGAGATTCCTTGCCTCGCATCAGAGTTACGAGGGTTCTTGGAGTAGCCCGGAGGCCGTACTGCGAGCAAAGGGATTGATGTGACAGGCTACAGGGCAATAAGACGCCAGTGGAGGTTGCTCTGACGACGTTGTGAGTTGAAATCGAGGCTGAGCTGTACGCAACCGCTTATTAGCTCCTAAAAACGCCCCCGTGGGTGAATCTTCGCTGCATACTGTCCTAAATCACCCCCGCGATGTCAAGCCACGGATGCTTACCATTGGGGTCAAGGAAGCTTAATAGTGCTTCATCCGGCTTGCACTCGCCTGAAAGCGGCCATCCGAACCACGAGCTGAGCTGGCTAAGTTTGGGCTCCTACGAACAATGCTCATTGCACCAGTGGTATATGCTTTGGGCCGAAAGATTGAGAAGAGATGGAATCGATTCGAGGCCACTGCCTGCCCTGCGTCTGTCCCAATGCATTGTAGCTACTTGCTGTGCCGAGGGCTGGGCTGCCGTGCTTGATGCATTCGTGCTTGAAACCCAAAGGCTCTATGCCCTGTCAGCTCCGCCATAAACGCCACCATGTACGATGCCATCAGTTCAGCCACATCGACAGCCGCAGGCAGCCTGCTTGGTGAGAAATTGCGAACATGGTTTGCGCGGGCGTTGCCACAGTCTAGCGCAGGGTTTAGAGGTACAAGATAATCGAATGCGCTCTTCAACTCCCCGGCCCAACACAGCCTCACCAAGGTCCAACACAACTCGCTAGCAACATCAACTTGAACCAGCCATTATGCCCAACGCATTCGTCAGTGAGGGTGACTGGAGCGACCACACCCGCTCCCACCCTGCCCTCGAGTGGTTCGAGCCCGTCGTCACCAACATCTTCGACAAGAAAGCTTTCGACACTCCGTACTCAGAAATCTACACCGACGACATGAACTTCACCAAATCCGACGGCACCGTCGTCCACGGCGGCAAGGCTGCGTGGGCCGAGGTCGCCAACCTATGGGCCCCATGTGCCTCGTACCGCACTGTGCCAGAGTACGCCGTCGTGACCGAGACAGAGTAAGTCGACCCGAAACCCTCGCGCCCTACCTCCCCCCTCCCCCCCCCCGGGGCCGTTCCCAGACCCCATCAGGCAGTGGATACTGACCCTCTCAACCATCAGTTTCGGCTGGGATATGCTAAGCACAGCGCACTCATACATGAACCTGCTGGCGCCCGGCAACGAGCGCAAAGTCAAGGACGAGCACGGCCAGGAATGGGACTTGAAGATCACGGCGGGCTGGCGCTTCCAGTTCAGAAAGGACGCCGGGGGAATCAGCAACGGCATCCGAATTCAGAAGATCCAGATGACCATGGACTCGCTGCCGGCGGTCGCGCTTATGGTCAGGCGGGGGATGGTCAAGCCGGAGGAGAGCTTCTTGCTGGGTAGGGGGGCGTGAGAGATGCAGATGATGTGGTTGATGGATAGTAATGTGTAAAGGAACGAGTGAAAGCTGGCCGTGGCGTGGCGTGGCGTGGCGTTCCACGCAGAGGACCCTCGTGTTCCAAAAGCTCTCTGAAATCGACGACGTCTTGCCTCCGGATGATATTCGCTTCGACACCATCCACGTCACTCGGGCGTAGAATGCGTTGGAGTAAGCCTGGAGGGAGATGTACTGCAGATAATTAGGCTCGGAAATCCCCATGATTTCACAAATCACTGAATATCAAAACTCGTGCCACACCCACAACTACTCGACGCCTTCGGGTTCCCCACAATCTTGAATTGACTTCCAATCAGCTCCGTTACGAAATCCACCGTACTCCCCGTCAACAGCTCCAGCGACGGCTCGTCCATCACCACCTCCGCCTTGCCCGCCTCACCCATATCGCCACCCACATCCACCGCAAACACCGTGTCTTCTGCAGGGTCGATCTTGTCCGCCGGCTCCAGCGACATCATGTACTGAAAGCCGTGGCAGCCGCCGGACGTAACCGTGACGCGCAGGTGCGAGTCCGGCGCCACCTGCGATTTCGCGAGCGTGTTGCGTTTCTGCGGCGTTGAGGTGATCTGCTTCAGCCGCTTGGCGGCGTTTTCGGAGATGGTGATGGTCATGTTGTTGCCTTCGTCATCGACGCGGGGGTTGAGGACGGCGGCGGTGGCGGGTCGGGGTGTGCTGGTGGAGAGAGGGCGTTTTGTGTTCGGTACGAGCGTGGGAAGCTTGCGAACGGTTGCGTAGTGTGCAGGGCGTGGCGTTACCGAGGAGGAGGGTGAGGAGAAGCATCGTGCGCCGCGGAAGAAAGCGGCGGGATCGTGAGCGTGGCGGCGCATGGGGCGCGCGCTGTGGAATGCTGAGCGAAGGAGGGGTTGAGACATCCTCGCGAAGATTGATGGCTTTTGTGGCTGCGTGGAAGCGAGAGTGAGGGAAGGATGTTGAGAATTGTTGGTAGATTAGAAAGCAGATGATGTCGACTGGGTGGGAGGTCATCGACCGCGGAAGCTCGGCCATTTCTTTCGCCGGAGCCGGGGGCGCCACATCGAATATCGTTCGACATGACTCGCATGAGTGCACGCTGCGTTCGCTTACGGCACAGATACATGATGTGTGCCAGTGAGAGGTAAACCATCATTCCAGACCTATTGCTCTCGGCTCTTTTCTAGTGATGGTTGGGAACGCCGTGTGATCCCCGAAAGACGGCCCTGTGAAGAAGCGCCAAGCAGCAGCGTCTTCACATACGAACGGCGCTCCTGTACAGCATATCACCATGGCATCCACGGGCAACGAACAACTTTCCCGGGACTGGGCTCTTGCGCAAGACCAGGAAGATCCCCTCTCCCGCTTCCGTGAGCAGTTCCACATCCCATCGCAAGGCGACCTGCACCGACCCACCCTCGCCTCCTCCACATCAGAACCGCCATCCACCCCCTCGATCTACCTCTGCGGCAACTCTCTCGGCCTCCAGCCCAGACGTACCGCGTCCCTGATCAACACATTCCTCACACAATGGCGCACCAAAGGCGTCAAGGGCCACTTCGTCCCGCACAGCGACTCGCCTCTCCCGCCCTTCCTACACATCGACGACGCCGCCGCATCCCTCATGGCACCCCTTGTCGGCGCCCTACCCTCCGAAGTCGCCGTGATGGGCACTCTGACGGGCAACCTGCATCTCCTGCTCTCCAGCTTCTATCGCCCTTCGCTCGACAAGTCTGGCCGCTACAAGATCCTGCTTGAGGGCAAGGCGTTTCCGTCCGACCACTTCGCCATCGAATCGCAGATCGCGCATTGGGGGCTTGACCCAGCTAAAGCGATGGTGTTGCTCGAGCCGAGGGATCCGGAAGTGCCGGTGCTGGAGACGGAGGAGATCTGCCGGACGATAGATGCGCACAAGGATGAGTTGGCGCTCGTGCTGCTTCCTGGTATTCAGTTTTATACGGGCCAGTATTTCGATATGCAGACGATCACGAGGTATGCGCACGAGAGGGGCGTGTTGGTGGGCTGGGACTGTGCGCATGCGGCTGGAAACGTCGAGTTGAAGTTGCACGAGTGGGATGTGGACTTTGCGGCTTGGTGTACGTACAAATACATGAACTCTGGGCCAGGGGCAATGGCGGCTCTCTTCGTCCATGAGAGGTTTGGCAAGGTGGATATGGATGGTGAGGGACGGTTGTATCATCCGAGATTGTCAGGATGGTGGGGAGATGACAAGAGTGGGAGATTCGCAATGACAAACAGTAAGTTCTGTGGCTGGAATAGTGTGCTCGGCAACTGATGTCTTCAGAGTTCAACCCTCGCCCTGGCGCTGCTGGATTCCAGTTGTCCAACCCCAGCGCGCTTGACCTTGCAGCGGTTTTGTCCTCTCTCCAGATCTTCAACGAGACAACCATGGCCGAATTGAGAGCCCGGTCTCTTAGGTTGACTCACTTTTTAGAAGCGTTGCTGGACAATATGACAAAGAATGGAAGAGATGACTTCACCATCATCACTCCCCGAAATCCTGAAGCAAGAGGAGCGCAGATCAGCATCCGCCTCAAGCCAGGTCTCCTCGACCCTGTCCTGGAATACCTTGACGAGAAAGGCGCCATTATCGACGAGCGCAAGCCAGACGTCATTCGCGTCGCTCCTGCTCCACTGTACAATACTTTTGCCGATGTCTGGGACTTCTGTGAGATCTTCAGGCAAGCATGCGATAGAGCTCTCCGCCGATGATGTCCTACGTAAACCGATTGGGAGAATATACTGCGAGGCTTGCCACCACCGTCCAGTGCATGAAACGCTCGATCAGCAAGCTTGGACAACTGTGTGGCAGAGGGCAGTCTAGGAGACCAGTACTGCGGGATTTCAGAGCGTGACGGTGCCACCAATGTCGATAGAGGCGATAGAGCGGGTCCTAATCGCTGTCGCTGTCGCTTGTGTCCATCTCACGCCACAAGACGAAGTCGAAGCGTCCGTCCAAGTTAGATCGGATGTAGTCTCGAATGAGATCCTGTTCAGTGTCGGTCAGGTTGCCCTGATTCGGGTCTGCCGCCATGAGCGAGAAGTTGAAGCCTCGTTGCATCTCGGGATCGAGCTTGCTGAGAAAGTCGATGATCTCGTCGCTCGTGAACTGTGTCATTGCGTATAGGTCCAGCTTCTTCAGCGAACGCAGATTGACGAGTGCATGTAAAAGATCACCAGATACAACATCGCCGCTGGTCCAGAACTCCTCTAACTCCGGCAGGTTGATAGCCAGCTGGGCGATGTGGTGTTCTTGGAACTCATCCGAGACATCCTTCAGGATCAACTCCTTTAGGTGAGGGATATTGCTGAGGCCGTCAACCATCATCTGTAGGTCATCAGGAATTGTGTCCTCCCCATTCCCCTTTAGCCACACCGACTCTAGATGTTTCTGCTCCGAAAGTGCAGTATGGAACAACTGTGAGTTAGGTAGCCGCACTTGATACCCTTCGAGTGACAACTTGGTCAGCCTGACGTTGGGCGAACTCAACACTTGACTGAGAAGCGAAGGGCCATCAGCGAACTTCTTCAACGCAAGGTCGCGAAGCTTGGAACAAGAACTCAACCAATGGACAACCTCAACAAAGACGTCGTTGTTTAGAGCCTCAAGTTGAACGGTCCCCAAATTGTCCTCCAGCGCCAGAGTATGAAGATTGGTGCAGCCTTTTAGATGATGCAGGTTCTCGATCGCGGTCTGGGAGAGGTTGCTCAATTTGAGTTCCTGGAGAGTCTTGTGGCGACCGAGGGCCTCAAACGATCGCGCGGCAATGTCATTGAAACTTATCAGCTCAAAGTACTGCAGCGTATCTGCTCTGAGCTCGTTGAGAAAAGTGGCAAACAGCTCGTCGGCATCGAATGAAGGGATAGATCGCCACTCACGAATAGTCAGGCTTTTGAAGGCTTCGCAATGATTCGCAATTGCTTCACCGGCCCCATTTGCGAGCGAGTTGCCATTCCAGAGGACTAGCGATTCCAGCTTGGGTGAACGAGAGATCCAAGACGGAAGGACACCGGCGCCAATGTTGCCTGCTATCTCCTCAATCTGTGTCGTAGCTTTGGTCAGAGGCTCTCCGACGGCATTGACAGTCTGTGGTCCATCGACAATTTGCCGGCCTTTGTAATAGTGGCTAGTGAACTTGACAGACTTCATAGGCCCTGCGTAGAACGCGGTTTGCATCTTGCCTTGAAACCGAACGTCTTCGAGCATGTTCATGAGATTCCGGAAGTCAAGAACGCGGAGATAGCGACAGTAGGGCTTGTAAGTCTTGAACGGATGTAAGTTGAAGCTGTCAAGGGGAAGGACCAAACTTACCCGGGAACTATCTAGGCCCGACAAGATAATAGAGCGCCAGAGCACTGTCCAGCGTCGGAAGACTTGCTCCGCATCTGCGAATTTCGTGGCGAAGTCGGCCTTGGCTAGCCGTGGATCGAACTCGTCACTCTGCAGAAACGACGGTGAGACCTCATGGTACCTGGGCTCATCAGTATTGTGGCGCAAAAGCGGACCAGGAACAGTACTGGTACATGGTCCGCAAGGCAGGATCCGCAACAGAGCTAGAGGCCTGAGCACATCTGTACAATGAGCCGAAGTCGCGATCTTTACCGAGTTCCTGGCATATCATGTTAAGCATCTCATCAGGCAGACTCGGCTGTGCTGTCAAGTCGGAGGCGGCCATGACTGCTGAGGGCCACACCTGGCGACGCAGGACAACGACAGCGAGATACGATAAAGTCCGACGGCAATCAAAGTAAATACTGCCGTGTAAGTGATGTGGAGGACGAATGCCAGAACTTGATGATTTGAACCGTTGATGAAGCGACGATGGTTGAAGTTGAGTATCTTGCAGCTCGATCATGGATGGTCGAGGTGGATCGTCCGGATCCGATATCAACCAATCATGTCTGGTTACGCGCGATGTACGTGTATATTACATGCAGCAACCGCGTCGCGCGCCATTTCACCACGCCGAGTACGTGCTCGGTTCTGTGTTGCTTCGTGCCACCACCCTCCATCGCTGGATGGGTAGTATCAGTCATGCCGACATTCTTGTTCTCTGTCGCTCCGGCTGCTGTTGGCCAGCTTCACGACCTGTTGAGTTGCCTAGCAAAATTTGATGAAACTGTGTCATTGGAGGCCACTCCCGAGACGGTAAGTGATGAGGGCGGCGAATGCCAGACGCGAAGCTAAGAGATCAGCTCCGGCTGTCAAGTCTGAATATATCCAAAACAGCCCATGCCTCCTTCACTCTGAATTCCGCTTTCTTCAACAAATATCACTACGCCTCAGAAGGGCGGGCTCCAATTGCCGGAGAAGTTCGCCCGTGGGCTTGCAAGGTGCAGAACAGGGTAAGCTCATCCCCTGCCGGAGTCTACGTCTTCTCACCTGCTTAGGCCTTACTTGCTATATTTCGCCGCCGTCTAGCTGATCCCAGAGATAAAGATGTTGCCCTGGAACGTGTTGACTTCGAGCTACAAGCTCGTTCGGACCAGATAGATTGCCGACTATTGTTCACTCTCGTCTGCAAGCAAGGCGTGGTGAAGAAATATCGACTCTACTACGAGAGCGGTGAAATTCTTCATGCGAGCTTCGACAGGTCTAGCTCGATAAACTACTGGACAGTATCTTCGAAAACACTTCGAGATGTCGTCGAATACTTCGGGCCAAAGACAGATCAACTAGACTGGTACTTTCAGGATGGCAAGGTTACCTTCACAAGCTACACGGAAAGGGTGCAAAATGGCAAGGAGATTCTCAGACAACCAATGCATACGTCTGTAGCCTTGGAGCGGAAGGACTTCAACGCTTTCAACGTTCAGGAAGGTCTACACATCGGCATCTTCGTCAAAGACTTTCGCTCCATCGTAGCTCATTCCGAGACCATGCGAGCCGATGTCACCGCACGCTACTCCAGAGGCAATCGCCCAATGCAGATCTCCTACGGTCAAGGTGGTGTCTCCGCCTGGTTCACCCTCATGACGAAAGCAACTTCAGCCAACGTCCCAGATGCGTCGCGGGCAGGCACTCCAGCTCGAGATCTCTCCGTTCGCGCCGTCTCGCAAGTTTCTTCTCGCACCCGCGAACCGTCCGTACCAGCAACGACGCAGACTGCACCGTCAGAGATGCCTCCGCCGGCCAGCCGACTCCCACGCAGTGAAATCTCGACGAAATCATCCCTCTCGAAGGGCAATTCGAGAGACGAAGTCCCCCCGCCTTCAGCCAGCCTCAATCCCGACAGTCTGTTCATCCCAGACGACAGTGAGGATCGGCAGTGGGACGAGCCAAACTATGAAGAAGAGCAAGACATTGTGACCTGGGACAATGCCTCTGCTTCCGCTTCAATACGACGCATTCGTGAGTCGGAGAGTGACTCGTTCCTGGGCGACTCAGAGAGCCGGCGGTGGACGTTCGATGAGATAGCTCCTACTCAGCGATTATCCCAGGTTAAGGGATTATTCGACTGAGAGGCTAGGTAAGCTCAATCAGCCTTCGACACGACAACAAAGCTCGTTGCACAGCCCGCAGCCACCAGGGACACCGATTCATTTTCCGTTAGATCCATTGGTATCTCATTGAATCTGCCAGCCACTTTGCCTTGGTCATCTAGAGGCCTGCCGCAATTACCGTGCTCGCCCCAACCCCAACTCAACAAACGATTGTCGTGAGTCAAAGCTAAGCAGTGCTCACTGCCAGCTGCGAAGTACTTGGAAGCAGATAGATGTTGTGGTGGCAGCTGACCGTGGTTGTTGCGTCCAAAGCCAACCAGCTGCTCTTCATTCCTGATGAAGATATTACTCCAGCCAGCGAAAACCTCATTCTGTGGGTGGAAATTATGGATGCTGTCGATATCTGGGAAGTGCTTGTTGTTTCCCATCAAGCGACAGATGCCATTGGAGCCGACCATGTAAGTGAAATCACGACCGAGCGCAACAGTTCTCACCGAAGATGCAATGCTAATCTTTCGCGGTGACCAGATGACTTTTGCATCTGCGATCTCCTCCCCGAGTTGTCCTCTACGGCAGCCACCCCACCCGAAGAGGTCACCCTGATCTGCAACAAGGACGACGTGGCCCATGGACGCTTTTAATTCTGCGACTCTGGTCTGGCCATTTTCGAAGTCGGCCAGGTCCACCACAAGCTCTGGCACTTTGCAAATTGCACGATCGACTCCAAGACCCAGCTCGCCTTTGGCACCAGAACCACACGAATAGATTCTTTGCGCGTCAACGACAAAGAATGAAGCCTCCCAGGTCGCGGCTACGTGGGTCACACGTCCCAGCTCTTGCTGCGGGATTATAACTGAATGGAAGGTGTTGCAAGTGGCCATCTGCCCGACAGTTCCACACCTTCCATTGTCATTACTGCCCGATGCAAACACTCGCCCCGCCGTGGTCAGGAGGAGAGTGTGATTGCCGCCCGCTGCGATCTGGGACACTGTCTCGCCAGGTTGCCACTCATTCGTCGCAAATTGACACTGTTGTGGACTTGATGTGTCTTCAACGTGCCCGACTCCTAATTGGCCCGATCCGTTCGACCCAAATGCGAGGATGCGAAATGTCATTATGAAGGACGAAATGAATCAAAGTTGAGCTCCTTGTTCAAAAAGCAGCCTGAGCATGACGTCGAAAAGGCTTGGCACGAGCCTACTGCAGAGACGAGGCTGACGCCCTTCGGAGTCTGCGATACATAGAACAGACGACCTGTCCAGGTACACATCAGCCTTTACTCATCGCTCTTTCAAGCCATTCTTCCACGACAGGAAACACCCCTTCCGCATCATGCCCGACGCCAGGCACCACGTCCACCTCTGCCTCAACCCCAATCCCCACCAACTGATTTCTCAACGCCTCCATAACTTCTCGTCGGTTCGGCTCCGCCCTCTTCCTCACCCGATCGCCTCTTCCCCCCGGTAAGACATCCAGAACTCCCTCCCCCCGCGGCTCAGTATCCAGCTCCCCCACAACCAGCTGCACGTCCGCCACCCCACTTACCTTCTCCGCCTCGACGCCCCGCCCAAACACCCTGGCCGCATCCCGCACGCCCTCGGGCCAGTCCACCCCCCAATCCAACCCCGTAATACTCCCCGGCGCCCCCACACTGACCCCCCTCCACCGCTCCGGATACAGCCACCACATCCGATGCGCAAACTGTCCCCCACCACTGAACCCGGTCAGATACACCTCCTCCTCCGTATCCACCACGCCCTCCCACCTCACCCTAATCTCCTCCAGAATTTCCAGCAGTACCAGGTCGTACCGCACGCGCATAAAGTCCCCGCCTCCTTCCTCGAACTCATGCTCAAACAAAAGCCCCTTGTAGCCATCCACATCATTCCCGTCCCCGACTCCCATGGGAAACAGCGGCGCCAGCACCACGGCGCCCGCCCGCTCCGCCAGCGGAATCAGCGCGTCGCGCATCGCGCCTGCTTGTCGGCCCGTGCCGTGCACGGTGATGATGAGGGGCAGTTTCGATTTTGCTCCTGACTTCGCCTTGTCTGAGCTGGTGCTGCTGGAGTTGGAGTTGTTTGTCTGAGCGGCGGCGGCGTCGGCGGCGGCAGCAAAGAAGGCATCAGGTGGGATGTACAGGCTGTACAGCGCGGCGTGCGGGTATTGGTGCGAGGCTTTCCAGAGCGTGGGCCCCAGGAGGTATGCGGCCTCCAGGTATTGGGGTGGGAGGCTGGAGGCGGTGAGGAAGGAGGCGTAGGGCGTGGGTGAGGAGGAGATGGGACCGGGGTTGGGGGCGAGGCCGGGGATGGATGGGCCGGTGTTGATGTTGAGGTTGGGGCTGTAGCTGTGGCTGGGGAGGGCGGATGCCATGACGGGAAAACTGGGGCATGGCAGTAGAGGGACAGTGATGGCGAGGGTCAGGATGAGGGTGAGGGGGGTTGGTGGCAGAGGAGACATGGCCACGAGGCGGCAATGCGAGGTTCTTGTATGAACAAAGGATCGAAGCTTAATGCTGAGATTGCCTCCCTGGCCCGCCTATCCGAGTGCTGGCGTTGTGAGGCGTCTTCCGGTCAGTGGAATGCTGCTGCGAACTGGCCGTATTCCTCCCGGACCCTCTGCGTTCTTATACCTCTGGCACTGACAAGTGGGTGGACCCTGCCGTCCCCGACTTCCGCTCCTTGAGTGACGATCCCCCAGGTCTCGGCATGATTGTGGCCTGCTCGTCTGCTCGCTTGCTCGGCATCAGTGACACATGAGGAGCAGATCGAGCAGCAAGACAAAGCGCGAAGCAGCCTGGTTGAGAGGAGAGGATGGGTGAAGCGTGCCGAAAACGCTTGGCTAAGCGAAGTTCGGGCGAATCTATAGTCAATTTTGCTGCCGTTTTGTGCACGCTTGAGGGAATAAGGCGAACAAGCGTGAAGAGAGATGTCAATGGTCGCAACGTTGATTCTTCCGCAGTGGTTCTCCATGTGAAGTGACGAGTAAATGTCACCACCGAGGTTGGTTTGAATTGTATTACTGAAGTCCATGCTATAAAATGCAGTCGTGCATCATGTCACACGTACATACACACCCCAGCAAGGTGTATACCCGACCTCCATTCACTCAGTCATCTCACAAGTAAATCACAGTCCCTTCCAGTGCGCAGTCTCCTTGACGTTCACGCTCCCCGCCTTCGTCACAGACTGACTGCTATTGCCGACCAAAACCTCAAACTCATCTCTCTCCATAATCCAACTGTCGGTGTCCTCATCCCAGAAGCTACATGCGTACTTCTTGTTGATCTTCAGCTGTACCGTTTCCTTCTCGCCTGCCTTCAAGTGCACTTTCTTGAATCCCTTGAGCTCCTTGGGTGGGCGGTTGATGCTCGGCGCATTTTGCGACACGTACACTTGCACCACTTCGGCACCGTCGACTCTGCCCGTATTGGCCACGGTTGCGGCCACGGTAAATTCGTTCTTGCCATCCTCGACTGTCAAGTCCGTGATGTCGAAAGTTGTATATGACAGTCCATGTCCGAAAGCGAACGAGACCTCCTTCTTCGTCTGCTCGTAGAAGCGGTAGCCAACGTATACGTCCTCGCCGTAAATCGTGCGGCCGCGCTCAGAGCGGTAGTTCAGAAAAGCTGGATTGTCTTCGTTGCGGACTGGGAAGGAAAGCGGCAGCTTGCCGCTGGGATTCACCTCACCAAAGACGACATCGGCTATGGCGTTGCCGGTTTCGTTGCCACCATACCATGCTTGTACCACAGCGTTGGCTCCATCAAGCCATCTGTGCATTGTGACGGGTGTTCCGGACTGAACAATGACTGCAGTGTTGGGATTTGCGGCACAAACGGCCTTGATAAGCTCGTCGGAGCCCTCAGGAAGATCCATATGCTTGCGGTCGTAGCCCTCGGACTCCCAGTCCTTGTTCAGACCCATGCAAAGAACAACCTGATCAACCTCCTTGGCCAACTCGACAGCGCGCTTGCGCTCCTGCTCATAATCGATGACGCGCTCGCAGCCGACACGGAAGCCACCGGCACCGAAGGCGGTGGCGCCGCTTGACGCAAGAGTCATGGTGGGAAGAGTACCAAATGTGATCAATATTTGGTAGCTCTTGCCCTTCTCAAGATGCATCCGACCTAACTCCTCGCGCGTGCCAGAGCCGAAGAAGGAGTCTCCCTTGACTTGTTTGGTCTCGTTGTCGACGACAAGCTTGCCATCCACAAATACCTTACCGGTACCAGCGACTGAGATGCTGAATTCGTACTCGGTGGTTTCTTCGACTTCCAGAGTGCCCTCAATTGTAGCATAAAACAGGAAGTCTTTGGGAATAGCCGGGTTCTTGTAGTCCGCAAGGAGCACATCGGATGTGGAGATGAAGAGCTCATCAAAGGGTTTTCGGCTATGATTGGAGGGTGGATCGAGGTACACTTTCATGTCCAGCCCATGCTTGCCACTCTTGGCCTTGACTCGTTGCTCGAGGAGGGGCAGCTTTTTCCAGCCAGGCGCGCCAAGAGCATACTTTGTCTTGGAGCACGCGGCCTGAACGCCATCAAGAGGCGAGCGAGCATAATATGGTAGGAGTGAGGCTGACCCACCACCACTGAAGGCTGCAACAGTTGCGTTGGGTCCGATAACGGCCGTGGTCTTCTCCTTGCTGAACGGAAGCACTCTCTTCGCATTCTTGAGAAGCACAAGCCCATTTGAGCCAATTGTTCGTAGCAGTTTGGCTGTCTCTGGGGTGTCGACGGTCGATTCTTTCTGGTCCTCTGGAATTCCTAACGGTTGAGTCCGCTTGATCAGTCTGAGAACCTCACGAACGCAGGGGTCGAGGTCTTTGGGAAGCAGTTTGCGGCAATTGAGAGCCTGCGAGACCTGCTCGCCCCGGGCGTACGAAGGTCCAGGCATCTCGAGGTCCAGGCCGGCTTTTATCGATTCGGCAGCGGAGTATGTGCCAAACCAGTCACTCATGACTAGACCTTCGAATCCCCACTCTTCCCGGAGGATCTGCTGGAGGATTCTGGGGTTCTCGCTCAGATGGGTGCCGTTAAGGCGGTTGTAAGCGGTCATGTAGCACCATGGCTTAGCATCTCGCTGTGCAATTTGGAAAGGCATCAGGTAGATCTCTCGAAGAGCTCGCTCGCTGACGATAGAATCAACCGACATGCGCTCATGCTCCTGGTCGTTGGTGACGAAATGCTTGGCCGTGGCACCCACACCCGTGCTCTGAATACCCCTAACGGTGGCACTCGTCATCTCGCCGGCGAGAACAGGATCCTCGCTGAAGCTCTCGAAACCTCTGCCACCCAATGGGCTGCGCTGCATGTTGGTCGTCGGTCCCAGAATGACCACTGCACCCTTCGCCTTGGCCTCGGCACCTTGCAGCTCGCCACCCCGGTGGATAAGGTCGGTGTCCCATGTCGCTGCTAAGCCAGTGCCGCAAGGGAGGCAGGCGGCGGGTACGCCCTGGAAGAAACGAGTACCACGGACACCATTGGGGCCGTCAGAGACACGGATGGAGGGGACACCCAGACGATGTACTGGAAAAGTGTGCCAGAAATCGATGCCGGATAGCAGAGAGATCTTCTCAACGGTGTCTAGCTTAGTGAGGACGTCTTCGATGTCGAAGTGCCCTAAGGGTGGATGTTGGGTCATGGCTGTGTGTGTGAGTCTGACGGAGAGAATTGGGTCTGTCGGGAGAAAAAGAAGAGAAATCTGAGAGGATTGAGAAAGGATGGATGTTCTTGGACAAACAAAAGTAATACTATATGGGTCACCCAGGTGCCACGGAGGGCGGGCAGTCGTCACTACGGCAGTCGTGCCGATGCCTGTGTCTGGAGCGTTTGCAGCAGCGGGGAGTTTCGGCCTTAACCAAGCCTACCTTTGAGTCGACTTTTGCGAGCATATCCGTGCTTGCGAGGACGCCGTTGGACGGAGAAAATGTTTGTGTTACGGAGAAATTTGAGCGTGGAGAAAGGCGGAGGTTCAACTTTGAATGTGGAGTTCTCGCTCTTGGGGGCTGCCGGTAACCCGAAGTTTAGCCTCAACATCTGCAGGTGGGGGGGCATGGAAGCCCTCTGCGCCTGCTACAGCTACACCGCAGCTTCGGATCCAGTGGCTACTTGAGGCGGATGACACCGGACTCCTTGTGCATTTGATACCATCCCCAGATGCTGTGAACGGGCACTCGGCCAATCTGCTCGGCGTAACTGCTTCGACGAGCGAGGCGGCATCTTGATCGCCCACTCCCTTGCAGCACATCATGGACCTTGCCATGCTTCGATGACTCTCCAAACGTTATCCCCAGTGTCCATCTCATCGCCCGCCTGTATCGTTTTCTTACATAGCCACCAAGCAAGCGGCGACACAGATTCCTCCTTAAGACTCACACCCGTTGGCCAAAGATCCCCATATCGCGCTTGATCCCACCATTGATGCATCTCATCGCGATATGTGTAGGTCCAGCGCTCCACATCAACAGGCTCCGTGGCCCTTATGCTCTGACAGTGTGGTCCCACACGAATAATTCTTCCCTTGGGTAAGCCTGTATCTCCTTGTACCGCAACGGTCTCGGCCACGTAGCAGGGAAACAATCCGAGACCATATTCCGGTGCCAGCTTCGGAGAGGTCCAGTACTCCTTATACATGCTCTGCTCCCCGGATACTGGGTGTCTCATCACACCCACCTCCATGCTATCACCGTTGGGCAGGTCAAACATATCGCCCTCGTCCACGATGCCCGGCCCACGCGAATCGATTTCATGCTGCCAGACGGAGTGCGTCGCGTATGGCCACGCCGGGAAGCTGCCCTGCTGCGGGGTTCTGGTGATGGACCGTCCCGAAAAGGACCAGTACGATGGATGGTGGTCGAAGCCTTTACGTCCAGGCAGGGTGCTGTAATCTAGCGGAAAGCGAATGTCGACAAATCGGCCTTCAGGCGAGGTCAAGACCAAGGTACTGGTATCCTCGTATGGCGGCGAAAAGCCCCACGCTATGCCTTTGCGTATCGATATTGACGGTAGTCTGACGTTGCTTTCGGCCATCTCGGTCTAATAGGAGTTGTGTGGTGTGTACGAAAGGCGAAGCCCCAGGCACTGCAGCAGAAACCCGGGTGGTGGGTGTCTGCACTAGTCTCGTTACGACCTAGCGCACATATGGAGGTCGCCGTGTTGCCTTATGGTAGTTCAAACAGGAATACCAAGTCAGCACTGTTGCTTGCAGCTGACTGGCTTGCGAGCTGGGATCATTCGCCAACATGTGGCCCAGAAACTGCACATTCGCGGATCGCCTACTCTGTACACTGCTGGACAGCATATTCCGGTGCTTCGTCAGGTTTGCATCGACATGGCCTCCCACAAGTCGCGAGTGTCTGTTTTCATGCTTTCTGGATCATTGGAACCGACTTCGATCCCACTCTTGCCACTGGTCTTTTCCCTCTCCCATCTAGAGAACCTTGCCCTCCAACATACCCGTGCCTCTACTCGAGAAAATCCCCATGATCCCGAACCCCGAATAAAACAGCGCCAGGGGATATGCCACCAAGCCTCGCATGCCGCTCATCCGTCCGACGCTCACAAACATTCCCGAGCTCGAGAACGTGCACCAACCCACCGCTCCGGCCGTCAGGACATACCCCAGCACGCTGTCCATCGGCACAGCTACGCCCATCAAAGACGTAAACACCAACGGCAAGAAACAGTACCCCAGCACACTGGCGGACCGGCTGTAAGTCAGTGTTGATGAGAAATGCCCGCCATGTGCACCCGAGGCAGCATGGTCTCGCTGGCCCTGCGCCATGTGGTCCGGCCCAGGATCGGAAGGGTCCATTGGCGGAGTCATGAGCGCAAAGATCCAGTGTAGCGCGATGCTGCCAAACAGGGCGATCCCATAGATGTACCCGTAGAAGAATTTTCCCGACAATGCCAGAAAGGTGCCGTAGAGGATGAGGAACAGCAGGCCACCGTAGAGATCGCTGTCGTCCATAATGTGTGGGGAGGGGCGGGAGAGGGGGTTCAGCACCGCGACCGTCTGCGCTTCTGTGTTAGCTCTGGCTTTCAAAAGATCTTTTGTGGGAGAAGAAAACCGACTTTTGTCTTAATATGCCCGAAATTCACCCCCAGCTCCTCCATCAGACTGGGCTCGCCATCGTAGCCTTCGGTGCCAAACGCTGCCAGCCACCCGGTGCGCAGGCCGCCCTGCTCGCCCATGCGTCCACTCACGCCCGGCCCACCACCGAAGCCCGAAGGCCCTGAAGCGCCATAGGCGGGCGGGTACGCCGCCGCAGCGCCGCCTGTGTAGCCGCCGTAGCTTGCTTGTGAGGGCGTGGTGTGCCCCGATACGGCATCATACGACGAGCTGAAGAACTGTAGATTCTGGGCCGAAGAAGCGGCTTGCTGCTGTGGTTGGTAGCCTTGGTTGTAGTAGGACATTTTGGCTATTGTGGAGGGATGTGTGGCGAGCGGTGGCAGGACGTGCTGGCCGTGAGGCCACAAATGTGATGGATGTCGTTCGTGCGCGATGCGGCGGCTGACGTAGGCTGAAGCGCTACGGCCGTCTGGAGGCGAGGAACGCTGGATTCGGGGCAGATGCGAGGAGATCTGTGGATTTTGAGCGAGTTTAGGGAGCAGACAAGATTATTTAGAGATGCATGTGCTGAGGTTTCGCAGCCGGTTCAGTGCGGAGTTCCGTTTTGGTTTGGAGACGTTGCCTCGTCTCCTTTTTGCGCCAGCCTGGCTTTTATGCTCATTGCTCACAGAGAAATAGTGCTGCCTAGTATTGCAGCTTTACTGAAGATTGGAATATTTGGGTTTTGCTACAGATGCTCTCTCTATAAAAAGTTGATGCCGATGCCAAACTGAACTCCTTTGCGTGCATCCTCGCCTTTCCGCACCACTAGTGGGAGCGAGAAGTTGAGCTCGAATCTGGCCGCGGGGTGAGCATAGATCAAACCGATACCAGCAGTCGTGCTGGGCAAGCCGTTGCCGAGCTCGGCGATCGCGTTCGACATGCTGCTCTTGACCTCCTCACTGCTCAACGGGCCCTCCTTGTTTCCGCGCAGAGCCAGAAGCCTCCCTGCATTGACGAATGCTTGCAGTCGCAGTGGCCTCTCTGGGCCGACTTTGGGCAGCGGCACCAACAGGCTAGCGCCACCCGCGGCATAGACATCACCGCCTACGGCATCTGAACCATCATGGGGTCCAAGCCCAGACAGTCTGAAGCCGCGCACATCTGTTGGTCCTCCGAGCTGGAATCTGTCGTTAATCTTCGAAAGGGAAGGGTTCGATTGACCGGCCAAGGTAAGGGGATAAAGCATACCAGCACGCAGGCCGGCTGTGAAAGTGACCCCGCTATTTCCCTTAATACCAGGTATAGGTATGGGAACCACCGTCTGTTGCTCAGCTTCGCCTTTGAAGAATGCGACATCTCCCTGTAGCGGCCCGAAGCCCGCCAGCTCTGACATTGTCTTCATATAGTATCCCGTCGATGGTAATGTTGGATTGTCTCGCTTGTCGTTCACCCAGGTGTGTGATATGCTACTCTTGAAAGAATCTCCAGCGTCTGCCCGCACCGTAGGAGATGCATCTTGGGCCAAACCAGTAACAGTCCTCCGGAAGCCATTGTAGCCGAACTCGTGTATGCCGCCTTTGGAGAGCCACCGGAGCTTGCTAAAGCCTCCTCTTAGAGCCTCCTCATGGCACGCAAAGAATTTCTGGGTAGTGCTCTGCAGACCTCCAATTTGGAACCGCAGATCAGGATTGGCGAGAACCGGGACATCCAAGGCAGCGGAATATGAGGAACGTGTCTTGGTGCCGAAGGAAGCATTCACATCGAGGCGTTCAGCGCCACCGAGGATGTTCTTCCACTGTGCATTCGCGTAGGCTGAGCCTTCGGCATTGCCTAGGTCTGTACCGGTCGTAAGAAACAGCCTGCTTTGCTCTTTTACAGAGAAGAATATCGAAAGATCGGTGGGCGTGCTAGCAGCATCGGTCTGTGAGGGCTTGTCGAAGTAAATCGAGACTGCATCGTGGTAGATCCCTGCGCCTGTTAATACAACGTGTCCGCGCCCCTACCACGGAACTCACCAAATCCTCTGAGTTTCTCAGCAACGGCCGCAGACTCTCTAATCAATTCTGACTGTGTGTAGGGCCGGTCGCGGTTGGCACTTAAGAGCGGATTGACGACTCGCTCGAGGAACGCATGTCGGGTCTTTGGTGCCCCTAGGACAGTCACCGAAGAGACTGTGGTAGGTAAAGTGGAGTTGTCGTCAATCAATTCAGCAAGCCGGTCTTGACGCTTCTGGAACGTGGTGTTCAGCTGTTCCGTGATAGCTTCATGTCGCCTCTCGAGGTCCTTGGGATCGGCTCGCTTGAGCTTGGAGAAGATGTCATCCGACTCTTCTGTGGCGGCCGAGGCCATCGAGGCCGGTTTCGTACGTGGATGGAGTGTGCGTGACAAGTCACGAAATGTGCGCGTGCATACTGAGCTTCTCCGGCCGTACAGGCTCGTGCCGATCGGGAGCTCGCTAGAGCTTCGAAATGCCAAGCTCCAGGTACTTCTGGTTCAGCCTCACACGTGATCGTCGAGTACGACTATCTCCCAGCCTCGTTGTGTTCAGCTCTATTCTAGAACGCTCATGTAGTATACTATCTATGTTTATATTCAGTATCTAATCAAAACCTTACACCTATTTGACTTCTTCTACTCAAGTCTTCTTCTCCATAAAGGGTTGGCATGCATAATACACCTCACCGAAGCCGGGGTACCGGATGATCCTCTGAAACACCCCTTCATCCACCACCCTCGCACTCTGAAGAGACCCCGTAATGAAGAAGTCGGTGTAGCTGGGTCGGGCTCCCAGGACGAACGGACCGTCCGCCTGGTGCGTTCGGATCAGCTCGCCGACGCGGTCCATAGCCTTGGCCACAGAGGCCCAGCTTTGCTCTTCCTTATCTCCCTCAAGCAAGTCCTCGAGGCGGTGCCCGAGCGCGGCTTCGCGAGTGCGCCGGAAGTACTCCTGCCCACGCTGGGTCAGGATGTGTATCTCGCGTGGCAGGACCGCCGTGCGGAAGGCTGGGCCAATGGCTGAACGCGACTCTGCCTCGATCTGGCGGCCCAGCTCCGATGTCAGCGGCACTGGCGAGTTCGGATACGTCGACTCGAGAAACTCTGAGATGGGCTTCGAGTCCATTAAGTACGTGTTTGTGGGCATATGATGAATAGCTGGTACTGTGTATTGACCAGGAGAGCCTGAAGCAGATTCAGGGGGGACCAGACCTCTAAAGAACCTGATGTCAGTATATCTCTAACAACTGCCTCCGTCGGCCTTGCTGCTCATGCATCTAGAGTGCAGACGGGTGTCAAGCCGCAGCCTTCGTAGTCGAGGAGAACGAAGAGCGAAGGCACGTGTGTGCCACTTACAGTTCTTTTAAAGTGGGTTCGATATCTGGGAAATCAAGAAAGACAGTCCTGTAGGAGACTTGCTTGTAGTTGAGCATGAGACGGATTCGCCAGACAACGGGAGAAAAGCATATGTTCTTGGTGCTGTCTAAGTCATACAGAATGATCTCGGGCTCATTGTGGGTGGCCATGTTGAACGAATTTTAGAAGTAAACACACTCGCCGAGCTGCACCATGGTCGACTTTATGCACGCGCGCAAACAGCACTGACGTTGGTGGGATACTCGACGTATTGACAGGATCCGAAAGTACGTGGAATGGCTGGCGCCTGAATGGTAAAGCAGCTTCCTATTCCGGCTGGAGAAGACCGAACTCGATTCGATCGTGGTTCACTCGCCGTTGTTCTATATCACGATACATCGCGTTTTTGGGAGTTCCCCACATCGCAGCTCTGTCTTAATTCCGATGGTTGTCGGAGACGACGTACAATTAATGCAAGAGCAAGTTGCAAACTAGGGCTAGGTGACATTCTCGACTGCTACACTATGCTAGCCTACGTCTATGCCGTCGCCGTTGGGGCTTGTCCGGACACGCGCAGTCTCCATGCCCCGCGCTGAACAGCGCAGTGAAGGTAATGGTCGCACTGAAGCGTAAATGTTAGGCCTGCTTGTGGCTGTCGCGGAGCGGACCCGTGGCCTGTGACGAATGTGGCTGTTCATGTAGGAGCCCTATTCATGCAGTCCTGCACACCATGCAATGCGCAGCCCTGACCCCTCAACGCCGCTCTCGTTCGGTGGTGTTAATAGTAGCACTCTTCAGCAGTCTCAAACCACAGACCTGTATCCTCCACAAAATGCAGCTCTCGTCATTTGCAGGCCACCAATGTTAGTCGCTCGAGAGCCAGCTTTTCAGGATACATATGGTCGCCTGCGCAGTACTCGCCAGACGAAAGTCGCCATCTAGGCCGGTTCTTTCACTCCACGAGCCGCGACACTGCATTTGGTCGCTTTCTCCTTTTCTTGCTCATCGGTAGATCCATTGGCTTCATCGGATAGCGGGGCATAGCGGTTGGTGATCAACACAGTGGCAGGTCTCTGATTGTTGTCTTCACGCTTCTTGTGAATCTTTCTCTCCACAGGCTGCAAGACTTGATCACACTCATCCTCGAAAAATTCGATGCGAGTGCCTCTGTATTTGAGGCGAGACTGCATGCAGTGACGAGCAGTAATGGCCCATTGGATGCCGTTGGTGGAGATGAAGATATGATTTTCGGTGTTGCTGATGCTCACCACCTCCAAGCGGTGGATGTGCTCTAAATCATCGCGAATAGCCTGTTCAGTCATTTTCTTCTTGGCGAAGCGGATGACGATGTTGCGAGTGGCACCCTGGTTGTAGACTTGACGTTGAATGTATCCAGGTATGTAGTGCTGTCGCTCAGCCCAGGTCACGTCGAGCTATATCTGTTAGAATGGAGTAAGGAGGGTCTTGGGATAAACATACTCGTTTGCCCTTGAGGTAGAGGTCGTTACGCTGGCAGTCCATAACGAACTTCTCGGCAGCCAATGGCTCGACAAATGAGATGAAAGCAGTTCGGTCTCGCTCTCGAATATACATATTGAGGATAATACCTCCACGCACCACTTTGGTAATATCAGCGAGAGTAGTGGATGGGGACAAGCCACGAATCATGATGGATCGATCTTGATGATCATTGCTGCAGTACTCCGGCTCATCCTCATACCGGTCGTTGGCGACATTCGCGACAGTCTCGTACTCGCAAGGCGGGTCCTTCTCCTCGAATTTGAAGGATGGCGGAGTAAGGGGACCCCCGTATATAGGTTTGACTCCATCGGCGCCATCGTTGAGAGGCGATCCGATATTCGGTACGAAGACAGGGGCGTTGGCGGTCCAGCGTGTCTTCTGTGGAGACACCACGAGCTCACTACCCGGCTTCGCGGGACTGGTCGTTTCACTGACAAAGGCATCTGGATCGAGCTGCGACTCGATGAGGGTCTCAAGATTCTCGGAGCTCACTCCAGCAACCGTCAACGCCTTTCTGAGTGCTTCATATTCTTTGGACGCTTGCAGCTGCGTGACTCAGTATCAGTGTAATTGCTGGGCATCTTTTCATACCAGAACGCGATGGTAGGCAGCATTGATCGTTACATGGGCATCGTCATCGTGCTATGTGAGAAGGGTCAGACGAAGAGTCGAAGCCTAGGGCCGCCAAGGGGCGCTGCTAGCTTACCAGCTCAGCTCTGTGGGGCAAGATTAGCCTCTGATGACGATCAATGTGGGCACCATTAGAGCTATGTACCTTCTCAACAGCATACTGAAATGCTCTTCAGTGATTTTGATTGTTGGCATGCTGGAGTGATGTGACTAAAGAGATTCGTAACGTTAGCAAGCGTTTGTTTGTTTGACTTGCAATACAGGTACTGCGCAGATGGACCTTGAATGCGCCTGCCTGCATTCTGCCTGGACTGCGTTGGCTGCAGCCCACCGCCACCTTTAGGTCACTTCCAAACACTGCGAGATTACCGCTCCAGTTCAAGCTGCAGGGAAGTCATGGACTCCTGACGGATACACGATGGCCCAAAAGATGATTCAAGAGCGGCTTGGTCACTTGTTGTCAGTTGCAGTCTCACCAACATGCTAATTTGATTCAGCTTTTCCTGCTATTGATGCCGCACAATACCTTGATCCCATGCTTGCATGCCGCCAACGATAACTCCCACCCGTGTCGTCGCTACTCTGATCGGTCTTCCTGCGGCATGTAGCATGCTATGAGGTTATTCATAACCGAGCCGAGACGCCCGCTAGGGCCCGAATGTCGACCTGTAATAGGTGAGTGCACGAACTCACATGGCATATCTGAGGACCTACATGCTGTGGCCCAAGTTCATCAAGGGTCTGGACTCCAAGCAACGCCATCGTCGTCTCGATCTCATGTTTCAGGATTTGGACGGCCTGGTTGACCCCTCTCCGTCCGAAAACCATCGAGTACAGGAAGCCCCGACCAACGCCCACGGCACGAGCACCTAGTGCAAGAGCCTTCACCACATCTGACCCTCTCGTGACGCCACCGTCCACGATCACTTCGCATCTCTGCAGTACCTCAGGACAATGCGTCCGGATATCAATCAGAGTTTCTACCGAGGACGGCGCTCCATCCAGCTGCCTGCCGCCATGATTTGACAGCCAGGGATGGACGCCGAATTGCATGCATACTGCGGCATCCTCCCAACATTGAATGCCCTTGATCGCGATGGGCAGATTCGTGATGCTCCGAAGCCATCGGATAGCTGACTCGAAGGTGAAATCAGCGTACACAGGCCTGCTTTCGTCAGCTCCTCTTCCATGCACACTAAGTTGGCAACTGCTCACGGTCTTCTTACGGCGGGCTCTCGCCTGAAAGCTTCCTCATCTTCGGTGTCAGCCTCTCCAGCTGCTTCTTCTTCTTCCTCCTTCAGTCTTGCCCTCAGATCACCTTCTCTTTTCCCCGCCCAAATAGCATCTACCGTTAGTGCCACACCGCCAAACCCCATCTCGACTGCTCTATTTATTTCAGCTTCCGTCAATTTCAAGTTCTTCATCGCATAGATCTGCCAGAATAACACTTGCCCCTCCCTCCTCGCGGCCGCTATGTCGACCTGACTCCGCCCTGCATTATTGCATACACAGTGGAGGATTCCATTATCACCAGCTGCTTCTGTCAGCAGGACGTCGCCTTCCGGGTGGCATAGTTTGGCGCCACCAGCAGGACATATGATCAGGGGCAGCTTGAACTTCGCTCCCAAAATTGTCCGCTTCATATCCAATTGCGCAATGGGCCGCAATACCCGAGGCCGGAGTCGTACAGCCTGCCAGCTACGCCGATTCCATTCGAGTGCTTGGTTGTCTTCCGCTCCGGTCGACAGGAACGCGAATGATGTGGGAGGAAGGATGTTTTGTGCTGCGGAGGTGAAGTCTGAGATGCTGATCATCGACGAAAGTCTGGGCGCTCGCCGGCCTGCTGGAACGACTACACTTGTGGAAGAAGCCCATCCATTTGTGTTACTGTTGGAGGCAGTAGCTGCCAGAGCTTCCACGGGCCCAAGACATTGCTCAGAGGTGAGGTACTTTTCCAGAGTATCTGAGGCATGCACCGGCTCAAACGCCGCTGTTGCATCGCTACCAGCATACTTCAATATGATTGCAGCGCCACCAGGATGAGCGTCTATGAAGTTGGTGACGTTGTAAGCGGCGTTGTTGATGATAACCCAGCAAGAGTCTCTGCTAGCATGAGTGCTGACCTCTTCCCTGTCATTCTAGTGAGTCTTAGCAAAGACGACACCCTCCTTGTAGATGGCTCACCTAGTCAACATCCTTAGGACTATGTCTCTGCGTACAACCCACTGATTTTCCGACCCTTGGTGACTTAACGTCTACACACAGGTCTGCACAACCACCCAATCAAGATCCGGATGCTGGCAAATCACTTGGTCAGACACCGGCCCATGCAAACAGTTTGCGGGCCGCAGACGATGCTGATCAACAATACTGCGACCTTATCTACAGCCTCGGCAGGATTGTCGGAAATGTACCTGCTGCTTCAGACCATGATGGCCTGAAAGAATGCCCGGCAAGGCAGTACATTTCCGATCGCTCGGCAGTTCTCCACGATGTCGCATAACTCCTTCCCGGGCCTCTCAGGCCCCCCTCCTTGTGCAGGTAGTAACTTGATCAAGATTCAATTCAGCTCCCAGGGTCTGACATACTTCCAGATGTGCTCCGAGTAGACGGTCTACAGTCGGCTAAAAGATCCTACAACCATGGAGGCTGTATGCAAGGAGATAGCCAAGGAGACGATCAAGTTTGGCCCAGGGGATGAAGAGGTGAGCCTGACTAACTATCCTACTCTTAGCGGGCTCCTGGACAGCACTGACCTTATTGTGGTGGCTAGAAATGGCGCCTCCTCTTTGAGCCCCTTATCACCACTGGCCCTGCCAACATTACAGTTCATCGCGACCAGCGCTATGGGCCCGCCTCAAGGAATCTCCTTGACGTATTCGTGCCCCCATTCCCTGACCCTCATAAACCTGTTCTTCTTTACATACACGGCGGCGGGTTTACTTCTGGTGACAAGGCCTGGTCACCCATCGTCTACTCGAATGTTGGATTCCACTTTGCCTCGCGTGGCATAGTCACCGTCGTTGCCAACCATCAACTTGTACCCGATGTCGTCTACCCAGGCGGCGCAGAGGACATTCAATTAATCCGTGAATGGATCTACAGTGACATCGCCGATGAGAAATTCGGACGGGGCAGCCCCGAAAAGGTCGTGCTGTTTGGCCACAGCTCCGGCGGCGCCCACATTGCCATGAACCTGTACGCCGCTGGGGACCCGGAACGACCCCAGCGCCAGGCGCTACACCCACCCGTTGCGGGCGTCATCTACCTCGACTGCCCCTTCTGGATGGACACGAGGAAGCCCGGCCGGCAGTTCAGCCTCGGCGCTTACTTTGGAAGCTTCGCCGACGAGGTATGGTATCCCAAAGGTCCCCTCGGGCTCTTTGAACGCCTACCAGATCACTCGCCGGTTCTGGATAGTCGAAAGCTGCCTGTATTCCTGGGCACCGTGGAGTGGGAGGTGCCCGAGACGAGCGAGGCGACGATGCGATTCTTCAACGCGTACCGGAAGAGGAGTCGGCCGGAGGGGACTCTGCCGCTCATGAGAGTATTTCCTGGGCACAATCATCTGAGTTGTGTTTTAAGCGTGGGCACGGAAGACGGATCAGTGAGTGGACCGCTGGAAGAGTTTGTGCTCAACTGCTGCCGGGGTGAGGAGTGAGTGGGCCTCTGCTTCTGCAAGGGGTGAGAACAGGAGCTGACACCGGTAGGAAAAGAGTCACTGACCAGAAGGGCAGTAACGAGGGCATTGTAGAGCTGCGGACAAGGTCTCAACTGTAGTTTCATGGCTCTATCATCAGGCAGTAAAAGTCTTGGCGTCACTCATGCCTGTGGTACATCTCTGCCTTCAGTGATGCGATGCAGTGACCTCCTCTCCAGATACGATGCGAGACGGCTGGCGGCAGGTCACATAGACTTTTACAAGATAGTGACAGCACTGATGATAGCGTGGCTCTTTGGTGAACGACAGATTTACCTAATCTCGGGCAGATATAACCTCTCAGACTCCTTCAACATCCATCGTTGGCGTGATACTCCGGAACAGCATCGAAACGGTACGCCATGACCCATTGTGTCGGGCCTTACCAATCCTCTGATCGCTAGCCTCGTCACAACGGATACCTGAAGCTCTTCAGCTGGAAATCGGTCAGATCCGCAAACTCCTCGTTTTCCACCTGGCGCTCCTCGCCTTCCACCGCCGCCCTCTTATCCCGCCTCGTATTCCACACGCGGTGAAGTACCCCATAGCAAGCCAACAGCAGTGCCGTGAAGATCAAGAACGCCAACATCGTGTACTTGGCCACGTAGTAGTTCGGTGCGTCACTGCCTTGGAATGTCTGGGGCCCAATGATGTTGCCCACAGCATAGCCAAGTTGGTACGCGGCACCAAAGGCGAACTTCTTGGTCGAACCACCGACTCCAGCCGTCATGAATGTGATGATGAACAGAACGCAGATCGGGAATTGCATGAGAAGGATAAAGCCACCGTAGCGTGCTCCGTGGTTGGCCTCCGGGATGGCAAGCATCATAACTGTGCCGATGACAGCAAGGACTAGTGTATACACACCTGCAATGGTGCGGTTCGTGAGTTTGGCGATCTGAATATGTCAGTAAGAAGAGACAGAAAGGGATGTCCTATTACTTACGTAAAGCGCCACGACCGTGCCCAGAACTTGTGCAGAACCAGAACCCATATTGAGGAGAGTTGTCTGCGAGACGGAGAAGCCGAAAGCAGAGATGATGGTCGGCCCGAAGGCGGTGACGCCTCCGTTGGGAAGACCGGTGCATACAAGCAACATGAAAATCATATAAAACCGGATGTCGAGGAACGCTTCTTTTAGTTGAGAGGCGTTGAACTTCCAGACTTCGGTGCCAGTCTTGTTGGAGCGCACACGCTCTAGGGCTATGACTTTTTCCGAGTCCGTGAGCCATTTGGCCTCGGTCGGGGAAGCAGGGAGGAAGAAAAATAGGACAACACCGGTGAAAAATGTCAAGCCACCGTAGAGGACGAAGAGGCCTTGCCAGCGGAAGGAAGGAGCCTGGTAGATGCACCAGGAGAAGAAACCACCGAAGACGGCTGCCCATCCTGAGGTTGTATACCAGATCGCAACTCTGACTACCTGCTCTTTTTTCGTATAGAAGGACCCCGTGATGTATATCACTGCGGGAGCTGTGCAGACCTCTATAGAAATTGGAAGATTTGAGTCAGTAGCTATATCTGGTGCCGGAATGGCACTGAGCGAAGACAGGGAAAGTCTCAGGCGTTTCAGATTGAGTCACTCACCAATGAAGCCAAGAAGGAATCGGACAGCAGCCAGGCTGGCGAAGTTGTGGCATACAGCGTGCATGGCCACAACAACGCCCCAGAGCATGCACATGACCGCAAGGTAGCGCGCGAGAGGGACGCGCTGCATGAGGTACGTTGCTGGAATCTCGCCACCGAGGTAGCCAAAGCTAGGATAGGTGTTAGCGGGTGACTCGTCAGATAGGCTCTTCAGGCTTACTAGACGATACTTCCGAGCCAACTATACTGCGAGGGCGACAAGTTGGCATCCTGTCTGATTCCCATGATTGCGGCAAAGCTGAGAGAATTCTTGTCCATCAACTGTAGTAAATAGACAGTGAAGACCATTGGCATCACTCGCCAATCTATCTTCCTCAGCACACGTTTAGCCTCTTCAGAGGCTGGGTCGAAGTCGATGTGATGCCCTGCAAGCAGATCGAGAGCTTTGTCGCCCCTGGCCGCGGTCTTGATGCTGCCTGTTTCGGCGTCGACGACGTGTGATCCCTGCAGATATTGTCAACATGTGTGTTGCTGTATGATTGTAACTTAAGTCGTGCCTTGTCCATGGTGTTGTCTTTGCTGACAGAATTACTCTTCTCTGAGGTAGACATCTGTGTTTCCTCCACCACAAAGGCTTGTGGTCTGCCAACGGTATCCTGCTCTGAAGACAGGATCAGAGAAAAGCTGATGGGTGGTAGTTTATCAACGATTTTAGACCCGCTTCCCCACACATATAAGGCAGATCCCTATCTTTTGAGGGTCTCCACCTCGCGCTTGCCAAAGGAGAAGCGATACAGCCGGGAGAAGATATGCATGCTCGTCCCCTCACTCCTGCTCAGCCAAGAGCGCTTGTGTTATCTCGGAAATGTACCGAGGGTACACAGCCGAGATAGATCACAGCCCTACTGATACCCGCTAGTCCCAGAATACTTATCCGCGACTTTTGTACCACATCTTCAACGGATCGAAGTCGAAGCGAAGATAAGAACGACCTGAGACTTGCGTGGCGCTTATGAGACCCCAGTGATTAAGCCCAAAGGCCAAAGCCCAGAACATCCAGACCCAACCCTATTGTACTAGCCCAAGGCCCAAAAGACATGGCTGAGAGACTCGTGCCTGTCATATCTCTTGCTGGCAAGTCGTCCGCTTCTACTCTCTTACCGAAAGTAATGAAATCATACTAAGCGCTGTCAGACTTCATCAACCGCAAGGTTGAGATAACCAGACAATTAGTCGAGGCTGCCGAGAATACAGGTTTCTTCACTCTTGTTGACCACGGTATTTCGAGAGAAGAGATAGAGGCCGAGTTCGCCATCTCGAAGAGGTTCTTCGATCTATCGCCTGACGTGAAGGGCAAGACTCCTCATGAAACCAAAACCAATAATGGCTGGGAATTCAAGGTACGTTTTCGATGTCATCTTGTACTTGACTAACGACCGCTGTTGTCCAAAAGGCCCAACTGCGTCCCAGCACCGGAACATATGATCAGAAAGAATCGTTATGGCTGTCGTCGACATCCGCGTGGCCTAGTAACGACGATGTGCCTGGTTTCCGCAAGACCACAGAGGCTTTCATAGGAAAGTGTCGGACCATCTCTGACCAAGTCTGTGAGTGAATCAAGTACTAGGTGAGCAGAGTTGTTCCTGGACTAACGCTACCATCTACTAGTATCATGCTTCGCCGTTGCCCTAGGATTCCCTGAGGACTATTTCAGAATCGCCAATGATCCAGCACAGCCAGACTGCTTGACGCAGCTAAGATTGATCCACTATCCGCCCTCGGAGAATGCAGTGGGAACTTGGCGTGCAGGAAGTCATACGGACATTGGGTGCCTGACGCTGCTCTTTCAGCGTGATGGTGAGGATGGGCTGGAGATCTGCCCAGGCCGCGACACCCACTCAAGCTTCGCCATGGGTGACTCTTTCACGCCCCTCCCGGCGCAGACTGGTCCGATAGTAGTCAATATCGGTGATATGCTAAGTTGGTCAATTCTGAGACACGTTCGATCACCTGGCTGACTTTTATGGCAGTGGCCTGGTCTGATGACCGGTTGAAGTCAAATTTCCACCGAGTCCGAGCGAAGGACGTTGGCAGATCTCCCTCGCGATATTCGATTGCCTACTTCAACCAGTGCAGGCGGGACTTTGTGCTGCAGGGTCCGCAGAAGAAGTAGTGAGTCCTGATTCCTTGCATCATAGCGAACCCAGTGGATTTCCAAAGCTGACAGTCTGCGTTTAGTCCACCGGTTACAGTTGGCGAATACTTCAAAGAAGCCGTGGCAAAGAATTTCGAGCGACAGCAAGCTGTTGCGGCTACCTCGTGACTTATAAAAGATGGTTGAACGGTTTAGTGATACCTACCGTTCTAGCAGATAGGCTACTTGTTCATAGCCGAAGCATGCGCGATGCTTGCTGGCAATGACAGTCTGCGGTACGAGCTGGCAGAGTACTCGAGACTACTACCGAGACATAACTATATCCTGGGGTTGGGTCACCGAATGAGGACCATGACAGCATTCATTGTAACACTCATTTCTGCCACAGGTCTATATTTTTGGCCAAGAATCCATCGTCTATTTCAATCCGCAAGTAGAACTTTGTCAGTGTGATACTGCGAAGCGATGTTTGTTATGTATGAATATAGCTAAGCCTTCCAAGGCTGGCTGGCTCCCGACGGCACTGATAAGCCACGCCCCGCAATCTCGGCATCCGGGTGCACTGCCCTGGCTAGGGTTGGCCCTAATAACATGAGTCCGTGCAAAACCTCTGTAGAGCTCGCGCGCCCCAGTGCGGCTTCTCCTTCTCGCTGATGTGTTTCGTCGATCAAGCAGAAGTATCATCATCATTGACCGAGTCGATGCGCAGAATGCGATTGCCAGTGTGTCGGGAAAGGTAGTTACTCATGCCGCGACCAAAGCCACGGCCCGAGCAACGACAACGAAGCTCTAAGGCGTGCGTGCCTTGCAAAGCGTCCAAGATCAAATGTAACGCTCAAAGTCCTTGCGCCTCGTGCGCGCGGCGAGGTAGAGAGTCGTCTTGTATCTATTCTGGCGTCGATGGCCGCCAACGGCTGTCCGATCGGTCTGGTGGGGCAGCAATGAGTCGTGTGATGTTCGGTGCGAGTGTGCACTCAGTTGATGAGATGTCGCCGAGGAGTATTGTCTTGGATCCGACGCTCTCAACAAGCACTTCGACGCCCATCGTCTCAGCGGCTCGAGGCAGGTCCCGGCCATCGCAAACGGGCTCTTCAGCATGGCCTCCTTCCAACATTAAAGGTAGCTCCTTAAGCACTTCGAAGCCTTTTGGGCTGGGCTAATCTAGCCTCTCAAATCAGTCGCCGACGGTGAGACTGCATCGTCATCGTTCCTACAGTATCTTCGAGAAACTATTCACCCATATGTGGGATCAACATCGTTCACCGAAGGCTCGACCCACGACCGGCTTCTTGATATAGACCAACCGGAACCCAGGCCTGAGCTGATTGCGAATTTGTCATATGATTGTTCTGCGTTGTTTGAACACTACTTGGAAGCCGTGCGTGACTATGGCTTGTGTGAAGTCTTGCTGAACGCTGACGGACTTCACAGACGAGTGGACTCCTCGATCTATTCACAGCTGATGAAATAGACACGATCATCACTCAGTTGAGGTCATCCACGCAGCCCATGCCGTTCATCTCAAACAACGATGAAGACGCCGCTGGGCTGCATATAGCTCTCGCCATTGGAGCACAAGTACATGGTGCAGCTGCCGAGCTCAAAGACGTCTCAGCCACTTACTTCTGCCGCGGCCGCCAAGTCGCCTTTGACAGCATGCTCGGGTCACAGAGCCTTGGAATGATCCGGCTATTCACTCTGCTTGCGGTGTATATGATCGGAGCCTGTCAAAGAGATACGGCATGTATGTACTTGGGCGTAGCCGCGAAGGCGGCTACAGTTCTTGGTTTGCATAGGCCGGACAGCTATCACAACCTTGCCGGAGACGATGCCGCAGCAAGGTATTGTCTCGCCCTCTTTTCCGAATAGCGTGCCGATACTGACCCTAATGTATCAGAACTCGTATCTGGAACAGCCTGCGCAACGTTGACATCCTGTCCAGCTTCATCTTTGGCAGACCGAAGAGTATTCCCACTGTACGACAGACTTTCGGCCTAACGCATGTTTCTATCGACTGCGCGGGCCAGGTTCAATCTGCATTCACCGCCATTGCCGCAGGTTGCTCGTTGCTGGAGGAGATCGTCGAAAGGCTCAGTTACGGGAAGATTCTCCACGTTCCCACCGCCGAGACCCTTCTTGCCAACCTGCGAGGGTGGACCTCATCCCTACCTCCTGTGCTACGAAGAATTACTTTCAGCAATGTATCGGCTGCGTCGCCGGCCGCTCGATTCGCTGTTTCACCACCGGAACTTGAAGGTCAAACTACCATCCGAACCCCCAGATCTGATGACCGCCAGACGCTTACAGGAAGTCTACACGTCTCATGCGTGTACTACTTTTGTGTGATTTTAATCACTCGTCCATTCTTGATCGCCTACCTCCTGTCACGTCTCCGTGGACGCGCCCCGGACCAGTTGATCTCCGACCCCGCGGAAGCGTCCGATATGGCCATCAAGAATAGCACTGTCTCGAAAATGGCCCAAGTCTGTGTCAGTGCTGCCATACACACAGCCGACACCTGTGCCAGTGCCAAGGCCAATGGATTTCCCTTTGGCAATCTCTGCTTACTCAAGGCATGGGTCTTCGGTGCAGGTCTGGTCCTGGGCTTTAGCAAGTTTGCTGGCGAGCCCCGCAAAGATATAGATCGCTCATTTGACCACGTATGTGACATCTTGAACGACATCGCGGCAACAAGCCCACAAGCCAGATTGTATGGCGATATTCTAGAGTCGCTGCGCGAGGCGGTTGCCAAATGGCACAACCGAGTCACCTGCGAAGTCAAGCGAACTGTACAGGAGTACATGGACAACATTTTAGAGATCGAAGGCTCGTCGACCCTGGCTAGTGCGTCGCGGTCGCAGAACTCCAACATCGCCGGCCACCGAAGAGCCTTCGAGTCGCAGGATCCAACCAATGCAGGCGAACTGAACGATCCTTGGGCTGGCAGTACACCGCTATCGAGTTCAGAGGTGCTCCACCATCTTGGGTTTGGGGATATGTCGAGCGAATACGGCTACGACTTGATGTTCAACTTTGAGCCGTTTGAGAAACTATTCTACAGCGTCGAATAAGAGTTGAGCCTTTCTTTCTCGGCAATGAGCCCTGCTAACCGCTGAGACTGTGGCTCTCTGCTTAAGTCCCAGAAACACATCAATTGTACGTGCTAAAGCTAGTTTTTTCAGTGTTCCTCTTGAGCCACATCAAAGCTAGGGCTCCAGCTCTTGCCTCACCTGCATGTATATCTTGTATATAGACTTGCTGTGGCCGGCGAGGGGTTGACTTCGTTTCCAGGCAACTTCATTGTCGCTAACATGGTGCCCGAGAATGTTTGCACAAGCTTCACAGTAGCCTCAATGTGCAGGACAGATACTGTACTCAGTAGAGGTCTAAGAGGCTGTCAGCTGTCGCAGTAGGCTGCTAGATCAAGCCTTGTCGATCCAAGGGCTAATTCAAGCCCGATATGCACCGTGCATAATGCAACGTTGTAGAGAGTTTAGCCTAAAGCTTGTTATCTTAAATGCACGTTGGTAGTATTTGCTCCTGACTCTCTGCTTTCTCCCAGTCCGTACTCAAGGCTCTAGGAGGGAGAGATTCAAGCCGTCTAGAGGTCGTACCTGAATCTTAGACAAGAACAAGTTCGTACTCTGCTGACGCAATGTCTACCGGACCAGATTCTGGACTATTACCAAAGGTTTGATGGATAATCGTGGGCGGGGGTTCTGCTGGCTGTGTTCTCGCGGCACGACTTTCATGCCGGGCACCACATCTGAAGTTCCTTCTGCTTGAAGCCGGCCCCGACAATAATGATGATTTTCATGTACCCGCTCCGTTAACGAGTCGTGGCATGTTCGGGCAGGAGAAATATGACTGGTGCCTACGCTCTGTACCGCAAGCAGGACTCAATGGACGCGAGGTTTCGCAAACGCGAGGGAAGCTGCTCGGCGGCAGTAGTGCTATCGATTCGCACTCTCCAGTATATCCTAACCGGGGGATGCACGACGCGTGGGCAGGCCTGGTGGGAGATCAAAGGGGGGCCTGGGAGGGTATAGAGGATTGCTACAAGAAGTTTCAGCACGTTGTCGCTGAAGGTGGGGGTTCCGGTCTGTTCAAAGGCCCCGTTAAGGCATCGTTGCCTCTCAAGTTGAATCGGCTTCAGCAGGCCTGGCACGGGACTTTCAAAGAGCTCAATGCCACTGCAACAGATGCACTGAGAGGGCAGGCAATTGGTGGAACAACAACGACCAATGCCATTGATAACCGGCCTGGTCGCGGAGAGCGAAGTCACGCAGGGAATGCATACTTGACACCAGCTAACGAGCAGGCAAACCTCACGGTCAGGACGGTGTCACTAGTTGAGAAGATCGCTCTACGCAAAGAGAACTCTATGCTGCGTGCTGAGGGTGTCTATTATATGAGCGCCGGCCAGCATTGCTTCGTCGAGGCTACAAAAGAGGTAATACTCTGTGCTGGCGTCTTCAGCTCGCCTCAATTGCTAGAGCTTTCGGGTATTGGACAACGGGCTATCCTAGATGCAGCGGGAGTCCAACCCGTGCATGAATTGCAAGGTGTTGGAGGTGAGTTGTTGAAGGTTATCCAGACTGGTAGTACTATCTAATCCGCATCCAGAGAATCTACAAGACCACCTGAACTATGGTGCAAGTATCGAAGTGCGCCCGGAGATTGAGACAATGGACATACGTGATTACGACCCATCCGCCATAGCCGATCAACAACGGCCGTACCACCAGGACAAAACTAGACCTTTGGCAGAAGGTTCGGCCTACAGCTTTGCGTACTTGCCCTTGCAGCTACTGGACAATGAAACGGATGATGCCACACTCCGTGATGCTCTAGCTGCACACAAAGCCACGCATCCCTGGTTCGAGCAAAATCAGTACATCTACGACTCTCTACTTTCCCCGAAGGCCGCAAGTGCGACTGTTTTCATGACACGCAAAGCCCGCTACACGTCGAAACTGACCGCAGCTGATGGGGAATATACGTCAATCCGCTGAGTTGGGGTAGCACACACATCCACTCTTCCAACCCAAACGACCCTCCCTTGATTGATCGTCGATACCTCGACGACGATATTGACGCCGAAATCCTGGCGCGTCATGTTCTGCAGCTCGAGAAACTGCTCCAGCTTCCTGCATTCAAGGCCGTGGTATTACCAGACGGCCCGGCGCTTTCCGCGCGCGTTCAGCAAGCCCCCTAGCTCGATCGACGAGGTTCAAGAGGCGATTCGAGAACACGCTGCAACGAACTACCACCCCTGTGGGTCTTGTGCCGTGATGGCGCGGGTGGATGATGGTGTGGTAGATGGGAGCCTACGCGTGTGCGGGACGCAGAACTTGCAGATATGCGATGCTAGTATCTTCCCCATCATTCCGAGAGGCAGCATTCTGACTACGGTCTATGCTGTGGCTGAGAAGACGGTGGACATTCTCCTTCAGGAGGGGAGCGAACGGTATGCATGAGTAAAGGGAAGCATGAGGTAGGCTCGTCTAGATCTGTAGGCAGGGGTTTCCGATTGACCAGGTATCCCTGTATACGTTGGATAAAGCGCTCTACACACCATTTGAATGGGTAGGCATCCGCCCGTGAACTGCCTAGCTGGCCCAAGTCGTGTCGAAGCGCGCAACAGAATTTCCCCCCTTGAAGACATTGACATACTCGAATCGATAGGTCATTCAGAATGGCCTCCTCCTATTGCGCCGCCATATGCCTTGTATGAAGACCGACAAACTAGGGCAATAGTGCTGCAGATGAGAGGCTACGGTAGATGGTATGGATGGGCGTTTTGCCGGCTGGTTCGCTTCTGCGTGTGGTCAAGTGAAAGGGGGCACTTCGAGAGAAGGAAAACCGTCGGCTTCGGTCACGCAAACACGCCTCGAGCAGCGGGTGTTTTGCTGCCGAAGTGAGCATTCTAGTGGAGGACTAATAGGGCAAGAACCTTGCCAACTATATCAGCATCATATCGAGAATCCTCTATACATTGAGACCGGGAGGTATATGCTGGCAGCTGGGTTACCATGCTGTGGCACGTTCTGGTGCATACTCTTCGAGGTGGTGATACTGCACCAGAAAGGCTTCCCCCCCGAGTTGTGATGCTCACCAGTTCTTTTGGTACCATGCTACTGGCCGGACTGACACCTTGTATCTCGAAAAGTAGCGAGGTCCACAAAGAACTGCGCCCGCAATGAGCATGCCGATGTGATGTACCCCTAGCTGGCTTTTTGTGCAAATAGTGGGTAAAGGGCGTTCGTCAAAAATCAAGATCGTTTCTTCTTCGTCCACATGTCGACAAAGTCGCCCTTCTCTTTCACACCAAGTCCCACGCGCTTGATTCGTCCAAGTCGTGCCAGCGCCTCAGAGATCTTGTCTAGAAATATGCGTTCCTCCTGGGTCTGCGGTCCATCCTCCTCTGTGCCAACCAAAGTCTCGGCATCAGAGGCACTGTCTGCGATACTGTCAAGAGCAGAGGCCTTCAATGACGCTGCATGATTCTGTGCCGAGTTCTGAACCGCCTCGGCGATCCGAATGCGGATGCAGTGAGTCGGTCGCGAGCAGAGGTTCCACAGGAAGGTTCCGTAGGCGTGCGGGATGGGTGTCGTAATATCGGCTGGTGTGTAGCGCAGGTGAACAGGATGTACCTTTGTCCGGGAAGATGCTGCTAGCAAACACGGAGAGAGCGGGAGGGTGCCACGACCGTTGGACGTGGTGCACTCTGGGAAAAGCACCATCACCCGGTTAGGATTCTGGGCAAGGTAGGTTGATACATCGACGAGCTTCGCGTTTGGCGGAGCTTGGACTTGCGATGATGGCGAGCTGAATGCCCGTATTGTCGCCTGGAAGAGCGTTAGAGGCTGGACGAGACGTGTGTTGGGATAGCTGGCGGCAAAAATGGGGTCGAAAATGGCGGCCAGGTACAGCGCATCGATGGGCGAGTTGTATGTAGAGGCTATGATGGAGCCTGCCTTGGGCAAACGGGCCGAGTGCTGGGCAAGGGATCTGCTACGCATCAGCCCCGGCGGTCTGTGGTTGTCAGTGGTCGTTCCATACCCTTTCTTGACGCCATCTATCTGCAAATCAATCCACCAGATGCCTGGGATGCCGAGTATGCACCACAGCGACGCTTTCCGCCCGAGCACGCCGAACGGTAGGAATTGGAAGAAGGCGAAATATGCGATACAGAAGAACAGGAGCAGAGGCACGCGACAGACGTAGAGGAAGATGTGGAAGGGTAGCGCAACGCCCTTTGGCTCGGGTGGGATGGGTAGGAACGGCGCGATTCCTGAGCCTGCAGAACACTGTTAGCAGACGACCGAAGAGCATTTCGCATGATGCTCACCCTTGTCGCGGAACTGCGAGAACTTCTCCATGGCCACGGCAGGTACTGATCAAACAGCGGGTTGCAGAGAGGGGAATGGCTAGACCTCGGGGGTTGACGATGAGGGAGGGGCAGCCATCAAGCCATCGGACACTGCCAGCCGCGACCAAGCTGCGGCTTCTGTGGAAGATGCAGCGATAAAGTGGTTGGGAAGAGACCTAAATGTACCGCCGATGTCGTTGGACGAGGCACTTATCCAGCTGGCTCAGCTTTCACATGCTCCAGCTCTGTCAGAAATAATCGTTCACGTGGCCGCAGTTGAAGCCTTGGCAGCTCACATGCGACTTCAGCACGAGCGCGTTTCGCGAATCGATTTGACCCTCGATTTGACCCTCGATTTGACCCTCGCAGTCACACCACTTGGAAGGCAGTCAACTTGGTACACACGCCTGAGCATCTTGGTCACCGATCGAGCATTCTACTTTCAAGAACCGTCGTGCAACAATTTGTGGTATCAATGTCTTCTGGTAGCAGGTCATAGCCAGCTAAAGGTCGCTGTAGTCAACCGGCTTCCTTACGAATGTAACAATACCACTCCCCAAGCAAGACTGATCGCCGTGGACTGGAGAACCCTACCTCCAGCGCGCGCGATTCCTCTCCCTTTCCCCTTCAATCATCCCCCTTTCAGCTTCATCCTCGTACTTGAAGCTCATTGGTCTCCGTGTACCACCGCCAGACCTCGAGTTGCTGCCCTTTAGTGCCGCCGCAGCGTTTTCCCTCCTCTGCTGCTCCTTCAGCATTCTCTGCCTATCTCGCTCCATGCGTTCGCGCGTGTGAGGATCCATTTCTGGTGCCTCCTTTGCCGGTACCGCTGTGGGTGTTGGGACCTGACTGGAGCGGTGACTTGAGCGTCCATTGACGTGCTCATCGTCTCCACGGGGGGCCGCGGGGGCGTGCTCCTTTTTGTGCCTCCTGGATTTGTGCCGCGAGCCTTCATACTCGTCTTCATGCTCGTCTTCCTCATCTCGATCTCGGCGTCGTTTGCGATCTCGCTCCTTCTCGCGGTGCCGCTCTTCTCGTTCCCGATCGCGCTCGCCTCGGTCCCGCTCACGGTCCCGTTCTCGCTCTCTATCACGGCCTCTGTCTCGATCACGCTCATGCTCACGCTCACGCTCACGCTCACGCTCACGCTCACGATGCTTCCGATCTCGGCGGCTGGCCCGATCCAGATCATTCGCGGGTTCGCCGTAGTCGTTCATCTTCTCGTCTTCGTCGGTTCTACGAGACTCGTGCTTGGAGCTCCGACTACCATACTTGTCCTTTTCCCGACGGTACCTGCGGGTACGATCCTGGGAGTCAGACCGGACATATGACTCCTCGTCGTCTCGCATGTCATAGTCTCCATTCTCGTCACGCCTGGATTTGTGATGCTTGCGGCTCCGGCTATAGTCGTCCTCATCATCGTCACGGCGAGAATATCTTCGCTCTGTTCGATCATCTCTGCCATCATCGGGCTCGTTGTCAGGGCTGGGACTGCGACGTTCTGAAACCCTTGATGCTAACGAGGCACGGCCCATGATTTGAAAACCTCCGCTAAGTGGCCTCGGTGGCTTTGCTGGGGGCTCACGCATCGCCCTAGGACCAGTTGGCGCGCCAACGACACCGGGAACAGCCGGCTCCGGTTGGGGTACGGACTGCGTGGATGCACTCCTCACTGGTGAGGCCGGACGGCCGTTAGGTAGGTGAATAGAGCCTCTATTACGTGGGAATTTACCATGGCCACGTGCTCTGAAGCCAAAATCTTGGTCCCCGTACCTGCCAGAAGGACCGGAAGGGGCCGACGGAGGGGGCATTACCATGTCGAGATCCTCGGAATATGCCTCGGCAATGGACTGTGTCGTCGGTACCGGCGTGTCCACGGATTTGTAGGGCTCGTCTTCTGCGGTATCTACGACTTTTTGGTCAGCGACAGGCTGAGGCTCCGTATCAAGTGCACTGAGGGGAGCTTCATCTAGGATAGAAGGGTCCTTTCTGACTTCTTTCTTGGCATAGTCGTCTCCTAAAGCTTCTTGGACCTCTTCCTGGCCCCCAGGCGCGAACTCGTCATCGTCCGGATGGATTTCATCGTGCTTGAATGTCTCCGGTTTTGGCTCCTCTTGTCGAGGACGATGGCCGTTCATTTGCTGCTGCTGCTGCTGCTGCTGCTGGTGTTGATTCTGCCACTGTTGATCGAGCCCATTCTGGAAGTTATGGTTGTCATAGTTGTTGTAGAAATTTCCACGGCCTCGACCGTAGCCGCCACGTCCACGGCCACGGCCACGGCCATATCCACGGCCACGGTAGCCGGACTGATGAAAGTCACCATTTGGATACTGCTGGTTGTTGAAGCTGGGGTTGAAGCCATAGTTGAAGTCACCACCCATGCCATTCTGGAATGCATTTGCATTATTATTCTGCCACATATTGCTGTTTTGAAAATTTCCAAACATGTTCTGTGGGTTCATATTCATCATGTTCATTCCGTTCATGCCTCCATTGGGCCCGAACCCGCCAAACATGTTACCCATTGGATTCATGCCCATTTGCATATCTGTGCCTGTCAGTAATGACCAACCTTGACGACTCTGGTAGCTTACTCATCATGGGGTTGAAACCGTTAGCCATCATCTGCTGCATCTGCTGCATCATCGGGTTGCTGAAATCGGCGTTCTGAAAGCCCATGCCATTCATGTCAAAATTCTGCTTCGAAGGTGACTCGTGGTTGTCGCGAGAGTCGGGCCGGGAGACTTCGCCATCTTTCGAATGGGGTTTCGACGGGAATTGTGAATCTTCTTGTGTATCATCATCTTGCGGCGGTACAAAGTTGGGATCGTCGTGATCTGGCTCGACTTGGATCTCAATGTCGTCGTCGTTAGCGTCGACAGGGTCTGAATGCAACTCCGCGCCATCCTCCGCTTTCTGGACATTGGTCAGCAGGGACATTTGGATTTGACAAAGGGGCCGTACCTCGATGGAGGGCAATGGCTGCTCTTCTATAGAAAATGAGGTGGGTGCCGATATCTGATCTTGATTGACGGATTCAGAATCATGACCATTTACCTCAGCATCTTGTTGCGCATCCACAGGAGCCTGGCCCGGGGTTTCGATAGCGCTGTCTGCAAGGACCGGAGTCTGGGACTTCTCTGCTTTGGCCTTCTGCTCTTTCAACCAGGACTTAATGGTTTTCCGAGCCGCGCTGCTGGCCTTGACAGTGCTGTCATTGAATGGGGAGTGCCCACACTCTGGACATTTATTGTTTGCGGACTGATAGCCTGCCGCTGTTAATAAGAGCAAGGCAAGTAGCATCGTCGGTACACGTACATGTTTCGCAGATAGAAGTATCGCAGCACGACCCCTTGTATGCATTGATCAGGAATTGATGACATTTGAGGCAGCGCATACGCTCTGGGGCCTTCGATGGGTCCAGAGAACTGTAAGGGTCAGCGAATGCCAAAAGATCGCTGGTACACAACACACCTGGCGAATTCCAGCAGTGACGCGTCAAGTGCTGGCGCCGACATTTTCACTGTAACACCAATAGAGCGCGACTTCAATGAATGCAAGATCCGGTCTGCGCCATCGTTACCGGTTCATCGATGGAAACCCGGCTGCGTTGAATTGGTGTTCGGAGGGGGTCAGGGTGCGATAGTGAAGATTGGTGAAAGGATAAGGAGTGGTGGATACGAGAAGGATCTTGAAGCGTGGTGTCTGACAACCAGACCCCGGAGAACGCGAGACTCTACAATGGCTTGCTTCTGCGAAATCTCGAAGTTTGGTTCCAGCAAACGCAACTCAGAGGCGCTGAACGGAGTAATGCCTCGCCCGAGTCTTGGCGCTACCACGCAAGACGATCCCCGGCGATCCGCGCCACGTTCACCGTGGTGACATCAATCAATAGGTGACTGGACGAGAGTTCAGTCTTACTGTCATTGACACTGCTTACAGCTGTTGACATACCTCGTTTGGGTGGAGGCTGGAGTTCATGGGATGGCTGTTCAGTCGACTGCTGGCTTTCTTTGCATGTACAACAGTCACATTCGCTGCTATCTTCTACACCGCGAAACAAAATGATCCTTGGCCCGGTCAGTCTGCTGGACTGTCTGGTCTTTGTTATCTTTTTGATACCTCAGCTGTTTTACCAAGGTGGCCTTTTTTCGACGCTCCTGGTGGTCGTCAGGGTCATTCCTTTTTTGCGTACGAGTGGCTTGATCCATGGTTCGCCTTCTATGCTGACCATGAACAGTCTTCCAGCTGCCTGTCCAATTCGTATATGAGAGGTATTATATTCAACGCGAGAGGAAGTCACCCTTCGCTCGCAACGCAACGACCTTCCAGGATATTGTCATCCGTTGCGTGCGTTATGCATTTGCATACATTCCTGCGAGCATTGGTCGAGTTTTCTTCTCCAAATGGGTAGCCTACCCTTTCTTTCGTTTTCGACTGCTGCGACACGGCTACCTCAGAAGTCCTATTTTCTTTAGAGAGATCGTTAGATCTGGTATTCGGGGTTTGTGGATCATCCCCGATGAGAAAGCCGAGCCTGATATCATCCTATATTACTGTCACGGTACATTTGCTCACCTGAGAAAACGACACCCCCCACGCTGACCAAATGTAGGAGGAGGCTTTTCAATGGGGTCTGCGTACTTCTACCTCGAATTCCTTATGGCGTGGGTGACTCGGCTGAAAGAAAGAGGTTTCAAGAATCCTGCTTGTTTTGCGCTGGAGTACACCTTGGTACCAGACGATAAGTGGCCTAAGCAGTTTGACGAGACACGGATCGGATATGATTTGCTCCGAGAGTCATTTGGCGACGGGAGTGCAGCCAAAATATGTGTCAGTGGTGACTCGGCGGGAGCGACTCTGATTTTGAGTATGCTGTTGCAACCAGGAGCGATCGAGCAAGAAGCGCAGTATTCAGCACTAGATCGACCAGGGCTTGCAGTGCTCCTGTCACCTTGGACACATTTGATCTCCAGACTGAACCAAAACACGGCAAGCGACTATCTTGATCGAAACAGCCTCCATCTCTATGCCGAGCAGTATGGTGGACAAGGCGCAAAGACTGATGAGATCATCTCGCCGGGTCTGAGTATCTCCCGCTGGAGACGAGCATCGCCGGAACACGGATATCGTTTCATCTATGGGTCAGAAGAGGTGTTTGCGCCGGGCATCGATGAGACCATTGACAACATTCGAAAAGACGGTGCTCTGGCCAAAGCGTACAAACATGAGGCTGGGATACATGCTTGGCCAGTGGTCAATTTGTTCCTTGGCGAAAGTCGGGAGCAGCGGCTGGAGGGGCTTGACCTTATGGTCGAGTGTGTTTTGTCCTCCGGATTGGCGCCGAAAACGTAAGCTGCGGTGAGCAAAGTGCCGGCAGCTGTCCAAATGCCATCAGATTAGATCAAGTAAATGTGTCTCATTGACCGCCCTACAAAGAAGCAGCCGGCTGCCTCCAAAAGTGCAATGGGGCTGCCAGCCACCTCGCGGTAGTTTGATGCAAGGCGTCTCGACCTAAGCTCTTTCGTCATCTGGCTTCGGACAAAGCTCGCAATCTGCAACGCGCTGAGATGCCCTTTCATCAATTTCATCAGACATAGTGCTATTTTGTCGGCGCTGAACTACGAGGTACGCGTCAAGGCGCGCGCCGCACAATAATTTCGTGCAAGAAATTCGTGCAAGGCGGCCCTTGGGGAGTAGGAGGTGAAAATTGAGCTGAGTTTGGTGCCTAATTCGGTGCTAGTCTGGTTGATCGCGGCGGCTGAGCACAGACCCCCACCAAATACAAAAAGAGCCTTAACCGCAGCACCCGCCCGCCTCGAATCGACGAGCTCCCAACCTTGGAGCCCAGATCAGTTTGTTTCGCGCCAAGAAATCAAGCTCTTCGTCACGTGCATCGTATTGTGAAGCCTGGTGGTGCAGCAGCAGTGGCGCTCTAGGTATCTCTACACAGGCCCAACACGAGGTATTGCCTTTCGCAATGTCTGGTGCTGTTGTCTGAATCGCTACATCCCTTCCATTCAATAGGACCACATTCACCATGATGACTTTTCACCCCTCCTTGTCGATGCACAACTCCACCCAACCAAGACCTATCCACAACCGCCAAAATTCCGACGTCAACAGCAATGAGTGACGATAATAACAACTACCGCCCTCGCTCTCCAGGTGCAGCTGCCACATTTGTACCTCCGCCAAGTCTAGGCCGTTTACCGTCCTACTCTCGTACACCTGGCGAGCCCATCTATCCATTTTCTCCACGCGCCTCCATCAGCGCCTCAGCCACAGCCACATTTACTCCACAGTCCGCTACGGCTCCATCATATTTTAGCCATCAATACCAGGCTCACTCGCCGGCGGCTTTTTCGAGGACACCATCGTTTCCGAACTATCCAAATTATCAAGCCAACATCGACCCATATCAATCCAACTCCCAACCACGAGTCCCGCCCAACTTTCAACCACCCAACTATCACAACGACGATCCGGACATGGCTCGAACTCGGGCTCAACGCTCGGCTGAGCAACAGTATGACCCAACGCACAACCCTAGTCCCAGCACCAACGCCATCGCCCCGGCCGCACAGCCGCCACCGGTCAAGCAGGAAGTACCCACTCCTGATCCGGCTCTCCTCGTCGACATCAAGACCAAATTTCCGGTTGCCCGGATCAAGCGAATCATGCAAGCTGATGAAGATATCGGCAAGGTTGCTCAGGCCACGCCCACCGCAGCTGCCAAAGCACTTGAACTTTTCCTGACCTCTCTTGTCATCAAATCAGCAACCACAGCCAAAAAAGCCAACTCCAAGCGCATCACGGCCAACCACCTGAAAGCAGCCATTGCCGCAGATAAAAACTTCGACTTCCTCAACGAAATCTGCGACAACGCGCCAGATGAGGACAAGGCTGGCAAGAAGGCTAGAGGCAAGAGCGAAGACGTTAGCGACGACGAGGGCTCCAAACGAAAAGTCAAGAAACGGAAGAGCAGCGAGGAAAGCGATTAGATTTCCGGAGTGACCTATGCTGAGAAAATGGCACGAGTGCGAGGAGACTTCTGGGGCACGGTATTGCGTAAATGAATGAGGCGCAAGCGATGTGCAGTGGGCATTCCGTGCCTAGTTTGAGCAAGCGAATGGCTGGTCAGCGGAAAGAGGAGATTGACAGCAATGGGTCATGCGTGAGAATCAGACCAACGAGTTGCAGACGTCCTTTATGTCTCGCGAGGGTGGCAGCTGTCCTCTACCCGCGATTCAAAGCCTGGAGGACCAGCGAATTGCTTCCGACGCTATCCTCTAGCGCGAGCATGCCACTTGAGGGATGCGAAGCCTGTATTGGTGCTCAAGTTGGGCAGGCAGGGCATACGATTTACGATGTCGGGAGTCGATCAACAAGAGCAAAAGGGGAGGGAGAGTCATGGGCTGGCAACTTTGCTTTTGTTCTAGCTATATTGGAGTATTGGCGTGTTGAAAGTATCAGTGACAAATTCATCGTCGCAATTCCGAACTGGTTTTGCTCAATAGCCAGTTCCCACGCTTGCCGTGTGTCACCGCTTTCCTTAGCGCTGCAACATATGCCGTGTCTTGCCCTTGCCTTGAGGACCAGTGTCATCATTCCGAACTCGCTCTCTAATCACTAAACGGTCCCACTTCTTCCCTGGTGTCCCTTCACCACATCATCGTTGGGGGTCCACGCCTTTGTGCGTTTCCATTTGCAAGGCCACGGCACCTGATTGACAACGGCCACAACAATGATCGCGCCAAAGAAGCCCGTGAATCCCAGCGCAATCCATCCTACGACAGGGCTATACGCCACCACCACCAGACAAAGCAGAGCGAAAGCCCCAATCACCAGGCTTCCCATCAGAACCGCTGCCAGTACCGCGTACCACTGTACTGTGACCTGACTGGTACGCCCGTGGACGCCGTCCCAATCCCGCTCCCAGTGCTTGCGAAAAAAAGTAAGCAGTGTTTGTCCCAGGCTAGCAAATGCCAGTCCTAGCAAGAATAACAGCCAGGAGATGGAGAGGAAGAGCTGAACAGTGGGAGCAGAGAAGCGCGGTTCTCCATTTCCGGTGTTATTAGGAGTATCGAGTACGTTGCTATCGTTGGAGTCTGCGGGTGCAGCATTGGACAGTACGTAGTTGAAGGTTATGGAAGCACCCAGAGTGCCGATTGCCAGAATAGTCTGAAAGAGGCCGTTGAAAAAGCTCGCAACTGAAGCACCTGAATGAACTGCCATGGGAGCGATGCGGTGCAAAGCGTCTAGGCCATACGAGTGGCCGTGCTCAGAGAGAAGGTTGGTGCCGGTACGGACGTGGTGGGGGGAGGCTGGCGTCGGGGAACTGTCGGTGGCACTGGGCTGTCTTCTGGTGCTGCCGGTTGGGCGAGCGGCGGAGTGGGAGACGGAGGCTGGGCCGGCGAAGGAGCTAGGCTTGTGGTGGGTTTCCATAATGTAGTATAAGACGTCTGAGATTGGAACGAGGATCGAATGCGTTGGCGGATCTGCGGTAAGTGTAGATGAGCGGACGCGAGGTTAGCACAGTGTTGTATTTCACCAAGATAGTGCTCAACGGGGGCAAACATGATAGCCGGCTGCAAGCAATAGCAAGCCAAACAATTAAATGCCCCATACAGGGGCGCAGTTGCCGGTTGCCTGTTGCCCTCCAGCTTCAGGCAGTGATCAGGTGGAAGGCGCGATCATGAGGACCAAAACTCCCAATGGATCGCCGTAGGCACGGACGCGTCTCAGGTCTCCGATGACCTCGCGACACCTCAGTATTGGCCCATGCAGCATTGATCATCTGTACTACCCAATAATGCAGCACGATTCTGGGTGGCAGTGGTAAATGGACTATGTGAGTAACAACGTCGCGCAGGGAGAGGCAAACTTGCGGGTCTGAAAAGCTGATGTGTTCTCCCTGTTCCGCAGCTCGCGCGCTTGATCGCAGGCGCAGCCGCTCCAAATAAACCGAAGACCGACACTCCTGCCGAACGATTATCGACGTGTATCAAGTTGTGCAACTCTTTACGAGTCAGTTGACTCACCTAGGAGCCAAATGCAGAGACTGATAGTTGCAGAATTTGTGGCAGCGAGGAAGTGTTGGACCGGAAGACGATGCTGCGGCCAGTCGAGCAGTAGAACTGCTAACGCGCCTCAACAACCTCCTAACCGATGAGTCAAGGAAAGCAGCGCCACATTCGTGCTTGCTGCATATCATTACGAACCAAACATACATCATCATCGTCAAGCTTGCCTTGGAGTCACAGAATCCGGACGTGATCAACCACACTGCTCAGTTCTTCCACATCCTCATCAATGGCGAGGGCGAAGGCCTGCTTGACAACAAGCTGTTCTCTCGGTCCCTGCTGGATCTGGTCAAGAGTACGGTGACAGGCTCTCAGATTTATGTGGATGTAGAGACCGAGAATGACTTGATTGAGCTACTGTTCGAAATCGCGACCAAGATCCGCCTTGATCCCGACATTCTATCTGCTTGGTTTCACCCTGAGCGAGACAGGAGTCGGCCACGGGCGCCTGCCGATGTTAGGAGGAATCAGTTCCCCCTGTTCTTCGTCCTGGTGCAGTACGTCCATGACGATGGCCAGACGGGGGACTTCGCCCGCACTGGGCTACTCTATCTCACCGAGACCGCATCGAGGTCCAAGCAGCTCGAGACCTGGATGATCGAGAGTGATCTGGCACCCCAGATGGCTAGTGGCCTAGGTGCCCTGTACAGTCGACTCAGCAGACAATTTCCACCACTGGAAGCGTCTGAGATGATGATCCCAATCATCGCTCTTTCCGATGCTACTCCCTCAGATTCGAGGTCGAAAGAGACACGAGACGGATTCACCCGGGATCTAAAGGAGTTCATGACCTACCTTGCTTTCTGGCAAGACACTGTCAACCGGTGCAAATCTCAAGATGTGGAAGACACCTTACTCGATCATTTCCAGGTTCTCTTCGTCCAGCAACTTCTTTACCCATCACTTCTGGAATCATCAGACGTCTCTGGAGGCTCAACTGCTGCGGTCATTGCACACCTAGCACGAATACTAATGGCTTTGGAGCCCCAGAAACTCGCCCAACGCATGCTGCAGTACCTCTTGGCCGCCAAAGCCGCAGATCCGGACAACATAACCAAACGCCCCAGGGCACGATTCTCGATGAGCCGGCGCAAGTCTTTGGATACCCTCGCAGCTCTTGCCGAAGCAGCTCAAAGCCCGTCTCCTGACCTATTCAATCTACTTGACCTGATCACTATGAGCCTGAAGTCAAAGCACTCTTACACCGTCAATTCGTGCTTGAAGCTGCTGTCGGTGATTTTGACTAGGCATCACCCGAGCGCCCTGTCTGCGATGTTCCGTTTGGAGTCATTAGACGAGACCGCACTTGATAAGAGTATGAGCATTTTCAACGAAAGCTTGACCAGATATTTTGATCAAGCAGCAGAGATTGCTCGAGACGAAACGACTCTCGACGAGTCTTACCAAGCAAGTCTTACTGATGCCAAATTCCGCATCGAGCGCCACAGTTGCTCAACGACAGCGACCTCGGACGGACAAGCACTGATCAAAGTTCCGACATCGATACATGCCGAATGCAAACTACTGAACGCGCTACTGGACAGGCTAGAAACGTTGTTCTCGAATGACACGTTGACAAATCTTGGGTTGACACAGTGCATCATGGATGTCGCAGCATGCGAGAATATCTCGGTGCACGGTTGGCTGGTTCCACTCCGCTCTGAGCCCCCTCACAGGAATGTTACCTCTGTGATTGAGAAATTAAATCAGCAGATCAAGCGATGGCGAGGATTCTTCCCGGAGTGGGACAATCTTATCGCCAAACGCAGGGACGAGCTGTCTGAAGCAGACTCAGGTTCAGATGTTCGCTCACCTTCAGGTCCCTCAGATCCTGTGGTCAAAGCGCAAAGTACCCCGCCAAGATCGATTCAGGGCTCGCGGCCTGTAACGCCAACGACAGCAACGAGAGGCCGTCCACTCGCAAATGCACCTACATTTGGTTCCATTGACAACACGATAGCTTCGAGTCCAACGCCTAACCCGCGCACGCCGTTGGCTCAAAGGCCGCTGGCTGGTAGTCCTCTCCGGCAAGCGTACTTTTCGCGCAACGAATCCTCCAGCAGCCCTTCTCGGCTCGAGCGATCTGCGTCTCAAAAGGCGACCGAACTCAACGATTCGCCGGCTAGTGAGGTGTCGATGAACAAAGCTTCTGAGAATGATTTAGAAGCATTGTTGAAGACGATGATTACGTTGGACATTGAATCGGGTGATATGCCCGAGGAGTCTTCGCCGCTACTACCTGTGCATGCAGGCAGGTCTCACGAGGATGGCAGATCTCCTACTGCCAACCGAAGTCTTCTGACTCCTGGTGATGGCCTGGGAGGTTCTGGAACGGTGACACCTACGCCGAGCGCGGTTGAGAGCGAGGATCGAGACAATAAGCGGGAGATCAGTCTCAGTCACATTTTGACGAATGCAGTGATTTTGCAGGAGTTCATTCTCGAAATAGCTGCCATGGTGCAGATTCGCGGAACAATGATCGGTGAGGTCGACCTGGCCTAAAGTTCTGATAGACCGAGAGTGTGGCACCTATAACCTATCTCCAGTCAAGCAGACCAAACTTAGCTAGCCTCTCACGGCTATAGCAAACGTTCACGGGCTCGCTTTTCCGAGAGTCTTGAGTTCGTATTCCTCCAATTCTTGCAAGAGCTTCTGTCTCTGCCAAGTCGAGATCCAGCTAATGTGGAATGCATTCCGCTGCAGCAGGACCAACTCCCGACGCGTCACGTCTGTCTCGCGCGCCATTTTCAAGATGTTCTCGTTCAGGTACGCTCTGAAATACGCCGGGTCGTCACTGTTGACGGTCACCTTGACCCCCTGCCTCAACAGCGCCAGCATCGCGGGAAACTTTGCATCTGCTGTTACTATGCTATTGCTGACGGGACAGCATGTTAGCCCAATATTCCGAGAACGGATCAGATCGACAAGCTCGGCGTCGTCTAGGATGTTGGTGCCATGGTCGATACGGTCTACCTGTAAGTCGAGGAGTGCTTGACGAATGTGGGTGAGAGTGTTGGCTTGGTCGATGTCGCAATGCGCAGTAAGATGATAGCCTTCTTGGCGGGCGCGGGCGTAGATCTGAGAAAACTTCGAAGGGGGATTGTTACGTTCATCGCTGTCGAGGCCGAGGCCGGCGATGAGGTGGCGATAGGGGAGGGAGCTGACGAGTGTGGACATGCCATACGAGGGGGATTCATCGCGCAGCAGGCAGAGAACGAGGCTAGCGGAGATGCCGTATTTCTGGGAAGCGAGTTGAAGGCCGCGGTTGTAGCCGGTGATCTGGATGAGGTCAATGACAGTGGCGGAAGGCCGGAGTGAGCGTGGGGTTGGGGCTGGTTGTCTGATAGTTCAGAGATAAGGACTTACGACAGTATCGAAAGATACGCCACGGGACGTGTGTGCTTGGGGATCGAAGAACAGCTCACAATGCCTAACGTTGTGGCTGGAGGCAATGCTAAGATAAGACAATGCGAGGTCACAGAAGTCCTCAGCGGTTTGGAGAACTGTCATGTTAGGGTAGTAGATTGCTAGGAATGAAGTAAGATCGTGGAAATCGTAGCTAGATGCCTTGTCGAGGGAGGCGAGGCCTGGAGGAGGAGGCATGTTATTGCGGGCAGCCAACTCGCGTACCAGATCTGGGGTGAGACAGCCTTCCAGATGGACATGAAGTTCTGCCTTTGGCATATCTGCAACGAACGTCTCTAGGTCATCGCCGGATAGCGCGGAAAGTGCCAGGTTCTGCTTCGCGGACATGGTAGATCTTGTTTGGTTGCTGCGAACACCTACGTGTATACTTCCTTGAAGCCGTTCTGCGATTGTGACAAACTCGATGATGGGATGATGAACATGGGTCAATAGGGAATGATATCCGGGTAGGTAGCGTTGCACCGCCACGCACCGCCACAACCAGGAGCATTCCAGGGAAGAAGGACGAGCCTAAACCACATTGGATCTGAAACGCCCGGGTTAAACGCTAAAGCACTGCCGCTCCCTCTAGGTGGGTGAGGGCAAGGAGAGGGAGGGTCAAGCCCAATTGTGGCCGTCAAGAGCATCGTGGACAAAAATTGTTCTCCCTATCTATCAGATCTTGCATCGAAGGGATTTTTGACCTCCTGTCATCGATGCGCATTGCCCGAAGAGGTGCAGCACAGACATTCTCTTCATCTCCTTCTGCACGACCCCCAGCCACTGGCGCGCTCGCGGCTTCAGGCCTCGTTCCTGCATAAGGTCCAAACGGACTTGGCCAGAGTCCAGCTGGCCACGATCGTCGCATCTCATCACACGCGCCGTTTCTGTTCTCTCTTCTCGCCATCCTTTCTTATTCCGAATTTCTGGCGATGCGCGGCGCCTGCTGTTGACCTCGAGCGTGTTAATCCTTATTTGTCGACCGATGGTGTCCTGATGCGGTCATTGAGTTTCCGCTGCAGCACTTCCCCCTAACGAACGTCTTCGCGACTTCCAACGACGCAACACGACTGTACCAGCCGCATCAGCGCGGCAACGCACCGCCATGTCCTTCCTTTTCAAATCAAAAAAGAATGCGCCTCCATCCACACTCCCGCAAGCCTCGCGCAACATACACACTTCTGATGGCACTCCGCCCGCTGGCCCCAATGGCCTGATCGAGAAACAAATGGATCCTCGTCAGACACAATCGCCTCAGCCCCTTTCCAATCCTATTCCAAATGGCTCAATCAGCTCTTTGGGATCAGGAGGTGTGCCCAACGGCCAGTTTCAGAGAAGAGAGCGCGCTGAATCCGAAGCGGGGGTAAGTCGCGCGTCCATAGCGTCCACGTAAATCACACTGACTCTGTGTAGGCACGGCCAAATGTTGTTTCTCAACCCCCCAATTCCGCCCTATACCCATGGTCGCAACGGCGACTAAATTTCCCAACCCCCCAGTCGAACCCCTTCCCGCGATATGGCGCAGCGGCCAATTCAGTCGCCTCGAAGGAGGGCGATGTGTATATGATGGGCGGTCTTATCAATGGCTCAATGGTGCGCGGTGACTTGTGGATGCTCGAGTCTGGAGGCGGCAACATTTCTTGCTATCCCATCGCTACCGTTTCAGAGGGTCCAGGCCCCCGAGTCGGCCATGCTTCGCTCCTCGTTGGCAACGCGTTTATTGTGTTTGGCGGTGATACGAAAATGGACGATTCTGACGTCCTTGACGATACTCTTTATCTCCTTAATACCTGTAAGTCCAGAACCGCGACAGAAAGGCATATCTGACGAGATGCAGCATCTCGACAATGGTCGCGGGCCACTCCCCCCGGTCCTCGGCCGCCTGGCCGATATGGCCACACTCTCAATATTCTTGGCTCTAAGATTTACATTTTCGGAGGGCAGGTCGAGGGCTACTTCTTCAACGACCTTCTGGCCTTCGATCTGAACTCGCTGCAGAATCCTACCAACCAGTGGGAGTTTTTGATGCCCAATAGTACTGAGGAGGAGCAGGCCAGCAGAACCCACCCCGCGCCTCGCACTAATCATACCATGATCAGCCACAACGATCAAATGTATCTTTTTGGTGGTACCAATGGTACATCTTGGTTCAACGATGTATGGACATACGACGCGAAAACCAATTTGTGGACCGAGCAAGATTGTATTGGCTACATTCCGGCCCCTCGCGAAGGCCACTCGGCTGCGCTTGTCAACGATGTCATGTACATCTTTGGTGGACGCACCGAAGAAGGCACCGACCTCGGGGATCTTGCTGCTTTTCGAATTACCTCGAAGAGGTGGTATACTTTTCAGAACATGGGACCATCGCCCTCACCAAGATCTGGGCACAGCATGACCGCACATGGAAAGCAGATCATTGTACTGGCTGGAGAGCCAAGTTCAGCACCACGCGATCCGGGTGAGCTCAGCATGGTCTATGTCTTGGACACGAGCAAGATTCGCTATCCCAACGATGCGCCCGGTTCGAACGAGAAGCAACGCACAGGTAGCCACGAGCGCCGACCAAGCAGCGAGGCCAGGAATCAGAAGAGATCTCAGTCTGGCGAGGGGCATGTGCCAATAGATGCGTTTGCACGCGCCTCGTCCATGGGTGGCCCTGTCCAGAGACCTGAAGGTGCAACAAACAGTGCACAAGGCTCACGTTTACCGAGAGCTGCCCAAGCACCGTCTGGGCCGCCTCCGCTAGGACAACCGCCAAATCCTCGAGCCAATGGCACCATGTCTCCTCAAAATGGCGCCAAGGGTCGACCTCCGCAGACTCAACCTATGGAAACCATGATGCAGGCACCTGCTGTTAAAAGTGTGCAGAAAGAAAGCAGTCGGAGCCGTGACAATAGCCCAGCGTCACATGGTCGCCGAACGCCGACCCAAAGCTCGAAAGCCAGGGCTATGGAAGCTGGTGAAGCAGCGCCAATGGTGGGCGCTGCCGTTGCCCGCCAACGGTCACTCCGTTCCCAACGTGCTCATGGCTCTATTGACAGCACGGAAGACGGTGCTCTGGGCAGGTCTGGCTCTTCACGTCATCACTCTGAGCGCCACCATTCTGATGGACATGGCTCTCTCCGGAGTTACAACGATGAGCCTAGATCACCCAAGCTTCCTGCACACCATGAAGCTCTAGTGAAAGAGCTAGAGTCCGCAAAACGAACAAACGCTTGGTATGCATCCGAATTGGCTCTTGCCCGTAAGGGTGGCTATCAACCGACCAACGCTTCTAGCCCTACTTTCGACGAGCGAGCAGTCAGCCAATTTCATGATGACGATAAGCCGCTCATCGAAGCTTTCATGACCATGCGTTCCGAAATGGTCAAGATGCAACAGGCAATGGAGCATCAGTCTGCTTCAACCGCAAAACGCATTGCTGAGGTCGAGCATCAGCGGGATGCTGCTGTAACAGAAGCCGCGTATGCAAGAGCCAAGCTTGCGGCTCACGGCGGAAGTCAACGAAGCACACCACAGCCCGATACCTCTGACGATGCAGACCGGTCAACTGACATCAGCAGGCGTTTAGCGCTAGCACTGTCCGCGACGAATGATCATAAAGTCAAGCTTGATGTCTTAAACAACGACCTCAGCAACGAGAAGAAAGCAAGAGAAGCCGCCGAAGAAGCCGCTGAAGCAGCACAGCGCCGTCTTGATGAGCTGAATCAAGGTCGGAACCCTGCCGAACTCGAAGGATTGCGTGCCGAGCTGCATGAAGCGCAAGGAAGCGCTAGGTCTGAAGCAAGCTTCCGAGCAGAGGCCGAAGAGAAACTTCGCCTACTCCAAGCCGAGTTTCAATCTATTACGGAGAAGCACGAAAGCGGTTCATCGCGCTTAAAGGACTCGGTTGCTTCTATCGCCGCTCTCGAAGCCGCGGTGGCTGCGTCGAGTGGGAAGGTCACCCTGTACGAGCGACAATTAGAAGAGGAACGGACAAGGCGTGAAGAGGCTGAGCGAAAGATGGCACAGCTTCGAGCTGAACATGAAGAACGCACCACCGAACTGGAGAATACCTCGAAACGTCTACGAGATGTTGAAGCGATGGCGGAGACCCATGCCAACGAAGCGAATACTCACCGTGCTGCGCTCATGGCTGGACTTGCGAATTTGTCCACCTCTAAGAGTGTCGTGGAGAATGGACCAAGCGAGGAGAGACTCGCAGCCTTGCAAGAAAACGCCGAACGTGCCAATGCTCTTGCTAAGCAGCACCAGGTGGCAGCGGATGCTGCTGCGGACAAGCTTCGTGCCGCAGAGGAGAGAATTGCCGGTCTAGAAGCCTACCAAGAGCAGTCGAGTCGCGAGGGCCTTCAGATCCGACGCCAGCTCCAGTCAGCGCTCCGAGACGCACAGAATTATCAGAACGAACTGCGCGATGTAAGAACGACCTATGAATCTCATCAACGCGATGCCAGCGCCCTGGCCGTCCAACACGGGGCTCTCAAGGATCTCCTTGGTGAGCGTGGCATTGATATGACCAATACTCGACGGTCGCCCGCATTCGGTGAATCCCCGGCGTCCCGATTTGGCACTCCTGAGCAGGGTCGCCTCAAGGAGCTTGAGACGCAGCTACAGAGCAGTCTCAGGGCCCACGATGAGACGAAGGCTCAATTCGAGGGAAAACTGCAGGAGGCTGACAGCACTTACCGCGAGAAATTGGAGCAACTTGAGAACGATTATCAGTCTGCTGTGCACTACGTCAAGGGCACGGAGAAGATGCTCAAGAAGATGAGGGAAGAGTTGACGAAATACAAGACGGCCAATTCCCAACTCCAAACGGATCTTGACAACGCTCGCAGTGGCAGTAAAGCAAGCGAAGCAGAAAGTTCAACCTGGTCAGCCGAGAGGGTGAGGCTGCAGGACGACATGGAGGAGCTGAAGACCAAGATGAGCGGCCAGATCACAGCTCTAGAGGCGAACCTCGCCTCGGTGCAGAGGGAGTTGGCCGCCGCCCGCGAAGATCGTGACAAGCAGCAAGCTGACCACCAAAACCTTGTCAAATCCACGCAACAAGCTGAGAAGGAGCTTGAATCCCTCAAGCACGAGAATGGGATGCTTCAAACACGTGCTGAAGAGGCGGAACAACGTGTCACAATGCTACTCGACCAAGTCGGCACTACGGTTGGCAACTACAGAAGGCAGTCCCAACTACCTCCCGGTGCACCTAATGGTGTCTCTCACAATCGTGACCCAAGCGAGTCCACAGCAACGGACACCTCATCGCATGATGAGGCCGAGAGACCTGAAGAGCGGGGGTCTCTTGCGCTGGACAATCTAGCCTCCGAACTTGAGACGCTACGCTCGCAATGGGAGAGTACGAGCCGCAACAATTATAGACTCAGCAACCAATTCGACTTCGAGAGAACACCGACCAGGGAGAACACTGGCGGCGAACTGATGAGCGACAGCCTTGCAGACTGGAGGAGGAGACTGGACGAGGACGAGAAGACAACGGGTCCGGGACTAAATGTACCGAAGTAAATGCGCATAACCCGGCGACAATGCACCTACTTGTATTACTGGATTTGCACATACGGTGTCAAATCGGACACCACGAGCAGCTATGACAAGGTATATTGGTATCTGGCGAAGGGTTTGTTTTGAGCAAGGATGCTGGCGTCATTTCTGTCTTGACGAGGTTCGATCTTTGACACGAACTATGAACATCGAGCTACCTACTGGCTAAGTGGCTCTGTAATGTAGTGTACCTTCAATTGTGCAAATTGCACACTATCAGAAATAGTGGACAGGGCACAAAACTGCTTACATCATTTGATCATACCACAGCTTTCAACGATCCTGGTGCTGCAGTGATGACCTGGGTGACCTCGCTGCCGCTCGTGGTGAATGAGGCTGTGAGTCAGCCTTGCCAGCGAAAAGTAACTGCGGCGGCGTCTCTGACCTCACTCGATGTGACTATCGGTGGTCGGCGTGCACTAACTTTGTGACTGCCCTCCGAGCGACAATTACACTCGCCATTTGTGACTTCGCAATCGGCACCCTCTATCCCTGAGTCGACTTGACACACACGTCCAGAACAGCCTCGTATTCAACACGACGGCTGCGGATGCCTTCGACTGTGGGTGAAGCTGGTGCGCCGCACCGCAGCTACTACCTCGCTTCAGCCTAAGCTTGACTTCCTTTGACATTCCACTCTCTTTTCCTCTCGATGCGCGATCCCGCCATGGGCGCCGAAGAGCCCTCGCCGCGGCAGCTCCCGTTAAGATCCCCGCGACCGATGATCCAACTTGAGGCCTACGACAGTGCTACACCAGAAGAATCACAGCAAGAATCACAAGATCGACAAGCACGTCAGTCTCGGGGCCTACCAAACGGCAACTCTCTGTTGGCAAACGGCCATGTCAATGGCCACGTCTCTCCGCAGCGTAGTCCTCAACTCGGACTTCCTGAAAGAATAGTCCCAAGAGAAGTTGAACAAGCCGCTCTCCAGCGCCGACCTTCGCCCCTCGTAAGAAATCGCAGTGAATTCGGACCACGAACAAACACTACCAGTATCGATGGCACGCCGCTGGATGGCAGAGTCTTCAACAACAAGCATGATGGAGATCTGACCTCTGAAGAAAGACTGGCTCATATTCGACATGGGTGGGATAATGAACACAACTCAGATGAGTACTTGTCACTGCTGAACTCGACGTTTTACATGTACTACACTGAGAAGCGACACGAAAGCAACGGCAATCCATCAGCGGACTCCAGTCAGTATCCGAATAGCAATTGGCGTATGCGGGATCGAATGAAGACAGTATCGGCGGCTTTGGCTCTGTGTCTCAATATCGGCGTCGACCCTCCTGATGTTATCAAGACCAACCCCACTGCGAAACTGGAGGCATGGCTTGACCCCTCGGGCAGCAACAGCGGGTCAACCAAGATGATGGAGCAGATCGGCAAGCGTCTTCAGGAGCAATACGAGACGCTCAGCCTACGAACAAGATACAAGCAGTATCTTGACCCAGCCATCGAAGAGACCAAGCGCTTTTGCGTCTCTTTGCGTCGCAATGCAAAAGATGAGCGAGTTCTCTTCCATTACAATGGCCATGGTGTGCCTCTCCCGACCGCTTCAGGAGAGCTCTGGGTATTCAACAAAAACTACACCCAGTACATTCCGATCGGTGTCTACGACTTACAGTCTTGGCTCGCTGGACCTAGTCTGTTCGTCTACGATGTATCCCACGCTGGCAATATTCTGCACAACTTCGATACCTTCATCGTCAAGCACGAAAAGGAGAACGAAGAGGCCAGGAAGAAAGATCCCACCACACCCATTCAGAACTATAGCGATTGCATCCAGCTTGCTGCGTGCGGCAGAAACGAGATGCTGCCCACCAATCCCGACCTTCCAGCTGATCTTTTCACTTGCTGTTTAACCACCCCAATCGATATTGCTTTGAGGTGGTTTGTACTGCAAAACCCATTGCCAACCAGCATCGAGATCACGGACTATAAGATCCCAATACCTGGTCGTTTGCAAGACCGTCGCAGCCCACTGGGCGAGCTGAACTGGATCTTCACAGCCATCACCGATACGATTGCCTGGAACACTCTTCCAAGAGCACTGTTCAAGAAGCTATTCAGGCAAGATCTATTGGTTGCAGCGCTGTTCCGCAATTTCTTGCTAAGCGACCGCATCATGCGAGCCAACCACTGCCATCCTAGTTCTTCCCCTCCCATGCCCGAGACACATCATCATCCCCTATGGCAAAGCTGGGATCTGGCGGTGGATAATGTCTTGACCCAACTGCCTGCGCTTCTCGAAGCTGAAGCTGGAAAGCGCGTCTACGACTACGAACACTCAACTTTCTTCTCTGAGCAGCTGACAGCATTTGAGGTGTATTTGAGCTCGGGTCCAACTAAAGACCATGCCCCTGATCAACTGCCGATCGTCCTCCAGGTTCTCCTCAGTCAGGTCCACCGCCTGAGGGCCTTGATACTACTAAGCAAGTTCCTCGACCTTGGTCCCTGGGCCGTGCACCTTGCGCTCAGTATTGGCATCTTTCCATACGTGCTCAAGCTACTTCAGGCCGCTTCAATAGAGCTGAAGCCTGTCATGGTGTTCATCTGGGCCAGGATCATGGCAGTTGACAGTTCTGTGCATGTGGAACTCTTGAAGGACAACGGCATACACTACTTCATCACGATCATGAGTCCCCAGTCGGAGATACCCGTCCCGAACAAGAGCGAGCATCGTGCAATGTGCTCTTTCATTGTTGCCACGTTTTGCAGGGGTTATTCGCAAGGCCAGACTGTATGCCTAGTTCCAGAACTAGTCAAGGCCTGCCTGGAGAACATGACGGAGCCTGAGAACCCTCTGCTGCGACAATGGTCGTGTCTGTGCTTGAGTACGCTGTGGTGCGAGTACGCAGATGCCAAATGGATGGGCATCAGACAAGGCGCCCATCTTCGGTTATGCGAGCTCTCCGTCGACCCAGTCCCCGAGGTACGTGCGGCTATGCTTCACGCTTTGACAACTTTCCTCGGCATTCCAGATATGACCGAACAGATTGCTCAGATCGAGGAAGACGTTGCTTCATCAGTTCTTTTCATGACTGCTGATGGTAGTACTTTGGTCCGCAAAGAGCTACTTGTCTTCCTGTCGGCTTTTGTCAAGCGACACCAGAATAAGTTTACGGTGGCCGCGCTCGAACAGTTGCTGCAGGAGAGAGACCTACGCCCTGGTAAGGATGGGGACGTAAGCGATACCGAGACCATCCGATCATTATCTTCAGCGATGTTGTCCGCAAATACGATTTACGGCACTGTCTGGACCCAGATCGTCGTCATGTCATGCGACCCTAACGTCGAAGTTGCTCGTAGTGCTTCGGCAGTCGTGGATTGCATTCACGAAGTTCTGGTCAACTCACCTCTTCGTTCCCATGCTCTTGCAGTCATCGATGACCTTTTGCGCTCTTCGCGCAGACAGGACGCTGCTCTTAAGCGGACACCATCCAGGGAATCGCTTCGGTCGGTCAAGGAGCCCCTGCCTCGGACGCCAACCCCTCAGCTGGAGAAACAGAGCAGCTATCTTTCTCTGGGCAGCTTGAAGCGCACTGCCAGTTCTCTCCGTCACCTTGCCTTTGGTGCACCTGATGGAATTGCTTCATCCGGGACTACTCCTGTGGTCTCGCCTTCCAAGCCGACGAAACCCAGTCAGCCTCTGCCTCCAGCTCATACCCCTCGGGGGCGTCTCCCGGCCGAATGGAGCAGAGCTCCAAATGCTCAGGATATCACCGCCTCTGCAGGCTCTTACCAACAGGCGCCTACTCCACCATGCGCAGGATCGAACCCTAAACTGGGAGACCCGGTAGCCCATCTTCCGCTGCAGAGCACATTGTTCGAGTGGTCAACCGAATACTTCCGCGAGCCGCAGATGCGAGCCCACGATCCAGACGAACCTGGTTCTGCTGATTACAATCAGCGGTTGTGGCGTCGTACTCGCAACGAGAAGATTATTGCCGAGAGTCAACCTCTTAAGAGTGTGGCTGGCTCATCAAAGTGGACTCGGCTGGATGCATTCATCAACAACCAGTCACAGCCTATGCATATGACCTTCCATCAGTTTGACGATCACCTCGCAGTGACTGACGACAAAGATACGGTGAGCATCTGGGATTGGCAGAGCAATGTTCAGCTAGCACGGTTCTCCAATGCAAATCCGCAGGGCAGCCGCATCAACGATGCACGATTTGTGAACGAGGATGATCATCAGCCGCTCCTCATGGTCGGCAGTAGCGATGGAGTGCTAAAGGTATATCGGCAGTACTGGGATCAGAAAGAGGTCAACGTCGTTGCTGCATGGCGAGCGCTTACGGAGATTCTTCCCAGCAACCGTGCTGCGGGACTCGTCTTTGACTGGCAGCAAGGTCGTGGCCGAGTGCTGGCAGCTGGTGATGTCAAAATCATCAAGGTCTGGAATGCGGCAACGGAGCTTTGTGTGGCAGACATCCCAGCACGAAGCGGTAGCTGTGTCACCAGCCTCACGAGCGACCAAGTCGCCGGTGATGTATTTGTTGCTGGTTTCGGCGATGGCGTGGTGCGTGTCTTTGACCAACGCATGCATGTGAAGAGTTCCATGGTCAAGATCTGGCGGGAGCATCGGCAATGGGTGACTAACGTCAAGATGCAGAGAGGCGGAGTGCGGGAGCTAGTAAGCGCGAGTCGCAACGGCGAAGTGAAGCTATGGGACTTGAGGAGCGACAAGTCGGTACTGTCACTCAATGTGACCGGTGGTGGTCAGACGGGTGGCGCCGGTGGATTGGAGCGTGACGCTACCGTCCGCACACTTTCGGTTCATGAACACGCCCCAGTTTTCGCGGTGGGCACCGACCGACATGAGGTCAAGAGTTTCAACACTTCAGGCACTGCTCTAGGCGGGTTCGAGCCGCTAAATGGGGGGGCCAAAGCGTTTGCGGTGGGTGGGCGAAAATCGAATGCGATTGTCGCAACGGCCTACCATCCCCACAAGATGCTGCTGGCGTGCGCTGGCTGGGGTAATGGACATGTGAGCTTGATCGGATACTAAACAGTGGTATGGGAATGATATCAGGGCATCGCGGGCGGCGTTTGTGCTTCAAGCACGGAATTACGGTATTCTGGCTGCGTTCCCCACGTCAATGTCAGCATTGCTGCGTTAGACGCAGAGGAGATGATATTGAATCCGCCGAGCCTGCAGGCAGATCTGAAGATGTTGCAGAAGGAGGTCTAGTCCTTTCGATCTTGAACCTGAATGGTTCAATATTGCCGAACGAAGTCAAGCGACCAAGAGTCTCGTGTCAGCGTCTAGCTACTCGTACAGTCTAACGATCTGTAGAGAGTAAACTTGCCGAGCTGGGGTTCAGCTTGGCCCACGCCCCTGCATCGATGATCAGACTGAGCTTCACGTGCGAGCCGTGCGAGCTTCTTTAGCTACCTCGGCTGTCTGCAGCACAATTGTCATTTGAGACGATACTCTGCCTGAGAGCCCCTGCTCACGAGTCAGCGTTGTACGGGGTAGAGCAAGGAGCAGGGAATTGGACTGCTTCTATTCGCCGATCTTTTAATCAGCTCAGCGTAGCTGCGTCGTGCCGCTGCGTATCTGGAGATTAAGCGAGACAAGTACGGGCACTCCACACGATTACCTACTACCCGGTGGGTAATGCATGCGCTCCATCAACAACAGCTTGTCCTTTGCCTGATGAGGTCCCCGCTCGGCTATTGTCGTTGACTCCATCCATATAATACGAGATGAGGAAGGTGATGTGACGGGAGAGAGCTGACATTTGTGCCAGAACAGCTTCCTAGGTTGGCCACAGGCTGACGCTTCACACACCAAAATTGTCGACCATAGCGCTCCAGTCCTTGCTGACCTCAGCCCGTCTCTGAGGGTGATAACCACCTTCGCGCCACCTTTCCCCTTCATTGTGTTTACTGTGCAACCATGAGCGCTGAGCCAGAGGTCAAACGTCTTGGGGCCATTGCACCCTTGGTGGCACCGCTGCCTCCCTTGTCGGACGATGAAGTGTTCACGCCCGAGCAATGGTCGACCTTTTTTGCGCTGTGCGAGGTTTTCATTCCGGCTGTCTTGCCCACCGATGATGCCAGCGACAAAGGCGTGCATCCATCGAATTACGAGAAGATGGTACAGGAGATTCAACGCTATGTTCCCACAGGTGTCGACCGCCAGGCAATTGAGAAGTACCTGGCAGAGCCGGTGACATCTCTCCCCGGAATGAAAGAGGCATTGCGGCGACGGTTCCTCAATGGCCCCAAGGCAGACAGAGATGGACTTGCGTCCATTCTTTCCGCCCTCAACACCACCCTCGGCTCCGTGCTCATGACAGGTTCATCTACTCCGATCCAGCAGCAGTCCATCGGTACCAGGGTGATCATCATCAGGAAATGGTCCCAGTCGTACCTTGGTCTGTTCCGAAAGCTCCATAACACCTTCGCCATGTTGTCGAAAGTGGTCTATCTCTATCAATCCGACATGCTGTTCAAAATCGTGGGCTACCCAGGCACCCACGCAGATGCTAAGCGGAAACCGACGTACGAGTTCAAATTCATGGATTTCTCCCCTGCTGAAGCTGCCACGACAGTCAATACTGATGTTGTCATTATTGGGTCCGGTCCTGGGGCAGCTACGGTCACGAACCGTCTCGCAAAAGCTGGACTCAGATGCACCGTTCTGGAGAAGGGATACCATTTCAACTCCGATCACTTTCCAATGACCCACGCTGATGCTCAGACCCACCTGTACGAGAACTTTGGATTCGTCGTGAGCGACGATGCAACGACTGCCACTGCGGCTGGCTCGAGTTTTGGTGGTGGCGGGACAGTCAACTGGCTGGCATCCTTACAGCCTCCATTCGCCGTTCGCGAAGATTGGGATCGAGACCACGGGTTAACTCATGCAACCACTGGTGCATATCAGGAATCGTTTGATTATGTCTGTGACAAGATGGGCGCTGCCCGTTCCATCGACCACAACGCTCTCAGCAAGATCAAACACAATTATGCGAACGAGATGCTTCTTGAAGGTGCTCGGAAGCTTGGTATGGAAGCCAAGATCGTGCCTCAGAACACTGGTGGTGAGGAGCATGATTGCGGTCACTGTCACATGGGCTGTCCCAGTTGTACCAAGAAAGGACCAGCCAATCTGTGGTTCCCCGAGGCTGCAGAACATGGAACAAAGTTCATTCAAGGCTGTTGGGCAGAGAAGATCCTGTTCGCTGACGACAGCAAAACAGCGACAGGAGTACTAGGCGTATGGACTTCGCCAGACCGGACCATCACCAAGAAGATTACAATCAAAGCCAACCGCGTCATTGTATCGTCGGGAAGCTTACAATCGCCCCTTCTTCTTCGGAGATCCGGCCTGGCCAACCACTGGATCGGCAAGAACTTTCATCAACATCCACTACTCTACATCTACGCAGTAATGCCGCAGAGGATAGACCCTTGGCAGGGTGGTGGCATCTTGACGACTGTGGTTACAGCACTGAAGCATGGCACCGGTGACGGTTATGGTCCTGTCATCGAGATTTGCGCAGGCTTCCCTACCCATACCGGCACCAGTGTGCCCATCAGCAATAAGGCACCAGACGGCGGCGTAGCTGGAATGAAAGTTAATTGGGCGAAGCTAGGACACACTGTGACATTCCTATGCATGGTCCGAGACAAGGACTCTGGCGAGGTCTACGCGGACAAGAACGATCCTAAGACAGCCCATGTCAAATACACAGTCAGTCGTCGGGATACGGAGCAGATTGTCGATGCGCAGATTGCGGCAGCCAAGATCGCGTATGTGATGGGTGCAAAGGAGATTGACGCCCTCCACCCGGACATACACCCGTTCGTGCGCTCCGAGAAGGCATCGCAAGAGGTCAACGACGAAGCTTTCCGGCACTGGCTCGAGGATGTCAAGACCAAGGGAGCCTTGGCAAATGCAGAGTCTTTACTCTTCCACAGCGCTCACCAGTTTGGCACTTGCAAAATGAGCGGGAAGAGCGATGATGGCGTGGTTGATGGCCAGGGAAGGGTCTGGGGCTACAAGAATCTGTGGGTAGCCGATTCGAGTGTTTTGCCCACGGCAACAGGCGTAAACCCAATGATTAGCACGATGGGCAATGCGGATTGGATTGCAAGAGGAATAGAGGAGGAGTGGCAGGAGTCCTAGATCCTTCTTGAGGTAAACATTGCCCCTACCTTTGGGTGTGTTCTGGTCAATGTTTGTTGACAGGAAGGTACGGGACTTTGCCACATCAGAGCCCATTGTACACACCTTTGTATGATCCTCAGTCAAGACACATATCCATCTCGCCTCTTACCTAGCTCTCATCTAACTTGCACAAGTTCGTATCCTCAGACCTACAGCCTACACTTTCGCTGCGACACCCCCCATGCATTCATATCGCCGTCCGAACGCCAATGTCCCCTAGATGCCAACAGACGCACCTCCTACCGAATTACGAGCCCCCAGCGACAACAGCTCCGAGGAACATTGCGCTGTTCTCACCTCCGTCAATCGCTCTCAATGTCCCAAAAGTGTCTTCGTCCCTGCGATCCGATCGTTGACCACACGAAGCCCACTTCAGTATCCGAGCGAGCGCACGTTGAGGCCCATTGAAGCCGATGGGCAAAGAGATGCACCAAGTGCAACTCTGGAAGAGCAAGCCGCCACTCACAACATCACTCACGCCATCAAAAGGCTCGAGAACCTCGTACATCAGATCTATGAGCTGACAGAAAGCGATGGCAGCGCTGCGAACGATTACCAGGAGCAGCCTGCATCACCATATCGGAAGCCGAAGCCTTCTCAGACCATCACTGCTAAGGAACATAGATACTTGGCCACCGCCCGTCTTCCGACTGAGAAGGAAAAAGTCGAAGCATTGCAGCGGCCGCGTCTGGTCTTCGATCTCGGGGACACCACTGAGTCAGGTGAACGTAGAGACCGAGCTAAGCAGTCTCTTGCCCCAGGTGCTTTTCAGACTTGTGGCCCGGCTCATGGAGAGTCGACAGTAACGAAGTCCATGCAAGCGAATCCTCAGCTATCGATTATACCAGCCACAAATGATTCTGACGCCCACGCCGCCTCGATCGGCGAAGCTCAGAAGAAGCACATACCTTCGCCACGGCGCCCGGCGCCCCGGCCTCCAGCGCATAAGCAGGACACCCTCCTCTCCCACCAACAGCCATCTGACAATCATCACTCCCGTCTGGGTTTACCGCCAGGCCTAAAACCAGATCGCCGAGAGGTGGCCCCTTTCGAATACACGCAAGAAGGCCTGAACACACTTGCAGTCCCCCCTAGTGGGCATGAACGACATTTCACCCAGATGTTCGGTGTCAGGCAAAGCTCCAGTATCTTCAGATATGATAGATCACAGACGTCTGCTTCGCAGATAGTCAACCTGAAGAGAGTCAATCACGTCGACTTGTAGGACAAGCCGGCAGGGTTCGATGTTCATGGTTCGTGCAACCATGCGCCCATTGCGCGCAACTGGCCAACGGCGAGGAAGCGATTCACCGCGACCGTCGTGTGTATCAATACTGCGTGTCTAAGTCTGCTGATTGGCATCTATTCAGGAGAAGTGCCGGCAATTCAATATGTCATCGCTGATTTCCATCATTATGCGATCCTGGGCAACGTGTTTCTGTATTGTGGCCTTGCGATTTCGACTCTCTTACTCTGGCCGTTGCCCCTACTTCATGGACGCAAGGCTTACAACGTCGCCGGTCTTGCCATGGCGCTTGGACTACAAATTCCCCAAGGCGTTGCGGTGATTCAATATCGGATGCCAGACGAGATCACCTGGCGAATTCTATTGCTCTTGCCCCGTGCTCTTTCTGGTCTGGTTCTCGGATCGGTCGTTATCAATCAGCTCGCCACTCTTCTCGATTTGTTCGGTGCATCTTTACAGAGCTCCCATCCACACGGCGAGGTGGCTGACCCCTACGACGTTCGTCGACATGGAGGCGGCATGGGGTTTTGGTTGGCAGCATGGTCATGGTGTACCATTGGACCAAATGGCCTTGGCTTTGTGATCGGGGCCTTAATCATCGACAACACATCCGTGGACTGGGGTTTCTGGGCCTCGCTGATAGTTATAATGCTGGTGATGTTGCTCAACCTCATCGCCCCAGAGACGCGACGGGCCGCGTTCCGGCGGACGCTAGCAGAATTCATGGGTAACACGGGACCCTTCAGTAGGGTCACACGTGGAGAGGTCAAAATGCACCTAGACGAAACGGGGCCGTACTGGTGGGCGGAAGAGGTTCAGGCTGGCCTTCGCTTGTGCTGGCGGATGGCTAAGCAGCCAGGCTTTCTTGCCCTAGCCATCTACACGGCCTGGGTTAATGCACAGTTCACGTTGATCTTGATGGTGAGGTCGAATGGCTGCGAAACGAATATGCTAACCTCTCGCAGTTGTTGGGCGCTCTGTGCTCTCGCAACTATCATTACGCGCCTCTTTGGGTTGGCCTCTGCGCAATGCCGTTGGTATTAGGCTCTCTGCTTGCAGTGCCATTCCAGAAGGCTTCGGTGTTGAGTCGTGCTCGTAAGCGGCCGCCACGATCCGACAGCTCCACATTTCACAAGTCGAGGCTGTGGACCTCACATCTGGTTCGGCGAACGCTCTTCACAATCCTGCTACCTTTAGCAGGAATCGGGTACGCACTTACCGCTCGGGGCCCTCCATTTCCTGTGGCCATTCCATGCACAATGGCCGGTATTGTTGGGTATTTCACGAACCTGGCGACAGCAGAATGCTTTGGTCTCATCATGGAAACATTCGACACCTCTGACTTACAGCCAGGCATGACTGGAAGACCTCTCCGAGGTTCAGTGGCTGCACGCACGGCAGAACTGCGAACAAACTTCACATGTTACCCACGCGTCACGGCCGGGCTTGTGGTGACTCAGGCTCTCAAGTTTACACTGGCGGCGGCCGCGACTGGACTCGGTGGGGGGATGGAGCGTCAAATTGGTGCGATGCAAGCGAGCGGTGTTATGGCAGGTATCTTGCTGGCACTTACGTTGGTTCTAACTGTGGTTTTATGGCGGTGGAAGACGGTTCAAATGATTCCAAGCCAACATATCCGTCATGGTCGAACAGGTTCAGATTGGGAGCCGGTGGTGTTAGGAGATCCGAGTAGTTTATCGCGCAAGATCAGCGTTCTTGAGGCTGGTCGCGAGACACGTTGGAGCGAGATCCGACGACGGAACCGACTTGAATCCAGGCTGACAGGAGGTTGATGCCAGATGCCCTTGTCCGAAGAATATGGCTCGAATGGTTATGTGGGAGTTGCGTGTCATCGTAGTGAATGACTTTTACAGCGGCACTCGGCAGAGCTCTTTCGGCCCTTGAACGGACCGGGTTGGGGAGAATTATTAGCCAAACCCATCAACCAATACAGCAGCTCTATATGCATGGAGCAACGTAAGCAGAACGCGACTTGATTGTGATGCCGAAGAAACAGAGCGAAATTATTACTGGGGAATCGGACTGTGCTCGTGTGGCTTGCTTACTCATGTAAAGTGGTGCAGCTCTGCACCGGGTTTAGCTGCTGGTTGATTGGGTGCCCGTTAACTAAGACATGGTTAGCGGAAGCTTAAGAGTTTAGGGTGCTCGGTCGCCCCTTCGCAACTGCGCTCCCGGGGTGCTCGGTCAATGACGTTGCCCCCGTAGCGCCGATCTCGAGGGCCGCGTGCGGCAGCTTGCAGTGAGCGTTTGTGTGAGATCCTAACTTAAAAAGAGGCAGCAGTTTCTGTCATCATGAATATGGTCAAGGCGATGCATAGTACGGTCCTCTTTATACTGCCTTTTCTCTCCTACAACGCCCTCCATCCTCTCCAATATACCTATCCCTAACACCGCCTATTGCCGTTGCGAGCCGCTGCCCGCCTATCAAAACAACATCCATCGACTCCCCATTGGGTCTGTAAGTCAACACACGAGTCGCACCAGAGATCCATCTTTCCTCGGTCGCCATCATGGATATCGTCGACCGCGACATGGAGCGGGCCGAGGAGGAGGCCACCCGCACCTGGTCTCAAACCTCCAAAGAGCGTCGACGACGAGCGTCGCTCGAACGAGAGCGCCAGCAACACAGGAGTGGTTCGGTCTCTTCGTCCTCCACTGGATCAACTACCTCCCTCTCCGAACAGAACATGGGCCGCATAGCCACCGCTGCCACGCAGGGAGCCGCTTCAGCTACCCGCTCCAGAACACATCCTATTGAAGATCACAGAACAGAGACACACCGGCTGCAGCACACCCAGACTGTCGGCGCCAGCACTCTCAGGTCACGAAAGAGCGAGAAGCCGCTACCTGAATTCGGCGGTGGGAAGCCATATCCTCCACCGCTGCCAGAGCGTGAGGAGTACGTGGTCGAATTTGATGGCAAGGACGATCCGCTCCATCCGCAGAATTGGCCGTTCAAGAGAAAGTTCGGCATTGGCGCTGTGCTGGCTTATACCGCCCTCTGCAGTACCTTCACCTCCTCCCTGCTCTCGGCTTCGACGATGGCCATCGGCGAGTACTTTGGCGTCTCCACCGAGGTCGCGACCCTCACGACTTCGCTCTACGTGCTTGGCTATGCGTTCGGGCCCTTGGTCTGGGGACCTTTCAGCGAGCTTCGGGGCCGCAAAATGCCCATTCTGATCGGCATGTTTGGCTTCTCCGTCTTTGCCTTTGGCACTGCTGCAGGCAAGGACCTTCAGACTGTCATGATCTGTCGCTTCTTCACCGGTTTCTTTGGCTCTTGCCCACTCGCCGTGGTCGCGGCTATCTTCGCTGATATGTTTGACAATACGCAGCGCGGCATCGCCATTGTCGTCTTTGCTTCGATGGTCTTCATGGGTCCCATGCTGGGCCCGTTTATTGGTGGCTTCATCCAGGCGAGCTACCTCAAGTGGCGCTGGAATGTGTACCTGCCCGGGATCATGGGTATGTGTGCGGTGATCCTGAACTTCTTCTTCTTGCAAGAATCGTATGCTCCCGTCGTGTTGGTGAGCAAGGCGAAAGAGCTGCGCCGCCGCACTAAGAATTGGGGTATTCACGCCAAGCAGGAGGAAGTCGAGGTTGATATCAAAGAGTTGCTCCAGAAGAACTTTACCCGTCCCATCCGACTACTGATCTCCGAGCCTATCATCCTGGCTGTTACTGTCTACATGTCGTTCATCTACGGACTGCTTTACCTGTTCCTGACAGCTTACCCGCTGGTCTTCCAAGGTGTGCACCATATCAAGCCAGGTGTTGCCGGTCTACCATTCTTTGGCATGGTGGTTGGCATTTTCTTCATTGCAAGTTACATCATCTGGGACAACAAAAACTACATCAAAAAGCTCGAAGCCAACGGTGGCATTCCCGTCCCGGAGTGGCGTCTGCCGCCTGTTATCGTTGGTGGTGTGCTCTTCGCTGTGGGCTTGTTCTGGTTTGGCTGGTCAGGGTACAAGGAAGACATTCACTGGATCGCGCCTACGCTGTCAGGTCTGTTCACCGGCGCCGGTCTTCTCGCCATCTTCATTCAGCTGTTCAACTACATCATCGACAGCTACCTCATGTTGTACGTATCTACCATTCCTGCTCTCACTCTCCCACTAAGTTGTATAGTGCCGCCTCTGCCATCGCCGCCAACACCTTTTTGCGATCCATTGCCGCCGCCGGCTTCCCCTTGTTCGCTCGCCAGATGTTTGACAACCTGGGCATTGAATGGGCGGGGACACTGCTCGGCTGTCTCGCCCTTGTGTGTGTTCCCATCCCCGTCTGCTTCTACCTGTATGGTAAGAAGCTACGCCAGAAGTCAAAGTTTGCGCCTACCATGGTTCCGCCGAAAAAGCCAGACGAGGAAGACAGCACGGGTTCCGAATCGGATGATGATCATCAACATGGCATGAGCGCACTTCATGCCACCCGAAGCGTCGCACATCATGACATGCCGCAGCGTTGGCGAACTAGGACTCGAAGTGATGCGCAGCGCAGGAGCGCCGGACAGAATGGTGTGACATCGACATCGACAGAAGATGCAAAAGAGCCAGAGAAGCAGGTTTAGGGCACCCATTTCTGGAAGGTTGAAGGGACGAGGGCCACACGGTACTGGGAGAGCAAGATCAGATTTGACAGTCGTGTGCGTGTGGACTGAATTGTGACCATGTGGCCGCGGTGGTTGGATAAATTTGCCCTTGTCTCTCCCTCCGTCAGGTCGACAGATCAATACTTCGAAGGCACTGCGTCGCACAGCAGCAGCAGCCAGCGTGACAACTACTGCCTCTAATTCATGTGATTCCATGTATGTTCGTTCTTCTTGGAATCCTCCTGGCCTGCAATATCTTGCAGTCGATAGCCGACACCACGTAGAGGCGGAATCCCGTCGTCAGCCTGGAGGCTGGTGCTTGTGGCCCACCAACCTCGCGGAGAAGTTCCATCAACTCCGCACCTCTTCGAGGCTTTTTCTCTTTCGCCTGGTCTAAGGCCAGCACCTAGTCACGTCTCAAGACTCGTGCATGTGACTGTCTTGGTCGTTTCTGGCCTTGAGCTGCTCGTGCTCGCCATCCTTTGCCAACTCCTCCGCCTCAACCGGAAGCGCGCTGGGAACTGGATGGTCGCCTGCCGCGTCTTCGCGAGCCGCTCAAACATTCTTCAGGACTTCAGGAGTACTCAGACTATTATGGCAACATAGAGACTCGACAAACTTTACAGCAACGCCCCAGAATTCCTTTGTAACACTGTTCACAAGGACAATAAGACCATTGTTACGTCGCCAAAGGCGGACGCCTAGCAACTTCGTAGCAGTCGTTTCTTCCATGCATCTTCTGCATCGCAGTTTGTCCATGTCAGTGACTATGAGCACTTTTGAAGACAGGCGTCCTTTCGGCAGCCCGGTTGAATGGGGTACAGAGCCTGCGAGGTTGCTTGCAATCCAGCTCTAGAAGGATGTTTCACTCGTTGTCTGGCAATCATCTTTCTGTACGAACGGCCACTATATACTCTCGGAGCCCCCACAAGACAAAGACACGCCATGTACAAGTATGGGCTCCCCCATTACCCCTCCTCGCGATCAAGAACCCGTGCCCCACGAGTCTTTGCAGCTTGTTGTGCCGCAAATGACCACCTCAACCGTCAATCTTCTCGGCGAAGAAACGTTGGCCACCTTCCATATCCAAAAGCCATCCGCGACTGCTCGATACTGACGCGGAGCTTTCTAATGCCCTCCACGGGGACGGTTGCAACCTCTAGCGGTTAGCCAAGTCCTCCTCAACATCCATCGCATCGTCTTCGACCTCCTCGAAGCTCGCCGCGATCATTTCACCAAGATTCCTCGACAGGTTTTCTGGCTCTGGGCAGCTGAAGAGATGCATCCCAAGACTGTTCCACTCAGATGGCTTTGCAATAACAATTTGAGACCGCTTGATGTAGGTGGCGCAATTCCTACCAAGCTGTGACTCTGCCAGGCCAGGGAGCTGCTCCAACATGACCAAGATGCCTTGCAAGAACCCGGCACGTAAGTGCTGCGCACCGGTAGCTAGATCTTGCAGACCGGAAATCTCAGGCCTGAACTCCCTCTTGCTCAAGCTAACGGGCTCGCGCCACGCAGCCATTGCGTCAATACTTTAGAAGCCAGTCTGCGAGCTCGCCCTTCGGCGCTATCGAATTCTTCTGCGGCCACGCCGTCTTGAATGCCGGATGAGGCTTTGCCTCGTCTTCCACTTCCAACAGCGCGATATTATCTCTCGTGCGAGTGAGCCATAAGTGGTACTTCTTCATCATGACTTCTTCTGCCTTTTTTGACACGACACAAAGCTTGTAGAAGTAACACGCTTGCTCCCTCGCCGAAAGCCAAAGAGATGAACTCAGCGGACTTCCGCATTACCTGATCTCGCTCCTGGGTATGCAAAGCATAGCCCCGTAGAGTCAGTGGAGCATGGTGGAGATCGTCCCTTAATTCCCAACTGTGCGGATCGGCTTGGTCTTATCGAAGGTACCGCCTTCTGCCATTGCATGCGCCATTGCCGACTTTGTCCAATGCGAGGAAATGTGGACAGGCGACTTTGAGACAAACGCTTCTGGCTGGAGTCTCTTGTCCACACACCTCGAATTCCCTGCCATAACTTCTGCGTGCTTTGATGTAGAATGGATGAAGCACCATTTCAGCTCCACCTTTAGCGCCTGCTCAATGACTTCCGATCAACCTGCATCAACGTTGTCTATCGATCAGATTGTGGGATCTATGTGCTGTCTCTTGAGATTGAGATCTGGCACAGTTATGACCGCTGCTCTCTTTCCTGCGTCGGGATTCTGCTTTGCAGTCTCCTGCGACTTTCCATCATTCTTAGCCTCCTGGGCTTCAGACCCAGCCGCCGAAGAAGCCGCCCTTGTCTGTTTCTTCCTTTTCGTTCATCAGTACGAAGCCCTCCCTCTGCACGAACTTCACAGCAGGTCCCGGCACAATCAACATCCCAGCGCAGGACTCGATCACGCATTTCATGGTCTCAGACATAGGCTGAACCGTTGCACACTCCAGACAATAGTACTCTTTCTCGGACATGCTGACAGTTTGCAATCGTGTGTTCAAGTATGTGTTGCAGAGAAGAGAAAAATACTGCGAAGCTGCGGAAGTTTTGCAGAACAACTTTGAGGGACCGCAGCCTCGGGGTTGGCCTTGGCATTTATGCTGGATCCGCCCCTACCGAAGGCAGAACGCCATCTTTCATTTCAAGCTAGCCTGACCAGGCAGCAGCCAGTCACCCGCAGCCCTGGCGAGCGAAACCTCACCCGATCACTTGGAAGGCAGTACTCCACACCACGTAACACTAGTGACGCCTCGTTGCCTAGTAATAGGCATGCGTTCGTTTGCTCCGCAATTGCGCCGATTACAAATTAGTCCTCGCAATTGCACGTTCGTGATTCATCGTCATGATCATCATCAGACAGTTGTTTGGTACGAGTTCAGAGTTTCATATCGATCTCAGTCCAGTCGACGTCAGTCGCATGGCTCGATGGTGCCCAAGTCATGATGTGTGGCTATTGGGCCTGTCGACTGTTCGTTTCTCTGTTGTCACACCCACTGCTACATCCAGACGCGATCCTCGGCCACGCCCTCCCTCAGAAACAACTAGACTCGAATTAAGGTACTCTGACAGCACTTCTATCTCGAACTTCTCGATTCAAAGGAAAAATATACCTGCGGCTATTGGAATGGATGTTGAGATTGTTTTTGGGACTGTGCGACGAATCCGAGCTGTGCGTAAACTCACCGCCCGCGTATAATGGATATTCAAACACAGTCGGCCCCAACGCGCATTACAATCCATGCAGGAGCGAGCACAGCCTCTTTGGGTAGCAAAAATCATACAAAATACTTCTAGAAACTCCTCTTAGCCTACGATTCCTCGTAGTTACTAGCCAGCCCCGCGTAGAGGTGGGAGGTCATCGCTGGTCTCGGCCCACTCCTCCCCTCCCTACCTTCCCCCCTGCCAACATGCATCATGCTACTTGCAAATCCCAGCTGCTCACTCCTCCAACACCGGCCCATCCGCAAAAGCATCATCTACTAATGTATCGAGCTCTGCCACCTTAAGCTGCTCTTGCAATGCCTCAGCTCTTGCGAGACAGTCATCCGCCATAGCTACAAGATACCTTATTCCTTCGACCGGAAAGGGGCGCCCTTTCCCTTTTCAAGACCTCTCAACCTCTTGAAAGGTTTGAACTTGTTTAGGAATTCCTGTACGCTCCTGGCGTTGTCTTGCAACACTGCCTCGCACCACTTCCTGTTGCTTTTTCCTCTACTACCCTGCCTGCGGCCAGCGTGCACGCAATTGATTCCACCGTCCCATGTGTAGCTCGACGTCAGGACTGAGCTGACTATCTCGTCCAACCCAACGTCAGCTTCGTCGACCGTCCTGAAGATCTGATAAGTATATGGGTCGAGTCAAAAAGTCGGAAATCACCGAAGCTGCAATGCTGATGGGCGCCAATCTAGTGCTGTACCGTGTACGAGCGTACATCAAAGATCCATATCACCCTTATCGTGCTATTATCTACGGAGTCAAGCCGGGCCAGCGATTGCACATGATCCCCAGGACTTCCTTCGACGCCGCCTCAAGCCTTACGGCGGCAGCAGCATCCAATGGTGTTAGTGCTAAGCACTGCGGCAGAATCTCGACATTCGCGAATATCGATCTGTAAGGCTTTCGTCTGCCGACTCCGTGACCCTCTTCCGACACCCCATCTAGCTTGTGGGAAGGGCGAGACGACATTGGCGCGATCTGATCAAGGTCTGGATCATCTGGAATTTGACCAGGTTGCCGCTCACTCACCTTCTATAGCCCACGAATATAACCAGCCATGTCTGCCAGGAAAAGATGGAATTGATAACGCCCTGCGTCAAGGACAGGCACATCCATTACCTGGTAGTACCTAATGCTGCCGCTGCCGCTTGACCGCGTGACTGCCCTTTGCATGGTTGTCTCGTATCTTTCATCCACCAATTTGGGCACATTTCAATGGCTCCTCCACCACATTGTCGTTATGAGTGAGCGAAAGCCCATGAAGCGCAGATCGACTCAGCGGCAAAGTTCAACTATATGGCTAGCTAATAGGTGGCTGGGGCTAGAACTTCACACGTTCGTCATAGCTATTGCTACTGTCCCTGTCCCCGTTATAGTAGCTCTTGCGGCCAAGGCAGGGACCGTGCTCCCGCCGAACTGGCTGCCATCACAATCACTCTACAGCTCCTTGGGCAACCACTCTTGGAAGGACCTCCGTCCTTCTCTTTCACCCCTCAGCCAAAGAGTAGGTCTATCTATCTGCCCTGCAATATACAACTGACTCAAGCCTTACAGAAGCAACACTCTCTGCTCAGCAATTCTCGAGCTCCTCACAACCTTCCCAACCACCATTTGTCGCCTGCCTGATACGCGCCACAAGTATTCTTCGTCACCGCCGGCACCTCCGTCGAAAAGCCAGCAGCTCGCGGATGCCCTCTTAGTCCCCCGAAACGAGTCATCTGGCCCGTTGATCGCTAACACAGTGTTTCCGACAGCTTCCTCCGAACATCAACTACATTGTCCTCTACAGCCCCTTTCGCGCAATCACTACACCCCCCTCCACGCCCTGCACCACGACCTCCGCTGCGACCTGGTCCATAACCTCCTCCATAGCCTCCTCTGTAACCTCCTCTGTGACCTTCTCTACGCTCTCCTTTACACCCCACTTCACAATCTTCTTCACGCCCCCCTCCACGCCCTCCTTCACGCCTATCTCTACGCCCCCCTCCATACTAGGTACCTTCTTTTATGTCTTCCGGCTCAATACACTCCTCCACACTCTCCCCCGCACCCTCCTTCACATCTCCTCCATACTGTCCACACCCCTATCCACACGCATTCAAATAGACTCATGACGACGATCTGTTACCTAGACCTCGCTCACAACCTTTCTACCTCTTTCCACCTCGCATTGTGCACAGCCTTAAACTCGGTCTCAAACCGCGCCGCCGCCTTCGCAAACCCTACCTCCGCCGTAGCAACCCGGGACGGCGTCTGCACCTACTCGTCCCAAAGACGATCCACAACCCTCAAATTCGCCATGTCCGGCAAGTAACTACACAGGCATCCTGACGATTCTCTTTTGATGACCCATCGAAGACTCCCATGACGGCATGGCATGATTACTGTGCTCGATCGCATAAAGTGCTGCCGTGGTGAGTTGTCTGAGATGCGCGACAAGCGTTTGCCGATGTCAAGGCCGTGATACAGCTACCACTTGAAAATGGGCAGCTTACCTGTATGATGTCGTTGCATCTAGATCGCAGCGCTCGACGTGGGACGAAGGCAACTATGCTCCGAAACACCGCACTACATGGCTTCACGTGTCTATACCCTATAATTTCTTACGTAGAGCTCACACACGGGCCCGCCGCTTGTGGTAGTAACTAGAAGCGAATGGTGCGGTCAACGTCCTGGACGTGTAGAGGTCGTTACCTAGTAACGATCGTGGTGCCGGTGAGCAACGGCGTTGAGAGGGGTACAGGGCGTGAAGGAGTGAGGGTGTTGAGCAGGGCACCTGGGCGAGGACACAGGTATGCGAGGCTGTGGATGAGAGCATGGGGTGTTCTGGATGAGTGTGTAAACAAGGGGTCAATGAAGGTGTGGAGAAGAGCACGGAGGAGGGCATGGTTGTGTGGAAGAAGTGGAGCTTGAAGACGAGCTTATCATAGAAGTATACCTATTCAACAATGTCCAAGACCGGGTGACGAGACGTTCCGAAGGGCTATAGCAAAGTTGGGGAGTGACTTGGGAAGCAAACAGCGAGAAGCTGGCGAGAGACGGGCATCTTCTAGCTACAGAGAATACTTGCACGATTCCCAGACATGCTCGGTCAATCGGTGAGAGCTGCAGCCGCTCCCACTTGGCGTAAAGTCGAGTCTTTTGCACCGGAATAAGCCAAATCACTCCTCGCTCGCGAGAACGGATAAAACCAAGACACTGTGCTGTGACCAGACACCTACTCCCAAGACATCGAGCATTTAAATAAGCTTCGCAGAGCTCACGTCAAGAGGCCAAAAGAAGGCCGCACTTCCACCTGGTGCCATCGTAGGGTCTTGTTCTAGCTATAATGAGCCCTGACCGCGTCATGAAGGCCAAAATAGGGCTAGGGTGGAGCTAATACGTCTGCCCAGAGGCCCTTGTGCTAGACTCATCCTGTCTTGTTCAATCATAAAGCACTAAAACCAACACTACTGTACTAATAGTAGCCTATTCAACTTGCATAGCTGCACAAGTAGTAGTGTACAGAGACGCCTCACGGTCCCCAATCGGTGATAGTGTCCTCACCGGGACATCCTTGACACGAATTTCACAAACAAAGTAAAGCGATCCTTTCGACGTCACTTGCTACGCATTGCCTAGGGAGAAGAGCATCCCCGAGCTTCAGCGTTTTGTTCCGATAAGGTCCAACATAGGCCAATCAGCTTAGTTGCGGCTTCTCTTCGAACATGATGCTATGATCGGATTCGTCATCGCCAGCTCAATAGCCGTGAAGCCTCCGCACCAGAACAATGACGCGTTCTGCAGAATTGGTTTCACAGACTCTCCAAGTTCTCAACGCTAACCCCACGGAAATTCATCTTGCCAGGCAGTACCTGGCACGCATCATTACCAGCATCTTCATAGGTGTTTTGCTTGCGTCAGACTCTTCAATCCTTACGTGACTGAAACTGATTGCAAGGACAAGCCGAGACGCACTGTATAGGTGTAATCAAGCAGACTTTGCTACAGTCGACGTATTGCAGACAACCAGGTGCCTGATGGCAGTGGCTCATTACGAGCGCGTCAATATGTTTCACTGAATTCCCAGTAGGCAGGTGTCGATCAACGTTGAACTTAAACTCGGTAAAGGCTAGAAGCTGTCCGCATGGAAGCGATGCCAGGCTTGATCAGGTTGCAGATTTTCATACGTTTTCCATGAGCCGGCAACCCTTCAAGACGTTGCACAAGCTCGAGGAAACTGAACAATCGCAGGAAAGCATCGCGAAGGGGTTGGTGAAGATCGTGAAGCTGTTCGGAGCAATGGCAACAGTTAGGTAGGTACCTGCCTAACCTCGACGCAAGAGCCAGGAGACGAAGATCACTCACTCACTGCATGTGAGCAGCTGACCAGGACGAATCCATGTGCAAATGCGTACTTAGTCTCGACGCCGGAAGAGGCTTTGTTACAGTGTTCTACATACTGTCCAGGAGGTGATGGAAGGTGGGCCATCCTACGACAATGATAAGATCCTTCCGCTCTTCTTCGGGTACTACCTAGTAAAGTTGCTTTTGAGGCTGGATTAGCCGTGTGCCCAGCTCCCGTGCAGTACGGGCTCCACAGGCGCGAGAGCATGGCGTTCAAGCTTTTCGATCGTGCTGCGTGGATCGGCGCGCAAGCTGGGGCGATGGCGTGGAGCTTCCGACGCGCGAGTTGGTACCATTGAGGACGCAAACAGTTGAAAGACTGGCTACCATGAGTGTCTGGTGCAAGTCCAGGGGCTTGTTCCACGAGGATACTTACAGGACCTAAGGTACTAGGTACGTAAGAGTAGGTATCGTTGAATATAAAAGACAGCGCCCTCCACTCCCCTACCTAGTCTTCGTAATCTTCGAGGTTCTGTCTGGCCAGATTCTGCGTCGGGGCCTCCTCCGTAGCTAAGTCGGTAATCTCCAACCATCCGCGCCGCCTGCGCATCCAGAAACAACCCGGTACGTCCATCGCCTTCCCACAGCACCAAAATGGCATTCCTGATCTAATTCCGTGCACACTTCACCCGAATGAATGCGGTATTGGCAACACACTTGCTCTGAGTATTTAGTATTGTCGTTCCGCTGTCCAAATCCATCTCACGTTGTGTTCCCGTGGGCAACAACCTAGTGCAGGATCCCTGATTTGCCCGACGCTCGAGCCGGAGTTGAGACCGTACACGACCTGAGTTCGAGGTGATGTCGATGTCGAGGTCCAGGCCAGAGGATACCTAGTGGTGGCGAAGACCTCTAATGTGTTTGATGTGGCGAGGTTTGCAGTGGCGTAGTCTCGAGCCGTGGCTGTACCATTGCCTTGGGCCTGCGAGAGCTCATGCGCCAACGAAGCTGGCCATCTGACTACGATGGGCGAATTTCATTTTCGAGAGAAGGGACTTTGCTGTAGAGATAATATTCGCTCCGATAGGAAACCACCGGGATGCGTGGGTAGGATCGATTGTGATATGTTCGCAGAGACAGACTGTAAGGGTGAGGCGGTGGCATGCTTGATAGTCCTCTTGTAGATTGTCAGCAGGTCCTGGCCTGGTCATGCGCAGACGGTTGTATTGATGCCTGTAGGCACAGTGAGTAACACTGCTATCACAATTCTTGTGCTTCGTCAAAGTAAGGTAGTACCTTAGGTACCGAACCATAGCAGAAGGGTCGAAGTTAATGCCAGCGCCGATGCCAATACCTTGGTCTGGAAGCTGTTTGGGTACTAGGTACACTTGCGCATATGTGTGAGCATTCTACCTAGCACTGTAGCTAATGCGGAGGAAGTTGGACGTTATCCTCGAGAGTGACTCGCAAAGCCTCAAACTTGCGGGCTATGGGTCGCGAATCCGTGCTGAGAAGCAACAGGCTTGTCAATCTTCTTGGAGACGATACTATTGGACTCGTATTCTCTGGCCGGATACAACTAGGTAACGCGAAATGCCGGGGGTGCATCTTTCTGGGTTATACACATGGTACTGTATTTAGTAGTGTGCTGGTGAGTCCCGCGCCTTGGGAGTTCAATCAAGTAGGTAACATTGAAGTTAAAGTGGGAGGTATTCGCGGGGAATATGGAAGATCAAGTATGACCTTGTCCGGCGCCTATTGGTCTTACTATCCATGCTGCGGCCTTGTTGTCCAGTGTGAAAATGCGTGATCGCGAGAGACGACACCTGAATCTGTGAAGACCGCAATGCTAAAACAATCCATGCCCAACAGAACGCATCGGACGGCATAGCATCCCGACGTGTGATTATATCTCGCGCCGTCCAAGAGTACACCCACCTCCCGATTCCGCTATCGTCACGCAAATGGAATGTACTAGGTAGCTACTATCGCGCAGAAATTTACCCATTGTATGACGAGCAGAGATCGAAAAGGAGTACCAACAGGACTCGGCGCACTCATACGCGGACTGTACTAACGTTCAGAAGCCTACAGGCCAGCATAAGTAAGCATCCGAGATATTTCTAGATGTTAGCGGAGAACTCGCGCCTTCTTAGTGAGGCTCAACACAAGTAACGACTGGAGCTGGCTTCAATTAGCTAGTTCATTTGGAAGAGCTGAAAGGCGGGCGGTGTCTATGATCAAGATCTGTGACCATCGAGCGGCTCCTAGTCCTTGATGTAGCCAGTGCAGATGAACAGAAGTGGTTTCGAGAATGCTACATTTCCAGTCCTCCGCTGGACATTCTCGTCTTGCAAGTACTACTTCTGCTGTTCTTCGTTTCCCGGGACGTCTGGATGATAGTTTTGGTTGAAAGAGGATTTTAAGCTAGTGTATGTGACAGGGAGTATAAGCCGTCACCTGCGTTGATCAGTCAGGCTAGCACATCTCGACAGCAGAGCGAGGACGAAGTGAGGTAGGTAGATGATATAGAATCTGAATTGAGAAGGGCGGGAGTGCCCAAGGTGTCCTTAGGCCAGTTGCCTGAGTCAGGCTAACGGCAGAGCGCGACGGATAGCCCGCAAGAAGTAATGTATTGCTGTCAACCAGCCTTCGGTTCATCATGCCACGGAGTTGATCCAGCATTGAGCCCTCAAATTAAATTCGTGCCACGGGTTCACATGCAATATCGGTGCCATGCAGGCAGCTCTAGGATTTTTGGAACGCCCTCACAGCCTCTTGAATAAAGTCTGCCGTCTCTTTCGGTTTGCTGAGCATCGGAGAGTGCGAGGCCGCGATCTCACGAATCGTAACATCCCCTTCAGCCTGAGCCTGCCGCACAAACATCATCTGTGCCTGGAACGGCAACGCCCTATCTTCGATGGTGGCCAAATACCAGGCGGGGACCTCTTTCCAGCCAGGATACACGTGCTCGCCTCCATCGAAGGCCTCCGCCGACTGTTTATCGAGCTTGGCGACCCATTGATCTGCATCGTCGACGTCGTGGTAGAACAGTTCTCGTGGATCGATGGTGAGCTCGACGAGACCATTCTTGATCTCCCAGATTGGCGGCGGTTTCCCCTCGAAGGCATCATTGAAGCTTTTACCAATAGTGGCCCACCCTGTAGCTATACCAATGAATCCGATGACGCGCGGAGAGCCCGAGGTGAGTCCCCTGAGAGCACTGGAAGCGGGAACGGAGCCGTAGGAGTGCGCGACGACGACTACGTTGTTCCCAGACGCTATCTCAGCTTGGATGGGAGCCCGGACTGCATCGATGTCATCCTTGAACGTTCCGGAGCCAGTCGTTGTAGGAAGAGCGGGACAGACGGTCTTGAATGGGAGAAGCGATGTAACTCTGCTCCATATCTCGGGACGGTGCCACGCTCCAGGAACGAAGACGATTGTTGTAGCCATTGTTGAAGCTATTGTAGAAGCCAATGCAGCGGAAAGGAGTGCAAATTTATAGCATTCGCTCGAGAGACGAGTGCTTTCGCACAAAATACATCAACCAATGAGCGACTAGCGCGATGCGAAAATTCCCTGATGTGGCATGTGGGTCACGGAGTGGAGAAGCATAGGAAAAGGTGAAATCGCGATGTCACGCGGTAGCAGAGGTATCTCAACAAGCGTATAGGTAGTCTGGCAGACTCCCGCACACTAGATGCAGTGAGTGATTTCTCTCCCGAGCCTCACCACCCTCTGGGCGTGCATCCATGGTTCCACCTTCCGCAATTAGAAGGAGTCCTGGCGGGAGCTGCTGGGGATTGGTGGAAAATGATGAGTGACCGCCGCGCGACTTTGGCGATGCCTTCTAGGGTGGAATAACGGCTGCGGATTCGCGAAGAGGTGGGAGATCTCAAAGTGCCGAAACCTGGCGGCGAACACGCACTCGAGTTCTTGTGAAGGAGCAGAGACACGTGCACAAGAGAGTCAGCACGGTCTTGCGGCGAGTCATGATCGGCAAAGCAATGGTTGAAATTACATGCAATGCGTCATGGTTGGCACAAGACTAGTGGGAGCGTAGGTGGCTTGAGCTTTGAGGCATCTCTGAGGACGTGAGCGGCCCTCATATGACTATGAATAATCGGCTGCGCGGGCGATACAGGCGGTCGACCGCTCAAATTTGGAAGGCAGCTGGTTCATACCCGTTTGCCCAGTCGTCTTCAGCTCGCGAATATACATGCTCAGTTGAAACTGTGCGCGGGTTTCGATCGTCAATAGTCTCGCGTAAAATTGTTTCCGGCGAAGCTGGAAAGGGAAATGTCGATGTAGCTTATTGAAGGCTTTCGTTGTCCCTTCTACCGGTAGTACCTAAGCTGGGTTCTCCTACGGGCCTGCAAGTAGTAGAAGCCTCGCTGAAGCAAGATTACAGGTACCTCCTTAGCCCGACCCCACTGTGTCCACGGTACGCTCAAGTAGCAGCCTGACAGCCACCTTAGGATCAATCCCTCAGATATAAGCTAGCACTGTGATTCCCAAAACCTTCCATCGAGGCAACTGCTGGCGGCAATGGCTCGAGCACATCCTCGTAGAGCATTTAGGCATCCACAGGTGCGTAGCTTGAGCATGACTAGAATATGCTCTCGTGCTTGGAATCGACGTGCACCAGTGTGACATCAGTTTCGTACCATTGATCTGTTGAGTGGAGCTAACCCATTCCATTCTGCCTTTGATGCGCCTCGCTCCGGTGCAGCTCCGTCGTCGTATCAAATTCACTAAAAAACAGCACTGGAATCGGGCCTTGGTTAGATTAGTAGCGAGTCGGTGGAAACCAGGAGCACTCCGAATGAGCTGTCTGACGAGGCGTGATGAATAAAGGGCTGGGAGAGCTTCAGCTGTTGCACAGCCTTCGTTGAGCGTAATCGCGAACCGGATATCAGCTCTTAATGAAGAAGCAGCTGTCCACTCAATCCTCTTCTAAATGGCGATCCTCGCATGTAAGTTGAACGGCCACGTGCCGCAGAGGTCTTACATTCCGCTCGAGGTCATCCTGCCAAGCTCTCCCTCAGCCCGTTCAGTGTACTGGCGGGCACTGCAAGTAAGCAGCTCGAAGACCCATCTCGCCGGTTGACTGAAGTCAAATCACCGAATACACCTCCGCTCATCGTTCTGGCGCACCGAACACCTCCTCCTCAGCCCAAGCAATGCAGTCATGCCAGTCCTTGGGTAGCCACTGCCGAACACCCTCCAGCACCTTCACTCCCCATCCACGGATCAGAATACTGTTCTTCCCTACTACTTGCAGGGCAACAGCGTAATTACCCATGATGGCCAATGCTAACGGCTCGCCTAGGTACACAAGATTCAGAAACTCGTCTTCGACCATGAGGAGAAATGTGTTGACCACGATCTGGTAGTACTCTGGCGCGTTGGAGAAAGACAGTGCGTAACGTAGTAGGTCGATGGTAGATTCATACACGGTGCGATATGTTGCAGTTGAGATGGTGGAATTCATTCGGCTCTCAAGGCATCTTATCATCTCTTCCGCACCAGGTGGTAAGGCAAACTCGTCTGCGCCAGGCTTCAAAGCAATCATTGGCCAAAATGGACCGGTCTCCAAAGTAGTCGAACCGTACTTAACGATGAGCTTTGATCCACGCAGGATCGTAAGGAGATCTTTGAGCTTCGCCAGTGATGCTGCCTGACCATAAAAACCGAAGGAGTAGGCTACGGCAATACACTGGAAGGCAAACATAGCATTGGAATTATCTGCGGTCATGCCTTTGGCGAGTGCTTGGCGAAACTGCGTAATGGAAATACTGTGATGCTCAAGAGCCAGGAGGGAGGCCTTCTCCGATGGATTCTGCAGGTCGGCATGCAATGAGCTCAGTCCGAGAATGGCGTGGTAGAGGAAATCATGTTGAGCGGACATTTCGAGAACCAGCTCACGCCAGAGGTATGGGGAATTGCCGTTTGTGAGCGAGGTAAGGAGCTCTGATGTTGAATCCCGATATTTCTGGATGAGGGTTGGACGGGTCTGCTCCATCACAGCGAGTCTCCGGTCTTGAGGGTGATTGGGAACACTGTCGACGAACTTGATGCCACAAGTGGTTTCCACCAGGGAGCAATCGACTCCCAAGCGTACGCATCGCGAACACGAAGGACGTTGTTCATCGCACTGCTGGTCAGTAACGACACCTGCCAATGCTGCTACCACTCACTTTCTTCCTTGAAGTCTTGCATGCGGCGCAGCCGTGCCGGGAGTTGCGATGCGACCTTCGACGGCGTACGAGCTGGGTCTCGACGACCATATTTGCAGAAGAAATCTTGTTGCCTAATGACTGAGAAAGACATAATGAAGCCAAGGTAATGAGGTCACGACATGGTTCAGCCACGACAGGGGCCGGAAGTTAGATTCACTAGCCACAGCAGACGCCCGGGGACATTTTACAGAGTTACGACGCAGGTTCAGGCACTTGCCGAGCTCCCAGCGTTCGCCGCCGCGCTATCAAGATGTTGCGGCGTCCCGCGGCCAAGACTGGGGCCCAAAACCGGCCCGGATGTGTTAATAAACTGGCCCATCCCCGTCGCTGAGGTGAAGTGTTTTGTTCTCTCTCCCACTCTCAACTTCCGACAGATATGACATCAAAAGAATCACGCTCGCGACGCGCCTGTAGCGACCCAGTCGGCAACGGGACAGGACAAGGCGATAATCGCGACGGCAAAGGTTGCACTGTCTGCAACAATGAGGGCAACTATGGCTTTGGCAAGAGTGCCTGTGGGCGGTGCGGACGTTGTCACGGATGTGGAAGCACCAACACCGGTATAGGTCCACTTCAAGCAGTCTATTTTGGCGGCAAGAAGGTATTTCAGAGGGTCTTCTCCGGCAACAAGGACGAGGAAGCGAAATCGTAGATCGTGGTCTCTGAAGCGAATGTTGCGTCGTCCTAGGGAACAAACTGATCCGGGGTGGTCGCGCTGAGGAAGCGGAAGTGCTGGTTTGGCTACACTAGCAAGGACATGCCCTCGAAAGGTGCGACTGTCCGAGGCCAAAATCGAGAACGACCGGCAATGCGGACAGGAGATCGTATTAGCGCAGGTCAAGGGCCGCTGTTCTGAGATTGCGGCCATGTTGCGGATGCAAAAAGACATGCAGACGATAGCGATGGTACATTAGTCACGGCGGTCGCATGTATTTGAGGAATACGGGCTTTCATATAGGCCTGAGCTGGTGGAAATGCCAAGAAATTGGTCACCCGGGGAAAGATTTATTTCATCACACATCTTCCGTCTTCGGAGCCACGATCGAGGACTGCCCCGTCTTCTTGACTCTTAACCCTCGATCTAGCCTTCTCTTCGTCGGGTGATGTTCCATGTTTGTAGAACACAAGGGCGGGCGGTATGTGCCCAACTCATCGGACCCGCGACCAACGTGCACCATGCGGCAACGATCCTAAGAGATACCTGTCCAATGTGTCCCTCTCGCTACCCTCGCCGATCGCATACAACTGGGATTCCTGCGAAGGTGAGGGCGGGGTGCCATAGAACACGACCTGTAGATCGCAACGCACAGCACGGTCGACTCCCAGAGCTGGAGCTGCATCGGCAGCACCGGCGCTGGCGCTGGCGCTGTCTTTGGTACTTGGAACTGGTTCTGTGCGGATTATATTCTTCAATCGAATACTAGGTAGCGCCTGTCAGTCGCCCAAGCAAGCCTGATTGTTCACCGTCGAAGCAACACATCGCGGTAAGGTGTGGGAATTAAAACGTTTTCCACATCAGTAAGCAGGTCCAGCAAAATGTCCCGACGGGACCAAATAGCGATCTCTGGCTCGGCATGAGAGTCAAGGAATCCGCCACAAGTGGCCCAAGAGTAGCACCAACGATAGGAGTCATTGCAAACCAGTAGACTGCTGCACCACATCCCCTGGGTCAGACAGATCCATCACCTGGGACAGGGGCATCATCTTACAGACAGCAGAGCCAAGTGCTTCGGCCGAGTACCTTAAGCCGAAGACAGTGATCGTCTCAGCGTTTTTCAGAACAGAGTGCCCCGTTCCTGAGCAAATGGCTCTAGGATCATGCAACATGAATCAACATTCGAGAGCGTAAGCATGTTGGAGCATTGTTCAATGCACACTTTTCACCCTCGTACAAGGATCTCGGCTGTATAGCCTAGTATGAGCCGACCCTCGCAGGCAGGCGAGACAGAGAACGATTTCTAGGTCCTGGAGTGGTCATGGCCCGTGGCGAATTAGCCCAAACGAGAGACAGGACACCGTAAATCACTGCTTTACGTCATCTTGACGGCCGTCGATAGGGTATGTCGACCGTCTTCACTGGATTTGATCTTCGAAGAACATCTCCAGTCTTACCATACAGATGAAGCTTCTTAGTGCTTGGATTCGGCAATGGGTTCGGGCAGGAAAGAAATCTCTCGCGCGATTCTCATTGTCTGTCCCGTGATGAAGCCGCCATCGAATTCCATTCGCCTCTTGAAGAGGGAAATATCGAAGGCACAAGGTCAGACACACTAGCGCATGGCCGTTGGCAGTGGAGACTTCGGCAGTCTGCGGTGCTGGAGGAGTATCTGGAAACAAGCAAGCAGAAGAGAGTGAGCTGGGAAGGTTAACAAGCCAGAATGAGCACCCAATTGCTCAAGATATCAAGGTTCTTGCACAGCCGCATGGACGAGACGGCTCATCGATGAAGCTTGGGATGAATGACCATGTGCTTCTTGCCGACGACATTGTTGGCGCCGACTTTGCCAGAACGAGGGAGTTGATGAGGTCGTGGACACGATGACATGAAGTTTCCTCATCACTTTGATGCTAATACTGGCAAGGCGGACGTTGTATTGCAATGTAATATATAAGAGTAACAGAAAATCAAATACTGAGGCGCATTCAGCCACCGCGAGGATTACAGATCATGCAGGAACGCGCTTATTGATCCAGTTAGGCATGGTAAGGCACTAAATGAGGTTTACCTAATCGGACACTGCGGACTTCGCCCTCGGTTCCATGACGTGCTTCAAAGTATCCGCCACTACGACTGCTTCGCTTTCTGCCGGCTTCACGATCGATATATATCTGAACCTCACTGCCATTGAAACTGGAGCTTCCATTGAAACTCATCACTGCTGTCCTGCTTGCCGCCATGGCTTTCCAAATGCCCGGTTTCGTATCCCGCCTTGTGCGGCCATTTACTACCTCGGTTTCGCGACCCCTCCAACCCGATGCTCTCGCCACCAAACAATGGGCGAGCGGCTCCCAACGAGCGATTTTTGCAGGCGGCTGTTTTTGGGGCCTTGAAGAATTGTACCGCAAAGACTGGGGCAACGGAAAGGGTCTCCTCGACTGCCGTGTAGGCTATACTGGTGGCAAGACTGAAGCGCCTTCGTATGAGGAGGTATGCTCAGGTCGGTCCGGCCACGCTGAGAGCTTGCTTCTCGTCTTCGATCCCGAAAAAGTGAGCTACAAGCAGTTGGTGGAATATTTTTTCAAGATGCACGACCCTACTACGCTCAACAGACAAGGCGCAGATTCTGGAACCCAGTATCGCTCAGCCATATTCACAGAAAATGACGAGCAGCTCAAGATTGCCAACGACATCAAAGAAAAGGTCGGCAAGGAGTGGTACAAGGGCAAACCTATCACCACAGAAATCAGACCCGCGACTCAATGGTATGATGCCGAGGACTACCATCAGGAATATCTTGAAAAGAAGCCATACGGCTACCACTGTCCGGCGCATTTTCTCAGATCCTTTCCACCTCTTTCTTCATAGCGGAGACAAACAGGCTGTGGTTGAAGGTTAGCTTGCGATGTGAATGAAAGGAAATGGTGAAGGGTATGGTGGAAGTCTCTCAGCGACTCAGTGGCCGTTGGATGACGATAGCTTTTGGAACAAGCACAGATTTTACGTTTGCAGAGCCGACATGGCAGTCGTCATGATGGCCCTCACTTCCTAATTCATACGATCAATGAAGATAAACTGACAAACAAATGTTATGCGGCGCCGACGCTCCTGCTGTATTGACCCAGCGGGGACACTTATTCCACCTCAAGTAGAAAGTTTGCCGAACATCTGCGGGGCGGAGTGTATGCCAAGCCCGACTTTCGAGACCGAGTCACAATTTCGAGATCGCGCAGTCACAGCACCTCCCTCGCAGCCGACCCTTAAGATACTCCTGTCTCCAGCGGGAAGAAGGGCGACCGACCACTCGACCATACGCTCAAGCTCAAAATGGCCGAAGACCTACCAAACCAAGTTTTGAGCAAGCTTGCTGCCGCCGATGGAACCCTCCTCACATCCGAGGCCTTCCCTGACCTCTCCTTCGTTACAATCAAGTCTGCAATCGACCGTCTACGGTCACGAGAGTTCATTACTGCAGAGCAACTCGACAAAATAGAAGTTACCCTCACCAAAGATGGCGAAGACATTGCTCAGAAGGGCAGTTTCGGTGCCCGCGTTTTCCAGTTGGTGTCGCAGATGGGTGGGCTGAAGATCAAGGACCTCCCTACCAAAACTGGCAGTGCAACTGTCGCAAAGTTCGGACAAGCAGATTGCTTCAAGAACAAATGGGTGAAAAAGGATGGGGATTCACTGACGCCTCTTACCGACCACATTGACGACAAGGTTCAGAAGCAGCTTCAGGAGATCAGCCAGACCAAAACACTGAAGGATGCGGCGGCTTTGAAAGAGTTCAAGAAGAGAGAGTATGCGTCGGACCGTAAGGTTCTGGATTTTCGCATTGCAAAGGGCAAGAACTTCTCCAATGAGTTCGTCAAGGAAGAAACAGACCTCACAGCAGAGATGCTTGCTTCAGGAGCATGGAAAACCGTCAAGCTGAAGCCATATAACTTCAAGGCCAAGGGCGCGCCAACGCCATCTGGAGCACTACACCCGCTCAATAAGGTTAGGGAAGAATTCCGCGACATTTTCTTCGAGATGGGTTTCGAGGAAATGCCTACCAACCGCTTTGTCGAGACTGGCTTCTGGAACTTCGATGCTCTTTTCGTACCTCAACAGCACCCTGCACGAGACCTCCAAGACACCTTCTATATCTCTGATCCACCCAGAGCCGATCCACCCAGAGACGACCCCCAGCCCAGCGATGCCCCTCTACCAACGACCAAACACAAGCGGTCTAAGTCCAAGGAGAAGGTGTTGAACTATGACCAGTACTGGAAAGACGTCCGCGCCGTGCACCAAGACGGCAAATATGGTTCAATAGGTTATCGATATCCTTGGGACCCTGAAGAGTCATTACGGCTTGTCCTTCGAACCCACACCACCGCCATTTCGACGTACATGCTTCACAAACTTGCACGGAATCCTCGACCAGCACGCTACTTCTCGATAGACCGCGTCTTCCGCAATGAGACCGTAGATCAAACCCACTTGGCAGAGTTTCACCAGGTGGAGGGCGTGATCGCTGATTATGGCCTGACGCTCGGCGGTTTGATCGGTTTCATGGAGATCTTCTTCGGAAAGATGGGCATCACAAATTTGCGCTTCAAGCCTGCATACAATCCCTACACCGAACCCTCCATGGAGATCTTCAGCTATCACGAAGGTCTCAAAAAATGGGTCGAGATCGGTAACAGCGGCATGTTCAGGCCGGAGATGCTGGAGCCCATGGGTTTACCAAAGGATATGAGAATTTACGGGTGGGGACTGAGTTTAGAACGACCAACTATGATCAAGTGAGTCTCCCTCATCTAACGCAAGTCAGTTGCTAACAATCACAGGTATGGGGTGTCAAATATTCGAGAGTTGCTCGGCCACAAGGTCGATCTCAACTTCATCGAGACTAACCCAGCGGTACGTCTAGACAAGGACTAGAGCATACGGCTGTACGACTACGAAGACGACGACTTATGCGATTAAGATGCGTGAGACGTGACCAAAAGGAAGAAGTAAGGCACTAGACGACCGAGAGTCATTAGAAATGATACCCATTTGATCGTCATCGTTTCCCTTCCCATATCCGAACTCCTCAGAGGATTGAGTTGCACCATCGTGAACAACATCGGCACATCAAGGCTTCTCCATGACTCATTCCCACCATCGGAGAGGTAGAGAAATATACAATCGTACATACAAAGCCGAAGATGAAGCAACCGCCTGCTGAAGAGCTGTGATCTTGAAGGTCAAGGGTCAAAGCACAGATACGGGCGCAACATAGAAATCAGGACATGCACAACTCTGTCGTTTGATTTGTGATATTGGGTCGATCTCTGCCGCATGGCACAGGGTCTGGTATGGTGAGGCTTTCTTTGGCTGCCTCTGAAAGCATCGATCTTGCCTCAAGGCCGAGCCATATCTCCCACGTCTATGCTCACCATCACCTCGTCTCATGGGTCGTAGAAACGCTCTTCGTTCACACGCATTCTCATTTCCACCCAAGGGCACTCATGGCATCGACGGCCATTTCTCCACCGGCCTCACATCTTTCTCATCTCAAGACTTCTTATCTCGTAGCACTGGCGCTCCACACGCTCTTCAAGAAACCGTCCTTCTGCGCGAGGCGGTTCAGGCTGTCGTCGCTCTCGGCGCGCGAGCGCACGAAGCCGCACAGCGCGTATACCTGGTTCTCGCCCGTGTAGCGGCCATTCTCGTCGACCTTGCCGACCGAGATCTGCACTGAGGCGTGGTCCTTGGCCTTGATGATGCGGTTCGTGGCTGAGCACTTGCGGGGCACGTAGCTGTGCGCGGGTGTGTTAGCTTAATGTCTTCATTCCATTCTGTCTTGTTCTGCAGGTGGTACGAGTGGAAGGGATGGAGCAGAGAGGGGAGAGATGTGGAAAGTTCGGAGGGGAAACGTACAGATCGACGATCTCGCCTTTCTCGTTCTCCATGGCTGCGGTGGTGCGAGTGGGTGTATTTGGAGGCTCTCGCGAGGTTTGTTTTCGTACGCTGTCGTGGTGGAAGAGGTAAAGGTGGTCGCGGTGAGCCTGTCGACGGTCGTGGTTGCGGCTTCGTCAAAGTGCGGACAAAATCGCTTGGCATGAAATCTTGGCCTTCGGAGAAACGAGATGCCGATCCCGAAACGCGTGCTCGCGCAGATTGCCGACGATCTCGCCCTGAGAAGCATCATTGAATCATACTTGCGATTCGCAATGGCCTAAGCCTTTCATTTACAGAATCCGCACTCCGCAACACTCGACGCGACCGCCTCTGACTTTGGCCTGCCGTTGCCAGTAGAGCTGAGCGAACTCCTCCACGAACTTCCGGTCTGAAGCCGACCACACATCCAGTGCCATGGACATCATGTCCTCAGGTGTTATCTCGGTTTGATCATCCTGACTCTGTTGGGATGCTTCGGGCAGCAGATGCTGATGTTCTTCTCCCGTCTCCTCATCCTCCACGACGACACTGCCCGTTCCTATCTCGCTCGTATTTTCATCCTCTTCCTCACTTCCGGCAGTATCGTCTTCGTCTTGCGTCAACTGGCTGAGCACAGAAACAACTAGACCAGTCAAACGCCTGAAGTAACCCACAACCGCCACTTCCTTGGTAACATTCTCGTCGTCCGAGCTAAGGAGCATCTCGTCCCTGTCTCGATCATCCTCATCATCTTCGCTGAGCCCATCCCGTCTTGCCCCAGCACTTGCCCACCAGAGCAAACTGGTATAAGCAACTTGGCTCCAAGATGCCGACTCCACGACTTCCTTCCGCGATGCTATCGTTGATGTAGAAAGTATTGACGCTGTATCGTCTGTTGTACCCTCTTGAGCCATAGGGATCTGAACTGGTTTCGGATTCGCGACGGCACTTGGTGGATACCGCTTCAACCCACGCATTAGGCTTAGATATCGAACAGCATCTCTTTGTGTACTCCTGATACCGTGCTTAGGGAAGCTTTTCATCAGTTCTGGGCTCGAGAGCAGTATCTTGGGATACTGCTTTTTCGCTGCATGTTGAGCGTCTTCGTTTGGTAGAAACACTACGACGTCGTAGAGTTCTGGCTTGCTGGCCAAGACATCGTCGGTGGTGCATGCAATCCAGCCGTCTTCGGACGAAAGTGCTGGAATGTCCATAATGCCAACATTGAAGAGTGGTCTCGAGCCTCGACCAGCGGAATGCTGTCCAGAGATGTAGGGTAGAAGGCTGCGTGGGAAAGAGGAAACGACAGAGAGATTGTACACTATATTACATGCCAGCTCGACCGGTGCTTCCGTGACGAAAAGTATCCTTTTCCGTAGGAGGGCGGCTCGATAGAGAAGAAATATGAGGGGACCGAAAAGCTGTAGCGTGTCCATCAGCTTTGTGGCCGGATGGTGAGGTGTAAGGCTGTGAGTGCCCTGAGGAAAGTCCGATCCCGTGCTCATGGCGCGTAGATTTTTGTAACCATCCGCATGACCGTTAGCACCGTCTCGATGTTTCGGAAGAGAGAGGTTGTCAGATGACATTTCAGGAGGTCGCGGTGTTTGAAGTGCTGACTTCGAACCCTCAAGCTTATTCTCGTTCCAGTAAGATTCGAGGGGCCCGAAGTCGTCGGAGTGGTCTATGCAATGCCTAGACCCCAGTCAGCTCTCGGATGCCTTCATCGCTGAGAGACTTGCCTCGCCAAAGCCTCAAGTTCCTCTGCATGAAGCCAGCCCTTGCCAACGCGTCCATGTTCGAGAGGGACCAGGACACCTACAGCCAGCATGTTCGCATTTCGCTCCTTGTCCTCGTCCGGGTGATTGATGAATGCGCTGATGCCCGCATAGCGATCTTGGACAAAGTATCTGTTCCATCTCTTAGTCACACTGTCGGAAAGAAGCCGCGGATGTGCTCACACCAGATCTTGTCGGACATTGTGGAGGCCGGAAGGTAGTGATTTGAACTCGACAGTACCCTCCACTTGGACTAGACACAGTCAATCGCGAGAGCAATGCGGGACGCATTCATCAGTGCTCACCGCCTTCAATAGCTTCATGCCATGCGATAACGTATCTGTCACGCGATGAGCGGAATCCCGGAGCAGGATCTCTGTGCATACCCTTTGCGGTGGTCGAACTTCACGAGGAACGCAGCAGCAATACCGGGCAGTGAATTCGGAGGGCTAGCTTGCCCGTGATCAGGCTTCAGCGGAGAGTTTTCGTTCGCCATGACGATACAACACCACGCGAGGTGTCTAGCGCTGTCGTGTACGTTTCCATCAGACACGCGACGTGTTGTAGATTTGCCCAGGTGCAAGTAGCAAGAGTACCCGGAGAAGCGCATCCTGGGTCGTTGCGCGGCATAATGGGACCACCGAAGATCAACCGAGTGACTTCACATTTCATTTACTGCCTGGTCTTGAGGTCTATGTAAACAGCCGCCACCCCATCATCGGCTCTATGTCATATTCTTCTCGTGTCATTCGTTTCCGATAGGTTGGAACAGCTGTACTTGCATTCATCTCATACATGCCCCCCAAGCTCTTCTTTGTCGACTGCGTCGGGCGGAGCTTGCAGTATCGCGCCAGTCGTCTTCTTGAAGACGTATGCGATCCCTCCTGCAACGATATCCTCGTCTTGACGCAGTACATGCATGAGACAATCGTCGTTGATCTGCTCTTCAATGGCTATGAGGCCCTCGTCTGAATCAGGAAGCTCTGGAACAAGAGCTGTGTTCAGATGAGCATACTTCATAAGCTCCTCCGCTTCCGCATCAGCCTGACCACCTTCACATCGCTTTCGAGCTCTCTTGACAGGTGATGTTATACCTGTCTCATCCTCTGGATAGTTGTCCGAGAGCTGTGACGAACGGACGAAGCTTGAAATGTCAGCCTCATTTTCCGAGTCATCCACATCTGGCGTCTCGGCCCTCGATGTCGAGATCGAGTCCATGCCGATACCCCCGCAATGGCATCTGATCAGCTCGTGTGTCCTTAATTGGGGAGACTCGTCGAAGCGAAACAAATCTCTCAGTTCCTCTTGTCCGAATGTTGCTTTGCTTCCTTTCCCAGATCGTGCTTTCGACTTGGACTTGCCTTCTTCGCCGTCCATGATACTGTCAGCAAGACCACGCTTGACAACTTGGCGTTGCCAAATCCGCTCTTCGAGACCACCTTTGATGAGGAAGCGGTATATCCTGGTAGGCCTCTTCTGACCTTGTCGATGAATGCGAGCAATGGCCTGATCATCGGTGGCAGGATTCCAATCCACATCGAACAAAACTAACCGACTGGCTCCCGTCAAGTCGATTCCGACCCCGCCGGCTTTGGCGCTGAGCAAAAATGCGAATAGCTGGGATGATTTTGCTCGATTGAACTGATCCACAAGACCTTGGCGCTGCTTCGCAGGTACGGACCCATCTAAGCGCAAGGACTTCAGTCCCGAACTCTCCAGCAGGTCCCCCATCAGATTGAGGGTCGAGGTATAATTCGACACCAACACCACCTTCTCGTCGGTCGTTGTCCTAATCTGCTGGAGAAGAATATCAAGCAAGCGGATCTTGGCAGACATTGAGTTTCGGTAGTACCTGGTCATACCAGTAGGGAGCATCTCATTCAGCGTGGTCAAAGATGAAGAAGTGGACTCGTCGCTACTATTGGGAGCCTTCATCAAAGCAGGGCTGTTACAGAGCTTTTTCAGGATTGTGATCAGCTGTAGAGCAGTGTCCATGCTGCCTAGAGCAGATCGAAACATGGGTGAGCTCACAACATTTCGATAAACCAGAGCTTGCTCAGGTGTTGCTTTGCAGAACAGAACATATTCGGTCTTGGTTGGTAGCATGTTGTCCAATATATCGGCAGTTCGCCGAAGTATGAAGGGCGATGTCGTCTGCGTAAGCTCAGCAGTGGCTGCCTCACCACACTCAATGTCTTCTTCGAGGGCATTGGGTTGGCGACTCTTCATGATCGGATTCTCAAAGTCTTTGAAGAAAGCCTTGGCCGAGCCGAGACACCCGTCGTTGACAAAATTGGCCATGGCATAGAATTCACTGAGATCATTCTGGATCGGAGTACCCGAGAGAATGATCCTTCTTGGCGTATTCAAGGATTCGATGGCTTTTGCACTCTTATTCTTGACGGTCTTCAGACGATGACCTTCGTCACAAACCACAATGTCAACATCATGTGATTGCGCGAGATCGTCTGCGACCTGTCGGAGGCGTTCATAGCCGATGATCATAACGTTAAAGACCTTTCCGTCGAACATGCTTAGCCGAGTCGTCTTAGGATCCTCGAATTGGAGGACTCCCAAATTGGTGTGAGGCAACCATTTCTTGAATTCCTTCTTCCAGTTCTTAATCAGAGACACCGGGCAGACAATGAGTGCTTTCTTGACGACGGGAGATGCCTTATGGATAGGACTTTGCTTGATCAATGTCCACAGCAAAGCGATGGTCTGCAGAGTCTTTCCCAAGCCCATATCATCAGCTAGTATGCATCCTTGACCTGCGTAATCTCGGAGGCCCATGACGCACTCGTACATGAACTGTACACCTTCTCGTTGGTGAGGACGGAGCTTCTTGCCCAAAACCGGGTCCAATACGACATCAACTAACTGTTGGCCAGCAGGCGCTGTCTTGGGCTGCTTGAATACGATTGCCCCGGACTCATTGGGATTATGTCGTGGAGTCGGCCGATCACTGGTACTGTGTGACCTCGAGATGTTGCCCTTGAAAGGATTGACAAAAGCGGGAGCGGCTGAACGAGCGCTCGCATCCGTGCCCAGAATTTGGGAAGATCCGGCTTGCGGTTGCACATCACTTTTGGCGGTCTTGAGCTTGTCCTTCAAAGAGATTGTAGGGGTGTTTGGCTTCTGAGGCACAGCTTCTACCTTCTTAAATTGCTTTTGCGGTTTCTTCGAGCCAACGATGGCTTTGAATTCATCTCTCGTCAATACGGATTCGACCTCGATTTCTTTCCCTCCCAGTGATAGATTTGATCCGGTCAGAAGAGGCTTGTCAAAAGACCGCTGCGCCAGTTGCTTGCCCGAGCTATCGTAAAAGATGGCAAGTCCATCTCCAACCACGAGTGCGCCATCGCCAGTCCAGGTCTTGTTCTTTTTATTTGTAGGATTGCGCCATAAGACTGAGTAATAGCTTGCGAATTGGCTGCTCCGGGGTTCATTCGATTGCGGTGGACTTGCTGGATTTGGAAGGGTCTTCAGAGGTGGACGTTTATGAAGTTTCCCAGATTCCGTGCCCGATGAGCTAGGAACGAGGCCATCATCGCCAGGGCTCAATTTACGTCGCTTCGCTGCTGGGGGCTGGGTGGTAACGTCCGCAGTGGTCTGATCAGGCTTGCGTAGTGTCAATGGCTTGAAGGGCTTCAGCATAATTGCTCTACGACCCTGTCAGAACAGTTTCTAGACTGGGGCCGGTTGTGATAGTGGCCCAGCGCACGCGACGCGGCGGCGATCTGCGGGACGCGTCGAGCCAGGCTTGGCGTGTCGGTAGTTCTGGAGCACTTCCAACGTGCAGCGCAAAGCAGAAATCCCTGCTGCAAGCCAAGGTCCGTACCACCACGCTACCCCGTTGTCATCCGATGCTGGTGGCCCGGCCGAAGAATGTGCTGGCGAGGCTCACATTTTTGCAACAGTTGAAGGGTTTCTGTTCCCTTCCCGTCTTGTTGCTCGCTCTGTCGCAGAAGTCAGATGACGGCTTTGACTGTTGTTGAACGCAAGACGACATCAATGTAAGGCCGGCGACCGATAGGTCTCGTGGCCCCTCATCGCGATCTAATGTATGATCCGTTCGGGCCAGACTGGTGACGCGTTGCAGCATGTCATCTTTGGTTTTCCTTCCTTCAAATACCCAACAAAGATCAAAGAAGGACCAAGAGGTCATCCAAGCCTTTGCAAGGTCTCACGCTGCTAAAGTTGGTCGTCCAAAACGAGTGAAGAAGAACCAATCCTTCGCCTGGACACCGCCCTCAACTAGATCAGCGACGCCGGAGCGACTTGAAGATGAAAATGCTATCGTTCTCCCAACATCACAGCCCGTGTTGTGTGTGCATACGGTCCTCCAAAAGGGCAACTCGGATCCATTCGGTACCTTCGCTAACCCCGTAACTCCACGAGTGGCCGATATGCTTCTCTTCTACGCCACCAAGATGCTGCCAATTAGATACAGCAGTGCCATGGTTCCCTCCTCGTCCCAAAGAGCCATCGTCGACTTTCGCAGCGTTGAAGCTTCTGACGATTATCATTCCACAGTTGCTGTCCTCCACGATCAAGGCAGCACTGTTGGCTTCTTCCTGGCCCAGATGACAGTAATGGCAGACCTCTCCAAGAGCCCGGATATGATTAGGCAGAGAATGCAGCTCAAAGGTCGGGCACTAAAAGAACTCCATTCTCACATACGACAGGTCGACAAGATTGACAATGTCGTTATCGAAAGTGTGCTGCTTCTGCTCAATGCTGCCGTCTATGCAGGTGATCTACCCGAAGCTCGAACGCATCTCGTTTTTCTCAAAAGCGCACTGGAGCAAAAGGCTCACATCCACGGACCTCGTTCGATTGGCATCGTCATGCTCTTCCGCGTTCTGTACATGGACCTCGCTGTTTCTGCGACATACACGACTTTGACTATCTTGGACGTGAACAAATGGGTGCCAGAAATGCTTTCGGTAGCTCTTCCGCAGACGAAACAAAGTCCCTCATTCCGACCCCCGCCCATCGCAGGGTTTCTATCCAATATCGACACAACGATCGATGAGCCACTGCTGATAATGTTCTTCGAGTGTCGTCGACTTCTGTGGGTATGGTGGACCCAGCCTGCAAATGCCGTCCTCGTATCAGGGCCTGATGTATTCACAATCGACACACATCCGGAGACATACACGTTTCGCTGGCTGTATTCGCAGCTATACATCTACAGCTGTCGCCTCGCTAACTACATAACGTCCTTCCAGACCGCAATCCCTGATCCTGAAACTATCGAGAGAAGCTCAGCATCGCCTGGCACACGTCTCCTGGCTGATTATACGCAGCATATGCTCGCATTGGCCTTGCTGACCTTACTGAGTGCTTCATGCACCAAAGTCCTGGTTGCAGGTGAGCCACTCAAGCCAGGGAGCGCTCTTATGCTGGAGAGATTGGAGCTTGCGATGCGACCACTGATGGCATCGACAAAACTTATTTCACGCATGGCACTAGCCCGCCCGTTTTTGTGGGCAGCATTCATTGGTGCTGCAGTTGAACGTATGAGCACACAAGGTGCCGTGAAATCGACTTACGATTCATCGGACATATCCTTTGCCGACTGCTTCATTCTTCTTGTGAAGGAAATGCAATTGATGAATAAGGAGTCTGTTACGGCGCTGCTCGAACTCTTCATCTATAATGAGCATATTTTGCCCGGCCCTGCAACCTGGAATCGAGCCTTCACGCCACAGGCAGGGGCGATGGCGTGAAGTAGTACCACCTGACCTTCCGTAACGTGAATCTGATGGCCACCACCAGCTTACAAGGGAATTTGTCTCGACTGCCGAAGTCAGAGACTTGAAGCTATATTCCGGTTCCAGCAATTGCTCCACCAACGATAATCCCTGCCTCAGCTGGACCGGGGGTAGCGTCTATTCGCCAGTAACTGGTCACCGATGTCTTGTGGGTCTCAAGGACTGGTGAAGATTGATGATGGCATGGGGTTGTGACTTCGCAGATGTCGTTTGACATATGTTGCGAAAGCAGATTCACGTCTGGCCGATGCTATGTGTCTGAGATGCCCTTGAACCACGACCCCTTGATGCTTCTTCAGCAGTCTGCACCGCCCTATCATCGTATGAATACCATGAGACACTGAAGAATGGCCACAGACGGTGCGGTATACCCCTGCGCGTGGACAGCGCTGGCGCAGCAGGTCACCAGCAATGCAGCACGCCCCTCATCGGCCACGGAGCTTGTCAGATTCAAGACCGTCACACTATTCCAAGATTCAGCTTCCTATCCAGGCGAATTGATGTCATCTATCCCTGTTCTCGGCACATCTACGCCTGGTCCGACCTCGAGTCCGACCATCTCTCGGGCAGTGGCAGCTGATATGGACGGCCTGGAAGCCATCATCCCAGCCCCTCTGAAGACACTAAAGTCAAGCTCAGCACAGCTATCTATAGCTACATCCGACGACCTTTCGAAAAGTGGCATCAGCGTCTTACCAACTCCCAACAGCGAAGAGTCTACCGATTTTCCAGCAGCCCTAGCTCATGTGTCGCCTGCGTCCTCTGCAAGCGCCGCAGACACCAGAAATGACTCCGTGGAGATATCTATCAGCCTCTTCATCTCTCTTGTTGTGGCAGCGGTAGTTTGCGTGGCCCTCCTAGCATTTGGCATCGTCGGGTGGTGCAGACGATGGAGGGGCGCTGATGCTAGGCAGACTACTCAGGGGCAGACTGCCAAAGATGACTTGGTGCAGGAAATGAAGCCACGGAACAATGGCGGATCAGTAGCTGTGCCGCTCATGAGGCCACGGCGTACGGATGCAGAACGCAATGGCACTAGGATGCAAGGTGTGCCTCCACGGCGTGAGAATATCAGGGTCTCAGTCTTTGCCGGGTGGTCGGAACGTCTCAAGCAGAAGATGATGAATGGGGAGGGAGAGAAGCGTCATGTTACATTTGAGATGATGTCTGGAGGCAGGGCGAGCGGCGGAAATAGGCGTATCGTTGAAAGTGGCGACCTCAGGCGAGTTCAGCGAGGCTGAGGTGCAGCATCGAAGGCAGAAACTTCTGCAGCAATGTCACCTTGACAACGCACACCACACCACAGGTCTGAGACAGAACCTCTCCTGCTTCTCTTTCAGACTTGCTTTCGATTCTGGTACTCCATTCCCATCAACAATCCATTGCTGAAGGCGGTAATGACCAGCCTCTTGTCCTAGTCGGCCATCGAGATCTCACTAGGTGCTCCCACCCGTCACGTAGCCACGCACCCTCTCGAACTGACGCAATGTCACCTCCATTGATAAGGACTGGCGCAACCACGCACAGCCTGACACCACGCAACGATACAATCAGCGTCACACCGCTCGTCATAGTGCCCATGCTCTGCGCCGCCATCTTCGCCCTCATCCTCTACTACACGTGCAAGCGAGAACGCGAGTACGCCGATGCCGTTGCCACCGGCCGTCGCTCACCCCGGTCGCAAAGTTCGTGGGACAGCACCGGAACTTGGGTCCGTGAGGTTCGACGCGAGACAGGCAAGAATCCGAATAAGAAAACGCGCCGTTCTGGAGGAAGGCGGGCCAGAGAGCTTAGAGATCAGAGAGGAGAGAAGACGGCATGGGCGCCCAAAAGTGCTACAACAACGACGACCGGAGGCAGCACGAGATCTACAAAGTCTTCCATCGTGGACCAGGTACAGAGCACTCACTTGTGGACTATTGATGAGTTATCCGAGCCCGAGATGACCGAGACGTGGAGGAGCAGGAGCCGGGAAAGGCGGGCAAGCCCAAGCAAGTCACCACTGAAGGGCGGAAGAAGACTATCGAGCACAATTCGACCACTTTGAACTCGGTGGAGGCATCCTGGAGAACTCGCAACGCATTCAGTGGGGCGCGAAAGGGGAAGTCAGCCAGTTAGGTAGGCAGGCTCAGCCAACATATACCTGGGGCTTGTTGGCAGGAGGGTTGCTCCCATGCAGGTACTTGCAAACAACTTCCACATCTGCTTGTGCACGTTCCGACAGCAGTACCGATGGTATGCTAGCAGACAGGAGTTCTACCCTTCTGGGTTCTGCTACTCAGGGCAAGGGGGCTTCAGCCTTGTCAGAGAGGCAGCTCATGAACTCAAGGCCCAGTCATAGCCTGCACCATCTCGACTCGGTATTGCAGCATTATGCAGCACTGAAATGAAAGACCGTCCACAATCAGATCCCCGATGTGAGTGACCTCTGCCCAGTCGGCGGCAGCGCGAAGTCGGCCCATACCTGTCAATATTCGACTTTGCACCTGGTTCGAGGCTCGCACTCCCAAGCTTTTGTACTCGCTCTGCACCGCCTTTTACCATCGATTATTCCTCGGGCTACTCTCATGCACTTCTTTCGTCAAGCCTTCTCTTGCAGTGCGATTCTGCTCCGTCCTCATTGTTTAACATCCTCATCATCGAAGTCCTGCAACGCCCTCGTCGCCCCTAACTTTCAACGTGGCCGAACTCTTGACTCAACCCCGAGGGTGACCTCGTCATAAGAGTAGGCTCAAAAGACCTCCAGCTGTTTCGAGTGTCGAGCAAGCACTTGGCGATGGAATCGCCGGTCTTCAAAGCGATGTTGGGTCCAAATTGGCTGGAAGGACACACAACCTACACCGCCGAACATCCACTGGATCTGCCTGAGGACAGCTCCTGTTGCATGGTCGAAGACCCAGACGACATCCCCTTTCAACATCTACCAAACGTGCTGATTCATTGCGATAAATACACATGCATTAAACTCTCTATCTTCTGGTCGAAAACTGTATATGCGGCCTGGAAAGCGAAAGTCTGCAATGCTGAGAGTGACAGTGCCGAAGAGACCCCTATCAGTGCAGCTCTTCCAGGACTTTGTATCGCTTACATCCTCGACAAGGCGGAGGAGTTCCGTCTCCTACTCGAGTGGCTGTGGGAACATAGATCCGAAAGCAGAATCAGAGCCACAAAGATCAGTCTGCTTACCATAATGGCCCCAGATTTTCTAGGTACGAATGCCCATTCCTCATGGCCATCCGTCTGACCATTCTAGACCGCATTAGTTGCGCGATTCAGCACATCACAGAGTCCGCCGTGGAAGATATGCGAAAACCCGTTGAAGACACAATGATGTACATGGTCCGGAGACGGCGTCCCTGTGAGCACAGGCAGATGGACTTGGGCAACTGCTATCGAGCCATTCAACAGCACGACCTCGAATCTTCGGACCTCAATATTTACCTCTCCGGCGGGGGCCTGTGCACAGCTTTCAGGAAGACCCTGAACGGCTTGCACGAGCAATTACTAGCAACGGAACAAGCCTGTGGTGGGGGCTGCCTCTTCGATGTTGCTCACAGGGCCTCCGTCGGCTGGTGTGTCCTCGACAATTTCGCTGTCTGTCTACACCACTTCAAAAGCAAGACCAATGTTCCGTATTCAGGTTGCACCGACTGCCATATCACCTTGCAGCGCATGAAGTCAATTCTCCTAGATACGAGGCTTCGGGAGTAACTTTACAGGATATTGCACACGATGCATCCAACTCTGGACCCATGTACACCTTCTGGCATATCGGTCAACACATATCAACGGATAGCGCGCAACCCACAACCAAAGAAGCTCGCGGTTTCGGCAACAGCGATGGAAAGGTCCACCAGGGGAGGTCTCGAGAGGACCAAACATAAAAGGCTGTGCGCAACCTCCGATATCAAGCTGTCGTTGCAGAGGTCCAGAAGTGATATTGCCTCCTAGGGCAGCAGCTGCGGTTTTGGATGGGGTCAGTGCAGTCCAAATATCGAGAGGTTTCTGCCGGCAGCGAAGCAAGAACGAACAGAAGCTGAGACAACAGAACAGCATGAACCCGATGAAAAGCAAGGGTATCGATTGACAAGCGCCCATGACTCCTAGCTATGCAGAGCTAACTCACCGACCACCTAACGCGGCCATCGTGGCTATCCATACCATCATATTCTTTCAGCAGTCGTTACATCGTAATCTCACCCGCGACTCTCCTTCATTAGTCGATCGTGTATATATCCTCTCATATCTCTTTGTATTTGCCCAGCGCATCTTGCCCTCTCCGAGTCCTCAATACGCCCCACACCTCAACGCCTAATAACGCTCGGCCCCGTCATGCGACTGCCCTTCTCGCTCATCAGGCTCATCCTCACAATCGCCTCCGCGGCCGCCGCAGCCGCCAGCCTCTCTTTCTGCCTGCTCCGATCGCGCAGATAGTTCGCTGCCTCACTCCTCATCCGCAGGATCCTCAGGATCATGTCGTCGCTCGGCTCCGCTTGGGCAGCCTTCCATTTCTCCTCCTTGGCCCTCTTCATGGTGCCTAGATTCCGGCTGACCATGATACTCTTCGCGCGTCTTGCCCCACCGATATTGCCCGCCGCCAGGCCCGCACCACTGAACGGCTGACCCAGTGTCGCAGGCGCCGAGAGACGCTGGCGGTTGTGCGCGGCGGAGGCGGCAGTGGCGGAAGCCATGCGCTCGCTGGTGCGGATGAGGTTCTCGGTCGTCTCAAAGTAGAAGAAATTCAGCGTGTTGATCTCGTGATACTTGGGGTTCTTGAGCACGTTGGTGGGCACCCCGTTGACCTCGCCCGTGTCCTCATCGACGGCGTGGAAGAAGTCGAAGAGGGACTGCTGCCATTTGAAGACAACATCGAGCTCCTGCTGGGACAGAGGCCTCTGCGCGGACGGCTTATCGGAGAGGGGAGGCACTAGGAGGGATTCGATGGTACCTAGGACTTCTTTCCACAGACGTGTCATGACGGCTAGCATGGCTCCTGAGGTCAGGGTTTGGTTCATGATGGCGAAATTGTCGTCGAAGTAGTTGAAGAGAGGGCGCAGAGCGTTGACGATCTCTGCATCTGAAGGCATTGCGGACACTGCGGGCGCGCGATTGCGCTGGAAATACGCCGAGACCGAGGATACAGTGATGCCCTTATTGAGGAGTGCGCGTAGTGCACGCTTAGACAGACATTCCTGGATATAGGCCGATAGCTTGTCGGTGATCTTGCGTGTCATGTCGCGCTGTGTGCGCTGCAGGGTACGGAAAGCTTTCCCGAAATAGAATTGAATGTCGTCGCGTTCGCCTTCCATACTGACACGGACGAGGAGACGACCTTGCGTATCGAGGTCAAGCCAGTATTCTCGGGGTAGAAAGTCACTGAAATGAGCAGGATCGAGTTTTAGCGATGTGCGGCCAACGTAGTCGTGGTCACCAACGGCGTCCCAATCCCAAATGGTGGCGATCAGGTTGAGCGGGCCTTGCGTGGAGATATCTACTGTCTCGTCCCAGCGTGGGTTGAGGTTTCTGTAAATGATCCTGCTCTTGGACAAACGCTTTTGGTACTCATCGGTGAGCACAACATATGGGTCACTGAATCCGTTGACATCGCAAGCCTTCAAGTCTTCGGCCTCAACAATCTTAATGGTGAAGACGTAGTTCGTTGTCTTGCGAGGCCGATTCATCGCAGGAGGATTGTGCTGTTTGATCACATCGGCGCATGCATCAACATTAATCTCCTCCTCGAGCTTATCCCAATGCGAGATCGCAAACGACACGTTGTTGAGCTTGACGAAAGATTCGGGGTAGAAGTGGAAAGGTTCCACCCTGGCTGCATTGTTCCATGTGTCTTTGGCCATCTGCATCCATTTCTCTTGCCTCGTCATGTTGGCCGCGGCTTCTTGTTCTGGTGTCAAGCGGTCCATTTCTTTGCTGAACTTATGGTCAACAAGCTCGCAGTACCGCATGATGCCGTTGCCCAGTGCCTTCGCGATAGCGGTCATGAACTTGGCATATGTCAAATCGTCGTCCCAGTTGAGATTAGCAATCTGCTCGATGACTTGGTTGAACGAACGGAATATGTCGATGACTGACACACTATGTCGCTCATCTTCCGTTGGAACCTGTCCGGGTTCTCTTGTTCGTACGGCGAATTTGTCCTGGCTGACGGCATTTTCCACCCACCCACTGACCTGCTGTTCGGTAACATAGATCCAGCGCCACACAAAGTCCGCTAGAAGGTCTTCTAGCTTGTATGGGAATGGAGTTTGCGGTACGGCGTCCGTATGCACCCGGCGGAACTCGGCAAGATCTCTGTACAGATCGAATCCATCTTGTATCGGAACCTCGAGGTCTTGCTGCCTAGCATTCTTGATCACGCTCTCTATAAGGGCTTTGGAATCCTCGGCAAATGCTGGCAGAATGACAGTAAGCAAAGTCACCAACGGGTTGATCCCCAGAATCTCGGGGTTGCGCTTAAAGCGCTTTTGCACCTTCTCACATAGCTTTAGTACTCCTTTGGCCAACTCTTGAACGTGGAAGAACTCCCACTTCTCGGGTTCTGCGGGTAGCTGCTTTTCTAATAGCCCTTGATATATGTCTCGTGCATTGTTCTCGAGCCCTTGTGAAGCTTGACCCTTGAATTGGTCGAAGTCGTGTTGGCTGACATTGAAGCTCGGATCCGAGCGGAGATGATCGTCGACGACGGTCATGATCGATCCTAACCTAGGCAACTCGGCTTTGTCGGCGTACGACGTCATGATGACATTGTACAGATCTCGTAAGAGCGCATGGTAGACGTCTGCCAACAGCTTCCGCATTTGAGAGAAGTCGGTAACTGTCCAGTTGTTTCTAGCGAAGTAGGCAGATGCGCTAATGACCAAGGAAGCACGCTTGCTCTTCGGGTCCTCTTCAGGAGGCTCTTTGACGTAGTTGAATGCTGTGTCTAACATGTCCAGAGACAGGCTCTGGTCCATGAATTTCTCCCGAATCACATCTAGGAAGATGACAATTCGGCTGAATTTGGCGATGCGCCATCTCAACGCGATCTCGTTGAGCAACTCCGCAGATTGCTTGGAGAAAAGCTGTGATGGGGAGGTAGAGCCATCCTCCTGGGTTGTCTGATCGTTCAAGTCATAGTTCAAGGCTGTGAGCATAATGAATCTGTAGAAAGATCTCGGATCTGGTGGAATGAAAGTGTACGCGGGATTTTCATCAGCTTGTGCCGACTCATTTTCCTGCATAAGACTGAGGCCATTCAAATCCGGAAGATCAAGAACGTAAGAAGAAGACTGTTCTTGGGACAAGACACGAGACATATCAGAGTAGGCCTGGTCGGCTGCAGACTCGCTAGCCTGAGCGTTGAACTGTGGCAGCGTATTCTCGGCGGTAACTTTAGCCAACTCAGGGTTGACTTGGATGATAGCGAGCATCAATTGAGACAGATCGGGGGCTTCTGACTTCTTCCATGTTTCATATGCTTCCTTTGTGTCAAAGTCGTCGGCCGTCAACGTCTGCCCCGAGCCTGTGTTTAAGTGTGTCTGATAGGTCTTAAGATCTTGAAGGGCGGCCTTTTCGGTCCACTGTACCTTGTGCCTGTCGATATCCGACTGCATCATGGTGTTCCTGAGCCCGAATATACGACCAACGACCTGCACCAACGGCATGTCCCGAACCTCATACGTGAGAGGCACCACTTCCTCGACCAAAGTGGAAGTACCGTTCTGTGAGGACAAATCTTCGTCGTGCTTGAGCAATTTCTTCTCCAGGCTTGCCAACCTGGCGGCCAATTCGGGCTTGTCCTGCGCCCAGCCCTTCTCTTTCAAGATTGTGCTGAGAAGTCGCACAAAGAGGGCGACATGGCGATCGACCATCCGCTTAACGCCATCGTCGCCCGAAGGCTTCCCTTTCTGCAGCTCCTTTGTAGTATTGGAGAAGAATATGAGTACCAAATCCTCGGCTCGGCGGTCCGCCTCCATGCGCCTCTTGAACTGCGGGTCTGACAGGGTGTTGAGAAAAATGGCAAAGCTACGCTTGGCCATTGGCTCCTGGTACTCCGGCCTGGTGTCTTTCCCAATGAGTATCCGCTGCAGCCTTTTGTCCAGCTCTTTGATGAAATCATGCGGAAACCTCGTGCTCTTGCTATCCCTGACCAGACTGAAATCCTTCATCAAGTCGTTGAACGAGGCCGACGTTTCGGTGCGCGTGACCGACGGTTTCGAGACATGGCGCTTGCGTTTTGCACGTGGCTGCAATAGGTAGGCCAGGAAGCCGACACGGAGGGCGTAGAGGTAGGCATCGTTGTAGCTGATAGACTTCCTGCGAAGACGGGAGCCCTCACGCGAGCGCGAAATGCGGTGCTCGCTTGTGACGCTGCTTACCCGCTTGTCGTAAGGGGGACGGGTTCGACTTGAGGTCTGCGACATAGAGCCGTCATCGACCCCGTCGTGCGTTGGGCGTCGATAGAGTCGCGAATCTATGGGTAGAGAAACGCTGTAGATACTGGGCCTCAGAACTTGTCAAGTCACAGGCAGGCGGTACGTGGTGTGGTAAAACAGGCAGTGGGGGAATGAGGTCAGACTTGCGGCGGGAGCACTGCGGTCCGAAACGGCAGAGGCGGCGTCAAGGGCGGGCGAAAAGTCCAAGGTGCGGTCGCTTTCTGTGTTACTGTCGGGGCGTCCGCTCGTGTCGCTAAGTTAGGGTGATGAGGTTTGGCGGAGAGGTTATACGTCAATTTGTGACAAGCTTGGAGGCGCATGCACGATTGCATGGCAGCGGATTTCAAGGTTGGGCAGCGGCATGCACTCACTCCATAGGAGGCTGCCCGCCGATCACCCCAGGAGTGTTTCATCGTGAGAGAGTTCCTCCCCCTCCAGTCGTCATATGCTTGCGTCCTCGATCTCTCTGCAGTACATTACATTGGCTTACAGGTAAGACCACGTACTGCACCAGCTACTGGACTACCAGCAGGCTGGCCAAGAGCTACGGCCATAGCTTTGATCCGTTGGAACTGGAAACACATGCCCCTCGCAGCCGAGGTATGGTAGGCATTCGCGCATTGCGAATTGACACTCGTGCCCTTAAACTCACCACATTCTCTCTCCCTCCACATTCTTCCTCCTACCAGTTCAACCCCTACAATGCAGCTCAAAGACCGCACCTTCCTGGTCTCCGGCGGCTCATCCGGCCTCGGTCTCGCCACCACACAGCTACTCGCCTCGCATGGCGCCTACATCTCCGTCCTCGACCTAAACCCTCCTCCTACATCCGCCTCTCTTCCCTCCTCCCACATCCTCTTCACCAAGACCGACGTCTCCTCCACCCAATCACTCCAGGCCGCCGTCACCGCTAGCCTCGGCTGGATCACCCGCACCTCCGCTCCGCTCTCCGGCGTCATCGCCTGCGCCGGCATTGGCACTGCAGGACTAGTCTTGCCCAAGCAGTCATCTGACGAACCCAAGTACTACGATATCGCTGTGTTTGATCGCACGCTGGCAATCAACTTGCGCGGAAGCGTCGATCTCATCCGTCTGGCTCTTCCACATATTGCGCGCAACGAGCCCTGGGGCCCAGATGGCGAGCGCGGCGTGCTCGTGGTGGTCAGCAGTGTCGCCGCATTCGAGGGTCAGGTAGGTCAGCTGGCATATAGTGCGAGTAAGGGAGCAGTGCGGAGTATAGTGCTACCGTTAGCGCGCGAGTTGGGCCCAAAGATTGGAGTGCGGGTCCTTGGGATCGCGCCCGGTGTATTTGAAACAGGTATGACGGTGCCAAAGGCGAAGGCTCCAGCCAAAACAACAGCCCAGCAAGAGCGTGCGCAGAAGCCAGAAAAGAAACCGACGGGCCAGAGGGCGGGCGTGAACCCCGAGATGGTGAATTATCCCGTGAGGATGGGCAAAAGCGAGGAGTTCGCGAGGCTGGTCAAGGAAATCATCGAAAATCCGATGCTCAATGGAGACACGATACGGTTGGACGGAGGTGTGAGGATGCCGAGTCGGTTGTAAGATCCTGAGCCGAAGCGCACTCGTACTGTAGCTCCAGAAGATATGCCACGAGGCATTGCGAGTCTATTAACTGTGTCTAATCTACCGGATTTCTATGCCATGCTGAAACCGTTCGCGGGCTGGAATTAAGCAACGACACCCGACACCTCGTGCTTATAATGTATACATCGTCGTACAACATCGCGTCAGGCTCCCCCAGAGCTGGCAGCATCGACGGTTGGGGGTGTGTCGCCAGTCTCCGCCTTGGTCTCTGCTTCCACCCCATTTTCCTTCTCCTTCACCGGTTGCTGGACCGCCCCTTTGACGTCCGCGAGCTTCCGCAAGCCAGTTTCGTCGCTCAAAAACGTCTTCTCCCTCAGTCCAAGCACCTCCATTCTCAATTCCATCGCTCGTTTGTGCGCTTCAAGGCCTTCGACCCGCGCCAGTTCCACGACCGCAGAGCCCACGCTCGCAACGCCTTCCTCGCTGACTTCGCTGCTGGTGATATGCTTCATGAAGCTGGCAAGATTCACCCCGGAGTATTGCCTGGCGTATCCGTAAGTGGGCAGGCTGTGATTCACGCCGGCAGAGTAGTCGCCGACACTCTCGGGTGTCCATTTGCCAAGGAACACGCTACCAGCATTCTGAATTTCTGGCAGAGCTGCTTTGGGTTCAGCGATCTGCAGGATCAAGTGCTCAGGAGCATAGTAATTGCTCCACTTAAGTGCCTCCGACAGTGAGGACACGGAGATGGTCACGCTATGCTCGATCGCTCCACGGACAATATCGACGCGTGGCAGAGCAAAGGCTTGACGGTGCACTTCATCCTCGATAGCTTGCAATTGAGCTTCGGACAGGTCAACGGCGATGAGTACGACTTGGCTATCGGTTCCATGCTCGGCTTGTGACAAGAGGTCCGAGGCGACAAACGCGGGTTGCGCGGTTTCGTCAGCGATGACCAGTACTTCTGAAGGTCCAGCGGGCATGTCGATTGAGACAGCAGCCGTGGTGTCGTTCGAAACGATCATCTTGGCGGCCGTCACAAACTGATTTCCTGGTCCAAGAATCTTGTCCACCTTAGTTATAGACTCAGTGCCATATGCCATGGCTGCTACGGCTTGCGCCCCACCAGCTAGGACGATCGCCTCAGCTCCAACCTTGTCTGCGATGTAAACGATTTCTGGTGTAAGGGTTCCATCTGATCGTGGCGGTGACGCGAGGATGATGTTCTTGCAACCCGCAGCCATGGCAGGCACTCCCAGCATAAGTGCAGTAGACGGCAGAACGGCGGTACCGCCCGGAATATAGAGCCCGACCTTCTCGATAGGCCGTGAGAAGCGTGAGCATGTCACGCCGGACATCGTTGAGACCGAGAGCGGAGCTGTCTCTTTCTGGGCGGAGTGGAACTTGAGAATGTTGTCGTATGAGGTGTTGATGGCGGTGATGGTCTCTGGTGGAAGCTGCATGAGTGACTTGGGGAATGGCGCCTTCAAAACAGGCGATTTCAACGAGGTTGCTTTCTCGAATTTGTGGGTATACTTCAGGACCGCAGAGTCACCTTTCGAGCGGACATCGTCAATGATCGGATTGACAAGACCCATGATCTTCTCATTGGATCTTTGGGACGGCCGCTGTAGAGCGGACTTCAAAACGTCGTCTGAGAATGCTTGCGATGTGGAGAAGCGCTTGAGTTGGATTTTGCCCGCGTCGTTCGTACCAGCTGGATCAGAGGGCGTCTTGGGGACCGAAGCTGCCTCTTTGACATCTTCGTCTTGAGGCTTGCTGTCGCCGTTGACGCCATTTGCGGGCTCCGGTGGCGGTGTTTCGTCGACGTACTGGGGCTTCGCGTCTCCCTTCCTTCGCTTTACCTTCAAGCTCTTCAGGTCGAGGTTCTTCTCAATGTCCTCAAGGGTGACATCTGCAGCAATGCAGCGAGCAAGGGCAAAGTAGAGCAAGTCAGCGGCCTCGGAGGCAATTTCTGCTTTGGAAGTGGCTTCACAAAGCTCGTCTGCCTCTTCCTTGATCTTAGCGTTGACCAATTTGGAATCGTTGAAGAGCCGAGCGGTGTAAGAGCCCACGGGGGCATCCTTTTTCCGCTCTTGCAGTGTTCGCTGAAGGCGGGATAGACCAGATACAGGACCCCAGCAGGACATTGTAGCCAAATGACAGAAACCCCTGCCCTGCTGCCTCACTCTGAAGAGCAAACAGTCCTTGTCGCAATCGAACGATACACTGATAAGTTCTTGGGTGTCCCCACTCGACGCACCCTTGTGCCAAAGTCCACGTTTGCGGCTCTGGTAGACACCTTTGCGAGTTCTGAGCGCCTCAATAATGCTCTCCTTGCTACTGTAGACCAACCCCAAGGCTACCCCACGCTCATCGACGACACTGGTCGTGAAAAGTCCCGTCTTGCGGTCAGCAACAGCTCCAGCTAGGAAGAGATCGGTGACAGGTATCAGGTCCGCATGGCCTTCTTTCGACGAGTCAAGGGTGAGGCGTTCTGAGGAGACAATGAGAGCATTACCAGGGTACTGTGCCAGCAGGTCCTGACCAGCAGATTCACTGGTCGTAGAGACGTACAGTGTCTGATCGGCATGAGGAGGGTAGTTGTCCAGCTCTTGCAGCACGCCGTCAATGTATGTATTGCCTTGATCTCCATCAAACGCCCACTCTGCGGTCTTCCATTTCGGGTTGGCCTCGATAAAGGTCTTGAGTTTCGCAATATCGGTCTTGGGCTTCAAGGGAGAAATGGTGAGGACGAGACGAGAGGGTGAAATAGTGTCATCTTGAGACAGGGCTTTGAGCTGCTCGAATGTGACAAAGATTTTGGATGCGCCGGAGTTGAGCACCTCGACAACATCGTTCCATGCTTTCAGTTGTCGCACGTCAATATAGACGGCGAGAGTTGCAAAGTTTTCGCGCAAGAAATTGAGTCGCGACTGTAAATTCTCAGGCGTGGCCTGTATGAGGCAGTTTTCGAACAGAGCAACTTCTTGAAGACTAAGACCTTTTGGATTCGCTGAGGTGATTGCGTCCGGATCGACGGCAATGAGGAGTCCGACACCCATCTCGGTGGCTGTAGTCCTCGGCAGCAGGCGATCAAGGTTGGAAAAAAAGTTATGAGTCTGCGATCCCGGCACATCATATCATGAAGCTTTCATTGGGCTTGCCCCACGCAGTCCGGTACCCCCAATGAGGTAGCCTAGCCGGCCGCCTTATCGCGGAGTGGTGGGCCCCAACAGAGTCTGCGGCCTTCGCCCAGAACGAATCTCTCTAACTGTCATTGGCTTTTCGCCGACCTCTCCCTTCGGCTCCTCTCCCCGTCGCTCAACCTCAATGGAAACCATCATCCTCGTCGCCACTAATTTTGCTATGTAAACTCGCCGCCTTCTGGGTAGATGTATGGACAAGTCCACTTTGGCTCTAAGACCTTGTCGCCCCTTTCTCGACTCCATAGGAGCTCTGGTCTATCATGATTGCAGGCCTCCTCCTCACTGATGCCCTTGATGCTGGGAGGCCGAGGATCGACACGCCAGATCTCCTTGATGTTTGGGTTCTGGGTCAGGTAAGGGTACTCGACCACAGACTGCGAATAGTCAGTCATCATTTGGTTCATACTCTTGGAAAGTCTCACCCAGGTTGAATCTTCACGCCACTTTGCGCCCTTGGTCGTGAAGAGATAGGCAATCGGGTGGACGGCTGCAACCGAAAGTGCTTGGCAGTAGCAGTTGCTGAAGTTCTCGATGTTGTGGGGTTCTCCCATGTTCTCGAGAATGTGAAGGGCCTGTGCCACGTACCCTGGATGGCATCAGCAAGTGTCGTGTACAGCCTCAGGGCGACTCACACTTTTCGTTGATGACCGTGCGTAGGTAGTAGTACTTGTCCTCCAAGCCCTCCTTCTTCAACCATCCAAAGATCCACTGCTCAGACACCTTGTGCTCAGTACCAAGATTAGTGTAGAACACGACGCTGTGCTCGGCGTCCGCGGTGCCCTGGTCATCCTTGTCGCGCATTCGATCCACCATCTGCTTCACCGAAGGTATGTTCTCGTCACAGTCGTATTTACTTGTCTGCGGGTTGAAGACGCACTGGCGCTTGGAGAGGCCAATTTCATCAGAACGAACGGCTTGGGACGGGTTGCAGTATGCATCGGGCATGCTGCTAATTATGATTAGCCCCATCAAGGCCAACGATGTGATGCGAAACGAAAGCATGATTGTGCTTACTTGTGTTGCAGGCTTCTGAGAGCCACTGATGCTCTACACCCGCTACTGATCTTTATGCTCAGTGTAATTCAATCACTTCTGCAGGGTCGCAGTGACAGCCTCGCTTTGGTACGGCGTCAAAACGAAAGTGAATAGGTGGTACTGTAGGTGCAATGTTTTTTGAACTGACTGAGGTTTCACAATGAGATTGTTGTGAAGCCTCAGCTGCTTGTGCAGCAACTCCCTGATCTTTTTACTATTTCAAACCTACGCACCATATCATCATCGGAAATCCACCAAAACAGAAGCAGGCTTACGGAGGAACGACACATCTCAATGATGAGGAACAAGCGTTCTCGGGCTGATCTTCGATGATGACCTTATCATCATGAGCAACGACAAGCCTGACTAGGGCCAATCTGTTGATTGCCCATTCCTGCTCTATACCGTCGTTACATGGATCACAATACACAACTAGTCGGGTTTGAAGGCTCGGCGATGGCATATAAGATCTGCCACATCGTGTCGTGAGGCAGACGCGCTCCCGTCCACCGACAAATCAACCCAAGCATTGTGGTGATACAAGGGGTAAGTCACTTCCTCACCTCCTCTGGATGTACGACAGGACACTTTCACTGGGGCTCCCAAGCTCCATCGCCCCTGTCATGATCCCAGAACAACATTGGTCTATCCAGCCCACAGTTCTCTTCCGGTTTGATTCCCTTTTTCGCCGGCGACCTTGGATCTACTCGCCAAATCCTCTTCACATTTGGATTTATCGTCAGATACGGCAGCTCGATCCGCGTCCGCACCGAATCCGCCGTAAAATCCACACCAGCTGGCGCAAAGATGTATGCATCGGGGTGCACCGCTGCCTTGGCGAGCGCCTTGCACCAGCAGTTGGCGAAATCGGCCAATACTCGAACTTCCCATCTGTGGATGCTTTGGCCTCCTTCTTCAACCAACCCACGATCCATGCGAATGGACCAAATTGCGGGTACCCGAGCTCACTGTAGGCGACTGCACGGTGCTGGACGTCAGCTACGCCATCTGCCGCTGAGTTGCGCATGCGGTCAACAATCTGCTTGACGGACGCTAGCTGATCGTCGCAGACGAAGTCGTTCTTCTCGGCTGACCATTCGCATTGGCGGACCTGGAGTGCGGCGCATGTGTTGGTTGCGACTGTGGAAGGAAGGGCTTGCGTGATGGGAAGTAGGTGGGTGAGGGTACTAATGAGCCAGAGCGAAGGGAGAGTCTTCATGATGGTGTTTCGTGCAGAAGCGCGTGGTTGAGGTAGGTTGACATCAGAAATCTTGTGAGAGAGGAGCACTGATTGTTGGGATGACCATATGCTACTCAACAGCAGACTCGAAGTGACTCCCCTCTTTGTGGTGGTCATGCAGCCTCATCACCCTGCTCGGTTTGCTGGACATTCATCCCTTGTGTACTTGATCAGGTGACAGGGCACGTGTCTGTGATTTCCAGCTCATCGTCCTTCCTGTAACGACTCCATAGAAGCTCAATCTTTCCGCCACCGTGCTCGACAGGCCGAGGATCGACTCTGTAGATTTCTTTGACCTTGGGATTCTGGGTCAGGGCCGGATATTCAATCGAAGGCCAGACAGTCAGTGGATTCCGTTGTAGGTCATGGGCCGTGAACTGCGGGCATTAGCAGATGGTCTGTTCAGAGTAGGCGCAACGTACGATGAAAGCAGTCGGATGGACCGCAGCTGCGGCGCTGACCTGACAGAAACACCTATCGAAGGTTGCTGCCGCTGATTCCTTAAGGGAATATTTCTGCTCGAAGAACTACTCGTACTTCTCAATCCACTGTGTCTGGGCTTTCATCCCTTTTATTAGGTCAATACAATACCGACCGGTCACGATAGACCTGGCGAAGGCCTCTGTTATTTACAACGACGACTCAAAGATGATTCTGACCAGTAATAGTTGTCACCGAAGCCCTTTTCTTTCAGCCAGGCATCAAATAAGGCATGAGGCTGTTCGATGTCACCGAGAGCTGAGTAGAACACCGCACGATGACTTGCATCCGCTCCTCCGCCATTATCTGTGTCGTGAACTCGATCGATGATTTGTTGCAAGGTGGGCATTTGATCATCACACTTGAAGTTGATGCTTCCGTCCTCCACGCACCGACGTGGCGCTACGGTAATACCTTATTCATCGGAAGCAACCGCGAACAAGATCTTGAGAGATGTCCAACATGCTCACACCATGAGTCAGAAACTGGTATGTCTTCTCTTGTTGTTTTGGACGCCAGCTAATGCCACCAGAGCACACCTGGAGCGACTGGACAGGTCTTCTGAGCTCTAAGTCTCCACCTACGTCCATCGTGACCGTCACCGCAGAAGAAAGAACTACAACGACCATCTCAATCCCACGGCAGAGCAGCAGCCATTCGACAAGCTCACCGACTGCTCTAGACTCACAGACCCCTACTACTTCGATCCTACAAAGTACTGCGACCACTACATCGGGTATTGAGAGTAAGTCTCCTCCAGGTACAAGCTCGCTGACCAGCTCGCGATCTTTAGATGCCTCGACTGCGTCTACGCCGAGCGATCCGAGTTTGACAGGCTCAACGTCTACGAATACACCATCAGGGACTTCAACTTCAATCATACAAACAGCAAGCAGTGCCGCAGGCTCACTTCGGTCAACTTCTAGCACTCCGAGTCCCTCCAGACCGAACGCCTCCAGTTCAATGTCAAGCTCAGCGAATGCGCCTTCGCGAGCCACTAGCCGTTCTCCTTCAAGCAATTTAATATCTAGCACCCAACGTTCGAGCAGTCAAGTTCCCAGCACTCAAGACTCGAGCTCTTCGTCATCCACTTTGTCGGCTACCTCGTCAGGGAATTTGGTGTCTGCAAGCTCTTTTTCCTCGAGTAGTACTAGTTCAGAATCCACTGCGAACTCTTCTGCCTCAGGAGCCCGGACCCCAAATTTCACATTAAGCTCGAGCTCTACAAAATCTGCGCCTTCGAGTACGAGTACAGAGCCACTTTGAGCTGGAATTTCATCAAGTACAATCAGAACAACAACATCAGGAGAGACAGGCCCGTCTCAGACGACTATAGATACTTCGTTGGCGGATGCGAGCACACCTGCATCAGTGAAAACCACGACGAGCTTGAGCATAGGCTCTGATACGGCTCTGACGACCAGTTTTGTTACCACTCTAGTTATTAGTAGCTCTATTAGCTGTCTAGTGGGACGATCCTGCTATTGCATCTTCCATCTCGTCCTTGTTCTCGCAATTTCCGTTCACATTCAATGACACAGTTGCTCTCACCACATCGACATCAACCACAAAGCAGATCTCGTCTTCAGCTCCCCTTCTGCCTGCAACTGCATCAAGCTCATCTGGTTCTGGTGTTGTTTCGCCGCCATCTGCTCCCCTACCAACAGCAACAGCCTCAACTTCTTCAGGCGCTGACGTCGTTTCGCCCGCCCCCCCCCCCCCCCCCCCTTCGTAGTAGTGGCCGCGTTTTGTGAAGGAACGACTAGGGGTAGAGGTGCACATTCGGTCTAGATCACATTAAATATGTCTGCCTGTCCGGTTACGGAGCCTTGGAGGGCACTAGAAAGGACAATGACTATGGTGAGAAACACATTCTTGACTGTTGCACTGAAGTCACGTTGGGTCAGTGGTAATACGAAGGACAACCATCGGAGCGATCTGCTGTCACAATTGAAGTTGCCAGCATAGTGTTAGATAAGAGGGACGCAAGGATATGGCTAGATATTTGGGAATATCACAGCTGGCAAACACGGGGATAGACAGGTCAATCTTCCAACACCGTGCTTTTGCTTTTGACTGTCTTACTATTTCCGTTTCTTGTTCTTAGCACCTGCAGCGGCCGCAGCATTAGCCATCAGCGCATCTTCACCACCATCGCCCTCGTACGCTTTGCCTTCGTTGACTTCACGCTTGCGCATCGTGCCCACGCCCATCCGAATAAGCTCCTGGCTGCCCAAAGTTAGCCTGTTAACAATGGAAACAATACGAGGTACGACGCGGCATGATGAGATGGGAGGCAATGGAAGAAGCGTCAATGGCGTGAGATCCCTTCTCGCCCCCACATAAGAGTTATGTAGGTAATTGGAAACGCGTCCCTCTCCAAGCATTCTGCCTCAGAATTCCAGTACCGCGGTGCGCGCTATTGGACCATTTCCTCTGCTAGCGGGATAGTCAGTCAGTCAGGTGTGGCACTTACTCCTCGCCATCGCTGTCCTCGATGTTATACAACATGGGCAGCACGAAACTCTGGGCCTCCTCCACCTTGCGACCCTTGACGTCCAGCGTGAGCACGTCGACGTCCTCATCCTCGCGGTCCTCGCGCCGCTTCTTGTGCTCCTCCTCCGGGTAGACGTCGAACTCGTCCTCGCGCTCGACGTACTCGACGTTCTCCGTCACTTCCGTAAAGTCCGGGGCTAGCGCCGACCATTTTTGCTGCGGCTCGATGCCCCAGATCTGGATCGTGCCGGTCTCGATCGAGGTGCAGGCGATGAGCGGGCGGGAGGGGTGCCATTCGATAATGGCGTTTTCCTCGCGGGTCTCGAGGATGCGGAAGAGGGAGTTGGAGCGGAGTTCGTAGAGGTAGATGTTGCGTTTCATGTCTGGGAGGAGAGGAATGTCAGTGATGTGGGCTGAAAGGGTGTGAGGTGAACTATGGGAGAGAGCGACGTACAGGTTGAGGCTACGACGTATTCAGCGGTGTCTGAGCCAGATGCAACGGGGGAGATGGAGGTGTGGTTCCAGCGTAAACGGTTGACGACGTCGGTGAATTGGTTGGTGGCGGAAAGGTAGATGGTTGAGGGGTCGAGATATCCGGTGTCGTTCTCGTCGTCCTCTGGGTTAGCGCTGGGTTCATCGGTGCTGGGTCTGATTTTGGAGAGATCGGGCATGTCAATGACGCGAATGATGCGATCGGTGGCGTTGGCGAGTAGTTGACGGCCATTAGAGGTAAGACGTAGGAGGGAGAAGAGGCCAGTGGAGAGTTTGGATGAGTGGATTATCTTTAGGGTTGAGGTCTCAATAATGTTGATGTAGCCTTTCGAGGTGCCGGAGATGATGTGATCGCCTTGGACGGAGAAGATTGCTGAGGTAGTAGACTGTTTGAGGGATGACTTGTCGGCGAGAGGCTCGGTAGGAAGACGGTGCTTAATGGGTATGGTGTTCTTGACGTCGACGAGGAAGGGGTGATCTTCGAACAGAGAGACGCAGAAGAGTAGGTGGTTCTGGGGGTGTAGCTCTGCTGTGTAGATGGGTGCTTCGAATTTGGCTGTTCTGATGCGTGTTTGGGTAGAAAGGTCCCAGAGGATGGCGCGACAATCTTGGGATGCAGTGAGAATGTAGCGACCGCACTTTGACCAGCTGAATCTTATTAGCCTCATAGACGTTCCGGCAAGGCAACAGGTGCCTCTCCACCAGGGGGCATCCGAGTCATTGAGCCTCTGAACTTACCTGACGCTCTGGATCTGCTTCCAGTGCCCATTCAACTTCATCGCCACGCCATTTGTCTCCATATCCCTGCGGGACAGTCAGACTCGGTTTCTTGGCAGGGATGCCGCCTGTTGCTCAGGCATAATATTTCAACGCGTAGTACACGTAGAAGACTCACCAGATAACGACTTTTCCATCTGATCTGCCTGACGCCAGATAATCGCCTTTGCGATTGAAGCGGATAGTGGTAGCATGGCCGGATTCTGTGCGCGTTGGGTCAGTTTGAGCATTACCGTTTCGCCACAGATTGGCACATGGTCTTTCGCCCTCCGTCAAATGGGAGCTCGACTTACTGAGATCATCAATCAGTACGTCTGGATAGTCTTGGGCTAATTGGAAAGGGTCTATTAGCGCCAGATTCATGGTTCGAGATGTGGTGTGGTCGAGACAAACTTCTCCTTGCTGTCCGCGTCGTCGTTTGCGGGTTGATTTGACAGCCTCACGCCAAGACCCGGGCATCAGGGGTCAGCCTTGCTCACACTAGATGGACAGTTGTGGATAATAGCGACGATGGCAAGTTACATCAATGCAAATAATGGTAGTGCAGGGCAAACAAAAGTTGACTGTGTACTAGGCTTAAATTCTAATGAGATTTGCGTCTAATCAGGTTCATTGTATAGGTAGATACCCGTGGCTCCTGCAAGCAACCAACCAACCGATGCCAATGTACAGCTGAGATGATGCCCCTCGGCCACTCATCGACCGGCCGCACGTAGGGTTACAATCTGGTTGCCTGGCTCTTCGAGAGTGGACTCTATGGACATAAGTCGACTGTGTTGGAGTGATGACTCCTGTGCAAAGGTAATAAGAGGTGATGAGTCGGAGGCGAGTCTGGAACTCTGACGAAACGGAATGGCGCCTTGGCATTGTGATGATTTCACGTGACTACGGTGCCCAAAGCGACTGCAGCCTGCGCCAGGAGGCCCAAATTCTTTCAATCTTAACATCCACCACTTCATCCTTCCGCCATCCCACTCCCACCTCTGCTTCATCGACTGCGCATCGCGCGACCATTTCGCCGATTTCGAGACGACGTGTAAAATATTTTCAGGAGTTTTGGGATCAAAATTTCAACAATTGGTGACGCGCGCAGTTTTTACGGCTTTTGGGCAGGCCCAACAGGGTGGCGGTCATCTCTGACCATCGTCGCGCTCTTCAGCGCCGGACTTTCGATCATCGAATAGACGTTCAATTCGTTTCTTCATCGTCTCCCGGATAGACCGCAATCATGGCGAACATGCATTTCCCCTACTCGAGCGCTCCCACGCGCACAATCGAGGAAATCCAGTTCGGCCTCTTCTCCTCCAAGGAGTCTGAGCGCCTCGCGGTCATCGACATCGAATATCCAGAGACGATGTACGTAGCTAGAAAATACATTCTCCAGTGTGCTTTAATTCTAACCTGTCTACAGGGATGAGGCCCGCCTCCGACCTCGCGAGAGAGGTCCAAACGATCCTCATCTCGGTACTATCGATCGCAACTTCCGATGCGCGACCTGCGAGGAAGACCAGGCTGAATGCCCTGGCCACTTCGGTGTCATCAAGCTAGCCACACCAGTCTTTCACTACGGCTTCTTAAAGCAGGTCAAGAAGATCCTCGAGACCGTCTGCCACAATTGTGGCAAAATCAAGGCTCTCGAGGTCAGTCGCTTCTGTAACCCGTAGATCTTTTGCAACCGCTGACTTTACATCAGGATGAGGCTTATCGACAAGCTATTCGAACCCGCAGCCGCAAGTCTCGATTCGAACAGATCTGGCGCCTGAGCAAAACCCGCCTCGTATGCGATGCCGACCCTCCTGACGAAGGCGATCAACCTGCGAAGCCTGGCCAGAATGTGATTCGCCACGGCGGATGCGGCAATGTTCAGCCAGAGATGCGCAAGGCTGGCCTTCAGTTGTTCGCCTCGTTCAAGCCTAGAAAGAGCGAAGAAGATGATGACATCCCTGGTGGTGCTCAGCCCGAGAAGAAGCGTTTCTTCGCTCAGGATGCTCTCAATGTTTTCCGTCTCATTTCGGACGAAACGCTGGAGACTTTGGGTCTCAGCGCTGACTATGCTCGACCTGAGTGGATGATTCTACAAGCCCTCCCTGTTCCTCCTCCGCCCGTTCGCCCTAGCATCAGCGTCGACGGTAGCGGTCAGGGCCAGCGTGGCGAAGACGATCTGACTTTCAAGCTCGGTGATATTATTCGAGCTAATCAGGCTGTTGTTCGCACCGAGGCCGATGGTACTCCAGACCACATCAAGATCGATCTGATTGATCTCTTGCAATATCACATCGCGACATATATGGACAACGATATTGCCGGTCTCGACCGTGCCCAGCACAAGAGTGGACGCGCCATCAAGTCAATCCGCGCTCGTTTGAAGGGCAAGGAAGGCCGTCTCCGCCAGAATCTGATGGGCAAGCGTGTCGACTTCTCCGCTCGTACGGTCATCACAGGTGATCCCAATCTTTCACTCGACGAAGTCGGTGTTCCTCGCAGCATCGCTCGAACCCTCACATATCCTGAGAAGGTTACACGGTTCAACATCGAGAAGCTCAAGACTTTTGTTGAGAATGGCCCAACTGAGCATCCAGGTGCACGATATGTCATCCGAGACACGGGTGAGCGCATTGATTTACGTCACGTCAAGAGCCGTGACATGACGCTACAGTACGGCTGGACTGTGGAGCGGCATATCCAGGATGGCGATGTTATCCTTTTCAACCGTCAGCCCTCGTTGCACAAAGAGTCTATGATGGCTCATCGCGTGCGGGTCATGCCCTACTCGACATTCCGTCTCAACTTGTCCGTTACCACTCCTTACAACGCCGATTTCGATGGTGACGAGATGAATTTGCACGTTCCCCAGAGCGAAGAATCACGGTCTGAGCTGCGGCACCTGTGCATGGTACCCCTCAACATCGTCTCCCCTCAAAAGAATGCGCCTCTCATGGGTATCATTCAAGACACACTCTGCGGCATTTACAAGATCTGTGACAAGAACGTCTTCCTCACCAAGGATGCTGTCATGAACGTAATGATGTGGGTACCTGACTGGGATGGCGTGATTCCCCAGCCAGCAATTGTCAAACCAAGCCCGCGCTGGACTGGCAAGCAGATCATCAGCATGATCATCCCCAAGAACCTCAACCTGGAACGTCCTGAGAAGAAACAGCCGATGCCACTTCTACCGCAAGGTGATGAAGGCGTCTTCGTTACTGATGGTCAACTCATGTTTGGGCTCTTTTCCAAGAAGATCGTTGGTGCATCTGCTGGAGGTGTTATCCACATCACTTTCAACGAATGGGGTCCTGATGCCGCCATGGCCTTCTTCAACGGCGCACAGACTGTTGTCAACTACTGGCTGTTACACAACGGCTTCAGTGTCGGCATTGGCGACACCATTCCAAGCGATGATGTCGTTGTTGCCGTAAGAGATGCTATTACCACCAGAAAGCATGAAGTCGGCGAGCTCATCAAACTCGCTCAAGCCGAGGAACTGGAGCCCATGCCTGGTATGAACATCCGCAAGACCTTTGAAAGCAAGGTCATGGCGACATTGAACGCTGCCCGTGATAATGCTGGTACCTTCATGGAAGAGAAGCTCAAAGACGCCAACGGAGCTGTACAAATGGCTCGATCAGGATCCAAAGGCAACAATATCAACATCGCTCAAATGATGGCTATTGTTGGTCAACAGGTCGTCGAGGGTAAACGTGTGCCCTTCGGATTCAACTACCGCACCCTACCGCACTTCGCCAAAGACGATTTCTCTGCTTACTCGCGCGGTTTCGTTGAGAATTCGTATCTTCGAGGTCTCACACCTACTGAGTTCTTCTTCCACGCTATGGCCGGTCGCGAGGGTCTAATTGATACTGCCGTTAAAACTGCAGAGACTGGCTACATTCAGCGAAGATTGGTCAAAGCTCTCGAAGAGGCCACCGTTAGGTACGACAGTACCATTCGAGACTCGCACGGTAACGTTATTCAATTCCTGTACGGCGAAGACGGACTCGACGGCGCGCACATTGAGAAGCAATCTGTCGACATCCTCACCCTCTCTGATCGTCAGCTTCGTGATCGCTACTATGTTGATGTCATGAGCGACCAAGATCCTTTCAGAGGTAAACTACTTTGCTGGAAAGACTGCGTCGCTCAGCAAGACGTTCAGAAGCTATTTGACGAAGAGTTCGAGCACCTTCAGGAAGCTAGGTCGGTGGTTCGATCCGCTGCTTCAGGAGCTGAGGATGAATTCCAGCTACCCATGAACGTCATTCGGATCATTCATCAGGCCTTCAAGAACTTCAAGATTCAGAAGGGTGACAAGACAGATCTTGATCCTCACCACGCCATCACTTCGGTCAACTCGTTGCTGGAACGCATCGGCGTTGTCCGTGGGGACGATCCTTTGTCGCAGGAGGCCCAGGCAAACGCGACTCTGATCATCAGAGCTCACCTGCGCTCGAGGCTTGCCTTCAAGCGCATTGTCAACGAATACTCCTTGAATCGCCTTGCGTTTGACAACATCATCGGCAGTGTTGAGAGCCGTTTCAACGCAGCCATTGTCGCACCCGGAGAGATGGTCGGTGTCCTTGCAGCTCAATCCATCGGCGAGCCTGCTACGCAGATGACTCTGAACACCTTCCACTACACTGGTGTATCTGCGAAGAACGTTACACTCGGTGTTCCTCGTCTCAAGGAGATCTTGAACGTATCCTCTAACATCAAGACACCCTCCATGACCATCTATCAAGTCCCCGAAAACCGTCACAGCATGGCTTCGGCCAAGGAGCTCCGCAGCAGGGTTCAGCACACCAACCTGAAGAGTCTTACTGAGACCTGCGAGTTGTGGTATGATCCTGTGGTCGAATCGACCATCATTGAAGCTGATCAGGATTTCGTTGATGCATACTGGATTATTCCTGACGAGGCGGAGGCTGATACCAGCGCGCATTCTCGCTGGCTGCTTCGTATCGTGCTCAACCGTGCCAAGATGCTTGACAAGGGCTTGACCATTGACCAAATTGCGTCCAAGATGAAGAGCGAATATGGACGAGATCTCTCAATCTTGTTCAGTGATCAAAACGCTGAGCAGCAAGTGGTGCGCATCCGCTACGTCAGCTCCTTTGGCAAGGACGAAGAAGACGAGCGTCAGGAAGATGACGATCTTTTGCGTCGCTTCATGAACGAAATGCTTGATAACCTCACATTCAACGGCGTTACAGGCCTCTCCAAGGTGTACCTGAACACCACCGACCGCGCTCGCGTCAACGACGAGGGCGCCCTGATCATGACCAAGACAGACCCATTGTGTCAAGAAGCTGTTCTTGAGACTGATGGAAGTGCCTTTGCCAAGGTCATCGCCATCGACGGTGTCGATGCCAATCGCACCTATACCAACTGCTTCATGGAGATTCACGAGGTGCTTGGTATCGAAGCTGCGCGTGCCGCCATCTACAAGGAGTTGAAGAACGTTCTGTCCTTTGATGGCTCTTATGTCAACGCTCGGCACTTGGGCATTTTATGCGACGGCATGACCTTCCGAGGCTACGTCTCTGCCATTTCCCGTCATGGCATCAACAAGTCTGACAATGGTCCGCTGATGCGTTGCTCCTTTGAGCAGACGGTTGAAATTCTGTACGAGGCGGCCGTCAACGGAGAACTCGATGACTGCACTGGTGTGACGGAGAACATCATCCTCGGCCAACCTGCCCCTGTTGGCACAGGCATGATGGACATCCTGCTTGACAAGAAACTGCTTGATACCATTGTTACCGACAATTCCAATCTTGGTCTTGGTGGGCCCATCGGTGTCAAGAGACAGCAGGAGCTCATCTCTGGTGCAGCTACGCCATATGACTCGACGTCTCCCATTCACGATAGTGGCTACCTTGGCTCTCCAGAGTACGGGGCTTCATTCTCGCCCATGGCCGAGAACAGTGCTGAGACTGGTGGCTTCTCCGAATATCAGCCCAGCTCCGGCTTTGGTGGTGGCTTCAGTCCTTATGGTCGCAGTCCTGGAGGATACTCTCCAGCTAGCCCTGGTGGCTTTGGGTCGACCAGTCCTGCTTCGCCAGCTTACTCGCCATCTGCAGGCTACTCACCCACCTCGCCTGCCTTTGGCCCTACCAGCCCGAACTTTGGCGGAGCCACCTCACCTGCGTTCTCGCCTGTCAGTCCGTCCTACAATGCGACCTCGCCAGCTTACTCGCCTACTTCACCATCATTCAGCCCCACGAGCCCGCAGTACAGTCCTACTTCACCTCAGTACTCTCCCACGAGTCCGCAGTACAGTCCTACGTCGCCACAGTACTCTCCGACGTCGCCAAGTTATTCACCGACATCGCCAGCTTCCCCGACCAGTCCGGTTTACAGTCCGACTAGCCCGGTTTATAGTCCGACTAGTCCTGCTTATGGTGGTGGCGGCGGTAAGCACGCCTCTCCAACATCGCCGCAGTACAGTCCGACGTCGCCAAACTACTCGCCGACTAGCCCGGCTACAGGTGGATCGCCGACTAGCCCGCAGTACTCACCGACCAGCCCCCAATTTTCACCGAGAAGTCCCCAATACTCCCCGACTTCTCCCAAGAATGACTAGGGCCATTCTTGATGTACCATACACCCCGAGTGTTGATCAGCATCAGCCTCATTTTCCTCCCCCAAAAGATTGTGGATCCATTGACTTGATCTTCTGCCTTCTGCTGGGTGGCATTACTAGGCGCTCAGTAATGAGAGTCGCGCGGTTGATGCCCTTCTTTGCGCTTACACGACCAAGAGCGAACAGGCAAAAGACTCGGTTTTGCTTTCTAGATTCATTAGCGACGGCGTTAGGATGGCATGATTTTGTTTCGAGGCCATGGGCCTTTGAATTGCAACTATGAAAACCGAAAAAATTTCCAGGGTTTATTTGACAAGACCGATTGCATTGCATGAGCGGGAGAGGACGACGACAGCGCGAGGAATGCGTTTTGCTTGAGAGGAGAAATGGCTTGCAGGAGATACCAAATTGCCAGATGGATTTCGCGTTGCAAGGATGATGCTCTAATGTATTTTAACGCACAAGCCCCTAGATTGGCATCAAGGCTCGTTGGAGCACAAAATCAAAAGGCGTTAAGTTCTCTACGCACCGTGTGCTCTCCCACACATCTGATCCCGTGCCTGATATATTGTTAAAAGTGCCGGGTTCCGCAAGGGTTATCTCCCATTGCTTGCCCGCTCGCTCGCTGCGGTCGACTCCGTCATCGATAGGTAGAAGCTCGTGCGGCCATCTGCGCATCCGCTTCGCAGCTCACAAGCTCATGAATGTTTGTTATCACTTCGTTGAAACCATGAAGAGTCGTGAGCGACTTGTGATTCTCGGAGCGCCAGCACGAAGATCCCTATCGCAACCAGTCTGTCTCTATGGAGCAACTCACGATCGCCAAAGCGCACGAAGGCTTCCGGTCCGGTAGCTTTTCCTCTCACGCTCTTGTGTCGTACTATCTCGGGCGCATCGAGGCTCTTGACAAAGCCGGACCGAAGTTGAATGCAATTCTTGCCATCTCCCCCAGTGCACTCCAAGATGCTGCCGCGCTGGATCAGTATCTCAAGGAACGCGGGGAGCTCAAGGGTCCCCTCCACGGGATCCCGGTGCTGATCAAGGACCAGGCTGCTACCGCTGGTCTGGAGACGACGTATGGCTCTGTCGCTGCCAAGGGGCACATCCCCAAGGAGGATGCCACCTTGGTCAAGAAGCTCAGGGGCGCAGGTGCCATCGTGCTGGCCAAGACGTCCATGCCAGATTGGGCGACGTCATGGCACTCGACGTCGTCTCTCTCTGGTCTCACAGGCAATCCCTACGACCCATCCCGTGATCCTGGCGGGTCAAGCTCCGGCACTGGGGCTGCTATCGCGGCTGACTTCGCGCTGCTCGGGTTGGGGGAAGACACCGGCGGCTCGATCCGCCTGCCATCCTCCTTCTGCGGCCTGGTCGGCCTCCGTCCGACTCCAGGCATGATCAGTCGTTACGGCATGTCGCCGCTCGTGGTGCCCCAGGACACTCCTGGGCCCATGTGTCGAACCGTCCGCGACGCTGCTTTGATGTTCGACGCCATGGTTGGGTTCGACTCCAAGGACCCTTTCACAAGCGTCAACATAACCACCGGCCCACCCGTTGGCGGAAGTTATGCTGCTGGGCTGTCTAGTGCTAAGACCTCGACCCTCCGGATCGGCGTTGTGAAGGAGCTTTTTGGGTCTGACGAGGACGGTTCCCAGGCTCCGGTGAACGTCGTGGTCCGCGATGCGCTGCAGAAGCTTCAAAACGCCGGCGCGACTCTGGTCGATGTGACGATTCCCAATCTCTTCCACTACTTTCAGGAGACCTTCCTCTACGCCCTGCGGTCCCGGTCGGACCTGGACTTGTTCTTCGCTTCGCATCCGAGCCCGGAAATCTCCAAGCTCAAGGTTGCCGACCTGGGGAAATCCAAGACCTTTCATCAGGCACTGGATCTCTTCGCCACGATTGCCGAGGGTCCCAGCTCACCACACGACGCCAATGGCGAATTTTCGCGCAAGCTCCTGGCCCAAGCCGAATTCCAACGAGTTGTCTTGTCCGCAATGGCCGACGCCAACGTTGCAATCCTCGCTTTCCCAGATTGCAGAATTCCAGCACAGCTCAACACCGATGTCCTCAATCCACCGTGGGGTACAGCGGCGGATTTTCCGACCAACACTCTGCTGGCGAGTCAAGCAATTCTGCCCGCAATATCTGTGCCTGTCGGCCTGACCCAGGATCTGGGTCTGCCCGTAGGTCTCGAATTGGTGGGAGTTCCGCTCAGCGAGCAGGTGCTGTTTAACGCTGCCGCTTGTGTTGAGAGTGTTGTTGATGGAAGGCGGCCGCCGAAGCTTTAATTAGGCCCAACGATTGTGGAAACAGGGGACGGCAAATCTGCCTTCTTCTGTTTGCGAATTCAACCAGCTCGTCAACTTGGGAGGAGCGCTAAAGGACGAGATTTGATCGGCTTGCTGCTGCCAAGGAACGAGAACGCGAACGAGAACGGAGAAGCTTGGTGGGAAGGAGGTCTTGCTTGTTTTTCATTTGGAAGCGGATAGGACAAAACGTTTCTCTGGTAGTAAGTTGCCAACTTGAGGGGTTCACGAAGCGCCTGTGATCTTCCGGGATGTTTCACCATCGCCCTCACGTTACAGAGGTGTCTTTACCATGACCGCTCCATGGCCAAGTCGTCGCGCTTATTGACCGTTCTCTCGCGTCCATACTCATCTACGAAATGATGCAGGAAATGCCTCGGCCCGATCTGCCTCCTCCCACGAAGATACTCTCCTGGTCGAGGTGGTTCGTATGCTGGGTCCCAGTCGACATGCGTGTTGAGGGACTGGCGTCGGCCGTGGCGTTCATACGGACTAGGGGATCGTCCACGGCTCACGCTCCGCGATCGCCGCCGCGGAGGAACAAATGTAGGCGTTGGGGATGGAGAATCTGATACCGTGCATGCATGACCGGCGCTGTACTGGTGAGTGCATGCTGATGGCTGGGGAAAGACTGCTTGACAATAGCTGCAGTGGACCGTGTACTCGGGCTTTGGAGAAGGTGGTCGTTGGTGATGGAGAGGTTCGTACCGTGGATAATGATGTTGATGTGCCTCCGGTTCAAAATCGTATGCCCTGTGATGGGGTTGCCAGGTTCGGTAGGCTTCTGGCTTCGGAGGTGGTGGCGGAGGTGTACTGACAGGAACAGGAGCTGGTGTGCGTATTCGGCAATGTCCACTGACTCCGTCGCTGTGGCGGGCATAGTAAGCTGCGGGTGGTAGTGATGTACTGCGAGGGCGAGCTGGTTCGTCGTAATGCCTTTCACCGCTGCCAGAGCAGCCTACCGACGGATTGAGGCCAACCCACGATACCTCCCGCCATCTCGATGGATACGAGATAGGGGTTTTGGCCTGCCACAGCTCCCATGCTCCAATTGTGTCTGGTCCTTCGTTCAGGACCCCAGGAGCCAACCACCTCGATACGCCATGGTCGAGCTTCGCGTTGACTCTTGCCAGGTACATCCACTGATCGACCTCTGGTAAGCTGCCGTGAAAGAAATACCTGGCAAGGCAGTGGCAAATTGCATCGAGGATTTCAGGTGGTACCGAGTTGCCAGATGCAAAGACCCTTCCCACAGTATCAACATCGAAGATCTCGTAGCGCAGTCTGGCGAGAAGTACTGGAAGTTCATTCGCCAGCAGGTCTACTCCAAGCTTTTTGATGCCATCCACTGCAAAGATGTATCTTACTGGACACTCGATGACGGAACGCAAAGGGAGGAGTGTGTTTTGCCGGCAGCAGGCGGTCATCCACTCGATCAGGTCGATGATGGGGCTGGAACTGCCGCCTATCAAGCGAACACTGACTGCAGCTGGTTGTGGCATGTGCGTGGACGTAGATGTCCAGTGCTGCCCCTGTTGCGGTTGGAGGTAGGAATGATTTATCGGAATTTGTTGCCGGATGGTAGACGAGAAGTAGGTGAGCATAGCAAGAGGGCGATCGCAAGCGATAAGGTTGAAGCGGCCATCAAGATTTTCGTCGTTGAGGACGTGAACGACGGGTCCGTGAAGGAGGCTGCGACAGTCGGTTTCAACAGTGCACAAATGTCAGAGTGGCAGGAGAACTTACCTGCCGAGATCTAAGTAGGACATAGTGGTTCCGTTTGGCTGTGACGATACTTGACTGTACTTGTTGCAACCGCATCAAATACCCGCAGACAGATGTGAATGTCAGACGGTGCGAGGTCGACCAAGACAGACACAAAAGTGTGGACGAGGCCATGGCCAAAGGCGCGAACACACGCTCAATTGCTCTAGAATACCACACTAATATTCATTGTGTCTACTAAAGTACCTCGCTAGAGACCAGTAAAGGCTTTCAGAGCCTGTGAGGTCCCTTTCGAGAGCTATGCAGTGACGGTAGCCGTCCATACTGAAACTCCGTTCATCATAATTTGAGGATAAGTATACGTCTAACCTCATGTGATCCGCTCGCGTTTCTAGAAACTCCACTCCCCCGCTACTCTACTGTACACGTCTTGACTGACTAGAACGAGAAGCTGGGATCCGTCCATCCATGTGTCGCCTTATCCTAGTCAGAGCTGCAAGCACATCTCGAGGGTCTGGTCCCGAGACCAGAGCTCTTGCTTAGTCCATCGACTGTGCTTGGATATGTCTGTCATGAACTTCACACGATGATGCGCGTTCACACTGAGATGGTGGTCGAGGTCTCGTGGAATTACGAAAACCATGCCACATGATCGGCACTCTGGCGTCAGGCGGTATGTGGTGGATGGAACAATGCTCGTTCTCATAGCCGTCTTGGCTTTGGGAACCGATTCGAGATTATTGAAGGTTTCGATGACTTGTTGGCCAAAGAGTTGGCCGAGGTAGCTCAATGGACGGCTGTAAGGGAAATATTCAGACGGTGCGTTAGCACCATTCCCCAATCGTGCGACGATCGCGATGCCATGACGTTCTGCTGTTGTCAAGAAGTCATGCCACCGAGCATGATCCCGGAATTTCTCTGCGTGCAGCATGATATCTGTCTCATCGCTAACTCGTGGCACATAGTCGACAGTGATTTCACGTAACTCCAGGCTGCAGGGGATGAGCAAGCTAAGTTGTCCGAGGAGCGCCGAATGCGTGTGGAAGTTGAAGACTCGCAGTGTAAGTCTTGCCAGCTTGACGATCTCGACAGATAGGCGTGAGTATTCGTCTGAGAGTGACATTCGGCGTCGATGGTATGGTAACTGTTGTTCTCCTCCCACTTTCAAGGGTGGAAATTTGCCAGTGGCCCGGTACGTCCAGGTTATATCTAATATCGGACTCATCTGCCGCAGTAGACCGATGGCCTCCTCATAGATCTGCTTATTGAGGACCAAAACCTTGATGCACCCAGCCGCGGTCTTCCAGTCTGGATGTGCGGCACCATCGGCGTAGGAGTCGAGGTCCGGTCGCAGAAGAGCATGGTAGATCATGAGGCGGACTTCGGCAGGAAGTCGATCGAGGAGAGAGACAGGGGTGATGATCGTTTTTGGGGCCGCGGTACGGCCTCTGCGGAGCGTCATAGGCATGGTGGTCAGCGGGAGAAAGGAATGGCTGATTGCTGGAGCTGGAGGAGGAGGAGGAGGAGGAGGAGGAGGAGGAGGAGTTGATGGGCTTGCTGATGATGTGGTCTTGTCTGTTGGATGAAGATGTGGAAAGAAGAAAGGGCTAGCGTCTCAAATCTTACCAGAGGATCATTCACAGCTGGTAGTGAGACAGCACAGCGACAACTGAAATGGCGTTGCCCATTCTGTGCTAGGAAAGTGGGCAGAAGGAATGTACGAGTTAAGTAGTGAAGGAAGCATTGGATGACTTGCTGCAGGCACACCAGTCACTTGACCAGGCAGGCGTGGTTTCCCAGCAACACCTCCATACAGTCTCCTGAGATGCTTTGGACCAATTCTAGTAGCACTGAGGTCGTTCAGGCCCATTAAATCGTGGCCGAGGTGGAACGTACTAGCGAGTGACTGCCTCAGCAAGCTCTGCTCTTTGACCCATCGAGCCTCTATGTGAACCCCAGATCTATCCAGGAGCTCCCCCAAATTAACGCACGCAAATGTCCCAAATGGCAATTCAACACAGTCCCAAAGAAACTCGTTACCATCGCCCTTGTCTTAAGACAACAGCGTCGTCATCATGTAGTCTTTTTCCCATGGTCAAATATAGAACATGGTCTCCTTCGTATTGTCGTGCAACTTCAGGCAGGTGTCGAATTCAGCCTAGTCCACACTGGGATCGAAGACAGGGGTTGTATCGCTGGTGTGGTAATACTTCTTGCTGTCAGCACGTACAACTACTTGCTGGCGTTCTGACTGTCCATTTCCGGGGTTTAGATCTGCGAATGTCAGCCGGACCGCGGCATTGGTCAGTATCGCGTTGAGCGCATTGAGTGTGGCATTCTTGGTGGGGATGAAGGCACCCGACTCGGTCTTATCGACTACATTCTCTCGCTCATAGTCGACCAAGTCGCGAATAGACAGTGTTTTGGATAACTCGATGTCGATTTGATTAGCGCGGACAGGATTCAGCAAATCTCTCATGAGCGCCGTACAGAGTGACATCGATCGGAGTACTCAGTACTGTCAGGGGTAAAGCAGTGAGTGTGTAGAGGTGTTGGTTGTAGTCGCTCGCAAGGTTGATTCCTTTCATATCTTGGCGGGTCTCTAGAGCTTTCATAAGGAAGACAAGTCTCCGCTTGGGCTTTGTTGGCGAAGCTTCAGATGTAGGCGTTCCTATATCCGAGTCGGGATTCGTCATGCTGGGATGGTGGGTCTTCTTCCCTGTCTTCCGCTTCTTCTCTACATCTGTTATCGTTCTGGTGGGTGTAAACTTGCACTCGAAGATGTTGATCAGATCCGCGGGTGCTTGTTCAGCGGATGCATCGGCCTTTTGCGGAGGAGGATCTGGGGCCTTCAAGAGGTAATGGTTGGTCAGCAAAAAGCCCTCTGTGATGACGGTCCCGTTCGTTGGCTGTATAATCTCGATTCTGGTTTCGGTCTTTGGGACACTTCCACCTCGACCTCCGAACTCTCGGCCTCTTGGACGTGCCATTTGATTACCACGCATGACTGACCTCCCTAACTGGGACAAGGGGATCCAGCGAGATGGATTATTTTCTGCTGCAACAAGGAAAGGGAGTCGCAACCAGCAGCAAATGCTGATATATAGTCGCAAGTCGGTCGATTGCTAGCAACATAGTGTTTGGCTATCGAGCAGATGCATAGGCATCCTGCAACGATCAGCTTCGCTAACACTGTTAGACAAACACTATAATTGCTCTACAATACCATTGAACTTGCTCACCCAAAGTTCGAGCGTGGCTTGTCAAGCAGTAGACGCCACCATCTTTGAACGGGACTTCAAAAACGACATTCGACAAGTGCATGTTCATTGCAGGAGGAAGCAGTAAAGCTCCTCGAAACAAACCATACAAAAGGTTCGGGGCAAACACGAAGTGCGAATTGACTTGTTGACATGGCTAGGCGTGCAATCGGTCCTTGATTCCTGGCGCGAAGCCGATGTCTGATTGAATATCCGCAGATGGTTGTGGCAAGACGTCTTCGACTTACCATAAGCTGCAACTCCTTGATGTCGCATGCTGGCTCGTCGTGCAGCAGTACGTGGGGTACAGGGCGAGCGGTTTTCCTGGATGGTGTTGTGGGAGACGCAAAAACAGTTCTTGTATCCAGACGCTGTCCCCCACGAACACTCAAGTCAACGCAGATGCCTGGCAGCACGTTACCATTCGGCGTCGTATTTTCTTTGCCCGGATAGAAGCGCTGATGATGCCGGTTGACAACACAAACGACTTGAAGGCTTGGCCGTGCTCGGTCGACGTAGACGTTGTCAACCGCTCTTTTGAACTGCGGGATCTCTTCCGCCACGCTTTGATTGAATTGACCCTCGAAAAGACCGTCTCGGTACACGATGGACTGCGTCGGAAGAACTTGGTTATGCCTCAACCAGCAGTGAAACCTCTCCTCCATCGTTGCCGTCACATCTTACACCCTCACAACCGACTGCGCACGCTCAGGAGGACGATGTTGGCTCATTATATCCAGCTCTCACATATGCTCGATGCGGTCGTTGTCCTCCAACGAATCGCTCGTCGGGTGAATCCTTGGATCGCCGTTGATTTGCAGCCCTGGTAGGCTGCTATCATTCTTGCATGAAACGCGGGTCAGGTGTTTCTCTGTCGATGGATATTTAGCCTTCTGTTGCAATCACACCCGCAGCAGTTCACGTTTTGAGAGCAAGGATAGGTGGGATTACAATGGTAGAAGAGATCAAGGAGCAATCAAGCTCAAGCTTGACTGTCGTGACACGGAAATGCACGCTAGGCCGTAGCCGGAATAGCTCTGCGTTCACTGCCTGACCGACGTCTAGGCCTACCCGGCAAAGCAAAGACCTATCGTCTTCTTGACCACGAGAGACCCATGCGAGAGTGAGTGCGGTCTCTAACAATCTAGCCTGCCACTTGGGAAGAGGGGAATCGCAGCCAAGCAAAGGCGCGCCGATCATTCCTGTTGGCATCGTCCCAAAGCTTCTCAGTCTCCTGCTCTCCAAAGTCTTCTTCACCATGATCCAGTCTTCATGCTTCTTCCTGCACAATCTTGAGCACCTAGATGTAGAACATCGTGCGCTTTAGATCGTCGTGCACCTGCAAGGCTTCCGCGAACTCCTGCTCGTCAAAGTTTTGACCTTGTCTCGCCATGTACCACTTGCGAACGTAGTAGCGAGCACGATCGGCCGCAAGATCGGCATAGTATGCTGGAGTAGCAATAGATACCGATCTGGTGGCACGGGCGAAGAGGTAGCATAGCTTATGAGTCTGGAAACAGTGTCAGCAGTAATCAACTCAACTTCTCAGAGCGCTTACCGCATTCGCAACGTCGGCGATGCTAAGACCCTCGAACTCGTTATGGAGGATAATATAGTGGCAAGGTCTAGTGGTGCCCTGGAGAGTCTCGTGGCTGACTAGGAAGAAGTCTTTGTTGTCACCGTAGGTTACCTTGCTGTAGACAGCTGTACCTGGCTTGGGGTTGCGGTTCTTGTCTAGAACGCCTAAGCTGCTCTGGCTAGGCGGACCCTCAAACTATAGTCACCGAAAGCATATTAGCAAACGCGTCCGAAATCGCAACATTGGTCGGAGAGAAGAGTGAGGTTGCACAAAGAGGAGGAGGAGGTCAACACAGGGGTTGTGCAACTTACCAGTCTCGCGTGGTGGCGTTTGACTGAACAGACGAGAAGGATGGCAGGCTTCTTGGTACCTCCATAGACTTTGGCGACAGCTTGTTTGACTTGGGGCAATTCGAGGCGCTTGCACATGTCGAGTTGCTCCTCGGACAACCCATCGCGATAGATGATCAGGCGGTCTGGAAGCCCATTACGTACAGCTTTGAAATCGTTGAGGCGCTCCTCGATCATCGCGGCGAGGTAGAGCACTCGCTCCATCGAGAGGCCGCTGTCTACGCTCGGGCAGGGGTTCGCGCGAAAGCTCGCTGGCCACTGCGCGAGTGAAGGGTCCACGCTGGAGACAACAGCTGCAACACTCTGCGCACCTTGGCTCGATTCTGGTCCAGGATGCGTGACGTCGATGCCAATGATCATTGGCTTCCCTCCTAGGACCTTGTCCTTGATCGGCTGCGGAAGGACCTGGTTGGCACCTGTACGACTCAACTTGAGGTTGACCTTCATGACGATATTGGCGGCGGTGTTTGGGTCATGTTTGGGGCCCCAGTATGATTTGCGGTTCTTGTCCTTGAAGTTGCCCATCACGTGGCAAACGGTGTGGAGGCCAACATCGATGTCGCCGGCGCGCTTGATCTGCCCGTAGAGCTCAGCGTTATCTTCTGGAAGGAGCAAGGCAACAAAAGACATTCCATTGTTCTTGAGGGCTCTGAACAATGTCTTCAGACGGTCTTCGTCGCCTGAATAGCCAACGTATGGCGACAGCTCCATCGAATGCTTAGTGTGAAAATCTGCGGGAGCTGCGCGAAACATTTTGCAGCCCAGGAGCCCAAACTGTCTTAGAGCAGCTTCGAAGCCGTTCGCAAACTGCCAGAATTGGTCCGGAGGCAGACGGTTGCACCCGGCTCGAGCAAGCTGAATAACAACGAAGGTTTTGCCAGGGCTTGCCGAGAAAGCTCTTCTATCCTTCAAGTTCCAACGACCCAGGGCTAGATCACCCATGGGGCTGGTTAGCTTGCCGTTGTTGCCACGATAGCTCAATTCAGGAGGGTTCAGCATCACGACAGGCACTCGCACCATGCTGCGCTCAATTGTAAGGCCATCGAAGTTGGAAGCAGGGCTGTACTGGTCCAGCGGATTGATGCCAAACAAGAACATGCCGTCGTTCATGATCATGTTGTAGTTCTCAGTGGGAGGACGACAGGCACGGGCAACCATCTCGGTCTTGGGCTTATAGTGTTGACCGGGAAGCACTTCAAGAAATCTAAGTAACGTGTCAGTGTGGGCAGGATGCAAGGACAGGAGGGGGTTTACCGTGCTGGGATGAAGCCGCCCCTACCGCAATCAACGATGATATCGTTCTTGGTGAGGTTAATGCGGTGGTTGTCCGAGCTGCCCCAGTACTGAGCTACCGTAACCTCGCCAGGGCTTTCAGAACCCTCAGGGAAGATCTCAAAGAAGACGTTGGTTGCCACGGGTTTCTCGTCGAGGAATGGAAGACCTCTGACTGTGAAGATGTGCTCCAAGGGAACAGCATCCTTACCGCGCGACTCGCGAGCTTTCTTCTGGGCCGAGGGGCTCTTCCGCAAGTATGTGGTTCGCACGCGTATGCCCTTGACGAACCGGTTGATCTCGAAGAGAGGCTTCTGCAGACCAAAACCCTGGAGCACGTTCAGAAGAGAGCCGGGAGCGTAGAAAGCACTGGTGGTGGTGTTGATATTCAACAGGATGTTGTTGCCCAGGCTGACGCGAGTCGATCTGAAGAAGCCAGGCTTAGCCACAACGCCGCCAACGTTGTTGGGGGTCGACGCCGTCTTGAGAGGCCAAGAGGGACCTGTAATCTGGTAGAATTTGTTTGCACCAATGAAGGTGACCTCCGGCTCCAAGTTCAGGTCCCGATGAGTGTACGCGTTGAGACAGTGGCTGAAGATGATGTTGAGCAGATTTGGCACGGTCGCAAGGTCTGCGGGGCCGACAGTAGAAGTGGCATTCGATGCTACCGCTGGAAGCTTCTTAACGAGGGAAAGAAGGCTCGCAAGGTCGACCTTCTTGGCTGCACCGATGATCACATTGTACTGCGGAAGGTTCGAAGAGTTGGGATCCTCTTCCTCATCCTCGTCAAAGTAGGGGACTTGCCAGATGCCAGGGACAGCTTTATGCTCGATGGGTTGGACAGTAACCAGGGTGTTACTGTAGTCGCTTGCAATTGAGACCTTGACGCCATTGGCCTTCATTTTCTCGACAAGCAAGAAGATCACCCGGCGCTTGATTCGATTGGTGATCAGAGAGTCATCGAGAGCTGGACCATCGTCTCCTGAAGGAGCTGGAGAATTGCCAGACACACGCTTCTGATATTTTGCCAAGTACTCTTGGTCCTTCGCTTCCTTTTCGTCCCGCTGCCTCTTGGTGGCTGCGGCGAAGCCTCTTGGCAACGGAGCACGCTTAGGGTGGGTAGGACGAGAGCGAGGGACTTGGCTGCCGGTCGACGGCTTCTTGATCTTGACGATGCTCTCAATGCGGTACTGATAGAGGCTGGTAGTCTTGCCAGGGTTCACTGGAAAGAAGTTGACAGACAGCTCAAACTTTGCTGGATTGGTATTGGCAGTCAGACGTCGGTCATCTGAGTCAATACCGGACATAAAGTCGGGGCTGAAGTTCAGAGTGTCGCCGTCCCGGCCGGGCGAGGTCAGGTTGTTGATCTTGGACGGCTGGCTACCGCCAGGAGGCAACTTCCAGCTGGCGGCCATCTCTGTCTGTAGCTGATGCTACTACTGAACGAATGAAGCTCCAAGTGTGAGATGTCAAAGAATGCTGGGTAAGATGAATGGAGTAAGAGGATATTGCTGTAGAAATCAGCTGAAGTTATGAGGTGGGTGGTAAGTGAACACGTGTGAAAAGTTTCAGCCTGCGCATTCACTAATTGATGGCAATTCCGGTATCGCACCTGCGCTGCAGTTACCAGGCAACGTCTTTGTTCACTCACGTGTTTGCTCTTGCCACTCAACTGCGCCAGCTGATACATGGCAGCTTGTCAGTGGCGACTGAAGGCCACTGACATTCAGCTGATTCTTGAAAGGCAAAGTCCCGGATGCAGCGAACCGAAGCTCATGAGCAAGCAGGACCAAAGAGTCCCACCGATCCACGCAGCAGACTGCCATAGCACCATCAGGCAAGCTCAACCATGAAGGCGCTCAGATGGCATGACCTTGAGCATTGACAAAGGCCGGGTGACGACGAGGCCTCCTGCCTATGCTTTGGAGGTGTAAACAGCTCGCTGGGGCTTTGGTCCCGTACAGATTTGCCATTTTGACTTACTCACCGCACGCGAAGCGGGAGGAGCGAAGCAGACGTCACCATGTCCAAGCAAACGGTTTCTGCGGGCCGGAGATTCTGGTCTCAACTGTCGGCAATCGTCACGGCGTGGGCAATTGGCTCGGCTCAGGATCCAGTCCCGCCAGGCTGTACCTCAATACCTCCAATCTGGCCTGATACTGCTACTCCATCCCAAGTTGCTCGGTGGCATGAGGGTGCCTGAATGGGCGTAATTGTGGGCTTGGGAGCGGAAGGTGAAGGCCGGATGGCTGGGACAGCGCCGGTCTTGAAGTATGCTGTGCGGAAGCCCTGTGACATATGCGTCATGTTGAGAGGCGATTTTGGAGCTGGGAGCCAAGTCCGCTGCCTACCTCACACGTGGTGAAGGCGAGGCACTGGGTCTTCAGGTACTGCCGGCAGCTGCTGAGCTCGGTTCGCGCCAGATCACTGTAGCAGTGCTCAGCAAGCCAGTCTCAAGGCGATCAAAGAAGTGTCATGGCTCTTCAGCGGATGACAGGCAGGAAATCGATGTGGCGAGTGATCCAGAACGGAAATGAGATGTCATTCTATACGGCCACCGATGTCCAAAAAACCCTCCTTTCCGACCGGGAGATAAACGGACATAAGATGGTCACCAAACACCACGCTGAATACGCCTTGCACGCTTCACTGCGGTTGCTTCACTGCGGTTGCTTCACTGCGGTTACTTCCCCAGTCCTCCAAGCCAATTCATGCCTGTCGCTCTTTCCGCATGGACGACGGCGAGGGCACTTGTCACGATGACTTCGACCGATATCTTGCCGACCACACCATCAAAAACGATGAGATCTCCAAGAACCTCCGAATCCCGCCATTGGTTCCAGACGGCCAGAACTTCGCCTCCCTCACCCTGCGTCACGAGCTTGAGACTTCCGTGTTTTACGCTCTCTTTGGCACCGGATGCAGAGTACACCTCTTTGACGACTTTCGTCGAGCCCTTCCAAACGAAGCCCCCATTCCCCATCTCGTTTTCGCGGGTGACAGAATACTCCCGTCCCCCCATGACTATGCCTCTCCTCTTGATGTTCCACTTCTCCAGCTCTCCTGCCGAGCCTGGCTTCACACACTCAATGGAACCTTTCATGCTAACCAGCCCCTGCAAACCAAGTGGTATAAACCTGGAGACTCGAATCTGCCCTCCGGGCACATACAGTTCGAACATCGGTGGCAGACCCGTCATTACTTCCAGCCAGGCCATTGAGCTAGTAACAAACGCTGCCGGCCCAATGGCGCCGCTGTTCAGATCCACCATCCTACACGCAATCTGCTGGTTGAGATACCAGATGAGGCCAAGATTGTGCTTCTTTTCGAGGCGGAAGCCGGCGTGCAACGTCCTTCCCGATCCTGTCGTCGACGTCCTATGCAGCAGAGGGAACTTTTCCGTGTCCGCTCCGCCCAGCGGCGTTGTGATGGCTTGCGCTTCTCCACTCACGGGCATGGAGACTTCCTTTTCCATGCTGATGGGGGGAGCTTGAGGTACAAAGATCTTGTCCGTGTCTGACTCTCCCGACGGCTGAGGGGCGACTTCCTTGCCAGAATCCGCCGACCGGGAGAAGGCCTGCTTGTCCGTGTCGTTGAGTGGCCGGACGACCTCCTTCTCGTCGACCGGCGACACCATTTTCTCGTCCACGGCGGCCGCCTTGCCGACATCTTGTTCCGTGACCGGCGAGACGAATGTCGTCCCTAGCGACTCAACGCCGGTCCCAGTCGACACAACCGTCGATTCAGCATCATTATGCGTCTTTTCGCTGGACATTGTCGCGGGCCAGCCGAATGACACGATTAGACCGCTTCTACAACCCACTTATGGATGTGGATCGCGCACGCTCGGCGGCGATCTTGATTGCTGCCTAAGCACTCTCCAAATGGCTGACGGCGAATCTCAATTGTATGGCGCGAATCCTTAAATTGCCAGAAGCACTCGTCCGGGGTGAACAACGCGACGTAAAAAGTCGACGCAGCGGAGTCAGCTCCTTGCCAACCCCAGCGGCGCGTTGCGCCTGACCTGGTGTAGCTGCGACATTATGTAATCCTTTGGGGGCCAAAGTCCCCACTGCACCGACTGTTCAGCTCAAACTGTCTGATCGACACCAGTGGTCGACGAAATTGATGGGCGCCCTCCCGAGCACTCATAAGGGCAGTCAAGGTGATTGACGATACTCTCGGGCGGGCTCCTGGAGCTCACAGCACATGATGCCCGAAAGCCTGTATTGTGGTTCCGGGGAGGCATCACGCCAATTTTGTTGACCCTCTGAAGCGCATGCTCGTCTGGCAGGCTGGTGGCCGCGGCTGATTGACTTACAAGGGAGGCGCGTGGCTGTGCTCTAGGATAAATATGCTGTTGCCTGCGGCAACTTCTTCTTATGCCGATGGAGGACGAACACTATGGCATGGTCAGAAGATGGGCTAGAGGCAAGGAGGGCCTTAGTCAAACCCAGCGGAACCGGCTGCCTGCTTGCTGGATTCAAGAGACGTTTTTCCAAATGAGTGGCATTGGACAACCTTGTCCCATCTATACACAATTATACTGTAGCTCTGGCAGCTTTCATATACTATCTGGAATCCAGACTAGTGCATCTTGACATGAGTCACACAACTCCTCTCAGCGCAACACCCAGATACCGCTGCTCAGTGACCTCTGTGCCTCCTGGTCTGCTTCGTCGCCTTCCAACGTACCGCCTGGCACGCCGTCACAGGCCCAAGGTGCCTGCCTCTTCAGCATCAAGATCCACCTGCGGCGACCGGCCCCCCACCTCTTCCTCTTCTTGTTGTTGTTGTTCGTCTTCTACCGGTTCCTCTCACGTCCTTACCCCTTTCTCGACCTCAGAAGAACTTTCCCTTAACCCTGACATCAGTCCTCTCCACGCCATCCTCGTCAACATACTCGGTCGCGCCACCATCCGTGGCCCCCAGGCCCACCGTCGGTGCCTCAACACGATCCAGAGCCTCAAACGGCATGCCCTTGTGCCGCGCCCACGCCCACTGGAAGGCCAAACGCAGCGCAAACGCCGCGCCCGCCCACAGCAGCCCACCCACGGGTGCGGCCACAAAAGCGCCAAATGCAGACCAGTCGCCGGCGTAGAGGCCCTGTTCCAGGATCAATAGGCCGCCCGCACGGCTCGCGTCCCCGTCGTAGTAGACCAATCCAAAGAGGAAGACGGTGAGGATGCCGCCGAGGCCGCCGACCACGACCTCGAAGCCGCGCCACGCGTAGCAGCGCTCCGAGAGGCCGATGATCAGGACGGGAATAGAGCTGGCGGAGATGAGATCGGAGATGAGGTAGATCTGCAGGACGGAGGGGCTTTTGAGCGCGACGACAACGACGGGGAAGATGATGAGCACGACCGCAAGACGCACCCACCAGAAGTTGAGCCGGTTGCGGAAGATGTCGTTGCTGCCCGTGCTGACCATGGCGGACTGGAAGCTGTCGAAGGAGGCGGTGCTGAGCGTGACCGTCATGACGAGCACGATGCCCACAACCCACGCGGGCAGCTCGCCCAGTAGCAAGAACAGCGCGATGGAGCTCTCCTCGGGCGGGTCGCCCAGCACGCCGCTCCAGCCGGCCACCAGCCCACCAACGCCCAGCAACGCGAGGATCACGGCGACGATGCCGGTCGCGAGGCCCACGCCGATCCACAGGTCGCGGTCCGTGCGCGCCGCGAACGTGCGCATCCAGAACCCACTGATGAAGAAGTCGTTGGTCAGGATCGCCATGGGCAGGATGTAGATGAGCTGCCACCCCAACAGGCTGGGCTCGAGGTAGCCGCTGCGGTCCACCAAGTCAGGCTGCACGTTCACCTGCGTGCCGACCGTGATGCAGCCCACGATGATCAGCCCCACGACCATCGCGCCCTGCACGTTATCCGTGATGAAGCTGACGCGGAAGCCGCCGACGCTTGTGTACAGTGTGGTGATGAAGCATTCGACGATGACAGCCGGCAGGCCGTTCAGGCCCGTCAACGCATTGACCACTTGCTGCAGGGCCGAGAGCTCGGCGACCATGTAGAGGAAGAGGGTGACGAGCGTCAGGAACGAGAGGTAGAGTGCCGTCAGGGCGCCATAGCGCTGGCGCGTCCATTCGGTCAGCACGAAGCCTGCGGGGCATTTGCGGCGGATGATGGGGCCGAGAATGGCGAAGATGAGGAGGGGGAGCGAGGATGAGAGGGCGTAGACTAGCACGCCTTGCAGGCCGGCGATGGTGGCGATTTCAGGGTAGGTGAAAAGGATGCCGGAGCCAAGGGCTGAGGAAGATGTTCTGTTAGTTGGGGGTAGAGGGGGAAAAGTAAGGAGTGTGATGGTGGGAGAAGTAGTGAGTAAGGCAGGGATGCGATGAAACTAGGGAAGCTGGGTAGTAAGGGCAGGGTAAGGACGGAGAGGGCGGTAGGCAGCACTCGTTCCCACGCAAGCATTAACTTGATCGAGTCATAACGGTATCATCTCAGCTTCGCACGGAGCGTCTTGCCGTCTCCGCCCCCTGTTTCTTCCTGCCCTCAAGATAGAGAGTCAAGGAAGCGAACCGGGGGGCGGTTGGACGACGAAGAAGTCCGCACTCGGCACCCGTAGTGCTGCCATTGGCCCTTCTCTCTTCCCCTCTCTTGCCCCGTTCACCTCGTCTGAACTGGGTTGTATAACCGTCGAGTTGCTCACATTTCGGAGCAGCAATTAGCGAACAACAGAACAGAACAGACGGGGAAGAACCGGGGAGAGCGAGGGGAAAAGAGAGAGGAACCAACGATAAAGTCTTTCTGTAATGCGAGCGTACGAACCTGGATAGCCGGAGGGACGCCGTCTGCCTCCAACAAGTGGCTATTGCGTGGAAAAGGCCGGAAGCATATCCGATAGCAGAGTGCCGCCCATCGTTGTGTTCGATGGGGCCCGCGATCGTGCGTGCCGCGCTCTCAAGGAGCCGCAACAGCGATGCGAGGAGCGCACTCACCCGAGGCGATGAAGTTGAGGGCCAGCGGTATACCTGCGGCAGATATTAGCAAAGTGAGATCTCAGAATAGCTAACCCCCAGGAAAGACCGCCGCCGGGAAGGCTTCGCGGAGCAGGTATCTGTACCCTTCTGCGTTCTGTTGGCGCTTAAGAACTCGCCCTTGGTCTGCTTGCGCAGTCGCCAGGCGACAAAGAGGCCGAAACATCTGAACGAGGAATCAGCTCGTTGCACACCTTGAACAGGGGAAAAATTTGGGTTCTAGTTACAGGAAGATGGCGTATGTGGTGTAGATGATGGCGTTGGACGCCGGTTGCGATGGCATACCCATGCTGGCGGTTAGCTCTGAAGCTGTTCTGGAGTTCCACAGCTATCTTCTGAGCTCGGACTGTGTTGAAGAGAGAGCAAGATATGTCCGAGGTCGCAGTGACGCAAAAAGATTTCTTCTCCGGATGGCTCGAACGAGAGCAAGAAAATGGTGAGTAGCTCCACTGCGGTCATCGTCAGCCAATTACACGCCTCCCCCCGCGGTCCCGATGGGGGTGCCGAGTGTTATTCGGCTCTAGGCCTAGAAACCAAGATGCCGTTGCTGCGCAGGTAGAGGTCAGTCTGGAAGCCGCAGCTTGATCGAGCAGGGTGAGCACAACCTAGAAGCTACTGGCTTCAAAAGATGTGCGCAAACCTTTTCGGTGGGCTGCAGTGTGAGTACCTAAGGTGGAATGTGAACGGTGGCGAGAGAAGACAAGACACGCACACGCTGTCATCAGACCAGAGACCAGGCAGAATCTTGCCATCTCATTCGATTATCTCGGCAGCTTCTTTGCTTGCCGTTGCTTCTTCCATTGCAATGGCTTTCGCCAAAACTAACGAACCTCTTCACCAGGTTCTTTGACGAAAGTCTTCACCGAGGCTCTTCACACGAGCTCTTCGTCGGTGGCCTTCATCAGTGCCCTTCACTCGTGCCCTTCATCGAGGCCCTCTCTAGACCTTGCGGATGTCCGACGCCTTCTCGCAGGGATCCTCGCCGAAGGTGATGTTGCAATCCATCCACTCGGCGTCACGAACCAGCGTAGCACGGAACTTGACCGCATCAGCGATGTTGCTGAAGCGGAAGTTGATGGTGCGGCCCTAAGTTCTGTTAGCAGCGATTCCAACGACAGGATAGACTATGTACCTCGTTGGTGAAGACATCAACAATGGCTTCGACCTTACGGCCCTTGGCTTCGGCGATCTTGCGGAGAGCTCGCATGGCCCATTCCTCATCAGCACCAGCGGCACGCACAACGCGAGTGGCACCACTCTCCAAGTAGCCACGCATGACTCCAGAGACGACGTCGACGGTATTGCCAAACTCAACCGTTGCGACGTACTTCTTGCCTTGGAATTTGAAGTCAAGTCCGTTGGGGTACTTGTCGTAGTACGCTTTGGCTGGAGCACCCTTGGTGAATGTGACGATAGCAGTGACTTCAGTGGGAGGATTGAAGCTCTTGTTGACGATGATAGACTCAAGAGCGCCCCCGTGAATGAGTGCGGCTACGAGAGAGTAGTCAGTCGAAGTGGGCAGACCTTTGAGGGTCACACGGCGATATTCAGCTTCTGCCGCTGGTTAGCAGTGCAACAGGTAAGACGGGACGCTAGTTTCTTACTGGGACCAGGGCGAGCCAAGGGATCTCCCCAGCTTCCGAAGTAGGTTGCGTTCTCACGGTATTCATCGTCCTCGGCAGCTCGAACAGCAGGGATGGTAATGGGGGCTGCAGGAGGGGCCTCGGGAGCTGCAAAGGAATGTGAGTCTTGCCCGATTTAGTTGCGGATATATCTTACCTGGACTACCCTCGGCTTTCTCGAAGTTGACAAACCGACCTTCCATCTCAGTGGTTTCGTGTTCCTTGCGAAATTTGTCGACAATGGTGTTCTGGTACTCCTCACTCATCTTACGAGTCTCGGGCTTCAGAGTAGTAGCAGGTTTGGACAGTGTAGCGCTGGGGGGGTCGATGTTCGGAAGAGGGGTGGTGCGGGTGCGAGACGAGTTTGACACACGAGGGAAGACACCAGGCTTGGCGAATCGAGAGGCCTCTAAACCTTTGTTACCGTCCTTAGCGGTCAGGGTGTCAAACGCTTGGATGGTAGCGGTAGTGGGACTGATGACTCGAGGATGCGGGACTGCAAGTGTCAGAGAAGAAGAAGACAAGAGGTGGTTGCTCGGCAGCGTTGACAAACGAGCAAAAGCACTTACCCTCCTTGTGGGAGTCACCGGATCCTGTCTTGGCAACTTCGACAGCCTCGACCTGGGGGTCTGCCTGTGAAGCTGCAGACTTGGCACCTTCGACATAGGCGACATCAACAATTTTGGTCTCTTGTTCGGAGCCAACTTCGATGGGCGAGTCACGATTCGACTTGTCGTCCTCCGCAAATCGGATCGATTTGATGGGGGAGGCAGCACGGCTCTCAGGGGTAAGATCCATCATCTTGTCTTCCGGAACAGGCTCGAGCTGGTGACCGCCATTCTCTAGAGCAGCTGCAAGGCTAGCGGGAGTTGGTGGGGGCGCACGTCGACCTTCAGCAGGAGTAGCAGTAGCCGAAGTGTCGTTGCTACGCTCAGGAGGAGTCGCACTCTGGCGAGTCAACGGGACAGAGTTGTCAGAGCTATGACCGTTGACAACCTGGCCAGTGGCGGGCGAATCATTCGACACTTCCGCGGATGAAGAAGCTTCCTCGTTCGCTGCAGGATTCTCTTCGGCTGCAGGGTGCTCCAAGGTGCGAGTCTCCTGCCCAGATTTAGCCATCTCTACAAGTTCCGAGATCTAGCTGGGGAGGTGAGAAGCTTGGTCACTCTACTGACCTGATCGAGAATGAGACAGTTCTGACGGGTGTATTGCTGTTGGTGAATGGGCAGGAAATCGAGGAATTGCTCGATGGTGGCCGGATCATCCAAGTCAACCTCAACGTTCTCGCCTTTGTCGTTCACCATCTTGGCGAAATGGGTTCAGCTAATGCTGACCTTTGGGGTATGTTTGATGTTATCAGCGCTGTGATGCGAAGATGAAAGACTACCTTGAAGCAGAGGGTTACTGGAAGAAAGTGTGCAGGTTGTGGAAGGGTTGAAGGCGGCAGGCAGGAAGTGCGGGATAAGGAATAATGCCAAGCCTTGACAAACGCGTGAGGGTCATCTGTCACAGCAACGTGACTTTCTGTGCTGAGCGTCTGGGGAGAGTTCGGAACATCACAAAAGGGTACAGGAGCAGACAACATCAAAGCAAATCAATCACTTGTTCTGTGGCATGGTGCTTATGCCGAAACTCCGCCAACGCCTTCGCTCAAACGGTCAAGGTATCGATGGTATCGGAAGGCCTTCATAGTTCTTCAAACCCACTTCTCCGTTGCTGAAATGCTCCTTCATCACTGGAAGCGCCCTTCTACCGCAGAAGCCGGAGTGGCTTGCCAGTCTGGATACGCTTTGGAACGAACCCCCTTCCGTCTGCGACGAGTTTGCGACCCATACCATTTCCTGGACCTCGTCCCACGGGTGCTCGTCCCGTCGCGCATTATGCTGTGGAAAGCCCACTACGATGTCCAACAGAAAGTGAACAGGCGTGTAGAGGGTTTCGAAGCGACGGACGAACCCGAGCCAAGACAAAGTCCGTGGATCGTATGCGACTCTCACAAAGGGATTCATGTAGATGCCGGGGTTGTCGTTGTCCGGGCTTTGGATGTCGGCTTGAATGAGGCAGCATTCAGAAGCGTCCCAGTAAAGGTCCTGCTCGGCGCGGAACTGGTATGGCGCCGAAAGATTGCTGGGACCGAGCGACCCAGCAGTTTCAGGCACCATGGATGAGTCTGGCTGTGGTTGAAAGAAACGCGCATCAAAAGCTACAATTCCACCCCAGCAGCTCCGCACCCGCACAGCATCGCTCCCATGCACAACATCTTGATGACTCCGGCTATCCCCACCATAAGCAAACCACGGGAAGAAGGGCAGCCCTAAGCTAAACCCGCCTAGATCCCTGGTGGCAAAAGTGTCGTAGAACTTGAAAGGGCTGATGAAGTCCACCGCACAAGCCGCCCTGTAATCGTCGTTGTTGGTTGAGAAGAGAAGCTGGAGAACGTCGATCGGGTCGAAGAAAACATCATTCAGATACAGCACTTTGTCGTACATGACCTTGGCGGTTTGCAAGGGCTCCAGTGCCTTGTTGCGAACAGCAGACAAGTATGTGATTCGCTTGACTCGCTCTGTACCATCCGGTATGGTTACATGGGGTAGACCTTCGAAGCTTAGGTGATCCTGGAACAGGAGCGTATTCTCACACGGCAAATGCTGTCGTAGGCTATTCAATGCATCCTTTCCCTCAGGTCCAGAATCGTTCTCGTAGATGGACAAATAGGTGTTCCTGGGGCCCAGCAGGTCTATCAAGCGAAGGAGATTGTCTGCCCACGGTCCTCCGGCGAGCTTCCCGCCAGGATCGTAAAGACTCGCGGCAATGAAGACTTTACTGTTGCCAATGTTGCCAATACCGGGAGTTTTGGATCCAGCGACTCTGTAACGCAGCTCGGAATAGTGCTCCGGCGGGTGGCTGTACGAGGGAAAGAAAGTGCCGCCAACAACGATCAGAACGAGAATTAGTGCAAGAAAGCCGTAAGAAAAGGCAATGAACCTGCGAAGGAGAGGTCGCCGACAGGAGGAGCACGAGCGGGACTTCAATGAGGGGTGGTGGTGTCGATGTAAGAGAAACCAATGCCGGAGTTGCCTAGGAACGATCTGTGGTAGAGAGGATCGTTTAGACTTCTGATTGGCGAAGACGAATTCGTTTGTAAGTAAAGGAGTGTCATTGCCATCGTTGGCATCGTTGCGGGCAGTGTCAAAGCTGTCAGGGTCCGCTGAGGATGTGGGGATGAGTTCAAGAGTTTCCTCAAAGTCGATTAGGATGGCTCGTGAAGTCATGGTTTTAGCGGCATGCAAAGAATGGTGTCCATGTCTCAAAGAGTGGACGTGAAAGGCTGTTTAAGGTATGAAGAATGGAACTTTGGAAAAAGAGAGAGGACATGAAAGAAACAATGACGGCTGAGCGCGATGAAATGAGCTTCTGGTTAGGCTAAGAGCAGCCGTCGAAGCGTCGGCGCAGCACTGGTGTGACGAGGTGCTGGGCTCTATTGAGGTAGAATTTTGCGAAACCCAGCCACGCTTGGACGCATAGGCGAGCGTCACACTGCAGCTATCAGGAGGCCCGCACCACTAACGAGCAGGGCTGAGGCTGCGGCATTCGCAATCCTTTAGGGGCTCGTATTTCGTCTTCCTGACGAAGTTCCAGGAATGCTGGGGCATCGGCCAGCTGACCCACGGGGTCCTTGCAACGACGAGATCTAGCCATTGGACGTCCTCATGGAATATGATGTGGCCCAACACCCACCTGTCGCAAACAGTGCCATCATCAGGAGCAGTAGCCGATCAATCATAATTAACATTGGCTGCTCCGCAGGCACCTGCTGCCTGAGTTATTAGAGTTGATGCCGCGTTTTCTGCAAATGAGGTTTGATCCTGGTAGCGCGGGATCCCAATCCTGGTTCTACTCCACCATATTCCCTGCATCTGGACGCTTAACAGCCAAGAAGCGTTGCCAACACTGCTAGTGATGAGCTTGATACATCTCCAAGCTGTCCAAAGGCGCCGGTCAAGTTGACAACATCCTCGGACTCGATGGCGTGCTTGCAAAGAGCAATACCTTGGACTTCGGAAGAGATGATGATCGGGATATTGCCAATGAGGCGTTGCAGTGGGCCCTGGGGCCTTACCTGGGCGCCAGCCCCATCATTCAGGGGATGCTGCCTATTCCGGGGCGGCTTACTTCGCTATTAATAACAAGCTGTCAAACCCCCAAATTTCACCGCAAGCCTCTCGACAAACGTCGGAGCCTCGTGTAATTCGCAATGCTAACTAGCTCAAGCAGGTTTCGCATTTGTACAGCATATCCGTATGACAGACATACGCGGCCTCTTTGACTTTGGTAGGTTTCTAGACTGATACGTGTCGCCACGCCTGCGATGGACATGCGCCTGTTCCTTTAATATGAAGGTGACTTGCGACGATGGCTTGCGACCACGCCACCATCAGCGCGGAAGTTGCGCCGCTTCTCTGTGTGCATTCGAGTGTCTTTCCCCCAACTTGAAGGTTGAACTCGTCAAAGCCCGAAGACGTTCAAATGCCACGTCGGCAGGGCGTCGGTCCGCCCGCGCGGGCACATCGGGTAAACTCCCCTTTCAGGCGCTGCCGACTTGGCACCTGTCATGCGACAGGCGGGAGTGTTGCTACTTACCCTGGGTACCCGAACATGCTTGAGATCCTGTATGAGTTCGAGATTTGGAAGTAGGAGACATATAAAACGACTGAGAAGAAAGCGATAGACTGCACAACCCATCATCCTCGACGAACCACGCTCCAATACGTACCAGCATCCAAGAACAACTCTCAAAGATGAGCCCCGCATATCAGGCAGTGTTCCTCCCCCATGCCATCCCTGACCTTTCGAAGCCATTCGATATCAAGTGCCCGCCAAACACCGATGTCTGGGACAAGCCACCATCTACACACTCGTTCAATGCTCCAATCATCTACCAGACTACCACTATTGGATCTTTTGAAAAGGCAAGGGTGACTGTTTCAGCATCTTGGAAGGATAGATATGATCAGGGTGGACTTGCTCTGGTTGTCAACTCCGCTACCGGTCGTCAATGGGTTAAGAGTGGTATCGAGTTCGAAAATGGCCAGTCGAATCTCAGCACCGTCGCCACCTCCAAGTGGAGCGATTGGAGCCTGCTTCCTCTTGGAAGCCGCACGACAGCTACTCTTGAGGTCGAGACAACAAAGGATGGGTCTCTGTGGGTATACGTGATCGAGGATGATGGGTCCAAGGCAGCGTTGAGAGAAGTGACATGGTGGGCGGATCTGCCCAAAGATGCTGCGCTATGGGTCGGCCCATTTGCTGCCAAGGTAAGCAAAAGCGCCTACTCCCCTCAACCCGTCTGGTCTAACTTGTGATAGCCTGCGCCAAATGGAGAGAAGGAGGATCTAGTGGTCCATTTCGATAATCTTAGCATTACATTGAGCTGAAAATGCTAGCCACGACCAGTGTTGAATAAGAAATTCTTAGCAATTATCGACTGCCTTAATCATGATAGAGCTCGTGAATCGACGTAGGGCCACTTTGGTGGCCGCCCTAACCCTAAACGCGTTGGACGCGTCTGCCAGCCTCGTCGTGTTCCGCAGCACTTTGCCCAATGCACCCGATTTCCTTGCGCATTGCGGGCAGCTGCCAGAAGTACACAGTAGTCCCTCAGCTACGGCACCTTCGTTCTCTCCATCATGCAACCATCGCCTCGTTAGACTCTCCTTACAATAGCCCTGCACAATGGCGCGCGGATTGCGATCGAAACCCTCGCATCAGGCGGAAGATGCGCCCTCCGAGAAAGTGTACGACGTACCCGGCCTCGATTACAGCCAGAGCTTGACCTGGCGGCCAGGCAAAGCTATCGCAGTAGGCGATCTCCTCGGTCGTTTGCAAGCTCTACGCGCCCAGCTGTCCAACTTCGAGGACGAACAGGTCGACTCTCGTCTCTGGACAGGCCTGGCTGGTGATCTTGCGCATGCGAATTTACTTGGCCACAAAGACAAGGGTGTCCGAGCCTGGACTATATCGTGCATCATTGATGTGCTCAAGATATGTGCACCTGATGCACCGTTCCAAGCCAATGCACTCAAGGTAGGGCTCCTCAACGGTACGGTACTACAACTCGAGCTGACTCTTCTAGGATATCTTCACTGTCATCATCAATACCATCATTCCAGCGCTGTCCGACCCTACCAATGCCTACAACGCGCAACATGTCTACATCCTACATTCTTTATCCGAGTCGCAGAGTATCCTTCTCCTGGCCGATGTTGATAGCCCCGATGCCCTCATTACCTCGCTCTTTGCAAATGCCTTTGACATTTTTACCGAGAAGGCGAGTAGCGTCTCGGAAGTCGAAATCTCGAAAAGTGTCGAGTACCACCTGAAGAACCTTCTGAGTCTAGTCGTTGACGAAGTTGACCTCCCGCAAGATGTAACAGATATCATTATTTCTCAGTTCCTGCGCGTCGAGTCCCGAAAGCCTCGCGAGCAGACCATCAAAGGTAGGAAAAGTGAGCCGCAAGACAAGACTCAGAGCACCCTTCTGTTGAAGGACTATCCGCCAGCATACAATATCGCCAAGGCTATCTGCACGACGTGCCAGGAAAAGATGACTTCTCAAATCACCTACTACTTCAACGCTGTGATTGTGGACGCTGGTTCAGCCGCGCAGCCCAACAATATCTCTGTCAACCGGAGAGCCTCAGGCCATGCAGACGAGGAGGAAGAGGGCTTGAGTGATCTGCGAAAAGCTCACAGACTTCTGCGCGAGTTATGGCGGGCTTGTCCCGATGTCTTGCTCAACGTCATACCTCAAATCGAAGCCGAGTTGCAAGCTGACTCTATCGAGATAAGAAAGCTGGCCACGGAAACCTTTGGAGATCTAACTGCTGGCATCGGAATCGCCGGCATCGGTCAATCTACCGCACTCGATCCAGCAGCCTATCCGCTACCATCAATCGACAATGCGGAGCCTTTTGACGAGCAGCAAAATCCATTGTTAATGCCTGCCTCACCGAAACCTTTCGCAGCTGTCCACCGGACACCGTACCAGAACTTCTTAGGGCGCCGCAACGATCGGTCATCTCAGGTGCGAGAAGCCTGGGCGGAAGCCGCGTCCCGGATCCTTTACACACGGGCTGGCGGGATCGGAATGAGCCAGGAGGAGCAGACGGAGCTACTTGCAGGTCTTGCTCAATCACTACGAGACCAAGACGAGCATGTGCGCGCGACAGCGGTTCGAGCTCTTGAACACTTCACCTATCACGGAGCCGTCAACTTGCTGGGAGCTGATGGTGGTCTGGCAAAGCCAGAATCTGTGTTCTCAGCTCTCGCCGAGCGCTTCACTGATCGGAAGCTTGCGGTTCGGGAAGAGGCTATCTCGTTCGCCGCACGCCTGTGGGGCACTGCCTCTAGAGACATTGAGAACGGCAACGATGCTGTGGTCTCTGTTTTGGGCGATCTAGCATGCCGGCTGTTTGGGTCTTATTACACTAATGACCGGCAGGTTCATGCGATGTTGGACAAGGTCCTGTATGAATTTCTGCTGCCCCTCTCCTATCCGCCAATCAAACCAAGTCCTTCCGGCAGGCGCAAGACGAAAGATGTCGATGGCGGCTCGCACGATGCTACCAGTGGCGACCCTGATGCTATTCGTGCCCGACGAATCCTGACGTTGGTCAGAAGTCTCGATGATCGTGCGAGAAAAGTCTTCATTGGCATGCAAGGGAGGCAAACGCAGATGAAGAGAGGCGTTGATGTCTATCTCAAGGCCTGTGTAAGCTATAACGGCGGTGTCATCGACCAGAAACAAGAGGAAACTCGCATCAAAGCGCAGTTGACATCATATATTGACAATCTGGCCAAAGCTTTCCCCGAGCCATCTAAGATGTCCGCAGACCTGTGGAAGATTGCCACTCAACACGACAGACGCAATTACCAGTTGATACGATTTGCCATGGGCGCTGAGTATGATTACAAAACCATGTCAAAGGCTGTGAAGGAGTTGAATAAACGAATTCGCGAAGGTCAAACACCAGGCATTATCGACTCCATCATGGCTCTTCTCTACAGAGTGGCCTTGATCGCATACAACCGCAGCCACGTACCGACGATCATGGACGTCGCACGGAGTGATGACCATGGTCTTGGCCAGGTCGCGCATGTTATCCTCCGTGAAATCTCCTCCAAAGCTCCCGAAGTCTTGAAGTCACACATCCGGGCTCTTTGTTCGGAGCTGGAGGAGAGTGCCCCATCAGCTACTACATTCGAGGAGTCTGGTGCCGCTGATACGTTGAAAGCTTGTGCTCAATACGCCCGCCGATACCCCGAAGAAATGTCCAAAGAGCGAAAGTTTTTGAATGCTCTCTCAAATTTCGCGTTGTTCTCACAATCACCACGAGCGGCGAAACACGCCGTCTCCATACTGCTCACAGTTGCTGATCGGAAGGAAATGTACGCCAAGGACATCTTGTCCAAGTCTTTGAAAGACTGTCGACCTGGCTCGCCCAACTTCCTTTCACGTCTTGGAACGATTTCCCAGGTCTGCAAGCTGGCTCCAGTGTCAGCGAATGTAGAGGGTGATGCTATTTTCAAGCTGACGGTAGGCGAGATCCTTGGCAAGAATCGGTCGCCTCCGAACAACTCGGATGAGAATGCTTGGGACAGCGCGGCAGACGAGGAAACCCAGGCTAAGGAGCTGGCGCTCCGGGTATTGGTCAACCGCTGTCGAGCACTCGATGACAAGACGAACCCAGACGAATTTGAGGCACAGTCAAAGCCAGTATTTGCATTGCTCATGACCCTAGTGACGCAGAAAGGCGAGGCGTCGTCCGGAAAGAATACTCCACCCGCGCAGCGCAACCGCCTACGACTCGCTGCTGCGAAGCTAATACTCAAGCTCTGCAGCAAGAAGACAAAATTCGAGCAGATGATCACACCGTCTCGCTTCAATGACCTAGCCTTGATCATCATCAACCCTCCCTTTGAAGTTCGCAACGGCTTTGTCAACCAGATCAAGAAATATCTAGGTGCGGACAAGCTGAATCACCGCTGGTTTGCCATACTGTTCCTGCTTGCCTTTGAGCCAGACGACGAGCTGCGGAACACAACTGTCACATGGCTGAGGTCTCGAGGTCAGAATTTCGTGCGACAGCAATCAGAGGCTAGACTTGGCGACAAGAGACTGCATCAGAACGTTATGGAACATGTCTTCGGTCGTCTCGTCAGCCTCATGGCACATCATCCTGACTATCCCCCGCCAGGCGATGGCTTTGACGAGGAATTACTCGATTTCTCGCGCTACATTGTGTTCTATATGGTGGCTGTTGCTACCGAAGAGAACCTCTCCCTCGTATTTCACATCGCTCAGCGTGTTAAGCAGATGCGCGACAACGTGTCTGGTGATGATGCCCACAGCGAGCGTCTTTGGGTGCTCAGTGACCTGGCGCAAGCTGTGATCCGCAACTACGCGGACATGATGCCCGGCCACAACAAAGGTGCCAACCTGCTGCAGACGTGGCCTGGGAACGCGACCATGCCCCGAAGCCTTTTCAAGTCCATGTCCAGCCATGAGCAAGCACAGCAAGTCGCCGAAAAGAACTACCTCCCCGAGGAGACTGCTCTCGCTCTCGAAAAGCGAATCAAAGACGTGGTTAAGGAGCTCAAAGGCACAAAGCCCTCACGAAAGGCCGCGCTCTCAAATGTGAAAAAGCGAAAGGGCGATTCGGCAGAATCAGACGATGACCAGCCCAAGAAAAAGAATAAGAGCAGTCTCCCCATTCGCAAAACCCCAAAAGTGAAGGCGGAAAAGAAGCGAAAGTCGAGCCCGACCTTGAAAGACGAGCAGCAGCCCTCAAGAAAGAGCACGCGTGTGTCGAATGCTGTCAGCTATGCGGAGGATGATAGCGATGATGATGATGAAGTGATGGCCGACGTCGACTCCACTACTACCGCAAGACGGCCGACACGGATACGCGAGCCGAGTCCTGCTGAGGAGATCGAGATTGATGATACCGAGAATCAGGACCCTAATGCGGACGAAGAGCTCGGCAGTGGTGTGCATGTGAACGGAGACGGGGACGATACAGGTGGACATGAAGAAGCTGAGGTCGACGAGGCAGAGGAGCGAGAACCGACCCCGTCGCCGAGCCCACTGAAAGAGCGTGAAAATACCCCTGGCTTGCCATCCCCGGAAAAGAAAAAAGGTAAGGCCCAAGCTGCTGCAAAGTCCAAGGCGAAGGCGAGCTCGGCAAAGTCAACGCCTGCTACGAGCCGGCAGAAGTCTACCGATGTGGCTTCGGGGAAGAAAGGGACGGTAACACCTACGACGGCAGCACCCAGCACTAGGAGTACGAGGTCGACGCGTCAAAGCAGGGGATGAGGGGAGAACGTGAGCTCGGCTGAGTGGAGGATGGTGCTACTACGATTGATATGCCTTATGCGTGAATGGCTTCTGGGTAATGCACTTTTCGACAGCAGGCGAGCGGCCAAACGACCTTGGCCATGGCGTCTCAACGTGGCAAAAGTACATGGATCGATCGTGTGTTGTATGCAATGAGATGAGGTGCAATGTCATGATCCTCCATCCTTTTCTTCGCGAGCTGAGGCATCTACGCAGGTGTATGAGGAGCCTTCGGGGCACTGGGACAATCCATTGGTTCTTCGTGAAGCATTGACGGCTCGCAATATCTTGTCGATAGGACGAGGCGGCCTTCCAACCAAAACCCCTGAGTACGGTGGACGACACTACCCCCTCGGAGCAATTGGCTTATTCACTGCCTCTTTAGCGTCCAATAAAGTCGCGAAAAATGCCCCACACTACCCTTTCTAGGACTACAAGGCTGTGAGAGGCGACGTCCAGTCTTCACTCAATCTCTGTACATAGTTAGACTTCTAAATGATCAATGTTCCTCCTTTCTTCTCATTACAGTATATTGTTCGCGCAGCTGTAGGAACATGTTTGTGTGTTGCAAACAAGTGGACATGTTTCCTGTGGTCCTACCTTAATGGTCCCATCGTGCAGTTCACTTCCAATTGCCTGGGAGACAATCATCAATTGCTCGGCGTAGCAATCAATAACTTGCCTGGCATGTTTGTGCCCTTGGCGGTGCACGCGAAGCGAGCATCATGTTGACTTATAAATAAGTCTTCATTTTGGTATCCATTACAACCACGACACTTCCATCGTCGCGACCCTTCTCATTGAGCTCAAGGTATCTACAGCCTCCCTGCACCTCTCAAACGATCACAAAACTCAGAATCTCTACCTGTAAGTCGTTCTCATACATGTTGATCTCCTACTAACGAGATAAAGTCGTCCCGTCCCAATTCGTCATGTCTTCGACTAACAACTTCATTGCCCCTAAGATCGTCTTGTACGATGAGACCACCAACAACAACTACAAGAAGATCAGCGAGATGGACCAAGCCGACCTCGAGATCCTTCTCAAGCAGGCCTACATCGACGCGCGTGAGATTGTCCGCGAGTCCGATGTTGGCGAGCCCATGACCCTGCTGGCCCTGCTCGCAGTCTACGGCATGCAAGAAGTCCACGCTCTCGGCTTCGTGCGATTTCCCCCTCTCTTTACCGTTGTACTACTAACACAATACAACAGAAGTCCCCCTCCGCCATTCGCGCCATGGCTATCAAGGTTGCTGCTGGCGAACGGCGTGGAACCAAGGGTTGCCTGTACCAGGCGAGGCGCGAGGTGATTGCTGCCGCGACGCAGCGTAGGGCCGAGGAGAAGCAGGTCGAGGAGGGCGCCGACGCTAATGGTGCACCCGAGAAGGCGAATGCTTAGGTCGTCCATATGACCATGGGAAGGCCGCCGTGCATTTTTGCAGGCTGTGCTTGAGTGAATTGCTGGCTGTCGAGGAGTCACCTGCGCAGCCTTTGGGTTTCCATAGGCACAGGAACAGGCAGAAAATGCCCTCCTTGTCACACTTTCGATTTTTGTAGTTGTACTCTGCTTTGCGCAATGTCTTCTTCCTACATGCCACCCACCCATTAACACAACAGTCAGAATCCAGCCTTTGTACCTCACGATGTCGCACAACCCAACTACCTACTTCGACCCTGCGGCGCCGGTGTTCGTCCCCATTGAAGACATGTGCCACTATCAGTCAGGTTCATGGATCGTAGTCCACGACGATTTCCTAGTTCCATCCTACGATTACGCTGTCCTTTCTCAGCCTGGCTTCTACGACTCACTTCCTCAGTCTCTGCCTCCAGTCATGACCCCGCCACCCGACAATATGCTCTACACCTTCAGCCAACCTTCAAACAGCAACAACGCTCCTCTCCTTGCCTCCATGTCTCCTGAAGACTTCGACCGAGCCCTCAGAAAGGTCCGCGCAGAGGCCGACGACCTGGCCAAGCACGGTACGCATGCCACTCCAGAGGTCATGATGGCCAAGCTCGTCTCTGCACAGTGTGCCTTCCTCCAAAGCCTGGATTACGTAAGTGGGCAGTTCTGCGAGAGCCAGTACTCCGATTGAGATAGATGCTAACATTGTACAACAGGCTTCCCACATCGTCTCACGCGCCACTACCGTCCGAGAGTACAGCCGACGCTCCCGTCGGCCGGAAAGCACCAAGAAGATCCTGGACAAGACCAAGGCCAAGGAAGGGACAGCAGTCGCTCGACACCACGCCCGTGCTCGTGTCTATGCCCGTCCTCAGCGCGAGGAGGAGGCGATGAGCTCGCGGGAGGCTGAGACGAGCAATGAGGCTGGGGTTCATGAGGGAGATGAAGGGGAGTGCAGCGGTACTGGGAGTGTAGCAAAGACTGATGTTGAGCATGAGTCTGCTTAGTTCCAGCACACAAGGCTTCAATGCTCGAGAGATGTATCAGTGGACACAAGCGGCTTTTGTGATGTGTTGAGGTGTTGGAATATGGTGATCAACAACAGCATTCAGAACTAGACATGGTTCCCGTGAAGGGCCATGTAGCTGTACAGCAGTTGATAACGATGCCAGTCAAGCTCACTTGTATCAGCTCCATCATACCTCTTGTCCAACGCGAGTCCCAAGTTCGCTCCTTCCATTCGACGCGCCGTCGCGACTACGCGCGGTCAGGCGGATGCCTTGGCGCTCCAAACTACATGGCATTGTGTTATCCCACAACTACACCCTCCCCACCACACCGTCTGACCATCCTGTCACTGTCTCCATCGCCCTTGCTGGTCTCTCTTCATCATCGAGTTCAACCTGGCCGTCCACTCATTAGCCACACTCGTTTCGTCGCACGCCGCAGGTCGTCTCGAAGACTGACATGCTTCCTCACCACATCCAGCCCTCGCAATAGACGCCGCTTCTGTCGATCGCAGATTGTGCTACAATTGACGCAGAACATAAATTGTCTCACAAGCCTACAAGGTTTTGAGAACTTTGTCAGTCACGGGAAGCCGTCAATGCGGCCATTGAGCGTCTTCCAGGCGTTGCTGATTCCTCTCAGATTGAATCCATGTCCCCTGTCACCAATAAGTGTCGTTAATCACCATGGGCAGACACCACGATGTGGACTCCAAGCCGCATGAACAGATGCAGGCCGCTTACCGCAAGGCTGTGGCATATTTTGACTTCGATACTCCCCATGACCTCCGTCACCAGTCGCTGGCTCGAACATCCCTGGGCGATCCAAAAGCAGCCGCAAGGACAGCAGCGAAGAAGTCACGACCAGGTCAGAGCAGAGCTGGAACCGGGTTTGGTGTGAAACGCATCAAGAAGCCACAGTGTCGTGTATCAAGCAATGCTAATCGACTAGAACAGAGTGACGCAGACGCCTGGGCGCAGGCTCTCAATAGTCTGATCGAAGAGAAGCCGGTGGAGGTGCGAAGTGCTGCTTCAGACCGAAGATCCTTGACCGTTTCGACTTTGTCGGTGTCGTCCGATTCAACCGCATTCACTTACCACCCTACTGTCGCTTCTCCGCCAACGGGTCCGCAACCCGCACGGCCTGCTGGACTCAAGCGGAAACGGAAGCCAGATGCTCTGAACGTTAAAATTCGACCTCCCAACCCACCTGAGGTCAAATGCAAGAAGCATATTGGCCGCAGAGATATTACGTGGTCCCGCGATGAAGGCGGAGATGTGATCATGTGCTCCTGCACCGATCTTTCCCACGTTCTATGACATGAGCATTGTCCAACCTTGGAGGAGTGAAACAGATATCGCCATTGTATGCTACGCATGACAGCGTGTGTTGATCATCGAGAGTAGGTTGAGATCACGATTGTGGTGAGTGCCCACGAAATTGCTGCGAAAGGCGTGCTGACCGCGCATGAGACTGCCAACGCTGCTTTCCGCTGCGATGTAGAAGATCACGAAAGGTTGAAAAAGATCTCTCAATTTGAATGAGCCACTGAAGACCAACATTTGATTTCGATCACTGCTTCGACCAAAGATCTTTCTCGGATTGATGTTGTTCAAGCCATGGTAGACGAGGATCTGAGGTCACAATTGTCATGGGACTTCTAGGCGCCGTTGCTCCACTCATGTCGCCTAGAGCGGCCCCCGGCTCAATGTTTTCTGCGCGAAGACAACGACATACGCCCTTCGCAGCAATCCATGACCAATCGAATCCACATCGTGTCGAGCAGCAACAATGTTATTTAAACCACAGTCTACTCTTCAGGCCTCAAGTCCAACCATCTTGCGTTTCAACGTCTATCTGCTTGCATAGGCAATGCATTCACTCGACCATGTGATCAGGATCCAAGCATGCCATAGCAACAACCCTGGCCGATCCCAGCTTAGATCGGGACCTACAATCTACTCCTCATGTTTGTTGGCTGGTCAGGTAGGTGCCATTGGGGTCATGCCAACTGACTTCCGGCAAGCCAGACATGCCGATTTGGCTTTGTTCGAAAGTACCATACGACGTATTCAGCATTCCGCGATCATTGCTGGGAGCTGTGGTCCAGCGCCTAGCACGGGACGGCAATCAACGGATATGGCGGCTAAGTGCCCTTGCCAAAGCGATTGTGCATGGCTCACCAGGATTGTAAACGAATTACCCGGCCTTCGCCCCTACCAGTCGTCGCTCGCAGCGACATGTTGATAAGCGATGTTGCACGCTGCCACCTAGCATCTTGGCTATAAATTGACCACTGATATCGTTTAGGAATCCTCTTGAACCGGCGACTCTACCTACGGCTGATGCCTCCTGTGAAGCATCTCAACCCCATTGACAGCATATCTGACGGTTCTTCTACACCACTAACAAGTCAGCAGTGCCGCTGACAGCTCGCTCTCAGATCGTACTGAAATCAAATTGTTCGGCCAAGGAAGACCAAGGCAGTTGAGTGCCGCTGCCAACGGCTCTTATCAGAACCAAGACCACTAGTACAGTCCTAGCTACTGGCCCCTCGAACCATGCAGCCATCGACAAGCTCACCTGCCTGTCTTGTTGTCGCCTTGCTCAGTGCTTCGCACTGGACCAGCGCAGCCGCAGGCCCCGATTTGCTGCTCCAACGGCTATCTCATCTCACCCAAGACTTCCAGACTTCGACAGAATCACGTTCGTGCGCTCGCGATGTGACCCTGTGCGACTACGACAGGAGTATAGCGTCCGTGATTCGAAGTTCGCTGCATGTTCTCTGGCATGGATCTCGGTTGCGGCGGGAAAGCCTCACAGCTGTCGTGGCGACCGATAACACAGCGTTCGTGGTACCACCAAAATGGGGCCAACTTGCAGGGTGTCCCTGCTGCTTGACCATTGACCTATAAATCAACTAGGGTCCCGACTCTCGACTCGTCCGACATTGCTTCCTAGATTCGACTGCTGCAGTCTATCATGGACCCCAAAGTCACTGGCACAGCCGAGCCTTATGTGGTGGAGAGCAAGGAGGGAGACTCGGACGCCACGCCCGAGAAGAGACACTCCCTTACCGGCGATGTCTTCGTCGCCGACCATGGCGCGGACACGGAGCTGCGTCGCATTCTCTCCACTCGCCATTTAACCATGATTGCCCTTGGATCATCCATCGGCATGGGTCTTTGGCTAGGTTCCGGTACTTCACTTGTGGATGGTGGTCCTGCAGGTAAGGCGCTCGCCCTACTCTCTCTGTGCTGCGTTACACCGACTGACATGACCGCAGGCATCTTTTTGGGCTACCTTCTTTCCGGCTTCATGATCTGGTCCGTTGCCCACTCCATTGGCGAGATGGCCGTCATGTATCCTCGTGAGTTCCTTCCCGTCCGAGTACTGTATTACACGGGCTCACGATTCTGCGCACAGTGCCTTCTGCTTTTGTGCAATGGTCGGGAAAATTCGTCGATCCCGCCGCGGCCTTCGCGCTGGGCTGGGCATATTGGTTTTCGTTTTGCATCACTATCGCGAACGAACTGCAAGCTGCAAATACTATCCTCAGGTTCTGGACAGACGAGGTCCACGTAGCGGCCTGGATCGTCATCTGGTTTGTTGTCATCGTCTTGGTCAACGTTGGTGCGGTCACCCTCTTTGGCGAAATCGAGGTCGTTTGCAGCACGATCAAGTTCTCCTGGATCTTTGTTGTCATCATCTCGCTCATCGGTAGGTCACCTAGCAAGGACGCGTGACGCCAAGCTGACAAGTCGCAGTCGTATCTGCTGGCGGTGCCCCGGATCAGGAGCCTACTGGCTTCCGTTACTGGAACTCGATGCCGTTTACCAACGGCTTCAAGGGTTTCTTAGCTGTGATGCCGACTTGTAAGCAAGAACGATCTCATGCGGACCGGAAATGGCACTGACAGCTACAGGTATCTTCGCCATGGCTGGCTCTGAGAACGCTGGCCTCGTCGCCGCCGAGACCGCCAACCCTCGCAAGAGTGTTCCTCGCGCTGTGGGCTCCATCTGGCTCCGTCTTGCAACGTTCTACCTTCTCGGCTCGCTGGTGGTCACTATAACCGTCTCGCCGGAGGACCCTGACCTCTTTGGTGGCGAAGGCACTAATGCTTCTCCATTTGTCGTCGCGTACCGCAATGCCGGCATTCCCGTGCTTGCTCACTTCATGAACGCCATTATTCTTCTGTCAGTCATATCCTGCGGTACCATCTCCTGCTACGCGGCTGCCCGTACGACCATGGGCCTCGCCTACCTTGGCATGGCACCCAAGGTGTTCAAGAAGGCCGACAAGACCGGTCGTCCGTGGTGGGGTCTCATCCCAACGTTCATCGTCGGACTCGGTCTGGCATTTTTGAACGTCTCTGAAGACGGCGCCACCGTTTTTGGATGGCTATCATCTCTGACCTCGCTCTTCACCCTCTTCGGCTGGGGGATGATCTGTCTCTCGCACATACGCTTCCGCTGGGCGTGGAAGCTCCAGGGACGGGACCCTTCGGAGCTGCCGTGGAAATCATGGACCTATCCCTACGCGGCTTGGTTCGGTCTCACGATGTGCATTGTGCTCATCATCGTGCAGTTCTACCTCGCCGTATGGCCTCTTGGTGTTGCTCCTAACGCGGAGGATTTCTGGGCCAGGTATATCTCGGTCCCTCTGATTATTGTGCTGTATATCATCGGCAAGTTGATGTACAAGACGCCCAAGTGGGTGGACCTCAGCACCGTCGACTTGGACTATGGTCGTCGCTTCTACGCTGATGAGGGTCCGGAGAAGAAGGGCAACGTTATGGTCCGTGGTCTCAAAGCTATCTTCTCTTAAGTCAAAGTTGGAGCAGTTGAGTTGCTTATGCGAATGTTTGCCGCCGGCAGAAATGGCACGCGGATCACGGTACATACACTTGGACCTATGCCAATATCGTTTTTCCCCATCCCCCCTCCCCCTTCACAACTTTACAGTCCGTTGAGTAGTACTGCAGTATCGAAGTTACTTGGAGCAGTGATGGGGCTCCCCTTCCCCACGTCTCGGCAAATGCTTCGGATGTCAAATGTTTCATTCTGCCTGCCCAACTGGGCTTAGTATCTTCGTGTTCAGCGCTCTCCTCCACGGGTCCCAGGATGCATGAAGCCGATCTCTGCTTCGCTTCGAGGACACGAGCTGTTCCTGGGTCAAGTACCTTGGCAGTCACCGTCCTCGCACCGAGTCATTGACACACGAATACCTGCAGAAGAGGACATAAAAATGGCGGGACATGCGGGCATGACGATCTCGCCGTCGTGGTTTGGATCCGGGCAGACATACCTTGGAAAGTAGGCATCCTCCTCTGCCTCTCCTCTGCACATCAGAATGATGAATCTCCGGCTTACGATCGCCCTCGCGGCCATCCACAGCGCCGCTGCCGCCGCCAATTGCAACGTCGACACCTTCAGCTCTCTTCTCGATGCTGCTGGGGCCTCGTCGACAGCATCAGTGGTCTACGCGACACCCATAGCTGAGGGTGGTGCGTCGTTTGATCCCAGTCCGCCGTTTCAGAGCAATGTCACAGAGCTTCCGGAGCTGTGCGCCGTCAAGATCGAGGTGCAGTCCTCGGACAACTCATCCTACCGCTTTGCCGTTTTCCTGCCGACGGAATGGAATCACCGTATGATGACAACTGGGAACGGTGGGTTTGGAGGAGGAATCAACGTACGTAGTTTCTCTATTGGTGATAGATCGCTGCTTACCTGTCCAGTATATTGACATGGGACACCTGTCGCACTACGGCTTCGCATCGGTCTCAACAGACACTGGCCATCTGTCCAGCAGTCCGGACGGCAGCTGGGCTCTGAACGCGCCGGAGTCGATCATCGACTGGGGCTGGCGAGCGATGCACGGGTCCGTGGCTCTGGGAAAAGCCATCATTGAACAGTACTACGACTCCCCGATCCAGCGGTCATACTACGCGGGCTGCTCGACTGGCGGACGTCAGGGCCTGAAGGAGATGCAGATCTCACCCGACTCCTTCGACGGCATCCTCGCCGGCGCGCCCGCCTGGTGGACCACGCACCTCCAAAGCTGGACTACCTGGTACCCGCTCCAGAACTACCCTCCCGACTCACCAGGCTACATCCCCGCCACTCTCTTCCCCTCCATCTCTGCGACCATCGACGCCCAATGCGACCCCCAAGACGGTGTGCGCGACAACATCACGCAAAACCCCTTCGCCTGCACCATCGACTACACGGCCCTCAACCTCAGCGCCTCCCAAATCAGCACGCTCCAAACCCTCTACGCCAACTGGACCTCCTCGCATGACAACAGCAGATTCCTCTTCCCTTCGCTCTCCCCCGGCACCCTCCCCCTGCTCGCCGATCCCCAATCGCCCAATCCGCTCGGCTACACCTTCTACAGCTACTTCGTCAAGAACGACACGTCCTACAACTTCACCTCCTTCACGGAAGCGGACCTCGCGCAGGCGGACGCCACCAACCCCGGCGCCGCCAACGCCGACGACTTTGCCGCCATCGAAGCCTTTCGCGATCGTGGCGGGAAACTCATCATGTATCACGGCTACAGCGACTTTGCGATCCCCGTCGGGAGTAGTATGTACTACTATAATCGGACGGTGCAGAGCTTGCGCCGCGAGGAACAGCAGCAGCAGCAGCAGCAGCAGCAACACTCGGATTCGAAAGGAGGGAACAGGGAAGGGACAGACGGTACAGGTGTCGACGTCGACGACTTCTTCCGCCTCTTCCTCGTCCCCAACATGGGCCACTGCAGCGGCAGCCAACCCGCGGGAAACGACGCGCCGTGGTATTTCAGCGCGGCGAGCCAGAATCCGGGGTTCGCGAGGAGTGGGATCAAGGATGGCGTGCCTGGCCATGGAGGGGATGCGAGGTATGATGCGATTTTGGCGTTGTTGCGCTGGGTGGAGGAGGGCGAGGCGCCCGAGGAGCTGGTGGCGACCAAGTATAGAGGGGATAATTCGACCGAGGTGCTGAGGACGGGAAAGATTTGTAAGTGGCCTGGGCGGGCGGTGTGGGATGGGAGGGGGGATGTGAGGGGGGAGGGGAGTTGGGCGTGTGAAGGGGCTTGAGATGAGATGTGGGATGTGAGGTGGGTGGTGGGGAGGAGGGGTGTTGGTTGCTCGAGAGATGGAGAGGGTGGGTGGGGAGTTCTGTCGATGGGAGATTGAGGATCTGGTGCAGGGGACTTGGGGAGGCTTGATAGTAGCGAAGATCGCGACGAAGTACTAACGGGCAGGGGAGATTTTCGATGTAAGCCTGAAGGTCGTGAACGCTGTCTTCTCGGCGGCCAGACGGACAAGCAGGCATTTACAGAGTCATCAATATATCCCCACGATGTATCCTGAACCCCCCCTTTCTCACTCCTTCCCGCCACTCGCCACCTCATCATGCTTGAAGCCCGCATTGTCCAACGGCTTCCCATCAATCTCGACGGGCTTCGACGCCGTCAGCACAAAGTACACGCGGGCCGGCTTGTCGTGCGGGTTGGTCCAGCCGTGGATGGTGCCGCGCTGCACGCAGACGTCGCCGGCTTTCATGTGGATCACGACGCCGTTGTCGAGGTGGCTGTTTGGTTTGGGGCTTGCGTCAGCTTTGCCCGTGAGGACAGTACATATATCAGGTACCAAATGCAACCGCAGATGAGATTTAGAGAGGAGGGGGTTAAGAAGAACTTACCAATCAATCTCCCCCTCGAACAGAATCCCAAAATCCAGACTGATGGTGCGGTGGTACAAGGTCTCCGTCCGGGGCGGGAAGTCGACGACGCGCAGCACGACGCCCTTGTCGTTGGCGAGGCTGGCCGTCTTGCGCGCTGCTGGGTCCTCCCAGGGCTCGTTGTTGCTGGCCGGGAACTGGAAGGTCTCGTAGAGTACGGCGAAGTTGCATTTCACGGGCGTGGGGAGGCAGGGGATCTGGCTGTCGGAGACGACGATGCTGTTGCCTGTGCTGTCGTGGCCCGTGACGATGCGGCGGGGGTGGGGGTAGAGTTGTTCATCTTGGGACATGGTTGTGGATTGCGAGGGCGTTTGGATATTGGTGTCAGGATTCAGTTGGGGGGTGCTATTCGGTTGGAACTGATTGGGAGAGGTAAGGAGTTGTTCGGAGGAGGGGCCAAAGGTCGTTGGCTCATGCAGGGTCAGCTTCTGAATGACTGCCTGTCTCGCTGGTGGTACTCGTACTTTGTAGTTGGAGTCGTCCCCGCGTTTGCGGGGGTGTTATGGGTGGGGTGTGATGTCGTACCTGTCAGCACAAGAACGTCTTTCTTGGTTCCTATCGCAGTATCCCGGCTCGCCTGGGCTTGAGAATGGTGTCTACTACTCACGAGACTATGAATAGTCCCACATACGCGAACGACGATGGATCATGTGCAGTGTGCGATGAAGACAGGCTCCGAAAGCGATTGTCATGCCCCCGAACGCCGTTGTTTCGCTCCATCAGTGGGCAGTATCAGGCGCGAGCTGACATACGCGAAGGCTGCGTTCCCTTCATCGAGCACACCTGCTGTCAAGTCCCTACTCGTTGGCCAGGATCTTCGATAGCAACCTCTGTGGCGTGCCGACTACGGACGCGAATAATCTCTTATCAGTCAGGGGTATCCCCAACGCGGGTCCATCGCGTCTCGATGCGTCTAAACATCTTTCTTTCGTGTCATTCACTGCAATAGATCTTTACAACTCGATTCGCGATGCCGAAAGTCGCAAAAGCTGCACCTAAGCGCAAGGCTGCTGCATCACAAAGGCCCGACCCTCTCGCTGCCAGTAGCGGCAACGCGAGGGATGTCGGCCCGTCGTTGAATCGGCCTCAAAAGGCGCGCGCTCCGTCTTGGGAAAGGACATCGCGCTTCAGCAACTCTACGACGATCCGACCTTCAAAGGCAAAGCCCAGATCGTGTATGAGTACGACATGGGCGACTCTTGGAATCACGACTTTATCGTTGTCGGTCGAGCGACTCCTCAGCTCAACCAGCAGTTCAAAACCCCCCCGACATGCAGGTGTTGTGCCTCTCTGGGCAGGGTCCACCTGCGGCGGAGGTTTGTGGTAGTATCGAGGGCTGGGAGCATCTGATGGAGTTGTTCACCAAAAAGGGTTGCAAAGATGCGGATGGCAGGAAGCAGTGGCGCAGGACAACTTGCATGAATGGCGACCCGAAGGGACTGGATTCGTACAAATGGGGCACCTTGGTTGTGAATGATCAATTGATCGAAGCTTTCAGCACAGAGGAGTGGAGGACAGAGAGTGAGCATTCGAGTGACGAGGAGTAGCGGCGTGCCAGACGCGGTACTGCTTGCTTATGGGAAGGGGAAAATCGTGAGTGTCCGGAGCTTCCATAATCATAGCGTGTAAGACCACATATCAGGACAGTGTATCAGTAGCAGATCAATTTCTGTGATCCGTGCTCCTGAAGCCAAGGGACGGGGGCGTACTGCGTTTCCCTAGGTACTCCGCTCAATATTCGCAAGCCTCCCTACCTCCGATGAATAATCGTTGATAACAGTTCAGCCGCAGTCTAAGCATCGTTTGCGCGAGCGGAATTCTGCGCCATTACTTGTGCTTCCAGTAATCATGCAAGGACTGCTCCCAAGGCTTCCCTAAGCTTCGTGCCAAGATATGCGTATCGGAGGTATCGCATACTGTACCGGACTGTATCGCATTGTATCGCATTACGGGGAGTATGCAAGTCATCTGTGAACTTTGCCACTTCTTCATGCATGCCGTCGAGCAAGAAACTTCCTGTCTGCCTTGTCTATAATGTCTTTTTCGCTGTCTATTGGGCATGTGGCTGATCCCGGTGCATTTGTTGATGACTCAACAGCGGACTCGATTCTCGGTTGCGATACTGACAGCAGGTACTAGGACTTGGAGCAGCATCCATACTGGATCGTTCTCTGCTGCCTTGCAGAAAGACGCAGCTAAGCATCTGCCCAAGCCTTACGGCATCTCAAGGACTCCTCAAACCAGGTTTTGGTCAGCAAGAAGCGAGATGCCAGCATACCAAGACTACCGAACGACCTGCCGTATGTCGCCATACCTATGTCATAATTCGTGTCGATTGAGGGTACTAGCGCAGCGTGTCGCTCGAACGCATACAATTCCGCATCACCAGATTCGATGCCGAAGTCACCATGAGTGCGCCGAGAATGATAACGTCTAGACAGAACGCTGCATCTTCGGGGTAGCCGAACAAGGTATATCTGCCTGGCCGCCGAACCGTTCCTTTGGAGCTCGTGGAGACTCTCGCTCAGGTGAGCTAAGATTTGGAGTGATTAAAGATCGGCAAATAGCCGAAGTGGAACTGGCAATCAAGGACGAACAAGAAATGTTCCAGCTGCTTCCTCTGCAGGGTGAGAGGGTTGTGGATTTCCAGACTTGTTCTCTACGCCTTGACGGTGCATTCGTCCACTCTATCAGCCGTATACAACTTGCAACGAGGGAGGCAAACCCTCAAAAGTACCCACGCACGTGGCCGAGAGACGGACGAAATCGAAATGAAGACAGCGCTCCGAGACTCCGTTTAAGGTAAAGATCGTTGGCCCCCACGAAGAAACCCCTGTCAGTCTTGGTCAGGTAAGTGAACATTATCCCTCGCGTGTCAAGAGCCTCAACGGCCCAAAGACGTCCCTGAGTCGGTTACTACTATAACTGTGTTGCTTGGTCTCCACGTGTTCTAGATGCACGATTTCGGAATATGCACTGGATACGGCCCCCTGTTTACCATATACAGCGCTTCATCATGCTCGAATGAGGTGATGTGCGGCCGTATATCACCCCTTGCCTCTTCCATAATCTCGTGGCAACCGCTCAGCTGCCCTGAGAGAAGAGCTGTGTCGACGAGGCGTTTTCACTATATGCTGGGAGGATGCTACGAGCTTCAGCTATCAGCAGGGGCACACCGACGAGGACTCCACCGTCAACGGTGTATATAAGGTCGACAGCAACTTCCCAGCAATCAGAGAAGCACATCAACAACACGAGCACAAGCAACACAAGCCATCAGCCGCAGCTCTCACCGTGGACAGCATAATCTCGACGCATTAGCGTCCTTACAGAACCAGAGGCCGCCAAATGTCCGAAGCGCCATCGCAGTCCAACAACGACAATATGAATCCTGACAAAAGCAAGTCGACTCAATCGACAAGGAACAGCGGTAATGGTAGCCAGAGCGACAAGAAAACGAGTCCGGCGCTGGGATTCCTTGGGGACACCGCCTCTGGGAACATTCCCAAAGACAAGAAATCACGATAGGACATGACGTGAAGATGAGGGGAAGTCTGTGAGGCAGACTAGGTGCGACCTTTGTCACGAGGGAGTGATTAGACGGTGTGAGAAGACTTATCAGTTATGCTCGGGCGATACACCGGTACCGAAGTAACCAAAACTCGCCATTCGAGGAAAGTCTTGGAGGTTGAAGGGGTTAAACACGGAGTCAGGCGTTGAACGGAGACTCAACATGCACGAGCTGAAACACCGGAGATACGGTGTGATATGGATGTGAGCGCAGGCCGCTCAGCAGATAGAAACCAGAAACTATTCACTCCTTTGAAATTTCACTGCCTGAGATTTCACTGCCTGATCTGATCTGATTAGATAAGCGCCGACGTTTCTCCGCGTCCGGGATTGGAGACCCCATACCATACTACCGACTGCTGCTGGCATCATCACCAATAAATAGTAAGCATGGACTGCAGTTCGGAAGCGGAACTCACGTCCCAGTAAGATGGATTCCATGGCAAAGAGTCCATCTGAGAACCATGCCATCAATCCCGGGACGTGTCGGCTTCGACCCACGGCAGCTCGGGATACCCCTAGTGACGCGAGGGCGGAAACCTTTTGCACACGTCTACAACAACGCTGTATCCTACGTCCCAGACGTCGCCGAAGCGAAACCTCCGACCTAACTGCCTCATTACCGCCAACCACAGACTGTCATATCACTGATGGCACAGGAGAGCGAGCCATCATGTCCTTCGCCGACCTCCCCACCTGCGCGAAAAAGTGCAGCATCAGGCTTTTCAGCGTACGCATTCCGCTCGCCGATGTCGAGGGCGTACAGGCCTTGATCCGGACCGCCAAGTTTCCCCCCCGGCGACATACGAAAAACAACGGAGCCATAAAGTCCCAAGTTTGGCGTCACTCATGAAGGGATGTCCTTGGGCCAAAGAGTGCGACGGCTCGAACGATTTTCGACCGGTCTTTCCGTCGAGGCCAAAGCTGAACTTGGTGCCCGAATTTTCAAGGCCGTCTCGCTCACGCACGAGTCCCGGGAACCCATACCCATCGATTTCGCGGCGCGCTTCTCGTCAAACCCATCGGGGGGGGGTGTTCCCCGATATTCTGCTTCCATGGCTGGCCCGGTTCGTACAACTCGAGTTCATCCCGCTTTCGAACACCTTCTCCTCTAGATACATGCGGCGGCGTGGGAGGAGCCGCAGGCGTTGTGGGCTGAGGTTAAGGAGTCTGTGAAGATCATGCTGGAGAAGCGGGAACGGGTATCCGTTGATCGGAGCTTTCCCTTTGAAGGGTATTGATACAGATCTCCATTTTGGACCATCCGCGGCATCATTAGATCAGAGAAGAAATCCATTTCCCGTCTTTAGGAATCCATGGCACGTCCTCCTGCGTCGCCATATGCGCTTAAGTCTGCGTCTGCGTCTGCGTCTTCGCCAACGCCTCCTCCTCCTCCCTCTCCAAGCGCAACACGTCCAGCCCCAGATTCCACGCCATTTTCATGCCGCCCTGGCACGCGTCCGTCCAGACAAAGCCCATGAGCACATCTTTCTGCAGGCGCTCGTAGCTCCAGCGACCGGAGAAATGCCTCACGACCTTCATCACCATCGCCGTGCAGCGATCGTCGCGCCACCCCGGTGGCAACGCTTTCGCCGGTGGCCACAGGATGCGCTGGCCGAGGTTCAGGGACAGCCAGGCCACCAGGTCGCGGACGGCGGGCTCGCTGTCGTCGAGCGGGTAGGCGAGCACCTCTTCCTCGAAGAGGCGCAGCTGCTGCGCGTACAAGGGGCTGAGTTTCTCGTGGCGTGTCATGTCGAGGAGGGTGGTGAGGAGGGAAATGCAGATGAGGCGCTCGATGGGCGTGCGCTGCGGGGACGCGAGGGCGGCGGCGGCGTATTCGGTGACGGCTAGGTTGGCGGCGGAGACGAGCGGCGTGCCCTGGCTGGAGGCGAACGCATTGGAGGAGAGGATGGGCTGGCCATAGCGGGTCATGCCGTTGGGGTAGTGGTGCAGGTTAATGTCGAAGTGGAGGACTTTGTGGACGAGGTCGATGATGCAGGGTGAGAGGTTGCATTCAAGAGCCAGGCGGCGGTATCCCGGCTGTAGGCTGGCAATTAGGCTTGACATGTCATTGTAGGCATCGGAGTAGCCGCAGTGGTTGATATTCGTGGACGGCATTTGCGGGCTGGGGCTTAGGGATATTGGCTCGATAGGGGTGGCGGTGATGGGTATGTTGGCCCGGAGGAGGTTTGGTGCGCTACAGATGTATGTCCAGAATGTTTCGAGACCAACGATGCTGGGCTTGAGAAGCGAGGGCCACCCGAGAAACTCAATTCCGCCGCGGAGGGCGACGAGGCGTCGCAGGCCGGACAGATGGGTCTGAAAGGTGACCATGTCGCTCATAAGGAAGTCTATCCCCATCAGTGCTACTATAGCGAATAGCACGGCGTCGTGGGCTGAGATGCCCGGATCTTCCGATGCGATCTGGGAGCGTAAGCGCTTGAGGGCTGAGCCATAGTGGAACAGTGTTTGTGAGTCTGGACAATGGTCGGTCCACGTTGAAACAAACAGGTTGGCATGAGAAAGAGCTACAATAGTTTCGAACATCAACGGCTGCTGTAGAGCGTAGCGGAAGTAGTCCTTCACCGCCTGAGCGCCTCCTTCCGGCGAGAACAGGTCAGGTCGGACAGTATGTGCAGGTGCGTAGAACTGGAGAACTGCGGTCTAGTCAGCATACGCTTCTCTTGTGGGCAGAAGTAGTGGCATCTATCGACTGTAGAGGCAGTCTTCGCAACGGGCGTCGGCATGTCGTCCTGGGAGCTAGAGCAGGCATTGGGGAGAAAACCAACGTGCTGAACAAGGCCTTGCAACTTCGCCACTGATGCAAGAGCCTTTGACAGCTCGGGGACGTGCAGTATCATGACCCGCCCCAGTCACTAAGTGCGTCAAGCAGACTGGGAAGGCACTTACAGTAGTCGACTGCCACAGGTATGCTTGCTCGAGCCTGGATTGGCCAAGTTTCAAAGGGGTCGTTTCGTAGACCATGCCCGTCTCGAGGAACACCTAGCTCGGTCTCAGAAGCTGTCGTATCGGTGGATGCGTCGTCTTGATAAGCAAGCGTAGCCACTGCCTGCTCGGCCTTGGAACAGTGGACTTCATTCTGCTGCTTCTCTTTGGCTTGTTTCCTGACCAATGGTCGAGATCGGTTTCGGAAGTGTACTCCGATATATGAGGAGACCTTGCGTCTCCTAGCTCGATCTGCAAGTTGTGCGGGGTGAGAATAGTTGATGAATGTGTCTTTCGCGTGAACTACGATCGTCTTCTTCGGTTTAGCTGGGCCTATATCCACGCTGCGGGTCGGTATGTTACTGTGAGTGAGGTCATGCATATTCGTAGGGCACAGTTGCGGTAAGCGTCCCTATCTCGGAAGCGGACTTGCTAAGAACGATCCGCCGCTGAACAATGAACCGCAGAAACGGGGTGTGAAAATCGTTATGAGTCTAGAAAGACGACACGAGGGCGACGCGATTTTAGCCTGGCGGTTATGTAAGCTCAATCTTCCATCTGCATTAATCAGCAAGGAGCAAGTAACTGAAGCAGATAACTCCACAGGGCCTGACCTGATGAAACTGTGCTCTGGACTGACCATAGTGTGTCACGAAAACCACAGGTAGACGGCATTTGCGTATACCCTGTAGGGTCCCATATTCAATTTCCCAGGTTTGCCTTGACGTACAAAGTAGTGGTACTAAGCTTGGCAAAATGGTTGCCTCGAACTAAATGCTTGGCGGAACCTGCAACGAGATGAGTGAACGGCTTCTCGAACATCTTATGAGGATACTGTGGCCACTTCCTGGTATCTGGTCTCAGAGGTAACAGCCCGGGCCATCTCATTGTCGATCCCCTACACTTGTCCACCTCTACCGGTCACGGACGAGACTATACGATCTTTCGTATATGTGGGACTGATTCTGTTCGTACCTGGAAGCATTCGACGCGGCTGGTGTACCCGAAAACCCCCGAAGAGCGCCTCAATATATGTTGCCGTCATGCGGTAGCGGAACCTCGTTGATAGAGAATATAAGACAACCCAGTACGCCTCCTAAAGCAAGCTTCATCTTCGTAGATCGTTGAAAAGAGAACTTCATAAAGTGTTCAAAACTTCATCTCTCGTTAGTAGTATATATCCCAATTCCACCTTGCCCTCAGCACGGCCAATCCACCAGCCTGAGTCTCGACAGTCCTGCCGCGGCCTCGGTCGTTGATGTCGCCGTTCTCCACCCGTGGTGCCTGCCCGTCCGCGTACTTCGGATTGACGAGATCCTCAGCGCCGTCCGGCAGCTGCGTCGACTCGATGATCTCCCGCATAGTCTCGGCGTCGAGCTCGCCAAAGGTCCACCACATACCGAAGCGGCCGCTTCCGTCCCTAGAGGCCTCCGCCGCCTCGGCATTGTGGATGATCCATTTCTTGTAGGCGGCACAGCGGTCTAGGTGGTACTGGTAGATGCTGCGGTCGAAGCTAGTTTGGGCATGCACGGAGATGAAGTCTTCTTCGGTCGCCCATAGCGGGCGGCAGAACTCGGCGAGGTGCCAGAAGAAGATGCCTTTGAAGGTCTGGCCGTCCTGGCTACACTGCCCGCGGTGATCGCAGTACTCTTCCATGACGCCGCCTCGTCCCAAGCCGTGCCAGGTCTTGGTTCGACTTGGCCAGCCCGTGGCGCGGATGACGCTTTCGATCAATGCGTGTCCATCGTCCAAGTAGCTACGAGCGCCGGTGGCCATCCAGAGACCACGGCTGGCGGACAGTATGACGCCTTGATTGTAGGTGAAGACCATGGTACTGAGTTCATCGCACTCGCCGGTGCCCCGGTCGATGGTGCCGTTGGGATAGCGGTGCCAGCCGGTTACGTGATACCCATCTTGGTAGAGGCCGGCGCGGTTGGTCATGCGGGACTCTTGGAGCCATTTGTAGCTCTTGATGGCGTTTTCGAGATGGAGGGGGTTGTGTGGTTTCGCGATACTGTCAACCATGCTGGGTCCCGTATACTGCAAAAATGGGGCCGAGTTGTTATCTCCTGGAAAGTAGAGATACATCGCAATGCTCGCTGATGTAAAAAGTTCGTTCGTAATGGCATTTTTGTAGGGCGTCAAATAGGGATTCCAGTTCATACCGCCGTGACACAGAGACTCGTCCCAACCATCCGATGCTAGATCGTAGAAAATACGCGCTCGATGTGCCGCCATGGGGCTCAATTGTAGGCCGTGCCAATCGCCCGCAAAACTAACCTGCTGATGCGCAAATACCTGAAAATGACGGGCCGAATACATTTCGGAAAACTTGATGTTCTCGAGCCAGCCGAGAACGACCCAAAGCATGTCGTCGTATGCCTGATTGCGCAGCGCAAACGCATTCTCGCCAAAGTAGAAGAACGAGGTATGTGCAAAGTACTTATTGATAATGTTCTGCCACCACAACGCATCGGGACATCGATCGATCACAGGCTCGAAGGAGGATACTATGCTCGAAAGAGTCGCAGAGACCTGAGTGCCCATGACGGCAGCGGTCCAGTCGATGGCGGCAGGCCAGGTGCCGGAGAAGGTATCGAAGTACTCATCTTGCATCACCTCGAGCGCTCCTACCAGGCTCTTGAGGTGGGGAGACGGCGCATCTTGTGAAGGCTGTGTATATTCGGCGCCTATTCGTCTTTGCGAGCCGAAATTCGTGACTCGTGAGGCATCGCGGTCATGAGGAGGGATGGCCGTAGCTAGAAGGGGGAGGGTGAGGAATGTGGGCTTCATGTTGAGCAACTCATAAGAGTTTCATGACCGCGACGGTCATCAACACCAGTAGGTCATATCGATTGCATGGAGCTCAAGGTGAACAATCGCACAAAGAAGCTGGCGGTGAGGATAATGATTTCGAAAGGAGATCAGGCGACCTCACAGCATCACCTGCTGGGATGCTGGTGGTTTGGCGCTGCCAATGCCACACGAGGTTCAGATTCCCCTCAGTTTGGGGGCGGCCAAGCCCCGCCTCCAATCGCGGCCATGGTCCCCTGAAGCGCGCGAACTCTTTAACTAAGCCCGGCTTAAAGTCAACTTTGCCCCAGATCTCATTGCTCTACCCGAGACTGTTCGCGAGAAGCGCACCTCGCCCACGTAAGGCCTTGCACGTGGTGGCAATGGCTGTGGATACAGCCACGAGAAGCGGGATAACCACTAAATAGACGAAATGTTGGGGCCGTTCTGCATATCTCACTGTTTGCGAGGAAGCTGAGATTTAATCGAAAAAATGCTCGCCCGGAAACATCGTCCTGGCTTTGAGAGACGGCTTTACCACACACTCGTCCGACGACTCGCCCGACGACTCAGATATCCATCGGCTAATTGCAGCCGTCTAAGCTACCCGCTTAAGGACGAAGTCGGGGGGCATTGCGAGACAGCCTTGATTTGTAACCGTACCCACTCGGCAACATGAATAGTTGTTGTCACTTTATGATTAGTGAGTCGAGATAAAAAGACCTTGATCAGAACCTTCCATCACTTGATTCGCCATCATCGTCTGTCCTTCTATCATCACGCATCAGTCAAGAATCAACCGGCAGTATGTCTGGCATACCGTTCAAGGTCGTCTTTGGCACTGCGGGCTTTGGCGACACGGGGAAATATCGCAAGCTTGAAGATGTCCAACCCATCTTTGACATTTTAGCCAAGGAAGGCGTCACTCATCTAGACACTGCTCAGCTCTACGGCAACTCCGAGACCTATATTGGCGAGGTCAAGGCTGGTGAGAAGTTCGGTCTCGACACCAAATGGTTCGGTGGATTCAAGCCCGGCGAGAGTGACAAGGACAACACCATCAGGTTGGCCAAGGAGAGCATTCAGAAGCTCGGTGTCAAGAAGGTGGATATCTTCTACCTCCACGCTCCAGACAGTACCCACCCTATTGCCGACACTCTCGAAGGCGTAAATGAGGCCTACAAGCTAGGTCTGTTCGAACGCTTTGGTCTTTCAGTAAGCAATATCCCCTCCCAACATGCTACCACACTGACCAGTGCCAGAACTTCAGCGCGGCCCAGGTCCAAGAGGCTTACGACATCTGCAAATCCAAAGGCTACCCGATCCCTAGCGTCTACCAAGGGAATTACAATGCCGTTGCTCGCGTTGTTGAAGCTGAACTCTTCCCGCTTCTCCGCAAGCTCAACTTTGCTTTCTATGCGTACTCTCCTTTGGCTGGCGGTCTTCTCACCAAGACGGCGCAGGAGATTGCCGATGGAGCAGGACGATTTGGCTCGGAAGGAATCGCGCTCTATCGCAACCTATATCACAAACCAGCGTACATGAAGGCACTGGGTCAGTGGGAGAAAATTGCCGATGACGAAGGCATCAGCCGCGCCGAACTGGGCTTCCGCTGGACGGCCTATAACTCTCAGATCGACGTGACCGGCAAGTACGGCGATGCGCTGGTGGTGGGTGCCTCTCGCCCCGAGCAAGTCGAGACCACGCTCGGCTATCTTCGAAAGGGCCCGTTGAGTGACAAGGCGGCCAAGGCGATTGATGAAATCTGGGAGCTCGTCAAGGATGAGGCGCCTGTTGACAACTTCAACAGTGGCCCGTTCCAGCGTTGACGGGATCTCGAATACGCCTCCTCTTGAGCACAGCAGGTAGCAGGTAGCAGGTAGCAGGAAGCTGTAGCAACAACGAAGCAATACCGAGTATCATAGAACAAATAAATATGATCGACGACCATCTCGACGTCGAGCCTCTCCACAATGTTTGTCTACCACGCCCATGTGACAACTTCCGAATGAGGCTCCAAACCCCCTACCCCACCAAGCAAGTTCTGGCCCGCCCGCAGCTCTTGGTGTTTTGGAGGGGCATCGGCGGTCCCCGATGCCGCAGGGATGGAGGGGAACGCTGCACTGCACGCGACAAATAAATTCTGATACTGGGAGACACAAGGACGCATTTGAGCGTTGAATTCAAAGCTCCCTCTCTCTCTACATCGTCGCTGTCTCTGGAAGATACTGAATCGTTTTCAGCGCGGACATCTACATTCGAGTTGCATTTACTGCCTGATACACCCCACGAACACGCACGAGCAATCAACTACCAGCTACCTACCCATCCCAGTCTACGCACGCACGCACGCAGCACTATATCTGAGACGGCATCTTTACCTCAAAAAAGATGGAGATCCCCATGGACGCCGTCGCGCTCGCCGACACGGCCAAAGACCAACTCCCCACCCTGAGCGCGCACAGCACTTCCGCCATCAGCGTGACGCCCGTGCCCTCCCCGCTCATCGACACCACCTTCTCGCACCTGACATCCGTGTGCACCTCGGTGCTGCAAGCCTCCGTCGTGGGCGTCTCAAACGAGTGGTTCGCAGAAGCGAGCAATTTGCTGAACCCGGCGAAACCGATCTGGAAGGAAGGGTACTACGTGCATGCGGGCAAGTGGTATGATGGGTGGGAGACGCGGCGGCATAATCAGAGGGAGTTTGATTGGGTGGTGATCAAGTTGGGGTGTGTGGCGGTGGTGCAGGGCGTCGAGGTCGACACGGCGTTTTTCAAGGGGAATGAGGCGCCGGAGGCCGGGGTGGATGGGGCGTTTGTGCCGGCGGATGTTGGGGAGGGGGAGGTGGCGAAGGAGGGGTGGGGTGGGTGGGAGGAGGTGTTGCCGAAGCAGGCGTGTGGGCCGAGCCAGCGGCAGGCGTGGTGGGTTAAGGGGAAGGGGGTCGAGGGGCGTGAGGTGAACTATCTGAGGTTGAAGATGTATCCGGATGGGGGGATTGCGAGGCTGAGGATCTATGGCACGGTGGTGCCGCCGCCATTGGCGGTTCAGGATTTGAAGGAGGGTGGGGTGGAGAGGCCGATTGAAGATTTGGCGGCGGCGCTGAATGGGGGCGTCGCGGTCAGCAGGAGTGATGAGCATTTCGGAACAAAGAGTAACTTGCTTTTGCCTGGGAGGGGCGTGGACATGGGGGATGGGTGGGAAACGAAACGGTCGAGGGGAAAGGGACATGTGGACTGGGTGGTGGTGAAGTTGGGCTTGAAAGGAAGGGTTATCGAGAAGGTGGTTGTGGATACGAAAGATTTCCGAGGCAACTTCCCACGGGCGGTCAAGGTGGAGGGTTGGTCGATGCCGGTGGGCGCAGCGGCGTTTGGAACGGAAGACGAGCCCAAATTTGACGGGGACGGATGGCAGGAGTTGACACAGGGAGAGCAACGGTGCCAGGCAGACCTCGAGCATGTGTTTGAAGGGCATGAAATGGCGATACAGAACCCCCCCGAAGGTGAGGTATGGACGCACGTCAAGATGACCATTATTCCGGACGGTGGTGTGAAGAGGTTGCGGGTGTTTGGGAGGAGAGCCTAGGTGGTCTGATAGAAGAAATGAATACTTGTCCGATGACGCTCGTCAGGCTATTCAGAAGTCGTCTCGCATGCTCCTGCGTCTGGTTGATTTGGCCACTGTAGAATGGACCTACCACGATGCAGAGCATCACACTGTGGCGTGACCGAAGACGTTGACGGAGGGAGCAAGTGCTTTGACGCCCTAGGCTGCGCCGATCACATAGTGTGAGGACCGTGGATGGTCACGTCTTCCTAACCGCAGACGTTGGCAACACTAGGACCTTGATCAGGTCCTGAGCATTAGGAATAATTGTGCTGGTCAAGGCCGACTTTAATGAGAGAACGAGCCGGGCCGGGTGGATCGAGTGTATGACTTCGTCGGCCGTTCTCAGGGCCGGAAGTAAACAGGCTTCTGCTCACTGGTCGGGCTCTCGCTGAACAGCAACATGATTCGACAGTCGTGGACCCTTACTGGGTAGGTGCAAAGGCCTGGGCCATGGACAAGCGGAGCGAACGGTGGTGAGCAGTAGTGAGACGAATACCGACACCTGTGATTGGTGGAGAGCCAGAGGGGGCTGCCAAGGGCCGATCTCGGCTGTAGCTGCAGTGGGCGGCAGGAGCAGAGGTGAGAAAGTGAGAAAGCGAGAAAGTGAGTCGCTCGCGACTTCTCCGCAAATTCCAGACCGCAGCCATTCTTCGGCTTCTCATTTTGACTCAGAACTTCACTCACTCTGGGCATCGGTATAATTGCCACAACCCAGTCACAGCCTGGTATAGCTTGTGACACCAACCATGGCTTCCACAATGCTGCCCGTAAGACAGTCGTCGAGTGCAATCCGTTCTCTGTCTCGGCGCAGACCCTCGTGCTCACAACCTTTCTCCACCTCATCCTCCGCTGCGGCCATCTCGCCCTACCGAAAAACACAGAAGACTCCTGCCGAGCACACAAAGAGGCCTGCAACTACTGCCGCCGCACCTGCACCGTAAGGGATAGCCTATGCAACTTTCCTTGCGTTAGCTAACACCTCATAGTCAGCGACGCGAGGTGCCCAGTCCAGCTTTCAACCAGGATTTTCGAAATGCACCTTCACCGTTGGTCAACAGGCAAGCGCCTGAACTCGACGACTCGTAAGTCGCTTGGAACAAGTCCTAGACATTTGACTCATATTTCACAGTTTCGTCGGTTTGAGTGGCGGCCAGGTTTTCCATGAGATGATGCTCCGGCAAGGAGTGAAGCACGTCTGTAAGTGAACTCTCATTCTCCCAGTGTTTAGAGTCTAACACGATTTAGTTGGCTACCCCGGTGGTGCTATTCTACCAGTGTTCGACGCGATATACAATTCGAAGCATTTCGACTTTATCCTTCCCAAACACGAGCAAGGTGCTGGTCATATGGCCGAGGGTTATGCTCGCGTGACCGGTAAACCAGGTGTCGTCCTGGTGACAAGTGGTCCTGGTGCCACCAATGTCATCACTCCCATGCAAGATGCCCTGTCAGATGGCACACCCATGGTTGTCTTCTGCGGTCAGGTTGTGACAAGCGCCATTGGTAGCGATGCTTTCCAAGAAGCCGATGTCGTCGGTATCTCAAGAGCATGCACCAAGTGGAATGTCATGGTTAAGAACGTGGCCGAGCTACCGCAGCGTATCAACGAAGCATTCGACATCGCCACCTCCGGACGACCAGGTCCGGTCCTCGTGGACCTGCCAAAAGATGTCACCGCCAGCATCCTACGAAGACCTATCCGCACACATTCGACTCTACCCTCGCATCCTTCGGCTGCTACCTTGGCTGCCAAGGAACTCTCCCGGAGACAGTTGGATGCAACCGTGAAGCGCGTGGCTGATCTGGTGAACATTGCCAAGAAGCCCATCATCTATGCTGGCCAAGGAATGCTGGCCACGCCCGAGGGCCCCAAGTTGTTGAAAGAGTTGGCAGAGAAGGCTCAGATTCCGGTCACAACCACTCTGCAAGGACTAGGTGCCTTTGACGAGACCGATCCCAAATCCGTGCATATGCTTGGTATGCACGGCGCCGCATACGCCAACATGGCCATGCAAGAAGCTGACCTGATTATCGCTTTGGGTGCACGCTTCGACGATCGCGTGACTGGTTCCGTGGGCAAATTTGCGCCTCAAGCCAAGGCTGCAGCCGCCGAGAAGCGAGGCGGCATCGTTCACTTTGAGATCATGCCCAAGAACATCAACAAGGTGGTGCAGGCGACTGAAGCCGTCGAGGGCGATGTTGCACAGAACCTGGCTCTCCTTGTGCCCAAGGTCAATGCCGTGAGTGAGCGACCGGAATGGTTCCAGCAGATCAACGATTGGAAGAAACGCTTCCCCTTGAGTGATTTCGAACGTGGTACGCCCGACGGATTGATCAAGCCACAAGAGCTGATCGAGAAACTCTCTGAGCTTACCAGCCATATGAAAGACCGGACCATCATTGCCACTGGTGTTGGCCAGCACCAAATGTGGACTGCTCAGCACTTCCGCTGGACTCGTCCCAGGAGTATGGTGACATCGGGCGGCCTCGGTACCATGGGCTACGGTCTGCCTGCAGCCATCGGTGCCAAGGTCGGTCGTCCGGATTGCTTGGTGGTGGACATCGACGGTGATGCGTCGTTCAACATGACCCTGACCGAATTGAGCACTGCTGCTCAGTTCAACATTGGCGTCAAGGTGATTGTTTTGAACAACGAGGAGCAGGGTATGGTCACCCAGTGGCAGAGCTTGTTTTACGAAGACAGGTTCGCGCACACTCACCAGAAGAACCCTGACTTTATCAAGCTCGCAGATGCTATGGGTGTGCAGTCAAGAAGGTGTATCAAGCCGGATGATGTCGAGGCCAGCTTGAAGTGGCTCATCGAGGGCAGTGGAGACGGCCCGGCTCTCTTGGAGGTTATCACCGACAAAAAGGTGCCCGTCCTTCCGATGGTACCTGCTGGCAATGCTCTACACGAGGTGTTGGTATACGACGCCGAGAAGGAGAAAGTGAGAAGGGAAGCCTTGATGAAGAAATGGAAGCAGCCGTGATTTTCGACCTTCGCTTAATCAAAAGTTTGGCTTGCGCGTGGATTGCTGGTGTTTAGTTTGCAGGCATCTACGTTGGCAAAAGCTCCAATACCACCTTCTGTATAAATGATACCAGCTGAACCAGTCGAGTTGAATCTTGAAGAAGTCTGTAGGAGCACAGCGTGCTGTGGTGTGTGGTCGCAAAGGTGCTACTCGCACCGAAAGACGTGATTACATCAGCAGCAGATTTACTTTCATCGTCATACAGCGTATGAATCAAGTTGCACATTATATGTTCTTTCCGGTATGCGACCTTGCTGCCGATGAGATTTCATTGACAGCTTCCGCACTGATGTGTCGTCCACTTGCCGGTGATGCGGTGCTCGAAGATAGGCCGCCTTCGAGAACATCTCCCGAATGCCCCTTCGCCATTCGTCAGCTAGACCAGTCGAGCTATCTGATTCGGGAGAACGATAGCTTTGTAAGTACGCCTTTACCATATGCGGCCGTGCTGACCGAGATTTCGATACTCAGGGCGAGCATCCACACATATATGCGAAGATCTTCATACAACCAGATGGTCAAGGAGTTATCGTCTTGAGCGATACCGGTGTTGGCACGAACACCAGCAAACGGAACATCTGGACTCTTCTCGAATCAGCTATCAATCCTGGCTCTAAACTCCCATACCTCGTGATCTTATCCCACTGTCACTACGACCACATATTGGGGCTAGGCCAGCTGCCATCGAACGTTGATGTAAGCGTTGTCGCATCATCCTACGCGCCCTCCTTCATTACACCTTATTCAAAATTGCAACAGCACTCACTATGCGACTTCTACAGCCTGGCAGCACCTCGGTACGAAATTTCCATATGGGCTCATGACCAGGAGCGGCTAAGCTTCAGGGACCTAGATCTCGACCTTGATATTCGCCTCCTCCACACTCCAGGACACACGCCCGATAGCCTGAGCTGGTACCATTCGAAATCAAGAACATTATTCGTGGGTGACAGCTTCTATCAGCAGACCTCTTATGATACTCGCACTGCACCGTGGGGCGAAGAGAAATCCGCGCCAATCATCTTTACTCCAGAGGGCAACATCTTTGACTGGTGGGGAAGCTTGAAGACGCTGATTGCCTTTGTCGAGCACGAGAACGAAACGGCGGATACCGAGCGACCGCTCGTGAGACTCGGTGCTGGCCATGTCACAGCATCCGCTGAGGCATATGGCTTTCTCCTCCGAGTGCGTGCGTTTGCTGGTCGAGTTATGCGCGACGAGATTCACTCTGAGCGAATGCCAGATCGGCAGGGTTTGCAAGTGAGGCACTGGAAGGAAGACAAAGATGACCGGACTGCCGAGTTCAGTCTTGTCGCACCACTCAAGCTCGTTGATGATGCCCGCCGCCAGATCCCGAAAGATGAATGGCAGTGAAGCAGATCTCAAGTTACCAATTGCATACATTGCTGCCTAGAGTCTGCGGACTCGCAGCTCGCCGGAGTGAGTCACCAGAGGCTAAAAGGCGGAGCGTTTGGCCGGTTAGAGAGCCTCGACCGTGTGGAAAAATGCCATGAGGTTTGGTGAGGTACTCATCCCAGGCTTCCAGCTGAGCCGGTCAGGACCACACAACCTATAACATGGCAGCTGCAGCTCATAATATGGATGCATCGAAATATTCCTCCTCAACCAGAAGTCACCGCCCAAAAGTCAAGCCCAGCATCTCGTCAGTGACCTCAGACTATTGAGTGGCTGGGAAATCTGGTGAATGCTGAAATAGCCTATTCACAACGTCCAGATTTTGTGACTCTCGCTTGAATGTCCATTCATAATGGCTTTGGTTGATACTGTCCACGAACTTATATATCGACTCGCCTACATCTTACTCTCCTCAGAGCCATACACACTTCCTGCCGAACTCCAGAACAACGGTTCCTTTTACCGCCTCCCAATACCACGATTCCACCTACTCTCCTCCGGTATCACTACTTCGACGCCAGGATGACTCTCTCCACCATCCTCGCCGACATCTCAGCATCTCGTGCCTTTCGACCACAGATGAACAGCACGAGCGACCGTCCCATGTTTCCCCTTAGAAAAGCGGGCACCCCGAAGCATTCGCGCCTCATCTCGTTGCCAAAGGAGCTTCGAGACGTGATCTACCAATACCTCTTCACATCTTCACCCTCAACTCTCAACCTACACTACTACCGCCCCTTACCACCAGATCCGTTGCCGTCCTATTTGCAACCCGACACCTCCAGGCTCCACCTCTGCGGCCGCTTCAGCCTGTCCATCACTTCTGCCTCGCCTTTTCCACAGTACGAACGTAGCCACGACCGCTACGCCCTCCTCAGCTCCGGCACGCACGGTATCACGCAGGCCTGCCGCATGCTCCGCCACGAGACCTTAGCATTGTTCCTGGCACACACCACCTTCGGCTGCACCGATGAGCTCGCCATGGCAGTCTTCACCACGCACTTTCCACCCACATGGCGGCCGCACGTGCAAAGCGTGGCCGGCTGGTTCGGTCTTCACGCGACAGTGCTACCAACGGACCACGGCCAGTTCCCGGTCCTACGGCGCGTGGAGCTGCAGTGTCCGCGAGGTCTGGGGGACCGCGCTTTGCAGAGCTTGAGTTTGCTGCACGACGAGTCCCCGCCAGAGGAGGCATCGTTGACTATTGCAGTAGAAGATTTCAAAAGCATGAGTCAGAAGGAGCTGGAGGAAGCGGTGTTGGCGCCCGTGCGCAGCGTGTCGTTGAGGCAGGGCCAGGCGGGAGTCGTGGATGCGTTCATGCTGGTGAGAACGATGCCAGGGCTGGAGTGGGTGGTCAAGAGAGAGTGCTTGGTCCACCATCACAGGCGTGCAGTGGCCGGCGGACAGGGTCGTGATTATACAATCATCGAGAATGTGATGGTTGACGTGACGCTGGAGGCTAAGGGGCCCATCTCTCGAGTCACGCGGCGCCTAAAGGTCGAGACATTCAGGAGCGGCGGGCAGAAAGCGAAGATGACGGAAGACATTGTGGAACGCTGGGGCGTGGGTGAATGGCGTTAGTTTACTCTTGAGCTTGCAGACGTCGGAGACGCCTCTAGTCCGCCTGGAAACTCGTGGCCATGATCTATGCGGCGCTCAATCTGCTGCCAATGGGCTATCTTAAGGTAGATATCTTTCTGGCTCATCGCGAGCCGAACCAGCCAACGCGCTTGGCATAGTCTTGAACTCTCTCAAACAGCTTCTCGATCTTCTGGCGCAGCTTGAATCTCTTGTGGCTCTTCTCCTTCTCCTTCTCCTTCTCCTTCTCCTTCTCCTTCTCCTTCTCCTTCTCCTTCTCCTCCTCCTCCTTCTTGGTCTGTTCACCTACAATTCCGTTTAGAAGTGAGGCCACAATACTAGTTGGCCATTCTAGAGCTGTTTCACCAACATCCAACAACACAAATCTCACAGCTCATATGTTAAGACTGTGCCTTGCTGTATTTCCACGTACAGACGCCTTACTACTATATTCTGAGCAGGAGGTGCTCCACATGATTCAACTCTGATACCAGGAGCCTGGATACAAAGACAATGCCAAGAGGCAGTGATTAACCACGTTAGCTGTTGATTGGCTGTCGGGGCCGTGAATCAGGTTAGTGCATTTGCGTTTGTCTAGACAACGCTCTCTCTGCTACTAGGGCTCGATAGAAACTGGCCGGCAAACTCCCTCGGCCTCACAGCAGATCACATGAAAGAACACCTCTGACGTGTGTTTGGAGATGCTGTCCGTAGGGGGTGAGTCAACTCGTGATGGTACTGCAGTCTCCATCAGCTATCGTTGTTGCGTCTCACCTTTGCTGGCGGCAAAGTTATATCTCCATAGACATCGATTCGGAAACAAACATAAGGCCTGAGCCTTCAACATGCGTCTAGGTACTCCGTGGTCAAGAGACACACTTATTCTTGGTTGGGCGATGTCACGAGCTCAGAAAATGCCCACCTCTTTGAACGGCACTACATCAGCCCACCATAAGCCACAAGGGACTCGGGACCGAGACATATTCAGCAGGCAGTACTATTTCTTGGAGGTCTATGGCTGCGAAGAAATCGCGATAGTGTTAGTTGGTGCAGCAACCTCTTCCAGCTGGGGGCACACCTAACGCCACACGGATCGATTCTCAGTCTTCAAGCTCACGTACATATTAAAATGAGGGCATCATAGATAAGCGCTGGCCGGGTTCCGGATGTTGGGGTTGCTGTCAGCGTTGCATATCTTTGTGACGCGAAGCGTGTGCGATTCGCTGACTCCAAGTCACTGCATGTATACCTCAAATGCATCGACTGTATCGAGAAACGAAATCGGGATGGGATTTGTCCGCAGATAAATGCTAGTAAGTGTCCATATCGAGAGTTCCACCTCGCAGCGACCTGTCCATAGGCTAAACAATATAGCTAAGCGTTGCCTGTCAGTATCTCTGCTCTCAGACGTCGTCCGTTTACACTGCCCAGAGGCCTGAATCCACAGTCGTGTGCTTGTCTCGAGCTCTCCAGCCCAAATCCTTTTCGCCACGGACTCCACCAACAAACACGACCAAACGATGCCGCCGCCTTAAAAAGTCCTGATAACCGGCTGCTCCGACTCCGGCATCGGCTCCGCCCTTGCCCTCACGCTCGCCACGCACCCCAGCGCCAACATCCACGTCTTCGCCACAGCCCGCCAACCCTCAAAAATGCAGTCCGCGTCTGTCCACCCTTGCCAATGTGACGCTGTTGCAGCTGGACGTAACGTCCACGGCGGATGTGGCAGCCGCTGTTGAGGCTGTGAGGCAGCATTGCGGGAATGGCAAAGGCAAGGTAGCAGGGAGGCTGGATTACCTGATCAACAATGCAGGGCACAACCACTTCATGCCGGTTCTGGACGAGGGTGCGGGGCATGGTTGTGGATGTGACGAGTATCTCGGGGTATTTGAATGTACCGTGGATGGATGTGTCTGTGTTTGTGCCGAGACCCGAGCCAGCTTAAGGGCGATGGGTGATGAGTGATGGGTTCGGGCGGGTTGCGATTGCTGTCCTGTCGCTGGTCGCTGAGCTAATGTTTGGCCGAACAGGTTCTTACGCGGCGTCCATACGCAGTCTCGAGCTCATGGCTGAGGCGCTGCGGCTGGAGATCGCGCCGTTGGGCGTTGCAGTGCTCTGCGTTGTGACTGGGGCTGTCAAGACGCTGGGACAAACGTACTTTGAAGACTCGAAGCTGCCGGATGGATCGATGTCCAAGGATATTGAAGGTACGATCAAGGCCCGGGCACAGGGGAATGCCGAGGATGGATCTGCAGGAGTATGCGGACACGGTTGTGCAGAAGATTTCGCAGAGGAAGACTGGCAAGATAAGGGTTGGTGAGAATGCTGATGCGATTAGAGCAGCAATGCAGGGTCCGGTGCCACAAAAGGTTCTGGTAAATTGCCCGCGAAAAGTCGTCGCGGTACCTGATTGTACACAGGAAGTTGGACTTGTGGCTGGCACAGGTGTGGACCGGTTGGGTCAAACGCGCACGGCTTGATGTCTGCCAGATCTGGGTTGTTGAACATTCCATCTCCATGCATACACAGTCCGTCGACAGCTGAGGTGTTGCGGGTCCGGAACACGCAGTGTGATCTATCGAGGCGCTGGAGGCACGCTGTGCCGTTTGGCGGACCTTTGTCGTCGATCACGCGATGTGGCCCGGCCAGTTCGAAGCTGTATTTGTCTGGTCCCGAATGATTCCTCATGACAATCCTCGTGCCAGACCGGCTGGGGATGGTTTGCAAGCTTGTGTTGCTGCGATAGGTCCATGTAGGTGATTGGCGTGTAAATGTGTCCGCGAAGATATCTGTGAATGCTGTGGCTATGCTAGGTCTCAATGGAACCTAGGTTCCTCAACCAGTGGTGGTGTAGGAGCTGGATAGCTGTGGATAACGGACGAGCTCTCCTTGCTCCGAGATCCTGGGACTTTTGTAATCGTAGAAAGGCTTAGGCGAGGCTCACGGGCCTCTAGGCAATTATTCCCAGGCATTGAACGTCGTGACGTCCGGGCATCGTCAGCAGCATTCTCAAAACCTCGGTCTGCCCCTTCCACCCCGATAGCCAGGATCAGGAAGTCTCTCGCCCCTGCGCCATTCACCAACAGGCATCGGCGGACCGTAGTCGCCTCTGCCTCTGCCGCCACCAAAGCCACCTCGACCTCCCCTGGCAGAGTAGCCGTTCTCTCTGCCTCCTCTGAACGCACCAAGTGCATTGCCACGGCTGACCACACTACCATCGCTCAGCGGAGGAAAGACGGCGACGTCGACAAAGTCGCCAATGACGAAGCGCGACTCCTCCAACGTCTTTCTCGAGTCCTCCCCACCCAGCTCGAAGCCACCCTCCCGAGAGTGAGCATCACCGTTCTCGTAGCCGCCGGACTCGATGACGATGCTGCCGATCTCTCTCGAAATGTATCGGCCTCTTCCCTCGCCATCCAACCTTCCGCCCGCGCCTCTCGAAGGGTTCGTGTCGGGGTAGACCAGGCGAAAGGCCAGTCTGGTGCCGATGGCGGGATCGGGGACTATGCTTGGGAGAGCGGTAGTGAGTAGCTGGGCAAGTTCGCGCAGGGTGCAGTCCATCCAGGTGTAGATTTGAACATGGGCTGGAAGAGGGGGCTTGGGATTCGAAGGCGTAGGTACAGGGAAGTCTGTGAGGTTGTGGAAAGCTGAAGACCGATAGCAGAAATTCAGCAGGAATGGCACAGTCTTTTGGCGATCGATGGCCGCTGGACCTTCTGGCGGTGGGGACAAGGACATGATGGAGGTTTCAATGGACGCAGTCAGCGTAGCATGGCGTGTGAGACGTTGGAAGCTCGACTTTTTCAACACGCCAGTACGAGAATGAGCGACAGAGGCTGGCGGCGCAGTGGGGAAGTTCGCGATGTTGGTCGCGTCTGCGCACCTGCCGCATCCGGAAACACTCTCATTGTTGGCATTGACTCTGGACAGAAAGCGCTCTTCAGTTTTGAAGTATTCCACATTGTGAATGTGTCTATTAAGTCTATGTATGCATCATTTGACCCTGTGCAGATTCCTGCCGAGGTCCCATCATTATGAAGGATACCGATGTGCTATGTTCAAGCCCCAAACCCGGCCCCAAAACAGGCCCCAAAACAGGCCCCAAAATTGCAATGGCCTGCTCTTCCCCAGAGAAAGTGTGCGTCTAAGCTTGATGAAACAGAGCAAGAGTCTGACCAAAGCCGTTGCGGTGATCTGACCCGATCGCGGCGGGTTGGCCATTGACGTTGACCATATTGACCGACGCTTTGGTGGTCAAGCCAAACAGGTAAACCTCGTTCGAACACTGGATGTCGATCATGTTCAATTGGCAATCCTCAGTCTCCAGACAGGTTTGCTCGTAGTCCTCGAAGAATGAGTAGAGACCTCCGCCCATCAGATAGACGTTCGAGGAGTCGAGGATGCGCAGGCCCCAGGTCTTCTTGCAGTCGTCTCCCCGACAGTCGGAAAAGTCAGGGTCAGAGTAGGCCGAGTTAGGCTGAAAGCCGCTGGTTAGTGAATTTGGCTTGGATTGCATGTAGGCCGTCTCGGTCTGAACAAAGCCCATAAAGACATCCTTGGCGTTGCTGATCTGGTAGTTGTACAGGACATGGTGCTCGGATGAGGTGCCGTAGAGCCACACGGGACCTTGACTCTCAATGAGAACACCGCGACCATTGAAGATGTTGAGCTTGTCCTCGCCATCCTTGTCCAGCTCATGATCAGCGACCCAGAACCAAGTGTTCTCGAGGTAAGCGGTAGCCTGCTGAGTGATGTGGATCATTAGGAAAGAGCCATAGCATTCCGAGTTGAAGTTCTTGCTGTCAGGAGTCGAGCCACGGCATTGATCCACCTGAAGTTGAGTACCAGCAGAGCCGCCAACACGGAAGTGCGTGTCCCACATACCGCTAGCACCTTGCTGGCCATCGGGGTCCGCAACGTTCCACTCCATCATAATAGCACCAGGGGTGGGCCCACGCGTTTCGAACATAATGTCGGTGATCTCAACGGCGCCGCTGTCTCCGGGATTGCCAACACGGAAAGCGGGCTGCGGATTGTTAACGTCGCTGAAAGTAGGACCAGACACCATGATCAGCGGCCAGATCTCGCCAGTGATGCGGATGTTCTTTGGCACTTGAATGGTCTTGGTGATGAGGTAGGCTCCATGGTCGAAGTAGATGATCTGATCAGCGGTAGCACTGTTGAAGATCTGCTGGATGGCATCGGAATCATCAGTCGTCCCGTCGCCCTTGGCACCACTGGACTTGACGCTGACAAAAGCAGACACAGGCTCGTTCTCGTATTGAGGCTTCGAGCGCTCGAAGACCGAGCCGTCGCTATTGAGCAAGGGCTGCGACATCTGAACCTTGTTCCACTGTTGTTGCAGCTTGGTTGGCTGAGCAGCGACCGACTGGCGCGTGCAGGTACCATTCGACGCAGCAAGGGGGCTCGTGTCGTTGGATGCAGTGCCGCTGGGGCTTGTGGAATTAAGAGAGATGCTGCTGGGGCTGACACCGTTGGGAGGGACGCTGCTGGGACTGACAGCATCGGAAGAGATGCTGCTGGGGCTGACACCATCGGGAGAGATGCTGCTGGGGCTAGTGTCGCTTGACTCTGGCGGAGACCCCAACGAGATGGTGGCGTCGGCCGGAGCCACGGTGGCTGAACCTGGAATTGGGCGGATGGTAGACATGGGCGTGTCGTCGCAATCACTCACAGCAGGGTCAGCCTGAGCGAGACGCTTTGGAAGCTGCTGTGCTCTAGCAGGGCCGCTAGCATCAGACGGAGGTACGTATGCATCACCTTGGACGAACAGGTCGACCTTGGCACCACCAGCAAGGATCTGGTCGACACCGTTGGCTCCGACAATGGCGTTCTGAGTACCGGAAAAGTCCACATTCTGGACAGTCAGGGTGCCGCCAGTGGGCGGAAAGCTGGTGGCGTTGTGAGAGGTCTTGATACCGACGGCGGAGTTAGTAATGGCACCGTCGAACATGATGACCGACCCAACGGATTGGTTATTTCCGTTCAGCAGGTTGCCCATATCGATGCCGATGTCAGCATCATCGATCTTCAAAGACTTGAATGTCCACAGCCAATCCCATCCTATGAGGATGGCCGTCTGGCAACCATTGAAAGCCAAGTTGCGGGTGGTAAACTGCTGATTGCCAACAGCCATGCCAATAGCACCGCCATTGAAGACCAGGTCGGACATAAATCCGCCAGAACCATTCTCCATATAAATACCTTGTTGCTTATTGGTCCCACTCTTTGGCTTCATCTGAAAAACGATGTTCTGCAAGCTGGTGGCTTGAGCGACCTGCCAGTGCAAACCAGCCGGACCGCTTACCCCATCAGGGTTGACTTCTAGCATATCGGTGAGATCAATCTTGAAGTTGCGGACTTGACGAAAGAAGTTGTTCTGGTTACGATACCAGTTGATGCCGGTTCCGTCTGGATTGGAAATTCCCGGGTAGTAAGGGTTGGAGTCGATGAGTGCAATACCTTCGAATGTGGAGAGGCCTTTGATGGTGGGCGGGCTAGTAGCGTCCCCAACCATCTGAGTGTAGTATGGCATAACGATAGGCTTGGAGATTCTGTAGGTACCGGGAGGGAAATAGACAAGCGCAGGCTGAATGGTCGAGGAATTGCAACCCATTCCGCATCTGCCGCCGTCGAACATGGTGCGATTGATAGCGTCAAAGTCATCGGCATTTCCATCGCCAACAGCGCCGTAATCCTTCACATTTCGGTAGACTTTGTAGGTGGTTGGGTCAGAGGGTCGAGAGTCGCCATCGTCTGTGTAGGCAACGGTGCCTTGTCGCTGGATCTGCGCGAGCCAGTATGACGAGGCCTGTCGAACTTCGATCGACTCGGGACGCGGAGCACCCTGAGCCGGCCAAGGTGCGAGGAGGAGAGCTGATAGGAGTGCGATGAGTCGGAGCATGATTGTAGAGGACGAACGTTGTGGTTTTGGGTGGTGACTGAATCGCAGGACTTGGTAGTTCGAGTGGTAAGAGAGGTTGACTTGGATCAAGAAGGTAGGACTTGTAGTGCAGTGTAATTAATCAGGGCAGTGGCGAGGTTCTGAGGTTCATGCGTTGCCAGGCAGGCGCCACTTTCTCTTCACGTGACGTAAAGGTAGCAGCAGTTTGTTCAATAGAGGGTATAATAGTCTTAGACAGGCTCAACAGCTGGACGATAAGTGTTCAATAAACGATTGACAAAGGGTGAGAATAGGAAAGACCTGTCCAGGTAGAAGGGGTGAAGGGGGTAGGTGTGATGTGATCGAAGGAGAAGGAGGTCATTCGGTCACTTATAGTCAGTTGCTTGTGCCAGGATACAGGTTCTGGCGAACAAGTTGTTTTCACTTACAGACCTGGTCTGTCGTTGGTCTTTGAGTCTACTTAGAGTGGCTCACAAACCACACTTCGGCACGTCGTACGGGGTAAACGGCTGGGATAGGCCCCTTACGGGAATGTGCTTCTACCCTTTCCGCGACACGCGGCATCGCATCCAGCTGCGGGTATACCATCGCGTGGCAGTATTGATGATCAAATGATGGACTGCGGGTCATGATTCGATTGCAATGAGATGAGGTCAAATTGAAGAGGCGGTCCTGGTTGGACATTCCGGAGAAAGGCTTTTACCCCTAAAACGGCCTAGCTCCCATAGCACAGGGCCACACCCCAGCATGGCGGCCACTCCGATCACTGTAGCATTCTGCCTTCTATCTGATACCGCTCCAAACCCAATTGCAAGAGGCTCAAAAATTGAGTGTGTGGCGCTGCAACTGCCGATGGGTGAGTCGGAAATGCAGCTCAGGGGCTGTTGAGCAAACACTGCTCCTTGGCTGGTGCTGGAGCTGTGATTGGTCGGTGCCAGCTTGCTGCCAGAAGCCTGGAACAGTCCCGGCTGATGCGTTGTCCAGCGACGTTGGAGCGAACGGTTGTTCGTATCACAACTGCTCGGTTGTGCAAGTTGACCGTGAAATTTCCTGGTGATCACAGGGTTGGAAAGGCAATTTGCTTAATGTATCACGAGCCCACATCCCGATCATCAGATCCCTTGAAGACTGGATCGGATGACACGCGCCAGAATCACGACGCCCTCTTCCAGGAGGTCCTTACTTTCCCACGCAAAGCAGAGCCGGATGTCTCGGTCGAAGCGTGTTTCGGGAGTCGCCTCATCTCCCTCGACTCGAAAGCTCGGCCCCGTGATGATAATTAACCCCTCGGCGAGCGCTCTCTTGGATATCACATCCGCAACGAGCCCGCCTGGCAGCCTCAACCAGACGAAGTACCCGCCTGCGACGTCTCTGTTTGCTTGAGGCATAGTCAGTCCCAGTGGTAAGAGGTGTTGCTCGACTGCGGAAATCATCCGGTGGTATCGTTGCGAGTACTCGACTTGCAAAAACTGGAATATGTGGTTCTGCAGCACTCCAGTTGTGAGCATGTTGTGAACAAAACTTGCGACTAGTTGCGAGGGTGCACCACCCGATCGTGAACTGCCATTCTGCGACAAGCCATATGCGAGTCGAGGTGTGCCTTCAGCCCAACCTGTCCGCACCCCAGGGGCGATGATTTTGGAGAAGCTCCCATTCGACAAGGCATGCCCAAATTCGTCAATTGGACCGCCATCCAGGTACTTATCAACATCCACAACGCGGGGCAGGTAAGCCTTGTCCATTACCTGGAAAGGAGCATCTGGGCTGGAATTCCAAAGCAACATATCATAGACATCGTCGCTGACTATCAAAGCGTCATATTTGCGGGCCAGTCTCACCAAGGCCTGGCGCCTGGCCAGACTCATAACACGGCCGCTCGGGTTGGAGAATGTAGGGACGCAGTAGATGATATGACGATAGATTTTCCGCCATGGCTTTGGTTGTTTGATTTTGGGAGCAACATTTCCCTCCGCAACAGCCCTCTGTTCACTGGTGCGCAGTCCGTGCTCCAGGAATTCAAGGTCTATGCCCTCATCATCCTCCGGAACGGCTTTCAGGCGGCCATCGAATCCTGCATCGGTAAAGATCCTGCATGCCAGATAATAAGTGGGAGCAACCTGCCACACGTGCAGCGTATACACCGGGTCAGTAAAGGAGGCCAGAACATTGGCTAAATTCTGTGAGGCGCCCCCGGTAATGCACACCCGCTCATGTGAGATGGAGTCCTTGGGTTGATAGAACTGAGTCAGCCAGGATGCAATAGCTTCCCTGAGGGGCCGGTAGCCCTCATCGTTCCCGTACTCGAGTATCTCAGTAATAACGGAATCATCCTTCTGCGAGAGCGTATGAACGGCGGCATCCTGAAGTAAGGTCGGAGGCAGGAGTGAGGTGGCCGGCCAGCCTTTCAACAGATCTATTGTCGGCTGAGGAGTGGCTGGGGACGGTACCATCCTTCTGGTCATGGCTGTGCGAATGTGCTTTTGGAGGCAAAGGAAGCTTTCAGGACTGCGACTCGCGTTGCTCGCGTTGCTCGCTCTGCCCAGGTTGCCAATTCGCTTTTTATGGAAAGCGTGAGAGAGGTTGCCTAAAGAGGAGTTGACAAAATATCGATGACCCTATCAAATGAAGTTGCTTCGGCCCCAGAACACAGCCGAGTCAGTATTTCGCTTTTTGTTCCGCGTTGTCGAGGCTCATTGTTCCTTGGCCCGCCTCGTTTTTCCACTATTTTTTTCGACCGTGGCCCGACGGCGCAGATCTCAACTAATGACCAGAATAGCTAGCCTAACGGACCGAAAGTTGGGGTTGCCGCAAGGCCCGTAACTTGATTCCACCTAGTAGGCGCCCTTTAGGCGTCGACTGCGCCGCCGATGACGTGGTTCCATCCGCAACTATGCTTCGCCGTCTGTGGTAGACGAAACCCCAAGCCCTCGCGTGTAGCAGGATGCTGCGGGTAGGTTGAATGTTGGCCTACTTGATTTGCTCATACTGCCCGTCTGCCTTCTTTTATTGCCTTGTCCATGCGTCTTCAGTGTTGCTTGTAGCAAGTGAGATTCCATCTCGAACTCGAGCTTCTGGCTCATCCTCTCACATCACTGTCTATACTTAGTTCGTGTCACTCTTGTGCATTGCTGACGCTGTACCCGTTGAACGCCGACAGAGTCCTCCTTCACAAGTATCTGCAAAGATGTCGAAACGATTGTCGTCCATATTCTCAATGTCCAAAGACGACCATGGCAGGGACCCGATGCAGCATTCTCCGCTTCCCAGAAACACCTCGAGTCCTGCCCTCGTCCCTCCACCAGTACCAGGCAAACTGCACAAAGCTGCAACAAGTCAGACTCCAAATCAAACCACCTTTCCAGAACCTACTCTCCCCGTCACGCCCCTTGCACCGCCGCCGCTCCTGACTGGGGATGGTATGGTGCGTCCACCTAGTGCCGCCGGCTCCGGCAGCAGACCGGGCAGTCAAGCGAGTGTTCGAAGTCGTCCTCAAACCCCTACCTTTACCATCACGCCTGTCGAAGGCTCTCCCATCGGGCCGACCACTCCTACTTCCACGTCAAAACTAAGCAAGAGAAGCAGTTGGCTTCCAGGTGGTAAATCGCCTACGGCTAAGACCAAGGGCGGTGCCAAACATTCTCAGGCCTGGATTGCGGGTCTGCCGGACCATGTCCCATACGACTTGACTCCGTTGGTGAAAGGCGAACGAGTAACTACCTAGCCTTTATGTTTCCTGTTCAAGGCTAAAATTCAACAGGTGCTCGATCTGTGGAATGACCAAGCCGATACCGTCCTTTACCTTTTTCCCAAGTCTTCGCGGCGCGGCCCTTCCTTCCGGATAGACTCCGCCCTTCTTGAAGATTCCAACGCGCTCAAGCTACTCCGCCTAGAAAGTGCAGTCTCCCCAAGACTATCGCCACATCCTCACCCAGATTTTGCTTCTTTGTCGCTGCACGACAATGGACATGGGTATTATCGAGGCACCCAAGAGAGCTATGCGCCACCTTCGGTCAACAACTATGCTCAAGATGAGGCTCATATCCACCTTCCATTGGAGTTTGACGGCGACCTGTCGACACCCGACTCGATCCCCAAAGGCGATGATTTGGAGCTTCTTGTCCTGTATCGTAATTTCTTCGCGTTTCTGCAAGGCGGAGCGCTTGTAGCCACTCCGCGTCAATCGAATCTCTACGCCGTATTCATGGGTATCAGCAGTATTCTCAAGAGGTTTCGCTTTTCCAACGCCGACGGCTCTACTTGGGGCGATGTCACGACTCACAGCTTCGCCAGATATTGTCAGGAGCTGCGACTTGCCGATGTTCGTTCCAGTAGAGAGAAGACAGTCGAGGCTCTGGTTCTGGGCGAGCACATGCGTTTTTGGGCTCTGTACAACGAAGGTTTCGTTCACGCCGCTGGTCGCCTGGAGGATATTAAACGCATCAAAAGCCCCAAGTACGCCCAGATCTCCCCAATCACCTGCAATCGACTCGAGAGATCCTCGCTGGATATTGAACAGCGGCTGTTGGTCATCCGGGGCAAGCTCGAGGACTTTGATTTTCCATCCATGTTCTCTGGGGTCGCCAACTCACAGGTCGCAACCGAGGCCAAGCTGGTAAGATTCAAAGCCTGGAAATTGGCTTTTGCGGATTTCCGTAAGTTCACATTGAGCTACTACCGACGCAAGTACGGTGCTTGGCCGCCTAAGGCGAAATCGAAGAAAAACACCTTCGAAGAGAGTGGTCTGAATCGAAGACTGTTGCAGGAGGTATATCAAGACTTTACCGATCTGTACGATATGCTGGCTGACCGACACAACCTCACGACTCGAGCAAGCGATGTTGCCCTACTTGACGAAAATTCCAAGGCAGATGATGTGAATGAAACGCTACAGCATGCCCTGCGTCGCGTCGAGAGCGAGTATGATCGAGCCACTCCACCGGTCATTCCACCAATTCCTTTCGATGTCCCGACCATACCAGGCTTCAAGAGTAGTTTCAACCGAGTCCATGCTCTGACGTCGAAATCTGCCGGGAGTTTGAAGCGTCTCAAGGACAATGAAGTCAACGAGATCCTTCTTGGGTCATACAACCGGGAGCATATCTCGACCAATGTCTTCATTCAGGATTTCTTCTCCTATGAACGAAAACTCAATCAGGGCAAGACGATGGATGAGATTGTTGACAATCGGTGCGGCCAGTGGCTCTTCATGTACGCGGTGCTACAGTCACTCCCGATCATGGTTGTAGACGCCCGCGATGTGCAGTACAGGGATGGTGTTGAATACTTCCTCTGCATGGCCCCACGAGGCGGTCGTCCGTGGATGAAGGAGGACACGTCGCAGTCTCGCTCCTGGTACAACGTCTCGAGCGGCGGAGGTGTTGTCAGTTTGCCGGCCGATCTAATTGATCACAGCGTCGAGGGCATATACCGAAGAAGCCATTGCTGGGACATTGCAACAAAGTGGGCCAAGGATCTAGGTATCACGCCCGCAGACGATACAAACTCGATTCTCTCAGGGCTAGGGCCACCACCAAGCATGTCCGCAACACACGGCGGTCCCTCGTCGATGTCGAATCAATCGTCCCCAACCGGATCGCCGTTACTCAGGCCTTCCTCTGGGACAGACGGTGGTCGGCTCAGCACGTTATCCTCGCGCAGCTCTGTAAACATCGGCCTCGAGGCAGTGCCGCAACCTCCGGAGCGGCAGAGGCCGACATCAGTCTTCAACCCGAATATTACGTTCGACCAGATTCTCTCTGGGCCGCCGGCCGACGAAAAAAAGAAGAAGGGAAAGAAGTGAGGCAGCGACTTATGTACTAGTGTCGGGACGTGCTGCGGATTGTTTCTTTGCAAGCGGGCGTTAATCGATCACTTAGCTGATACGAATGAAAAGTTCATGAACACGATGCTCGCTCTTTGAAATGGGTGGTGCGAATAAGCAGTGCTTTGTAGTCCATATTGAAGCGGACCGCGCTCCTATCAACCCGTCCGGCGGAATAGGACATCCCCACCATTGCTAGCGGTATCGGACTTGTCTTGTGCCGGTACTGGCAGCACCGTGACCTTGGATGGCTCAGTTCGGAGTACGCCACCAAAGGTTTGTGCGATGGTTGTGAGTGTGGTATGCGCACGTAATGTTCGTTCTAACGTTTTACTGAATGCACATGAACACCACCTGCACAGACGAATCTAAACACGATCTTTGATACAAAAGTAGATACCGACACGATCTGCCCGCGGACCAACTCTGACCGAGGCAACAAAACGTTCCGCACTGAGCATCTTGTAGCGTATCTCCAAATCCATTCGATACGTACGAATTCTGTTCTTTTAGATCAAATAGCAATATCAAGGAAAACCTCACCAGCACACCACCCGACACCGCAACAGACCAGCACCGCACCGCAAACCCACCCACAATGCCCCTACACCTCAACCCCCTCTCCAAATCCCCCCCCAACCCGGCCGGCGAATCCGACATCTACCTCCTCCCGGCCCTCTCCGCCATCCAACTGCGCGCCTGGCTCTCCACTCCCCTCTACTCGGCCATCTACCCGGGCCCGCCCTCGACGCACCCGGGCATCGTCGACAGCAGTGTGAAACGCCACCGCCGGGCCCTGCTCTCGGACCCGACCTACCATTTCGTGTCGCTCGTGGGGTGCCACGACCCGGAGGTCGGCGAGCCGTGGCAGGTGGTGGCGTTTGTGAAGTACGCGGTTTTGGAATATGCGGATGCGAATGCGGTAGAGGCGGGGAAGGTGAAGGCGAGGGGGGAGGAAAGGGAGTGGGCGGAGGGGACGAATGTGGCGTTGGCGAATTGGGTGTGGGGGGCGGTTGTGGGGGTGAGGGAAAAGTATGGGGAGGAGTTGGGTCGGTATGTGCTGGTGGATATTTTGGCGACGGAGCCTGGGTGGCAGAGGCAGGGGGCGGGGAGGATGTTAATGCAGGAGGTGTGTCGGGAGGCGGATGAGAGGGGGTGGCCGTGTTTGTTGGAGGGGAGCGAGGAGGGAAGGAGGCTGTATGAGCAGATGGGGTTTGTGGCGAGGGAGGAGATCTGGGTGGATATGGGGAGGTGGGAGGGTGGCAAGGATAAGGGCGAGGGGTGGCGCGGGGAGGGGGCCAGGGAGGGCGTGGGGGAGGGGTGGTATCGCATGGTGGTCATGACGAGAGCGGCGAGGGCCAAAGAGACAGGCTCATAGAACGGGAGGGAGATAGAGGCAGGGAGAATGGGGAAGTGTAGTTGTTTGTGGATATTTAGAGACGACTCGCTGGCTCCGTGCCATAGAAACGCGTTGGAGCTCATGCATGCTTGTCAAGATCCCTCAGTACTTGGCCGACCAGGTACAGGCTACCTCCAATGACGACCAAGGCATCTTCAGGGCCGTGCGTGAAAGCGGCTCGCACGGCGGAGACTGGGTTAGGAGCTGTCAACGTTGTGCCCGAGGTCTTCGTTGCGGCGATCGCTATGAGATCTTTGGCAGAGTGCGGCTTAACCCAGGGCATGCCATCTACATCGCCAAACTCACAAGCGACAACTCCGTCACCATTTCTGATCAACTGTGACAAGACTTCATCCGCATCTTTGCCAGAGCTCATGGCGACAATCCAGACAACGGGGCGAGGAGTGGCTGCAATTACCTGATCGACGTATGCCCGTAGTCGGGAAGCGCCTTCCTTATTGTGGGCACCGTCGAGTAAGCAATGTCTTTCTGCGGTGCTCTGGGAGGTGGCAAGACGGGCGAGATCCTCCCATTGGAGACGGCCCTTCCATGTCTGCTTCACCTGCGCCACCGCGCTGACAACATCCGCCTTGGTCAAGGGTGAGACATCAAATCTGCCTGGCTGGGAGAGCTTCTCGAAAACTCTCGTTGCAATTGCCAGGTTCTCTTGTGAGCTTGCGCCAACAGCGAGCTCGGATCTCGATAAACGCGACAGGGGCTCCTCATCGGATGCTGTGCTCTCAGACAGTGGAGAGCCACAGGCGGCCGCCCGAGCCTTCAGTACGGATAAGACAGACTTTTGGTTGTGGCTGTTGATTACCACGGGCACGCCGGTCTTGATGATACCAGCCTTCTCTGCCGCGATCTTCTCGAGCGTATCTCCCAGCATGTCTTGGTGATCTAATGAGATGCCGGTGATGGCACAGCACAGCACCTCTTCCGGTAGCAGGATGTTGGTCGCGTCGAGTCGCCCACCCATTCCACATTCAACCACAGCGACATCAACCTTCTGCTGGGAGAAAATCTCAAATGCAGTCGCGGTCAAGAGCTCGAATGAAGTTGAGTCAAGCTTAGCTTCAGAGTCACGAAGCTTTACCAGCCTCTCGACCTCGAGAAAGAGATCCTTGTCCACGGTCTGCTCGTTGAGTACGATACAGTCATGTCGATACTTTAGATGGGGCGAGTTGAAGCGCCCAACCTTGACGCCCTTGCCGTGGAGGAAGGCTGACAGGTAAGCAGCGGTAGTTCCCTTGCCATTTGTGCCGGCGATGTGGATGGCTTTCCACGGGAGAGTAGCATGGTAGTCTCGCACCAGCCTGGTGACGCGGTGCAGCTGCAAGTCCATGGAACATCATGCATGGTGCAAGATGCTTGTCGATTCAGATTCCAGACGTGCAAGAGATCGACGAGATCGGCGAGGTCGGGCGGGTGGTTGGAGCTAGCCCTGTCCGAGAATGGCGCATCTTGGCACCAGATTCGCTACGGTTGCCTCGACAACTGCGCCACGGGCAAGCCCATCGTCAGCATATCAGCACACCATTGACTCAAATGCCGCCATGGCACATGCCTGGCCCGCTTCGTTTGTCCAGCCGCTCGAGAACCGTCAAACGTTGTATGCACGGCATCCTCGTAGCGCGGCCCACCACGAATCTTGTACCCTTGGTGGCTGGCACTACCCCTCTTGCGCTTGTTTACGCCCCAGTCGAACGATCTCGACTGCCTGCCACTTGAACCCTTCCTGCTGCAACGACCGCCTACGCAGATCTGTCCTCCTACAATCACATTGTACGTGTCTGGAAGTAACAGCATTGCAGGAGATGGATTTATGACCAGTGTTGACAAACCATCTCGACTGCTTGCTATACCAACCCCAACATCGGAAGGTCGCAGGACGGCCCACACGCGGGCCATTTCCAAATCATAGATCATGCCCGAGCAACGAAGGACATGACCAAGGACCTCTCATTCTTACCAGTCAGCCTGCTGGCGCTCGTCGCGCGGGTTGCTGGCGCACAACTCCCCTATACTCCTACCTCGATATTAGCCTCTGATAATGGCTCGATAGCCTACCTCTTTGCGCCACAGCCCGACTCCTCTCTATGTACTCTGTCCCTGTACAACGTCACAGACACACTCGATATATCATCCAAGCCAACGACATTGCTCGAGGAATTGCCCTTCTTGTCGAGCTCGACTTCTAAGCCGTTCTTGCCACTAGTTGACGAGGAAGGTGTCACAGTACTGACCGGGGACTGCGCGAAGGGTGCAGAAGGAACAGAAATATGGAGATATACGCCAAATGATGCATACACTGAAGGTTCATGGAGCCAGCTCAAGGTCGCTGCGGACCAACATGGCATCTCTGCCAACTACCTATCCGCTGGGCTTGCCTTTCCCGCCACAGACAACATGGCTTCCACACTGTACATTTTCGGCGGCATGTGTCCAAACTCGTCGACCAGCACAAACGAGAACTGGGTGTCCAATGCCAACTACTCCTCAACCATGTTAGCAATGACACCGCAATCCCCATCGGATGCTGAATCGCCATATCAAATCTCCACAACCGGCTTGCGCGCACCGCCAATACCTGAAGCAGGGCTGTCTATGACACCTCTTGTGCCCGCCTTCGCTGACGCAGGGGAACCTTCACAGCAGCAGAATTTTGTCCTGATTGGGGGTCACACCCAAAACGCATTTATCAACATGTCGCAAGTCGCTCTTTTCACCCTGCCCCAAGCGTCGTGGGCTTTTATTCCCGTCAATCAGCCTGGCTCTAAGGAGAATACAGAGCTATTACGTCGCAGCGCCGACTTCGTGGAACCCCGATCTGGCCATACTGCGGTCCTTACCCAAGATGGATCCAAAATTATCGTCGTGGGTGGATGGGTCGGGAGCGTGGACACCCCCGCTGAGCCGCAAGTCGCGGTACTCAATATTGGCCAAGGATATGGGGGCTCGGGCGACTGGACGTGGAGTGTGCCCGAGAGCCCCGGTCCGTTTGCTCCAAATGGGGGCATCTATGGTCACGGTGCGACCCTGCTTCAGGGAGGTATCATGGTGATCGCGGGAGGCATCAACATCAATGGAGGGGTTTCCAAGCTTAAGCGGCAAACTGCAAGCAACTTTCACTTCCTGAATACAACCTCTATGCAATGGACCGACAGCTATACGCATCCCGCTTCGCCCTCTGCTCCAAATGCGCACACCGAGGCAGGATCCGCTGGCCTGCAGAGGTCGGACAAGATTGGCATCGGCACCGGGATTGGACTGAGCATCGCGGCACTGGCACTTGTTGTATCGGTCTGGTTCTGGTACACAAGACGCCTGCGTAAGCAACGCAATATGCGAGAAAAGGAGCTTCGAAATCTCGCTCTGGGCGCAGAGCGACAGTTTGACCCTGCGATTGTTGGGTTTCCAGACGAGAAATATCCAGAGAGACGCACGGCTAGCTGGGCAAACATGCAAGAGAGAGCTCTGGGCACCTTTGGAGGCGGCACACTCCCGTGGAAAACCAGTGCAACTCACGAAGGCAATGGCTTAAGACAGGCTGAGCGGACTGGAGCGTCAATGGAAGTCCCAAGCCCAACTCGGGGGCTCAGAAGAAGTTTGCATTCGCGAGGTCCCGGCTCGGGGGGCGTGTTCCAGCCTGCCGGCGCTCCTGGCGCGGTCTTCCGAATCGATGAAGAGGAAGAAAACAGCCAGAGCGGGTCGCTGCGAAAGACTCGAACGCCAAAGAACGCAGCCGATCGCAGCTCGCAGTACAGCGACCCATTCAAAGACCCGCCGCCAACCGCCGACTCAAATGACCCAGCTGCGGAGCAGCGTCGCAGAGAAGTGCAAGGCTGGGTGGACGACTGGCAATCGGCGGCATCGTCAATACTATCGCGCAACCCCAGCCAAGCGCAGACCAACCGAACCTACTCGAATTTGTCGCAAGCCCACTCGTACATGCAGACCAATCAAAACAGTAGCAGCAGTGGTGGCCCATCAGGACGAGGCTCGCCAGAGAAGTCAGATCGGACAGGTAGCAACCTGTCAGAGCGCAGCGCATACTCTCAACTATCGTTCCAGAGATCGGTCAATGGCACGGTATCTCGGAATCAATCCCAGCGAAGTGCAAGCGCCGGCTATACCATCTTTTCCGGTGCTGCAGCCGCTATGGGTCGCTTGGGCTTGAGCCGAAATCAACAACAGCCTGACAGTGCAGGATCGGGAATTTCACGTGAAACATCAAAGCGCAGCGTGTCAATGCGAGAGTATGGATCGGCGGGTCCTGCACCATCGATGCGCGAGCGAGCGGATACGTTTTCGTCCATGCGCAGCGCGGTAGGGGCTATTCAACCAGGCGAAGACCATGCTCTGCTCGGAAGGCTGAATACTCGACCTGGTACCGCCGACGACCATTCAAAGCCGCCCGTAAGTCCGGTCAAAGATCGCGAGGGCAAGTACGGGAGAGCGAGCAGCCTGACGCGCACGGGAGCCATGGCGATGGGGCTCCTGGGCAGCGTCAAGAGGGTCATCACTGGCACAGGCGGAGTCAGCGTGCATGAACGTGTGGCTGCTTTGGAGCACACGAGTCCCACCAAATCCGCGAAGGATGAGTCCCCTCAAAGACGGCTCAGTCCTAGCCAAGAGTTCTGGCGAGGGCAGAGGGGAGCCCAGGACTGGAAAGTAGTGGCTGGTGAGATGGGCGCAGAAGGAGCCTCACAGTCACGGACGATCCGGCGCAAACCTGTACCTAGTCCGGCGCAGCAGGACGAGGGAGACTGGGACGTGGAATCGGCAGTCCAAAATCGGGTGGTGCAGGTCATGTTCACGGTACCCAAGGAAAAGCTGCGGGTGGTGAATGCCGACGCGCTCAGCTTGTTGAGCAGCAACAAGAGTGATGTCGATCACGACGAGGAGAAAGAACGCGAGAAGGAAGTGAAGCGCATGTCGAGCGTGCGCGAAGCAGACGAAGCTGATACAGGTTGGAAGGGCAAGGAGCCTGATCGAGGTTGAGAGTGCAGATGCGTGTGTTTATGTTGACCACATGGTGTACATTGGGGGGCACATCTGGGGCGTACCGCCTGGAGCTGGTATTATTACGACTTTGTGGATGAGCGATGATTTGGTTGTCATTATTGGATTGAGATGATAGAGCAGACTTGAATATGATACAACTTTTTGTTGATTCTGACCCGTATTCGTACAGGCCCTCGATGGTCGTCACCTCAAGACTCACGTGCCAAAAAGGCCCGAAAGGAAGCGAGGCGCTCGGCAGAATTCTTCTCAACTCTCGTCCCCCCAGCCAACCCCATCTCTTGCTCACTCTCGAAGCTTTGCCAGGCGTGGTCGAGCCTTTTGTCCAGGCGAACGCCACCTAACCTAGCTCGCTGGGTTTCCCCGCCTTGCTCTCTGCCTTGCCCTGTCTACCCGTCATCATGGACTCGCTGGAGCGAGCAGCGAGTAGCGGTGGGCGTCGGTGGGTAGCGGAATCTGGGGTGAGCGAGATCTCATCACTTTTAATCCCGATCTTAGCTGGTGCTTCTCGACACTACTTCGCTCCAGCTCGCTGTTGCAGCACACTCGGACGAACAAACCCGCAGCCTTGCTTGGGGTTTCTACAGCGGTAGTGGCAGCATTCTAGACCTGACCTCGACCTAGCATCCCCATGTCTGCAATATGAGCCGTCGATCCACCGAGCCCAACAATTGCACCACCTCAGCTGCGCGATCGTGCTTGGCCTCGTGGTCGTGACGCATGGCTGAGAGCCTCACAGTCTGTGAGACATGGCGGCGGACAGAGGACAGGCGACCTCGTCGGTCACCCTCATCTTCACCGTCATTGCTACTGTCTTCATTTTCGCCCGATTCTTCACACGAATATGGCTCATGAGATCGATCAAGAACGACGACTGGTGGATCCTCGCCGCATGGCTCGTCGCCGTCGGCTTCTCAACCTCAATATGCGTCGGCGTGCGGTACGGGCTGGGCAAGCACCGTGACCACATCTCCGATGGCGACTTTGCGTCTCTCCGGGAGGCGCAATATGCCCTCGCCATCCTGTACAACCCGGCGCTGATGCTGACGAAGACGTCTATCATCACATTCTTCCTTTCGGTTATGAGCAGGGACGTCGATAAGGTCTTCAAGTGGTGCAATTGGCTGACCCTGGCTGTGGTGAACGTGGGAGGCGCCGCCTTTACCTTCTTAGCCATATTCCAGTGCATTCCTGTTGCCGCTGGCTACAAGTTCCCCATCCCGGACAACGCTCGATGCACCGATATCGTGACACTGTACCTCTCATCCGCACCTGTCAACATCATTACCGACATCGCCATCCTCCTCTTGCCCATGCCCATCCTCACCAGCATGCGGCTCCCCAAGAAACAAAAGATCATCCTCGTCTTCACCTTCAGCTTTGGTGCCTTTGTCGCTGTGGTCGACGTGGTGCGGCTCGCCTACCTGCAGAACGCCTCCACCGACCGACTCCACGAAGCACAGGCGAACTCCGGCACGCGCAACCCAGGTCAGCTTGACAATGACTTCTCCTATGATGCCAGCTTGAGCTTCATGTGGAGCGCCGTCGAGGTACACCTAGGCATCATCTGCGCCTCTGTTCCCGGCCTGAAGCCACTCTTTCTCCGGTTCTTGCCCTCCTTCATCAAGGACGCCGCTGATGACTCGCCGCCGAACACGAGAAACAGCACCGACGCCGGCCAGCCTGACGCCCACACCGGCCCGCTCAAGTCCGGCAATATATCGACACTGAACAATCCTGCCGCATTCCGTCGACCCGTCATCAAGGAGTACGCCGGCAGCGACGACGGCGACAACATGGGCTTCCTCAACATGCTGGCCGGGCCGGACGAAGACGCGCAGGGGGGAGGACGAAGTTCGGGCCCGGGCCTCGAAAAGACGCGCACCAACACGCTGCGCCTGACGAGGACCAATACCCAAGCCACCGTGTCGGATTTTGGCTTCGTCAAGATGGCGGGGACCAAGAACATGCTGAAGCTGAGCAACAAGCAGAGCGTGTGGCCCATCGCGGTCGTGACCGTCATCTTCTTCCTGTGGGGGTTCGCGTACGGCCTGCTCGACCAGCTCAACGCGCAGTTCCAGCGCGTCGTCAAAGTCTCGACGTCGCAGGGTTTGGCGTTGCACGCCGCCTACTTCTCGGGCTACCTGGTCGGCCCGCTGAGTCTGGGCCAATTCATCCTCAAGCGCTACGGCTTCAAGGCCAGCATGATGACGGGTCTGTGCGTGTACGGGTGTGGGACCCTCGTCTTCTGGCCCTCGGCCGTCCTCACCTCGTACACGGCGTTTGTCATCTCCAACTTCATCGTCGGCTTCGGCCTGTCGTGCCTGGAGATCGCCGCCAATCCCTTCATCGCCCTGTGCGGGCCCCTCGAGTACGCCGAGGTGCGGCTGAACCTGTCGCAGGCGTTTCAGGCCGTCGGCACCGTCTGCTCCCCGCTGCTAGCCCGCAAGGTGCTCTTTGACCAGACGGCCGCCTCGCCGTCTCTGCTCGACACGCAGTGGGCGTATCTCGGCATTGCGTTGTTCGTGTACGCGCTGGCGATCGCGTTCTACTACATCCCGCTCCCTGAGGCTACCGACGAGGAGCTCGCCGAGCTCGCCGACCGGCGAGAAGCGGTTTACAATACCCGAGTCGGGCCCTGGAAAGTCATCTACGTGACACTCGGCCTGGGCGTCTTCAGCCAGTGGTGTTACGTCGCGCTACAAGAAAGCATCGGCGGCAACACGCAAACACTATACCGCGTCCTCAAGCCCAACTCCAGCCTCCAACCCGCCGACTACCAGACGGTCGGCCACACGGTATTCGCCATCGGCCGCTTCCTCGCCGCCTTCCTCAACTACGTGCTCAAACCGCGGTGGATCCTGCTCGTCCTCTACGGCTCCCTCATCATCCTCTGCGCCGTACAGATGACCGCATCCGGCGCGGGCGGCGCGGCGGCGCAGCTCCTGATCATCTTCTTCGAGGCCGGCATCTTCGCCATCATCTTCGCCATGTGCATGCGCGGCCTGGGGCGGCACACCAAGACCGGCTCCGCCTTCATGACGGCCGCCATCTCGGGCGGCTCGGCGCTGCCGGTCATCCAGTGGGCGGCGGCCAACGTCGGCGGCATCAAATACTCGTACTGCGTGCCCCTCGCCGCCGCGGCTTTTGCCATGCTGTTCCCGATCTACCTCAATCTGGTGCCGGCCGCGAAACGGCAGGTCGATCCTATACATGAACGGCGGCTGGCGCAGCGGGAGAAACGAGCGGCGGCACTACAGCGCTCAGATACTGCCGTGTCCCGGGCGGCGAGCGTGTCGAATCAGTTTGGCATCGTGGGCATCGTGGCGCGGCACAAGAAGCACAACCGGAGCGCCACTGACGTGCCGAGCTCGGAGCACGTGGAACGGCCGAGGCGGTCGCCGACCCTGGGTGCCTTGTCGGAGAAGGATGGGGGTCAGAAGACACCGGAACGGGAAAGGGACAGGGAAAAGGAAGATGCAATCGTGCAGCTGCAGTCGCCGCAAGGGCTGGTGGGGGACCTGCAGCCGTGGCCTGATGGGGAAGGAGGTGAGAGCAGCAATAGCAATAGCAATACCACCAGTGGTGGTAGCCAAGAAGAGCAGGAGAGGGCGGTGGTGGCTCGGCATCGGCCGATCTGGGATGAGGACGATTTCGATGACTATCATGACATTATGCGGAAAATGTGAATATACACACACTACTGGCTACTGGGTATCGGTATATCCGGTGTGGGAAGACTTTGGAATTTGTGGCGTTCACGCGGGCTGGTGGTGCATGTGGGAACGGTTGGGTCGGCCGACAAATCTGCATTGGATGGGGATGGCTTCAGCGTTGGAAAGCGGGCGAACGGTTGTGCAGTATGCAGTCTTCATGGTCTGGCCAGCAAGTCTGGTGGGTGAGAAGATGGGCAATCAGCATTCCAAGCGGCGGCGGTTTTTCTCTCTCTACGCATCTGTATAATTGGGCCGCGCGGTTGGTGTGGACAAAAATTCCCTTGAGAGAATGGTCGAGAAGAGTGCGATCGAGTCGGACACGGGCCACAGGCGTGAACAGTTCAGAGTATTCTGCAGAACAGCAAGCAGGAATGGAGACTTGTCTTTGTAGATTTTTTTTTCTCAGTTACACTGCATGTAGCGACTCAGCGAGCGAGAAAGGCCGTTGGGATGGGCTGCAGAGGGCATCGAAGCCGGGCGTCTAGGCGTTGACGCAGTATCGCAATTGGTGCGATGGGGGGTTTCCGGTTCCCAGGTGCCAATGTATGCCATGTGCAGACAGTCAGACTTTTTTCTCTCTTGTTCCTTGCATGAGGTGCATGCACATTAAGCGTGCATTTGGTACCTGAAAAAACGAGGAGGGGCCGACTCGCCGAAGCCTGCCGAGGGGTGTGTGGCACCCATGCCAGCGAATCAGCTTGGACCGGGTTGCGTCTGCCGCCCATCCGCAAACGGCCGTGTCGGCGTTTCAGCCTGAACCCGCGGCGGTCCTGGCCGGGCGAAATCCCAAAGATTCGGGGCGGTGGGCGCAGAAAGCATCACGCCAACGGGCTCGGATGAGTTTGGATTAAGCCTTTGATGGGGCCGATGCCAGGTCCAGGGGAGGAGGATGGGGAGAAGGAGGAGGGAGAATGCCCGGGCGACAGCCTTGCTTGCTCCAAACCAACACAGACCTCCGTACCACGGCAGGAGCGACACTCTGCTCCACCGCGTGGGTTGACAACAAACGTGCCCTCGCCGTTCTCTCTCTCTCTTCCCATTGTTCGCCTTCCTCCACCAACCAACCCCATCCTTCGTTCCTTCCACACACATTCATTCTTTGTCTTTTGCCGCCGCTGGAGCAGAGCTTTTCTCGGAACCCACCTCCACGCCCTCAGTCAGTCTTTATCTACCCCCCCGCCAGTCACTCATTCTTTGTGCCAAACTTATCACTCTCTCCCATCTTTCTTCAAGACCCTCTCTCGCAGACTAGACGTCTCGACAGACCGTCACCCTCCTTTCCACAACTGCTCTTCAGCACTCCTTACCTGAGCCTCAACTTGCTGGTCAACTTTGTCACCACGACAAAAACAGACACATTCCTTGCACACTTGCGCTTACTTGCTCGCTGTCGCGCTCTGGTAGAAGCCGCGTCGCATTTGATCCCTCGATCGCATACACACTCACACAACACGACCAACCTTTGAAATGGCTCCCATGAAGAACATTCTTGCCGCGCTTGCGCTGGCCTCTTATGTCTCGGCTGTGCCCATGGCCGTCGACCGTCGCGCCGAAATGGTCACCGAAACCGAATGGGTGACGGTCGAGACCACCACCACCGTCTGGGTCAACGAGCCCTCCCCGGCGGCTCAGGCCGAGAACACTCCTCCCAAGGCCGCCGCTGCCGTGACCACTTCCGCCCCCGCCCCGCCGGCAGCTACTACCCCTGCCGCTGCTGCGGCTCCTGCGCCTGTTGCGCCCCAGGACAACGCTGCTCCTGCTGCGTTCGCTGAGCAGCCTCAAGCAGCCCAGCCCAGCGCCCCAGCCGTGTCCAGCTCTGCCGCGGTGGTCCAGCAGGCGCCCCCCGCTTCCACTCCTACCGTTCAGCCCAAGACCGCTGGTGCTTCGAGCGGCGGCCCTTGCGAAGGTGAGGGCAGCGCCTGCACTGGCGACGTAACGCACTATGACGGCGGTCTCGGTGCCTGTGGCTGGAATGTCGATACCGCCAGCGACATGGCCATTGCCCTACCCCACGGTCTCATGGGCACCCAATCCAACGGCAACCCATACTGCGGTCGCAGTCTGTCCATCAAGGCCTCTGACGGCTCCGTCGTCAAGGCCACTGTTGGCGACAAGTGCATGGGCTGTGAAGGCCAGAGCATTGACCTGACCGACAAGCTGTTCGCCGCAGTCGTTCCCAATGGCGATGGCCGCGTTAGTGGTGTCGAATGGTGGTTCGACTAGACTGAGCCCAACGCTCATTTGGCTTCTGTGAAGCACACATTCATGAACAAACCCACATTCTTTTCGAGTCACGAACACTTGGACAAAACTTTTGATATGAAATGACGACAATCCCAGACAATTTGCACGGAATAGGTTTTGGCGCGCACACGGGACAAAGCGTTTTGGGAAAAAAAGAAGCGACTCCTCTTGACAAGGTATCGCTGGCGTCAATCTACAGGAACTTCATCTGAACGGAAAAGATGGGGCGCAACAGGAAAAATGCATATTCTGGAAAAGGGAAATTCTTCTTTCTGGTGGGACATACCTTTATAGACAAAACACCCATAGGCTGCCTCCATGCTTGATGCTGGAGTGCGAAGTCGCTACTTTTGCCAGCAGCAACTCCCTCGTCCACTTTGCTGATTTGCCCTCCATTTCTTATCCGTGCCTCGTATATCACGACATTGCGATACTGGGACAAAAGTAATAACAGTGACGTCCCATCAACCTTCTCATCAGATCGTCGCGGTCGCAGATCGTCGCGGTTGCGCGGTTCTGACGGGTCACGGGTGTGGCCGCAAGATCTTGAAAAGAAAGGTCATGATGTGCAAAGGGATGTGCAAGGGATGTGCAAGTTCCTTCTACATTAGTAGGATCGACGGGGATCGTCTCAGAATAAAATGGCAGTTCCTTGTGGTGGAGAGAAGAGGGGAAGGGGGGGGGGGGCCAAGGAGGTGGTGCACGGGCCACATTCCTGTTCCTGGCGGGGGCGGGGATGGTAGTGCAGAGTTGTGCCACGTATCTTAGATGCGGCGGCGGCGGGTGTTATTAGCTTGTGCGGCTCGTAAGGCATAGTGGAATCATTGGTAGGTGTCGCGAGCGGACGGATTGATTTACAGTAGTACTTGGGGCGGAGGAGGATGGTGCAACGAGAACCACAGCCTCACACTCACTTATATTTGCTGGTGTGACCGAATCGGACTTCCAGCGGATGAGGTTGGGCACGATAATGATTGCTGTAGGGTACGAGGCTGACTGATGCTATGACGGTGCCCTGCTGGCTGGAGAGCATCGACGAGGTGGAAGGCCTGTATCAGAACAAGAGGTTGGTGGAGAGAGAGCTGGTTGTGATCAGGACGCAGCAGCACCAGTTCCATTCTCAGTACTGGCCAACGCGTAGGCCTGGAGTCAGGAACACGTCTGGAAGGATCTGGCCTCGAGCTGGTGAGTCTAGGCTCTCATAAGGCAGGCGCATGAAATTGATGATGCTCGTACAGATGTACAGACGTATCGTGAGCATGCACCGCGTACACGACCTTCAGCCGGCTAGGAGGATAATCAATTTGACCTTCCTGAAGTGGTAGTTTCGCGACGCAAACCGTCTAATGACGAGGATGCCAAGCCTCTTAACGCGAGTGGAAACCACGCGCCTCCAAAAGCGCGTCTCGTCGAGGGCTAGCCAAAATCCACTTAAACACAACAATGATTTCTCAGCATCTTCTCTTCTTGCTCACTCCTCCAGACACGATACCTCTCTCTACTTCAAGTACTCGCTGTCACTGATCCTGTGCAGGTCGTTGAGAGTGATTAATTAGCGGTCATTGTGCAGAATTTGCACCTTGCCACACCCCTCCCTTCATTGACCACGAGACAACCAAGAGACAGCCATCATGTTTGTCTTCAAGCGAGGTACGTGTGAACGAGGACTTTACCGAGTGGCCTACAGATCACTCCAACCCATACATAACACCGTGCTGACCTCAGAACAGATGGACGCAAGGAACGCGTGCAGTTCGACAAGATCACAGCTCGTGTCTCGAGACTGTGTTACGGCCTCGACCCTGACCATGTCGATCCTGCCGCAATCACTCAAAAGGTCATCTCTGGTGTCTACCAGGGTGTGACTACCATCGAGCTTGACAACCTCGTAAGTTGCCCTCTTCAACGCGTCGACTGAATCTAACCTCTCCAGGCCGCTGAGACCGCAGCTTATATGACTGTCACCCACCCAGACTATGCCATCCTGGCTGCCCGTATAGCCGTCTCCAACCTCCACAAGCAGACCAAAAAGCAGTTCTCATCTGTGATTGCTGATCTGTACAACTATATCAACCCCAAGACCAATAAGCCGGCACCCATGATCTCGGACATGACCTACAACAGCATCATGAAGCATGCCGATGAACTGAACTCAGCTATCGTCTACGAGCGAGATTTCAACTACCAATACTTTGGTTTCAAGACTCTCGAGAGATCATATCTGCTCAAGATTGGCAAGAAGATTGCAGAGAGACCACAGCACATGCTAATGCGTGTTGCCGTTGGCATCCACGGTGATGACGTTGAGAAGGCTATCGAGACCTACAACCTGCTATCTCAGAAGACCTTCACTCATGCTTCGCCAACCCTGTTCGCTGCTGGCACTCCTCACCCGCAGCTCTCCTCATGCTTCCTCGTCGACATGAAGTCGGACAGCATCGAGGGCATCTACGACACTCTCAAGACCTGTGCCATGATCTCCAAGAGTGCAGGCGGTATTGGTGTCAATGCTCACTGCATTCGTGCCACTGGCTCCTATATTGCAGGTACCAACGGCACTTCTAACGGCCTCATCCCAATGTTGCGCGTTTTCAACAACACTGCCCGCTATGTTGACCAGGGCGGCAACAAGCGCCCAGGCGCCTTCGCCGTCTACCTTGAGCCTTGGCACGCCGATGTCTTCGAATGGCTCAACCTCCGCAAGAACCATGGCAAGGAGGAGGTTCGTGCCCGCGATCTTTTCTACGCTCTGTGGACCCCTGATCTGTTTATGGAGCGTGTTGAGAAGAACCAGGAATGGACATTGATGTGCCCCAACGAGTGCCCTGGTCTCGCTGATGTCTACGGCGACGAGTTCAATGCTCTGTACACCAAGTACGAGAATGAAGGCCGTGGCCGCGCCACCATCAAGGCACAGAAGCTGTGGTATGCCATTCTCGAAGCCCAGACTGAGACCGGCAACCCATTCATGCTCTACAAAGATGCTTGCAACCGCAAGTCCAACCAGAAGAACCTTGGCACTATTCGCAGTTCCAACCTGTGCACGGAGATTATCGAATACACTGCTCCGGATGAGGTCGCTGTCTGCAATCTTGCTTCCCTGGCCCTGCCGGCCTTCGTCGACCAGGCTCGTGGCGAGTACGACTTCGGTCGTCTGCACGAGGTTGCGCAGGTTGTCACCCGCAACTTGAACAAGATCATCGAAATCAACTACTACCCCGTACCAGAAGCCAAGAAGAGCAACTTCAGACACCGCCCTATCGGCATTGGTGTTCAGGGTCTTGCTGACGCGTTCCTTGCCTTGCGTTTGCCGTTTGACTCGCCCGAGGCTAAACAGCTCAACATCCAGATCTTCGAGACGATCTACCACGCTGCTCTGACGGCCTCGTGCGAGATCGCCAAGGAGCTGGGTCCGTATGAGACTTACCCAGGATCCCCCATCTCGCAGGGCATCCTGCAATACGACATGTGGAACGTTACCCCATCCGATCTGTGGGACTGGGACTCGCTGAAAGCTGATATTGCCAAGTATGGCGTGCGCAACTCTCTTCTACTGGCGCCGATGCCTACTGCCTCCACCTCGCAGATCCTGGGCAACAATGAGTGCTTCGAACCATATACCTCCAACATTTATTCTCGTCGTGTCCTGGCTGGCGAGTTCCAGGTTGTCAACCCCTGGCTTCTCAAGGATCTGGTCGACCTCGGCCTATGGTCTGAGAACATGAAGAACCGTATCATCGCTGAGGGTGGCTCTATTCAGAACATCCCCAACATTCCCGCAGATATCAAGGCTCTCTACAAGACTGTCTGGGAAATCTCCCAGCGCACTGTCCTACAGATGGCTGCTGACCGTGGTGCGTTCATTGATCAGTCACAGTCCCTCAACATTCACTTGAAGGAGCCTACCATGGGCAAGATCACCAGCATGCATTTCGCCGGCTGGAAGATGGGTCTCAAGACTGGCATGTACTATCTCCGAACCATGGCCGCCTCGGCGCCCATCCAATTCACCGTCGACCAAGAGGCTCTCAAGGTGGAAGATACCAACATCGCCCGTGACCGCGCCGGTGGCAGGAAGAGAGGCAGCCTCGGCCCCGAGACCCGCCTGACTGCTATTCCTCGCCCCATGTACATCGCGAAGGGTGGCAACGGTAGTGCCGAGAGGATCAACGGCGCTATCACTCCTGCTGCCACTCCCCCTCCCGTCGAGGAGACCAAGCAACTCGGCAGCAGACTCGCCAAGACCAGACTGTCTGATGGGCAGAGCAGTGGCGAGGCTAGCCCGCAAGTCCTCGCCACCGACCCCGTCGGAACTCCTGACCTTGACGAGGAGCTTGACGCCAAGAAGAACCAGGAGGAGGATGCGAGCGAGGACCGCGAGGGTGACATCTACGCGCAGAAGGTGCTTGCCTGCTCCATCGAGAACAAGGAAGCCTGCGTCATGTGCAGCGGTTGAAGCTAAGGCTACGACGGAGGCGACTGACGGGGGAGAGTTGACGAGACACGGAGTGCTTGACGAAGCATATGATGTGGCATGGGAACCTCATTTTCCTTTTTGTGTGTGTTGACTGTTTTTGCTACGTGTTTCCTGGGCATGGGCATTGATCGAGTGCTCGGGCTCCTTGTACCTGGATATTATAACAAGGCTCTCATCGATGTGTATGGATTACCGGCATGGGATGGGCGCATTTGCGTGGCGTTAGATCCCGCAAAGACTTTTATACCGAGCAAGTCTTTTTTTCTTTTAACGAGCAAGTCGATAATGAGACTACAATCCAAGCCAACACCTCTTTTTCCGTGATACAGGTGTATCTTTTTTTTGAAGCGAGTGCACGTAAATCGTGATTCCTGTGCTGTATAGTGAGATCAAAGATTGGGTTGCTCAATCCGCAGCGCCATCGTGCCTCCAGTAGCCCGCCTCAGAGCAACCCGCCTGCTCGCCATGCCTATGCGGCTCTCCTCAAACATGTCGTCCGCATCCGTGACGATCGGCCCTGGATCCTGTTTTCCGTTGCGGTCTTCAAATGCGGTAGCCGTCAAGCCTTCAACACTCAGCTTCGCCACCATGTCCCGGGTTTCTGGAGAGTTGTGCAGCAGAGCGCGTGCCGCAAGGACGGATGCGAAGATGATGAATGCCAGATTGGACGCGAGCAGAGCAACAAGGGACCACAGAGGCACCTTGGCGACAAGCATGTCGATAGTTGTGGCCTCTTGGAGATTTCCGCGTGGCGACATCGCCGAGGCAATCAGCGCGACGGTGTCTTGCGAATGCAGGTTGGCATATGTGCGGGCAAAGGCGCTCATGCTCGAGGTCAAGCTCGCCATACTCTGGGCTTGCGACAAGCTCGGCATACCGGAAGCTTGCATTCCATGGGCGAGTTCCAGAATACTGCCGTTGGTCGTTTCGACTCGACTAAGTTCCTGTATATTGTTACCAAACCATGTGTAGTTGACCTCGTAGGCTGTCACTGAGCAATTGAGTGTATATGCTATAAGGGAATCGCCAATAGCGAGTGCTGCTGGATCGCTGAGGAGATTTCGGCCGTCCGCATTGCGTTGGACGGGCACCAGGCCAGCAACTGCCAGGTGATATCTCCTGAGGAGACTATTCTCGGGCAGAGCGCCTTCCCCGGTAGAATCCGTATTCAATCCAGGCGTGCCGCCTATCGAGTTGTATGGCTCATTCAAGTCAGAATCCGCAAAGTATGCATACTGAAAATTCCGGTCAAGCTTGAAGTTGAAGTCAGGCGTTGTATCATCAGTCCTGGTCCAAGTCGCGGTGTCCTTTGCCACGGACTCGGGGGCTCCCAAGGCACCTCGGAAGTCTTGTGTGCAGTTGAACAGTACGTAGGTCTCGTTCGAATCCAAGCCAGCGGTGACACGTACGACGCAGCGCTGAGTCAACGGCGAACATTGTGTCGCAACGCCAATGGTAGATGCGGTAAAATCTCGTCCAGACTCCAGCGTCTCTGTCTGAGGCATAAGTAAAACCAGGTCTTGCCGGGGCTCCATGTCGTCCTTTATTTGCCATGCACTGTTGACCTTTGAATGATTTGCTTGCATGGAAATGATCTCGCCAGAGTCGAATGCAACGGCGTTGGCACCGACGCTAGCATCAGCAACGACCGTGCAAGGCAGGCCCTGGTTTCGACTCCTGTCAAAATCGATACAGTGGCTAGCAAGCCCCCTCCCATATGAGCCGCTTGGATGACTTTCCAGGGTAGAAAGTCTGATAGCAACAGTTGATGTGAAATTATGAACACCAATGTCGGCCAAGAGTACTAGTCCTGCCAGAACTATGCTCAGGAAAAGCACAAGGGCCGATCTGCTCAGGATCGCGGCTTCTGCCGCCCTGAAGCGGCGGCATCGGTAAATGATGTACCTTCGAAGCTCATCGACTGAGCCTGCAGATAGGCCGACCAGAATGCTGAGTTGTTGAGGCGTAGGCAGCTTTTTCGGATTCCCCCGTTGGGATAGCTCGAACAAATGCCGCGCTGTGGGATAATGCCACAGGGTCATCAGGCTTCCAAGCAGCATTGGTGCAAGGGTACTGCTGAATCCAGCCAAAAATACAAGCTGCGTTGCGGAACGATTGACCAAGACATTTGCGCGGTCGTCCCAGGAAGATGTCTTATTGTCAAAGGGACTCGTTTGATCCGTCTTGGCCCTGTCAGCTATCACGATGCCAAAGAAGGCGGTGGTGAATGCCAATATAGGCACCACAGCCAACAAGACCGTCCACCACAGTGGAAGATTCTTGTAGTGCCTCGACTGTAGTCTTTGGACCGGAGACGCGGGTGATGTGGATGACAGAGACCATTCTTGCTCCTGGTTTCGAACGGGCAGCGGCTCTTTGGTGTCAATGTTGTACAGGGTCGGTACGTTCCCAACTTCGCGTTTATGTGTCTCGAGCGTGTGCTTCCGGCTAGCTGAAGATTGGAAGGACTCGGAGCTCTTGGGCTGCCGCAGCGGCTGGTCGAGCGGTATACCGTTCAAAAAGCGAAGGGACATAGTGCATGGATTGTCTCATGCGAAGAAAAGGTGCGAGTCCTCTCCGCCGAAGGAGACAGCTGGATCAAGACACAAGTGGTGGGAATGCATGCACGTTCATAAACTTACCAAAGTCTGGATTGTTCTGCTTTCGCGTTTTCAAACAGGCGTAGCGGTGGTACATGACACTTCCCACAAAATGGCCGCAGGAAGCGGCCGGCAACCCACGTCCACCAGCGCTTAGGACTCAGCGCCTAATTATTCAGCAATGATTGGACGATAAGGTACAGTGTGGCCAGCAGAACGCGCCGGCATGCATGAGCAGTGCCGCAGCTGTTGGATGTCACATGGTTCTTGGACGCTACTCACGCCATCGCGAAGCTGTATGGTTAGATGCAGGGGAAGAACGAGTCGAAGAGAAGAAGCCGAGATTCAAAGACGACGTGAAGGGCTTGGCAGGAGTAACGGACTTGCGGATACGGAGATTCTTTATTCCGAAGTGCCTGGCGGGCAGTGCTGTGTCCGACCGCGTCAAGTCGCCATATTTGATTTGCTTGCTACCGGGCTGCAGCTTCGGTCACAGCACCTGAAACGAACGTCAGGCTTGGTCACTGAACTGCAGAACTGACGGATTCCTCTCGTTGAAAGTCTAGAACTAAACTAAGTATCGAGCTAGACCCTTTGTGGCTTACTCGGCCTCCTGGTCGATGAGCTGGTATTCCTCATCCAGATAATACCACTCTTCATACTCGGACGGCTTGGGCGCAGCCGGCTCCGGACGAGACTCTCGGGGCAGCTCGAAGGAACGCGTCGTCTCGCCAGGCGCGACGTAGCTATCGTATTCGGGGAACGAAGTCTGGTTGAAGTTGACTTCGCCGGCGTCCTCATCGCCCGAGATCAGGTCCTTCCAGTACTGGTGGCCGGTGGGGATGACTTCGTCGATGATGTACGAGGCGCTCTGGTAGGTCTCACCGACAATGGGGATGAGGTCGTCGCCGCGTGCCACCTTGTAGTAGGTGAACCAGTCGCGGAACGCCTGGGTGACGCCGGGCCGGTACTTCTCGACATCCTCCCAGTCATTGATGAACTCGGCGATGGGGTCGTTAACGTCGATGACGAGGACCTTCCAGTCGGTTTCGCCGCCGTCGTTGGGCGCCAGGCCGCCGAGGATCTTGACCTGCTTCACTTGGCCGACGTAGCCAACGTCCTGTCCGATGTCGAAGAAATCGATTGGGTCGTTGTCGCCGGGCGCTTCGGTGAAGGAGTGGTTGACGTTGGGGTTCTCCCACGTCTGCGGGATGGAGCCGTAGACGAAGGGGTATGTCTTGTGGGGCCAGACTGACTCGACGAAGCGCGGTGCGTCGTTGCGGTCGTCGTCTTGAAGCGTTGTTAGCAAACGTGAACACAATTCTCGGTTGCTAAGGGATAGGGCGTGGGGTTGCTTACGGAAGATGGGGTTCAATGGCTCTGGTCGTCGGATTTCAATCTTGCCATTCTCCCATCTCGGGATCTCGACAACAGCATTGACGATAGCTGGCTCGCTCTCGTCGGGGTAGAGGGGCACATCATGCCAGAAGCTGATCGGCTGGCACTTGTGCTCGAGCCAAACTCTCCATTCCTACCAGCAATGTCAGTCAGGATCTCACTGTCCTTAGCATAAGTCCTACCAGAGTGTTGCGCCCGCCAACTTCACGGAGACTCAAGGCATCGTAGTCAAACTTTCCATCGTCGGGTCCTGGCTTGCATCCTCCCTTTGGTGGGCCAGGTTTCCCTGGGCCAGCATGACCACCTGGCTTACCTGGGTGGCCAACAGGGCTGGCACTGGCGGTGACGGCAAGCGCAAGCGCGAAAACAGCCTGAGTCGCACGCATCGTGTCGGTCCAAGGAAAGAATGACTGGGACAACAGCGAGAAGAAATCCTACCTCATGGCGCGAACATCAGCCCGGCCTTATACACGGTCAGCGTCACCTGTGGAATAATCATCCACTCCATCTTTTCTTCTGCCCTAGGACGCAATCCAAGACTCTGGAGCCCATTTAAAGAGCTGCAGCACGCACGATGCGGACCCCCTGTGCCGGTCAAACCGCATAAGAGCTCCCCGAAGTCGAGATAGAACCTTCCTGTCTGGTGTAGGATCAACCTGGGACGTCCAGGTAAAGGCACGTGGTCGAAATCAAAACGAATGAGGAAGACAACTCGATGCACGTGGGGGGGTTCGGCAAGTGTTCGCGAAGAGATTACAGCGGGGCGGAGCAAGATTGTGACCCCCAACGCTGGGCGCGAGGGAGAAGCGAGATCGAAAACGTGTTCGCCCTAGTGTTGGCGCCAAGACGATTCCTTTGGATTGCAGTTCGGAATGGCGGGTGAGGCATCGAGCCAGTATGCGTGTTGTCGGGGAGGCTCGAAGCTCTTCTCTCTTTTGTTGCATTCAACGTGTGGCGGTAGAGCCGTGTCGGTGCCAAGAGTCACGTGTCGGCTTAGATACCCGCCGCAGACGCCAAGATAACGGCATACCGCAAAAGTCTAGTCCCCTGCGAAGGCCGTCGAGCGCCAGTTGCGAGAGATCTCGATGCGTCGTTAGGGATAATGAATAGCCCAGTCGACCGGTGACCAATGATGCATCAACATCTCGGGTTCGTTTTTCCTCAGTGACATCCGAGGCGTTTGTATACGCCCATTGCGGTTGCAAGGCGAGGAGTGGAATGCTCATGGGTCTCTTCTGCTCCGGTCGGTCCTTTGTCGAAGGTATCCAACGAACTCGCTTTGTAGAGTTTTGGTCGCCTTGCTGGATGAATGAAGCTGTAGATCTTTTCCCGCCAAGACTTTCACTGCCTGCAGCCTTGGTGAGGACCGGTCTTATCCCAGGTCTACTCTCAACCGATGTCTTTAAGGCACATTATCAAGACCCCGATGGCCCTCGATAGATGCCGATCCCGCGGAAATGCTTCGAGAGGCCAAGTCCTGTGGTATCAACTTGGGACAGCAACTTCGGCCTCTTCGGTTAACAAAGCCTTGGCGTTGAACGCAAGATTCTGACAAAGACACATTAACTAAGCGTGGTAACAAGGTCGGTGTACGACCACCATATCGCTTGGCACCTGTAGTGTGTGCTCGTTCACGATGCCTCGCTTGGCCTGCTGCCGATGTATCGCCCAGGAATCGTCCCGAGCGGCGTATACCGCCCAAATAGCCAATATCCCGAGCTTGTCCGTGTACGAACCCCTCTTCGTGTCCCCGTGCAGCGGTTGCCCAATTCCACGGTTTCCCAATGTGGTAGGCGCTACTGTTGCGTCTCAGGCTTGAGTCATACCTCTTCTGAGCAAACAAGATCGTGTCGGTTCTTAGGGCGCCTGCCAGGTTGGCAGTTTCAACCGATGCGCTCGCACGCTGAGATCTCGAAACATGGCGAAATGGGTGCGGGCGCGAGCTACGACATTTCTGCCAACGAAACATCTGCGCATGGTCTGCTGTCGGTGCTGCCAAGAAGGTATCGCAGCACCATCTCCGCGCGCACGTCAGTGCAACTTGCTCATGTCTTGTTTCATGTGACATGCATGGGAATTTGGCTGTGCTCATAGTATCTCGTATAAATAGTGGTGTGACTTTGGCTTGGGACAGCCCTCTCATTGCCGAATGTTGAAGTCAACTTTACTCCATGGGGGAGAGCAATCCGATTCATGTTGACACCGATATGACGCCGGGGTTCATGGGTCGAGCCCTTTCGCAAGATTCGGTCAGCTCGGCCGGATACGACTCGATGCCATCCCTGAGTCCCGAATTTGAGGCTTTTCTGCTGCAGGAGAACACACGTGCTGTAAGTACAACCCGCGAAAAGTGATTTGCTTCAGCGGCAGGCCGCTGATCATAGGAATGCTTTAATCAGTGGTTCATGGATATTCCTCCATCCTCAGCGTTGTGGGATTTACCAAACAACTACTTCGAGCAACAACCTCCAGGCGGAGGAGGTTCCGTCGAGTCCAGGTCGCCAAAGAGCCTCGACCAGCTGCCAACGGAAAGCCTGTCGCCGGTGCCTGGTCTCCCCGGCGACCATAGGGCAACAGCGCCTGAGCAGGCCGAGTATAAGGTCGGTACTCTCGGCCGCAACATTCGTCTTGATAAGGACTAAATCATGTGGCCAGAAATTGAAGCGGCGGCATCAAAACCGCATGGCACAGAAGAACTATCGGGAGAAGAAGGAGCGTCTCATTAGCGACCTACGCGCAGATCTGGCAGTGGCGCGATTAGAAAAAGATGCCGCGGTGAAGCTGAATGAGAAGGTGGTAGCCGAGTTACATCAGGTGCATTACAAGTTGTTGCAACTGCAGCTGGGGGCGAAGCATAGCCGGGAGCGCGACAGGTAGACGTATTGACATCTCAAACGACCCTTTCGACACACCTTTTCATGGCTCTCGAGTTTCGAGAGGATGTGTCTTGTATAATAGGGCGTACCCATATCCAATTGTTCGGGGACCCCATACTGAGGCCCGCATACACCCTCCTCAACGACACCCATCGCCAAAATCGTCTGTGAGGAACCCATACCTGCCATCGTCACCATCAGCCCAATTGCCGGCCATCTCACTGCAGCGCATCGTTGCGACCCCCTTCGCTCGGCAAGATCTCCACCGAGAGCTAATATGCGGCATCATATATGCTGGCATGACAAGTGTGTCAGGGCTACGCCTGCTGTCGTCGTTATGTGAGAGGAGCTCCCTGACTTGCTAGTCCATACAGAACGCCCAGATATCGGTGTAGACCATGCATATTCCGATAAAATCGTCAGTCCACGGAAGATTTCTCTTCACCCATCACAGGGTAGCGGTCCTGATCAGGTGTCGTTTTTCGATTACTCAGCCTTTCTTGCTTGCGAGGAGAAGCACAACAGGCCACACCGCCCGAGTTGAGCCATGTAATCCTAGCGCCGTTCCCAGCTTGGGGAGCATGTCGTCCAAATAGGCAGGGCTGATGGTAGGAAACAGGCTCTCGAACCATCCACGAAACCAGTCAATATTCACCTCCTGCTGCCACTCGCTAGCATCTTGCACGAATTCCACCCGTTCCGAGAAGTCGATCTGGCTCTCATATCTCATATCAGCTAGATCCCAGTCTCGCACCCAAACATCTCGATTGCCCTGGGTGTTGAATTTGACTCTTTCCACGCTTGCCCACATTTGCGCAGGAAATGCGACGCAATCATACCCGCTCTGTTCGACCCATAACGTTCGCTCGCTCTCTTTGCTGAAATCCCTCCTGAGCTTACACCAACAAGCTTGTATCTCTCTGAAGATCGTCTCGGCAGCAGCGTTGTCCGGCAGTCGCGGCTGAGTGTAGTACCATGCCGCAAAAGTACCGCCGGGCTTTAGAGCTTGATGTGCTGCTGCGACCGTCCTTGCAGTGTCGGTCCAATGTAGCGCTTCACTCATAGTAACCATGTCAATGGTTCCAGTTGCGATCCAAGACATGTCCTCGGCAGAAGCCACTTTGAAGCTGAAGTTGGCATTAGTTGTCTTGTTCAACGATTGTGGTGGGCCGACGAGTCTTGTCCGCGCTGAGTCGACAGCCTTCTTCGAGAAGTCGCTGCAGATCACGTGTGTGAACTGCAGGGACAGAATCCCGGCCGTAATGCCAGGTCCGCAGCCGGCGTCATGTGCCGTGCCTTCAAACCTTCCCCCGTTTTCGACGTGGAAGGTGTAGATTCGCTGAAAGAGACTAGGCGGATACTCCGGTCGGTAGTCCTGATATGACTTCCACTGCTCAGAGCTGGTTGCATCGTAAGCATTCATTTGTTGTTGAGCCGTTGCTGGCTCGGGTTTGAGTGATGAATGATAGTCCATGTGACGACTCATGGTCGTGGCCATATTGCTTGATGGGCTCGTTTTAGGGAAGGCTTGAGTATCTGAGTTGTCGTTTGGTGACGGCCGTAGCGGCGAGGAGCATGAAGAAATAATAAACGTACATTGAAGAAAGAAGCAACTAAAGTGAGTGTCTCAATGAGGGAGGAGAAATGAGTGACAACGCAGGGTGTGCATGACTAGCAGGGTAGTCGCGTGCTCTGTAGCTTCTTTCTGCCTGAGGGGCGGCGTCAAGTTCTGAAGAGGACGAAACAAGCTCGAAGCGGCAGCGGATATTATGGCTATAGTGACGAACTTAGAGCGTACTGCACTATCCGCTTCCGCGAAGCGGGGTCAGTCTTGCCTCTAAATGACAACCACCGTGCCGAAGCAGCGCCTCACTGCCAAAGTCTCGTGAATTTAATGGACAGCAGGTTTCTTCATGTTTTGACGATCAACCAGGAAAACTGTCACACGACTCCACGTCTGCAGCATGCCAGCGTTGAGTACAGACAGTGCACACGACAAATCGATGCCAAGGCATGCAGCACTCGATGCACCGTCTGAGCACGTGGTCCTACTTTGAGTGTTGACTGGAGATTGATGTTGCCTAAGGCCCCAGGCGCCGTTCACTAGATGCTAAGTGCCGAGTGGGCGCTGACATGCAATGCATGATTATTGCTTCTGTCGAGGACTCCTCGGCTTACAGGGATGGCGCGCAACGTGCCGCCCCGTTGGACAAGAGTGCAGCATTGAAAGCGTCTGCGTGGATGGTCGAGATACTATAGCCGTTGAAAGCTCTAGAAGCATCTGGCGATGTCCTTGAGCAGCTAATCAACTGACTTCTTCATGTACTTCAGTCAAGGAGGATTCGAGGGTCTGAATCACAGCTGTAGCTCCCACAGGCTAAGTGGTCCTTGGTAGGTCTCGAGATCGCTTGGAGAGACTGCAGGCACGTAGCGGGATGTTAAAATGCTCGACTCTGGCATGGCGTAGCCGAGTTCGGACTGAGATGCGTGCGGTGGAACCTCTACAGGATTTTGTAGGGCTGTCGGCCTGGGCTTTGGGCATACGGTGCTCATAGCGATCCAAAGCAACAGTGTGGACATCTCGGTCTTTCCCTTAGCGTTATGAGTTTGTCCAGGCAGTGTGGCTCTAACTCTATTAAAGTCATTATCCAGAGGAGTTGCTGAACAACTCCGGTTTCGCTCTGTACGAAGCGGGCTCGGATAAGTAGTAAATCTATAAGGCATACAGGGGGCAATGGACACTCTTTGCAAACTAAAGTCGAGGATGCTGCAGACAGCAGTGATGTTGTAGGTGCAAGCGTAGTAAAAGACCAAACTTGGCCAGCCAGTTGGGAATGGGAAGCGATTGACAGTGGCTGAAAGACATGAAGGCGGTTTCGATGGGGAGCAGATACTCGCGGACCTTGGCAATATGGCTACGGCGGGCGACTATTACGATAGTGCAACTCCGCAACTTGACATTTTTGTGCACGCGCCCTCGTCGTCGCTCAAACATACACCACCGTCGCAATGGAGGAGAAAGGGGAGCACAGCCTACATGGGGACTCCGTGAGTGTCTCTACGGACTTCAGGTCTTACCAAGAACGTGTTACCGCCTCACTGGTCGCCGTGACCCGACAGGTCAGCGGCTTGTCTAACCAGGATCTAAGCTTCCATCGCTCCTCCAGCGAACAGGTCTCTCGTTCCCTCGACCGACAGAATGCCCATCTACTCCGTCTCACCAACAAGTTGTTGAAAGTCGCGACCCAAGATGCGAGCGTCAAGACCCCTCAGCTCAAGGACCAGGATGGCATCGATGATGACTGGCGCGGCTTGGTCGATGTTTTTGACGACCTGCTTGAGAAGGCCGATGCTTCTCTAGATGAGTTCACTGGTGCTATCAAACGCCTGAGTCCATCTGTCCCAGATCGTACGCAGACGCCCCCAAGACCTCAGAACGTTCCCAACTCTCGTTTTCCCCCATTCAAAATTGAGAAGCCTCAGTTACTCTTCAACAGGAAAGTGAACAATTTCGAGACTGCGCCGTGGAAACCTCTGCTCTCCAGTAAGCCACATGCCCTCGTACCGTTGGAGGACAGTATTGGCAATGCCACTACAGGGTGAGTTTCAACATGTGCAAAGAGACATGCCCTAACCCCACCCAGATACCGAAACCCCTACCGAGAAGAGATCGAGAACTACCAATATCCACCAAGAGTCTACCAGCAAGCCGAGCCTATACCATATCGTCCCCCACAGGAAGCTCCGGCCATCTATGTCGATACCGAAGATGCTGTTGCTGAGATGCTGCAAGAGTTGAAAGCAGCGGATGAGATAGCAGTTGACCTTGAGCATCACGATTTCCATTCTTACGGCGGAATAGTATGTTTGATGCAGATCAGTACTCGCAACAAGGACTGGCTAGTGGACACCCTCATGCCGTGGCGCGAGAATCTGCAGGTTCTAAACGAGGTGTTCGCCAATCCTGCCATAGTCAAGGTCTTCCACGGCTCAGCAATGGACATGATCTGGCTACAACGCGATCTAGGTCTCTACGTCGTGGGCCTTTTCGATACCTACTACGCGGCTGAGGCCCTGGACTTCCCCGGTAGAGGTCTCAAGCATTTATTACTACAGTTCGTCAACTTTGAGGCTCAGAAGCAATATCAGCTCGCGGACTGGCGGCGCCGTCCTCTTACACCACAGCTTATCGACTATGCGAGGTCTGATACCCATTACCTACTGTACATCTACGACATGATTCGCAACCTGCTGGTGGAGAATTCAACACCTGATAACAACCTGGTCGACCACGTCTTGAAAGGATCCAAGAAAGAGGCTCTACAATGCTACGAACGCTTCGTCTACAATGCCGAGTCCGGTAGAGGTTCACATGGCTGGTTTGGCATGATCACCGACCGCACACTCAACTTCACACCCCAGCAATTCGCCGTGTTCCGCGCTCTGCACCAGTGGCGTGACACCAGGGGTCGAGAGCTGGACGAAAGCGCTTCTTGGGTGCTACCAAACAGAGCACTATGGTCTCTGTCTGAAAATATGCCTTCCAATCCGACAAGCCTGTATGGGACCGTTCGACCAGTACCCGAATATCTGCAGAAGGAGGAAGTGATCAAGGAAGTCTTCCAGCTCATTCGTGATGCAAAGGAAGCTAGCAGAAATGACCCCCAACTACACGAAGCTATCAAGCAGAACGAGGCCAAATATGGCGCTAGACCCCAGAACAGATGGCGTAAAACCGCTCCCAAGGAAGACTCGAACAAGAGCCACCTGACAGGCCTCGGTGCTACGCTAAAACAGCTTACCGAAAACGGCGACATGGCTGCGAGTGCATCTTCATCCCCACCGGTCGAACCCAATGTCACAATCAGCGAACCGAAAGCTGCTCGATGCAAGATGTCGGGACTTTGGGGAGGAATTCCGTCGTTGCATGTAGGGACAAACTTCGACCCAACGATTGCTTTGGCTGCTGTGCAGGCTATTGCGCCGCTGCCCGTGGTTCAGATGGACTCGTTCACGACAGCGACTGGAAATCCTAACCAAACTGCATCACTTCAAGAAGAGGCGGCACCTGTGCCCCAGAGCATGTCTCCGGCTGACGATGTGTTCACGTTGAAGGATGAGTCTCGAGCATCGCGCAAGCGCAAAGCAGAAGAAGCCTTGGAGCCCGAGCCGGATGTTGAGCTGGCGTTCCGCGCTCCTGCTCCCGCAGCTCCCGAGGCCTATACACGACCCGGCGAAGGCTCTGCCACCATCAGTGCCGAGCGCCTCTCGGCTAAGCAGCAACGCAAAGCGGAGAAGAGGGCTCGCAAGGCAGCCAAGCTTGAAGAACAGGAGCGTCAGGCTCGCGAGATGGTGCCTTTCGACTACGACGCGGCCGAACCCCTGCTTGAGCCTAAAGATGTCGCCAAGAAGGACGTGGGCAAGAGTAAGGGCAAAGTTCAAGTGATGAATCCTTTCGCAAAGGCACTTGATACTGGCACCGGCGCGCGTCGCAATAACCTGGCGAAAGAAGGCGCTGGCAGGAGCATGACGTTCAAGTCGTGAGCTACCATACCCTTACTGTCGCTCCGATGAGCGTTATCACTTCCTCACGAAGATACCCTTTTTTAGTGCGAGCAGCGGTCTCTAGCACTAGCGTCCATCACAAGGTCCGACCTCGTCAGACTCACAACAAGAGATGAGACATTGGCGTTTGCCCAGTGTCGAGAAATCAATGAAGACAGAAATAATTGACCCTGCTAAGACACGTAACTGTTCTCCATCCCTCGCTCTCAATAACCCCGCCGCCTTGTTCTCTTTGCATTGCTCGAACTGGAATGGCAATCGTAGTATATAATTGTGTCCTATCATGACTGTATGCTGGAAGCAGACGTGCGTTACCACACGCCACACGCACCGCAATTGTCGCGCCAAGTAGATCTCATCGTCGCCCCAACACCTCAACCTCACCTTCGCCCTCGCCCGAGAGCGCATCGCTACCCGTCTGTCTGCGTTTCCATGCCGTCTCTAGCCGCGGGAACGCGCGAGGGAAAACCTCGATGGGCCCAAGATACGCAACACCAACACCAACACCTGACGCCGTTGTCGCCGTGCCTAAGGAGAGATATTGTGGGGAGACGGGAGAGGAAAGAGGACAATCATCGTCAGCATGGCGGTGGCGGTACCAACCAATGACGACAGAAAATGCGCGAAGATAGCTTTGGCCACACAAATCTGCCAAAACGTCACCGTCCTGGACGGATCTGCCACTAGGTAGGTGGATGGATGCTTGTCCTCTACATGGCCATTTCGGCCTGCAGTTTCCGTAGTTCCTCTTCTTCGTCGTCCTCTTCCTGCGCCTTGCCCTTGACTGCGAAAGAACAATGTTAGCACCACGTAAAAGTGGGTATAGTGAGACTTACGAGGCTGGTTCCCCACCGCCGGCGCCTTCGCCAGCTCTCCGCCTACGGGCGTCGGACCCGTCTTGAGCATCCGCTCGTCCATAGCCTCCTGTTCCATGCCCTCCAGTTCATCCTCCAAGTCCTGTTCGTCGATCGGCTCGCCGATAGGCGCACTTGTGATGGCGGTCGCGATCTCTTCGCCCAGCGCGTGCTGCTCGCGCAGCTCGTCCATGGTCTGGTCTACCTTGTCGATAGTCAGGTTGCCGTGGATCTGTTTCATGGCGGCGCCGGCGTTCTTCATGGCGTTGAGGGTTTCCTGGTTTATATTGGCGGCTTCGATGCTGTATATCTGCTGCTCAACCTGTGCGATTTGCGCAGAAGTCTGCTCGAGGTTGCGCTCGTGTCCCTTCTTGCGGCGGAGGGCGGCTTTGGCGACTGGGAGGGGGTGTTAGCGGCAGAAGAGGCGAAAGATGATTGGAATGGCGCGTGGGCGGTCGGACTTACCAGGTTTGTTGGTGGAGATGTTCTTGCGGGCGACGGCCTCTTGCTCAGCCATCTGGCTCTCTAGGTGTCGTTCACGCTTTTGCAACATGTCGAGCTGCCCGCGCAGCATTAGAATGGCGTTTTTAGGCGCATCTTTTCGCTTCTGTGCGGCTGCCCCGCCAAACCATCCCCACATATTGAAGGAGCGGAGTGATACGAGAAGGAGCAGCAGAGGGCGTCGTCGAGTCGGCAGCAAGCAGCAGTAGGCTCTGGCTGCTGCGATAGAGTATAGAACTCAGAGAAGGCAACGGGAGGCGTTATCACGAGGACGGTCGGATGACTAGAAGGTTCGGATCTATCCCTGGGGCGCGCTGCAAGCCGGTGAAAAACTTGTCGGCCGTAAACAATCGAAGATTGGGCTGTGAGAGCTTGCGGGCAGGTAGACAGTAGTGACAAGGATTGACGAGTGCTTGACGAGCACAGGCGGAATGATCGTGCAGGCAGGCTGAAGTTGACAATGAGCCATGACATCGTTGCCGCCCCACGGCTCAAGTTCGGGTTCCACTTTTGCCAAGCCTGCATATCCGTTGCCCAACGTCAATCGAACAACATCATCTCCAACTCCCGATCTGCCCGCTTGTCTGCAGTCCACTGATCCAGAGCTGAAGCGCCCTGTAGTGACAGTCGTGGTCTGTCTAAGCCTGCACCATAAAATGCCACCATGAATGGACCCTCGACCAGTGCGCCTGCGCCTTCTACTCACATCTTCGTCCACGAGCTTCGACGACAGCGCACGGGCAGCAAGGTGAGGTTCTTATGCTAGTTCGTGAAACCATGCCTGGATGCAGTGGTACACTTTCTGAGCTCGGAGCAGTCTTCGAGAATACGATGCCGCTAAAGGCCAACTACTCGTTGAGCATGCCTATCCTCATGATGCAACCGAACCTGCACGTGCCAGCATCGACGTGAACATGGTTCTGGAAACGGCGAGGCGGGATCTTATGACCGATGGGCGCTGGCTGAATGTCATTGGCTACGTGCTGAGCGGACCACAAGAGAAAAAGAGGAAGAGCACGAATGCTGGTAATGCGCAATCTACTTCAAAGGAGGTGCCTTTGCCTATAGTACAGGCAGTGCTACTTTGGGACGCCGGCGCGATCAACGTTGACGAGTACGAGCGCGTCCTGCAAAAGCATATGGAAGTAAGGGCACAAGCTCGGGTCATGCTGGACAATGCTTGCAAGGCAGAGGCAAGGAAGGAGCAAGAGAAGAAGGCCACAATTCCGAAGCCGTGATAATAAAGGACAAATCGTGTGGAGGGTTTCAGGCAGGAGTGGCCCTACAGATAGCAATGAAGTGTTTGCCCGAGGCTGCGTACACGCTTAATAGAGGTGTATGTTGGTGAGCACACTATTAGGACTGGCTTGTCTGATACTTCTTTCCACCTTACTGTATGACCATGTCAATATGGGGTTGCACCAGGGCTTTTTTGCTTCACAGAGCGGGGAGAAACCCTTGGAATCTAGCTATGATCGACGGGATAGATCTATGCTGATGAGCGTCAGACTTGACTACATTTGATGACTCGTCAGGCTAGGTGCATACACGCAAGACTATTCACCCACGCCTATCATTCAACTTCTTGCATCTCAAGAAACCTTGCCCCGAAGCAACACCTCAAGGACTTTCGCCACAGCTACACATTTTTCCTCGCCAAATCTGCCTCCGACGATCTGAACTCCGACAGGCATTCCCTTCACCAGTTCTGGATTGTATTGCGACCAGTTGAATTTGTCGCTAAAATTCCGCGGCACATGCTCCTGCCAACTCTTGTCGCCCACGTCTGTTGTTTGGGCTGTAGTGGCAGGGACAGTAAGAGCAGCAAAGTCCACAAAGTTCCAGTGTCCGGTGTAGCTGACGCACTGGTCGGACTGTACCCAGGTCTTCGGGAGAAATCCTACCCAGGGAATAACTGGCATGATCAGAGCGTCAAGCTGTGCTTCGTTCCATCGACTCATATAGGTCTTCTGATATTCTAGGCGAGTATTTGAAAGCTGTGAGATGTGAGCTCGGGAAGTTTTTGGATAGGAAGCCACCTCGCAACTGACCTGTACGGCCTCCTGAGTGGAGAGGAGGTCTGAGTCCTTGCCAACTAGCATGCCTTGGACAAGTGGTTCTTCGCTTTTGGCTAACATCTCCTTAGCGCTCGCTCCACCATCTGAAAGGATGGCTTTTGTCCAGAGGCGGTGAGCCTCGGGATGAGAGGATGTGTCCCATTCCACCACTTTATCAGTCAGTCATTGCTTGTAGGTAAAGGCCACCGCAGCCGAAAGAAGGAAGTCAACTGACTAGTGTGGCCAGCAGCCTGTAGAAGCGCTACGACTTCTCTGACAGCTCGCTCGTGTGGTGGTTGAACTTTGACACAGCCATCGTCGACGTAATAACCGATTTTGAGCTTACGGCCAGGTTCCTTTGCAAGGTCAGAGCGCCATGGGATTGGGTATGAATTTGGCTCCTGTTCCCATGGACTCGAGGCTAAGAGTCTTTCCATGAAAGTCTCTATGCTTGACAAGCTGCTAGTCAGGGGACCTGCAACCGGGTTCACAATGTACTCTCGTTCCCTGTTTGCGTTGCCGTTAGTTAGCTCTTTGGAAGAGCGACAAGATTGCTTACACGGAGCTATCCCAGGGGAAACGACCAACCGTTGGACACAAGCCGTAAAGACCCTGAAGGTTGGCTGGGATACGAATTGAGCCCCCAATATCTGTTCCTATTCCGATGATGCTGGCGTGACAGCCGACCAAAGCTCCTTCGCCCCCAGAGCTGCCACCAGAGATAAGTTCTCGGTTCAGCGTGTTTACCGATTGCTTGAAGACATGATTATAGGAGTCAGACATCTAGAAACAAAATCAGGAGTGCTGGACACAGTCATGACCAAGAATACTCACCATCAACGACTGAGAGATGTTGGTCTTGCAATAGAGTACAGCGCCCTGTTTCAGAAGCATACCGGCTAGCACACTATTCTTCAAAGCAGGTTTGCCACATAGTCCGACCCAGCCTTTCAAATTGGATTAATTTCAGCCGTGGTATATTAGAGCGTTCACGTACCTATTGTCGTGTCGAAACCTTCCACCTCGAATAGGTCTTTCAAGCTCACTGGCAGTCCATGCAATGGCCCCACTAACCGACCTGTTGCTTTAAAATGTTGGTCCAGTTGTTTAGCATGATCCAGAGCCTTGTTAAAGAACATTTCCGTGCAGCACTTGGACAGTTGCTGCGCATACGCGGCACGTTTGCAGAAAGCAACAGCAACTTCATAGGCGCTGAGACCTCCACAGTGGATACGGGATAGTAATTCCTGAGCTGAAAGGGCTGAAGTTATGACTTTCTCTTGGGGTGTGAGAAGGTCACTAGTGTCGAGGTAGTTAAGAGTCGAAACAGGGAGAGGATTCGGTAATTCAGCCAGTCGCCATTCCTCGGGGATTTGTAGGAACTGAGCAGCGCGCTTCTCTGCCGCTCTTATCTTCCACTGGGGGACAGCTTCTGTCGCCTCGATGATGCTAGGACCTTTGTCGTCGGCATGTTTGAGCGCATTGTCAGGCAGTGTATTTGTCCAGCCGTTCGTAGGCAAGCTTGCAAGTACGTCTGCCATGATAGATTCGGAGATCGTGGAGCAGCAAGATAGAAGGATGTTGAGTACGATCTTTCCGGCTTCCTCGTTTTGAAGTGACTTGATACTGCCACACATGTACATCCCTCGGTGACTTGCAGGACCACGGGGCGACTAATGCACCTACGCTTCACTGCCGCGTGCTTGGCTCTCCTGGCTTATAGACTGCTTTCCCGATTGGGAATTGCGGAGATACTCACCACATCGGTAGCCTCTGGGACCAATGTTTGTCACGATTAAAGCTTTCCAACGTGGGGTTGGTAGAGCGCAGGGAGATCTGGACCCTGTGCTGCAACTTTATCGGATAGTCTCAGCTATTTCGACGTTGCTGCAGCCGTTCCCTGCGCCGCGCCTGGCACATGGCTTGCGCGTTTGGGTAAGACGGCAATGACTCCTGTTCGAAATAGGCCCAAGAGCGTGTTGCCACGGCCATATGACGCTCAGTCGATGCATAGATCACCATGAAGAACATGGTAACGGGCAAGTGGACGTATACCATATCTCTTGGTTGAATACGCTCAAGAATGTCACAGATCCTATCCGCCACGAGATTGGACGTCTCATCTGTCCAGGTCGAATCAAACTGTAGGTAAACTAGTGCAGCGAAAAACGTGGTGTACCTCCAAGCATCTGCGAGGAGGCTGATGTCGTCAAACGAGGAGGGCGAACCTTTCATGATCTGCGCAGTGACTGAGTGGTGAATTTGATGAGGACGGGAGATCATCTGTCCCTGCGCAATTCTCACATAAAGGAAATACGTGTCTTCGGGACATCCCACAAGTTGGAACAGGTCAGGATGCATATCTTGTCGGTGAAAATCCTCAAATAGCAGTCGGCGATCTTGGTGTATTATCACTCCCATGACATCGTACCAGTTCAGCAGCGATATCGCTTGCTTCAGTCCTGGCGTGTCTGCATAGAGCTTTTGTAAGTCTTCAATTCCAGGGCAATGTAGATCGAGCAGAGCACGTGCGCCTCGAAGATGTTGTTCCCATCGCCCAAAAGGGCCCTCTCTGACATCTAGAAAGGCGAGTGTCGTGATACCAAAAATGGCCAAGATATCGCCGTTCTCGACCGCTCCATTAACGTCTTGGAGCGCTTTCGAATATAGTAAATTATGTCCGCCCGCATCAAGGTCGCTGCTTCTCCGGACCTGATGGCTCACGTGCTCCCAGACAAAGCCCCAGATGCTTGATAGCTCGAAAGACTGCTCGCTAGCACGTCCACGAGCCACTTTCGCCTGAGCATGTTGGTGGGAGAAGTAGCCAAGGTAGTCGTTCAGACTCGACGTCCAGTTGGGTGCGTCGCCATCTTCCTCGGGTGAAGGCGTTGTTGTGCGGTGATCACCTGGGAGGCTTGGAAGCTCTTCGATAGCAGTCGTCGAATCCTGCCAGGCGTCTTGACGCGTACTAAAAGGTTCGGCAGCGGAGTTCCCATCTCCAGCCCATCTGACCCTCATCGTATAGCCTGGACAACGGTAGCCATCTTTTTGGCATGGTCCGCAACCAGGTCGATTGAGATCGCATTTGACGGTCCGTGACCTGCATGTAGCGCAATGTCGGTCGCGTCGAACGCCTCGTGGCTTACCCTTGACCCGAGATCTCGCCTGTGTATCGCGCAGCATGTGTGCACCTCGCGCATTGGAAGGACCAGGGTGGAGGAGGAAGATAGACAACTTTCTGAAAGCGGCAAGTGGAATTCTTATCACCCTTATAACCCCCCTAGGCTCGGCGCCGAAACCCACTACCCCGCAGACGCAGGTTGGAGATAAGCTGCTTCCATGATAAGAGAAGCTTTTGCAAGCCCCTGTTGAGCAATTCATATCTCGAGGTAGATATGAAAGATAACTTGCTGCCACGTCAATAGTTTGGGCTTTCCGTATCTGGCAAGTTGTCTAGAGCTAGACGGCCCAGATGGTGCTGTCCTTGACTAGCCATTTCTTGGAGGTTTAATGAAACGGACAGCACTGCTGGTATCAGTTATATATTTGACGATGAGCCCAGGTCTTGCCACTGACAGAACCAGAACCCATCCTTTGCTACAAGCATGGCACTCCTTCTGCCTCCTGGATCTGTTCACCTTCTCCATGTGCAAGGTCAATCACGCAGCTCGGACGAGCTCGTGCTTGTACCAAAACCCTCGAACCACCCTGATGATCCCTTGAACTGGAAACGATGGAGGAAGATATTGCACGTCTCCTTGATTTATCTCTACACCTTTACGACAGGTGTCGGTGGTACGTCGACTTACTCCATTCTGACCGACATGTCCAGAGACACCGGACTCACCTTGACGCAACTCAACCTGGGAACAGCCTTTGTCTTCCTGCTCGCTGGCTGGGGCAACTTGCTCTTTCAGCCCATGGCTCTTGCCTACGGTCGTCGACCGACCTATCTGCTCAGTTTGGCTGGCTGCATCGCAATCTCAGAATGGACCGCGTGGGTGGACTCTTTTGGTTCGTGGGCCGCCGCTCGCATCCTCTATGGTTTCTTCGTGGCCCCAGTCGAGGTCCTACCTGAGATCAGTATCCCGGATATTTTCTTTGCTCACGAACGTGGAGCATATGTTGGAGGCTATTCAATGACTCTTGCTGGTAGCAATTTCATTGCTCCTTTTCTGTCAGGATTCATGAACGACTCCATCGGATGGAGATGGGTACAACATTGGTGTGCCTTGCTCCTGGCCTTGAACCTGGTGCTAGCTTTCTTCTTCCAGGAGGAATCAAGCTGGCATCGCACCGAGGTCGAGGCAGAGGTTTCTACCGGAGCCACCGATGTCCATATCAACCAAGCCGTTGCCTTGGGCTCCACTGGCCAGGATGTGGAGAAAACTCGCCCAAGCGAGCCGCCCGTCGAGCCGACTGCTTCACAGGATGCAGGAGAGACATATGCGAGGAAAACTTACTGGCAAAAGCTCAGTCTCTGGACCAACAACAAGATGACCCCCGAGCAAATCTTCCGTATTGTCTGGAGGCCCCTGCTTATCATTGTCCAATTTCCCAATATCTTATTTGCTGGGATGCTGTATGCCTTCACCAATTCCTGGTATTTGGTCTACAACGCGACTGCGTCTGCTATTCTCTCTGCGGAGCCATACAACTTCTCCTCGTCAATGGTCGGTGTGACCTATCTTGCACCCCTACTTGGGGCCATCATTGGCGGTATCGTGGCTGGCCCACTCTCTGATCGATTCGTGCTAATGCTTGCGCATCGTAACAACGGCATTCGCGAGCCAGAGCATCGCCTTTGGGGGGTCGCAACTTACACGTTCTGTCTGACGCTGGGGCTCTTGATGTGGGGCCTGGGGGCTGCAAATGAGGCTCCAGTGGGTGTCCTTCTCACAGGATCAGTCTTCTGCGGATTTGGAATCGTGAGTGGAGGGTCTTACGCCATAACGTACGCAGTCGACTGCTTCAAGGAAATCGCTGGCGAAACAATCTTTTCGCTCATCATTTGTCGAAACAACATGACCTTCGCATTTGGCTACGCGATTACGCCGTGGATCAACACTTCGGGACTGCAAAACACTTTCATTGCAGTCGCAGTGATCTGTTTCGTCACAGGCTGCTCGTTCTTACTCATGATTTGGAAAGGCCGAGACTTCCGGATAAAGTCTGAGGCGAGATATTGGAAGTATGCTTCATCACAGGTGGTTAAACATTGAGGCCGTAGTGCGCGCAATACTCGGTAAGCTAGCTCAAACAATATCTGAACTATGGCTCGACGTATCTTTTCACTTGATTCAGTATGAATCAACCAGAGTTATGCCCACCAAAGTCTCTCGTACCTGTGTTGATAGGCATACAGGTTGTATTCAGCACTACACATTAGATTGTCGAAAAGAGCCGCATTTTTCTGTGTTCCTGCTCGCCAGTCATCCAGTCAATAAGATTCAATATCTCACCTCAGAGACACTGCAAGCAGACGGACGGCCTGGTGAGTCTGACTTACAAGCGCGGTTTTCTGGCAGTGACATCTTCAATCTCAGAAGAAGCTCGGTCCGTATCTGCAGCAACGTTGATCGGAACGAATACGAGGTCCACAGCCTATTCCGATCGGTGTTCAGTGCCTGATTTGCGGGTTTTGGTGATCGATGCCATAAACTGGACCCCTTCGCCAATCGTGTCTAGAGAAAGAAGCCTTCAGGCGTACAACTTAGAATGGAAGAGCAGCTGCAGGTGGGCGATCAGTTGCCACGTCTACGCATGGTTCATATGTAAGCCACCTCCGGATTTTCCATTGCCAGCATACAGCGCCACCCCGGTCCAGAATAGGCATTTCCTGTGGCTGTGACTGTGACTGATGTCCGATGGACTTGTTCCATCGCAAAGCTTTCAGCCGCCATCGTTGACTAACCTCATATTGCCCTACCCACCGCCATCTGCAACCATGTCGTATCACGGATCTGCCACGCAACGATTATTGCTGATTATGGCTTCAATGAGAGTTTCCCCAACATGGCTGACGCACTGTTTTAAGTTCGGCCCCAGCGCCGCCCGATGCCATGGCTCACGTCATGGCCAGGTACTGGTACCAAAGAACAGACAAACTCGCTGCGCCGCTTCAACGCGTTACACCTCCCTGGTTTTAGCGGTACGACACAAGCAGCTCGGCATCATCACCACACGATTGGGCGATTGCCGGATTGTGTGCGACTTTGAGAACTACCGCTACGAATCTCGAAATTCGACATACAGAGCGTACGTTTGTCGCATCGCAGCATTAGGCCGCCAGCGCGAAAACGGTGAATATTCCTGGGAACCAGAGCTAAACTATACGAACCGCGTGGAAAGGATGACATTTCGTGCCGCTAGCCTTTGCCTAGAGCGGGTGTAAGCGTGCTTTACGCAGCATTGGCCCTTTCGAGACCTCATATAAGGCACTCCATAGCCTCGAATGCTTTAAGCTGCACTGCAGCCCGGTGGAGGACGACTTAGCCCTGACTTCAGCTCCTCCAGTGCTGTAAGCTTCTCTATATCCCCTCACCCAGGTGTGTTGAGAAGCATTCCTCCTCGAGCCTCAGCAGATCCGTTCAGCACTCGCACTATGACTCTCAAAGCTGCTGTTATTGGCGCTGGCCCGCTGGGTCTACTCGCCACCAAGAACCTGTTAGAGGAGGGTTTCGATGTCACGACCTACGATAAGAGATCCTACGTTGGTGGGCTATGGAAACACTCTGCTGAGAACGCAACAACCGTCACCCCCAATACGGTCTTCAATTCCAGCCGATACCGATGTGCTTTCACTGATTTTCCATTTCCCGACGATGTAGATGACTACCCTACTGCCCAACAGAGTTAGCCTCGCCCGTCTCTTCAGTGCTGTCAAAAGCTAAGCACGAGCAGTGTACCGATACCTCCAGAGCTACACCGATCACTTTGGCCTCAGACCCAATATCCAGTTGAATGCCGCCGTCCAAGACTTACGCAGAATCGATGGACAGTGGGAACTCGTCCTCCTCATAGACGGAATTGAGAAGACCGCACGCTTCGACAAGCTCATGGTTGCTGTTGGAACGTTTCATACTCCGATTATCCCAGAGATAGAGAATATCGACAAGTTTGCCGGCGATGTCCGCCACTCCATCACATTCAGTCCCTCTGAGCAGTACAAGAACAAGAGGGTGCTGATAGTCGGCTTCCATGCCTCAGGGGTAGACGTAGGCTCCTCTCTTGCCGGCATCGCCTCCAAGATCCTTTTCTCCCGCAAGAACGGAACAATCATTCTTCCCAAATTTGGACCGGACGGACGAACTTTCGACCAGGCGTTGACACTGCCGCTGATGTTCTTCCAGATGACCTTAGAAAAGTATCTGCCCAGGCTCTGGTATTATCTACTCGACAGCATGTGTATCCAGATAATGAATAAGGCTTTCCCGGGTGCAGCTGAGAAGTACCGCCTGTTGCCCGCCCCATCGATGGAGACAACAACTCCCCTGATTGTCGACCAAATCTGGCCATTCCTCGAATCTGGATTTGTCGAGCTCACAGGTGCCGTGAAGAGAGTCACAGGTCCAAGGTCAGTAGAGCTGATGGATGGGACGATTCTGGAAGACCTAGACGCCATAATATACTGCACCGGCTACAGAACCGAGGTCCCCTGGATGCCTCAGGAGTGGCAGCCTGTCCCCAGCCCGGGTGATCCACCCTCGCTGTACCAGAACATCTTCCCACTGCACTCGGATCCCGAGGTCCGCAATTCATTGGCATTCATGGGCCAGGGAGCCACGCCATTCCCCGGATTCGCAATGCTCGAAACAGTCGCCATGACAGTCGCACAGGTCTGGAAGGGCAAAGTCCAGCTGCCACCGCTTGAAGAGATGCAGAGTTGGTATCAGAATAACGTGGACAGCCGTGAGGCAGTGAAGAAGCGCATGAAGTACGATGCAACCTACTACCCTCTGCTGCTCCCGCTGGGACCCTGGTGGTCATTTCTTGACAAGACCTCGGGGACTGATATCATCGAACACTTTTCGTGGTAAGTGACATGTACACTTGATCCAGATTTTGACCGCAGCGGGGGGAACCTACTCCCTGACATTGTTCCCCCACCTCATCTTCTCAGACCACAAACCGCCCGCTGCAGGTCTGCCTTAAGACAACTAATTGACTAACAATTCCCGTGTGTGGCAGGACGTCGTGGAAGAGTTGGTCCTTCTGGTGGCGCGACCGAGAACTGTACCAGACCTGCAAACAGCAGCCCCTGTCGCCGGCGGTGTTCCGATTGTTCCAGGGGGACAAGCGCAAAGCTTGGGCGGGCGCGCGGTCGCAGATCTTGTACGACCATCGACTAGCGGAGAAACGGAGTCAGATCAAACTGGAGAGGGACAGGGAGGATAAGAAGGAGCGTTGAGGGACGCTGTAGATTTCCCGTCAGCGTTTCAGAATGGAGAAGGACCGCTGCTGACCTTCTGAACAATGTAGATGTATTACAGAGCTTGGCATGACTTTAGGATATCATTCAGAGCAGCAGACAATAGTCTCAAGACATGCTTCTCGGTTGCAGACCTACTATGCGAAGGTAACAACAGATCTTGATGGCAGGTCTGCCAAGACTACGACCTCTACGGACCATCTGACCTTTCGTGGCGGTAAGCAGGATGCGTGGCAGAGGATGGTGTGCCGAGCGGCTCAGGACCATGGAAATAGAGAGCCGGATACACCTGAAGCAAAGAATCCGGAACCAAATTGTGCATTCCTCAAATGCCCCCGTGAGACACCCAAACCATGCTACGGCGCTCTCCAGTCTGCGAGACTGTAAACACCTCCTCCCCCCTTTGATATAGCGGCCAAAATCCAGGTGTCTGTTCCTCGACCGCTTTCATCCTGCAAAACCTCGAGGCCATAGTTCCGTTGTGCGACAGCGTGGGCCGCTCTTGCCCAAATACTTTGTCTGTCAATGAATTTGTTCAGCACTCGGAATGGCCGATGCCGCTCAGGCGCGGGCAAAGTTAGTCTCGCAGTATCCAGATGATGTATTGATCGCAGCGGATGTATGTGTTGCTTCACTTCGTAATGTCGCAGCACTGATCGGCTTGCCTTTGCCAGCGCAGTAAGCCTGGCACCATGACCTTTATCCTCAGCGAGAAGTGATGTGAATGGCGACAGCCCTCGGAGTAGTAGCACACGCTTGACCGAGCAAAAGGGCCATTCCATGGACCGAAGATTAGACTTGAGACCCTTGGCACTCAAGGTACCAGCTAGTATCGAATGCGCGGCACTGATGCCAGAGAGTGTAGCGGCGTCCTTGCATATTTCTTCCACGAGACGTTGCTGATCGAAAATGAAGACATCAGAGGCTGAGGTAAAGGTATGATCATCCCAGGTCGCAAACGCTTGTTCTGCCTCTGCGACAATCTGCCGGAGGCTCCAAAGAAAGGTCTCCAATCCGAAGAGGAAAGAGAATAAACATCTCCGAAGCTCGCCAGCTTTAGTAGCACGAAGGTGCCTTAGGGCTGCCTTATCAGCGGGCCGTGTCTGTAGGTTCAGGTTGGAAATCATATGTGTGGATAGTATGCCAGCAAGCTCCCAGATATCTGAGTATTGCTGTTGCAATTGGACGTAGCGGAGCAAGTCCGAACAAATGTCAGAAGACTGGGACTGGGACTGGAGCGATAGTAGCATATGCTCGCGCTTCAGTTGTCCGCAGTACGCATCGCAGATACCCCGCTCATGATCGTGGACCAGGTTGTGGAATGACTTGCAGCTGCTTCGAAGGCTCAAGAGGTCTTTCGCTGTTAGCCAACGGAAGATTGCGATGATTATCTCGGCTGGCTGTGCTACGAGACACGGAACAATATTCTCGGGTTGTAGAGAGGTAACGAGCTGGTCCGACATTATTACGGATCTAGGGAGCGTCGCTGTCCGTTAAGCAGAATAGAGGACAATCTAAGCTAGAGAAGAATAGTACTGTCAAGGAATGCAATTATGGGGTATCATAGCAGGAAGCCGTTCGCATGCTTCAAGGATATGCTAAGCCACTTCTACAGGCAGGATAAGAATGTTGTGAAGATTTGAATAGTGAGACATACATATATGAAGGAATATTAGCTGAAGCTCGGCAGTGAAGAGCGAAGAACGGTGCTGGCGAGAAAGTGTTCAGTTGTCGTTAAGAAAGTACCAGGATTGCAGATCCGGGGAGGGACGCTAAGCGGAAGTCACTGCGGGGCTCTTTCCGATAAGGCTGAACTCGAGATAACTTTTTTTCGCTGCCTCAAAATTCCGATCGCTGGACCGGACTGCGCACCTGTACCGCGGCATAACGTTCTGGTCGATTGCACCTCCGCTAACATGTCTTCAAAGGATATTGACTTATCGTCGGATGAGGAAGGAGACTACACCACGACAAATGTCACACTTGGCTATGCTTCTGTTGAATTGACTGGCGATGACATCAGTCAAGTTGGTGGGTATCCAGTAGGTCAACAATCACTTGCACATAGAAGTCACGTCTAACGAACACAGACGTGGATCGATGCCAATTCCACTCCCCCGGCAGCACTTGCGAGATGCAAGGTCTGCAATGGGTACACATCCCTCCTCCTACAACTCAACGCCGACCTCCAGCAACACTTTCCACAAGACAGCAGAAGGTTACATGTGCTATGTTGTCCGAAGAAGGCATGTTCAAAGAAGATTGGAAGCGTGAGAGCCTTGCGAGAAGTGAAGAAACCAGCGTCAAGGAAGCAAACATCTGAGTCACCAAGACCTTCCGCTGTCTCCGTGCAGCCCAGACAAGATCTCGGATCTGCTCTCTTTGGCGGCCCTACAAGTCCCCCACCATCGAATGCCAATCCGTTTTCGACGTCTTCGTCGACTGCTCCTCAGAATCCTTTCTCCAGCCTGGGACCAGCCTCTTCACTGGCAGCATTGCCACCACAAACCCCCGTCAACGACCCCGAGCCGCCCACTTCAACTTTCGCCGACAAGCTCAAGATCTCCTCGTCAGTACCTACAGCTAGTTCCAGGACGCAAGAGCCTTGGCCAGAGCAGTCCGCTTTTCCACCTCCATTCGCGCAATTGTACCTAGATGCAGAAGCCGAAGAGCTCGATCCAGAGGAAACTGCTGAGCCTGCCAATGGGCCATCCAAGACCCAGTACGATGTCGACGATTCCAACAGCAATGCGTTGGATAAGGACACATTCGAATCATCTCTTGACAAGACCTTTCAGAAGTTCTCCGATCGAATAGCACAGAATCCGGAGCAGGTGCTCCGGTACGAGTTCAAGGGGCAGCCACTACTTTATTCCGGGCACGATGACGTGGCGACGCGATTTGTTGTGCCCCATGGAAAGGCTGGTGCAACTAGAGGGATCCCGAGATGTGAGAGCTGCGGCAGTCAGCGGGTGTTTGAGCTACAATTGGTGCCTGGGCTCATCTACGAGCTGGAGAAGAACGTAGCCATGGATTTGGAAGAAGGCATGGAGTGGGGTACGATCTTGGTCGGCACCTGTGCGAACAATTGCGGTGAGGCAGGAACAGTGAGTTTCAGAGAGGAGTGGGTAGGAGTACAATGGGAAGAGAGGTTGTCGAAGAAATAATAATGGGACGCATTGTACGACCAATTCACGACTTGACCACAGCTTCTCCGCTCTCTTTCCCTGTGCCAGCACGGGAAAAGGGTCGAGTCATCAGACAAGTCACGACAGCACTGGAGAGCCGGAGCAGCACCGCACGCACAGTCAGCGAGTGGTTACTGCAGAGAACATGTGAGGTGAAGGGCAATGCCGTCAACTAGTCGCAAATCGTCCTGCGTTCTGAAAGCCAAAGCTCTGTAGACTGTTGAAGCGAGTGCTCGAGACCACCTCACAGCAGAGTTCTTTCGGAATGTCCCCAATATGGGCAAGAATAGATGTACTTGTACCTATGAATCTCTTGTCCCAAGAGATATGCTTGGGTGTTCGACGAAACTTTCCCCATCGGTCTGGAAGTGACTGAAGATCAGAACAGGCCAGATGACCTCCGTCATCCTCTCGCAGACATCTGACTCTGGGTACCGCGTCGGCGTTTTAGCAGGCGTGGATTTCGGTGTTGGAGATGAGTGGGGTTTCGAGAGCCAATGCAGCCATGGAAATCCAATTCCGTTTCTTGGACCGGGTCCTTATCGCACGCTTGCCGCACGGAATCTCGAGCATTGCATCGTTACAGGCTGCACAGCATCAAGCACGAGTCAGTGGCAGCTGATGTGGTATCAAAATGCCGACCCGGACTATCACCAAAAGAGAAGATTGAACCATTAAAGCTGATGGACTACTCCACGATCACCAGCTCCAAGCCGGTCGTTGCGCCAGCCATTTCCGCGTTCATTCCTGTTACCAATCAACGAATCTCCTCCTGCTCAGCTTTCATCTCTGGTATCTATTCGGAGATCACAAAGTCAGTCTTGGTTGAGCCTCCTCCGCCGCTGACAGCCTCCCAGTACTCCGTAGGCGTATCTGTAACTCAAGATAGTACGGAGTACACCATCTTTTTCCATTCCCTTCCACTATCGACATCTCTTGCCCGGCCCAAGACAACGGTGGCGTTGTTCCGAGCGCTTGACGTCACCCTGCCCACTCGCAAAACACTCTATCTCTTCGGCAGCTCATGAATCTCGCTACCGCCCGAGACCACCGCGGCCGGCCTACCGTCAAGAAAGCGGCTCTGCCCTGATTTCCGCTCCCTAAGCACAGAACTAATATATACGAACGTACCCGCGGCTGCATAAGAGCCACCATCCGTACATTAATACGTGGCAGCACCACATCCAATAACGAACCATCCCCAAGACTCTCCCCAAGCGAGGATGCAGAAACAGGAAAAATTGCTATTCCCATGTTTGCCGGAGCCCGAAGGGCTAAGCAACTGATTCCAACACCACTAGTCCCGAAACACGCACCCTCTCCGCCCCGCCCCAGCCTCATCGCGTGGGCGTCAAGTTCGTGGCTCTAGCGCGCCCAACCTAAGCCTCTTGGGGCTACTCGCGATCGCAATGCAGTCCGAGAATTACGCAAAATAGCTTGGAAGGCTCCAGCTCACAGCACAGAAGAAGCTTAGAACCGTCCAGAGCGTGTCACCGCGATCTGGACCCCGCGTCATCCCAGAACGCGTTTTCTGGGGTGCTCGGCAACAAAAAAAGTTTCTTTTGTGCCCTGGTTTGTGTCTTTTTGGCTTGATTACAATTTGCACAAAGTCGTTCGACCCGTGTCCGGAGATGGCCCCCACTCGTGAGCGTTGGCCAGAGCTCCTGTTTCTTTGGATCGCAATATTGATGCCGATGGCATCGACGTGCAGCCAGTTCTTTTGTGTAGACAAATTTCGATTACTCGCGTGCCCGTTGTCGCTCTGGTCGCGTGTTCTGCTTCCGGCCTCGGTAGACTCTCACGCTAGCAAATGCGCTTGAACGGTTCCACGACACGGTTCTTGCACTGCAGACGATGACATAGACTCAAGGAATTTTGCAATAATGCTTTCTGTATTGGTAAACAATGGTTTCGCTACGCTACGCTATCATGCTGTTACCTATACTGCTTCAAAGACACACACATCCTGCCTGACCCGTGCTTCGTTACTTTTGGCCTCGCAGGTTCGCACATCAAAAACTAATAGGCGGAACTCCCGCTTTGCTCCGCACATGCTGACCCAATCCTGGTAACCTCCACCTTTCTTGATCGCAATTTCTCTTCCTCGGCCATAGGGCCTTCCACCGTTTGCTCCAAGCTTTCGGAGCTTCCTTTGTCGACCTGCGAGTAGGGGTGCTGGGTTGGGCGACCGTGCATCAAATCCATCTGGGGGCTGCCCCAGCGGAGTTGGTTGTGACGATCCATCTAGAATCGTATCAAACAATCGTTGTTTTAGTAGTGATGAAAACGCTGAAATGATAGACGTGAGATAGGAAAATTCGAATGCTGATAGGACGACGCTTTGAGTCTTTCGTTGCAGTGCATTAGTTGTACATGTGGTCGCAAAGAGGCCGCTGTACGTAAATCATGATCGAGGCATGAGCTCGTCACCTAGCTGAAGGGCCAAGCCCTGGCTTGTGGGCATCTTGCGTGATGCGTCCATTGGTCGGGCCAGACGACTGGGAGTCTTGGCCAGCCCGGGAGTACGGCCGCCCCAAGGAGCTTGACCTGGCGAGGGAGTCACATTGCAGAAGTCGGCGAGGTTGAAGCTCTGACCTGGTGTCAATGCCCCATTGAACAGGCTGAGATTGTTGCCGGGGGTGTTCATAACAGACGATGGGAGGTGAGTGTGTTGAGATGGGGGCGTCGAAGGAGGCTTTGCTGAGCTGGAGATATGGGCAACATTGACGGCCGGTGAGCGAGAAGGGGAGTTGGCGAGGTAGAGGAGGAGATCAGCACCGGACTGCTTCGAGGTGGCAAGTCGTCGGTGGGCGGGGGGAGGTGTGCGAGGGGGTGATGAGATGATACTTGAGGATGGCTCATGGCCAAGACCTGTCTCGTGATCTTCTTCTTCTGAGTGAACATCGAACATGGGCGAGTCCTCAATGGTATGTTGTGGAAGCGAAGCAGAGTCGAAGTCTGTCGAGTCTGTGCGGCCCAGAGTAGGGGAAGACTGAGCCAGGCCGTTGTCATGCTTCCAATTGCTAGGGAGCTCATGTTCTGCAGCGGTAGCAGAAGCAGAACGCACTCTCTTTCTCGAGGTAGTGTAGGGCTTTTCAGGAATTTTGAACGTGCCGGTGTTGGGACGACGACCAAGGTGGCTGCCGGCTGACGAGTTCGAGGGCAAAATGTCTTCGGAGTCATCCGAGGGCAGGTCTTCCTCGAAGGTAGGGCGTTTCCGCTTGAGGTGCTCGGCAACCTCTGGTTCAATTGAACGGAGGGTTCGATCTTGCCATCCATTCTGAGCTTTAAAGCTTGCGAATGCCAGGCAATCCTGGAGGTTACGAGCAACCTAAGGGTAATGTCAGAAGAGCACACAACTGGGGGAAAAACTGGTCCTCACCTTTGCAATTTCAATTCTTCTCATGACCTTCTCTGCCACCTGAGAAGGAGCATAAGGATCATGTTGAGGAGGAGCCATGTTGGTAGAAAAAGAGTCGGCAAGCAGCATTGGGGAAGTATAAGTGTAAGTTAAGTCCAGTTCCAAGATTAAGCTGGAGGGGGGCTGAGCTGTGGGTGCGGCTGTTCCGGCTGGGTGCCAGGATCATGTGCAACTTGAACCGTGAAGTACCCGAGTTTCGTTGATGCCGAAGAGACTGGTTTAACGGATGGGCAACAGCAGCACTTGAACCTCGCTGAATACGAAAGGGAGGATTAAAGGTGGACAAGGCTCATGGACTTAGCGGTGCGTGCCTGATATCAAGGAACGTGGAATGCAACGCAGCTGGCAAAGTGGTCGCCGCAGGAGGAGGGGATGGAAAATGGCTGGCGATGGCTCCTGGCGTAGCTGATTGGCTGTGGTGGGCTTTGGCTCTCGCCTGGACTGTCATCCACCAGCCTGTCGCGCCTATGGGAAGCAATACGTACCCTGCGGATTCTGCTTGGATCACGCTGCGTCTGCAGCCGTCTGCGGAGGCTCGGTTTCGTCTCACTTTTCTCTCTAAAAAAGAGGGCCAGGAGCCTGGTGCTGCTCGCTGCTCGCCGCCCGGCGCTTGAGCTCGAGTCGCCGACGACTACACCATATCCACACAAAACGCGGCCAAGCCAACCTTCCTCAGAAATGCCACCAGAATAGGGCAGGCCGAAGAACTGCATCGCCGATTCAGGTGCTGTCAACGTCTCTTTACGTGCTTGCTTGATCGGCATTGCTTTCTATCCCTGCACAATGCCCACAAAATGCCTAGATGAGATCTTAACTTCGTGTATCTACCTCTTTAGCTTCCACGCCGCCTAGCAACATGCGCTTGCGGCCCTGAATTTTGAGGCCGCCGTTGCGTCTTGACACTCGTCCGGCCTAACTCTGACCCAGTCTCTCGCTACTGTACCCGACCTTATGTCTCTAGAGCTTCTTGACATGGATGATCGAAGATCTTTTCGGATCTTGCAAATAATGTTCAAGTGATCGAAAAATTGGGGCCCAGGGGGGTTTCGGCCTCCTGCATTGCGACTTGAAATTATTCGTTGGAGAAAGCAGCAGCAATTTCTGAGACGCCCTGACATCTGCAGCCACACATCTAATCCAACAGTTATCCTGTAGTGCGAATCCCAGGTTGGCCAGAGGCTACCTGTATATCTAATCCTTATCATGCCCCTTCTCGCTGGCCATTGAAAGTGTCGACCGGTTGCTCACTTCTGGCTATATAACAGTAGGACAACCTGTCGGCAAGCCTGGGGCAGTCCACTTTTACTTCGGTAACGCCTTTTGTCCAAGACGGCGCGCTCGGTCCTCCTATCGCCCAAGCGGTCGTGAGCGGCACTGCTGTTGTGGCCGCCGGGCCCATAATCAATCTCTCCATCAGCGGTAGACAATTGTCATGCGTCGAGGAACAACCCTCGCAGACCATCGGTCTCCTTGGCGTCCGGGCGGCATTTCTCTTACTGCAGGGCTGGCATTCTGCAATCCGCAATCCGCATTCCCGATTACTGCCGAGGCGGCTTCAACTCGTGTTTCCCAGCCTCGATCGCAGCCTTGCATGCTCCGTCCACAAGGCTGCAACCTAGACTCTTGTAGGCTAGCTCCCGGCCGTTAAAGTTGTTGATAGCAAGGGAAGTGGCGCCCGGCGAATGGGCGATGACGATTCGGCATGCGCAAGCTCTTTATCGTTCAACCCATGCTTTCCCTGCTCCCACGCAATCTGGTGGGTGCGGCGGCTTCACGGCACTGCGTAGGCAATGGCAAGTGCAGTTTCCTCTCATCATCAATACACCTTGCTGTCGACATTGTCGGTCTCTTTGCCACCCAAATCATTCTCGGCCTATCTTGTCGCTCGTTTGTTGGCGGACTTTGTCGCTCTAGTCACGGCTGATCATCGCCGAGCACATGCAAGTGTATCGCTCCGGTTGCAGACTCCGCTTCGTTGTCCAACCTAATGTACTGAGCTGCGACGCAGCCTTCTATTTTGCATTCGAAGCGTTCACATCCCCTAATCGTCACCTGTGAATTTAGCATGCCGTTCTTCAAAGAGCTGCGACGGCGCTCGAAGGCCAGCTTCCGGACTTCCGACTCTTCCAACGACTCAAACGGGAATGTCCCCACCACCAAATCGTCTTCGACTCTCAGCTCTGCTCTAGGCGGTAGCACCACTCCGCCTTCAACCTACCACACCAACGGTTCCAACAGCAACCTAGGGAATGGCAAGGCTAACAACGATGCTTTCGTTCCGCCCGTCCCGCAACGTCCGACCGTTGTACCATATTCCAACCGGAACAGTACCATTGTACGTTGCAATAACTCGCAGCAACGGAATACATACTGACAACTTAGTCGCAGACCCTCTCGCCATCCGGTTCGACGCCGACCATGCGCGCACCTTTTCCTACGTCCCCATACGCACCGAAAATCACATCGATACTCGACAATTCCGTTGTCTATCAGAAAGTCTTGTTGGTCCAGGGCGAAATCGGTGAAGCAGCCCAGAAGCCCCTGGATGGGACAGTCACCATAAACCACGATAGGGACGGGCTATCATTTCCTCCAACGTATTGGCCAGTTTCCGACTCGTACTTCAAGGCCTTGGTCTATCTATCTCCTGGTTGGAATAAGATTCGCTTCGACTTTACGTCCCCAAAACTCAGCTCAAGCAGTAACCCTGCTGCTCCACCATTGCATTCCTCTTTCTTGATGCTGAACTATCTGCCGCTGAACAGCGCCCCTCCACTACATCTCGTCATACTCGCTGGGCGCGATTCGCCATGCACCTTCGATGCTTCTCCAGAACGCAGAGAAAAAGAGGGAAATGACTTGGACCTTGCGATGAGAAAATTTCGAATGGCTGCGCATCTATGGCAAGCATTTACAGCGGAACAAATGTACCGCAACAAGTTTGGTCGAAGATGCTTTCGTTTTGATGAAGAGTGGCAGACCGGTACTCTTTCCATGAGAGATTGGGAGACCGGAACCATGAAAAATGAAGCCAAAGTGCACCTCGTCCGCTCAGATAAAACAATGGAAGAGCTGCGCACCCTACAGATTGCGCAGCAGTACGGTCCCGCTGATAAGAAAGGAGAGCTCTACTCCATCGCAGCAGATGCCATCAAAAAGCATTTTCATATGCGTCCGGGGCAGAAGCAGTACGTTGCATGCTTGCTGATTGATTCTCAATGGGATGCGGAAGCAGGGACCATTCGTGCTCATGCAGCGCTGGGTGGAAGCAGCGACAACCTCAACCTTGCTATCTTTGGATCACACGCGCTGCAAAGCTACCCATCTTGTATCGAAGAAGTTGTTCCTAGCTTCATGGACTGTACACCAACAGACACGAAGCACGTGGCGAACGACTGCAACGAATCCGGAAGCAGCTGGGAAGCCGCCAACATTGGCATAGGTGCTCATATGCACGAGGTTGGTCATCTCTTAGGTTGCCCACATCAGGAGAACGGGGTCATGCTCCGAGATTATGTGCGCCTGAATCGGACTTTTCTCATCCGTGAGCCATACGCAACCCGCACGAAGTCACAGGGATTGAAAGTATGCAAGATGGAGGACGAATGCAGCTGGCATAGACTCGACGTACTTCGCTTCCGGCATCACCCCTGCTTCAAGCTCCCCGCCGATGAGTCGACGTCGGCGCAAGACGACAGCAGTCAATTCTTCCCTGTAGACAACGGACGGATCATCTGCTGTGCAGCAAGTGGTATTTCTTTCATCGAAATCCGCACGGAGGGTGACGACGTTTGCAGACACTGGATTGACTACAACACGAACGATCCGCGGAACAGCAGTCTTCCTCGTCAAGTCACATTGACCGACGCCGATATTCGTGCACGACTGCCGGAGAACAAACGGAAGCGGAAGATCCAGCTTGAGGTTTTCTCTGGGGGCTCAGGTAAAGTGAAGATCGAAGACATGGATGATCTGCTTTCTAAAAAGCACACGGTCAATCTTCCCCCTGTCCGACAGGCTCCCAAACAGGACGAGGGCCTGACTATGAATGCGCTGAATGGAGTCGTTGGGCTCAGCCGAACATTGACCTCGCGCTTAGGATTCAAGAGCAAGAAATTGGGCCTTTCGCAGCTTCAAGGCAGTCAAGAACAAATGGTTATTCTGGAGAGTGCCAATATCCAGTCCAAGCTCTTGACATCGGTGAAGACCTATCATGGTTTGGGCCTGGATGGCTTGGAGTTCTGCTACGAGGATGGCAAGTCGCAGCTCTTTGGCAAGAGAGGCGGTAAGCCGGGAGGTGATGAATTCTTCCTTGGTAAGCAACGACGTTCCGCGTCAAACATCCCAACTGACCTCGATAGATACTCGAAGAGGAGAGACGATTCTCGGCTTTTACGTGCGAGCAGGGGCCTGGGTTGATGGCATCGAAATTCTCACAAGTACTGGGCGACGTTCTGGTGTATTTGGCAACGCCAAGGGAGGCTCAGGGTAAGCATGATCGTTCGACTAAGTTCTGCAGAAGCTCACGCATTGCAGGCATACTTTGATGGCGCCTCGAGGGTACTATTTGGCCGGCATAGCTGGTTCTTGTGGTTCATGGGTTGATGGGTTCCAAATAATAATTACACGGTGAAAGATACAGGAACACTGTATTCGATTGACATCCGCAGCATTGGGAACGGACCGTGCAGACACATGAAGTCGCAGCAACAGCACCGTCGGGAAAAGGAATGGGTTCATAAGTGCGCACACAGACGCAAAATGGAGCGCTGCATTGTAAAGGAGCGCAGGGCCACCAATACAGTAATGTGTATACGACAGGAACAGCACACGAATACCTACAGGATTGTGAATAAGGTTCTTTCTGGGGCAGTGATGTCCCGTCGGTCCGGTGACACCCATTGTCTTGATGAGAGCTAATGAGATTCCTGCTCGAGACCTTGACGATCGATCGGCAGCTCACAAACAACGCACCTCGACTCAAGGAAATCGACCAACAACGAATTTTCAGCACACTCTGCTGCAGGGAAGGAGCCTGTTGGGCCACGGTGGGTAATCTCGTCTGTATGTACAGGCAGCCTCGGCAGTCAAAGGTTCAAACACAGACGGGCCGTCTCAAGAGCAGAAGTCCTCTGCTGTACTTTGTACGTGCATTTCGGAAGGAGTGCTCGGTTGATAAAAAGTAGTTGATTAAAGGGGGACTTGGAGTACAGCTCAGCACGGCGAGGCGGAGCAATGGACTTTATTCGGGAGGAGTTTGCGTGCTTAAGTTACCTTAGGTACTGTACATAGAACGTTGGTCGGCGCACGTTACGGCATGGTAAAGAAACGTGGTAAAAAGCGGCAGTTTGTACGGAGTATTTGTTGAGAGTGCCAGGACTGCACCTGGACCACAGCTACATCCGCCGTAGTATTCAAAGGCTTTCTTTCTCGACGTCTTCTTTCCGTCGTGTTCGCTGCTATAGCTTCACGGTTTAAAACCAGCTGCCGACGGAACAATGATGGACCTCGTGAGAGAATCCCTGCTCTTGATAATTTCGCGGGTGCGCTCGCGCGTACACCTTTACTCAAAAGAGGTGCCGTGGGCTAAGCGCCGAGAGAAATTTGTTCGAGAAGGGTAGAAGATTTCACAATTTCACCACCCCGGTCGGCGACACGCGGATGCAATCTCAGCAGGCTCTTTTCATCTCACCAGGATGTGCGTACGGAGTATCACTCACCATCAACTTGCACATTATTTTTTCAAAACGCCTAACTGGCTAAGGATGGGAGACGAAACTAAGACGTTTGGGTTGGTGTTTCTCGCGTTCTGCGCCCGCTGACGTCGATAGTTTCAAATATAGTGCGATCGACAGTACCAAATGCTTCTGTACCGGCGCCTGCAGCTACTATTGCAGATATCCGAAAGACACGAACGTCTTGCAGCGCATCGCGGTAAGACTAGCTGATGCTTTGTCTCGTGTAAGCGGCCTACCACCCAGCGAGCAGCAGGTCCCAAGAAACCCTATCAGGCACCATGGCCCCACGTGGCTTTTCGATAGTTGACCGCTTGTGAGGGCCACGCGCGGCATGCAGCGCTGGCACCCCCCGATCCGAGCTTAGCGGACACCGAGTAACCGATGAATCTGCAGAATTGTTTACGGAGGCGTGATCGCTCGCTACGAGCGACGCTTCGGAAGGCCACCAAGAGCAACGGTACGTAACTGCTCCGTAGAATCCGAGTACTTGCGAGTGGTGTTGAAAGAACAAGCTTGTGGCGCGACAGGCCCCAAGGCCGCTACGGCGCCGCAGTACCGGCTAAATATCTCAATACTGCTGATGCTGTTGGGTCGCCAAACCCTAACGCCCGCAAGCGACATCACATTGGATCCAAACGATGTAGCCAGTACTGAAGCACGTACGGAGTACTTGATCGTGATCCTCGAATCTGGAAGCCGATTGCCTGTTTCGTGGCTTCAGATTTAGCGGACGCCAAGCAGAAGCGTGTGCCGATGCGGCGTCACAAAGCAATATCAGTATGCTTCGGGGTGGACGATGAGAGAGGCGGTTTGTGATAATGGCTACACTTATGCGGAGTAGGATGGTGGTCGATTTCGCTCATCAGGTACGGAGGCTGTTCGGCTGTTTCAAGATGTTGCCGGTCAAGCCACCATTTTCTCAAACAGCTGTGCTCAAAGTCCCTAAGATGTCTCTCAGCGGGGTTGCTCAAGAGCCGAAAGCAACGCTTGTGTATCAGTATACATACTTGATAAATGGGTCCAGTGGTGTGCTCGAGCCGGCCTGTGGCTGAAAACACTCACATGCGAGAGCAAATCTCCAACTGCACCACGAAGCTCCGAGCGATGAATGAGGGGTAGTCATACACATACCGTCTCACAAGAGATGAGTCACTTGACTTTTCTGCAATTGCCGTACGAAGCGGACAAAGTCGAGACTTGTGGGGTCCGCCCCATCCGATGCTGTCCGAGCATGAAAGTGCATAGCACGAAGTCGACACTTTTGCATCTGGGCCCCATCGGCAAAATTAGCTTTTCCAACGAACAATTCTTCCAGTGTACTCCGTATCATCAGTAAGCGACCGGCAAACCAGTCTCCCAAGGATGTCTGTTCGAAGGAGGAGGTCGAGATGGGTTCAGCCACAGTGATCGGCAGAGGTCTGCGAGGGGTCCGCGTCAGCTGAAGGTTTGGCAGACAGTTGCAAGAGGTTCACAGCGAGTCACAAGCGAGCAGAGCGGGTGCCTCGCGGCAGAAACACCCGAGACTCGCCACGATATGTGGCGGTGCAGGGCGATCGTTGCCAGATCGGACCGTGGTCGAGAGAGAAGGGGGAAACCGATAGACGATCAGGATGGAAATGACCACAGCAGAATTCCGGCCGCTGCAAAATTAGCTGCCATGGGCCAAAAGGGATTGCAGGGCCCGCAGGTGGACACTCTGGCTATGGCTGGTGTCGAGCAGGGGACCCTTGTAGCGCCTTCTTGTGGCCTCTCGCACCGGTATGCAAACACGGCCTAGGGTGCCGTCTCTGTGCGTTTCATCTCGGTGCAAGACGTGGCTGACAGCTCGCCGGGCATCACCAGCGCCACAGCTACACTCCACCTAGGCTCTCCACCTGGCACCTTCGGCTCGCGGAGCGTCCAATGCCACTGCCTGGAGCCACTGAACCTGTTGGGCGACCGCATAGGCGGTGCAGGCTGTGGAGGCGGTGGCTCACACGCCCGCCGTTACCTCCTCTAGCGTTGCGCCTAACCATTCACGAGGCCTCGCCCGTGGACCTTCTTCGGGCCTTCACCCGTTTGCTTGGACCTCTCCTCTCTCGTGAGCGCACCCCGGTCACAGTGGAAGTACACTTCGGAATCCCTGCAATCTCACCTGTCTACCCTGTCCTGTCTAAACCATTCCTATCCACTCCCATCTCCCATGACCCATGTTCTGGAAATCCACTTGTGAAATGGCCCTTACTTGTCGTGGCTGCAACTCGCCATCATCGCAGCAACCTCACTTCCTCATCTACATCTCCATTCCACCCGACGATCATTGCCTCAGTCCATGTACTTGTCTCTCGACCTTCTAGGCCCACGTCGCCTCGCTTCTTCCCTCGATCACGCTCTAATAATACCAGACATCGACCACTGCCAGCAACGCGCAATCTTCTCGGCGCAGCACTCAACTCACCGTAACACGCCTTGTTGACTCGACATCGCTGCCTGCCGCACTCATATGCGTACATCCTTACAGAGATCACCTCTGTCGGAACCCTATGCGCCGTATTGTCAATGATTTGATCCGGTCTGACCTCACCTGACGATCTGCGACACCTCAGCCACTTCAAATGTTTCGCAACACGCCCGCTTTCTCTCAGCCCTAACCATCACATTTCCTGAGACGACAAACCCCACAGTCTCTGGCGGCATGTTCTCTCATCGCCGTAATTCCCAGAAGCCCAACGAAGAGTTGTACCAGGCTTTCAAGGACAGCTTTCCGGGAGTCGGCCCTGGAACTAGTTCAGCTGACCCAGGGGCTGTCCCTGCAGTCGCCCAGAGATCGGCCTCGCTAAGTGAGGCATTGATCGATGCCCCATCGACTCAAAGGTATGTCTCTCCCACTACATTGTCTTATCTTGACTACCGTCACCGTCGCCCTTGGCCCCCAACTTGCATTATGGATGGTGACGCCGACTCACCCAGTGGACCCCCCACTGACTACTTTACCAGACACTATGAAGCTGTCGACGAGAGCAAAGAGGCAGATGCAACACCAAAGACATATGGCGATTCATGGCGGTTGACGCCTTCGTTAATGGATCCCAACTCTTATGCTTTTGCTGCCTTTGCGAACCAAATGCCGGGCTACTACACGCCCACACCGGGAGGATTTTCAACGTTGTTCCACAGCTCAGCGGGGGACTTGCACACTCCGGGCATGGGCATGAACACACCTCTTTCGCTACCTAGTTCTGTACATGGCCTTCACGCACAAGACGCCAACATGCATCTGCAGCATTTCAACCCTCAGATGCTTCATCACCCCCAACTCTACCACGACCCATTTGGCCAGCACCAGAATCAACTACTCCTTCAGCAGCAACAGCAGCAGCATCACCACCAACAGCAACAGCAGCCAACTTATGCGCCACATCAGTTCCTCCAGCACCAAGATTCTGGCTATGTTGCGATGGACGATTCACCTCACAAGACCACACCGCAACAGCACGAGATGATGCTCGCGCAACCTCCAGCCCATCAGACCGTACAGCCGCCTTTACCGGGCAACGTACAGGTCCCCAGCATGCCGCTTGGCGAGAAGTACGTTAATTCAGAGTTCACCAACATGTGCCAGGCTAACGATCCCAACAGATTCCGCTTCCATACTACTCTCAATGCACCGACCGCCATGATTAAGCATGCCGACGAGATCCCAGTGACCTATCTCAACAAGGGTCAAGCATATACAATCTCAATATTCGATACCAGGCCCCCTGGCCCACAGTCAGCTTCTCCTGTCCGATACCGAACTTACGTCAGAGTATCATTCGAAGACGAACAACAACGAGCCCGACCAGGCGCGTGTTGGCAGCTCTGGAAAGAAGGACGCGGATCCAATGAGGCGCACCAAAGAGGTGGGAAGCTCTTGGCTGTGGAAAGAGTCGATCCCAATCAGGGCGATGACCCCATCCGCAAGTCTCAGGTTGAGCTAGAGCACGCATCGTTCGACGGCTTCGCTGTGACGTGGTACCCCAACGCCACCGCCGGTGTTCCGGATTGCTCGATTTCTGTTCGCTTCAATTTTTTATCCACCGACTTCAGCCATTCCAAAGGCGTCAAGGGCATCCCCGTCAGGCTCTGTGCAAAGACAGAGCTAATCTCACCTCAGTCCGCCAACATTAATGAGCCGGAAGTCTGCTTCTCCAAGGTCAAGTTGTTCCGGGACCATGGTGCCGAGCGAAAGCTATCCAACGATGTGGCGCACGTCAAGAAGACCATTGAGAAGTTGAAGCAGCAGATTGCCCAGGCGGAAGCTGGCTTGGGCGGCTCTGGCAAACGCAAACGCAGTGGCTCAACAGCCAAGGTCCCGCCGTCAAAGCCTGGCAAGGTTTTGAAACACAAGCGCACCTGGTCTGTCGATTCTGACGTCGAGGTCAGTCGGTCAGCTGCCGAAGAGGATCTTCACATGAAGCTAGTGAGCATGCAGGATATGTTTTCGTCGACGAGACCAGTCTCTGTGCTGTATCTACAAGGAGAGCCAGAGGATGATCCTGACCTACATCCTGTCAAGCTAACGGGCGGCGACACTGTCGAAGGATCTGCCATGACCCGTACCGAGACATGGGAATCAAAAGCCAGCATCGAGTCTCCCGGGTCTAACGGCGCCTCACCCAGCAGCAGTTCCGGATCAGAGTCCACACCGAAGCGAAAATACTCGGAACTGCAACAGAACACTATCCAGGAGGAGGACGAGGAGGAAAGCGCGCCTAGCAGCCGGCCTAGATCTCCGAATCGCCCCGTCAAGATACCAAAGCTAGAGGGCGAAACAAAGTTCGCCTCTGATCTACTGGCTCTTGATGTCGACAAGAGCTACAAGCCACCCACAGAAAGGCCGATAAAACCAGGTAAGTCCAGAGTTGTGCGAGTATGACCATTACTGACCATTCAATAGTCGCATGCTTCTATGTACGTCAAAAGGGCGATAGCAAAGAGTACTATCGAGCAGTTTATTTGCCTCAACGTACAGTACGCGACCTGGTCAACGGCATTTCCAACAAATTCCAAATCGAGCCTCATCGAGTGACGCAAGTCACACATGTCAATCCCAAAGGATTACATATCATTGTGGACGAAGATGTGGTACGCGAACTGCCGGAAGGACAGGATATGCTCGTGGAGTTCGCTCCTGGAGGCGATCAGGTCAAGCAGGAGTTTGCAACCCAACCACTGACGGATGCTATGGTGGACGGGATGGTCGAGCCCATCAATACCATCGTGTCGGACCCACTGGAGATGTGGCTCAATTACTAAGACGACATTTACTATTACTCTCACCACGACCGCAAAGACTGGTTTTCCTTGATGATACCCAACTTACGAGCGAACTGAGATTTTCATAACGAACACGATTATCATGTCAGGGTGGCGCCATTCGAGTTTTCCGCGTTCAAAACGATGCATGTTGGGGCTGTGTTCTGATATTTGCAATTTTCAGCATACATCAACCTCCCATCGACTGGGACTTGTTTCCTTTTCTATACGGCGGCTTGGTACGGCTATGGGAGACAGGAGCAGAATGGACCCAAAGTCGACAGCAGCCCTTCCTTCGGTCATTGATCCGGGCTACACGACCGTCTCTTTGAGTCCTGTAGGATCAAGCGCATACACGATTATTTTTTCATTCGACCAGGCCCCAGTCGCGACTCGCAGAGGATCTCAGCTCTGTCAGCGTGGGGCCTTTCTGCCTTTTGAACATTCTTCACGATACACACGAATTTTTGAGGATACCCGTGGCCGGTTTGATGGCCCCTTGTCTCTTGCCTTCTGGTGCTACAGATACATATGGAGTGTACTTTGATCCTGGCTCGCGCTAGGCATTTAATGTGTTGTTGGAAATTCTGATCGGGTTGCGATGAGTGGAGGACATGAGGTGTACAGTGACAGCGCAGCAGGGTCTGGCAGTCTTGGACGTGGATGGCGGTGAGGTCACAGCGGTGCAGATGCAGATGCAGGTGACGATGGCGGTGGAGGCGGTGGCGAAGGGGCAATATCCGAACGCGTTTCAAGTTGGGAGCATATCCGACTGTCTTGGTCCAGGCCAGCATTGAAACCCATTCCTACGGGCAAGGGAACCTGGTCGGTGAGCCTCAGACAGGCTGTTTCAAGGCTGCCCTTTCGGCATCTCCAGGTACCGTACAAGGGGATGGCAGAGGGGGAGAGCGGTAGTTGCATTAGAAGCGCATTCACAATGCTGCCAATCAGAAGCCAGTACCCGTTCATCTATCCGATTCTCCAAGGTTCCTGGGTCTTGGTCGGTAGAGAAGCTCGCGCGGCGGTACAACGTCTCGACTCCACCGGCCATCGGCGATGGATCTCTGCCAGCTGGCGCGCACGAGGCGGTGGGAGGGCGTGCACGGGGTCACCGTTGCGACAGGTCAGCTGATGGATTGCACACCGAGGTCCTTGTTTGGCCAATCTAAGTCTAGCAACAAACGGACCCATATGTCCACGGGGCTGCAGCGTGAGGGCAGCCAAAATTAATAAGAATAGCATTTCTCTTTTCCGGAGTGTTTGTTGCAGGTCCAATCAATCAATCGGGACCCGCAGGCTGGCGTCGGTGAGGAAGAGGCGATGTCTGCTATCCAGCGTTATGCCAAACTGAATCTGTCGGCAATCGCCTATACCTGAGTAGCGCCCAGCCATCGATGATTTCTTTTCCCATCACTTTACGAGGGACTTTGAATTGGTCTGGCCGGAGATTTCCAAGACAAAGAGCAACAGGGACGCGTCAGCTGCGAGGATAGTTTCTGATCGAGCGAGGACGCAACGGACAGTGCTGCCATGCCCACATCGGGTGCCGGTGCTAGCTTTTGCGTTACGGCAGCTGCAAACGACCGTCCTCCAACCCAGCGGCGGAACCCAAACTTGAGTTTGTGACGGTTCGTTGCCTAGCTACATCGTGACACAACCTGCATAGGCTGCCGCGGGGAGGAGCTCCGACCTAGAACAGCCGATGGTGTCCTCATCTCCGCTCTTGACAACCGCACTAAACTTGGGCTGAGATTGACCGGAGATGACAAGGACGATGTTCGGAACATGCGACTTTGAACAATCACCACTCTGCACTGCTGGAAAGGTTTTCCTGTACCCACCTACGGCTTGGTTTGACAGGGGCCAGCGAAGGAGCGGGAATGGTTGGCCGGCTAGGCTTCTGGTGCAGACAATCTTCGAAGCGCTTGTCTGCCGTCTTGTCCTGTGGCTGGAACGTTCTTATTCCGGAAGCTGCACCGCCACATACGCCACATGCGCCACAGATCAGCGCTCTAGCCACACATACACGTGAAGTGCGGGGTCTCATGTCACCGTGTGACGCAAGGTTTGGAAGCACGGAAGCCACCACGAATAAACTGCCTAATAACAAAGTTCAGTGCAACCTCTCACAAACCTTGTCGTCGACGAGGGGTCCAACGGCACCTGACGCTGCCCCCCTTCACCAGCCACACCCTCTGCCCGACATCAAGCCACATCGACATCACGATCGTCGCTTTTGACCCAATGCCCAACCTGTGCCATCTTCCCACAGGTCGCACTAGCATTCATTCAAACCACCATGCAGCACTGCTTTTCCGCTTCTCCCGAAAAAAAGATGCGGATGACTCTCTATCACCGGCCGAGCTCATACAGGCTCGCCACCGGGTGAAACATGCAGGGTGATCGCCATCAGTCTCGTTCCTGGTGCTACTGCAGGGTCTCTGTGGCTGTGCGGGAATGCTTCTCCCATTCGTCCAACCAGCGCCGTCCTCCCTTAGCCACACCTCCAGAGGATGCATCAAAAACCTAGCCCTTGATCAGCTGAACCGGCCTGTCTGGGCTCCCGACGGCCTCATTGCATTTTTTCTAACCGATTGCTTATCTACAAGGTGTACACGCGTTCGCACCGAAGCAGCATCGATCGTCGAGCATTCACAAAGGTACATTCTTCTCCAAGACTTTGGAGTGCTAAACTTAGGAGCCTTTATCGCCACCGAAACCCTGACTGAGTCTGCCTTACACACCAAGCAATTTTTTAGCCGAGAGGTAGGTACGAGCCAAACTCGACAACGTCAAACCGCTTCCACGCCGCACCATGGGACACACGGAGTCCACGAGAGTCGCCTCACTCGTACCCGACAACGGCCACACCGTCCATGCCCATGATATGCGGGTCCTGAAACTCCTGTAACGGGGCGGCGATACCTTGCGCGACAACGTTCGACCCTGCATAATGTCTTCCTTTGGAGCTACTACCTGATCAGCACTGCTGCAATCCTCAGGCTACAAGCTCGCAGAGGCTGTGTTGATGACCGCTCCAACCTTTTGCAAGCCAACTGTTTAGACAAGCACTGGATGTCCAGGGGTCTCGCAGTTTGCGGGCTATGGTGCCACCCATCTAGACTGTCGTGTCAACAACCCATGTTGATGGTCGTCGGCGATACTTCGAAGCAGGGCCAATGGTGCCTTTGCTTGCTGGGGCTCTGCGCGCATTGTCACCCCTTTCATTGTTCTCTCAGGCCCTTGCAATATCTCGGGCAGTGTCCCATCCATGCTCTACTGGGCGCTATCGTCTCGCTACCAGCAGCGCAAGATTCGGGCACGGGGATGCTGCCGTATCGGTTCGGCGCTCGCTTCTACTAGGACCAACCCTAATGCACCTCTCCTATCCAATAGCTGTACATTGACACCATATCTTGGCAGCGAGCCGTTGATGGGGGATGAGGTCGTGGAGCTACGGTCTCGTCTCGACAACGTGGCAATCTCAGGAGCGAAGTCAGTGCTGCAGGTGACACGCAATGAAGCTGCGGTCGCAAATCGGTCGTCTAGCCCTGTTTTGTGTCATTTCAAGAGGCATAATGTTGGTCGTAGTGACCAGGTGGTCGCGAATCGTCGGCAGCACACTTAGCGACGAAATGCAGGCTAGTTCTGGCGAGTGTCGGGGAGTGCAGGAATGCATCCTGGCCCGGCGAGAGCTATTGGTCCGACGCACCTGTCCTGAGCCGCACAGCTGTTCGTTGGCATGCATCTTTCGCCTCGGGAAGATTAGACGGTGAGTCTACCTTCCTTGTTCCGTGACACTAGTGGAGTCGTCCTCGCCGACGTCTCGTGCATGTTGCTTGCTTCTTCGATAACCTACTCGAATCGCGCTTGCATCTCGATCTCGACTTTGACCTGGCTGTGGGGGCTGTGGTCTGAGAATAGATACTGCGCTTGAATGCTTGCCACACTGTTGTCGCGTCCTTGAAGAAGGTGTGGCGATATTGCAGCGTCAGCATTGAACTTGCAAACAGAGGATCTCAGGCGTCGAGACACATTCCCACTGATGCTCTCTTCGAGCAAACGCCAGCTCGCTCGCAGTGCACAGTCATGTATGCAATGTCATCTTTGCAGTGGACGCCTTTTCTCATCTAGCACCATCCCTTCTGTTCCTTCGAGTCCAGTTTCACTGCCTTGACAGCATGCGTCGTGCTCAACAAACGATCTCGTGGGTTCCGCTCCGTGTCTCATCAATCGTCAAGACTATGCTTTCAACGGGGGACGTATAATAATGAATATATTGCCTTCGAATCGGACGATACGCAGCCGTCAGCTTCCCCACGAGTAGGTTACACCGACCAAAAGTGCAAGTGACCTCTTATCAGGCATTGATTCTCCAGTAAAGACTTATTATAAACCCCCTACGGTGAAATGCTGAATGCTTCTCATTGATCAACCTGCCCATCAGTCATGTCTCAACCACCATCAAACCGCACCTCGAGTCCTCGTTGAGTGAAGCGCATCGCGAGTGATAGCAGACGTTCAATCTTTCGCAAAGGCGATCAACATCTCCACTCATGGTTGCGCTCGACCTTCACGCCCCTATCTCAAACGCTTGCGCTGCGGTAAACCTATACGAGCAATAGCACAACGGGCAAGGCACGATGCAAGATGTGACAGCACGCCCAGCGTTCAAAAGCTTGCGCCATATGGCTGAACTTCTCTTGAGGGGTCGATATAAGACGCTTGACTACCTCGTAGTACAACCTAGTCCACCCTTTCAAGTCTGTGACCCTCATTAACACTGTAGAACAAGAACACAAGCCGGGGTGTTCGAACGTATCAGCAACGGCCAGTCACGCGGTCTCATGAGTTTCAGCCTCACTAACTCATTGGCCGCGTAGGAAATCCAGAGCTATCCCACGGCCCTGAATCGAAGCTATCATTCTGTCTCTCCTCGTTCCCTCGACAGCTATGGAACATATGTTGCCGTGTAGAGACGCCCGTGCGACACGACTGTGCGCTGGTCAAGAACCCTCGAGATGGGCAAATACCGCAACAAGACCATCCCATGTCCCCAAAATCGACGGAAGGGGCTCCTAGGGAGGCTGCCCTAAAACTTACAAGGTTAACACAAAGTGACACAGTAGAAGGCTCAAACGAAATCGACGAGCGGGACTGTACAGAAGTACAGAAGTACATCACATCACTGTTGGGGGTCGACAAAAGATTGACAGAGACGCTCTCCTGTGGTTCACGACAGAGCCTTTTGGGTGGTCCTGGTAGTACGCAGTGAGTTTCGGGAAGTGTCACCGCCAATATTGTCGACTACATTGTCAACTCCTAGAAGATGCTCGAATAGGCCTTTCTTATCGCGGCGACACTCATGGAGTCCGTCCTCCGGACGCATGCCTTTTCTCTTGGTCTCAGTTTCTATGCTCCAAGGCTGACGGGTATGTCACGACAGCTGGTATAACCTAGAACGGGGGAGCGTTGAGGTAATAATACTGTAAGCTTCCATTTCACTGCCTGGTTTGCCTTGGCAAGCATGTATATCCGTCTCACGTAGACTATATATGCCACATCGACCTATATTTCTTTGGCACGCTGATCGTGGAGCAATTGTCTCCATGCGGGGGACATGATTCGAAGAGAAAGGGTTGCCCCCATTGTTACTCCCATCGAGGCGAGGTGATGCGCCTTGCTGCAGCACTGCAAGTCGAGGTCGGCAGTGGAAGGATCTCTGGGAATGGCGCTTTCATGTCAAGCCTAAAGCCACGATCCTCAATTGGTACCAGCTCATCATAATTTCGATGAAGGGCAATGAGGAATCGAAGTCGGCCTTCGCGCGCTTCCAAATTGCGATGTTTACACGGTACAAGGAAATCGTGACAGACGGAGTACGACAGAGTTAGATTGAGGCAGTGTCTATCGCGATTTTCTTTCTAGCGGGTTCCTCCCAGACAAAGCCTGAGTGAGAAAGGGTCAGCTTCGATTTCGGCTTTCCGTTGCAGCAGCTCATCGACATCGTAACTGGCAAATACAAAGCGCCCTCTCAGGAACTCGCTCTCGCCCGATGCTAGCCAGACACAAGTATCGGCCGGCAAGCTGATGTCATGCAGCGGTACGTTTTCTCGTGTTTCAGGGTCTTGCTGCTGCGCTCGGAAAAGTGGTGTATCAACCAGACCGGGGTTCAGCGTGAAGACCCTCAGGCGGGGGTTTTCGACAGAGAGGTAATCGTCGAGTTTTGCAGCTGCCAACTTTGCGGCCGAATATGCTGAAACTTTCGGATAGAGCTGTGCAGGTCCGACGCCTGTCCCAGCGTTGAGAGAGATATAGGTGGCGTTCGGCCGGGCCTTTGGCATAAACGATTTTGAGAAATGCTGTACCGAGCGGACCGTGGTCTCGAAGCTCTTCCACCAGTCGTCTTCGTCACTTCCTTGAATGGTTGACGGTGTCGGCGAGTAGTCCGCCGCGCAATTGACAAATACGTCCCATGCTACATTTCGGTCAGCGTTCCGTTGCTCCAAAAGGTCCCAGGCTCGCGCGTGGGAGATGTGGCCGTACCTCCAATCTCGACTCTAGCCCAATGCGATGCAATGCCCACGCTTGGAGCCTCGGCGATGTCTAACGTATGAGTAAAGACGATGAGTTCGCGATGCGTCTCGAGCAGAGACTCCTTCGTCTGCTGCAAATGCTGCTCGCTCCTGTCGAAGAGGCCAATTTTGGCAGCGCCCGCCTTCGCGAAAGCAGCAGCGATGCCCGCACCAATGCTGCCAGGCGCTGCACCCGTCACATAAACAGTCTTAGCTTTGACAGAAAGTTCAGGCCTCGACGAATCTATTGTCGGGTAACTTGTCGAGCGTTTGATCTTGGTGAAGGTGAGCTCCATTTTGGGACCAGATTCAGGGGCCTAATGCGACCTGGAAGAAGAGCAGAATGAATTCAATGAGCAAACCGACGAGGACCAGCGGCTGATTTGAATACAGGCGTGAAGCTCTGATATCCAACCATCGCCGAGCGAGTCGCAAGCATGCAAGATGGACGCCATGATATGGCCGAGGTCGGCCTAGGCAAACAGGCCGGAGCAGGCAGTGAAATCTCGCTTACCCGGAAATTCCACTGTCTAACTCCGGGCGGTGCAGCACGGGCCTGCTTTGCTCACCCGGCGTGGTGCGCTTATCGACGGTTGCGGATATTCACTCCTAAACAGCGCAAAAAAAGTTCATAGCAGAGCGAGTTGGATTCATGCGCTTTGGTAAACTCTAGCACGCCTTATGAGGAGTGTCTTGCATCAGGTACTGTACTAAGGATCTCCCTTGTCATCTCCTATCATCATTCTTGCAGTCGTTCGTTCTTTCCAATTAATTAGCCTGCCACAATGGCTTCCGTCAAGCCCCTCCCGACCACTTGCCCCGCCGCCAAATCATCGATTCTCGAACAGATTGGCAACACGCCACTCGTCCGTTTGAACAAGATTCCTCAGTCGCTGGGCATCGAGGCGCAAGTATGGGCCAAATGCGAGCTGTTCAATGCGGGCGGTAGCGTAAAGGATCGCATTGCGCTCCGCATGATCGAAGAGGCCGAGAAGAGCGGGAGGATCAAACCAGGTGACACTTTGATTGAGCCGACGAGTGGGAACACCGGGATCGGTCTTGCCCTCGTAGCAGCGGTGAAGGGCTACAAAACCATCATCACCTTGCCGGAAAAGATGTCGGCTGAGAAAGTGTCTGTCCTCAAAGCACTCAACGCTACCATCATTCGCACTCCTACCCAAGCCGCTTTCGACAGCCCTGAATCTCACATTGGTGTTGCTCGACGTCTCGAGAAAGAGATCCCCAATGCACACATACTTGATCAATATGGCAACCTCGACAACCCTCTCGCTCACGAGCATGGTACCGCCGAAGAGATCTGGACGCAGACCTCGGGTAAAATCACTGCCGTGATTGCGGGTGCCGGCACAGGTGGGACAATCACTGGTATCGCGCGCGGGCTGCACAAGCACAACTCCAATATCAGGATCATTGCCGCCGACCCCAAAGGCTCCATTCTCGCGCTCCCTACCTCACTGAACGATGAGGGCGCCAACGACCCATACAAAGTGGAAGGTATCGGCTACGACTTTATCCCCGACGTACTCGACCAGAAGATTGTGCATAACTGGTATAAAACTGATGACCGGGACTCATTCCACTACGCGCGCCGGCTCATTGCCGAAGAAGGCATTCTCGTCGGCGGTTCCTCCGGATCCGCAATCGCCGCGCTCGTCGCTGCACACCGCGATGGGCACTTCTCAAAAGACGACGTCGTCGTGGTCGTCCTACCCGACAGCATTCGTTCCTACCTTTCCAAGTTTGCCGACGACGATTGGCTGGCGGCCAACGACCTTCTCCCGCCCACACCACCAGCCGAGCCCGCCTCCCCCAAGCTGCAACGGACCCCTTCTATCGAGCAACCCAAAGACCCCTTCGCCAATGCCACCGTGCGTTCTCTCCGCCTGAAGCCAATCCAGACAATCCCAGCCGACAGCACCTGCGCATACGCCATCGAGACCATGCGCGACAAAGGCTTCGATCAGCTGCCCGTCACCAGCAGCACGGGCAAGCGTCTCGTCGGACTCGTCACGCTCGGCAACCTGCTCTCCCGCGTCAGCCACGGGCGCGCCACCGCCCAGTCCCCCGTCAGCGACATCATGTTCGACTTTGGCAAAATCAGCGAGGTCATCACTGACCCCCGCGATTTCGGCAACTTGGCGAGCCACGGTGCCAACAACACCGAGGTAAACGGGGACGCCAAGCGGAAAGACCAGAAGGCAAAGTCGCAAAAGGATTTTGTGGAGATCACGATGGACACGCCGCTCAGCGCGTTGAACAGGTTCCTGGAGTGGCAGAGTGCTGCTATTGTGACGGAGCGGGATGCGGCGGACACTGGCGCTGGAGGTAAGGGGTCTTTGAAGCCTGTGGCGATCGTGACAAAGGTCGACCTTTTGACGTGGATGGTGAGTCAGCATAAGATCTAGGTAGGAGAAGGCCGAGGTAGATTTTGTCTGTTTGTCGGATGACCGGATTGCGAAGTCTGAAATCCTTCTCTACTCTGGGACTGAACAGAATGATTCAACATCAACATTGAGCATGGCGTTGTGGGGGCGAACTGCTGGGTACGACTACGATAGATGCAGATACTTTGTTGAATAGTCTTGTTAGATCTCGAGATTACTACGTTCAATAGAAATCACTTTGCTCATGACTGAGACTGCTCGCGCTCACAAACGAGCCAACTCCAGAACCTACCTGGAAATGTCGCAGATCTGGAACTCATCAGATGCCTCTAAGGCATCGCGATATCACGATAGATACAAATCATGTTACAAGAAACGGGAAAAAATTGTGTGCGCAAGGGTCAGCGTCCTAGGGTAAGGGCTCGTGAGGCGGTGGAACGGCGGTTAACGGGGCGCGGGGGTGATCGTTGGAAGCGTCGCTTCCGTGGTGAGGAGTTTGCTGCTGATAAAGGGGGAAAGGGGACGGCGCGAGGAGGAGGGGGGAGGTTGAGTAGAAGATAAGCGGCCGGGTAGGATCGTATCAGCGGCGGAGCGCGGGTGAAATTCGATGTCAGAGCAAGGGATTGTAGGACGTTGCCGATTATCGTTCCGATGGATCGATCGAGACGCTATCGTAAAATAAATGCTGACGAAGTCTGCCGCAGGACGTGACCGAATCGTTCGTATCGATCGATGCTCGTTCTCTCGACACTATACCCATTCTAAGTCAGATGCTCCAGAATTGCCTTTCAGGTTGCCTGATGGTCAACACTGAGCCTTCAAATCCATTGGAGAGAACCTTGCCCCTGCTCCGCTGACCGCAGCGTCAAACTTTTTGTGGTGTTAAGGGTAAGCCAGATGCAGGAAAATGATTGCCTCTACTCGGCAGTATCGAGCTCATCGTGAGCTGGGGGTGGAGAGTCGGGAGCTGAGACGGGTGTCAGCACTAGTTCCAGGACATAATGACTTCGTCGGTAGCTTCGGGAGCAGCCTCGTGAGCAGGGTCAGTCGCACCTTTGCGGTCGTCGCCATTAGCACCAGCCTCGCGATCATCGTCACGCCGGTCACGGTCTTCTCGTTCGCGATCGCGATCAACAGGGCTGCGAGAGCGGCGGCGATCATCGTAGTCTCGGTCACGGTCCCTATCACCACGATCGCGATCACTGCGGCGGTCATCCTTGCGAGGAGAGTAGTCTCGACGACGAGGAGAGGGAGAGCGATAGCTGCGGCGAGCAGGAGAACGATCACGGCGCTCACGACGATCACCACCTCGGTCGCCACCTCGGTCACCGGCTCGATCGCCGCCGCGCTCACCGCCACGCTCACGGCCGGTGTCGAACCGCCAGGAAGCAGAGGGAGGCGTGCGAGCCCACTGAGAGGTGTCAGCATTTGATGTTATTGTGGAGGGTGTGTGGTACCTCGATCTTCAAGACATCATCACGACCGATGCGCTTGTTATGCATCTCATGGTAGGCATCGTCAGCATCTCTACGGGATTCGTATTCAATAAAAGCGAAGCTGCGAAACTCGTCAGTATAAACTCTTGAGACGTCTTGCGAACACCCACAGTCTGCTGGAGGCAGTACGAGGAGCCGGAATGTCGCAGCGGACGAGACGACCGTAGTGCTCGAACTCGTAAGCTAGGTCGCGTGCTCGAGTACCATGACCGAAGCCCGTGACATAGAGGGTCGTGCTTGAGCGAGACATATCGAGGCTCTAGTTGGTGATAGAAAGGAGATGACAGCAAGGCTCTGGCAATGTCAAAGGAATGATTCCACAAATAGCGCAGTCCGAGTCTCAAGATATTTGGACTGGGCTGGAGGTGATGGAGATGGTTGCACGGGTGAGGTTGAAGAAGCCTGAAGTTAAACTTCAAAGAGCCTGCAGAGGAGCGCTAGTCTAGATATGGTTAGAAGGGTCACTTGTGCTCCGAAATGGCAGGGGCAGGCCAGACTCTGCAGGCGCAAGTGAAAGGACCTCAAGGTGTGAGAGCCTTGCCTGTCATAAATCTCTGAAGGAGCATCCGCACCTGCTCCAATGCGACCAACCCCTATCAAAGGCATTGCGTCGTCATATCGAACTTCATCGAGCGCTGACCTTGCTTGGCCTTTCATGTTCTCCAAGAAGTCACTTATCCTTCAAGTGACCCGGCCCAAGCCCCGAGACTCTCCGTAACGTCTCTGCCCCGATCCTCCATCCACACCACACCTACAAACTCGATCCTGTATCCCTCGATCCTTAGGACGTCTCGCTTCCCTCTTCACTACTGGACTCAAAAAGACATGATACCCAGAAGACAGTGACAAAATCACCCACATGGACCACGTTAATATCAGTACCCGATAACATTTCTTAGCCGCTACAGACTGCTCATCTATTTCCATTCTTCTGTTCTCGACTTCTGGACTGGACCGGCGACATGCGCTTGGGAGAGAAACAGCCCGCTACCGTCAACGGCAGCTTGGGCTCCAGTAGCACAGCTCTGCAGGACCTAACAAATGTGCCCGAGGTGAGCACCACCCGATAGACATGAGCTAAGCTATCAGTAGCTGACATGAAGTCCTAGAACCCAGCAGCTGCGATTAAGACTGCTGATATCATAACAAGATGCCGCGAGGCTGTATCTACTCCCTTCACAGCCGCCTTCATGGCGGGCGGCGTAGCTGGCGCAGTCTCTCGAACAGTTGTGTCCCCACTCGAACGATTAAAGATCCTTTACCAAGTTCAAGGCGCTGGCCGCAACGAATACAAGCTTCCAATCCACAAAGCGCTGAAGAAGATGTGGGTTGACGAAGGTTGGAGAGGCTTCATGCGAGGAAACGGCACCAATTGCATACGAATCGTACCCTACTCTGCTGTGCAGTTCGGAAGCTATAACATCTATAAACGTTTCGCCGAATCATCACCAGGGGCTGACCTTGACCCTCTGATGAGATTGATTTGCGGAGGATGTGCTGGTATCACCTCTGTCACCTTCACATATCCCCTCGACATCGTCCGTACACGGTTGTCCATCCAGACTGCCTCATTCGAAACCTTGGGAAGGCACCAAGGAAAGCCTCCAGGAATGTGGCCCACTATGATCAAGATGTACAAGACCGAGGGAGGCGTTCTCGGGCTGTACAGAGGCATCATTCCCACCGTTGCCGGCGTCGCTCCCTACGTGGGCCTCAACTTTATGGTCTACGAGTCGGTGAGGAAGTATTTCACGGATCCCGGCGAGAAGAATCCAGTTTGGTATATGAAACTTGCCGCCGGAGCCATTTCGGGGGCAGTCGCGCAAACTTGCACATACCCATTCGATGTCCTAAGGCGAAGGTTCCAGGTCAATACTATGCAAGGCATGGGCTACCAATATACGACAATTGGCGGTGCGATCAAAATGATCATCAAGCAGGAGGGTGTCTTCGGGCTTTACAAGGGCATCGTGCCCAATCTTTTGAAAGTGGCTCCGAGTATGGCCAGCAGTTGGTTATCATATGAAGTTACGAGGGACTTTTTGGTGAGCCTCGATCCGGGTGCAGAAGACCCTATATGACAGCAGCGAATGGAGAATGAGAAACCATTCTGTGGATGACCACGCCTGTGGTATCCCACCGAGGTCGGACAAAGGATCCCGGCTCGAATAGCGAGCAGGATTGTTCGCACCTAACAGGAAGCAGGACTGCCTCAGACGATGGGCGGCAGCGCTCAGAGAGTGCGCTGTGCGAATTGCATTCTGCTCATCAGCGGCATTGTACATTGAAGAGGCGTGCTTCGGTGCTACGAAAGCATCACGTGGTGCCAAAAGAAAGTAAGGGCTAGAGCAGATTTCTCAGGAACGGCTTAAGAAAGATCAAATCGTGAGGTTGAGGTCTACTTATAGATCATTCGACCGGATAGGACTCCAAGTGAGCTCTCGCAGGTATTCGATGACAAGGTGAGAGGGTCTCTGACTGCGAGCAAATCCACATGTCTCCTTCCGCCACCGTAGAGCGGATGAGCGTCATCTAAACCTGTCCGAAATACAAAGCATTATCATTACCGACCAGTATTTTCTCTAAGCCTTCGAACACCAAACGACTTTCTTTCTTGCTTTAAAAGGTTCCCTATCATCGCCGACTTGTAAGCACGTGCTGTACGCCCATCATGGTCCGACATAAGAAGGACAATTTCTCATCCAAGTCTAAGAAATTCTCGAGCGGCGCCTCTCGCCACACCCCTCGCGGCAAGCCTCCCTCTAGCGATGTCTCGTACATTAACGAAGATGGTAACACCGATGGTGCCGCTTCCGACACAAAGCAATCAGTCAAGCCTCCTTTCAAAGCCGCCTGCTGGGACTTCAACCACTGCGACGCCAAGCGCTGCAGTGGGAAACGCCTCATGCATTTTGGCCTGATGCGCGAACTCGCCATCGGCCAGAAATCTGCCGGCGTCGTCATCTCGCCCAACGCCAAGAAAGTGGTGTCGCCAGCGGATCGCGAGGTGTTGGAGCAGCACGGCGCTGCGGTTGTCGAGTGCAGCTGGGTACGAGTCAAGGAGGTGCCGTGGGCACGGATTGGTGGCAAATGTGAGCGGCTGCTACCGTACCTGGTGGCGGCGAACCCTGTCAACTACGGCCGGCCGTGGAGGCTGAATTGTGTTGAGGCGCTGGCTGCCTGTTTCATGATCTGTGGGAAGAACGAGTGGGCTGAGACGGTATTGCAGCATTTCTCGTACGGACAGCCGTTTTTGGAGATCAACAGCCAATTATTCGAGAGGTATCAGAAGTGCAAGGATGAGGACGAGGTCAAGAAGGCGGAGGAGATGTGGTTAAAGAAATTAGAAAGAGAGTATGCGAAGAATAGGGGAAAGGAAGGGGAGGAACAGGATGCGTGGGCAGGCGGAAATTTGAATCGGATGGAAGTTGAAGACGAGAGCGAAGACGACGATGAGGACGACGAGGACGAGGACGAGGAAGCGGCTTTTGGCCAGCAAGGTGTCATGTTGGATTTACCTCCTGATGAGGAGGATGAGGAAGAGGAGGCCCAGATGGCGGAGATCAGGCGCAAGATCCTGGCTTCAAAACCCTTCCAGGACCCGGGTGCTGCAGAAAAGGTCGCAAAGAGCGAGCCTGTGGCCAGTGCAGGCGACGATGCGATCTTCAAGAGTGAGCCGCCGTTGGTCGATTCGGACGCTGAATCTGGCTCGGATGAGGATTTTGATGATTTTGACACCGTCGCAAATGCAACACCAGTCACCGACAAGACTGGAATAGTTGCTCGCGAAAGAGCGAAGAAGCTAGAGCTCGCAAGTGCGTCCTTTCAGCGAGAGGTATTGTCGGCACCCAAGCGTCGATAGCATTGGTCCCAGATAGATACCATGGCCAACGTTCTCCATGATTCTCTGCCTAGTCAGGGCGGCTCTGACTTCTCCTAGGCCCGTCTTCGCTTCGACTAAGGTTCCTGGCGCCCCAGTGTCGTCATGAGTGTCGACACAGTGTTAGCAGAACAAGAGGCCGGCCATCCCATTCGGCACCACAGCCTGTGATGATTTTCGTTCCAGTCAATAAAATAGTGGTCCTTAGCCACTGCCTTGTCCCTGGCCAGCCATCTGCAGTTTCTGTTGCAACTGCATGAGCTCAACGCGCTTACTATCCGCCGCAGTCTGCAACTCTTTGATTCTGTCTTCTGTCCTGGTCATTTCCTTGCCAATGTATTCCAATCTGCCTTCCACCGCGCTCATCGCCTCGGGCTTCTCCTGCTTGAGCAGCACCGGCCCCACCAGTTTGTAGATTCCAGATTCATCGGTAAGGCCGTCGAATTCCTTCTTTACAGCCTGGTTCTCAGACTGCTGCGCTTCAAGCTTTTGTCGTGCTTCAACAGCGCCTTGGAGGTCTGGCAGATTCGTCAGTAGTGCCGGCGCAACGCGGTGCATGGTTGTTCATACCGTCCTGGAACTTCTGTAGAGCCTCTGAGAGGACCTGCAGTTGTTGTTGGTCGGCCATTGGTAATAATGTTGCAAGCAGTAGCAAGGTCTAGAATCACAGAGATGCGGATGGTTTTGTGCCTGACGCAGATCGGCGCTAGCGGGGCAGAAACCGCCTTCCCGCGGCGGCAACGTGACTCTCTGTTGACCTCTCTTGTATCTTCCACCAGACATCCAAAAGGGTTGCTGTAGACGATACATCCAGCGAAACTTGTCTCGAGCCGTTCTTCATACACGAACAGTCCACTCCCGGAGCGCAACGTGCCCACCGAGTCTGTAAAGCCGAGCAGGCAGACCCCACCTCCACTGTCAACACTGATCGTCATCAAGCCTGCTGCAACCTCAACGATCGCCTTGCGCAAGTTCTTCGCTGCTCGCAGCAGCATACCGTTCGCCTCCTTCACCTCGCGGCCAAGATGTCGAACACCGACTTCCTAGGCCGCGCCATCGACACTGTCAAGAAAGCGATTGAACTCGATAATGCCGGTACCTATGATCAGGCCTACCAACAATACTACTCGGCGTTGGAGCTTTTCATGCTTGCTCTAAAATGGGAGAAGAATGCCAAGTCAAAGGAAATGATTCGCGCCAAAGCGGGAGAGTACATGGAACGGGCGGAGAAGCTGAAGACACATATAAACGCCCAAGACAGCAAAAAGCCTGCGGCAATGGGGTCTAACGGGAAGGCGGTCAATGGTGGGGGAAAAGGCGACGCAGATGGCAAGGATGAAGAGGATGCGGACAGCAAAAAACTACGAGGGCAACTGACAGGAGCCATTCTAACGGACAAACCAAATGTGAAGTGGGAGGATGTCGCGGGCCTGGAGGGCGCGAAAGAGGCGCTGAAAGAGGCGGTCATCCTTCCCATCAAGTTCCCTCATCTCTTCCAGGGCAAACGCCAGCCCTGGAAAGGTATCCTCCTCTACGGGCCTCCCGGGACAGGTAAATCGTACCTCGCGAAGGCGGTGGCGACAGAGGCGAATAGCACGTTCTTCAGCGTCAGCTCGTCGGACTTGGTCAGCAAATGGATGGGTGAGTCTGAGCGGTTGGTGAAGCAGCTATTCAACATGGCGAGAGAAAACAAACCGGCCATTATTTTCATTGACGAGGTCGACGCCCTGTGCGGACCTCGTGGGGAGGGCGAGTCAGAAGCATCGAGACGCATCAAGACCGAGCTGTTGGTGCAGATGGACGGTGTCGGCAAGGACTCGAAAGGCGTCCTGATCCTGGGAGCGACCAACATCCCCTGGCAGTTGGATGCGGCAATTCGACGGCGCTTTCAAAGACGAGTCCACATCTCATTACCAGACACACCGGCTCGGATGAGGATGTTTGAGCTGGCTGTCGGCGACACCAAGTGTGAATTGACGCAGAACGACTACAAAACGCTCTCACAGCTAAGTGAAGGCTATTCGGGCAGCGATATCAGCATCGCTGTTCAGGACGCTCTGATGCAGCCGGTGCGAAAGATTCAGACGGCTACGCATTACAAAAAGGTAGGTGGAAGCCATCCTTGATTGCGTGACATATAGCGAGAGGCTAATTGATCCTTCAGGTCACCGTCGACGGCGAAGAGAAATTGACACCATGCTCGCCCGGCGATAGTGGAGCTATGGAGATGACGTGGGTTGATGTCGAGTCGGACAAACTGCTCGAGCCACCTCTCGTCGTGAAGGACTTTATTAAGGCAATCAAGGCATCACGGCCCACGGTGAGTAACGATGATTTGAAGCGAAGTGCAGAATGGACGGCCGAGTTTGGCAGTGAGGGAGCCTAACGCGATATAAAGCGGTGGTTCAAATTTCTCTTATGAAGACACACGAGCAGGGGCGTTCGGTGGTTGGACAACATTGAAGGGGCGTACTCACCAGCTGCATCTAGAGATAGCCTGCTCAAGACTTGATTCTCCCAATATGCATTGTACACCGTACTACTAGTACTTCTTCATCCGTATTGGCAGCATCACCACCAAGGCTGCCAATTAGGGGTGGTCACGGTCACGTGTATGCCAAGGCTCCGATGTCGAATTCGTAAAAGGAACCAAGAGTCTCGTTTTTGTTTCCGTCCTCTCTCAACTTCGGGTCGTGCACATGCTTTGTTAATCTCCCCTCGGTCTCACTTCGGCACATCTATCCCATGACTGCGAGGCTGAGAAAGCCAGGATCACGATGCCGGCTTTACTCGAAGACCCGCTGTCGCCGTTGGCGTACAGAATGAGTGGTCAGCAGCCTTTTCCCACGGCAGAGAATCCTCAGATACCGTCGTCAATCTTTCCCAGACCGGTCACTCTGAGGGACCGTGTGACAATAGCCACCCTCATTCCGTTCTTTACTCCTGATGATGTTCCCAAGAGATTGCTGGCGTATCTCAGCAATAATCTGAACAAGGAAATCGAAGGGGGGGATACGTATCCCATGATCGACACCATGCCCCTCGACCAATTTGGGAAGTACTGGTTTGGAAACTTTGGCGCAGTCATGGTCCTCGGTGACATTGGCGGCATAGAAGCTGTCAATGAGATGGAGAGCAACGGAACCGACTGGAACAAGCTATGTCTTGGCAGCTTCTACGTCAAGCCCAACTATCCAGGCCGAAGTAGCCATGTCTGCAATGGTGGCTTCCTGGTCACACCTGCTGCACGCAACAAGGGTGTAGGCAAGTCCATGGGCCAGTGCTACCTTGACTGGGCACCACAACTGGTAGGTCTTGTAGTGTGTTCCGCCACGGGTGCGATTGACACTGTCTAGGGTTATACATATTCCGTCTTCAATCTCGTTTACGAGACCAACACCGCATCAACGAAAATCTGGGACTCGTTAGGCTTCAAGCGTATTGGCAGGGTCCCTGCATGCGGCGTTCTCAAATCGTATTCGGAGCCCGTCGACGCCATTATCTACGGTCGGGACTTGAAAGCTGAAGGGGAGAACATCGCCAACGAGGAGCGCTTCGACAAGATACGGTACTATCTTCGGCATTCATCGTACCCACAGGGTGCTGATCGATCCGAGAAGAGTCGGTTAAGAAGCGCAGCCACCCACTACAAGCTCATCGGTGGCGAAGATGGAGTTGCAGAAAGATTGATGCTGAAGGACAAGGAAGTCATTTCTGACCCTCAAGCCCAGTACGATATCGCCAAACAAACTCACCTCGTATCTCATGGTGGTATCAACAAGACGACAGCGATGATCGCCACCAAATACCACTGGGTACGCATCAAGGAAACAGTGAGCCATGTGATCAAGAACTGCGCCGAGTGCAAAGAGTCCAGCAAAACAGGTACAATGCGTGCAGATTCAACCCGGTCGAATCGCAACAAAGGCGCCGATGACACGCCTCCTGCTCCTGCCCCTGCCCCTCCAGTACCTCAAAATCAGCCGCAACAATCAGAAACGCCTCCAATGCCTGACATGAATGCCCATCATGAGCTTCAGCCGAATCACATCACTGCCCACGACTTCGGTGCCATGGACCCTCATGTTGCGCTGGCCGGCGACCCCTCCATGCATGATCATGACGCTGATCTCTCGGCATACGATGATATGGCTATTGACCCCACGATTCTTGCCCAGTTGCAAGCACAGATGGCGTCCGATGGTTATCAGAATCACCACCATGACTTCGTACCGGCAGGTCTTGCCGACTACGTGGACGCGTCTCAGCTACAGCAGCCGCAACACGACCACCACGGCTTTAACGGTCAACATGCGGATCCCGGCTACAATGGCCAGAACCCAGGGTTCAATGGTCAGCACCCAGACCAACAGTTTATTCACAATCCTGGGCAGGCAATGATGACGCATGATCATGTCATGGACGACGGCACCGATGAGACCGGGCTTAACAACATGGCCCCTATGCAAAACGTACTTCATATGGACTACATCAACAACGATGGGAATTACAAACAATAAGGATAAAGGCGTTGGATATGGAGTTTTGGGCAAAAGTACGTCAAATTGGATCGGATTGGCGTGCAATTATTCGGCGGGCCCGGCTTTGCACTAGAAGAGGACGAGAAACATGATGAAAACGACTTCGATGTTGGAAGGATCGGTTTGATATATTGATACCACGGAATGTACATAGGAGACCGACTTGCTTGTCGACGGAACCCGCAAGGCAACATGTACAATGGCGACAGACAGCGAAGGAGGCTAAGTCTGAGGTCAGGACATCGACAAGCGCTGAGAATCAAGACCATGAACGAACGCTGTCTGGTAGTACAACTATATCTATTCATGCATTTACTGCCTGCTCCTCCCCGCCTTCAGCCTTGCGCCAAGGCAGAGCAAGGCTCCCACACTTTGCGGAACAACAGAACTTTTGACCCGCATTGAGGGCACAACACCTGCCACAACTCCTACCCCTAAGACTGCCGCCGCTTTGCATACAATCATTCATAAACATGGCAGCATTCGGAGGGCAGACACCGACCATCATTGTCCTCAAGGAAGGCAAGACTACCCTTTTGCCTGGCAACGCACTTTTTTTCTAATTACTGCCAGGCACCGATGCGTCCCAGGGCAAGGGTCAGATTATATCCAACATCAACGCTTGTTTAGCCGTCCAGAACACAATCAGAAGTACACTCGGCCCCTATGGAGGTGACCTTCTTCTGGTCGACGCCGGTGGGAAGCAGACTATCACCAACGATGGCGCGACCGTCATGCGCCTGCTCGATATTGTTCACCCCGCTGCCCGTATCCTGACCGATATTGCCCGCTCACAAGATGCTGAGGTCGGCGACGGCACCACATCAGTCGTCGTTCTGGCTGGTGAGATACTGAAAGAGATGAAAGAGTTTGTGGAGCAGGGTGTGTCGACACAGACCATCATCAAAGGCCTGCGGCGGGCGTCCAGTATGGCTATCAACAAGGTCAAGGAGATCTCGGTCAGCACGCTCGAGGGCAACAAATACGACACACTACGAAAACTGGCGGCCACGGCCATGAGCAGCAAGCTGATTCACCGGAATTCCGACTTTTTCACCAAGAGTACGTCACAGTGCTCTCTGATAATGACTGGACTAGACTAACAGGTGACAGTGGTTGTCGATGCCGTACTCTCCCTCGACCAAGACGACCTCAACGAGAAACTCATTGGTGTCAAGAAGATCACTGGCGGTGCTGTGCAAGACTCATTGTTCGTCGACGGTGTGGCATTCAAGAAAACTTTCTCGTACGCTGGTTTCGAGCAGCAGCCCAAAACGTTCAAGAATCCTAAGATCGTGTGTTTGAATGTCGAATTGGAACTCAAGGCCGAGAAGGACAACGCCGAGGTACGAGTGGACCAGGTACATGAATACCAGGCGATCGTGGATGCCGAATGGCAAATCATCTACAACAAAATGGAGGCTCTCTACAAGACGGGGGCGAAAGTGGTGCTCAGCAAACTGCCGATTGGCGATCTGGCTACTCAGTACTTCGCCGACCGAGACATCTTCTGTGCTGGCCGAGTTACGGCTGACGATCTGGAGCGTGTATGTCAGGCAACGGGTGCCGTCACTCAATCGACGTGCTCGGACATTCAGGAGTCACATTTGGGCACATGTGGGCTGTTCGAGGAGAAGCAGATTGGTGGGGAGCGGTTCAACCTGTTCTCGGACTGTCCAGAGGCCAAGACTTGTACACTAATACTGCGGGGTGGCGCAGAGCAGTTCATTGCGGAGGTTGAACGGTCGTTACACGATGCCATCATGATTGTGAAGCGGGCGCTGCGGAATCGCAATATCGTTGCTGGTGGCGGTGCGACCGAGATGGAGATCTCAGGCTATCTTCATCAACATGCGGACCGGAACGTGCCGAACAAACAGCAGGCGATTGTGAAGGCGTTTGCAAAAGCGCTCGAGATCATCCCACGGCAGCTATGTGACAACGCTGGCTTTGATGCAACCGACATCCTCAACCGGCTGCGTGTGGAGCACCGCAAGGGCAATGTGTGGGCGGGCGTGGACTTTGATCATGAGGGCGTTCGAAATAACATGGACGCATTTGTATGGGAACCCAGTCTGGTCAAGGTCAATGCCATCTCAGCCGCAGTGGAAGCCGCTTGCTTGATCTTGAGTGTGGACGAGACAATCAAGAACGAGGAGTCACAACAGCCGCAGGCTCCTCAGCGAGGCCTACCGCCGGGCGCTGCGCAACGAGCTTTGAGAGGCAGGGGAAGAGGTATGCCTAGGAGATGACAAGTGGAAAAATCAGCTTGAAGCAGCTGTAGGGGCTGTGAGCATTGATACCCTCGGATAGATGTCAAATGAAGGCGACAACAATAGCATTGCGCCTGGCTGCACCACGTCAGGCATTGGGAAAACATAAAAGTCGGTGACGATAGAAATGGATGAATGTCTACGCTAGGATTCGCTGTAAAAAAGAGAAGAAGGCTATGCCGGCCCAGCTTGGACCGCAGCAAGCTGGAGATCGCGAAAAGCTTCCCCTTGGTCGGTTATGGTGAAGCTCGGTCCTCATCGAGTCGTTTGAGTTGTCGTTCTAACTCGAAAGGTTGTATACACCCAATCTAGCTTGGTTTCTTCAGCTCGCTTGGAGCACATGGACCCAGGTGCAGCATTCTCTGGGGAAAACAATGTCCAACGCACGATTCAGTCAGCTTAGCCACATGTTCAGCGCACAGACCAGACGGTTGTGGTGTTTGGACGAATGCACAGGGCGACAAGGGTCCTGCCCATGTCGCGGCCCTCAAGATGGGATTACCGAAAGGCCTTTTGTCGACTTGTTCCAGACGGGCGGTATGGCAGGCCCATCGGTTGGCAAGGCTTTCTAGATTGGGATTCGTGACATGCCACAGCTTGTGACCAAAACAGCAGTGCCTGGAGAAGGGGTCGTCGTGGCTGACAGAAACCGATTCGGAGGGCGCAGCGGGCTTGAGCTAAGACGATGCTATACAGTCAAGACCCTTGACCCTGCACATGACAGCTTCTTGACAACATCCCTTTTCTCCTGATTATTCGTACATTCAACAATATCTTTGCTCGAGGTGAAGTCTGAATTAACTGCCTTGACTTTGCCTGACTACGCCGATCACTCAGGACGAAACTCGCTTACGGAATCCTTAAGGTAGGGTTCGGTTGGCCGGCAGCAAAGGCTCAGGGTTCGACCCCCGCCCAAACTGGGGACTTTGCCCTGCGCCCAAGGAATCCGTCTTTGGCCTGTCCAGCATCTTCGAGCGGCTACCAAGCCCAAGGGTTCGACCGCGTCAGCAACCACCAGACTAACACAGCACCAACCCTCTTACTTCTCAATTGTCCCGCCTTTATTCTCTACGTACCTCTCAATATCTTGCGCAACGACGAAATAACGTACATACGCACGACAACCCTTGCGATCGATCGATAGATGTCTTATTACCCAGGACAAGGTGGGTACGGATCCCAGCAGCACGGCGGCTACGGCCCTCCTCAGCCATCATATTCACCACAACCGTACCCTCCCCAAGGTGGTGGCTACGGCTACGGCGCGCCTCCTCCACAACCAGGCTACGGCTACAACGCCCCCCCTCCTCAGGCGGCGCCGTACGGCTACAACAACCCTCCTCCTCCACAGCAAGGCGGATATGGAGGTTACGGAGCCCCTCCTCCACAACCCAATGGCTACCCAGGTAAGTTCTCCTAAGTCTCAGAGATAAAGGCTCGTAAGACTGACCAAATCAGGGCCTCGACCTGGTATGCCGAATACCAACCAACGAGTCGGTGGTGGCCGGCCTGCGGCGCCGCCCAGTGGGTCGCAAGCCTTCGGCCACGGTGCTCCAAACAACTACACCTTTCAATACTCAAACTGTACTGGCAAGAGAAAGGCGCTACTCATTGGAATCAACTACTTTGGCCAGCGAGGGCAACTTCGGGGTTGTATTAATGATGTGAAGAACATGTCGACATACCTGAACCAGAACTTTGGGTACGCGCGAGAAGACATGGTGTGTCTGACAGACGACCAACAAAATCCCATGTCGCAACCCACCAAGGCCAACATTCTACGCGCCATGCACTGGCTGGTCAAAGACGCTCAGCCCAACGACTCACTCTTTTTCCATTACAGCGGTCATGGAGGTCAGACGCCCGACCTGGATGGCGACGAGGACGATGGGTACGATGAAGTCATCTATCCTGTAGACTTCCGAAACGCTGGCCATATCGTTGACGATGAAATGCACCGCATCATGGTCATGTCGCTCAGACCCGGTGTTCGTTTGACCGCCATCTTTGACTCTTGTCACTCGGGGTCTGCCTTGGATCTTCCATACATCTACTCCACGTCTGGCGTGCTCAAAGAGCCCAATCTCGCCAAGGAAGCTGGCCAAGGCTTGCTGTCTATTGTCTCGTCTTACGCTCGTGGCGATCTGGGCGGCATGGCGTCCACAGCAATGGGTTTGTTCAAGAAGGCAACAACGGGCCGAGATGTCTATGAGCGAAACAAGGTCACCAAAACCAGCCCCGCCGATGTCATCATGTGGTCGGGCAGCAAAGACGAGCAGACATCCCAGGACGCACAAATCGGCGGCCAGGCTACAGGAGCTATGAGTTGGGCGTTCGTGACGGCGCTGAAAAAGAACCCCAACCAGAGCTACGTGCAATTGTTGAACAGCATTCGTGACGAGCTGGCAACCAAGTACACGCAGAAGCCGCAATTGAGCTGCTCGCACCCATTGAGTAAGTGCTATATCACCCTTTCCAGATACTCTTGCTAACAAGGTGGCAGATACGGATTTGCTTTATGTGATGTAAGGGGGACACGCGGCGTATTGGTACGAAAAAACCCAAAATTTGAACAGGCAATGCATGAAAGGTAAACTACGCATGCGACGATGGAAGCATTGTTTGTTTTGAGACGAGCTAGTTCACGATGTACAGTTGAGCCGGCAATTTTGTAATTTGGTAGAATGGGAAGACCCAACTTGGAGGCGTTGTTGCGACCCTCCACAAACTATTCTTAGGTATTGCTGGAGTATCCAACTGCATGGCTTTGGGCTACCAACATCCGGTTCTTTCCTTGATGCTGCATTTCGTGAACCCGGCACAGAAACCGCTAGCAGTCCTTTGTGGTTGATCCCATGTCCACGTGAACAGTACTGTCGATCAACATCCCGGGCTGATACCAGGCTGACTGAACCAAACGCACCAATGTTCGCACCGTTTCTGATCCCTTGCGACGCCTAGAAATCCTCCTGGAAGATCCCGGCCTGGCGCCAACCGATGATCCGATTTGGGAGGCTACGCCTACGTAGCGCTTAGGTAGGATGCGGTCACTGCCGCCCACCCAAAAACACATGAATTCCAGGCTCCTTGGCCAATATCCTTGTAACACATGAAGCACGACGAGTCCGTCTGTCAGCCTTCACAAGCCAAATTACCTGAGACCTAGATCAAGAACTCAAGTCCGCGGCTTTTCATCCTACCACCACTTCTATCACTGCAGCACGACATGCCTACCTACAACACGGCGCAACCCTACGATGCCCTTTACTGACGTCCCGCCTTCCTACGAGTCTACCATCTCCCGCGAGGCCTGGCTCCTCATCGCGCCGTACATCTCCTCGCCAGATCTTTGCGCCGTCTGCCTTGTGTCCCGCAAATGGCACGCCATCTTCATACCCTTCCTCTGGGGCGACCCAGCCTCGCACTTCGGAATCGCCAATGACGCCGTCTATGTCGCCCTCACTCGCTTCAAAAAGACACTGCGAAGAGCCAGACTCTCCGTACGAGCATTGACTCACACATTACATCTACCGCCCGCCTTATCTGAGATTTACGGTGGCCCCCATGCGACCTGGCTGCGGGATGTGCTTGAGTGGCTGCCGCAATTGCAGAGCCTGATTGTGACAAGACTGCCGTTCTTTGACCACCATGCCCTAGTGGCGCTGCGGACCAGCGGCGGACAGAGGCGGGACAGTGAGGAAGAGCATCATGACTTGCCGGACTTTGGATTGAAGCTGCTCCTGGCCAGCAGTGAGCCAAACACTACGAGCATTGGCCTATCCATTGCACTGCCCCGCTTTCCAAACTTGGTATATCTGGATCTGTCATTTACCAAGAGCGCGAGAGATGCGAACGTGCTCGCCGCACTCGGTGGTCTGCACGATCTACAGGCGTTGAAATTACAAGGAGTTGGGATGCGGGATGGCGAGGCCGAGGTGCTTGCAAATGCAATCGGCATCCGTGTCAGGCTGTTGGACATCAGCGATAATCACTTGACGGACATGGCGGTGCGGTCGTTGCTCCAGGCATGTTTCATACCAGCGGATAGGCTTCAGGATGCCAGTCGGCTCAACACGAGAAGGGTAGAGGACTGGCCCGTGGGCATGGCACCCGGTCCCGATTTCTTCAGTCTGGACATGCTTCGAAGCGAAGAGTTGGATCATGAGCTGTTGAAGCAGCTAACTAATCCACTGACTGGGAGGCTGGCATTTGAAGATATTCCGCACAGGGGTCTGACCCATCTCTACATCGCCGGCAACCAATTGTCCGTCGAGGGCGTCTCAAGCCTGCTCAAGTCCAAGAGGCTTCATATTCTAGACGCCGGTACAGTGGACGTTGTCAAGACTATCTCGAGGTCTCGGTCCCTGTCTAACACCTCTGGATACGTGGACGAAGTCAAGTTCCCAGGTGCTGAGAAGCTAGTACCTGTCCTTGTGCAAGCCGCGAGCAAGAACTTGACGTATATGCGTGTCGATCATGCCGTGGTCACAGTGCAACCTGACACGCCTATTCCGGAGAAGAAAACTGTCTCGCGACGACCATCTGTGAAAGAACTACCAGGAGACACGACGCCGACCCCTGCTGCCGAGCTCCCCGGTGATAGCAGGAATGTCACTGAGCTTCCAGCGCCTGCTCACTACGCGGTCGAATTAGCAGCCGACCGAGAGCCAATCTTTGAACTGGATGCCACGCCCGCCCAACCGCGAGCTGAGCTGCCAGGAGATATGATCTATTTCGCTCTTAGTCCTCCGGTGGGTAACAAGCCTGAGGATACTCAGACCGAGTCGGAACCAGAACATCACGGGCCCATCCGAGGGGTCGGGCCATATGCGCCAGAGGTAGTTGTCAACGGTAATGCTGAGGACACACAACCTGGAACCGGTGAAGATGGAAACGCCATGAGCAACGCCAACGGCGTAACTATCTCATCGACTCATGATATTTCGGACGAGAGCTCCCATGGCACCAATAGTACCACTCGCTCGATCTTGTCGCCTGTCTCTCCGGCAACAGAGGTTGGTACACATGCGCATTTCCAGCCGCTAGTTGCTCCTTCGCCCTCCTCTCCGAGGCGCCGACCAACCAGCAAGTCCAAGCAAGAGGAGCAGACTCAAGCGCCTCCGTTACCACCCCGTCCCTCTTCTCCGTCGCCGGCATCAATCCGGCAAGCTCGGATCGAGCACCTGATGTCCAAACGACCAACGCCGAATACGCAGCTTTCCCTACATCCTTCGCACCTTCCGAATCTCCGCAATCTCACACTAACAAACGTGCCGCTCTCGGTACCCGCCTCATCTACAACAGTATCCCGCCTTACCTCTTTCATCGCGGCGTGCGCTCTCGAATCCCACCTCTCTCGCCTGCTGGCTGCTACGGATTACTCTCTCCCGCCCGGTCGCGCGCGGCATATGGCGGAAAGAGATGCCGCCAGGCGCCTGTTCGCCCTCCAATGCATTACACTCGAGATGGCGCAGCCAAGTCCTACGGATCCCAGCAAGACAGGCTCTCGGTCGTGGCACCATAGTCGACAGAGGTTGAGCATGAGCAAATCTAGTACGGGCGATATGGATAGTGAGAATCTATGGTCAGCTGCAGCTGATGACTTCAGCTTCTTCGCGGAGGAAGGTGGCGAAGAGGAGGATGAATGCGGTATCTATGAACATGAAAAGGATCGATATTTCCCGAGTGTTGATTTCGACGATAAAGTCGTTGTCTCGCCGGATGAAGTGGCCGACATACATGGGCAGGGCAGAGCTAGTCCGCACAGCCCACATCTCGGCGGCACCTTGAGCCCGATACACGCACTGGGGAGAGCAGCAGGCGGTAATTCTGTCTGGCAGTCTCCACGACAATTACCCATGGGGCGAAACAGACGGTCGAGTAACGAGCACAGTCGCAGCCCCCGCGGCAGCTTCGATGGCGGGCCTCGTCCTTTCACGCCCGAGCTGCCCGGCACCATGGCCCCTCCACAGCTGTTGCAACGGCAGAGCCCTGTCCTACAGCAGCGCAGACTGGCACCCACCTCAGCTCCTAAGTCGTACACTCCATCTGCCACCAGCAATGGCTACCAAGCCAATAACGGCCAGATCTCCCCACCCATCTCGCCCGTAGAAGAGGAAGAGCAGCTCGACGTCGTCGCCACTCTTTCAGCCTATCGCCGCTCGCGCAAAGCCGCGTACGAGACTGAAATGGCAAAGTTTGCGCGATTCAAGGCTGCTTTGAGGCCAGAAGACGCCGAGGGATTGCTGCCACCGTTCGTGGAGGGATACTGGACCGGTGAGATCAAGGTTGTGCGCAATTCGGCGCCCAAGGGCAGGTCCGGCGTGGTTGATATGTATGGGAATTATTTCGAGAAGGGTTATCTCTACCCGTAATGGATACACACAAAGGAGGAGGGGGGAAATGCAGAGAGGAATAGTTTAAGGACATGGACCGGTCAGGTTTTCCTCGTCAGCAAAGGGCAGGCAACATGGGTCATTGGGTCAGTCATTCTATAGCGACGGCGTTAGGGGCGTCTATCGAATCCGGCCGTACCAATCATGAATGAATAGTTTAACGACACTTTTGAATAACTGTGCTGAATCGTCGAAACGTCACTCGTTCTGCTGACTGCAGCGCACACACACAGCCTGCCCTCCATTAGATCTGTGACTATAGGCGTGTACGTTACGAAGAATATAGATGTGCGCTTGGAAAAGGATACATAGGCTTGATCCCTACTAGAGTAGTACCAGTATTCGACACGCGACCTCGGCCTACACCAACGCTACACACACCAGAGAGCATAAATATTTATCACCTTTTCGCAACGCAATCACACGAGGGAAGAAGTGTGTACATACATACACATCTACAACCTTCCAAAAGGCGGATGGATATGGTCTAGTTGCCAGTAAGGAAGCAACAACCGCAGAAGGGGATGTGAGGTGAACCCGTTCTTCTTATAGCTTTCGTTTCTCTCAACCACAACCCAGATACCATCGCATGCGTGGCATCGAGTGGGTGGGTAATAAATACCTGATCTCTAGAATCTCAATGCGTGCTTATCGTATCGCGTGTATCGTACTAGCCGTGCTTGACAGCCTGACAGCCTGACAGCATGGCAGACAGCGAGCTGTGCAATATCCATAAAAGTTGTAGCCGCCTCGTCACTGATTGTCTCGTTCCATGCAGAGGGTCCCCAGGACCTTAGGCTACAGGAGTAGTCTTGACCTCGCCGTGGCTCCTTGCCCGAATATCAAAATCATAAAGTACGTACCGCTGTGATTTGCAGATCAGGGCGTGTGTGGTTGCCTACATGAAGGCGAAAAGTGTCCGCGGTCCCAGCTCACGCGTTAGATGGAGCAGACCCGTTGGTGCCAGCAGGAGCCTCGCTCATCGCAGTATCACCCTGAGCATCTCGCTGCTGGCTGTTGCACTTAGCAGGAAGCTGTTCAGGAGGGATCGATGTCCTGGACTTTGAGGGTGAACCAGCATCAGCAGGCGCAACACTCTCAGCAGTCGGAATGGAGCTTTTGGTCTGCGGAGTTGCTTGTAGGGGCTGATCCGATGTGGTTGGTTGTGTGGGAACTGGCGACCCAGCCGAGGCGGCTTGTGGGCTTTGGAAAGAATGGGCCGGCGCTGGTGTGCTATTCGGTGCTTGGAAACTGACAGGTGCTGCCGCGGACGGCTGTGGTGGAAAGGAAGAGGTACCGACAGACGGTAGAGGTGCAGGCGCACTGTGCGGGCCGGGACCTGGTACATTCTGGGGCACGTTTGGTGGACCCTTCAGTGGTTGCACAGCCGGTGCGTTTGTTGGAGTCGGAACAGCAGCTGGAGTGCCATCTCTGCTTTGTGCCTTGAACCCCTTGAACTGCGGGTTCTTGTACTTCTCGATAAAGTTTTTCATGTGACCGAGTACCACAGCCTCCTCTTTCGTCTCGCCACCAGGTACCGTAGATCCCGGTGCGCCATGCAGTATTCGGCTATAGGCGGAGCTGAAGACCAATTTCCATTGCTCCAGATTCGGATTTGAGCCTTTAGCTACCATGTCATACATCGCTTGCTCGAAGCGCCGAATTGCCAAGTAGCCATCCAAAGTACAGGGCATGTTGTGCGGAGCAGATCCAGCACTGCTGGGTGGAGGACCCAGAGGTGGCTTCGGTGGCTGAACAGTTGATTGGGGCATGGTACTGGATTGGCCGGCCTGCACTGATTGTGGGAAAGGCGAGCCTTGCGCGCCATGAGGACGCCCATTCACCGTAACTGGTGGTGTCTGCCCCACCGGAGGCGCAAATTGGCGTCCAGCCTGCCCGGGAGCATGTTGAGGAGGTTGAGCAGGTTGACCAGACCCTGACGGTGGCGGCCACGGCATCCCATTCGGTGGAGGAGGAGGGTAGCCATTCTGTCCTTGCCAGTAAGGATATGAGCCCTGGTTCTGCCAATTTGCAGGAGGTCCTTGCTGCGATGGCTGCCTTGGAGCCGGAGGTTTAGGCTTCGCCGCAGCGGCCGCCTGTGCAGCCCTTTTACGCTCAGCTTGTGGTTGCAGCGCACCCGGAATGGCCTTCCAAGCAAAGCCTTTTCCTTCTTTCTCCCCCTTCTCGAATAGCTTGTTCCATTCCTGGTTGAGATTGTGACGGACACTGCTTTGCCAACCGTCGGACTCGACTCGATATACGAAGAAGGGATATTTCAGCTTCAGAGCCCGATATATCTGCTTCAGAGGCAGAGCTTTCGGGTATATCTCTATCAGAATGTCGTAGATCAGGCGAGCGTATGGATCTGAGGGTCTTGCAAGGTTCTCTTCAGTGAGAGTTGCAAGTGGTGGATACTCTGGAGATGGCGATTTGGACTGCTTCGGCTTCTTGACCGGTGGCTTCTCGGAATCGCTCGGTAGATTCTCCTCGGCGCCTTCGATGGAGGGCAGAATCTCACCATCTTCTTCGCGCTTGCGTTTCGTGTATTTCCTCTTGTCTGCAAATTTGGCTTCGACTCTAGCCAACTCTTCCTTCGTCGGTGGTTTGATAATCTTTCCTCTCGCCATCGGCGGCGGCGTCCTACCACCGTTGGCAGCTTTGGCTTCCGCCAATTTGGCAGCCTTCTCCCTCTCTTTCCGCTCGCGTGTGCTCATAATGCCATCTTTTGGTGGTCGACCCGGGCCTCGTTTTCGAACAATAGGTTGCCCATCGGGGCCAATCAAAGGTTCGGGAAGAGCGGGTGGAGGAGCCGCGGAAGCGGACTTTGATTTCGGACCATTGACTTTGAGACTGATCTTGGGAGCCGGTGTCTGCTCCTCATCCTCCTGTGGAATGGGCGTGACCTCGGGAGGCGGTGGCGTCTGCTCGTCATCGGACTTGATAGATGGCTCACTTGGTGGCGCTGGTGTCTTCGGTCTGGGGAGTCGGAATGTGGCAGTGATACCGGAGAGCTGGATTTTCGAACCGTTCTGAAGCTTCTTGACTTGACCTTTGCGCAACCACTTATCGTCCAAGAAGGCACCATTTCTGCCGAGCACTCTCATCATGAAGCATTCATTCTCCATATTCCATTCGATCCTGACGTGGCGCCTAGAGATACCCTTGTGCAATTCCACCTCGCTTTTGACGCTGTCGACGTTGGCGTGGATGGGGACCAGGGGACAGATGTTTGCGTTCGGCAAGTGATCGGCTGTAACGGGAGCAGGCAGCTCATTGTCGGCGTCCGGGTTGCCGGCTTCAAATGCCTCCACTTGCTGTCCTCTCAGATTGTAATCAAAGTCGGTGACCATCCCTGCGGCACGAGGGAAGATGTCTCCAGGCTTTACAATATCACTGGCCGAGACCTGCGAAGAGTGCGAAGGATGGCCGTTTTCGTTGACGTTGTCCTCCAGAGACTTCACCGGCGCCTCGTCGATACCTCCGAAGCCATCAATCTCACTGACGACACTGCCCTGCACCTGGCTCTCAGGTTCACGCCTGATGCGGTCCGACGGTCTCGACACTCTGCCGCTGGAGCTCCGGCTGTGACCCTGTATTCCTTCCTTTTCCCGCTTTTCTCGCTGAACGGCGTCTCTGTAGGCGAGCAGGTCGCGACCGAGCTCAACTTGCCAGGTCGTCATGTAGAACTCACCGTCGGCAAAGTCAAGCTTGGCAAAAGCTTCGATCTCACGCCGGTAGTCGCGCAGGGTCACCAGCTGCTTCATATTGAGGAGTGGGATCTGTAACGGGGACGGAATGCGTAGTTGAGGGGCCCCAGTTGGTGGAGAGATGGCATGCGCATGAGGTAAGGCAGGGAGATCAGTGGAGGGAGATTGCGCGCGAACGAGTGCCATGCTGGACGCTGGATTTTGAGGGGGGGTTGATGGATTGTCGGGGGGAAGCGCATCAGTTTGTTGTTTGTGTGCGGCATCTTGCGAGACGGTGGCGTTTGACTGTGGCATGCTCTCTGCTAGCGGGGACGTATCTGGGACTTGCGGCGTTTGGGCTGGAGCGGCTTTGGGCGCACTCGATGGGTTTAGGGCAGCCAACAGGTTATTGAGCGCCTGCCTGTGTTGTTCGGTGTTGTTTGCACTCGAGGAAGAAGTCGTTCGTTCATGGTAGGGCTGGTCGAGCTGAAAGTTCGTAGGTTCGACATTGCTGTTCTGTGGTTCGGCGGATCCCATGTGATCGGTCGGCCAGGACGAGCGGGCTTCGGGCGCCGGGGGAGAAGGCGTCTTGGGCAGACCTCCTCCCCCCGGGGGCGCCGTCGCTAGGGTCTGCGACGACATGCGAGGCCAGCTCTGGGGTTGTAGGGGAAGTTCGGCGCCGAGTCCTGCTGCCGGAGAGGAGAGGAGAGCCATGTCTGAGACGTTGTCGCCAACTCATGCGGTGACTTTTCGGGTGGAGACCAGCGGTAGGGGATTGCAGCCAATCATACAAACATGTGGAGGAAGGCGTCGCCCGCAGTCTGCATTTAGGCGGTTCGCTTTGGCCTGTTGCCCCTCTACCTGGAGCAGCTGGGCCGGACTGGAATAACCATCGATCAAGCTACCTCGGTGGCCTGTTTTGAATTGCCTGATGCCTGCGAAAACCAAAGGCAAAGGCACACCTAATGCCGCTGTGGCTGACAAGTCGCCGGCTCCCAACTGGCCGTCGCTGAAGTCGGGCATCTCGCCCAACAGCCTCTACGTCGAGACATTACTTGACGATCAGATACTCATCATTCGAAATTTATTCAGCTCGAAATTATGCAAAGACTATGTTTCATTCCTCTCGTCACTGCCGCTGACTACCACGCCCGGTACGCCCAAACGAGGTGAAGCCGTCCGCGTCAACGATCGCTTCCAGATAGACGACTATAGATTCGCGCAGCAACTATGGGAACAAACGCCACTCAAGCATCTCGTAGAGAGCTACGAGGACCAGTCGGTGTGGCGAGGTCATGTGCTCGGACTGAACCCTAACATTCGTGTCTATCGATACAGGCCTGGCCAATTCTTCGATCAGCATTATGATGAGAGCAACAACGTGAGTGTGGGCGAGTCCAAGGTTCCAGGGAGGACGACTTGGACCTTGTTAATCTATCTGACCACGTGCGATGGCGGCGAGACAGCCTTCTATCCCGAACCAGCCCGAAAGCGGGACCCAGCGCCAGAACCGATTCTAGTTGGACTGGAAGTCGGCATGGCGCTTTTGCACAACCATGAGGACTGCATGCTGCACGAGGGTCGCGAAGTAACCAAAGGAGAGAAGTGGGTGCTGCGCAGCGACCTCGTGGTTAAGCGGTGACCAGGAAGCTCAGTCCATGGTGTTGGGGCCGGAATGAGTTGTGAGTACTGTTCCATCACCAGAGTCGGGAGTCTTGAGGTATATCGAGAAGATCGCAATATACTGGAGGTCATCGCTTCAAGTGCTCCGCATCTGTCTCAGGCGTGTCGATCCGTGCTTCCGTGAGCATGCTGTCGATGCCCTTCTCCTTGAGGACCTTCTGCTCTGGCATTAGAATAACGCTCGCCACTTCACAGTGGCAGAATTTACCGTAAGACAGCTTCTATACTGCTTGAATAACCCTTCGCACTCATCTGTAGATGAATGACCTTTGAGATACTCTAATGACATGGTCAGTGACGGACAACGAGTCGGAAGACAAGGGCACACGCACTCTCCGAGTACCACTTCAAGAAGCAGGTATCGTACTTTCTGTTTCGATCAGCAAATAAGTCGATGGAACTCCCGGGGAACGGACTCCTTGACCTCGTTGCATTCGGGAGCTAATGAGGCAGACATGTTGGCGAATTCGATGGTAGAGAGGCAAGCCTGGGGTGCAGAACGAGTTGCCTCATGGACAGAAGACGACTTAGCCTGATATGGTTAGCCTCTACCTACGAGCACTTTGTCGCCCGGTGTTGTCATCTCCATGCTAGAATCGCATCAACACCTGTGGGAACGATATGTTTCAAGCACGAGCCGAAAGTGGGAAAGTACACAGTAATTCATCATTCGTGAAGCGCTACAAAGTGGCGACTACCGTCCGACCAAGTATTAACCGCCCCGTTCACCAAATTCTCTGGCCCACGCTTCGAATTGCTCCAGTCCCTTTTTGCTTACACTCGGTCGGATGTTGTCCAAACTGCTTGCAAAATCACCCATGTGAATAGGCCGTATTTGATCTCGCGGGGTATATAGTAGAGCTTCGCCCAGATTGCGCAGCGGCCCCATGGCTGCGTCCTTCGCCAACGCCGTAATGTCTGAACCGGAGTAGCCTAGAGACTGGTTAGTACGAGATTCTGGTGTCAAATGTTTGGTAACATTTACCTTCCGTAGCCTCCACCAGCCGGTCGACATCCTGCTCATTCAACTCGTGCTTTTGGTGACCGAGCAACGTCCTCAACTGCTTTTCCCTGGTTTGGTATTCAGGTAGCGGAATGTATTGCCTCCTCACAAATCTCCGCCGTGCAGCATCGTCGATGTCCCAGGGACAGTTCGTGGCAGCAAGTACCAAGACTCGAGTGGGATCTCCCTCCGTCTTCTCGCCTTCCTTCTCTTTACCGGCAGCCGCTCTTTGCAAGTCGCTCCACTGAATCAAAAATTCCGTCTTCGATCGTCTGCTGGCCTCATGTTCGCTTCCTTCGCCGCGCTTGCTCAGCAGACTGTCAATCTCATCGACAAAGATGATGCTAGGACTCATGATCTTCGCAAGCCCAAACAACGCGCGCACTAGTTTCTCCGAGTCTCCATGCCACTTGCTGGTCAGGCTGCTGGCACTGATGGAGAAGAATGTGCTCCTGCTTTCTGTTGCCACGGCCCGTGCTAGCATTGTCTTGCCGGTTCCAGGAGGTCCAAACAGCAACATGCCCCGTGCCGGCTCCCGTAGTCCCAAGAATAGGTCTGGTCGCAGGAAAGGGTACACAACAGCTTCTTTAAGGGCGGTTTTGGCGAGCTCAAGTCCTGCTACATCGTCCCAGTGAACTTCATCTCCACGCACAACGACTTCATTCAGAATACTTGCTGCGGCCGCGGCGTCAATGCCTCGGGGTAAATGCTTGAGAATGTGCTTTGCACGCTTTTCGAAGGCTGACTCAAGTGAATCATCAGCATCATTTTCATCGGCCGAAGAATTGTCTGTTGAGGTCAAGGGAGGTGTGATAGGCTTCGAGTTGGACGAGCTTTCTTTACGGTTGGTCTGCGGGCGCCGCGAGGTTTGGTTGCTCCCCTTTTTGGCTGGCTCTGGTTCCGAGTCGGTGTTGTCCGTCGTCTGATCTCTACGTTTAGGCTTCTCCTGAAAAGGAGATGCTGCCTGCGAATTGACAGGTTTGCGAGAAATCGTAGAAGCTGGTCTCGGCGAAACCGCTTTCTCCCGAAGCTGGTTGGCTACTGACGGGGCCAGCTTCGATCCCGTCTGGTTTGGATACTCTCGGCGGTAAGTTATCTCTGGTGGCTTCGTGAGTCGTGGTGGAGATCTGGTTCTCGTTTTTGCTGCCGTCGGCGATGGGGCACCGGCATGTGGTGGGGGTGGGGGTGGCATATCTTCGTCTTCGGCAGGATTTGAGGGTTTTAGCTGTAGGCTACTCATCGAGGTATTCATAAAGGCCTCCTGTTCTGGTTCTGACGGCTCACGCCAATGGCTTGATGGAATGTAATCGGCAGGATCCGGCATCCGAACCATGCTATTAGTCCTCGAATCCGGTGAACTGGCATCTAAGCTGCGCCTAGCAGCTGTCGCACTGAGCCTGGCTTCGATCGTAGGGTCAGAATCAGGTGCAGGAGCCGGTTGGCTGTTGCGAGGATGGGTATCCCAAGCCAGACCAGCAGCCTTCATGGGAGCCTGCCGACGCGGTTGAGCAGACGGTCGCGATGACCTGAAGCCCTTATTCCCGCTTCTTAACGTTGTTCGCATGGCCTTCCTTCCAGTGTCCGGACTTGGACTACGCGAGACTTGTTTGGAAGGGACCGGCAGCAGCGGTGGGGGCCCAAGTGAAGTGGTTGAATTGTTGGGTAGACTCGACAGGCGATCTCTAGAGCCGACACCACTAGACGGCCGAGGGGGCATTGGAGGCCTTGATGGCAGTGCTGGACTTGCGTTGGGAAGGTCGTGGTACTGCATGGGAGGAATCGAATCATCGCCTAACCATCCAGAAGCAGTGGGCTGTTGTGAGGCTCCGGTACCCTTCCCTTTATCCGCTGGCCTCCGCCTGGATTCTGATTTGCTTTCCTTCTCAGCCTCTTTTCTGCTCTGGTTCAGCGCTTCCAGGAGATCGACCCGCTCCCGACATTGTAACTCCAACTGCTTCAGAGAATCGAAGAGGGCCTTTTCTGTCTCGGATCGGGCGACATAGTTGGATGGCAATTTGTATGCGTTATGGTAGTAAATTTGATCCAGCGCCGACTTCCAGGACCTAAGAGCCTCTGTCTCATTATTCTGCAACTCGTCAGTCGATGTGAGGCTGTGCGTCACGAGACACGCATCGTACCTGGCCTTCAAAGAAGACGGCTGTAGAACAGATCAAATAGCATTCATCGTATGTCTTCTGCATCGACGAGGCAGGTTTGCTCCGCATCATGGCTGGCTTTGGGGGGCATGTAGTCCCTATACTCCGTGCCAACAATCCTCAAATATATCAGAAATACGCATTAGACACCGGTGGAGAGGTTGACGCAGGTGAAGGCACGCGGACTGAGGCTTGGAACGACGTTAGAGTTGGAGCCCGGGCGGAGCCTTGTTGGTCAACTTGGTGGCGGCGCAGTGACGTCGCGGCGCACGGAGTAGACCAGGACCCTTAAATTCTCCCCACTGAGCCTGCCTAAATTGGCCTCTTTCGCGAATTCGTATAGGCTTGCTTGGTGCCGGCATAAACGGCAAGATTTAAACCGTTGTCATTTTCAGCCGTACATTTAGAGTGGCCGTAGGTGTAATTCGATGCAGTCGCCAGAGTCGCATGCTTGAGACGCCGAGGGGCGCTTTCTACAAGGCCGTTGTGCCCCAGGAAGCCCCGCAGGTGCTTATCAGATCTCAGGCTCTTTAGCGAGATCGCGTGCGCTCCAGGCAGTGAATTAATCAGATCTACTTCCAGATGGGCCTGTTGAGTGAAGAGAGTCGATTGTGCTTGTTAATGACTGGGCTTTTATAGCGACACAGCTATCTATTCCCACTCAATCGAGACGCCTAATGAATCATGGACCTTTCCCCCTCGCTTTTGGGTCATAGATGTACACATGATTATCCAACCATTGCCATGGTCAATGCTGTTGCGCAGCTGCGAAATAAGATATCTCCCACCAGCAGCTTCCACCTGATCGACCGTGCCAGTTACACCCTCGCTTGCGGCAACACAGATGTCTTTGAAAACTGTACCTCCATTGCTCTGCACGTCATATCCGCCAGGCGCGATGTTGTCGGAAACTCGAAGACGACCCAGACGCCATTGATGGGTATCTGTTGTAAAAGACAAAAACACGGGTTTGGTGCCACCGCTTGCCCATCATTTCAATCGCTCTGAGCACTTAGCATGAACAGACTCACAAGCCTCGAGCGCGTGCAGAAGCCTCCTCCTCACGAAGAGTCCTTCGAAAATATGCCTTGGCCATTTCATAGGATGACCTGCAGATTTTTGTCAGTGCTCCGGCCCAGTGAGGTCGCTGCAAGGTTTGGGGGCAACTCACCAGCAAATTGCTGTGCTTGGCATGGTACTGATGATTCTGGGCCTCCAGCCTCTCATGAAACCACCCCAGCCAAATTGATCCTTGATGATCTTCGCAGCGTGGAAAAGGCCACGAACATTGCGGATTTCGGCCTGTTGGCTCAAACCACGGGTCTGTAGTAATGTCTTGATCACGTCGAGCGGGGTGGTAATGCCAGCCGCAAATGCTCCGGCCAAGCCACCAGCCACGCAATGTGTTATAGGGTCGTATTCCTTGCGAGGATTCATCACCTTGGATAGCGACTCGTACGCCATGAACTGTGTCGCCGTAAAGGGAACCGTCATACATAGCGTCGTAGGATATGAGACGTAGAATGCTGCCAGACCTTCATTACGGAAAACTTGAGATGCGCATTGGGCGATGCTGCGGTGAACCGATCCGTGGACCTGCATGCGCTGTTTGATGACTGCCACGACTTAGCTCATTGATGGTCTTATACTCTGGATATTCTTACCATCAAATGGATTCATCAGGGCGTCGCTAGCAATTGTAGCTGCAGCTCCCGAGGCAGCTGCAGAGTGTTAATCATGGAGTTTCTGAGTGCAGAGGGGTCTAACGCACCAGCTGCGAATGGGTGATGTTTCCCGTCAGCAGCATTGCCACCTGCAAATTCCTTGACCGTCTCGTAGGTGCCAAAATAAACAGCATGGGCTGGTCCTGTAGCAGATATTAGCTTCAGCTCTTGTGGTACGAAATGCATTTCCATACCTGCGCCCACAATGACACTAGAAACTCCCCGCCATAGTGTTCGTAAGCCTTCGAGTCGGTAGATTGTGGAGACGGCGTTCGATATGCCAGTGTAGAGGCCACCAGACGTAGGATTGATGATTTGCATGCGAGTCTGCATATGCAGGTTAGTTCTCCGTCCTTTGCGATTCTTTCCAATATGCCTTACCTTCATAAGATCCACCGGATACATCACTGTGTGTTCCTATAGCAGCCATCAGAAAGAGCCCAGCTGTTTGCTAGGCTGGAGATCGTACCGCGATGCCGGCGAAAGCGCCTGCGAGCATGTTATGACCAAGGCCATACGCTGCCGGTAAAGCTTCGTAGCTGTCGCAAAGTTAGCCACCGAGTCCATCCTCGTGAGATCCAAAGGACGTCAACATACTCATATTCTTCTCCTGGAACAGCATCAGGACTGCCCGACACTGCCATGGTGTCCGCGGGCAGCGCCGCGGGAAACTTCGCTGACGTCGCCACGATTGCGGCCTTTGATAGGGCTCTCCGTCGTCCGCCGCAAGTGTCAAGCAAAATGGACGATGCTTAAGGAGAGCGCACCATGTTGCTGACAGAGTGAAGCAAGTAAAGGAGGGCTAGGTGTATCTGCACCACAACAAAAACGCTGCACTACAAAATCGAATCGTCAGAGGCGAGACCTGCAACGGAACTGGAACTGCATGACTTTTGAGAATAAAGTTAGCGCAGCTTGTGCTGATCCCCAAACTCGGCTCTCCGACCTCGCCTTCGGACTGCGCTTCTAAGTCGTACTGCATATCACCGTTCAGTTGGCCACCCCATCTACTGCACGAATCGGATAACTAGACAGATAAATCACACGCTTTTGCGTGTTCCATACATTTATAGTGTCATCATTGGGCGAGCGAATGCGATCTTGAACACCGAGGACGGTCGGCACTTCCAGCCCCAGTGCGCCCGTGCCAGCCAAATAGATAAAGCGCTCACTCCGCGGAGCCCGTATGCAATACTTAATACTTCATACTTCAACCCGTACACCTAACATCCTGTTTGTTCATGCTGCTCGTTTGTCACAAAAGTCGTTGAGTCGAACTGGCATAGCCGAAGCCCTTTCATAAATCGTTGCCCTGTATGAGTACAAGAACGCGTAATGCGCTACAGTCTCGCCTGGCAATTGCTGGATGCTGTGGCGACCTGTCGCAGCTTGCCCACATAATGCCAACCTCTTGAGTCGCTTTAAGGCTGATGTGAAGCATCTGTAGAGAAGCCTGAAGAGGGTGTCAGCTACAGGACTAATCGACAACGAACATGGACCCTGGAACTTACAGTGGGCAGCTAGCTCCTGCATCATAAATTGCGCTCCATGGTCAGGGGTTGAGTCAAGGTGACTTTCTCCCTTGTGTAGTCTTCTAGAATTCCACGTTGAATTTCCAGTTCCCTGGCGGACGGTCAGCACTTCCAATAGCATAGCGGACGTTGTGACGTACCTCTCTTGAGATTCTCTGCCGTGTCGCTGAGCAGAATTTCCCGCCGCCTGTTGCAGTATGTCGTCTTGTCCAGCATGTCCACCTTCAAAGCCGCCAATTCGTTCACTGGCTTCTCGAACATGGCACTGAGGTTCTCAACAGCCATTTCCAGATCTTTTTGATTGTCTTCGAACATCGCTGTCTCGTTGTTGCGTTGTAGGTAGAAAGCAAACGCATAGGTCCATTTCAGAGTCTGACGGCACGACTGCAGTGCTTTCGATGCCGTGTCCAGATACTGCACCTCGATCCATGACATGTTCGACTGGCTTTGTAGGCTCGTCATCTTTTTCTCCGTCTTCACAGCCAGGTCCTTGTCGAGCTTAGCTGATTGCTCATGATTGGCAAAGCGGTTGTAGTAATGCAGGTAACGTTCCAACGAATGTCTGGATTTGGCCTGAGCATCACGGGCGTCTGTCCCGGACTTCTCCTCGTAGCGGTTGCAATTGTACCAGCTAGTGCCGTGCTCGGACCAGGGGCCCATACACATCCAACAGAATTCGTGCTTGCATTTTCGGCAGGTCATGTGGTTGCAACCGCCGTTCTTTTCGATTGTCGAATTGCATTTCGGACACTCCTTGGTATTGGCTGATATCCAATTTGATGTTTCGGAGTCATCTTCGCACTTCTTCATCCACATCTTGACCAAACCACATGGTGCAGGTAAGTGGTCAGCGAGTGTACAACCAAAACAGAAAGAATGTTGATGGTTGCAACGGACTGTAGGAACGATCTTCCTTAGATCTCGCTTCTTGACCGGGCATTCGATGGCATATTCACACTCGGGAGCTGGGCACCATTTGAGATTCTCTTTGTCATCCACGTACGTTCTAGTGAGGAGCACATTGTAGCGATCCCGAACTTCTGGTGCGACAAGGAGTTGCAACGATTTTGCGTCTACAATCCGATGACAGCCATCTCGGGGACACTGGATTCGGGCGGCTTCGCCCTCCTCCTTGACTTTCTGAGTTAGGTATTGAGTATAGCAATCGGCACAATATCGGTGGCCGCATTTCATCGCGTATGACTGCAGGGATGGACCGTTCTCGTAACAGATCTCGCACTCGAAGCCGGGTATGGTCCTGGTCTTTGGGGCTTCAGCGAACGTCGGACCGAGACCTGCATCTTCAAGGACTTTTTCCGGGTTTTCCATGTACATTTCCAGGAGTTTTTCCTTGTTCCATCGCATGAAGCGGAGGAGAATGGCGGTCTGCTCCGTGGGCAATTCAATGACGGACGCCACCTCTTGAAATTGCTTGTCTTGCTGGACCTGAATGTCTAGTGGATTCAAGACTTTGAATTCGATTTCATATGGTTTCGCCGGGTTGGTTAGATAATCTTTATCGTAACCGAAACTGCCATCTTCATGCTCAAAGTCTGTATCATGTGTCAGAGAGGGCAAGCGGGGGGCGTCAAGTGGAGGTCGAGGCACATACCTGCGAGGCTACCGATATCGGAATCTTGCGTGCCTTCGTCTAGATCGAGTTCGTCGGCGCTCGGGGAGCCTGACATGATCTCGTCGTCCGAGTCCATATTGGAGGGGGTCGGGGAGGGACGGTCGGAGATCGGAGTACCGGGTGTCTGGAGAAGGGTGCTGGTCTTACGGAACTTTGCGAGATGTATAGAGTCTTCCAGGACTGTATCAGAGACCTTTCGTTTCTTGAGTTGGGAAGTCGTGGTGGCGCGTTGAGGGGCAGCTGCGTCTCAAGAGAGACGACAGCCTGTACAGCAACGAGGAAATGACGGAGATGACCAACGGAAACGGGCCCAGATCTAGCGCAGGTAGCCCGCAATGAGAAGTCGCTGTGGTGATGTACAGAGAAATGCCAGCGGCTCGAGGCAGCAGGCAAAAGATGGTATGTTACAGAGAGAAGGCAGAAGATGCTAGTGCAGTCATTACGGAGCGATGAGCGATGAGTGACATTGGCAATGGAGGAATCGAGTGAGGGTCAAGGCCCCATTGCCTAAGTTGTCACAGGTTCAACCTGTAGTGGCGGCTGCGGCCAAGCTTTGCTAGGGATTCGCCCTGCTGCCTGACTAAAGAGGGCAGACGCCTCCTTTCGTCATTGGCCAACACCCTTGTAGCGGCATCAGGTCGGAATATCTTCAATACCTCGTTCTACTATTCGGATCTTCTACCTACCCAGGTAGCTAAGACTATTCGTCGTCCTCATCTTCATCACTCTCCTCCTCTGCCTCTTCCAGCCACTGAATGAAAGGATCAGTCTGCGCCCTGACTGCCTCCATCTCAGCATCGCTTGTTGACCTGACATCTTTCCACCAGGCTAGAATAGATTCTTCGCTGAAAACCTCGAGGTCGTACAGATCCTTCGCAAAGAATAGAAGGACTTTAGCTCCGTCTTTTCGTCTGATAAGGACTCTCTGCACGTCCAGCAGAAAATCAACTTGCTCGGCGGTCGACTGCTCGGCGTGCGCGCGGCGAATGAGTGTATGATAGGCAGAAAGAGTTCGCTGAGAGGCATCTTTGGCTGCCATACCTTCTTCAACTTGTGACGAAATTCGTTTGCATAGAGCCGCAGCGACTGCCCTCCGCACCCCCACTTCATCAGCGCCACCGCTAAACCGCAGACCCATTAATTCAGATAACATGTCGTCTGCTTTCTGTCCCTCTTGCATTCTTTGCGTCAGGATAGCTACCGTGTCGTGTTGGAATCTGTCAGACGAATCTTCGTCGGATTGAGTGGTGGCAAAGCTCTGACTTCTACTGCCATCGAGTGGCGAATCTGGCTCCGACATTTCTGAACCTAGAGTGGACACTGAATCGGCCGCGACCGGATGCTGGTACAAAAGCCCAGGATTAGTGTGTTCGATATCTTCGTCCTCGTCTTCGTACACATAGCCTTCACCACCGATGTTAGTCTTTGTGTTCGCCTGAGACTGCCTTGTAACTTTCATGCCGGCTGGAACGTTGGTCCCCGGTGCTAGCTTGACCCCAAATGATACAAGGGCTCCCTCATTGATTGTGCAATTGTCACCAATGAAAGTTTCACTGCCAATGATGGCTCTGCTGATCTTCACGTCCGAACCCAGAGTGACGTCGTCCCAGATATATGCGTCCTTGATCGTGCATCGTTTGCCTACATTGCAGCGGCTGCCGAGAACGCTGTGTTCAATGATTGACTCCGATCCTACACTGGTTTCCGAACCAAGGATGGTTTCATTGTCAATACTGACAGGTCTCGCTTTGATAACTCCTATGCCACATGTAGGACCGCGATGTGATCTGGTGTAAGCACTACCAGGGAAGATGTTATTTTCCACAGCCAGTGACGGTATTTCTCCGTGCATCAGGTCCCGAGTGAGCTTGGCGTATGTTGGGAGATCGCTGGCTCTGGCAGCGTAGTGGCTTTTGGCAATGTGGACGTGAACCGTCTTTCCATTAAGCTCATGGTCCTTGAGCACGCCGAACAAAAAGTCTTTGCGGGGCGACTGGTGGTCAAAATTATCCGAGTACAGGGTCAGTACATCTGGCGCACAGATGTCAATCCTGCAGTCAATAAGGTCCTGACGAATATCGAGCTCGGGGGATTTCAGCGACTCTGCGTCAATATGAGCGCTATATGCCGCATTCGAACCGTTCTCTTCATAATGTAAGCATCTGTCGCAGCTTGGATCGATAACGAATGTGGAAGAGTCCGGACTCGTGTATTGGTCATGACCTGGCGGAGCTTCTCTCAAAAGCATTGTCATGATCGCATCCTTATTACGCTCCCTCCTCTCTCGATGCTTCTTCAAGGCCCTTTCCATGGGATAGTCGCAAACCACATCGCCGCTTACCACCAGGAAGTCGGCGGCTTTGTCGAAAATGTGCTTTGAATCCAGGTTTCGCATCACATCGCCAACGCACGTAGCCGTATCATCTCGGAGGAAGATAAAGTTTTGAAATGGTGAGGAGTCGAGTATCCATCTGGAAGCCTGGATATATGCCTCTACCTGGTCAATATGACTGCCAGCATACATGTACACCTCATCGACACCAGCACTCGCGAGAAATTCGAGGGTGTACTCGAGCAAGGGTGTGTTCGCTAGCGGAAGCAGACACCGTGGTCGCTCAATTGAAAACGGAGTGAACTTGGTTTCAAAAGAGTCTGCGAGAACAATGGCTCGGAAGAGCTGCTCTTGCTTGTCGTCACCAGGCTTTGCCTTACCCGCGCCTTGCTTCTGAGACTTGGGAGGCATCTTGGAGACTTGCCGGCCAGACGGCCAGGATTTCTCTTTGGTTGTTCTCGTTGTCGAGTCCCAGAAGCCCTCGAGAGTTGGGTGGACTCGATTTAAGCTTGGGCAGGAGACTTCAACAGGCGAAGGCGCATGCCTTCGATTTGATTAAATGGCTGCCAGTGGTCGGATAGGTAAGAACAAAGAAGTCGTGAAGATCATCGGAAATAATTCTGATTCATTGGGGTTGCTAGCCTCGTACCTCAGCCTCGTCGCCTACTGGGCTTATCGATACCGTCTTTCCTGGTTGGGAAAGATCGACTAGCGGCCGACGCCAGTGCTGCCTGCTCGACTTCGTCACTCCCCGCTCAGCCTACTTTCCTCCAAACATCAGGCTCCAGTGCCACCTGTTGCCCTACAACTCGACATCCTCGCTCGACAGTTGGAGTCGCATCTCTTCCACAGATTAACAGATTAGGAACTTATCGAGAGGAGGTACTGCGGTTCTCCAGAGAGTACCCGGCTGCCGCTTGCACCATGTCCACCTCACCGCGTGAGCCACTCAATCCGTTCGGCATCCGCGAACTGCACGGACCCTCCGACCACGGAATCGTCAGGATCACTGCCCCAGAGTATGACTCGACTATCAAGTCCTATCCGAATGCAGCCCTAACCTACCTGGACGACGATGATGGGGAGACCATTACCGTCGGCTCAAGCCTTGAGCTGCAACAGCGGCTTGATGAGCCTCTAAGAGCAAGAAGAAGACGCGAGAGAAATTTATCCGCTTCTGCAGCTCGCAGTCCCATAGATAGTGATCAAAAGGTTCATTTATTCGACATTCAGCGGACTGCAGAGAACCTATTGGTCTGGCGTGATCACGCTGCCTACTCGAGCAAGGCACTTCACAAGAACGCCGGTAGCATCACATCTCTGTCCGAACCAGGAACCGAAACAACTAGTGCTGCAAATGTTGCAGCTACTCACGAGGATCATGCTGATATTGCTGCGACTCTTGCAACTGAACGAGAATCAAACGTCACTCTGCATCCTCGGATTGACGCACCTGAGTCCTCAGCCTCTTCTCCAAAACCATTGACCTGTTCCAACGATATCCTGCAGAGCGTCGATACCATTCTACAATCTGCATGCCAAGGCATCGAAAGTCACGTTACCGGTTTCACGGCTTTCCTGGATCTGACGGCCAGCGCGCTGCGCACAGTTGCTCAGAAGACCAGAGATGCCGATACATCACCTGTGGAGGATCTTCTTGGTGGTATGAAAGACATAATTGTCGAGGCTGGGCATATGGGTAAAGACTTACTGCGATCACTCGAAGACACCGAACCTCATGTCCCGTCGCAGCAGGATAGCCGATCCAGACGTGATAGCTCAGAGAGTGCGCAACCTGTCTTCATTCACACTGTGGATGACGAAAGTCTGGCCTCTTCAAAGCGCGTTAGCTTCGCTCCTACGGAACCTAATTCGGCGAATCATGCCCAAGTACCAGCACCTCCTGTTCCCCAACTCGATCAAGAGGTTGAGTCCTCCATCATCCCGGGACCATGGTCAGATATAAGACCCAGCTTCGATGCGTTGCTGCCACAGACTGCACCCATCTTCTACCGCAACTTGTCGAAGCAAGCATCTTCAAGCACTCGTGCAAAGCCTACTCAATTACTCGAGGAGAAGCCAAGTGAATCCTTGATGGACATGGAGGGCTCGACCGCCGATTTTGCAGCACGATATCCTCCACTGACATCGCTGAAGAGAGCGAAAACACTTGGCTCCCTGCGGACGGAGCCCTCCCGTGCGGACAAGCACGAGGAGACCAGCAGCAGCACCGTCTCAACACTCTCGAGATATCCCAGCCTTAGCCAGCTCGAACAACATAGGCACATGACCGGCACCTCCCGTCCGAGACCCAGGGAGCCTACGCGTCTGGAGCGCCACCGTGCTTTCGTTCGAGCACAGTACCACCGCTTTGACTCCCTGCCAAAGGGCTACCGAACCCCATCGGTTGAGGATGCCACCGATCTAGAGGACAAGCCTTTCGAGAATAAGGCTGCTGGGCCTGCGAAGCCAGATGGCGGAGTCGATGCTTTGCTCCCTGGCGCTTGGCCGGAGCCGAGCACTCCAGGTGTCAATGCTTCTGTTCCCGAGTCCTCTGGGGCGTTCTTCAACCGCATGGCACAGAACGGGCGGAGCGGGCAAAGCCAGCCAAAGTCGCCTGCACTCTCGTGTAGGACTACCAGCCCCCTGGCCGATTGCTTCTCTCCCGTAAACAACAACTTGCGACGGGCGCAGACTGTGACGGCTTCGAACCCGGCAGCAAGACTCAACGGCCCATTCGATCCTATGACTGGTGTCCCCGACCTGCGCAGTGAGGCTAGCACGTCCCAAATGATGGCAAACGCGATACCAGCAATGCTACCACAGCGAAGCTTGACACAACACCAGCCAACTCGCACACGCCAGGCACCCGCCCGCCCTACAGTCGTTGCTCCGCAGAACACGCTGTGGAATAATTCTCCTCACTCCCGGCAGGTTCCTCTCTCCCATCGGCCTATTCCTTTACACCGTGCACCCATGCCCGGTGCATTTCCTTATCCGCCAATTCCGCAGCCTCGCCCAGTTTCTGGGAACAATCACTTCCTCCGGCAGATGCGCAGTGAACCCAACTTCATCGTCCCAACACCTGCAGCTCGTCCTGACATGAACTCTGAAGTCAGTGATTGTGTGAAGAGCCTTCGGAATATGGGTTATGGTGTGACAGACGCGAACGAGGATGCGAGGTTGCCTATGTATGCTAGTGCTACGTCTAGTAATGTCTCAGAGGCTATCGAGATGATCGAGGAGGACCGACGTGCCGCTGAAGCTATCATGGCCCGGCGCTGATGCTCGTTGCTGGTTTTGATCAAGCCTGAGTGCCATGGGATGTGCAAACTCAATGGCCCCTGGCTGGCACAAGCTGTCACAGAGCCTTATGCCCGTGATGAAGGAGTACTGTAGGAACTGCGGCGTCAGTGGGGATGGTACAGGGTATTTTCTACGATGTAAATGTCAACCAAGCGGCGATTGCAGCCGTTCTGGTCTCCAAGCCGACCCAACACCTTCCATTCCATCGTCTCCCAGCTCGCCGGATGCTCTATGTTCCCCTCGCATCGCCTCACCCATTCACCTCCGTCGGCACAATCGCTCACCGAGCTCCACAGCTTCCACCTGCTGCGTAAAAATTGTACGAGACACGAAGCCGCAATACGGCTGTGCACATCTTTTGCGTTTTGTGCAGAGTTCATATCCCATCCCATCCCAGGCCAGGCCAGGCCAGCCCCGTGGCATCAGCATCAGCATCAGTATCGTGACTGACTGTGTCTCTGACATTTTACGCCCTCTTTGTCGTTTCGCGGCTTTCGGAAACTTCGCGAGCCGTATGGACACTCAGGCGTTCCCCCGGGCTGACTCAGCACGCCCCTTTCTTTCCCTGAGGCTGAACCCCGACCCTGATCACCCTATCCATCATCCAGTCATCTCTTCGCTGGGTCTCTTCGTGCTGGGGAAAGTCCCCCGTGTGCTCGATGACCAGCATGATATGTGATGTGGCGTGGGGCGTGGCGGGCGCTGTCAGTGCCGTGGTGTGATTGGGACGCAAGAACCAGAACATATTGTGTGATCTGGTTTGTTTCCTTCCTAGAGTATGGAAACCAGTCAACCTTCTCATGTGGGCGACAGCAAGTGCACGTGACGATAGGCAGGCTCAGGCTCCAAGGATTTTCCCCCTCTTGTGCCCTTTTCTCGTGGATACGAGCGTCAGCATCACGAGGCGAGGGTGGGCGAGCGTAGAGGGGGGAAAAGGGGCAGCATAGGTAGACAAGTATTGCACGGTGTATCTGTCGTGAAAATGTATTTCGCAACCGTGGTCCAGCGTTGCGAGACACTCGGTTTTCGACATCAAGAGCAAGACATTACTTACAGTACAGTACAGTCAACGACCCTTGGATGTCTAGTTCGGGAAGGCGTACGAAGCAGGCCGCAAGGCTGCTTTGAGGGACGTATAGTGTTGTCTGGTGGCGCTCGCTCGCTACACACATGGCAACGGTGGTGGGCTTGCAGCTGGCAGCGGCTGTGGCTTGTGGCTTGCGGCATGTGAGTATCCATACCCAGCTTTCGTTTCAGATGACGTTGGGACAACGAGTGTGCACAGGAGACTGAGAATCCGAGAGACGGGATCGGGGGTATCATCATCAAGGTGTTGATTGTATCATAGTTTCTGCGCTCCCCCGCGTTCTCATTTGAGGACTGTTGATGGGTGGAAACGTGGAGTCGAGGTTGTGTCATCGAGGGGTGCGAGCAAAGCATGTATTGTGCTGTCGGCTGAATGAGCATGCTGTGCGGCTAGAAGAGCGGCTTCCCATTAGAGTAGGCTCTGCGACTACTTGCCTTAAGGCAGGCAATTCCTTGTGGAGTCCAGTGCAGCGCAGTGCAATGCACAGCGGGAGAGGCGTTCCGGCTGCGCGAGGGGTTGTGTCAGTGGCGCTTGCTGGGTTCTGCATCAAGTGCAGCGCGGGGAAGGAAAGAAGACCCTTACAGAGGTAGGTTTACTTGCTGACGCCTGACTACTCAGGTCGTGATGTGAGGGGCGAGGAATGAATCGGCGTACTGAAGTGCTGACGAGGACGTGGAAAGGGTTGTGGGGACGGAGGGTATTCACGCGTACAGTAAGCTCGAAATTTCATGGTATCAAGCATGCGTTTGATGTACAGTGCTGGATCACAGCAAGACGCAAGTCGTCAAAAGGGTAGTCAATCAGAGTGGGTAGGGGTTATAACTGCTGTGAAGCGGTGAGATTGTATTGGGTGAAAGTCGAACTGCTCCAGACTTGCACTTTTGGCTATGCTGCACTGTTGTATCCTTCTCTCGTCTGCTTATCTGAGAACAGGCCCTAAGACCTGAGTAGGATGTGATCTGCCTCGCCTCTGTAAGGCTGCCTGACCCTAGGGTCCCTTCTCACATCCCCGGCTCGCTCATTCTCACCGCTGTCGCCCCACGCTCTGCTCCCGAACTTGTGTGCGGGATAGTTCCCTCATTGAGACTGCCATCGAACACCCTGTGAACAGTCTTATCTTGGTTGACTGGTGTTCTGATGCGTAAGTCCTTCCTTCCTCCAGTAACAGGGACTGGAAGCCCGAATGAGGCCTCAGATGAGCTGACTTTGCCGCTCCCCGTTTCGGTTTAAAGACCTTTAGAGGCCTCCAGATATAATGCGCGCTCCATTAGCCAGTGGCATAGCAAGCAGCTTGCGGCCTAATGAATCTATGCCCGTGGATTTTGGGCCGTGGCGGTCAGATGCCACTGTTGCAGCTGGTGGGGCGACTACCAGAGCCTGAACATCGGCTCTGGTCAAGACCGACGTGGTCGATTTTGTTGAAAGAGATGGGTATCAATAAAAGTGAAGCCGCTAAGACATGATATCGTAGAAGTCGTGAAAGCTGAGAATAGTCGTGATAAAATGAAACCGTGCCCCGGTGATAGTTCGGATATGTCACGGTTCCGGCTTCCTCGACTTGGTCCTCGTGAGCGTCAAGCCCTCAAGATTCTCTTCGCCATCGTCCTCGTAGGCGAAGCCGTAGTCGTCAACTCCATAAACCTTGGTGACTTCTTGGGTGGCCCAAGTGATGGTAGAGCCGCGCTTGTGGTGGGGCACACCGACAGGTTTTACCACACCCTGTGTGGGTGAGGGTGGCGGTGACCTGCGTGCAATATCTTTGAGTAATGAGTCGAGGACGTTGGTGTGTCCAAGCTTGAGGCGGAGGTCTACGTTCTTGTCGGCGGACTTCCTCCTTGCACGGTCGGCGAGGTTGAAGGTTTCCTCCAGTGATAGGCGGCGAGTTAGCTGTGGCATTTCTAATGAGTGAGGCATGCTGTCGTGGTGTGTTGGATGGTTCGCTGCAGCCGAGACTGTCTTTGGTCGATGTGGTCGTGGTCGATGGCCTGATGTCATGTGCCAATGCTGGGGGGTGGATAAGAAAGTCGATCAGGGCGGACCCGGCGGGAGTTATGTAGATGATTGACAGTTGGCTATCGAAGCAAAGACACGTGGAAAATTTGATGGTAGTGAGTCAAAGTGGAGTGGATTGGAAAGAAATTCTTTCAAGTTATTCAGTAGTACGCGTGTAGGGTGGATTGGATATGAAACGAGGCTCCCAGGAAGGCGATGGAGGCGTTGGTCTGGTGGACACGAAAAAATAGACTTTTGATCAGATTTGGATGCCGGCCGGCGATGTCGACCGAGATTGAGGCGGTGACCTGATGGGATTTCTGGTAGATGGTGGAAGATTTCACAAAGGTGAAAAGTTGAGGATGTGCAAACCGACAGGAGATATAGCGTGGAGGTAAGGCAGCAGTCCAGAAAGTGTCGGGGTCATGAAGCTCACCGTATCACCTCAGCGAACGCCGGGGTCGGGGGCAGGGCGTAGGATTGAAAGTACGGATACAAGTACGAGCGAGAGCAAGTCGGCGGCCGGGCCGCAATCGTATTGGCAGAGGCATGCGGTGATTTGCCAATGCTTGTCGTGATTGCTTAGATATCAAGCCAGCACAACCGAACGAGGCGGCGCACCTGAGTCACAATAGCAGACACGCGTGGGCGGTGACTCGGCCCGCATTGGCAAGTTGCAACGGAAGCACGCAATGCAGAAGTTTCTGCACCAGGCCGAGCCAATGGCGTGCGGCACGTGTCGTCAAGACCAAAGTGCCGTTTGGATACGACAATGATGACCATCGTGATTATTATTTCGGACTTATGGCCATAACGTGAGGGACGCGAGAGTCTGCCTCGGACTGCTGGATGTCAGCTCCATACGCCACCGCCGGCCGAGTGCTTCGAAGGTGTCGTGTTGTTGCCTTGGGTAGGAGTTGAGCGGTGAATGCGTGCCAAAGGGCGAACCGGCAATATCGGCGCTTAGACTTTAGTGTCATCTATGATCTGCTTCGCTACGCACGACGACTGCAGAGTCCCAGGGCGCAGTCTGCCGGCCGAAAATTGGGGCCCAGAAGCCAAGCACCTGCGAAGCGCTTAACCGAGGCACCGGCCGCGCGAGGCCAGACTGACAGCAGATGATTGCTGCTGAGAAATCATCCATGGCCTTTCATTCAAATGCGCATGTCTTCCCCCGCGTACTCGGTCAGCTGCGCTTTCCAACAACAGTCGCCCTCTGAAGGTTCATCGTATTACCTGTTCGTCATCTGCCGGAATCTGCTGTGGTCCGCCAACATTACATGATTTCTCAGCAGATGGCACAGGGCCTTCGTTGCTGCAGACGAATCGTCTATGGATCGAGGTGAGGATAATACGGGACTAAGGGACAGCCACGAGAGCACAGGACACCAAAGTGTCATCTTTCGAACTTTACTCCTCCCATCCCTGTGCGTGCTTGCCCATGGATTTGTAGATACTGATCCGCGTCTCGCACTGCACAGTCGCCTGCTATCAGGGCCTGGTCTGACGTGAACCGGCCAAGAGACTCCTGACACGGATCAGGGTGCAGCCGAGATACTGCCTTCTACTGATATGCTCAGTCACGACAGGTCCTTGGCACTGGCTGGCAAAGATCCATGGCTGACCAGCATCTCATGGTCCTGCCCCTGCTCCTGCTCATGCTTCAGAGGCATACGGAGTCAGGGCACATGTCCTGACTCGTAAGTCTCTCCAGAAAAGGCGGAGCGGACTTGAGTTGGCCCCAACGCCAGCGACATCCCCATCCATTGATTTGGGGGCCGAATATGAAACGTGCTAATCTGGACCCCCGGTGGTTGTTCGAGGCTGTGCTGCGTTCCCCGCGGACGCCTAACCAGGTACCTTTGGCGCCTGGTGAGAGCAAGAACGAGTACAAGTTACCCCCACCGCCCTGAGAAACCACCCTTTCGCCACCAACGCTGCCATCAATCAAGCCGATGAAAGCGACCCTTTGCGACAATGATTATCCCATACGCAGTTACCAGCCTGGTTCTTGCCCTCCTCGCCGTCGCCCAGCCCCTCAGCACCACCACTCCTCCACCCCCTGATTGCGACCACCTTATCCGCCCCTCCCTCTCTGCGACCTTTGACTGGTCTTCACCGGCCGCCTTATCCCTAGCACAATGCCTCCAATCTCTCCGCCTGCCCCACCCTAACCCTTCAACCTGTCTCTTCTACACCGCGCATTCCAAAGTCGACGCCATTCGTTACGCCCTCGAGTTCGACCGCACCACCGTCTACGATGTCTTTCAGCCGCAGTACTTCAACCGCAGCGCGCAGCCCGCCAAAACTTGGGACGCGCTCGGCCACATGCGTGACCTGTTTAAAGTGACGAGCAAAGCGTACGCCATGAGCTGCTCCGGCACCGCGAACCTCGTGCTGCCGGACGGTGTCAAGGATGACGACGTCTGCCGCGAGAGCATTTGGGTCACGGACGAGTACGAAGTTATCAGGGCGGGCGACAGTGGGGTGGTGCTACCCATCTGGCGTGTGACCTGGCGGCGGGATGCAGGGGGGGTCTGGAAGTGGTTCGTGGATATCTTGAAGGCCGCGAAGGTGGAGGCGGTGGGGAAGACGTTCAAGAAGAGAAGTGATGTGATTGCGAACAATGCAGAGAGCCATTGGTGGGATGCTGGCGCACAGAGAACGCTGATGCCACCGAACGAGGTGAAGGCAAGTGTGAATGACAAGTTGGAGCAGTTGAGGCAGCAATGGGGATGGAATGGTCTTGAGGAAGGACATACAGAAGATCTGTGGGCAATCAAGAGTGGGATGTGCGGTCGATGATGGGAACAACAAGAAGAGACGACGCCAGGGTACCCCGACGCCACAGCTAAGTGCGGACCACGACTGCGACGCGGACACCGATATCGAGCAAACCAAGACAGCACTCCTTCGACACGAGGACGCAGTTACGACCATCCCGATCACTTTACAACCATCAGCCGAGCACGATGTCCTAGCAAGTGAAGCACACGGTGGCCTCGCATCGACACTATCAGACACTGCGAAGTCGTACGATACGGTCCACCGGCGCAAACTCGATCGTTCGATACCTGCAGTCGACTGATGTCTATCCAGAAAGTGGAGCCTGACTGGTGCAAAGGGCAAAGGGACCGCTTGCAGGGATCCTCGCGTGCGGCGATACCCGCCCCGAGACCTTCGCTGTGAAGACCGGGAACGGAGTACCATCTGACCTGCAACAGACTTCGAGGCAAACAACCAGGCTTCATCGCGACTAGTATTGCTACTAGTGGAACTACATACACTAAAGTCTCCCCCTTGCTACCCGAGTACACAGGACGGAGTACCTACCGATCAACAGTCATGCTGTTCGCCGCCCCCGGATTCCGAATGCTTTTGCCTCGGCATCTCGGGGTCCGCAAGATCGCGACGAAGGACCTCGCATCGTATCGACAGGGTCGTAGGGCGAAGTTTGCAAGACGAGATACGACGCAGGCATGGAAAAAAAGCTTCGTCGACGATGCGAAAATGTGGTTTTGGTCACCTGGATCGATCACAACCAGAAACAAATGCCTCTTGCTCTTCCAACCGAGGCATAGGCGTGCCAACAAAGACCGAGTACGATCGAAGAGGAGGCACGATGTCAGGGTCCCAGATAGATGTCCCTCGTGCATTTGACAGCTATACATACTTTTTTGATTCTCTGGTCGCGACAATGACAACGCCGTAGCTATGCCCCTTAGGGGATGAGAACGCAAGAAAAAAGAAGATGCCCATCTCTTACCAGTAGTGACCCAGCGCGAGGCTCACAGCATCGGCTGGATATTGTCCGCCACCTTGAATGGCGCCTCGGTCTTGCTCTTGATCTCGTCCACCGTGACCCCGTCCGCCAGCTCGACGAGGGTCAAGCCCTCGGTGAAATCGACGTCGAACACACACTAGGTACGGAAGATGTTAGCGCATCCTCTCGCAACTTTCTCAACACGGGCGTTGGAAAAAAAAAGAAGAAAGGAAGGAAGAGAGGGGGAACAAAACTCACCAATTCAGTAATGATCCTCGACACGCACTGCTTCCCCGTCAACGGGAAATCGCACTGCTTCAGGATCTTCGCCCCGCCCTTCTTGTCCGTGTGCTCCAGCAAGGCCACCACCTTGGTCTTCTCCGGGTTACTGACCAGGTCCATCGCGCCGCCAAAGCCCTTGACCTTACCGGGCAGCATCCAGTTAGCCAGATCCCCCTTGGCGCTGACCTGCATGGCGCCCAGCATCGTGAGCTCGATACGGCCAGAACGAATCATGCCGAAGCTCTCATCGCTGCCGAACGTGCTCGCGCCGGGCAGCAGCGTGACCGTCTCCTTGCCGGCGTTGATGAGGTCGGCGTCCTCCTCGCCCTTGTACGGGTAGGGCCCCAGTCCCAAAATGCCGTTCTCGCTCTGCAGCGTGACGCTGACGGACTCGTCCAGGAACGAAGGGGCCAGCATGGGCATGCCGATGCCCAGGTTCGCGTACATGCCGTTCTTGAACTCCTTGGCCGCGCGGCGCACGATGCGTTCGCGCTTGCTGGCCGCGTCGCCTTTGCCCAGCGCGCTCTTGACGTCCTGCGCCTCGCCCTGCGCCGGCCGGTTGGTGTATTTCTCAATGTTCTTCGCCGCCGTCGACTGGATCACCTTCTTGACGTAGATGCCGGGGAGGTGCACGGCTTCCGGGCTGATCTCGCCGGGCTCGACGATGTGCTCGGCCTCGACGATCGTGCAGCGCGCATTGCGGCCCATGGCGCCGTTGAAGTTCTGCGCCGTAAGCCGGAACTGCACGTTGCCCAGCTTGTCGGCCTTGTAGGCTTTCACGAACGCGTAGTCGCCCTGGATCGCCTCCTCCATGACATAGCTCTTGCCGCTAAACACCTTGACGTCCCGTGGCTTGCCGTACTCGGCGATGGCGCCGTCGGCCTTGTGCTTCAGCGGAATCTCGCCGGTTTGCACCACGGTGCCGAACGCCGCAGGCGTGTAGAAGGCCGGGATGCCCTTGCCGCCGGCGGCGCAGCGCTCCGCGAGCGTGCCTTGGGGCGTCAACTCCAGCTCCACCTCGCCGGTCAGGTACGCCTGCTCCAGGACCTTGTTCTCGCCCACGTACGAGGCCACCATGCGCTTGATCTGCTTGGTGTCCAGCAGCTTGCCCAGGCCCGAGCCGGGGACGCCCGCGTTGTTCGACACGGCCGTCAGGCCCGTCAGCCGCGGCGTCTCCGAGACTTCGTTGATCAGCGTGTCGGGCACGCCGCAGAGGCCGAAGCCTCCGCATAGCAGGGTGCTGTTGGGCTGCATGTCTGCGATGGCTTCGCGGGCCGAGGACACGATCTTGTTGACCTCCCGCTGTGTTGGCGTGCTGCTGAAGGCGCGGATGAGGGGGGACGTGCTGTGGGGGTTGCGTGAGGCCAGGTGTCGGGCTGTGAGGCGCGCTGTGCGCGTGAGGTGCTGCGAAGGCATGGTTCGGAAGTTATAACTGTCGTGAGCGGGGTGGTCAGAGGTCAGAGGTCAACGGTCAGGCAATGAAGCTGGTCTAGTTTCCAGCACCGTTCGTGACGGATGGTCTGCTTCTAGGTCAATTGCTGAGACGGAGCACGCGCTGCGAGGGATTCCCAAGCTGTTGTATTGGGGAAGCAAAAGTGCCGGATCCGAGGTCCTCGTAGGTTTGGAGAAAGTTCGATCCTCGCTTCCGATGGGCGACAGCGATACGAGAGACAGCGAGCAACAGCTGGTCGGCGACAGGTAGAAGGGATCAGAGTCAAGAGGAGAACAAGCAAGAGAGCAAGAGTAAGTCGGCATCTAAGAGGGATGTTGCGAAATCGTTCCGAGTCCGCTGCGCTGATACCGCAGCCGAATAGTGTGGAGGTCATCCCTAGAATATCCGATGATTTTCGGCTGCTGCACCCCTCCGCATTCGAGGACGCGCCCTGCCACGGGACGAGATCAGTGCCCGGGTAAATCCTCCTCCGCAGTCAAAGGACGTTTAGGTGGCTACCGACCACAGCTAACGGCTTGTCCCTGATCGACGTGTCTCCCGCATTCTGCTTCGGATACGGAGTACACACAGTGGCTGGTGGCTGAAATATGGGATCAAAGAAAGGACCTGGATGGCCCTCGTATCAATTCAAGTTCATCTAACGCCTCCGAACGCCTTCGCTTCTAACCCAACTAGCTAACTGAATATTCACTCATCGTTATTATCATCATCATCACTGTCTCTATCCACATCCATACTGTCGACGCTGGCTTGGTCAACTGCCTCGGAGAGCTCGCTGCTATGTGGCTGCGATGATCCCGTACGACTGGCGCCGACGGTGGCGGCCAGACTGCCTTCAAGCCGCCGCCCGATATTCTGGTTGATCAGGTATTCGCGTTCCTGTGCAGCAAGTCTGTCTGGATCAGCAGCTCGTGCCATTTCCAGCATATCCACGGATGAGCCGTCGTCGTCAAACTCGTCGTCCGACTCAGTTGACCACTGATGGAGGAATGCAGGCGGTGGTGGATTTAGCTCCATGACTTCGGAGCTCGACTCATCCGAATCGTAGCCATCTCCATCCTCCCGGTCTGCCGAAGAACTGCTCGATGGGAAGAATACATAGCTGGGGGGCGGTAGCCGCGATGGCTGCAACTCCAAATGATCACACTCTTCAACCTCATACTCGAAATGCTTGCGCTTGCGCGTGCGGGTGAGTGGTATGGGACTGAGACGTTTGGCTTGTGTCTGTTTAGCACGGTGGCGTATCACCTTCACATCCAGTGCAAAATTGTCGTCTGGTATGACGCCTCCAATGCCACAGACGGGTAATTCTCTCGGCACGGTTTCATCCTCGCCAGATGTTTGCAGCTTCTGCAGGTCCAAGGACATAAGTGGTTCGCTCGCCTCATCAGGATATGGCTCAGGCGCGAATTGAGGTGCATAGTAGCACGAATCATGATGCCGTAACGGCGACTCCCCAATGTAGTCACGTTGTAGCCCAAGTGTATCCCATGGCAAAGCTTTTCGTTGTGGAATCCAATTGACAGGTGCGTTGTCAGCACTGAGATCGGTACAAAAGTATGGGTTTTGGTAGAAGGTGATCATCCCATCATCGGAATTACGGCGTTGATTGAGGTTGGACTTGCTCAAAGCGTAGACAAGACCACTCGAGTCGTTTGAGTGACTGCATGGCGATCCCGAGGAATCCAAATACGATACCGCTGGCGAGTATCTTTTGCCTTTATATACCAGTGGCTTATAGTCAAACGGAGTGCCAGAGGTCTTAGTCTTGCCCGTTGATCCGGCAAGCATATTAGAGGTTGCAGCTGTTGAAACCATCTGTTTCGATGTAGCACTAGTTTGCTGCCCGCTCGTTATGTTCTCCGAGGATGGCTCTTCAGAGATCATGGCGTTTGAGGAACTGTTGGTTTTGGATCTTTTGCTGCTGTTGCCTCCAGTTTCTTCTTGAGACTCAGAAGGACTAGGATGGACAAGTTCCATGGCTCTTTCATCGTCCTTGCTGAAAGTGGTGCCTTCACTACCACCATTCCATCGCACTTTGTGCCCATCTGCGGAAATCTCGAGCTTGGTACTAAATTTGCGAATAGCCTGCCGAATGAAAGCTGGAGTGACGTTGACCGTGTGCAGTTGCGCCATGCTAATCAGCAGGTTCAGATAAATCCATGGGGATGGTTTCATGGTGCCCTGAACGAGGGGCGAAGCCATGCCTAGATGGTGCAAGTAGTGTATGTTTTCGGCAGCCACCTGAGCCCGATGAATATCAAGGTCTAATGGGCGTGTGGGTCGCTGTTGCTCTCTTGGTGAGGACGCATGACTAGTGCTCGGAGCGACCGATCCATCAACGGTGAGGCGCTCGCTGGCCTCGGGGTTAAGCTTGGGTTTCTTGGACGGAGGCGATGCATTGCGACGATCCTCGGCATCAAGATTCACCTTCGTATCTAGAGGAAGCATGTGTGCCTCGCGGGTACCTTCGGAGCGACCCGCTCCGTGCATCGGATCATCTGCGAAAGCAGCCGAATGTGAAACTTCTTGCTGCTGATGAGGTTGGCTATGATCTCCTGGGCCCGCTTGTCTGCCGGTAAACAAATTCTCAAGCCGACGAACAACAAGCCCCATCTTCGCCCGCTTACTCATGTAAAGCGAATGTCGTGGAAGTAGGGTATCGGGGATGTCATGCAGGTAATTGTGAATGTTCCTGGCCTTAGTGTTCCGGGAAGACTGCGGCACACTGAGCGCACCATGAGATGCATTGGCAGATGTGTGACCAGATGTCGAATTTGTTCCATAGCCAGAATCTGGAGCCGAGGGGCGGACCTTGCCATTGGAACTGTGCGGCAGACTGGATGATGAGCCCTCGCTGAGCGTTTGAGGTTGTGCTGAGCCACGATTGGCCGACGAGGCTGAAGCGGTATTGGAGCTTGTACGAACACCGGTTGCAAAGCTTCGCAACAAGTTCTCGAGCTCCCTTTTCTTATCTGTGCTTAGGCCATGAACTCGAACATCAAAAAGTCGGTCTTGAGCCGGGGCTTCCGACGCAGATGGGCTCGGACGTGATCGGGTACTCTTGAGAAGCAACTTCAGTCTCTTGTTCTCCACGGTCAAGTCATCGATAACACCTCTCAAGTCTTCATTCTCACTGTTGTCCAGATGCTCGACGCCAAAAAGCTCATCGTCACTACCCGATGAGACGAAGTTATTAGGGAAATAATTCTTCTGATTGCCAAGAAAAAAGGGTGGTTCTGAGACAAAAGTTGTTAGCAATCATCCACCCAGCATCTGATACATCTTTGGGCATAACATACCATTGTTGGAAGGGGATTCGCGTTGTCCTTGTGGTCCACGCTCGTTGGCCTTGTCGAACCATTTCGCAGCACTCTCGTCGCTGCCGTTGGAATCTTGAGTATCTTGCTTGTATATTTGCGACGCCTTCTGCTTGGAGGGATCTTGCGCCTGCGCAGATGGTATATTCGCTCGTGCCAGCTCTTTCTTGATGTGGGCAGGAAGCGACTTGGACTCGGCAGGAGGAGTCCGTCTAGAGACTGGCTTTCTTGAGCGAGGACCGTTCTGATCACGATACTTTGCCGAAGCGTCTTTCGAACTCATGACTGGACATGTCGCGGAGATGTTGGTTTTGTCGCGGGCCAGCTTGATTTCGGTGCGCGATCGGGGATGGTAATCACTATAATTCCGTCTCGTACTATAGGGACTATGGTGAGTAGTGTGGCTTTGGGGGGCACAGTCGCTTCTCGAAAAGTTCTGGATAGGTGTTGACGAGTGTCGTGTCGGAAGAGGTTGAAGGCGATGGAAGTGAGATTAGGGCAGTGAACGAGCTGGACATGAGTCAAGAGGGGCCCGATGTAGGTCGCAGCATCGGGTGATCGTTGCAGCATCGAGGGCATCCATTATGGCCTGGGCCAAGGGACAGTGGGCGAGATCTGTGGGCGAGCCACCTGTAGTGAGTGGCTCGATCCGTGTGGCATTCAGCGAGCCATGGCACCGTCCGCTACGATCTGAGAACACAGGGCAGAATCTGACCCCGAGCTCGTAGGGTTAGGGCTATTACATCACAACGCAGGCCCCCTACTGTGGAGCATAAAACGCTTTAGGCGTCTGAAAGCAAGTCCTGTGCACATTTGCCCCTGTTGTTCCCGTCGCCACGGCGTTCATCGACGATCTAGCCCGCAGGTATTACACACATGGTCCTTGGCTCCACTGGTTCATTGTCTCCAAACTTCGTCACTGGGCGACGTTCATCAGCGATGCTCGGAAATGTTGTGCCGCAGCTGTCGATGCCGCACCTTCCCGCGATCCTCGACGCGCCGACTGCTGTTGGCTATCTGGTATGAGGACGCTGTCGACGACATCTACACCAACGGTGTTACCTGATCTCCGACCAAAGTTTGGACTTTGTCCGGCTCGGATGTCATCAACGATAACCTGACGTCCGTCGACGAGGCATCTACGATCTGGCCGACAGAGCTCCCCTGACCCAACTTAGCAGCATTATTTCTGCAAAGCTTCTTGAACTGTGGCATCGTCGCCAACACGGCCATCGAGTTTTTGCAGTCCTTTCTTGAAGATGATGACGTTGGTCCCATGGGGGTAATGACTGTCATATGTTGCATCTTCCGGGAGCTGTTCTTGACCCAGGGGGCCCCCGACGCGCACTTCCACGCTCTATGTGAGAGGAGCGTTTGACTGTTTCATGATGGTGCTGTCGCCTTGGCTGTTTCGAACACAGATTCGGTGCTTATACATAACACGAGGCTGGACAGCGAGTTGTGCTGCCACTGTTTGGAAAGTAATGCCAAGCATTCAGAATTTGCAGTGCAGAGTCTGCAGTTTCGATGCCTGTAGCGGATTGCAGGCATGCCCATTCCAAATGCTCGAGACCTCCGATATTGCTGGCCTGCCCTGCCCAATCTTGTGCGCTTCGGGTGTTGGCGCCCTGCTGCTCGTCGCCCAGTAGACACCTGAGCAGCCTCTCAGCTTTGTACTGTTCCCGAGATAGGTGATCCGTGCCGATAAGCCTGGCTCGCTCGGTTCCAATTTGCTGCCCCCTCTCAGCGGTTACGCCCACGAGAGAGCCAAGTTTTTCAAGCAAAGATCTTCCAAAGCTTGCCGAGCTTGCCTCTGCTGGGAACACGAGGTCCACGCGGATCGATTTCAATGGCCGCTAAAGAATCTTGTATTGCCTGTGCCCAATGACGGACCCCACGAAGGTAAGCTGCTACAGGTTCGACAGTTCCAGCCATGCGCCATTTGATGCATCTCCTACGAGCTGCTCGTACTAGCGAGTCTAGAGTGCAAGATAGCATGCTCCAACTCTATCTCCCGCGCCGTGAGCCCCGGCCCATAGCTTGCTCAAAAGTACCCCTCCCCCCAATCTCCGTGTCTGCGTTCTACAAACTTCAGCCAGAATGTCTGTCGCGAACGCAGGCCAGATAGCCGCCGCAACTTCGGCCGCCGCAGAGGATGCCCACCGAGGCTCTATCACCTCGCTATACGGTCAAAACCCTGAGGATCCACATGCTGTTACCACCGAAGAGTCAGAGGAAGATCATCCCACGGCACCAGACCAGCATGATCCTGGCCTGATTGCGACCAAGAAAGAGATTTGGTTGTATTATAGCTACTACGTTGGCAACAATGGTCTGACTTTGTTCAACTTTGCGCCCACCCTCTTTCAGGACTTGCTGTACATCGCAGCCGGCGATAGTGGAGTACTCAGATTCCTGGGCCGCGACCGTACCATCAACTCAATAGTGCTGCTCGCCAATGGCATCAGCTTCGCCATCCAAGTCGTTCTGTTCCTCATTCTGGGCTCACTGGCAGACTACGGTTCCTGGCGACCATGGATCCTCATCTTCTGGTCCGTCGTCGCTTGGGGCCTTGGTTTTGGCTGGCTTGGAGTGCATACGGAAAATAAATGGCCTGTAGCCACCGGACTGTACATGATTGGCCTCATCGCCTACCAGATGTGCTTCACCTTTTGGTTTGCAGCCTTCCCCGGTCTTGCGCGCAATACTCCCGAGATGCGAGAGAAGGCGCGCGAATACGAAGCTGGCGAGATTGATCGCGATCAGTATGATTTTCATGATATGATGCAGCGCAATCGAATCAGCAATGTGGCCTTCATCATGCAGAGCGCTGGAGAAATCATCATTTTGGCAATTCTCATCGGTATTCTGAAAGCTCTCCACGTCGAGGCCAGCGACGCCAACAATTTATGGGGTCTCTCCGTCCTCATCGCCTACGCAACTGGGTGGTGGATTCTACTTGGTGTTCCTTGGTTCATAGCCGAGAAGCGCCGACCGGGCCAGAAGGTGCCTGCGGGCATGAACCTAGTCTCGGTCGGCTTCTGGACCCTGTGGCGGGCCATAACCCAGATCTGGCGGCTCAAGCAGTCCCTCATCTATCTCATCGGTAGGAGCATAGACGCCTACCCACTGAAATTGACAGCTGACGATTGCTAGGTTTCTTCGTGTTGTCCGATTCCCTCAACACCACTGTCACCGTGGTTGCCACGTTGCAGAACAGTGTCGTGAGTTATAGCGCGCTGACGCTCAACTACCTCTTCATTGTGGGCATTGCCGCTCAGCTCGCCGGCATCTTCGGCTTCTGGACGGTCCAGAAACGGTTCGGCTTGAGCACCAAGACCATGTTCGACGCGGTCATGCTTGGCATTGTCTTGCTCGACGGCTGGGGCATGATCGGCATCTGGACGCAGAAGTTTGGCTTCCACCATGAATGGGAGTTCTGGGTGTACCAGGTTTGGTACGGGCTCTTCGTCTGCCCGTGGTATTCATATTCGCAGATCATGATCTCCGAAGTCACTCCCCGTGGCAAGGAGTTCCTGTTCTTCGCGCTGTTCTCCATTATGGGCAAAACGAGCGCCTTCATCGGACCGATTGTGTCCAGTGCCATCATTGACGCGGACACAACCGCTACCAGGGCTGGTAACGAGAGCCTGCCGTTCTATTTTCTCTTTGGGCTGTCTGTCGTCAGCATGATGTTGTTGTACTTCTTCGTCGACCTCAAGAAGTCCAGGATCGAACAGGACAAGTTTTTAGAAGAAGAGAGGAAGGCCAAAGAGCGAAAGGCCAGCATCGTGTCACTAGGCAGGGCCAGTGATGCGGTAGGGTCGGAGACGCCGGAGGAGTCGATTGTCAAGAAAGAGGATATCAAGACATGACCTTAGTTGATCGGCCTGGAGCTCCAGATATGGGCAGCCCAGGCACACTGGAGAAGGATCTTAGGCGCCCTGGGTATTGATTGAATGCACCTCTGCAGAGCAAGGGAAGTGATGTCAAGGCAGCGCGGTCGGCAACTTGCAGACCATGTATGTGGTATTTCCGAGTCTGCCCTGCTCGCCGCTAGCACCGTCATCTATGACCTTTGGGAACCTTGTGAAACCCAGCCGCGTATAGAACTTCTCTGCGCCTTCGTTGGAACTCACCATCCCGAGATGGACACCTCTGCAGTCAAGCCGCCTCATGTGCTCGAGGAAAGTGCTCATCAGCTGTCTTCCCATACCCTTCCCCTGATACGGCGGGAGAATGTCAATGTGGAGATGCCCAGGATGATCGCGCATGAGCTCTGGCCACTCTTGGTGAACAAGCTGATCAGGATTGTGCAAGTAACTTCGCAGAGCAGCAGTTATGTTTTCCGCCCAGTTCGTGTTCTCATCTGGCCCAGGCCTCGGTAGGTTCTGCTCATTGAGGTAGGCAAGGAACTCTTCGCGCAGCTGCTGCGCAAAGGTCCGAGTGTCGGGTGTGCCAATAATGTAGCCCACGGCTCTTCCATGTCCGTCGTCGATCACGAAGCAGTGCTCGGGCTGCAGCAGGTAGTAGTTACGGCACCAGGCGAAGGATGCGATATGGAGTGCGTCAGGACCAGCGTCCCGTAGGCCCTTGTCGGCCGTAATCGTAAACTGTAAATTGTTAGCACACGAGAAGGTGACTGCGCCGATGCGGCATACGATGTTCACCATGTCAGCCTCGTCGCCGGCTCGGAAAGCGCGGACCGACAGAGCCTGACCTTCGGACGTACTCATTCTAGCGTGTGCAAAACGTCAATCACATCGTCAGGAGATCACATAACGATGAGAAGGGGAGATGGGGAGGTTTTGGTAGCTGAAGACCTCAACTCGTCCCGGAGATTAGCCTTGGAGGAACCGAGACGGCGATGTGACTTCTGTCTCGCCAGCAATGGTTGACACAAGCATACGGTATACCAATGTGGGTGACCTTCGCATTCCGTGTCTGTTCATTGCTGACATCTGGACACTAGGTTGCCCCTTAGCCGGAGCAACATCTTGACAGATGACACGCGTTGATGATTGTCAGCTTTGACGCAAACCGGAAGGTCGACCGACACTCCAAAGAGCGCTTCCTTGTCAATTCGCAGTGAACGGCCAACCAGGCATTATTGGTATTGACCGTCCGAGGATACTTTGGACACTGGCTTGCGACGTGCCGTAAGACGCGCAAAGGACCCAGCTTCAAGACTCCAGTGTGGGTACTCCATACGAGTTGCGGATCCGCCTGGTATCTATGCACAAAGGTCCGATTCAAGTCCACCGCCCAAACTACCCTTCCAAACATTCCCCCGGCTCTCCCCTGATGACTGATGTGCAACGACTTCAGGTCCCGCCGGGGCTATTTTACGATGGGCTCCGCGAAATATTTCCCCACGAATCAGAGCCTTGGCCCGAGCCTTCCACGCCTTGCATGATTGGCTCGCTCCTTCAATCAGGCCCTCCAGCAAAGCCGCGCTGCTATTCCGAACCACGACTCCCACGATCAATACCCTGCGATCCTGCCCAGGCGCTCACCCATAAGCTAAACCTTTTTGCTGATCGGTTTCCTGCAAGACCTCGGGGTTCAGGCAACGCCGCTCGGGTGGCCCGAGTTTCAGCTAGCCATAATGCGTTTATATCTGACTAGACTGTCGCTGTATATCGTCGTGCTTCTAAGGTCTACTTGACAGTAGAACCCACCCATCCCTGCCCAGCCACTCTGCTACTCAACCAGAACACCATCTTCCCCAGCTCAACGGACTGAGCTTGACTGGGAGGGGTACATCGTGTCTTTGGCGGAACAACGAGGGTGCAGGACCAAAAAGGATCTAAACAACCTAACCGTGGTTCAGCATTCTCCGAGATCCCACACATTAGCGCAAGCAACAGCTTCGGCCATTGTATTGTGAGATCATGGCGTTTCTCAAGGGGCCAGAAGTGCCTCCTCTACCCACTAAGGACATACTCAGCTGGATCTTCGACGAACCTACCTACGACGTCAATAAGCCAGTACGCCGTTTACAGAACTACTGATCTCTAGTAGACTAACATCGTCATAGGTCTTCATAGATGCAACCAACATAAAACGCTCCCTATCCCTCTCGCAAGCCCAGCATGTTGTTCGCCAACTCATTGCTGGCTTTCGTGCACAGGGTATCAAACCCGGCGATTGCGTGCTCATTCACGCCTTTAACGATGTTTACTACATGATGCTTGCCCTCGCTATCATTGGCACTGGCGCTGTCTTCGCTGGCTCGAACCCCGGATACACCCCCTTCGAACTGAGTCACCATATCAAGGCCACTTCGGCCAGCTGGCTGATCCTCGAAGCCGAAACCCTACCCACAGTGCTTTCTGTCACCAAGACCATATCTATTCCCAGTTCCCACCTCATCATTTTCCACCCGCTCGACACCCAGTCTTGCCCTTCAGGCTACACCTCCTGGCTCACCTTGCTACAGCACGGCACCGCAGATTGGGTGCGTTTCGACGACTACAACACCTGCAAGACCACTACTGCCGCGCGATTCACCTCCTCAGGGACCTCCGGCTTGCCAAAAGCAACGATAAACACGCATCTAAATATGATCGCCCAGCATGAATTCAACTACTCTCCTCTATTCTACAAGCGACCCTGGGAGACAGTAAACCTGTGGAGTCTACCAATGTTCCACGCCGCTGTCGCGCCCCGCGCCCTCACCTCAATTTGGAAGCTAGGAGAGAAAGCATATATCATGCGGCGCTTCGAAGTGGACGCGTTCGTGCGCAACATCGAGCGATTTGGCGTCACGGACCTTTTCGGCGTGCCACCCATGCTGGTCGCAATCATCATGCACATGCCCGTGCAGAAGGGCGAGGTCAGTCTGCGCTCCATCCGCTCTGGGGCGGTCGGCGCGGCGCCCCTCACGAAGGAAACGCAGGCACGTATCACCAGCTATCTGGCACCAGGCGCGACTTTCACGCAGGTGTGGGGCATGACCGAGTCAAACTGCATCGCCAGCCGCTTTCCGTGGGGCGAGGCCGACGAGACGGGAAGTGTGGGCTACCTCAGTCCCGGCATGGAGGGCAAGATCGTGGACGTGGAGACAGGCGAGGAGATCAGAGAGTACGGGCGCCGGGGCGAGGCCTGCGTCCGCGGCGAGAGCGTCATCCCCGGCTACTTCAACAACGCCGAGGCGACGCGCAAGAGCTGGGACCCCGACGGCTTCTACCACTCCGGCGACGTCATCTACGTCGACGAGAAGACCAAGAAGCTCTACATCGTCGACCGCGTCAAGGAGCTCATCAAGGTCCGCGCCTTCCAGGTTGCACCCCCTGAGGTCGAGGGCGTCTTGCTGGAGATGGAGGGTATCGTCGACGCGGCTGTCATTGGCGTCAAGGATGACAAAGATGGCGAGGGCGAGGCGTGTCGCGCGTACGTCGTGACGAGGCCAGGGTGGGAGGGGAAGCTGACGGAGCGGGACGTGTACGATTGGGTCAAGGAGCGGTTGGTCAAGTACAAGCATCTGGACGGCGGGGTCAAGTTCGTGCCGCAGATCCCCAAGACGCCCAGTGGGAAGATCCTCAAGCGTTTGTTGAGGGATGAGTTTGAGAAGGAGCAGCGGCTGGAGAAGGGGCGAGCGAAGCTGTGAGGAGTCTTCAACGAGGTACACTATAGAGAGAGAGAGAACACTGGCTCATTTTTGGCGTCATCTTTCGAGGCAGCGCATGATCTTCCGTTACGGCTTCAGCGAATTCGGTCAAAACGGTTAACTACCTGTGACCCAAACGCTTCTTCACAGCTACCTTTGCGGCAAAGGCAGCGCCTCATGCTTGTACCTCTTCTTCCCAGCCCCCTCACCATACTCGCCCGCCACCTGCCCACTGCCCCTGATCTTGTACTTGTAGATGGTCAACCCTTCCAGCCCGACCGGCCCCCGCGAGTGGATCTTGTTCGTGCTGATGCCCACCTCGGTGCCGAAGCCGTAGCGCATCCCGTCCGCGAACCGCGTGCTGGCGTTCCAGTACACGCCCGCCGCGTCGACGGCCGACATGAACTTCTCGGCTGCCTCCGAGGAGGACGTGACGATGCTGTCGGTGTGTTTGGACGAGTGTGAGTTGATGTGCGCGATGGCGAGGTCGAGGGCGATGTCGTCGGTGCTGCTACCGCTGCTGTTGCTGCTGGTGCTGCTTGAGACGTCGAGTTTCGGCACCGTCTTGACGGCGAGTGTGAAGTCGAGGAACTCGGTATTGTAGTCCTGCTCCGTGGCGTCCTGGACCGCGGCCGTGGCCCTGTCGAGCCCGGACAGCGCGGCCTTGGATCTCTCATCGCACTTGAGCGACACGCCTTTGTCGATCAGCGCGGCTGCCACGGCGGGGAAGACGGTCTGGAGCACATCCTCGTGCACGAGCAGCGTCTCGGCGGCGTTGCAGGCCGCGGGATAGTCGCATTTCGAGTCGACTACGACGCGCACGGCCGTGTCCTTGTCGGCGTCGGAGTGCAGGTAGACGCTGCAGAGGCCGTCCGCATGGCCGAGCACGGGGATCTTGGTGTGCTCCTTGACGTAGCGGACGAGGTCGTTGCCGCCGCGGGGGATCACGAGGTCGATGTATCTGTCCAGGCCGAGGAGCTGATCGATGACGTCTCTGGTCTTGACGAGCTGGATGGCGGCGTTCGGGACCTTGGTGGATTCCAGCGCTTTTGAGATGACGGCCGAAATGGTCTGGAAGGATTCGGTGGACTCTTTGCCACCTTTGAGAATGGCCGCATTGCCTGACTTGATGGCCAGGGCGGCAATGTTGGCAATGACCTCGGGGCGGGCTTCGAAGATGATGAGGAGAACGCCGATCGGGCATGACACGCGTGTCATTTCGAGACCGTCGTCGAGTTTGGTATGTAAGTCGATCTTGCCCACGGGATCGGGGAGTTTCCGCACGTCTAGGATTCCTTGTAGCATATCGTCGAACTTCCCTGGCCGCTGTAGGTCGAGCCGCTTGATCAGGCTTTGGCTCAGTTTGCCGTCTTGTGAGGCTTGCTTGGCCAATTCCATGTCCCGGCCATTGGCCTCGAGTATGGACTGCTTGTCGGTTTTGAGAGCATCATGAATGGCTGTGAGTGCATCATTGCGAGCATCCACTGACAGCACGGCCAGATTACGGGCGGAATATGCGGCTGCCTTGGCCGCAGCCTCAGGTGTGGACTCAGTCAAGGACATGGCGGGTGCAGAGGCTCGCGCGTATTGCAGAGGAGTGAGCACGGCACCTGTGAGGAACTTACAGCTGGCTTATATACATGAGGGAGCCTTCTGAATGCCAAACAGAGGTGGAGCGGTGTTGTGTCTCCGCTGCTTTACGCCTTTCGGTTCTGAAGAAGAATCTGAGTCAAGCCCCGTCTAGAAGTTCGGTACGCCAAGGCTTCACTCATGTTACACGGTGGATGTGGTTCACAGCGTTGTTCGTACTCTGGCAAAGTCGTACGCGATCGAGTGGCAATGAACTGCACTACACTTGTTGCAAGGTCTACCCCGCGAGGGATACTGTGTTGTAACCCAATTCATTCTCGAGCCATCAATTCGCTGATTACCAAAACCTCAACTACTACAATCAAGAGGAACAGATCGACATTGATTCAGAAGTAATTTTCATTGCTGGACGACGTGATTTCTTCGTCACGAATAACGCCATCTGCATGGTATCGTGCTTTGTGGCATCATTTTTGCACTCCGGTAGAGTGCACGGAATTGGCGTCCGTCCCCCACCCACTTGTCCGGGCGATGGTGACTTTCTCATCTGATCTTCGAACACTCGTGATCGTGAGCTTCCTAGCTCATCCTGACCTGCCTTACACCTTGAAACCCTTGGACCGTCTCCGACCTCTGGCCTTCTCGAACTTGCGACCCTTGCTCTCAATGTATGGCTTCTTGTGCTTGTGGGGACCCATGCCAAAGTGCTTGACGGCCTCACGGGCGTTCTTGGGGCCGCGGAGGAGAACGACGTTGCTGCCGGTGGGGGCCTTCATGGCGAGCTGATCGAAGGTGAGACACTCACCACCAGCGGCCTCGATGCGGGCACGGGCGGAGGAGGTGAAGCGCAGAGCAGCGACAGACATCTTGGGGACCTTGAGCATGCGGACATCGTCGGTGACGGTGCCAACAATTGCAACAGTCTGACCCTTGTAGGCCTTCTGCGCGGTCTCAGTGCCGGTCTTCGCAATGATTCTGGACAGGGAGACGGGAGGGCGGTTGATTCTGGACATGAAGAGGCGACGGAGAACGACTTTGTTGAAGTTGGCGTCGGTGCGGCCTGCCATTTGTTAGACACATCTTCGTGCTGCTTCTATCCATTTCCGACTTACGAGCCAGGAAGCGGTACAGCTTCACGAGAAGCTTGAGGTAGACATTGTCGCTCTTGGGGGCCTTGCGGTGGCCGTCCCGCACGTGGTGGCGGTCGAGATCGATACCCATTTTGACCTGTTGGACAAAGAGGGAGTTGTAGGGGAGGGTATCGGCGGGATGGGGGATGTCGAAGTACTTGCGCCAAAAGCGTGAGATGCAAAGAATTCCGTTCGTGTGCCAAGATTGCGAGCGTGCTAGGTTGTAATAGGACTAGTGCGAGTCGGCCCACCGAAACTCACGTGCGAGGCTGCCTCCTTCAACTTCAATTGCTTGGCTCCAGACCTTCTCGACACCATCGCCAAATCGTGGTATTACCTGACTCGAGTCGCTCTTTGAATCCGGAGAACGGTGCAACAGACCTCTGACGACTTGGACCGCAGGGATCTTACCTGGCGTAACCCCCGACGAGCACAATCGCCAGCCGCAAGTGTCCGCCTCCCAACTTACCACACCAGCAATCTAAATCGCCATGGGTCTGACTATCAACCTACCCTCTGACTCCGACGACGAGCTTCCTCCCTCCAAGCAGAGCTACAATGTTTCGATCGACCAAGATGAGTCTATGTCGTCCGGCGACGATGAGCCTTCCTCGGCCAAGCGTCGCCGCCTTAACTTCGCTATTCCGGGACAGACTGTCACGACCGACTCGCAATGGATGCGCGGTCACGGCACTTTCAACACGCCCGCATCCGTGGCCATCACCGCCACCCTCGCCGGCAACGTTGTTGTAACCAACAAGCTACTCTCGGTCTCGCCCATGCGAGCACGTTACACGCCGGAGATCGGCGATCTGGTGGTTGGCCGCATCGTGGAAGTAGGCAAATCTCAGTGGAGAGTTGATGTGTCGGCGCCGCTGCTGGCGAAATTGCCTCTCAGCAGCATCAATCTGCCCGGCGGGATTTTGCGGAGGAGGACCACGGCGGACGAGTTGCAGATGCGGCACTACTTTCAGGAAGGCGATCTGTTGGTGGCGGAGGTGCAGAGTGTTGGGGGTTCTGATGGCGTGGCAACGCTACATACGAGAAGTCTAAAGTATGGAAAGCTGCGCAACGGACTGTTCCTGGCGGTTCAAGGAACTGGAGGCGGGGGCGGAGTGGTGAGGAGTCGGAGGCAAGTATTTACGATCAGTGCCGGTGTTACGGGGTCGGACACTTCTCAAGTCGACGTCATCCTAGGTGTGAATGGGTATATATGGTTGAGCAAGCACGTGGAGCAGGACGAGAGCAAAGCTGGCGGCATTAGCATTTCGAACCTGGATGACGCTGTTGGCAAAGAGATCTACTCGAGCCAGAACGATGACATTACGGAGGATACCAGGAGAGAAATTGCATGGGTCGCGGAGTGCATCAGAGTAATGGCCCAGCATGGAACAAGAGTGGACGAAGATGCCGTTGTGAAGGCGTATGGAGTAGTGGTGGACTGGAACCAAGGCCGAATGGACGACGGGGACAACATTATGCCAGTGGAAGTGAGGAAGAGAATAGTGGATGCGGTCCTCCATTGAAAGTCCTCAGAACGTCCTCAGATCGTCATTGAAGTCATACCATGGTACCGCCTACCTTCGCTCTACGATCTTACGTCGATCACCACGAGCACACACTCAGGCTGACGCCGAGAGGACCTTCGATGCTCAGCAGTAAGACGTGGAGGTCAAGTGGATATTCGGCAAATGATTCGGACGTGTCTGGAAGACAAGGTGTGACAGATATGAGCGACACACAAAGCATCCTGAGCCACCGCACAGCTGACAAGATGTGCGCTTCGCATTCGGCAGTACGGCTTTGGCGCAACCTATGAGTCCAGCATGCAGCGATCGGGGACCCGTTGGACGCCTTTCTATAAGATCGGGCTTAGGTGATACAACGGGGGCACGCAAGACTAACCGTTTAGTCCATGCCCTTCTAACATTGCAACCGGGCCAATCAGGCGCGCGGCCCAAGGTCGACATATATAAGCTTGGATAGTGCCGCCCTCGGGCGTTGCTCACCTCTTGGTTGCGGCATCAAACAATCGATATGGCAGCAGGCGACACTCAGAACGACTTCGCACGGTCCATGGCCGAGAAGTTGAAGTACCTCAACCAGGAAATCATTGACAAGTACCCTCCTGACGAACCAGTCAGCATCATAAACTTGATTGTACCAAGTCCCGGCAAAGAGGCCGAGGCGCAGGCCGCGATGGCGGAATACTGTACGGCTGTTGTTGAGAAGAAAGCTGGCTGTATACAGTTCCAGCTGTCCAAGGCAGTTCGATTTCCCGACGGTGCTTTCCAGTTTGTCCACCATGAGAAGTAATGCACCCTGTTATGATGTCCTGTTGAAGAAACGGGCTAAACCGGTTGAGCAGGTGGGAGAATCCGGCAGCGCTCCAGGCACATGCCGAGAGTGAGGTTTTCAAAAATGCTCTGGCTGATATCACCCAGAGAGAGCTTGTGCAGGCGCCTGAGGCGTGGTTCATCACAGCGGTGACTAAAGAGACGTGACTGGAGTGGATAGAAGTGGACTCGGAAGAGTCGTGCTGGCATTGCCTCAAAGTCTTTCATGTGCTCAAACTGATCTGCCGTTGTCCTAATCCCAATTCACGTCCTAAACAACTCGTAGATCTTGACGCTCCCTGGTAATCCCGAAAGCTGCTTGTGGTGCAAATGTTGACCCCAAGATCCACTGTGAGACTCACTGGCCCCCCTGGGGCTCCTCTGCCCTCTGTAATGCTTTCTCGAGCCGATCAAGGCTTCTCTGCGACCAGAAACGCGCTCTATCGTAGAACTCCTCTGCCTGTGGTGTACTTTCGTCCAGAATCAACCATGGCTGCATGGTCGACGTATAGATGTGATGCTCGGGCGGGAACAGGTCAGGATTGTCGAAGGTACCTGCCCGGATGATCCGAACAGCCTTGCCCGCATGCAGGGCATACTGGCTCCAGATAGCGATCTTGCATCGAGGGCAGCGAGTAATCCACTGGATTTGGCCTGTGGCGGTGGGAACCTCGACAACTTCTGGCTTTGTTTCAGATGTCGTCTTGACATTGTCGGTCTCATACATGGAATTTATGGCGAAGGCAGACCCGGTTTCTCGCTGACACCAGCGGCAGTGGCAAGCATGTGTTCGGACTGGTCGGTCGATGACCTTGTAGCGAACGGCACCACAGGCGCAGCCGCCTTCGTATGTCGGTAGATCAGCCATATCTCCTTCCTCGGCCAGTCGCAGGTTCACATGAGGAGTTACCTAGCTAACATGTCGTCGTGTCTTTAAACGTAAGTGCGGGCTTGGATTACATAGCCTTCGCGCATATAGGCAAGGGTGGTGGGGCCCGTATACGCTCGGTTTGCTAGCACGTCACGTCCCGTTTAATGGGACCATCACTTGACTTACGCGTTGGGGCCGCCCAGGCAGGCATTGCTGACTCGCGAGAGTGAAGCCAGGGTACAGTCGTCTACGTCGAGCAGATGACGAGATTCAAGACATCGACGTGCAAGTAGCGACCCCCAAAAGGCAACGAGGCACCATGCCGGGCGGTACGGTGGCGAGGAAAAGCCATAGATGTTGAAGCTGCCAGTTGCCGATGCCAAAGGAAGTGTCGTCTGACCCTAGGTTTCCGCTCTCCCATATGCTGTACGACTGATACACGATGTGTGTTGACTCGTGGCTACAGAGCTAGGTATGTTTGTGAAGAAGCAGGCCTTAACAGGAGCCTGCGGCAGCTTCCAATGCTGCTTCGGCTCCGCATACGCCACAAGTACATCCCCCGCAGTGCTTCCTATCCCTCGAGCCAGACCTGTCGAAGCCCGGAGCAAGAAACGAAAGACCATAGGTATACAGCGCCGGGGCTATGCAATTTTTAGCGATCCCAAGTCATACGACTTCCGGGACAATATGAATTGGCCTTGCTGTCATACGTCAAAGCCGTCAGCGCAGCCTACACCATACGACATCTTCGATCTGGAAAAAGGAGCTACATATTCGAAACATAAGTTCTACGAGCTGGTCAAGATCTACCACCCGGACCGCCATGGTGCTGCTGCGCCGGGCGAGCCAATACACGCCCTCACACCACTTGAGCGAATCGAACGATATCGGCTGGTTGTTCTTGCTCATGAGATACTCTCCGATCCCGCCAAAAGACGGGCTTACGATGTCACTGGTGCTGGATGGGGTGTGAAGTCTTCTGCGGCGCCTGGATACTCTCGCACATACCATGCTGACACCCCAGAGTCACCATATGGCAATGCAACGTGGGAAGACTGGGAGCGGTGGTATGCCAGGACATCGCATCCCAATAGTGGTGGTCCGCAGTCCTACGCCGGGACTTATTTCAACCACAATGCTTTCGCTTCCTTTGTCATTCTCGTCGCCATCTTATCGGGTGTATTTCAGGCGACACGGGCAGGAACCTCTGCGGCCGGCGTCGAAGAGCGAGCGAAGGCCTTTACTGCCCAGACGCATCAATTCATGAACGATCGCAAGGCCGAGAACGCTCAGTATCTGACCAACGAGGGTAGCCATGGGTTGAGACCAGAGCCGGTAGTACCTGTCCTCGGCCCTGCTGCCGATGACCGAGTGCGACACTTTTTGGAGAGAAGAGACCCGAACCGATATGGGCTCAAAGAGGAAGAAGAGGGCCATTACCGGCAGCACTTTGCGGGCAAGAATTTCTCACCACCGCCCAAAAATACGAAGAGTGGTCGGAGGGCGAAGTCGGACGAAGATACCTGAGTACTCGGTCATAGCGACGTGCGTCTGATTGAGAATACGAACAAGAGGTAGTACGGGCTATCTGGCCCCGTGTATACCGGTACTGGATTCATAAATATTCTCCCACAAGATGGCAGCTCAGGCTGTCCAAATCGCTCTTTTGCTCACTACTAGCATTTACTGCCTGAGAAATTGATGAGACTCCGAGGATTAACCGACGCGTTCCAACCCATGGTCGTCCTGAATCTCATTCCTGCATCTAGTGATAGTCTGCGTATACAACTTTCCATCATTCCGCATCCAGCAGCTTCAAGAGCGCGTGAGAGCCTATGCTGCCGCGATGGAGACTCATAGCCTGTCGCCGAGCAGCTTCGCCTCGTACCACATCGATTAGTCGCTTTTCACCATGCGCGAAGCCGCCCCAAAGTCCTGCGCTTGCCGGCCCGCGCCATCTTCATACCACGAAATGTCTTGCACAGGAGGTTGCTCCTCTCAGGAAAGAGCTCAAAGAGACGATCAAGGCCGCCCGGTCAGCGAAGCGAGGGTCCGGGGACGGCGCAAGCCACGGCGATATAGACCACGTTGAAGGGTGGGAGTTGACTGTGGGCATTGAAATACATGCTCAGCTCAACACGGCTCGAAAGCTCTTCTCAGGTATGTCAGGTCCTGCCACCAGCACTTCGGCCGCACTCTGACCAGGTTCAGATGCCTTTACAGATCCTACGCTCGAGCCAAACTCCCGGGTCGCCCAGTTCGACCTGGCATTACCTGGGAGTCAACCCGTCTTCCAGTATGCTACCCTCATCCCAGCTATTCGTGGAGCTGTTGTGCTCGGCTGCGAAATCCAATCCGAAAGCCGCTTCGACCGAAAGCATTACTTCTATCACGATCAGCCCTCCGGCTATCAGATTACTCAATATTACCAACCACTTGCGAAGGACGGCTATGTGATTATCAATGATGCCAATGACGAACTTGAGAACGGACAAGAGCTAGTTGTCGGCATCAAGCAAGTTCAGCTCGAGCAAGACACAGCGCGTACACACGATCAGGATGCTCAAACGAGCCTTGTCGACTTCAATCGGGCTGGTCACCCACTGATCGAGATCATCTCTCTTCCACAGATCCATTCACCGCGTGTTGCTGCAGCATACGTAAAGAAAGTTCAGGCGCTTCTTTTCTCCGTTGATGCTGTGACAACGGGTATGGAGCTGGGTGGCCTTCGCGCTGATGTCAATGTGTCAGTTCGTCGTACAGACCGTCCCTTGGAAGGTGGTCTCTCGTACGGCGGAGTGTCTGGACTCGGCCAGCGGGCTGAGATCAAGAATTTAAGCTCATTCAAGGGTGTTGAGGACGCCATCCGAGCAGAGAGAGATCGCCAAATCGCTGTCTTAGAATCCGGCGGCGTGGTGGAAGGCGAAACCCGTGGCTGGTCAGTCAGCAGGCCCGGAGTCACCAGACGACTACGAGGGAAGGAGGGCGAGATTGACTACCGCTATATGCCGGATCCAGATATCCCGCCGCTCTATATTGCGCCAGACTTGGTGCAACATCTCACATCAACACTACCACCAATACCGGAAGAACTTGCACTGATGCTGCAAAACGACTACGGTTTGTCGGTAGTAGATAGCTGGGCACTGCTGACACTGGATGATGGCAGACGGCTCATCTATTTCCAGGAAGTTGTCGACGAGCTCGTAGGTCAGCTTGGTACATCGGCTAAGCTCAGACAGCGCGCGCTCGGCAGAGCTGCATCGAACTGGGTTTTGCATGAGCTGGGCGCTATGCTTACCCAACACGAACGAACTTGGACTGAAGACATTGTGCCTGCCCGACAACTTGGACGAATTCTATACCATTTGGAGCGACAACAGATCACCACCCCCTCGGCAAAGCTGGTATTGAAGCTCGTCTTCGAAGGAGACCGACGTCCGGTTGATGAGATCATCAAGGGCGAGGGGCTACTATACGTTGCAATGTCAGACGAGGAATACAAGTCTCTGGCGGATCAAATCATTGCCGACTTTCCCGGCCATGTCAAGGACATTCAAGAGAAGGGCAAGCACGGCAAGATCAAGTTCTTGCTGGGCCAGATGATGCGCCGAGGCGAGAAGGGCCGGGTGCAAGCCACGACTGCAGAAGAACACCTCAAACGGCAGCTATCTGGCGTGGAATAGACATCCTTTCTGCAGCAGAACCAGAGAGGTGTTCACATCCTCGCCAAATCCGGTGCGTCCACCAGTACGTCCACCCAATAGCTCTCCTCGCTGTCGAATCCACTGCATGCTCTGCATTGTCCCAGTGTGATCTGTCCACCGTGCCGCGATTGTAACACGCTTCCGCCCCGAGTCAGTTGCGCCGTATTCAGTAGTCTACGTGGTCCAGCCCGAGGTTACACTCGTCAGGCTTAGCAGCAATAACCTAGGCTGTGAGACGTACCGCTCAACCCCGCCTTTCGAGGTCAAGCTAAACGGACCAACCCAATGTAAGGCGAAATTGTGATTGGTCACTTGTCGATTTTACTGCCTGGTTCAACAGTTCCAGCCAAACGACGACTACTCTGTTCAGAGCTCCCACCACCTAGCGCTCCCACATTCAATCCCCTTGAATTCGCGATCACGCCAAGGAGAAGCACACAATCTATCCTGCGGCATCTCGGGGACGTGAACATGATTCACCGATTCAAGTGCCCTGAGTCGCGCAAACTCGGTGCCCGCCCCTGTGCTCCCTGTGGAGCTATATTTGTGCTACGTTGTCTGCTCGTGGTTAGAGTTGGCAATATGCAAACACCAGCTCTTCCTTCGGTAGGGACGGTGGCCCTTGGATCTTCTGCTTAATCCCTTCGACAGTCTGAGATATTGCTGGACAGCCGTTTGCGCACACAACCAGTCATGGATGCTATCATGGACTCGCCATACTTGGGTCCAGGCGCCGCTGTGTTCCTGGGCGTCCTCGCATACCTGCTTTACGCAAGTCTCCCTATAACACCATGAGAACCACGACAGCTACATCACAAATTCTCTCCCTTTTCAGCTCGGGGCCCTCCACTAATCAGCTGCCCATAACAGTTCCAGCATGGCGAGAAGCACCTACAAGTCTTCCTCATCCTGCAGGCCCACGCCCTCCTGCTGCTCGTCCTCGTCATTGCCCGCATGCAATACCTCTCTGAGCCGCTCGCGCACGCTCTTCCCACCTCTCTGCGCCTCGGCGGCCTCTACCTCCTCGGCCTGTACACCTCCCTCCTCACTTACCGCACGTTCTTCAACCCGCTCAACGTGTTCCCGGGCCCCTTCAGCGCGCGCCTGAGCAAGTTCAGCCACGTGATCCAAAACAGCAGATTGATGGGCCACAAGGAGCTCTTGGAGAAGCACCGGCGGCTCGGCCAATTCGTGCGCCTGGGTCCCAATGAAATCAGCGTCACAGACCCCAACGCCGTGGCCGTCATCAGCCGCGCCGACAGCAAGTGTAGCAAGGCGCCCTGGTATGCCAACGACACGCCCCTCATCAGCATGCACACCACGCGCGACCGCCAGCAGCACGACCGCCGCCGCAAGGTATGGAGTCCAGCATTCTCGCCCTCGGCGCTGCGCGGCTACGAAACCCGCGTACAGAAGTACAACGACCAGCTGATCGACGGCCTGGCGGAAGGGAAGTTCGGGAAGGAGGTCAACGTGAGCGAGGTCTTCAACTGGTACTCGTTTGACGCCATGGGCGACCTGGCCTTCGGGCGCAGCTTCGACTGCCTGACCAGCGCCGAGACGCACTGGGCCATCAAGCTGCTGAACGAAGGCATGAAGCCCGCCGGCCTCGGCATGCCGACGTGGTTCTTCCAGTTCATCATCTCCATTCCCGGCGCCGCGACCGACTACTGGCGCTTCATCAACTTCTGCTCCGACCAGCTGGCCAAGCGCATGGGCGAGCAAGCCACACGCAACCAGAAACTGGCCGACACGGGCAAGGCAGACCAAGGCAGCGTCAGCACCGACCGCGACATCACCTACACGCTCATCGAGCACTACCAGAAGATGAGCCCCGCCGACCAGCGCAAGGCCCTGCCGATGCTGCAGGGCGACAGCCGCCTCATCATCGTCGCCGGCAGCGACACCACCGCCGCCACCCTGGTCTACATGTTCTACTGGCTGGCGCAGGACCCCAAGCTCGTGGCCTCGCTGCGCGACGAAGCCGAGCAATGTCGCGGCGACGACGGAAAATTCAGCCACCAGAAGCTCATCGACGCCGAGCTGCTCAACGGCGTCATCTACGAGAGCCTGCGCCTCAATCCACCCGTGCCCAGCGGCGTCTTCCGCCAGACGCCCAAGGAAGGCGTGCACGTAGGCGACGTCTTCGTGCCCGGCGGCACCACCATCCAGATGCCATGGTATGTCATGGCGAGAGGTGAGTTGAGTTCCTTCTTTTGAGAATCCCCCTCTCGCTCTCCTCTCCTTGTTTTTGTCGCCTCCTTGCCCCTTTACCCCCTCCACAAGCTTCCCCCCCCCC